CGATGGCTTCGATGATTCGGTCGATGACGTGGGGGCTGGTCTCGAAGATGTTAGGGAAGGTCAGGTTGAGAAGATGGAGCATGGCGTCTTCGCAGCCGAGACCGACAACGCCAAGGGCGACGTGCTTGACCACGGCGGCGGCGGTCTGTCGGTGGACTTGGTCCCGGTCGACGAGGGCATCCTCCAGCAGTGGGGTGACGGCGTAGACATAGTCCTTGGCCATCTCACCAATGTATTCGAACAAGAAGGACAGGGCCTTGAGGACACCGTTTTGCACGTTGAGTTCTGGCACGCGGTACTCGTTCATCAGGGCTGGCAGCACTGTGAACGGAGCACAAGTCTCGGCGACAATACCGATGGCGACGGCTGTACAGACACGGGACTGACGCTCCTGGACTCGCAAGTTATTCAAGAGAGTGGCCAGAACGTCCTGAGGTCCGATGGCTTTGGCGATGAAACCGAATGTATTGTTGGCTGCTCGGCGAATTCCCTTCTTGTGGGCTTTGAGCATATCCAGCAGCTCGAAACAGATACGCATCCATTCACGGGCATTGACGGACTCGGGTCCACGGTCGGCAATACGACCAACCAGGTCGATAGTGTTCTCTTGCACCTTTTCGTGACGGTTACGGAGGATAGGTGTGAGGCGGGGAAGGAGGTCGCGAATGGGTGGTTGCATCTGGTTGATACCGACCACGGTGACGATGGAACGCAGAGCACCCAGTATTGAACCAAGAACCTCTGGGTATTCTTCACCCAGATATTCGTAGAGAACAATGCCAAGCTTACCCATGAGAGCATCCTCACCACACTGCTTCATGACCATCGCAACGCGGGAGATGAGATCGGCGGCTTGCTGTCGAACGGTGGCGGACTTGTTGTTGAGTCGCCAAAGAATAGTACTGACAATCTGAGGGAGATATGGTTTGCACCGTGTACCAAGAGCATTCACCACGGTACCAAATCCATTGAGGATGACAATGTCTTCGATGCTTTGCTCCTGGAATGCGAAGAGAACACCGTCGATGAGACGTTCTTCCAGTCTCTCGGAGATGTCTGCGGCTCCGAGGGATGCAATCAGCTTCTCCACGGTTTCCACAGTCATCTTGCGGTAGGGCTCGCTTTCATCTTTCAGGTTGTTCACGACGCGCTCAAGGATCTCGCCAACGCCAACTTTCTGACCGAGGTCTACGGTGGTATCGACCACTTGACGATAGTTCCTGCGATCAAGCGCCATGCGGCGGACCCAGAAGCTCTTAAAAAAGTCTGTCAACACGTGCTCCTTCAGGTAACTAGCAGTTACACCATCAGTGCTGGCACATTGAGAAACCACCTTCAAGACCACCTTCTTCATTTCCTCATCTGGCGAGGAGAACTCCCGAAGAAGGATTTCCATAATTTGAGTGGTATAGTAATTGGCATACTCCTCGTCCATCAGAGGAATGATGTAGCCAACAGCCTTAAGGAAGGCAGCGAGACCCTTACCACGCTGCTTGCGGGCACCGGTCCAGAGAGGGTTCAGAATCTCATCGAAGCTTTCAATACCATAGGGGTTGGCAGCTTCGGCCAATGCAGCCACAGATAAAGCGGTAACAGTTCGGACCTTGGCCTGTTCATCACTCAGGTTATCCGAAATGCAGTCAACCAGGCCCTTGAGGTGAGGCAGAATAGCGCACCCCATGAGAATAGGAATTTGCTGGATAATCTTGACACCAGTGTGTCGGGCTTGCCAGGACTTTTTGCTGCGGCAAACAGCACGTAGGAAAGGAAGGAGGGCAGGAATACCGAGGGCAGAGGCCACAACGGCAAAAGCTCGTGCTGTAGTGTTTCGTACGTACTCGTCGACATGGTCGATATCAGGACGCATCGTACTGATCATGGTGGCAAGACCAGCGGCCTTGGCAAGGTTGGAGATGATTTCTCGACCTTCAACACGCGCGTAGTAGTCTTGGTCAATGAGTAAGGGCTCAATGACGACCAAGATCTTGTGAACATAGGGACGAACCAAGTCATCCAACTTGTAGAGAACACGGTCAATGACCTTGACCAGCAAATGGCGTTCCTGATCCTCAAGTGACTTTTCCATGAGCAAAGGCAGGATCTGATTGAAGAGAGCCCCGGCACCAAAGTTGCGCGCATTGTCTGTAAGCTGCCGCAGGGCAGTCTTTCGCATGGGTGGAGTACCGTTCTTGACCTTGAGCAGCAATCGCATAATCTTTCGCTCCTTCATTTCCTCAACGGTCATGCTGGATTCGTCGTTACCTTCCATCAGCTTACCGAAGTAGGCCATATCCTCCGGCTTGAAGAACTGAAGATCACCAACGCCGGGAATATCAGTTGGAAGTTCTTTGCCCATAGATCGAACGCTTTCTGGCTCTTGCATCATGAACCCTCCGACGCCGCCAGCAGCCATGGGTGCAGGCGTGGCTGTGAGCTTGCGAGCCTGGGTTCTGATGGGTTCGTATCCTGGAGGAGGGTCAAGAACCTTGTAGCCGTCGGCCTCGCCAGGAAGCATCATATCAAGCTCTTCGTCAGACCACCCAATAACCTGACCGGCCCCGAGACCGGCAGAGGTCACAGGTGCTGCTTGTGATGGGTGCATGGGAGTTGCGAGACCTTGGTTACCGACGGGCGTGGCAGCTGTGAGAGAGGGTGCTAGGTCCCATCGCGAGCGGGCTTTGGGAGCTTCATCGGGTGCGCCAGGAGCGGGCGTCTGATCCCAACGTGACCGCTTGCTTTTGGCTTCGGATTGACCACCCTGGCCCTCTCCCTCGGGAGCAGGCTCGGGAGCCGCATCGTCCCATCTCTTCTTGCGCTTCTTGCTGGGGGCCGCTTGGCCCGTCGAGCCTGGATCGGCCGTTTCTTTATCGTGCTCCACTCTCTTCAGTGTAGCCTCGTGCTCGGTAACATCTTCACCCCGCTCTCGCTTCTCTGCAATCAGCTTTTGCACGCGTTCTTCCTCCTTCTCAATCTCACGGAGGGCCATCACCTCACGATAGGTTTGGCCTTCTCCCTCAGCGTTACCATTAGAGCCGGCGGCGAAGGGATCGGCGCGCGTCGGTGTCAGGGGTCCGCGGTTGAATCGGCGCTTTTGGTAGTCCGTCTCGCGGTCTGCAATTCGGGCTGCCTTCTCCCGACCGAGCAGGATATCCTCCTCCTCCACACCGTTTCCTTGGGCCATCTCATCGATCTGGCTTCTGGTGGCGGTGTACTGGCCAACCAAACTGTGTCCTCCATTCGCATCCTCCATTTCCTCGTCGTCATTAACGGCGATGGAAGTGTTATAGCCTGAGAATTTATCCGCTCCATCCCGCTCGTACAAAGTGGTATCGAAGGAGTCCGTCAGGGAGGCCTTGGTCGAGTTATCAGTACGTTGACCAGACGGGTCAAAAGTCCTAGAACCTTTTTGACGAGAAGCAGCAGCATTGCGCTCAGCTTGGAGCCGGCGGACGGCCTCAAGGTCGGCTGTTGTGGTGATTAGCATGTGGTCAGGCGGGTGTGCTTGCGAAAACTTACCGTCAGACATCGTGATAAGAATCGAAAGTCGCGAGGATATGAGAGAGCCTATGATACCGCAAAAAGGGTCACAGTCGCTACATCCGGATTGAAAACCGCTGAAACGGCCACAAGATTAACCTTTGCGGATGCAATGTTGCTAGGGACTCGCGATGAGAGACTGAAAAGGCCGTCGGCGAAGTCGCGCTAATGGATGACTAACTCCCGCTGCCCACGTGACCTGATAGCTATCAAAACAGACACGTGACAGGATGTGAAGATAGATGAGTCAGCATATCTGCACCAGCTCAAGCGGGGAATTCGTTCTTTTCCCCGACTTGGAATTCATGGACGATTTCTCAATAGCAACAGAAATTATATCAACAAGACCGAATTTCGGCCCCAAGGAGAGCTTCTTTATTACCGCTGAGGAAACTACAGCCTTGGGGGACTACCCTCGCGATTCAGTCTCAATGAAACTTATTGACATTCCTAGCATTGGCAGCTTTAAGGTTATCCTGCTACATGAGATAATAAAAACAACCAAACCTTTCCTTCCTTCCCACCGAGGACTAACCACGAATACCATCAAATCCCCAATGTATCTGTGGCGTCGACAGGGCGCTTATAGTCTATTTATGTCCCACATCCAGCGTGTCAAACCCTTAGACTTTCTAGATGGACCTTGATTTTCTCTCACACCTGATACTTGTCTCTTCAATTGGAAATGAATGCCAATGCAACCAGGATGAATGATTCTCTGAAACAGAACCAATGGCAGACCTCCTTACCCCAGGCGCTTAGTTGAAGCGCTATACCAGGTTTTAGAAAACCCTACAATAGACTTGCAGAGTAACTTGTGCATTTTAGCATTACTGACTCTACTGGAGTAGCAAAAGACCAAAATATTTCACCCATTACCCTAATGCCATTGTCTCTCCAACGTTCAAAGCGGCAACTTGCCGAACGACCAGTAAAAACTGAGCTAGTGTAACATACAAAGCCCGTTCGTGTGGTTGCATTCATTTGGGTTATACACTCGGTCCTGACTGTGAGCCTAGGGAAATTAAAACTGCCTTGCCTCTCGCTTATTCAAGTATGTGGACGTTGACACCAAAGACGCCAATTTTAGCTCTCCCTTAGCCCCGAGCACTCTCCGGTCAGCAGGCTTGAATCCCCTCGAGAATGGACTACCGACAAGACGTGGAGAAGTTTTTAATCTATGAGGAGTATCTGATTGGTACATCCGTAGGTTCATTCAATCGAAATCTACCACGCTTGCTTCAATCCGGTATAGACTGTGACCCTGACCATCTGGAGGGAATGTTCAAAATTCGGAGCATTTACTCCTTGTTACATATCAAAGCAGCCCTGCCATCTAACCTTATAACTCTCTATATATTGACTTTAGCACTCTCCCCTATTGCCCCCCAATTCTTTCTTCCGACCTCCAACCAGATTTGTTTTAGAGGGCAGAGCTATACTTCTTACAAATTACCGATATCATGATGAGATATCTTCTAACGCTTGCTTTGCTCCTCGTAGCAGCAACCGTTGACGCATACTCAGCACTTCCTCATCCTCTAGCTTATGCTGCTTCGTTCTCCCATATCTCTCGCGAGCTCGATCTGATCAACCTCGGAAACTGCTCTGTTGCCAACGCATCTCTTCCATTGTCAGACACAAAGGCCAAGCTACCGAATCCATCTATCAACCTTGCTCTCAAGTATGTCGTGCTGGGACGTGGAACTCAGAACTACTCTTGCCCAGCGTTAAATGCTTCATCGGATCTCAAAGCAACTATAAAGCCCATTGCCACCGGAGCCGCGGCTACTCTCTTCGATGCCTCTTGCCTTGCATCAAGATCGGGTGCACTCCTCCATCAACTGCCAGCAATGCTGAGCAACGTACCACTTGGAAGCATCTCCTTCATAGCGGCTCTTCTAGGCCAGGGCACAAAAAGCACTGATCTCATAATCGGCCAGCATTACTTCAACGCTGGTGGAGATCCGGTCTTTGATTTGAGCTTGAGTGGTTCTGATTCTTGGATCGTTGCGAAAAAGGACGCAGCTGTCTCAGCGCCTGTGACGGAACCATCTGATAACCAGTCCGGCAATGTTCCATGGCTGAAACTTGGACACAAGGATGGGTGTAATATCCAGGTGAGTCATTTAACAAGTAACCTGACCTACGAACACTTCTGACCTATTCTTTGTAGGAGGTTTATCGAGTTGTGACATCCCAAGGGGACCCTCCGTCTATGTGCACCGGCCAAAATGAGACTTTCCAAGTTGCATACGCCGCAGAATATTGGTTCTATGGGTGAATCGGACCTGTTTCATTCGCAGTGAGTGCTGCAATTTTGAGTTCTGAGATACCATGTGTTACACCTCCGATTTTATTGACTCTATGCGAGTAAACCAATCAACAATGTAGCAATATTATGTCGTACTTCGTGTTCTGTGCATTCTCCATCCCTGAACCATGTAAACCTTGAGAGTCCCAAACGCCTTTGAACCTGACCATTATGGAAATGCAAAAAGCTGTTTTGCGCCTCGGATATTGGTTTATGGACAACCCAGTCATGTCTCATGAGTTGGCCGCCTCTTGTAGGCCGCGCTATACTCTTGTTGACTGAATTCATTGACACCCTTCATTCCTTCTTAACAGGTTTGAAGGTCTGCATGAAATGGAGTTGTAGGATCGTCGAGAGCCGGCCAACGAGGGTATCATAGGGCTTGTATGGTATTTTTTTCCGCCGAATAGTAGGCCATCCCACATAGTATTTTGCACTTAGGGGACCGTTGAGCGCATCCAGAAGCTCTGTAGTGATCCTGGCTTCGTAAAAATAAAGATGAGTTTTTTCTTGAGGGTGAAACATGAGAAGACCTGACTGAAAACGATTTAGCCAGGGACCAAGTGAGAAATAGAAATAGACAAGAGACATGGTAAATATAGACACAGTATTCAGTATTTGATGCTTATCTTGACACTGCGCAAGAGTCAATAACACGCACACAAAATCTGGTTCTTCTGTCCAGTCCGTTGGGGTTGCCTGAACATGTCTCTTGTCAGCAATATCCATATGCTCCTATCAGGCTGAGCCGATTCTTCGTAGACAGGGCTAGGTTCACAACATCAAGATGACGCAAAGTCCACTGGAGAGTATTTAGGAGAATCCCTGGATGGTCACGCATGATTTCACCCAGCGATTGTGGCGAATCCATAACACTGGAAATGGTGCGTTAAGGATGTTTCGCGAAGACACTACGTTATCGCATTGCCGAAAGCTTGGCATATAATAATGAATCACAAATATGTATACAACACCACTCATTGCATATTGCGCCAATGCTATTTTCGGTTTTCTTCTTGCTTTTAATCAATCATCAAATCTCCAATGACAGCTCCGAGCCTCTCAATACCCTTAACCAACCGCTCTTCATCCTCCCACATGAAACAAAGCCTCAACCTGCGATGCAAATCTTCCCCCAAAGAGCCCCGCCCTGGAACAGCGAACACTTCACCATTACCTAGAACCAATTTTTGCTCTTCGAGAGCATATTGACACACCTGAGTGGCATCCAAAGTAACTGGGAGTTGAGCCCAGATATAGTACCCACCCGCCACTGAACTAGTCTCAGGATCAGGAGTGAACGACACACCCAACGGACCAAGGTGTTTCTTAATAGCTGATGCCAGTAGACGGTGACGCTTTTGACCCTGCGGAATGAGCACATTCGTGATATACCGGGGTAAAAAGCCATCCTCCAGTAAATCATTGACAAAAGTCGACATAAGCTGTGAAGGAGCACCGCCCGAACGCGTAGAGCCACTGAAATAATTTAGTCCATGCCCAAGTTAAGTTCCTCCAAAGAGTGAATGCAACATAGAAGGACTTACGCTTGAGAAAGACCATGAATAAAGCACTTCGTCCCTTCAGCCCATCCAACCCGACACCCAGGACCGATAAGTTTACTGAAGGACCCATTGCTCACAGCATTGCCAAACTGATCTTGAGGACCACCGTCCAACTCTCGGTCTACATCGACAATGCGTGACAGCGGCTTAGCCACAGCGTCGGAGGTATGAAGAATACCCCAATGGAGGAAATCATACACATCATCACATACGACGAGAGCATCATACCTCCGAGCAAGCCTGACAAGCGCCTCACGCCGTGCACATGGCATCGTCATCCCAGATGGATTTGAGAAGCTCGGGATGCAGTAAATAACATGTCTGTATATCTTCCGATATGGTTTCGGGGGTTTGGCAGCCTTTTCCAGGGAGTTAGATTTATACTAAACCCCTCCAGCTGTAGAATAGAAGCATACCTGATGACTCTGATTCGCATCTTCACCACTCTCAAACTGGCTCAAAGCAAGCTCAAGGGCAGTAACATCCATGCCACCCTCATCCTCAGAGATCCCAACCATCCGCCCAGAAAACCCAGCATCCTCAAAGACCCCAAAGACAAGATGATAACACGGTTCAACGAGCCATATTCTCTGTGTCTGGGCAGGGTCTGTGAAGACTTGCAACATACAAGCTAGATTTTGACTCGCGCCGCCGGTTATGCATATGCGCTCTGCATTGATAGCATGCAAGAGATTATATGATTCCGATAACCACTTGGCTATATTTTCCCTAAAAGGGTAATAGCCTTCATCAGGACCGTAAGCTAGTCCGTCACTGAAGATGTTCTTGTTGGAGAGGACGTCGTTGGCTGCTTGTTTTAGGCGTTGGGTTGGGAGCATGGCTGTGGCGGGCCAGCCTTGGAATAAGTCGATCTGGGACTTGGGTTGCATCTTGGACTGGATTGGAATTTTGGGGCTGCGTTTTGGAAATATCTGTTGTCTTTATACTCGAAGCTAGAGCTAATCCTTTTTTGGGGGTAGAAGCGGCCTGACCAATCAGGTGGCGCGAATGTTTGATTTCGGACATAGTTTCAAGATAGACTTTCACTGATGTCTACTTGGTCTAGATTTATCGCTTGATCCCCGAATGATATGCGAAGAGAGGAGATATCTGACAAATGTTCTATGTTATAGTGAACTTGGTGGGCACTTGGTGGGGTCAATACATCGTTTGACAGGGGACTTGTATCCCACTGGGGCTGTGAACTTAGTGCAACTACTCTATGTATTAGTCTACTCTCCAAGAGTCAAATATTGGATACTCCGCAGGGAATCATGTCAAAAAGAAAAGAGCCCTCGCATTGATCACACCGCTTCAAAAGAACAGCCCATGAACTCCGAAAAAGTCACCGAATCCGCATTCAGAAGTCAATGACCGACCTGCGCCAGCATAAATGCAAACGCCAAAGAATAGGCGAGAAAACAAAAGAAATGAACCCACATGATGCTTCTCCGGCTTGGCTCCGGAGAGGCACTCACAAAAGAAACGCCGAAGTATGTGCCGCCCCACCACAAGATAAGAATTATTCAATGATTCAATGCTCCTGTTATGAACCCCAACCAAGCGCTGACTATGAACAAAGTCGGATTCATACGTTGTCATCCTCATAGACAAAGTTGATGTCGCGGATACGGCGGCGGTTGTGAGTGATGAACTCTTGGTCACCGGGGGGTCTCTCATCACGGTTGTTGGCGGTCAGCATGCTCTGGAGGCTCATGCAGACACTTTCGACGGTCTGGACTGGGGACCAGCCGGCCGACCCGAGGAGATCGAGGCAAATGATGCCGTTGCTGTAGATATGGGGATGCATTGGTATCGTGCGGGGATGGCCGGTAGAAGCGTCACATGTAATGAATTGGACCTCTGGAGGCTCTAGTAGGACCATAAACGTTAGAAATAGCGTCTTTGACTTGATGAGGTAAGCACGTGAAATGCGCCTCGAGAGGACAAACGACTCGCTGGAGCTTACCGATGGGGTATTTGCTGCTGAACATGAACTTCAGACGATATGTTTGGTTCTGGTAAAGAGGGTTCTCGTCGAGAACCTTGATGTCCATCTGCCATTCTTCGAGATTATCGCTCTTGACAATCTCGATTCCAGGCGGGACATGGTCCTTCATCTAGAAATGCCGTAATGTCAGATGATTGAAAATAAGGTGGCTGAGACATTCATGCCGCGATGAGATGGGCAGAAAGCGAAATGCGACACAGGTGGGCTGCGGTGGAAAACAGGCGGGGAGGTCGTACGTACCTTCAAGAGCTCCTGCGATCCAAAGAGTCAGTCAATTTCGCTTCTCTGACAGATTAAAATTAGCAGACAGCACTTACCTTGCTCAGACGCTTGGTTGCGAACATGACGGTAGACTTGGGAGATGGTCAAAGTAGAGGGTTGACGATCGAAAGCTCTGGTGGAGTAGGAGGGGCGGTGTGGGGTAGCAGATGTATGACGTGGGGAAGAGTAGCAGACGAGGACTTCACAAATGCGAAAAAAAAGACAATGCAAAGAGATTAGACCGAAGACGAGATCTTTAGAAGCGATGCGAAGTTCAAATGCGAAAAGATGCGGAAGGTGGGGAGATAGCTGCACGTGATATCGACGCCTGACTCGATACTCGCCCAGCAGCCCAGGTCATGCCACGAAGATGACTCCGTTGTTTCTCTGGTAACTTTTCAAATGTGAGAGTGATCTAGCAGAAACTATTCTATTTGATTCTCAGCCAATAGAATCCTGTGTAAATGGATACTGCAGCCTCTAAAGAGTATACCTAAAGCTAGGCGCTTTATCACCCAAATCCACCAAGTCCTCCGCGGTAAACCGAGGCACCCGATCAGCCTCAGAATCCCTGTTAGAATTAATCCTACTGCAAATCACATCATACAAGACCATAGCCAACAGTCCCAAAGCAGCAAAAGCCAGCACCAAAGCATGACCCAAACGATATCTGGGCGCATCCTCACTCCGATAAAAGTTTGAAGCAGCAGCACCAGCCATAGTGCCGAAACCAATTTGAATAGCGATACCAACCGCACGCTTAGCATCCGGTGCCCAGTTATTCGAGGACAAGGTCAGGAGACCGGGGATAGCCGGGTACATGCCACACGCGGCAATGAAACAGCCCGCGTAAGTGAGGCCGGGGATAAAGCGTGCTGGAGCGACTGCTATAAGGAATCCCACAAAGACTGCTGTGTAGCAGGCAAATGTGAAGAAGCTTCGTTGGCCAGTTCTGTCGGAGTAATAGCCGACTAAAATGCAGGATATTGTTGCTGCTGCGTAGACGGGAATTGTTAGGAGTTGGGCTAGGGCAGCGGAGTAGCCGAATCCTTTGATGATTGTGGGTAGGAATAGGGATAGGGCATATACAGAGCATGTTTTCCATATTATGTTAGTATCGTGTATGAAGGAGATGGATTGAACTTACCATTCCCCAGTAACCGAGGCAATGGAACCACGTCTTCGAAGGCACATCAGCAACAACCCTTTCGTAAAGAACTAAATTAGTCAAGACATACCTGCCAATTGAGGAGCGCATCCACTAAATGCTTCCATTTAAAAGAATGCTTATTCCCCAGCTGAGGCGCCGTCGAAGTCTCTGTCTGCGCATAGTTCAGCGCATCGAGCAAAACCCTCTTCTCATGCTCCGAGAGAAAAGTCGCCATTGCAGGCTCATCCCAGACAAGAAAGAAAGAAGATACCGCAACAATAACGGTCACCAATTCTTCCAGGATACAACTGGAACATATTAGTGCTCAATCGAAATTGGTGAATAACGCGACGTACATCCATCGCCAACCTTCTAATCCACCAATACCATTCATTTTACTGATGAGATAGGCCAATAGACCGGAAAATGCACCAGCCATAGAAGCAGATGCGAAGATAAGTGCTAGTCTAAACTGCGAATTCTTTCGAGGGTACCTAGACTCTGTGAACACGAATATGCATGTCTCGATAGGACCTCCTACCAAAGGGAAACATAAAACGCCAGACCAGGGACTTTACGAGGTTAGCAAAAGATCCGAGGTAGAATCAGGAATAGGAAGGCATACAAAGCCCGGCCTCGGTGACTCCTATAGCAATTATCAGTCCAAGAAATCCAATGTTGAGTCCAACAAACTAACCAAGGAAGAACCGAGCAGCCAACAACCCAGAATAACCCTGCACTATCTCAGTCAAGGTCATCACAACCCCTATAATAGATCAGCCAACAAAGCCACAACATAATAGAATGAAAAACCAACCCCAAGCAACCATAATAGAAGGAAGCCAAATACTAGGCTTCAAACGAACGAGCAGCAAATTGCAAAGCGGCTCAAAGAACGAAAATGGAAAAAAGAAGATAGTAAGACACCTAGTACATATAGCAATATAATCATCAGTATCACTCCCACTGTTCTGCATGAAAATTAGCATCTATATAAACTACTCACCAATTATATTGCTGGCCAACTAAACCCAATGTCGTCGATAATCCCTGGATATTTGCATTTCCGATATTCCCTATTTGAAACGAGTTGAGTATATTCCCACAGAAATGGGATATAACTCCTACCTCGATCCAGAAAACTTAGAAGATACAACAACGCCAGAATGGGAATAACGCGGATATCAACTTTTCGAAGGAGGTTGTCATACTCGGCTTGTGAGACTGCCACCAGTGCCGTTTCTCCATTTTCGGGGGCTATTGACTTTTCTTGGAGTTCAGTATGCGTAGGTTGTCTCTCTTGGTCTGAAGGTCTCGTGTCCATCTCTAGTATGGGCGGGTTCTTCTGAATATTGACTGTGTTGAAGTGTTGGATGAATTGTTCCTGGATGGAATTCATGCAAGGGGGACAAGAGGAATGGGAAAAGGCAATTATGTACAGTAGAAACCCCATTTTTGGGATTCTGCAGACCGATACTACTTTAAACCGAGATTGTACATATATTCCCCCGCGTATGTTGCTTTCTCCATATCTCTGCATGTCTGGTCCTGCTAGCTTTTACAGTTGCATATCGGATTTCCCGCCGGTATACTACTATGGGGCAAGCTACCTCCGATCATTGGCCGATCTAACAGACTGGGTCAACTACGGAGTATGGCAGATAGTCAAACAGGAATAAAATCGAAGAATTTGTATGTCCACTTTGATAGACCATGAAAAAGGGGAATCACAGAACTATATCCAAGAAGCTGCCCGGCATATAACCGAGTTAAAAGGCAGCATATCCGGAAGAATCAACGTATCAACCAAAGAAAAGAAAAGAAAAAGAAAAAGAAAAAGAAAAAGAAAAAGAATTAAAGAACAGAGGAAAGATTTTGACATGCAATCATGCACTCGCGGCCTTCTCTCTCGCTTCGCGCTCGACCTTCTCCCGCTCATCGTTCTCCTTCTGTTCGCGAACCTTGGCCAGAACAACTTCACGGAAGATCGCACCGCGAGCAGCACTGCCGAGACTCTTCTTCTTTGCGTGACCGGATGCAGGGCTAGCTTCACCGTTAGACTCTGCCGCAAGCGCCGCACCTGCATCGACCGAAGCGCCCACGTCCATGGGGCTGGGGATATCTTCTCCGTCTTCTTCCTCGTGCATCTTGAGCGATTCGATACGGTTGGCAAGCTTGACGATCTCGATACCGCGACGGAGGCGGGCGCGCGCGATGTAGGCGCGGATCTCGGGCAGCAAGTCGCGGTCGCTGGCAGTCTTTCCAGTGAGCCACTCGTGCTTTAGGGCTTCCTCCGAGGTTACTCGCTTGCTGGGGTCGGCATTGAGGAGGGTGAGAATGAAGTCTTTGGCGTCCTGGGACACGTCGCGCCAGTAGCGCTCATGGAATATAATGCGACCAGTGCGGCATTCTTCGATCAGGTCGGTCAGGTTCTCGGAGCGGAAGGGTGAGTAGCCACAGAGGAGGGTGTAGGTGATCACACCGAGCGACCACATGTCGACGGCCTTGCCGTGGCCCTGCTTGAGCATAACTTCGGGAGCGGCGTAGCCAAATGAGCCCGCCATGCTGGTCAGCACTTCAGAGGGGCTGTGCAGCATCTTGGCGATACCAAAATCGGCCAAAACAAGCTCAGATTCAGCGGAGCGGGTCAGGTAGAGAAGGTTCTCGGGTTTTAAATCTTGAAAGGTCAGCAACAGAAAATGCCGGGGGTTTATACTGGAGGACCAACCTCGGTGGACAATGTTGCGCTTGTGGAGGTAGTTTACAGCATCGAGGACCTGGCGAATGGTCTGCGACGCATCCTTCTCAGTGAACTTGCCGTACTCGCAAATACGGTCGAACAGCTCGCCACCAACAGCTAGTTGCGTGACAATGTAAAATTTGTCCTATCACCACGGTCAGAAATCTGCAATAAACACGCCGGTCTGGAGTTGAACTCACCTTGGATTCGAACCAGTCGACAAACGAGACAATGTGGGGGTGTTGGAGAGATTGCAGCATCTCAAGCTCGTCATAGACCATGGCCTCATTCCCGCGCACATTCTTCTTGAGAATAATCTTAATAGCAACCTTCTCGCCGTCATTGGTCTCTGCCTCACGAACAATGCCGTATGTGCCTGCACCTAGCGTTCGTCCGAATTTATAGAGAGCTCTAACAAGCGAAATAGTTTAGCAACTGCGATTAATCGAATGGGAAAGTTGACCGTACTTCTTCTCGTAGCTCTCCGGCTGCCCGGACAGCTTGTTGAGCATGTTTGCGACTATAGAGAGCATGGTCAGCACATTGGAGGGTCTGAAGGAATCGCGCAAACAAATAAAACCACGGCCGCCTTGGAAAAGCCGACCGAGCAGACAGGGGCGCGGGCATTGAGACGACGCAGACCATGATACAAAAGAAAGAGCAGAATTGGACACAGCTTCCAGAGATAGCCTGTGGCCAGTATGTATATCGACATGGGAATCACCACGCAGCATGCAGAATGGGATTGTGGGCACGGCTGACGCGACCCGGAGAATAATTGCGGGTAAAATCAAGCGGCGAATCACGCTAAGACCAGAGGACAAAAGTCCGGATATGAAATCTCGACTCACAGCTCATGATGTGGGGATAGGGCTGCAGACGCCCGAGGGGTAGACGCGGTGTGTGATGGTTTGGGCACGGAACCCAGTAGGTTGGGGAGGAGAAGTCCGAGGGGTTGAAGATCCGTGGGTAAGTTCAAAGTATCGCGAATGCAGTGAAGTCTAGAAAGAGACAACGGGGTCAGTGATATGCACAAATTCGAGGGGCGAGCTGGCCATGCGCGGGGGTGGCTGCATGGGAGATTCGCGATCACGGGAAAGGACATACAAGCGGTGAGTACGAGATCAATCAAGATCAAGCTGAACAGCGAAAAGAAACAGAGAAACAGAGAGGATCAGAGAAACAGAGGAGAGCAGAGAAAGAGAGAGAGAAGAAAGGTGAAGATGTTCTAGACACGATAAGGCGTAGGGTTTAGCGTTGCACCGCCACACTAAAAGTGACTGCCTGAAATTAGGGGGTGACAGGTGTTAAGTTAGGCATATATGAGACATGCCATGACTGATATAACTAACTTGTATTCATATTTGTGGCTCTTTCTTCTTCTCAGTACGTTATGCATGTAGGTGGCTCAGCTGCCCAAGTAGCCTCGTGAGGCTCATTGCGCAGCTCATGCATACCGAGGTAGCCACTTGGGCTTGTAACGCTATGGCGACACAACATAGTAACCCACAATAATTATGCTAAAGAAGGAAACAGCAGAGCAAATTAGACACTACACGCAAAACAACACCAAAAACAGAGAGTTATAACCGCTCTGTGACCCTCCCCCAAGCAACCATAGACATTGCGTACTCCACCGATATTCTATCTATCTAACAGGCCGTACTCCTAAGCCAATGAAAGTTAGTCTCTTACGGACATAGGGTACTGATGAATATCTCTATACCCAAAGCACAACCCCAAACGCAACCCAACCAGCCCATCGCTCCAGCGCCCCAAAACCAGAAAAACCAGACTAGCAAAGACAAGAAAAGCCCCAAGCAAGATGAGATTTGAACCTGGCCCATGATGAATAGCAATATGGGCGTTAATATAAAAAAATTGCGCCCTGATTCGCACCACTTTCTCCGACCCCACCAGCTGCCTGTGGCACAGCGTCATCGTCGGACGTCATAGGCTTGCGCATAGTATATGAACCACCCATTTCTTCTTTGACTTAGAAGACAATATCCAGAATTACGACTCAACGGATCAAATTCCACCATGCTGTCCGTTCTCTTCTTTCTTGCATTCCAGGTGGTGCTTCTTGCCGCTTGGGTCTCTGGTACCCTAGATCCATACCAGAAGAAACTTCAGGAACTCTTGCTGGATTGTATGGGTGAAAACAAGGTCTCTTATGGACTTAAGAGTATGTTACTACAAAATACAAAGGAACATTCATGCTGATATCCTACTCTAGTGAGTCTCACAGGCAAAAAGCTCATCGAAGATGAGAACTTCAGCAAGATCCAGGATCAGCTAGGAAACCAACTCGGTGGCATGTTTGGGAAGGGGGGAGTTGGAGAGGGCATTGGTTCTATTATGAGCAAGAGTCTTTAATTGGAGATGGAGATGGAGATGGGAATTGAAGGATATCAAGTGCGCTTGTATTGAACTATTGACCTATGTAATCGAGCTTCAAATCGTGTTGAATCGTCAGCTCTTTCGAATTTTTCGTCCCATATCATTTTCAAAGTGAATTCCCTCAAATCATTACCAGTGTCCGATGTACCGTTGTAAAAAATCCAATCCATACCCCACGTCCCTATCACCATCTTCCCACCTTCGTCCCACCTTCATAACTCACCAGACTAATGATCCATCAAAAAGATCAACCACAAGAGGCCATAGTAACGACAATGGCCCAAAGCCACAAACGAAGGCTAGAAAAGAGTACTGTACGTCACGAGAAAGCAGAGGACTCCTCAAAAGAATCCCTCACAGTCCTGAAGATCAGCGAGTACGTCGTCGCAAAACTTCTCATAATAATCAGAACCTTTCCACACAGAATGAGGAGCACGAATACCAGTCTTCCAATTCTCCTTGCGCAACCGAGCAATACGCTGAACCATCGTCTCAATACGAAGAACATTCCCAAACTTATCAATATTAGGACCCACATCCGAGCTCGAGTCTGGGCTGGAGTGACGACGGAAAACAGAAGACAGCTTCTTGCGAATGAGACTGAACGTCCAGAAGGACTGAGGGCGGGGCCGGTCTGGGGAGACGGTCACTGGGCTGCGGCGACGGTGGATGTGCTGTATGTTTTCGACGTGGTCGATTTGTTCGCGGAGCCAAGCGATTTCTCTGGTAAATTCTTCGCGCAGGAAGCTGTTGCTCAAGTTTAGCATTGCGGCTCGAGCTGCGCTGGCTGGGGTCACTGAAGAGCAGGCTGGGGACGGGCTTGTGTATGAGGACTTTTGACTTTGTTCTGGTGTGACCGGTGGAATAGTTAAACAGTGGAAACCGATATCTGTGTTCTTCTCTGGGATAGTCTCTGGGATAGAAACTGGAGTGGGCATAGCCCGAATGGGGCTGACGGGCTTGAGCTCCGGACTCAGGCGAGTGGGGATTGGATGGCTTGCATCGACGTTAACCTGCAGACGAGGAATAACCTTGAGCGGCAGACGGGGAGGGCGAGGGCGAACAGGTCGCTTCGTGTCAAGATCATACTTGCTTAGAGTTGAGCTGGGTCGAGCATCAGCAGTCACAGCAGGCTTGTCGAAGGTATTGCAAGTATCCTTTGGGCTTGTGATGCTTTCCTTGTTTGCGGGTCCACAGAGAATCATTGAACGATTGCACTTGATCAGCTCACCAGATACCTTTCGGACAGAAAGCGGCGATGGGACCAGTTCACTTTGCTTCCTGGGGTTCGCAAGATCAGCAGGGAAACGGACCGGGGAGGGTTGTACCGGGGGTCGGATCTTGGGAGACAAATTTTTCTTCGAGAGGAAAGGGTCGTCCTTACTTTCATTCAGAGTAGAGCTGTCGAGCATTCGGGTAATGTTGTTGATCAAAAATTCGCCGATAGGAATACTGTTTTGGGAACTGTCAAAAGAGACCAGTTCATCATCCACAGATGCAGGAGAAGGAGCACCACGAGGCTGAGCAATACCACCAATTGGATAGGAGAAATTCCGGCTCACACTGGAAAGTTTGTAAGGTCGAGGGGGGACATCAGAGGTTGAAACAGGCGAGATGCCATCATCGACACCATCCACGAAGGAAGGATCCTCAGTAGGACTCAACTGATGTGGAGGGGGCTCAACTGGGACCGAAACAGGCGAGAGTTGTTTGTTGATATCTTCCACAGAGCAGAGATCTTCAATGTGCCTCAACTGGCGTGGAGGAGAAACAGCAGGGATAGAACGTGGTGTGGTGACGAAAGCCGTGACCAGAGAATCGTCAGACGAAGGATAGTCCGAAAGAGGAGGCGTCAGAATGCCATATCGAGCGAGTTGAGACTTTGTATCCAGGACAGAGGATCCATCGCGCAGGGAGGCAGATTTCAAAGGGGACTCAGGACGAGGAGAATCATTGAAGATCAGCGGTGATCCAGATGTAGTACGAGACGAAGGAGACTCTGGCCATGGAACAGGGGAATACGTCTGACCAGGGTTCAGGACTGGAGGGGCACGATTCTCTGGCAAAGCTTTGCTTGCAGCAATAAATTTCTCCAAAGCACATTTCAAAAATGGGACCTTGGCTGCCGAGTAGACGTGAGCTGCCTGAGCAAGGCAGACATATGAGATGCCGGCAAAGTAGTAAAGAGAGGTTTTATGAATGCGATCAATCTATGTAGGAAACCGTTAGTTGTGCTTCGGATAGATGTGATGCAAATACAAACCGGAGCGGTAGCAGTGTCGATAAGCTGTTTGCAACGCAACACACACTGCTTGTGCTGCTGAGACTTGTACAGTGATTTGACCTCCAAGATGGCTGTCTGCCACTCATCCATGGTGGTTGGAGCAGGGGAAACGCTCCATACCAAAGCCGTAAACCCAGGCGGGTCTGATGGCAAGTGGGATGCCATACTTGGTCAGATCAAAGAAAGCACAGAGAATGATGTAGTATGCAAACGGGAGGGGTTTGAAGGAGAGATAGAGATGGGAGAGGTGTGAAGGGAAGAAGTGAAGAGAGACCGGCGAAGGACTATCAAATGGGCAGAACGTGATCGTCTTGAGCTCAGGCAACACGATCAAACCGTGCACGGTGACTCCAGTGGAAACAATGAGTGCCCGTGATTATGAACTAGGTGTTGTTGTTGTACATGACGGTGTACAACGAGCAGGCATACTAACTCGCTTATACCCTGACAAGATGTAGTTTGACGCCATAGAGTTTCTTGAACCATAACCCACAGTCCATACATCGTTGCCTATATCACCGGTGACCATGATGTCTATAGGCAAGTCTACAAGAAGGAAACCAAAGCACTACTCACGTGAAAGGAAATATTGATATTGATGCCGCTAAAAATACTCAAAACAAAGTGATCATAAGTCAATGTAAAAAGGCGGCCTCAATTCAAAGGCCGAGCCTTTAGAAACGGGTCATTAACCCCACTAGTCTTCTAGACCTTCTCAGCCTCGTAGCCATTGGCATTAGCAACATGGTACCGCGAGAGAGCCTTGCTCGTGGCCGAGAGAGACCCAAGGAAGTCGCCCAGCAGCCGATCAAGCTCAGATACAACAGCGGCATCATCGGCACCCTCCATCAGACTGGTGGCACTGGGTGCCACAAGTGATGGGAATGGGATGACATCGACTTCCTCGGGTCTCGCGGTCGTAACTTCATGGTCCTGCTCTCGTCGCACATTACGAATTGTTTCGAAGATTGGAGATCCGGGCTCTGAGACAGGTCCAGATGTCACCGAGGACGCAGTGGGGGTTTCGGGGATTGGGATAGCCGTTGGTAGTGGTGGTGTGCTACCGTCGGTCGAGTCTCGCCACATAGGCTGGGATTCTTCATCGGGCCCCGGCCCGTCGAGAAGCCCCGAAGACTCATACTCATTATAGCCAGCTTGGCACATCATTTCAGGGAGCTCACGGTCAAAGAAGTGGCTATGATGGAGAGAATTTGTGCCTTGGGGGGTTGTTGGGCGGTCGAAACGGAAAGGATCGTAGTCCGAGTCAGATGCGTTGGATGCAGATGTGGAAGGACGAGAGTCATCAGGTTCGTCCATTGGCCGTGATTCAGGAATAGGCTTGATTTCAGGAAGTGGTGCGCGAAGAGTGTCATGGCGATCAGTGTAAGTCTGCTCCTCGGGAACGGACCCCATGACAGGGAATGTCCATTGCATTGTAGCACGCTTTTCAGCCTGGAGGGACTCTTCTTCTATTGGCTCTTGGGCAGGAGCCGGGCCAGAGTCTTGATCCGGGGTCGTTTCGTTTTCCGCCGGTATTTCCTCTTCAGTCTGCATGAATACTGGGAATTTCCAGTCCATAGTGGGAGGCCGTGGACCAGATGGCTGGAAGGTATCATCCATAGAGGCAGCTCCGTCGCTTTCAATCCCACTGTCGGAGGACTTCGAGCTATTCTCATTGGAGTTTCTATTCAACCGAATGCTGGAACGATTCGCGCGAATAGTGTCTGCATCGACCAATTGGAAAGGCTGGGCAGCAGGCGCTCCCGCCGCATAATGCGATGCCTCGAATGAGCCGATATCGATGTCAATGAAGGTTGATGTGACAGAAGAGCGATCTGTGTCTGTGCGGAGAGGCAGATCTGAGATGGATGGAGTGGGCTCAATGGGAACAAAGTCGTTTTTTGTTTCGTAAACGTAGCTGGGCTTCTCCTCATCGAAAAGCCCTTGCATTGCTTCGGCGCCTCGGCGCACACGTTCATCGAAATTGACCTTGTCCTCATAATTCATTTCGCCCTCGGAGCCTTCATCAATGAAGTCTTGCTCAGCGGACGTCTCGGTTGGACTAGCGGATTGTTCGATTGCAGCCAAAGAAGCTGCGATTTGATCCAGATCAATGACGGAGAATCTTCGCTCAAACCCGTCTGTTGTACTGAAGTTCCAGTCGTCGTCCGACTCTTCGGCGCCAGGGAGTTCTGCAGCCGCCGCACCACCTGGGTGGAACAAGGAGATACGCTGGCCTCCTCGTTGAGACCATTGATAGTAGTTTCGCACTAACTCACTGACAATCGAGGTGGGGTATTCCTCATCCGTGTCGGCAATGTAAGGGTGAGCTAGGATGTCAGCCATTGTAGGGCGGGTGGCGGGGTTGGAATCAAGAGCGAAGGCGATGAGATCCTTCAGGCCTTGGCTGTACCTGTCGCTATCGAGCTTGGGTGTGTTTCGATTCAATTGACGGCCGATTTGCATACGCTCTCGCAGGCCGGAGTTTGGTGGATTGCCATTCGCGAATTCGAACAGAGTGCATCCATATGCCCACACATCAATCTTGCAGAGCCAATGTCAGTGACCAGGAGTATAATGCCATAATATGACTTACCTCGCTTCCGTAACGATGAGCCTCGCCCCGGGTTGCAAACATTTCTGGTGGCATCCAGTGTGGTGTTCCAATCCACGTAGATCTTTTGTCTCGTTGTGATTGAAGTACACCGGCGACACCGAAGTCACAGATCTCCAGGCGGCCTTCTTCATGAATTAGGATATTTGCGGCTATACGAAAAGGTCAACAGGCATTCTTACCATCTACGAGTCGAAATCCTTACCTTTGACGTCACGGTGGATGATTCCGGCCTCGTGAATAGCGCGAAGTCCAACAGCCAACTCACGGGCAATTGGAATTATGTATTTCTCATCAAGTTTGTCGTCGGTTGCACGCATCTACGACGGTCAATAAAGCTCTGAAAGGGTAGAGATAGGAATTCAATTACCAATGTACGGACACTACCGCCTGGACAGTACTCGCAAACAAGCCACAATTGTGAGTGGATAGAGATGGCTTCAATGAGCTCATTAATGTTTTTCGCCCCAGCGTCCTTAACTTGCTTCATAACCGTCGTCTCGTGAATAAAATCCTTGATAGACTCGTCTCTAAAATCTCGCAAAGATTTGTAATCGAGCGAATCGATATCGAGAACCTTGATGGCGACCAGACGACCGGACTTTGTTTCGTGACCCTTGTAGACTCGGCCATACGCACCTTTACCGATCAACTCTTCAAACTCGTAAGGGGGAACATCGGTTTTCGCACGTCGACACATCTCCTGAACAGCGATTCCTTGCTCTCGAGCGAGCTTGATTGCCTCAATTTTGTGTTTGGTTATGGCCGCCATCGCGGAGGATGGGTCCAGGAACCGAGACCCACGGGGGTCCATGATGAATGAAATTGAATAATCGCAAACAGAGGTGAGATTTGTTATTTGAAATTGTTCTTTGGTATGTTTTCGTTCCTTTTTTTTTTTCTTTGATGTTCTTGCGTGCAAATGAGCGGAGAGCAGAGGTTAAGAATATGGGAAATTGTCAGGAAGACAAAATGATGCTGGCTTCAGGGTGGACCTCGTAAGGTGGACCTAGCAAGTACACAAGGATGAGATGCGTGTCCAAGCTCGTGAAAAGCACCGCTTGAAACAAACACAGCCTTTGGGTTGTGCTGACTTTCGACCAAATGAATAGGTAGATTTAGAAGCCGGCGACAGGAACGGGGTCTTCCGGTAAAATCGATGATCAGTTGCCTCACAGTACGGCTGGATAGGCTGAACCCTGCGGATTGTAGAACTGAATGAAGATCGTGGCGAAGGATAGGGATTCGGAAACAGCGCGTAGGTGGCTCTGCGGTCGCGGCCTTCGAGCGACGGGTAGACCGACACTGGATGGTGCAGTGGCACCTTTGGTCCTACACGGCGAGTGTTGTGAAGATCTTGATCGATGGATACGACGGGAGACGCGCGAGAGAGTGGAGTCGTGACGTTTTGAAGGGGGGTACAAATTGGAGTACTCGAAGGGGATGGAGATGGGATGGCCAAAGTATCAACGACGGAATCTCCGAAGACGATCGGACTGTTGACGCTTTGGCTGGTGTCAGGCGTGGGAATGTTAGCGTTTGTAATGCTTTCAGCAAGTTCTGGTTGTTCCTCGTGCGCAATTGCTTGCTTTCCCTTAAAGGGGGTGGAAGCAGGAGGAAGAGGGAATGAAGAAATCAAGTTGCCAACAGTGTCAACGCTGGGTAAGGTCCTTGGCGGGGATTCCTGTCGGTATCCTGAGGGTCCAGGAATAATGGGGATATTATTGCCCTGTGTGTTCTCACCTCTGTCACTATCATAAACGGACGAACCGGGTGGTTCGTTGGATCCAGGGCGGCGGATGTCCTATGGTAGTTCAAGATGTCCGCGTAAATTAGAGAGTAGCGTAATTGACTCCTGTGAGATCAACGAAACCCATTCGTCTCCGTAATGAGGCAAATCTCCTGGTACCGGGAGGTTGGTTGCGGGGTGTTGCACGCGATCACTGTGAGGTCGATGTTAGCCGAGTGCCAACAAGAGCGCGCGGGAAATTACTTGCCTGGTAGGAATTGGAGCAAGTCTCTGAGATAGTATGACAGCATTCAGTCGAGCAGAGGCCCTGTTGCTAGGGTTGGGATCGTGTGTAGCGTTCAGATCAAGATCGGTACCAGAGAGTTCTGGAAATGGATCCTCTGGGGCAAAGAGACGGCGCAGAAACTCGTGGTCACTATAGGGGACCCCGAGATCATCGAGCACGTCTTGGGCACTGCGAGCCTTGTCAGCCATTGTCGCGATTGGGGTTTCAAAGATTGGGAAATGTGGTTGAATCCGGAAGAGCACATATCGTAAATAACAGAGGACTCGCGAGGAAATAAGATCCTCGGCGTTGTGGGGTAAGCGCGGCGAGACAACATACCTCAAATTTGCCGCTTGCTACTGACTGAATAAAGTCACCACTTGGGAGATTGAAGATAATCAGACAAGTTGTCTATTGCTGAAGATGTGGAGATAATATCTAGTCACGTGCAGATAGATGTTATCGCACGTTATCGTCTTATCGTCTTATCGCGCACATCCGCCTGTGTATATGCCTCACGGCTATTGGTCGCAGCATTAATGGCTTCATAATCCATTCATCCGATCTTTTACCTGACCAACAATATCTTACACCTAAATTATCACTCACATGCAACACTTGCCAAGGTACAGAATATGTACGAAGATGGCGAACTTTTTCAGTCAGCCCGTCTTCCTGAACCCCTACTTGTCAAACGATGGTCAGCAATGGCCCAGCTGAGCTACTCCGGGAGAAAGGGGGACCACCTGTCATCTGTACAGAGTATGGACTTTGTCAATCGATGTCACCTATTGGATTTCCTCGCAAATTTGGGATTGCAGGTGACGTGGATGAGGCTGAGTGTGGGCTCGGCTACTTTGCCCCATTACAGTGAGTATAGGTCTGCTATACAGTGGAGCTGTATAGAAGGTTCAATTCTTGATGGGGGCATTGGGGACATCCGGTGAACAGCTCCAAGATCTATCAATTGCCGAACCACATTGTTAGATGATCTCCTTTTGAAATGTAGGGATTATGCTTGGCCAGATGTTCGATAGATGATTTCCGGCCCTCTATGCAATCAATATGTCAGTTGTAAGTTGCACAAATGGGGCCCCCATCATGGCGTGGCAGTTCATTCATATCAGACCGCTGATCTGGCACCTTTTAGGTCTTCATGTCATAACCCACATTCAATTTCAGCAGGCCGCACAATAAGATAGCACGATTGAGGCTTTTCATCCGGTGGGTCCAGGTTCGGTAAATATTTACTTTCAGTAGCGTAGGAATTGACTCTCGAAAAGACATAAATCAGCACTCGTCCTGCATTTTCTATGTCTGTTCCCTATAAGTACCCGTTATCACGCACTACTGCCCAATTTAGAAAGCACATTACAAGAGCAGCTCTTGCTGTCGCAACATCCATGTCCTCGCTGGGACAGACTGGTACGATCAACATTGTTCAAGCCTGCCTCCGTTCTTTCACCATGCAAGAGTCAACGCCATTGACTTATCAGAGGTCCAAGGCTTTCTGTAATGCATATGGTACACCGCCCTGTGTTCCCATTTTGTCTGTCTACTAACGCGAGAAGGCTTGACCGCCAAAGATATTTACAGATTTACTCCGAAGTTTTGGAAGATGCACCGGGAGGCCTTGGTAGCACTGGATGGTGGGGCGTTCACCCTTTTTGTCATTCAGTGTAATCCTTTTGCCAGCACGTTGGCCCCATTTGCAATGAAGCGGCCAGAACTTCAGCCAGTTCTGCAGGCCGCCTTGGGCTTCAATGTCTCGTAAGCAACCCCTTTTTTTCTATTTCCCGGTTTTATTTTGTGTATGATCTGACAATATTTCATATGCAGAGCACAATTTGTGTTGACTGAAGTTAACCATGGCTTGGATGCTCGCAGCGTACAAACCACTGCAATATTGTGTGAAATGGAGAGTTTAATCTCTATACTCCTACCTCAAACGATGCAAAGTAAGATGTGGAAATCCAATACTAGTTTGAATCATGACTGACAAAAGCTTAGGGTGATGCCGCCAACCACCCTTAGAGGCGGTTTACCAGTCGTTACAATTGTAATGGCCCGTATGGTAGATGGCACAAAGGACCATGGAGTTAGACCGTTCCTAGGCCAGCTTGGCAATGGAAACAAAATTTGCAAAGGCGTCGAATCGACGTAGGTTCATGAACATGTCTCATTCAGGTCCGGACCTAATCACACCAAGAGTCCTGCCTGGATGTTCGCCTACCAAAGTCCTCCCTACTAGGCCGCGCTGCAGAATCAGACAATGATCGAGACAACTTCATTCAACAATTCACCGGGTAGCAGTGGGACCTCTCTTCTTCACGGCTGCAGTTATCCCAGCATTAAAACTTGCAACCTTCAATGCCACACGATTCAGTCAGCAAAGGCCTGTAAGTGGTCATGATGGAAAGCCAACGGCTGTCATCGAGTTCCGAACACAATGCCTGCCGATAATTCATGCTATTTCTCAATACAATGTGCTAGAGCCATTCATGGTCTCTTCAGCGATGGCTTTCCGTCATATCAGTACCGATCCTCGGATACGCCACTGTATAGCTATCACTTTCAAAGCGATAGCATTGGCGCATTTCGAAAAGAGTATTAAGGCTCTCAATCAGAACTGTGGATGGCCGGGACACTTTGGGCTTAATGAAATCCTTCAAGTTGAGGTAAGTCAATCTTGTTCATCCTTGTAAAGCATGGACGTTCTCTGACCATCCTTTCAAGCTGGAAACTCGTGGTGTCTCAAATACAGAAGGCAACATCCGCGTCCTTTCTATTTGTAAGTACTTCGAATATCTTAAGGAATGCAAGACTAACATTATGAGAAAGGCTTCGCATCCGAGCTCTTGATCGGCCGGTACCATATGCCACCAACAAAATAGCCCTGCTCTCTGAAGCTAGAGAAATTCCCCAAAGATCAGCCAAGGGCGTCCACCGAAGCAAGGACTTCAATCGGGACTTCCTCCATTTGGCACTTCCATTGGCCGAGGCCATTGGGCACCGTATGGCCTTGCTTGCCGCAATCGAAGCCGAAATTAATCCCAAACTGATTGCTTCTTACAAAAGTTGCGCCATCAAATAACTCTCTCCTTGGTCGAACAGGGAGGAGTCAATAGAGCCGTCCAGCGCGAAATAGAGGCTGAGGCGGCAGATGCTTTGCTTCCACAATTGGACGAACTTGTCACTGGCTCCGGTATGCAGGAAGGAGTATCGCAATGCGCCTATAGCTTCAAAAACTTTGTGGGATGAGTTTGTTACTGGAAGTCTTCACTGGGGATGATCCTGCTGACTTATTCCATTGGTCTGATTCGGTCTCTGTCCATCTACGACCTTGACTTGATGTGGTCAGTCCAGATCTTTCGGCTCACGTATCCTCTGAGGTTGTTCAGATGGCTTGATTTGGAATCATGGAGTGTTCATGAATGATCCTTAGAACATAGTCTTCCAACAAAGCCGAGTATTATTTATAGTATACAGCACATATCATCGTATCCTAAACGTCAACAGAAGAAAGCCCATATAACAAAAATAGCAAAGGACAAACGAAGACCGGCACCGTCACCAATTTGTGCGCCGACTGATTTCTTGTATTCTCCTTCGTCATCCTCATCGGTCCCCTCTTTCTCTGATATAGCGAGGGTAACCCTACAATTTCCAGTCGTGATATCCAACTCATCACCATCGGATTGTCCCTTTTTTGCAGCCAGAGAGACTTGCTCATTTTCAATATGATGGATAGTGTAGACCTCATTGCCGGTCGCACTTAAAGTGACATCCAAGGTATGTGGGGGCGCTTCCAATGAGACATTAGGCTGAAAGACATCGGACTAAAAAGAAAAAATTAGTAAACACGAACTCGAAGGCAGTAAACAGTAAATCATACATCAGTGCCATATTGAAGACCCAAAACATCCCAGAGTGACCGAAAGTGACTCTCTGCAGATTGCAAAACCCCCCTATATTCAACTCGAAGCCCAACCTCAGCAGGCGTTTCCCTCTCTTGAACCAACGCATGTATCGCAGATGCGCCCACCAAAGCCAAGAACCACGACCCACCACGCATATCGATCGGCCGTTAAAGTGGGTGCGAGATCGAATTTTGCATGGCAGACACCGATGATTTTATTCAATCTTACGGGGGCGAAGCATTTTCCACGTAAATTGACGCTAAATTAGTTCGCTGGTCGGCAAAGTGTATTCTGGTCTTAGTTAGGGGATTTGTTCGGGCGGTATTGGTCTCGCTTATTCTTTGAGGCTTTTGTTAGCGGGTGGCGCGCTCTAGTCTTGCAGGGTGCAGGGTTCAAAAATAGACTGTTAACAATTGCTTGGTTTATGCGGAGAGGCACGAGCTGGTTGTCTTGGTAAATGTCGATCAATTTAAGGCTTAAATTTGCCTGGTTTAATTGGGCGTGGGGGTTCATTGTGCATTATAGTCTCACCACAGTAGAATACGTACAACAAGGCTTATAAATTCTTTCAAATCTCCGCCTTAAGAAGCTCCACTTGGTTGGCCCGTGGGACTTGAAAACGGGTAGAAAGAGACCAAAAAAATAGGCCAAAATGCGGCAAAAATATTACATGAGATGGTACTCTCGCTTCGAGGCTTTCGTGCAAAAGCTGTCTCATAGTTTGAAGCACTGTGTATACATCTATGGTCTCTATTTATTTGCGCCTTACATACCTCTTCGTCATACAAAATGGTTTCGGGAGGGGCCGTGAGCCGCACTCGGAACCAAAGACTTTATTAGATTGACTTCGCAATCGAAGGAGCGTCAGACTGTGCCTTTTCGAGGAGGTATATTAAGCTTCAGTGGCATATCATCGGCAGGTAGTGGATGTGATTGAAATGGCCGACACCATGTCGTCGCCGAAGAAGATTGACTCTTTCGGATATACATAGCACTCACTGAGCCCTAAACATGTCTGAGTAGGAAGTGATTATTCTTTGGTGATGCCGCAAAGAGACACAACCCAGGATAGCACCCGAGTAGAAGAGACCAATTATTTGACCGAATAATCGGGTAGCTTTATCTCATAGCGCGCCAGCAACTAAAAGCTTTTCCATAGGGTTGTGTTTTGAGTTTTTGAGACCAAAACGGCTACAAGTACTACAACCAGCGCTGTCATTGAACCAGTAGTACTGCAAGAATTTGATGGCTGATTAACAGCTAGAGTAAAAATTGCCAAAAATGGTGTAACAAGAGGAAGAAATTGGAGAGATTACGGTTAAAGCTGTAGGAATGAGGAGCTCTTTTTGGGCAGAATACACGTTAAACCTGTCAACACTGGCTTGTTTTCGTGTCGAGACAAACGTAGGGCCGAGTCGAAAGATGACGTTCTACGTTTGTCTCGTTTTACTCTTTGCGTTGATGTTACCTCATTGGGACAAGAGGTGGTCTCTCTTCTAGCTCCTACGCTCGCATCATCTTGACCTACTCATCTTCACAAATCACCGACTTCACCTTGAGATCGAGGTCTGCTTCTTGACCGACCGCAAGCCTGCAGCCATCCTGTTTCGATCTGCCAAACTTTCAAAATGACATTCACCACCCTACCCCTGGAGGTCAAACTCCTGATCATCGCAAAGTTCGCGGGTGATCATCTGACACCGGGCAGACTGGGTTCCTGCAACAAAGAGCTCGCCAACCTTGGGAATCAAAGAAGACGTGATAAACTGTCGCATTGTAAGTTATCCCGGGATTTGAAATATTCCGAGACTCTCTGACATCCAGAAAGCTGTCAGTTCACTACGACAATTCTTCGCTTTCCCGGGCTTGCGAAATATGTGCGCATTCTCGACCTGAGTGATTTGAATCTGCTGTGCGGTGTTAATGGACATATCGTGGCCAGAGACCAGGAATTGCCCCCTGGAAACCGGCATCAGTCTTCAGGACCGCAATCTGGTTTGCAAAGCCATTCGTAACCTTTTGATCTCCCAGACAAATAGAGTCCGGTTGCAGTCTGCTCTTCAATTCTACTGGCTACGCTTGGATATCGTGCTGGTGATTCTGCTAACATCCCTCCCTTTCCTGGAGAGCCTCGAGATCGGTCTTGGACATGGAAATTACACTGGTTTCGATAATGACTTTTTGGTTGATGACTTGGTGCAAGATATCTTGTGCAAAATTCCAAGTGGAACAGTCTTGATTGACTCAAAGCCTGTCCTTCAACGGTTGACTCATTTGAAAATCGAATGCCGCGACTCTTCCGCCGGCGACCCCCTTCCTCTTATGAGCTGGCTGCAGTTACCCTCGCTGACACACTTCTTTGGCTCAAAATGGGGCAGTCACAACCTCGAAGAGAATGATATCAAAAATCTACCTAACAGATTCTCGCCATCAATCATTCACCGGGAATTCCGCGATTACGCACTCACTGCTCCCTATCTCCATCGCCTCCTGACGGATGTGAATTCCTCGAGACCTTGATCTATCAGTGTGGATGGTCCTGGGACATATCGAATGACAAGCGCGATTATGGATCAAGCGATGGAGAGAATGCGGGGCAGAGTGGAGTAGACATTAGACAAGGCGTGGGACAGACTGGAGCAAACTTTGACGATGATGAGGAAGAAGAACCCCAAGATTCCCCTGCATGACCGTCTATTCAAATCACTTGATCATCTATCCATCACAAGCCTACAGAACCAGACTGAGCTGCGCAACTTGATCCCTGTCCTCCGCGAGCTACTTCGACACCGACAGAAGAGCCTTCCAGACCTCCAAGAGCTCAGACTCGAAGCTCCCACCGAAGGAGATCCAACCGTATTCGGAATGCCGTGGCTACAACAGGAGGCAGACCATGCCTTGGTGCAACTTCGCATCATTGACACTTCCCCTCTGCTGCCAGTGTCATAGCTGTGTCCGTTGCTGAATGTGCCCCAGCCCGAGGGGGTGGCAGGCGACTTGGGCATGAATGGCGAGTTCAAGTGGGGACATCGATTCTGGCAAGCTCCCCGGCTCCACACTTTGCAGAAAGGCATTTCCCCACGCCACGAGGAGGATACCACTATGGAGACCAAGGATGAGAACCAAGATTGAGCGAGGAACACGATCTAGAAAATCCAATGTAAGACTAGAAACGGGGCCATTTGATTGTTGGTGTGTCAAATTTGAATTAGCTTGAATCAGTTCACAGTGATCGTCAGATACTCCGTGGCAAAATACATGACTGATGCATGTATTCCGACATCGAGTCGTTGAGTACTTGACCTGAGAGGAAGTTGTGTTTTATCAAGGGTCCAGCAGCCTGGGGAATTTGATCATGACCAGGAGGTAGGTGGCCAACCAATGCCCTGTGCGGAGCAAAGGTACCTCAAGAGAGAAGCAAGCAATGAGGTGTCCAAGCAGAGGTCCTCTCTGGTCATCACTATCAGGGCCCTGGTATGAAATGGTTTAATTTGCATGGGCGCCTGAGGCTACAATGCTTTTGTTTGTATTGTTTTCTCTTCTGCCTGGTCTGCAAGGCAGATGTTGATTAATAATGCAGTTTCGTAACTGCGACATGACTAAGCCATTACCCCTCCACCCGCCACCACGAGGGGGTTTTGGGTATCGAGTCAGTCGGAAGGTTTATGCTGGTGGCATGTTGTGATTGATTGGTGAATTGACTATCGAGAGAGCCACGGGAACTTCGTATTTATAGCTATCAACTTACAATAAGAGAGCTTGTACTCACACTATGCGTCACCGGAGTACCACGGAAAGCAACGTATATTGAGTCAAGGGCATAAGCATCACACAGAATAGGATTTGAAATCAAGTAGAATACAGCTAAATAGAGAGCTAGTCATATTCCAATCAATACCAGACAACTATAGAGTGAGAGATAAAAAAGTCAGTGACCCAAACGCACAAAACCGGCAAAAAGTCCCCACTTTCGCTTTCTTTTTTTTCTCTCCCACTTTTCCCCCTCCTCCTCTTCCTCTTTCCCCTCTCATCCCTCTCCCAAGGAGCAGTTGCACATAGAAGTTTTTGATCTGATCGAGAGCTCTCGGTCCTGGTCATCTGTGTGCTCTTCTTCTTTCTACTTTTTTAAAAAGTTTTTTTTGAAGATCAACCGCCAACATGGTTAAGTAAGTGCTCCAGCTCATCAGCTCTCAGTATCATGATCATGATGCTAACATTTTTTCTCACAGCTTCACTATCGAAGAGGTTCGTGCTTGAAAAGGATCATCGAAGGATGGCAGATTAAGATGCCCTTGCAGGCGTCGAATCTCGCCATCTGAGATGTTGCTTGATTTTTCCCCCCAGCCTCACTAAAACTAATATGAAAACAGATCCGGTCTCTGATGGACCGCCGGGCTAACATCCGGAACATGTCCGTCATTGCTCACGGTAAGCTTGTCTGGATGATCTCGAAATTTGATCGATGCTGACTTGTCTCTGTGTAGTCGATCACGGAAAGTCCACCCTCTCCGACTCCCTGGTCCAGCGTGCCGGTATTATCTCCGCTGCCAAGGCTGGTGAGGCCCGTTTCATGGACACCCGTCCCGACGAGCAGGACCGTTGCATTACCATCAAGTCCACTGCCATCTCCCTGTACGCCAAGTTCGCCGATGAGGAGGACCTCAAGGAGATCCCCCAGGCTGTTGACGGTAACGAGTTCCTGATTAACTTGATCGATTCCCCCGGTCACGTTGATTTCTCGTCTGAGGTCACTGCCGCTCTCCGTGTCACTGACGGTGCCCTTGTCGTTGTCGACTGTGTCTCCGGTGTCTGTGTCCAGACCGAGACTGTCCTGCGTCAGGCTCTGACCGAGCGTATCAAGCCCGTTCTGGTCATCAACAAGGTTGACCGTGCTCTTCTCGAGCTCCAGGTCTCCAAGGAGGATCTCTACCAGTCCTTCTCCCGTACCATCGAGTCCGTCAACGTCATCATCTCCACCTACTTCGACAAGGCTCTCGGTGACGTCCAGGTCTACGCCGAGAAGGGTACCATCGCTTTCGGTTCCGGTCTCCACGGCTGGGCTTTCACCGTCCGCCAGTTCGCCGTCAAGTACGCCAAGAAGTTCGGTGTTGACCGCAAGAAGATGCTCGAGCGTCTGTGGGGCGACAACTACTTCAACCCCAAGACCAAGAAGTGGACCAACAAGGGTGAGCACGAGGGCAAGCCCCTTGAGCGTGCCTTCAACCAGTTCATTCTGGACCCCATCTTCAAGATCTTCGCCGCTGTCAACCACAACAAGCGTGACGAGATCTTCACCCTCCTCGAGAAGCTCGAGGTTACCCTCGCCAACGACGAGAAGGACCTCGAGGGCAAGGCCCTCCTCAAGCTCATCATGCGCAAGTTCCTGCCTGCCGCTGATGCCCTTCTGGAGATGATCTGTATCCACCTGCCCTCTCCCGTCACTGCCCAGAAGTACCGTGCCGAGACTCTTTACGAGGGTCCCCAGGACGACCGTGCCTGCATTGGTATCCGTGACTGTGACCCCACTGCTCCTCTGATGCTTTACGTCTCCAAGATGGTTCCCACCTCCGATAAGGGTCGTTTCTACGCCTTCGGTCGTGTCTACTCCGGTACCGTCAAGTCTGGTATCAAGGTCCGCATCCAGGGTCCCAACTACGTCCCCGGAAAGAAGGAGGATCTCTTCATCAAGGCCATCCAGCGTACCATTCTCATGATGGGTCGCTTCGTTGAGCCCATTGAGGATGTTCCCGCCGGTAACATCGTCGGTCTGGTCGGTGTTGACCAGTTCTTGCTCAAGTCTGGTACCCTTACCACCGATGAGACCGCCCACAACCTCAAGGTCATGAAGTTCTCCGTCTCTCCCGTTGTGCAGCGCTCCGTTGAGGTCAAGAACGCCCAGGATCTGCCCAAGCTTGTCGAGGGTCTTAAGCGTCTCTCCAAGTCCGACCCCTGTGTTCTGACTTTCATCTCCGAGTCCGGTGAGCACGTCGTTGCCGGTGCCGGTGAGCTGCACCTCGAGATTTGTCTTAAGGATCTCGAGGAGGACCACGCTGGTGTTCCTCTCCGTATCTCCGACCCCGTCGTTCCTTACCGTGAGACCGTCACTGCCGAGTCCAGCATGACTGCTCTGTCTAAGTCGCCCAACAAGCACAACCGTCTGTACCTCACCGCTCAGCCCCTTGACGAGGAGGTCTCCCAGGCCATCGAGTCTGGCAAGATCTCTCCCCGTGACGATTTCAAGGCCCGTGCCCGTGTCCTTGCTGACGAGTACGGCTGGGATGTCACCGATGCCCGTAAGATTTGGTGCTTCGGTCCCGACACCAACGGTGCCAACCTGCTGGTTGACCAGACCAAGGCTGTTCAGTACCTGAACGAAATCAAGGACTCCGTCATCTCCGGATTCCAGTGGGCCACCCGCGAAGGTCCCGTCGCTGAGGAGCCCATGCGTTCCGTCCGCTTCAACGTCCTTGATGTCACCCTCCACGCTGATGCCATTCACCGTGGTGGTGGTCAGATCATCCCCACCGCTCGTCGTGTCCTGTACGCCGCTACCATGCTGGCTGACCCCGGTCTCCTCGAGCCCATCTTCAACGTTGAGATCCAGGTTCCCGAGCAGGCTATGGGTGGTATCTACGGTGTCCTCACCCGCCGTCGTGGTCACGTCTACACTGAGGAGCAGCGCCCCGGTACTCCTCTGTTCAACGTCCGCGCTTACCTGCCCGTCAACGAGTCTTTCGGTTTCTCCGCCGATCTGCGCTCCGCCACCGGTGGCCAGGCCTTCCCCCAGTCCGTTTTCGATCACTGGGCCATCCTGTCTGGCGGTTCTCCTCTGGACCCCACCACCAAGCCCGGTCAGATCGTCACCGAGATGCGCAAGCGCAAGGGTCTCAAGGAGGTCGTCCCCGGCTACGAAAACGTAAGTTCATATCTTTCTGATCTGTCACTATTACAGTTGCTAACATTCTTCTACAGTACTACGACAAGCTGTAAAAATGGTCACGGACAACCAGAATTGCGTCTCTGCCAGTCATTCGTGGAAACCTTTATGAGAATGATGAATTCAATACAATTTCTCCAGTTCAACAAAATTTTACCCATCGTTCTATGTTACTTGCTTCGACCGTCGCATCTAGAAGTTTTACCTCGAGCTGCCACTCTCGAGTGTCTGACTTTTGTTACTTTGCTTTTTGTGCTTTTGGATGATGTTTTGCCTTATTTGCCGGGTCTAGCTGCCAGTTTCTCTACGAAAATAAATTGGTATGCTAGACACGGTTTCTTCGTAGTATTCGCCATCGTAGTAGTGCAGTTGCAGTTGCAGTAGTAGTGAAGGGAAGTAGAAAAAATCGACTAGTAAATGTGAAGCTGCGCCCGATGGTAATTCGTGCAGTGCATGGACTTCCTTGGCTTGGAAGCTCGAGGTCTTTCCATGATACCCATCACGTGATGATACCCGCGCGCGTTTTCAAGTCCGCTTTGCGCGCGGCGATATCTTCACATCACCACTTCCCTTATGGCTGGGGGTAACTACTGACAAATCAGAATCATATTTGGTCGAAACCTGCTTGATATTGTGAATTGTCCGATTCATATTCAGCTAGGACAGACCCTGCGCACAAAGATATCGCCCGAAACCCGGTTTGGGAGACCGGATCCTTGCATTCACCTTCGCGTGGATATTTCTCTCTACGCAATTCCAAATTCACATCTCAGAGTATCCCGAAAATTACAGTCACAATGCAGTTTACCGACGAAGAAGCCACTGGAGTGAAGCAGTGGGTGGTGAAGAAACTGGAGGATATGTGAGAAATTCCAATTCTTTGACAGAAAGCACCAATTAATACGTGACATGTTCCTCTAGCTCCGATGCCGACTCCGATGTACTTGCAGACTACGTCCTCGCGCTGATCAGATCTGACGCGCCAGATGACGAGATTAAAAACACCTCAGTGGAAAATCTGGAGGATTTCCTGCGCGAGCGTACGTGCCATATCTCGATCGCATTGGTCCTACTGAAGTAACTGACCCTGTTCCAGACACCAAGCCCTTTGTCGAGGACCTCTTCTCAACCTTCGGTCCAAAGGCACCTGCCCCTCCTGAATCGCAGCCTCAGATCCAGCCCCAGCAGGCGTATGCCGCATCCCAATCGCAAGCCCCAGTCAACATACCGACGGGCCCCAGAAACGATGCCCCTGTGAACCGGAAACGGACATTCGGGGAGGGTTTCCAGGGCGAGCCAGAGCGCGATGATGGAATGATGCAGAACCGCGCGATGAAAACTCCGCGACGTGGGGGACGCGGCGGCGGCCGTGGCGATTTCATGGGCCGTGGAATGCAACCCGGACAACAATTCCCCCAGCAGCAACAGCAGCCGGCTGGGTTCCCTATGATGCCGGGGATGCCAGGCATGCCGCAGTTCGACCCGAACGACCCCATGGCTGCTATGATGGCCATGCAGGGAATGGGATTCCCCCAGATGCCGGGTATGCCCGGTATTCCCGGTATGCCCGGTCTGCCCGGTGCACCTGGCCAGCCTGGTGGTGAGCAGATGCCCAAGAGTAACGAGCGCTGTCCGATGTATGACACACAGGGTATCTGCTACCTTGGGAACAACTGTTTCTACCAGCACGGCGATGGTGCAAAGGATGATGGTAAGTGGCTATCTATATGCTGAATTGGCTTGTGCTAATTGCTGCAGAATATGACCCCAAGACTGCTGGTTACAACGGACGAGGCGGCGGTCATCCTCGTGGTGACCGCGGTCGTGGCCGTGGCCGTGGTGGATATGGTCGACGAGGAAACGGCCGGTCCGATTTCTCGTCCGCAGGCCCTAACGAGGACCAGTCAGTTACAACCATTGTGGTTGAGCAGATTCCCGAGGAGAAATTCAATGAAGAATCTGTACGCGAATTCTTCTCTGAATTCGGTAACATCGCCGAGGTTTCATTGCAGCCCTACAAAAAGCTGGCTTTGGTCAAGTACGATAGCTTTGCCGAAGCCAAGGCCGCCTGGTCGAGTCCCAAGGTCATTTTCGACAACCGTTTCGTGAAGGTTTATTGGTATAAACCTAGCCGGGAGGAGAACCACGCACAGTCCGAGGCACCCGCATTTAACCCAGAAGAATTCGAAAAGCAACAAGAAGAAGCCCAACGGGCCCATGAGGAGAAAATGAAGAAACGTCATGAGACTGAGGCAGCCAAGCAGGCTCTCGAGCGTCAACGCGACGAACTCCTCAAGAAACAGCAAGATGAGAGGGCGCGCCTCATGCAGCGCCTTGGAGGCTCCGCAGATACCAGCAATGACGGCAACGCTATGGACACAGGCAGCGAGCCCGCAGAAGAGAATGTGAGCGACGAGACAAAGCAGTTGCGCGCTCAATTGGCTGCCCTTGAGGCCGAGGCGAAGAGTCTGGGTCTCGACCCGGAGGCTGATCCTTCAAGCGGAGGCCGCGGTGGCTACCGTGGTCGTGGAGGATACCGCGGCCGAGGCACATACCGCGGACGTGGTGGGTATGATCCTTCGTCCCGCGGAGGATACCGTGGGCGTGGTGGATTTGGAGCTCGCGGACGAGGAGGTGTTCTTCGTTTGGATAATCGACCTCGCCGCGTTGCTGTGTCAGGCGTGGAGCTGAACTCTGATAAGGACGAGGCACTGCGCCAGCACCTGATGGTAAGTGATATAATATGCACCAGCTCCAACGTTATTCCCACAAAAAGTACTAACATAACCTAGGGCATCGGCGAATACGAATCCATCGAAAGAAACCCAGAGCAACCCAACTCCGTCGTGGTAGCCTTCAAAGAACGCTTCCAAGCCGAAAAACTCATGTTCTCTCCCTGGAACATCCCATCCGTCGGCGAGGTCCAGCTAACTTGGATGCCCAACCCACCCATCACTTTCCCACCCGCTGGATCAGGGGAGTCCAATGGTCCAGGTGGGTTTGACCACACCGAACCCGAAGACACACCCATGTCGTCAGCGCCACCGCCGAACGCTGCACCCCCACGGGATATGGATTACGATGTTGCTGAGGACGATAGCTGGGGCGCGTAGTAGAAAGACTTGAATGATTCATGTTCACTGCAGATTTACTCGTTGCTCCTCTTGCTCATATCTTCTACCATGTACTATCACGCGTGTGTATAGGTTGCATTCAGCTTATTCTATGGATACGAGATCATTCCGGATTCAATTCAGTGAATATAAAGGTTAAAAGCAGAATGCACAGCTGTTGAATCAAAGTATACCATTTCAAATACTTCAAATACTCTGAGGGATCAACTCAACCGTATACCCATCCTATAGAAGTCAGTGCCAAGTAACCGGCCATAGTGTCTAGAGTATATGCCTTGAACTCACCGGATCAGAAACCATAGCAAACTTCTCAAAAAACCATGCATAATTCTCATGAATCTCACCACGTCCAATCCCCCGCTCAGCTTCCCACTCCGAAAGCGGCACAGTTTCTCTCGATGAAACACCCACATCCTTCAGGATAGTCACACCACCCTCCCTCAACCTCGCCACAGCAGCAGAAACGTCCGGAACCGTAAAGCCCAGATGGGCGAATCCAAGGTGGGGAGGTGTATTCCCAGTCGATACACCCACATCATCACCATCAGCACCAGAACTCTGGTTCTGGTTCTCACTCCTGTGCACATGATACAGTTCCAATAACCCAGATGTGGTAGTCATGTTGGGAATCTCGGATGTTTTGGTGGCCCAGGAGTCCAATTCTTCGGCGGTGTCGATGTCAGGTGGTGGGTGGCCTAGGTAGTAGATTGTGAAGGGGCCCGCGTTCATGGTGAAGATTATGCGCATTCCTAAGAGGTTGATGTAGAAGTTAAGGGATGTTGTTGGGTTTGTTATGCGGATTGCCAGGTGGTTTAGTTTATAGGACTTTGTTGTTGTGCTTGGAGATGGGTTTATGTTGGGGGATGGGTTGAAGTGGCCGACTTCTTGGGGTGGGACCTGTGGGAGGGTGTTTGATGGCATCTTTGCTTGGATTTCTGATTGATTGGTGAATTGGAAACTGTTGTGTGTAGGTGAGTTTGTTGATGTTGGGGGATTGGAGTGAGGGGTTGATAGGTGGGACTATGGGGATTGAGGGTTGGAGATGGATCCCAAGGCTGATATACAACTACAGAAGATTTATTACACATGAAAATATACAGAGGATATAAGGTACTTGATTGAGCTAGCACAGATATTCGACCCTAAATCCCATCCTTGGTCACTTGCAAATATCGGTATGGAGAAAGCAATAACAGTCGTTGGCAGGGGTTTAAACACCTATGGGGAGGGTATCTGTGCCGACGTTTTGTCTTTTCCAGCAGATGTAAGATTCGAGACATCTTGTAGCTGCCTCTGTGGAGTCAGATATTGCTTTGCATGGTAAACCTTTTGCGAATCCAGTGTCTTGGTGTCGGCCCATTCAGACCTCACCCAAGGCTGCACATGCCAGTCGATCCAGTCCCTGAATTCTCATATCAGTCCGCCATCAACCCATCTTGAAACGGGTGAGATGTCTTTTGGTACATTAGGGGAGTAGGTATCGCCGAAGTCCAGGAAAACAAGCTGGGTTGGGTCTTCATCATCGGTCATCATGACGTTGCGGGGAGCCAGATTGGTGAGTCCAACGCTTCGTGCGTAGAAGCGAGTTTCAATCTTGATGATTTGCTTTATGATTTTCTGCCGAGTTTTTGTTGAATAGAGGTCTGGGTAGTCTTGTTGCATTGAAGTACCGGGTACAAGCTCGATGAGGATAAGACGAACATCGCGGCTTGAGTCTTTCTGTTCCGGGACAGGGATTGACCTTGAAAATGATCCGTAGAGCTTGGGGATATGTGTGCCTTGGAACTCGTGTAGTATCTGATATGTTGCAGCTTCAGTGGGTGTAGTGCTTGTCCATGAGGAGAATGGGATTGACTACATCGTCTTCCGTGTCGACGAAGAGAGGATCAAACACTTTGGCGACCAGTGTTTCACCGGGGTTGAAGAGTCCAGGGGGAGCTTCTGGTATGGCTTTGCAAACTTGAACGATAATGAGCGGGTTGGGCTTATCCGTAACTTGCAGCAGCTCCATAATCTCCAGCTCAACTTCGAAGGAACCATCATGGCCTGCGAGCGGAGGGGTTTCTAGGCACATTTGGAGCAAGCCAAGACAGATTTGCTTTTCCTTCTCGGGTGGTCCCATTCAAGCAACATTGGAAGGTAACTGGCGTGGGCGGTGGAGGGATATGAGAGCGAGCAGTGAACTTCTGGCCGAGTGCGTATGTGGCGTAGCTCATTATGATGGCGAATATAGCTGACGACGGAGTGTGCGTGGACGGGAGATTGAGGATGAATCAATTACAAGGAGGAAAGAATTATATTGAGGATGATCCTATTGTCGGAAGACAAGGATGTAGTGATTGTTAGAAGGAGACCCTCGGGGAAGGAATAGGAAGGAGACAGCCTTGAGTGAGGATGAAGTGAACAAGGAAACCTTGTAAGCATTCAATTGAGTGATTGTGAGAAGCATTGTAGTAAGCCTTAAATGAAGGAAAATGCGATTGTTAAGAGTATTATTATAAGGATTATAGTGAACCTTCAATTTAGCACGAAGTGATTGTAAGAAGGACTATAGTAGGCCTTCAATTGAGAGTGAAGTGATTGAAGGAAACATTGTAGTAAGCCTTATATTGGAGGCTAGCTCAATGTAGAGACAATTGTGCTTAGACTCAAATTTAGCAATAAGTAGATAAGAAATAGGTGAAAAAGAAACAGAGGGTCGAGAAGAGATTCAGAAAGAGATTCAAGAGCCGTCCCGCAGAGCCAAAAGAAGAGGAATAGAAGAAAACAACCAAGAGCAGCAGAACTGACTTCAGAAAGGGCCAAGAGGGTTGAAAAGATTAATATATTATACTCTATGTCTACTGATAAACAATCATATCCATACCGCCACTATACGGCAAAGTAACTCGACGGAACCCACTACCCTCAGCATCCACATATCCAAACAGCTCCTGATATCGATCAGCCGCCATAACGGTATTATCAGCAACAATCACCGATCCAGGACGAAAATGCGGCTGGCACAGCTTCAGCGCGGGCAGGGCGAGAGGTGTCCAGACTATAAGATATAATGTTAGTACCAATATCCGCCCACCAAGGTTAATATATAGCATGCAACCCAATATAAAGATGGCAGAGAACAAGAGAAGGAAAAACATACTATCAAGCAACAAGAAATCCACAACCCCAAGCTCAGAAATAAGAGTCTCCCTCAAATCCCCAACCCGAAGCTCAATGACCTCCTCAACCTCATGACCAGCAGCAGCCCAATGAGCCCGCGCAGAGGTAGCCTTAGACTCCTCCTTCTCGGTAGCAATAACCCTAGGCTTGCCCTTCTTCTGACTGCCAACACGCTTGGCATTCTCAGCAACAGCAAGCGCGAGGTAGATAGTGCTGACGCCGAAACTGGTACCGGCTTCAACAACGTTGGTGGCGTTGATGCTGCGCAGGATGTGGTAGACGAGTTCGCACTTGTCCTGGTCCAGCGCGATGAACTTGTCGCGCATGATGGTGTCGAATTCGGTTGTGCATTGTGCTGGGAGGGCTGGCCAGCTTAGGGTTGATTCTTGGGTTAGGGATTTATTGTGCAGGTTTTTGAGGAGAGCGTGGATGTGAGGGGTTGTATTCAGGGCGGTGGGTGCCATTTTGAATGATTGATAAGATCGTCAAAGTAGTTTAGGTCGATGAAGATAAGTAAGCTTGGAAGTAAGTATTTGGAAATGTTGGAGTTAGGGCTATTATATAGTGTCTCGTTTCCGCGGAGATCTCGGAAATCAATGTGCTCCCTACATCCGAGGCGCAAGCTATGGGGTCTGAGTCACCTGCAGCTCTACGCCCTGTAGGTGGGGAAGTATGATGTTGCCAGGCTCGAGAGAAGTCGGTACGGGGAAACGCCGAGTGGCCCCACAGGGTTGACTGTGATTGAGAGATCAGCGAAGCCCTAGGTGGACCAGCAAGTCTCCGGAGGAGAAGACTGTCTACGGCAGCCCTAATTTCATGTGTCTTACTCCGGGTGAAGTCAGAAGCGCTACAGATCTTGTTTAATATGCATGCAGTTCCACTAATAAATCGTGGCTTACATGCATTGTTTTTGCCCTCTTTTGACTTCTCGCTGGACCTCTTGTTAGCCCAATTTCCAGTCCTTTGATTATAGGTTGTAGATTGTGTATGTACTCCATCTACTGCTCCAGCAAATCCGCATAACTATTCAAAGATCTCCCAATCAAAGCAACCATCTCCCAAATATAATCTGCCGTAAATAGCCGTGCCCACAACCGGGTAACAGCCGCACTGAGCCGGGTATTTGTAGCAAGCAACCATTCCCGAGATACGCCATGCTGCACCTCCATCACCATCTCCAGCACGAAATCCCTCAGTCTGGTTTCTTGCTCTGTCAATGCTGGTTCTGGATGCGGAACTGTGACCGCTTCAAGCCACTTGGCCAGGAGGACAGCACATTCAAGGGAGCATAGTGCGTGTTGATTTGACCACAATGCGACCTGTGAGTGGGCCACGAAGCCGATGCCTAGCTTGACGGGTGTGCTGAGGGCATGGGCGCAGTGTAGTGCCGCACGTGTGAGACGGTCGCCACGGCGGACGGAGAGGTTTTCGCGGAGACTGGTTGCGATCTGTACAGGGTCCCAAGTCTGCAGTTGGCGAGTTGAGCCGCAGTCGGCGTTGAGGCGGATGTATGCTAGTCGGAGGAGCGCTGCTGAGGTGAAGGACAGAGGGCCGTGTGGGCTGAGTGGGTCAATTGAAGATTCTTGATTGCGTTCCCAGCATTGGCACCAGCGTTCCAAAGCTTGCTCAACAGAAACAAGTTCGGGGGTTGACGAGATGCAAGAAGGATTGAAGCGATTTCGTCGCGAGACGGGGAGACGGCCGGCTTTTGTCATGAGCCAGATGTCTTGCAGGATGGCGTGGATGAGCACGTAGCCCCCCAGCGAAGAAAATCGCTCCACGTCGCTGTTTTGTTCAATGCCAAAGAGGGCGGAGAGGGCATTCTGGAACTTCGGTTCGCCGGGACTCTTCATGCGCTCTTGGTGCCAGAGGTCTGCGTGAGGAGCTTGCCATTCTTGTTCAGTACAGGGCAGCTCGATTGTGACTTCTTCGGTAAGAAGCACGGGCGGAACATCAAAGACGATAGTGTGGATGTTAAAGAAACAAAACACAATTAGTCTCGTTCGTTTCACAGATTCCCGTCGGATCCAGCTGTGCCATGTTCCATCATGCTCAGGGAGCCGGTTAAGTCCTCCATTTCGAAGGAGCATCTCCATTAGACTGCGAATCGATAATGCCTCATGGTAAGGAGGGTTGTTAATGAACCATGCCGATACTGAGGTTAAATACAACAGCGCCTGTAATGTTTCCAGTGTATCGATGTCATCGGCCACATTGACCGGAGGCAATTTGCCACATTGGAAGACCCGTCGGACATGTTCCAATGTCACTGGTTTCGCGATCTGGTAGAGACGCATGCTAGTTTCTGGCTCGCGACAATACCGCGCACCCAATGCCGCCATTGAGAGAAATAGCGGCAAGGTCATCGACTCCACATCGAGGGTTGGGATATGCACGATTGGATAGTGATCGTGAAATCCGGTGAGATACCCAGTCAAGCACCGAGACAATGCATGTCGGGATGGAAGAGATGGATCCGGGACAACATTAGCAAAATTAGATAACAGACTCAAGAACTTCTCCCGACATTGCGCTGTAACCGGTACGAAACCGGTCGGCTGACGGGCCTTGGGGGTAGTTTGATACCCTTCCGGCTGAAGAGAAGGCAATTGAGCCCCATGACGAGGCAATACTGAGCTAGAAGGAGTGGACGGAGTAGTCGCCGTCAAGGGCGCTCTATCTGAAGACTGATCATAATCCGGAACAGGAGAAAATTGCAGCGGGGGAAACAAGGGGAGAGGTTGGTAAGCTGGCGAGAACGGATGACTGGGCAGGGGTACACTATCCAAAAAGGACGTAAAGTCATTTCCTTCATAGTGCCCAGGCGCAAAGCCACCAAGATAACCAAAGTCCGGACCTGTAATTGGGGTAGGGCCTGCAGTTGGAGGGTCGCTGGCCAACTGTGCACCCATGAGGGGGGTGCGGTGTACAGCTGGTGACAGGCCAGAGAACTGATCATTCGATCCTATTGAACGGCGCGATTGCGCATGGTCGGTGACAACAGACGCCAAGGTATCCAACCCGTCTAGGATAGGATGCGCGGGGGAAGGCGTTGCTTGACCCCGACTTGGAGTGCCCTCCGCGTGGGAAAGACGCTCATGGCGGGCCAACAAGTCTCTCAAAACATTGTCAATAAGTGTACCTACAGGATTGTGGATGTATCATACTTGCGTGTAAAGGCCTTGGGGCACTGGACACAGGTAAATGGCTTCTCTTTGGTGTCTGTGGGGTATCAGATGCCGGTCTCCCATTCGAGCACAGAGACTTACGTGAGCGATCATGACGTTGGAGATGCTCGAGACGAGCAAATGCCCGTGGACATCGCTGACATTGGTAGGGTTTGCTCCTCAACATTGGAGAATGTGGCCCGGAGTATCTTGGACAATATGTGTTCGGGGAATAGATGTTGTACTCCGGAATATCCTTGCCGCTATGCTGTACATTTTGCCATACTTAGGCCTCTACACAGTCAGCGTTATTACTTGCCTTGCCTGGAATATCGAAGGCCTATTGGTAAATTCTAATCTAGAAAGCTCCTTGCATATAATTATTAATCGCTTTGCTGCCCGAGGTCTTCTGCAATCGGCAGATAGATCGGGATTCTCCAATTCTCCAATTCGGGGCGGGATGACTCAGCATTTGCCTCCGGAAGTATAGCCGGTCTTCAAGACGTCGATCGCTCAGAAGGCCGAAGGGGATTCTATGTTGCAGGACATTTCTATTTGTGCAGAGATCTATGTGAATCAGATCTAATCCCATTGTAGTCCTTGCACAATTGGATATGGCGAGCAACAAACAAAATTGGGACCGCACATGTTTGATATCAGATTGGGGATCCCAGACCATTTCGGTTTTTAACCCCCAATTTCCCCGATTTCTTTTCAAGGCCCACGTCCTCCAGGTTTAGTCTCCTATAAAATGGTCAGCGTCCCCCAATCCCACATGTCAACCCAAATAGACAGCCTCAAATTCGCTCCGATGGTCTCAGAGACATCTGGTTCCCTGAAAGAACCGACAGCCATGGAGAAACGCAAGGGAACCCCCGAGTCCCTCACTGACTCGCAAGATATCGAATTCCGTTATCTAGAACTCGAAACGCCTTTGCCTACGCCATTTATCACTTTGCCTCCTGGTCCAAATCAGTCGCCGGCACCTGACGCGCCTAGTCTGGAGAAATACATTTCGCCCTTCTTATGGCCGAGATGGCGCAAGTCTATGATGACCTACATTGCTTGTGCGGTTACTGCGCTCGCTGGTTATGCTGCTGGTGAGGTTAGTCCTGCTTCGGAGGAATTGACTGTGGAGTGGGGGATTAGTACTGTGGTGTATAACCTCAGTATCACTATCTTCTGTGTTGGATTTGCACTTGCGCCTATGCTGCTTGCCCCATTTAGTGAGCTAAATGGTCGGCGGCCGATTTTCATTGCAAGTGGTATTGTCTTTGTTGGTATGTCTTGAAACACGATTCAACTTGATATTTCTGTATACTGACAAAGATATGATAGCCTCTCTATGTGGCTGCGGAGGAACAAACTCTTTTGCTGGATTGTGCATTGCTCGTTTCTTCCAAGGTGTGGGTGGCTGTAAGTATACACTTGACCATGCTCAACCCTCAAATACTAAGATACTACAGCGACCTTCTCAACAATGGTCGGCGGCGTCATCAGCGACATCTACCACGCCCACGATCGCAACACAGCAATGGCTCTCTTCTCAGCATCAGCCCTTTTTGGAACTGGACTCGCGCCACTACTCTCCAGTGTGATTGTCAGCCACACCACCTGGCGCTGGGTCTACTTCTCGCACGCAATTGTAGCAGCAGCCTTCGTCGTGATCATCTACTTCTTCTTCAAAGAAACCCGCGGCAGCGTCCTTCTAAGCCGAAAGGCAAAGACACTGAACAAGTACTACGAAAAACTCGAAGAAGCAGGCCACTACGGCGTCATCCTCTCAGATTATGAATCCTCCGACGAGAAATGCATCCGCCGAATCCGATGGAAGGTCAAGAGCGACGAGCAACGCGCTTCGATCCTAAGCATGGTCCAGATCTCACTCTATCGACCATTCCGTATGTCAATCTCAATCTTCACCCTCATTAAAACCGACTAACGAAATACCAGATATGCTCGTAACAGAACCAGTCGTCTTCTTCTTCTCTCTCTGGGTTTCCTTCAGCTGGGCAGTCCTGTACCTCCAATTCAGCTCAGTTCCTCTAATTTTCCGCACGAACCACAACTTCACAACCGAGCAAACAGGCGCAGTTTTCACATCGATGTGCGTCGGCGTAATCATCATCACAGTTATCAGTATCTACCAAGAGCGCGTGGCAAAGTCATTCGGTCTCCACTCCACCGCGGCAGAAGGTCGACTGTACTTCGTCTGCGTCGAGTCTATTTTACTGCCTATTGGACTTTTCTGGTTTGGGTGGACTTCTTTCCCGTCTGTGCCGTGGATTGTGCCTGCTATGGCTGTTGGATGTGCTACTATGGGCATTTTCTCGATTTATTTGGCTACTTTTAATTATCTTGCTGATACCTATCATCGGTATGCCAGTTCTGCGATTGCGGCGCAGTCTTGTTGTAAGTTTGTGTTTTGGAATGGAGTTGGTTGTTTGCTTGACTGATTGACTGACTCTTGTTGCAGGCCGGAACTTGCTTGGTGGTGTTTTCCCTTTGGTTACCAATGCCATGTTTAACAATCTTGGATATCCTGAGGCATCTAGTCTGCTGGGAGCACTTGTAAGTCGTCCCTTAAGTGATATTTGGAGGGCATTCCACTGACTTAGTTGGATAGGGTGCTGTTCTCACTCTAGTACCATGGGTGCTGGCCTTCTATGGACCTCAAATTCGAGCCAAGAGTAAGCTCGCAAGCGTATGTCTACTCCCCTCCACTTATGTCTACTCGAAACTAACACGATGAAAGGAACTCGCTCATTGAATTATCAACGCATGGAGTGTCGATACCACAGCACAATAGTATAGATTTACATTAATATATAGAGTACCCTATGGGGTACACCACATAAAAGCATATAGATCCAATTGAATGCATATTATGATTGACACCAGGCCAAAAAACTGCCTAGTCTAAATGTCCAACCCAGCCAATCCGGCAAACCAGTCATATCCAGAAGACGGCCACTCGTGATTCCAGCATGACAGCGTGACAGCATGACAATGCACTATGCAAAAAGCCCAAAAACGAATGCAACCTGGTTCCAAGTGACCATTCCATGCAACCGCCAAACAAAGAAGCCATTTAACAATTAATGCAAATCAATTACCTCTGACGTCTTTGATGTCCTCGGAAAGGATGTGCGCCACTAATAGCTGGACGGTAAGATGCGTACCGCCCCTCATCTTCGCTGTCACTGTCCATTTGATCCAAGAGACGATCGATGTCATCGCCGGCATGGGATTCCAGTGCCTGTTTCGTTTCGTGTCTTTCGTATCCGCGTCCGCTGTGAGCGCTGGAGCTTTGCGAGTCTTGGCTTCCGTTGTAATTTGTGCCGTTTGTGTTGATTGATCCGTTTAGACTGCTTTGTGTGCTTTCCGGCTGTAGGGGCCGGGGACTGAAACGGTATCCTGAGTTCTCGGGACTGGACATGAACATGAGGGTTTCGATGGCGTCTTGTTCCATTGAAGTGTTTTCGGAATTTGTGCGAGGTCGGTAGAACCCGTTCGGGGTGGAGGTCGGTGCGCGTGTGGTTGAAGAGAGAGAGGGAGTTCCAGGGCCTAGGACTGGAAGGTTTAGTCCGTTCTCCTGGTGTGAGTGATGCCGTCGGTGACGGCTGACGGGGCTATGATTAGGTTTTGAGATTGCATTAGGATCTGGTCGACGGCGTCGGGTGTCGCCATTAGAGGAGATGATATCGACAGGGGGTGCTAGTAGTTTAGGAATGGATAGGAGGTGAGGAGATGAGAATGCTGATCGTGAGCGGCTATGACTCGGGAAACGACTGGAGTTTCCATTGGAAGAGTTGGAGCTTTGATGTGAAAGAGATGGCGGGTGCATCTCAGGTGCTGATGCTATGTCACTTGGTGCATTGCTCAATGGCGATGCGCTGTGATATGTGCGGAGTGTGGGGTGAGGCCCAGCTTCAAGTGATAGTCGGGCTTTCTCTTTCTCTTTCTCCACCTTTGCAGCCGCGTATGACAGACGCGTACGGATGTGAACCGATAGCTGGGTAATATGTATGAGCTTTAAGTATTTGGAGGGGATTGAGAGAATCAAGTACCTGCGCAATCCTACTTCCATAAGCCGACGAACCAGTACTTTTTGAACGTCGCCGCGCAGCTCCATTCGCTTCACTGTAGGTCACCGGGGTTTCTAATGAAACGGGCTTTATATCCCCAGTTGCTGTTCTTTTCTGCCCAGGAGCCAGCTCATCAAAGTTCGACTTTGTACGCGAATGCATCGGCGAAACTGAAGGTGACCCATTGCCCGCCTGTATTGTTGGCAATGAGGGCTGCCACTTTTCTGTAGAATTCCCACTCACTGGCTGGGCCGGCGCCATTGCACATTGTGAAGATGTTTGATCGATTTGTGGTACTGGTCCATGTTCATTCGAGGTATAGGAGTTGCCGAATTCTGGAAACCGGCTGGTATCATTGGAGGAAGGAAAGCTGGACAGAGAATCTGTGAAGGTACTAGCGGAGTAAAGGTCAGGTCTTCGACCATCCGAAGTATCACTACCGTGCTCAGATTCGATATAGGCTGGGGTCGAGTTACCGTCGCCGGGAGCAACAGCAACAACGCTCAAGCCATCTACACGTAGTGACAACGGCGCTCTCTGAGTCTCGACAGGCGCTGGTGTCGTGTGATTAACGGGGGTGTTCGCACTGTTCTCCACATGCACCTCGCGACTTGGAGCATCGCGACCGTCCATTCTCAAGAGTGGGAGGGATTGAATGGTGAATATGGGATAATGCACGCGACCTAGCTTAGTCGCGAGTTTACGCAGCCGCTCTCAACGCCTGTCTAGTCACCGCATCGGTACTGAGTATGTCGAGAGACTAGGATACACTGAGGCACAGTCGGGATCTCAACACGCGCGGGTGGTGACGCTGGAACTAGGAGCATCTGCCCGATCGAGTGGCGATCAACTAGCACGCGCAAGGTTGCAGCACGAGGCAGGTCTCCACTCCGGGTGAAGAGCCAGGGAGGGATTGGAGGTGACAATGGCTTTGAGAGAGAAATTAAAGAAGCGCCACAGTCTGCTAGCGAACTGGGTTGAGGGACGGCGGCTTTCCATCTGCGGCGACGCGTGCGAGGCGCGGTCACGTGGTGGCTTGTCGATGCGACTAGACTCATTTCAGTATTTTGGTGACGATAGTATACAGGAAAACAGGACTAAAAAGTATATTGGAGAATTAGTAGTCATTTGCGATTGGTATAGGTGTGAAGGGTTTAGGCTATGGATATACTCGCGCTTGTCTATGCTTTTAGTGTATCCACATTCACTGCATCTACAAATACACTGCAACTACAACTACAAGGTCTATAAGAGAGTTTGAACAGAAACGACATAAAAGAGCCATGAAAATGGATTCTGAAGCAATGACTCAACTCCAATGACGACAGAAGTCATGTAAGATGCACTTAAACTCCAAAAAATCACAAACAAATGCACCAAATAAGAGTCACCGAAAGGGAAACACAACATAAAAAATATAGAAAAAGAAAGACAAAGAAAAGAGAAGTATAACGCCACCGTCTATACAGACTAAGCCCTCACCGCACCATCCACCAAGTATCCCTAAATACACCCCATGACGGCAGCAGTCTTCTTGAGGTACTCAGGAATAAGATCCGCAGTAATGCGATCCACCTCCAAAACCTCCACGATGTGGTGATTAGCCACATAAGCCGACTGTGGCTTAGCTTAAAACAGAGACGGAGTAAGCAAGGAGAATCTCCCAGGAACATGACGACAGCTATGGATATGACTCTTCCCAATGACCTTGGAGCCCCTCAGAGACGTCCACGGCATCTTGTCTCCCAGAAACTCCAGATTCTCCTTACATTTGTGTAATTTGGGCGTGAGCTTTTTCTTGTATTTTGCAAATCTATGGATTGGTAAGTTTCTTGTCCTTTTGCGAGAAAGCAGATGATGGAATGGGGATACTTACACCACTGCTAGAAAGACAATAACAAGAGCAACCAGCGCCCAGCCGAAAAGATACCGGCCGAGGAGTTCTTCTCTTTTGGGGTTGTCGTAGTTGTCCGGACGAGAGCGGGCGGAAAGAGACATGTTCATGTTCATGAGGACGATGTTGGTGGGAGCCATGTTGATGAGATAGTTGATTGACTGACTGATCGATTGATTGATTGATTGATTGATTGATTGATTGATTGATATTTATATATGTGTGCCAGTGAAGAAAATTTATGAGAACGAGCAAAGTGTTGATTAAAAATGATAAAAGTGATGAAGCTTGATGAGAAACAAGATGTAAGTTGGCGGCAGATGCGTAGGAAGGAGTGAAGGGAAAGCAGGGCTATGGTAGCGAGCTGGGATAATATAGACCAGCATGAGTCAAAAGAAAGTCTGGTATTAGGAAAGATGAAGCAAACATGATGTTGTATAGATGTTCGATGTTGTCCGATTTAGGGCTAGTCGGTTTTTATTTCCATGGGAGAAGCATCTTGGGCTTGATCATAGGTGCTAACCTTGTTACTGACCCCGTGGGGAAACGGGGTACAGCTCGGTTGTAGGTTTACTCTTTACTCCCACTTTGGAGTCCACTGTGAGAGCCGTGTTTACTATGTGACTCAGATATTTTTCGGGAAACGAGGGGCAGAGCAGGACCGGGGAAGAAGGAAGAAGATAGAGGCAGATACAGTAGAAAGGACTTGTAAATAGTGTAATATAAATCATCAAATATATGTAGATACATAAGTAATTTTGGGTCCAAACGCCATGTATGCAAAGAAAGACCCATTTAGAACAATGATATTCAAAGCGAACAAATCACTTGCGCTTCTTGAAACGTCCACTACCACCCTCTTCATCGGGCTTACGCTTCTTGCCCTCCTTACGCCAGTAATCATTGCGCTCTCTCTTCTCACGCTCGGCCTTCTTCTCCAGGCCATCAGCCACCTTAGCACGGTAGACCTTGCGGCGCTCTTCCTGCTTGGCAGAACGCTTGGCTTGCTTCTCGTTACGCATGGTGGTGAGCTTTTGCATGAGATCGCGGGCCTTCTTCTCTTCGCCTCCGAGGACGACGGCACGCTTCTGCATGTATGTCTGCTCCTTGCGGGGCTTCATCTTGGTGATCTGAGATTTGAAGGGGAGTTCGGCGGCCAGCTGCTTGGGAACGCGGAGAGGGTTGAAGTGACGGGCTTGGCGCTCGACGGGGCGGTAGGTAGAATCCTTGAGTTGGGGTGTGGGGATACCCTGGGCATGACGGACTTCACCGGTCAAACGCATACCCTGCCAGGCGTTGTCGCCCTTCTGGCCCTCAACCTGGTCGAGCAGGTTGGTCACGGGGTTGTAGAAGCGGTGAGGCTTGATGGGGTACCAGGCACGCAAGAAAGCAATATCACTCATCAAAATCTTGTCCTCGAAAGTAGCACGGAAGCAACCATCAGGCTTGGCAAGGGCACGCTTGATCTGACCACGAATACCAGAGACTGTCTTGATGGATGCACCTTCGAACTTGGCAATTTCAAGAGAGGAGTTGAACATGTCCTTGATGAAGGCGGTGTTCTTGAAAATCTTGTACGGGTGACCAGTGAGCTTGAGCTTTTTGACAATTTCAGTGTGCTCATCAACACTCTCAACAACACCGGTCGCAGCAATACGGAAACCGGGGTTCTTGTTGGAGAACGAGTTCACACAGCAGAAACCAGTGTTGGGCGCAACAAGGGGACCATAGAACGTAGCGAAACAATGCATATGCTCAGGAGTATACTTGAGCATACGGTTTCTTGTCCGACTGTCGGTGGTACAGTAGATAGGCATGGTCTGGAATCGTCGCCAACCAAGCGAGAAAATCAACGGGTCGTTGCTCTTGAGAATCTTCTTGTGCCAACGGTGTCTCTTGATACGAATACGCACGTAGCCGAAGCGATCCTCAGTGGGAGAAAGACCACCAACGATGACAGGGAAGCGAGGATTGAACTTAGAGACAAACTCGTAGGGGACGTTCTCAAGGACGATGCGGGCGTATGTACCAGCTTTGTAACCTTCAGCACGAGCACGCGAGGCAGGATCAAGGTTCTCGAATTCAGCGCGGTTGATGTCGGTCTGCTTTTGCATCTTTGCCTTCTGCAGGTCATACCAGTCGTCTTCGCCGAACTCGCCTTCCAAGCCATCACGCGTGCCGTCCTTGGCGTTTCCAAATCCTTCCCTATCTTCCTCTTCGAAGCGAAGCTTGAGCTCTTCCTTCTTCTTGGCATTTCGCTCACGCTCAGCCTCGAGATCCTCTGGCTTCTTGGGCTCATCATCACCCTCCTCTTCATCGTCGTCTTCATCTTCCTCTTCGTCATCCTTGATGCCATTGAAGACCTCACCGGATTCCAAGTCCTCGTAGTCGCCATCACCCTCATCCTCATCATCCTCGTCGAGATCATCGTCCATGTCTTCATCATCATCTGAGCCACCACCACCAAGCTTGCCAGTGACGAAGCGAGATCTGATAGATTCAAGCAACTCTTCGTCACGCCACTTGCGCTCCAGCTCATCGTAGTCGTACTCGGGGACGGCACGGAAGTCAGCTTGGTCCTTCTTCTCATTGTGTGTCTTCTTGAAAAATTCATCGCCCTCGTCGTCGGCGGTTCCATCTTCCTCTTCCTCGTCGTCAGAGTCCTCGCCGCGCCATGTCTTTACCACCTCGAGAGGGGAAATGGAAGTGTCGTACATCATTCGTGACAAGTCGGTGACTCGGAATGGAGGGCGTTTTCCGTGGAGAGCCTTGGCGTTGGCAAGCATGTTGTCCTTCCAGCGCACATTGCCTTCTTCATCCTCTTCGTCGTCTTCGTCTTCGTTTTCGTCCTCGTCCTCCTCATCTTCATCTTCATCCCCGCTCTCAAGTTCCTGGTCTTCGACGGAAGAGATGGAGCCAAGATCGGAGTCACTATCAGCGAAAGCCAAATCTTCGTCCTCGCCATCCTTTCCTGCCTTTCCATTTTGCTTGGCCTTGAAACGAGCCTCAAAGTCATCCGGTGCGGACATGTCGAGTTCGCCCTCGTCATCGTCTTCGCTTTCGTCCCCGTCGAACTCTGGGCTTTCCTCCTCGCTGTCGGAAGCATCGTCTCCGTCGAGTTCTTGATCGTTGTTTTCGATTTCGGCAATACGAGCGCGGCGTTGGCCCTTGCGGCCAGTCTCGTCATCATCCGCTTGAGCGATAGCCTCGCCACCACGGAATAGACGAACACCCTGATCACCCTCCCCAAGCATCTTGCGCTCACCCTGGAGATTAACGACAAGCTGCTCACCAAGACCACGGCGTTCCTCATCGTCCGAGTCTTCATCCGAATCGCGATCGAAAGTGTTGGTCTTGACATCGATGTACACAGCATCCTTGTCGACCAAGACACCACCAACGTCGGACATCGGAGCGAAAAGCAGCTTCGACTTCTCGCCAAGCTTGCGGGCTTTTGATTTTCCTGTCACCTTGGCGATCTGCTGGTCCATGAAGGGAGTGGGACATGGATCAGGCAAGCCCTCGATACCAGAGACAGTCAAATCGCCGACACCAGGAACATGGACTCGGGCACCGTGGGCTGGGAAGTTTGTACCACGGAGGTAACCGTATAGGGCAACTGTGCGGTCACACTTGGGGTTCTCCTCAATCTGGGTAGGTGGAGTGATATCCAAGAAGCGATCGGCGAGGGAGTATGGGTGGGAGTTGCGCCAGACGAGCGGACGAGGGTTCTTCATAACCGACAGGAATCGGGACAAGTTGTGCACCTCACGATCGGGATAACGGCCGTTGATAACACCAGACAAGTAGAACAGCTTGGCGCCGGAGTAGAGCTCGCTCCAGAAACGGTGCTTGAGGCGCTTCTTGGCGTCCTTTAAAGTGCTCTGCTTCTTGAATTGATCAAGGTGAGTGAGGATACCGAAGACGTTACCGGGCATACCGGCCGTCGACAAAGCGTTCAAGAACTCCATAGTCTCCATCTCGAATCCAAAGTTTCCATCGATCATGAGCAACACAATATCCGCAATCTTCGAGACATCGATGGCAGCCGCAAGAGAGTCGGACGGGCATTCGAGGAAGGTAAGACGCTTGCGCTTGGTTGTGACAACGGTCAGCGGACCTTGCGGCGAGCTCAGGGTTTGCTTGGTGTAGCGGCGGATCAGAGATTTGAGCAGAGTGGTCTTGCCAACTCCCGGGGGTCCAACGATTGCGACAACGGTAGGAGGAGCCTCCTCGGGCATGCGATCCACGAGGGGGACATGAAGCCTCTTTTCCTTGACCTAGAAGAAAAGTCCGGTTAGCTTCATTGACGGAGAAAAATTTCATGTACGTACATCGTGCGATCTTGCAGCCTGCTTGTTGAGCTTGCCGGGCCTGGATGTGACAAAGGCCTTGGGATTGGCGCCTATACAAGAGAAAATCAATTAGCATAGGCTCGAGTTGAAAGTTCGCAGCTTTCAGATCGGATCGCTCTCGTACCTTCATACTTCTTCTTCTCCTTCGCAGGCCGATGCGACCTGTTCGACTGTTGCTCCATACTGGCAGTAGTGAGGTGAAATACCTCACAGATCCTCTGATATCAGAGAAAATTGAAGGCAAGAGCAGTCGACGTAAAGTTAGCCAGTGAACCGCTTGGCCCAAAATTATTTTGTCGGAGCGGAAATACTTGGATCCCGGCGCGGTGAAAAGTGTCCCAATGCGGTTTAGCTTGCAATATTTGCCTGAGGCAAAAAGCTATCCCAGGAGAGACTAGTGTTTCCCCGGGCCGGTGATAAGGCGAGATAAGAGATAAGCACATCTCCAATTTCTCCTCATCGGGCCGACGAACGCCTTTTCTCCACAAGCGTTGGCTTTAGCTATTCTCCTGACTAAACGGCACTCCAACCGGAGCATCCCTATCTGTGGCTGTAGTTTCCTGTCCTGGCTAGTCCTCTTTGGTGGGGATTTAGCACATCGCAACCCCCGCTTCTGTAAATATATGCATAGCATTTCGCCTCATATTGCGCGACTCGTGTCAAAATTCTCGTACAACAACCTGCCTCTACACCCCTGTAGTGCATAATGTCTCACAGACCACCCCCAGCTTACACAGCACCACCCGATTCGGGCGTGCATGCGACGTCGCAGCTCTACCGCTCGATCTCCGAAACCGCTTCTACAGCTTCTGCGCGTATTCTCGAGGAGTCATTCACAATCAGACCCTGCTCTGGTCAAGCGTGGGTCGTCCCCGCCGGCTCAGTCTGTCGCCTGACCACACCCAAGGGACCCCAGGTAGGCGACTTGAACATCTGGAACGCAAACAACCCCCGAGAGCGAATGTGGGCAGCGCGTACCCGCCAAATCCACGCCTCCCACGTCTCAGTGGGTGATCGGCTGTGGTCGAACCTGCCATATCTGCGGCCCCTCGTGACGATCACTGGTGACTCGCTGGGCGGCGGACAGCTGCATGATGTGCTTGGGCCAGATGGAAAGAGAAAGCCAGAGGTCGTGTTCGGGACTACGCAGTTTGGAGGACGCGTGCATGACTTGATGGGTACTCGCTGTGATCCCTACGTCAACTTGCTTATGGGTGGGGAGACCTTTGATTTCCACTGTCACTCGAACTTGACTCGTTCTGTGACTCCCTATGGGTTGACTGAGTTGGATGTTCATGATGTCTTGAATGTGTTTCAGGTGACTGGGTTGGATGAGGATGGGAAGTACTTTATGGAGACATCCCCTGCAAGGGCGGGCGAATACTTTGAGTTCTTTGCAGAGATGGATGTTCTCTGTGCGCTTTCTGCTTGTCCTGGTGGTATGTAACTGTTCCTACGATGTTTGCACTGCTAATTTGTCTCAGGTGATCTTTCCAACTGGGGGTGGGATGATAAGGAGGGTGATATGGGTGCCACTTGTCGCCCACTGGGTGTGGAGGTGTATCAATTGGCTGATGATAAGGTGCTTGAAGGTTGGAAGGCTCCCGAATGCCCCAAATACCAGGGTATGCATGGTATGAAAATGCCCACTCGTGATGAAGATGGATATATTGGAGTATGAAATATCGAAATAGAAATGCAAGTATGTTTTGCAGCGCACGTGACTGCCCTGCGTCATTGGGAGATGTCATTGCCGTTACATCAATGTACATACATCACTTGGCCCCCCTTGCAGGAGATCAATGCGAGTTCCTGCTTCAGCCACCGATGCCACAGCCATGTCAGACTGGCAGACAATTGGGTAAGACTGGGTGTAGGGTGTAGTGTGTAGGGTGGTGTAAGATGTAAGATGTCAGAAAAGAAGGAGCCTGTGTAGAGTAGTCCAGTTCCCCAAAAGGTCCCCCGCCCGTCTATAAGACTTCACCTTTCCCCTCCCCACTTCTCTATCTTTCACACTCCTCATACACATTTCACTAAATATGCCTGTCTTCAACGTGAGTATATTCGAAACTCCAGATAAGCTCTATACTGATCATGATACTTGTAGATCACCCTCAAGGCCGATGCTCCCCCCGAGGAGCTCCAAAAGTATGTCGCAATACCCCTCACTGACACTACTCTACTAACCTACTCTTTGAAGGGCCAAGGATACCGCCCAGGAGAAGGGCGGCGTCATCCAACACGAATACAGCCTGATCAAGGGATTCACGTGAGTAGTGCTGCTCTGTCATCTGCGACTCAACCGCACATTGTTTCCTGCCATGCTAACCGGAGCTACAGTGTCTCCTTCCCCGATGACCATGTTGATACCCTCGAGTCGAATGAGCATATCCATGTCGAGCAGGATGGCGCTGTCAACACCAACTAGTCCTCAACTTGAATGCGACAAGCTTCTCGGGTTCAAGAGCTTGTACTGCACCGGAGATGACCTGCCCTACGACCAATGGACTGAACGAAAATGCGAGAGCTTAATACCCAGGGTGCTTTTTATTCTTTTTTTTCCCTCTTCCTTCAGCGAGATGATATGATACCAATACACGACCTGCTCCGCGATGCCAGGTACTTATGATTAGCCAGCTTTTCAATGCGAGGTACAGGCACCCATGGATATGGAGCCGATTTCATGAATATGAGCTAGTAATTGTAATCACTGTAACAAATAATAAAACACAACGTGCAAGTTATCGCTCATATTGCAAGCTTCAAACACCACCAAATTATGCCGATCTCAACCAATGTCCACCGACGATACCCGCAGATCTACCGTCACCGCCTCACTTATCTCCCACTCTCCCCTCAACCACACATCACAATGGCAACACCAAAAGCCATGTTGTCTAGACCTCGTAGTCGGGCTTTACCAGTTGCGCGACTGCTCGTGCGCCAATCGTCGACATCACAAGGTCAGGATTGGGCCGGTCGTCCATTTGACGTCGCCAAAGACAACGTTGCGCAACTGGCTGCCAGTCCTCGCCGGGCTTTGACACTGGCAGACTTACTCAAGTAAGTTGCGTACATTCAAATCGAGAGATCTGAGTACTAATTCCATACCAATTCAGACACGGGCGTCCACCACTGTCTAAAGACGCACTTTTAGCCTCGGCCAACTTCACCCTCTCACTCCTGCCCGCCCGCCTGGCATCTCGGATCCAAGCACTGCGAAACCTCCCTTACATTGTCGTTTCAAACCCCCACGTCTCCAAAATCTATCATAATTACCTACACTCCCTGTCGACCCTTCTACCATACCAGCAACGCCGAATCACAACCCTGGAAGAGGAAAACCAGTTTGGAGATGTTCTTGCAGACCTCGTACAGACACACACAAACACAATCCCAGTCCTCGCACGTGGTTTCCTAGAGTGCAGGAAGTACGTCAGCTCAGCTGATGTCACGCGCTTTCTGGACACGCATTTGCGCGCTCGTATTGGCACGCGCTTGATCGCCGAGCAGCATCTGGCTCTTCATTATGCTTCTCAGCCTCTCAGCGATACGCCCTCTGGGACGGCAGATGGAGCAACGCAGCAAAACAAGATCCCGTCCAACTATATCGGGGTAATTGATACGGCGTTGCAGCCAGCAAGTATCATCCGAGCATGTGAAGACTTTGTCGGAGAGATCTGCGAGTTGAAATATGGTGTGCGGCCGTCCTTGAAGATTGGAGGCCAGCCCGAGGCTGCATTTGCTCATATCCCCGTGCATATAGAGTACATCATTACGGAATTATTGAAGAACGCTTTCCGGGCAACCATTGAGAATGGTAATGAGCGTGAACCCATCGAAGTGACGATCGCTGCTGCGCCAGATGTCCCTGGAAATGAGCGCCCAGTCCAAGGTGATACCGATATTGGCTTTGAGCTTGATGCAGAGAGTGAAAGAGGGAGCCCACTTGAGCCCGTTGGGAACTGGACCCCATCGTCTCAGAGCATCACGATTCGCATTCGTGATCGCGGTGGCGGTATCCCACCAGAAGTTCTGCCTCATATCTGGTCGTATAGCTTTACGACATTCTCGGATATGGATTTCCAATCCTCGGAGAATGGTATGGATGCCTTGAATACTATTTCTGCGAGCAGTGGGCACCTCAGCAGTATTGCGGGTCTTGGTTATGGATTACCTTTGAGCCGAGCTTACGCTGAATACTTCGGTGGCAGTATCGCCGTGCAGAGTCTTTGGGGATGGGGCACTGATGTCTATTTGACATTACAGGGAGTTGGCAGAATCGATTAAGAGATGATCATCGGTATAGTCGGTTTCGACGGTCCCCTATTCCTGGCTTCATGTCTGTCTGATCTACAACTTCGCCTTTCCCGTTGGAACAAACAGATCCACAAAAACTGAGACTGGCAGATCTGGCTTTCGAACTGCCCCCAATATGCGACCAATTTCTGCTGCTGAGAATATCTGACCCATGCTGTGGAAAAACTTTTTCTGTATCGCTGCCGGTGTTTGAGGATTCCGTGCATGTCCCACGGGGTATTCAATCAGAATTTCAGGCATGGTGGAGCCATCTGCAAGATGGACTGTCATTCCTGCGCCGATGCTCTTTTTATTCAGATCGAAGTAGTCCCGTGTGAGCTTGGAGTCAGGGTTAACCACGATTCTATCTCGCAAGGAATTCAACTCTTCACTGGTTGCCCAGGGGCCCTTGTCTAGGTAGTCTCCGGCCTCTGGTGGACCTTCTTTCAAAAAAGCCAAGGCGACAACGTACTGAATGCAATGGTCACGGTCGGCAGCATTGTGCAGCGTACCCTTCTTATTCACAATCAAATACGCAGCAGCGGTCGTTCTGAGATCAATCCGGTTGATTAGCCCAAGAGGATCAGACAGCCCCTTTTGTCGAAACAGCCGAGCGTGCAAGATGGCAGCCTCCACAGCCGAGATCGCGTGCCCCTCTACAGGCATAATCTTGAACAGCACGTTCTGCACCGTCCAAGACCCAAATGGCCGCGGGAACTTGAAACCCACCTCACCAAACGTCCGCTCCCAAAATCCCCATGGCTTCGCACTCAACGCCCCAGGTGACCCAGGCTGGCCCTGTCCAACAATCAAAGACAACTGCACAGCTCTCCTCGCCGCCTCACCGGCCGCCCATCCTTTCCTCGGGATAGTATTAGCACCAGATCGGTACACCCGATTCGGATGGCCATCCATCCAAACATGCGAAATAGTCGCCATCGCTTGTTCCTGACTTAATCCAAGCAACCAAGAGACAACAGCAGCGGATGCCAGTTTAACGAGTACAACATGGTCAATTCCATAGGCATTGAAAGCGTTCTGCATCTGATAACAGCCTTGTATCTCATAAGCCTTAACAAGTGCAATCAAAAGCGTCTGCATGGTCAATGGTGGACCTTTATGAACCCTCTGCCCAGAAGCAGATGACCGAGCCAGCCAATCCATAACTGGGAGTATAGCGCCGAGATTATCTGCAATTCATGATATTAGCCCTGCATCATAGCTACACATCCCAAATCCAACCACTTACTCCCCCACCCCTCCCATCTCAGTCCTCAACCAAAATATTAATGAAAGTAAATAACCATACCAGAAGGATGTCCCCATTCAACGCCTCCCACAGCGTCATTAAAATCCAGATATCGAATCAAAACGCCCAACCCGAAAGCCCCAGCAACAGGATCAACCACGAGCTTCGTCCCAGGTACGGGAAACCCATCCGGAACAACCGTATCAACAACTGGACTGATAAGACGAAGCGCTTCGGGACTTGTTGTCGCTGTTGAGATTGCACAGGCCATTGCGTCTAGGAGGGCTGTTCGTGCGGAAGTCCAAATCTTTTCCTCGGTTTCGTCGAGCGTGTGGTTGTAGACGTAGTCTACTAGTTCGGTTATGGATTTGTCGTAGGGAGTTGACATTTTGAAGATTGGATTGGTTTGCTATGGAGATAGAAGGGATGTAAATTGGAGGGCTTCGGTGCATTTTTGGAATGAGCCAGCCGGTTGTACATGAATGTCTCTCGGTGGATGAATTCATGTGTTACTCGAGACTTAGGAGTCTAGATCTCTTTGCTTGTATTAGACAACTTGATCCAATCACCTGGGGACAGCGAAAGTGATGCAGATGAGCAATATGACTTGAAGATCCCACAAACATAAAGAAAACGAAATGGCCTCATGGTTCATAGCTAAACTAAATCAAAATCCACCAACACCCCTAACACGCTGTACTGCCCCAACAACCCCCATGGCCCAACTAAACCGTCCAGGATCAGTGCCAATAGAGCCAGGCGGAATCTCCCCAGTTTCAGGATGATGCCAGCACCCATCCTTAGAACTAGCAGCACCATATCTAGCAGTATTCTGATTGGAACCAATCAGTTCAAGCCAAGCACCACAAATAACAGGCGAATCAATAAGAACATTGATCTCCTGACTGTGAAAGAAAGACTGCGTATCAAGGTTCCCATTTCCTTGAATAGCAACCCTTCCATCAACAATCATCAGCTTAATATGACAACTCCTCTTCTTGAAACTATTATGAATAGGCATCGTCTGATCTTTGCCGACATAATAGTGAACCCTCAATCTGCCCTTCTCCTCGTCAGACTCGAGGGCGCTGTACAATCTATTGGCGATCATCTCGTTGGTTCCGTTCTGGAAGGGGAGGAGTTCGCCTGCGTCGTTGTAGCCTAGGCAAAGATAGCAAGTGACGATGACACCGCGACGAACTGCGTTTAGAAGGGGTTCGAGGAGTGGTTCGGCGTTCATGTTTGGGGTTTGGATGAGGACTGTGCTTGTTGCGTGGTTTATTGCGGAGATCCAGGCTGAGTTTTGGGGGGTTTGGGTGTTGCTGTGGTTTGGCGCTTGGGTTTTGTTAGTAGATGTACAGCACTTAAATTGGGGGGGTTGGGATGACTTACATCCGAATGGTTCTCTATTTACGAGAGCCATTGCTACGGGTTCGTGGTGCGGAAGGACTTTGTATGGTGTGAAGATGGGATCTTGATCGGTATCTGGTGCATCGCCTGTTGTGTCGGGTTGGATTGTTGTATCTAGTTGAATGTCAGAGATGGTCATAGCTATCATAGGAGCATTGGAAACATACTGAGATGACGGCTAACAGCCTGCGTGGGCGTCTCTTCTCCTCGAGGTAAAACACTATCGTTCACTCTTGTGGCTTCATGCTCAAGGTCAAGATCATAATGTTCAGACTTGACAGTATGCTCAGGAAGATCTTGAGCTCCATTATCGACAGTAGCCTCGTGACTCGTCTTCTTTGCAAGGCATGGAATAGGAGCATCCGCAGCAGGAGAATGCAAAAGTGGAAGCGGAGGCTCCAAAGCCTTTCCCCACGAAAGCAAAGCAGCATCATAGAAACTATCCACAATGGGACCCTCGATATGAGCCAGCATCTCGAGATTGTCGTTGTCTTGGATATTACTGCTCTGCAGTAGGGCCATGCGCCGATCGATGACAGTAAACTTCGCATGGAATGTCCCAAAGATCGGCCGATGAAAGTTTATAACCTGGAGATCAACATTGGGGATCTCACTCGCTGGGGGAAGTTTCACTTTCCCGCCCGCGTACTGGTCCTCGTGGACACTGAGTCGGTTTTCCCATGCCTGCTCATATATCAGTACTGTTCTCGAAGCCTGTTGAGCATAGAGCCACTGTAAAGGGACATACCTGTCGCGGATCACCACGATCATAAACCATTTTCATGACGACCTTCCTCCCTTGCTCACCAGCCCGCTTAGAAAGTTCCCGAATAGCATTCGTCACTAAAGTCGACGCATTGGAGTAAATCCAGAAATTAGTGCCCAAGAAGACTTCATGCTCGGCGCGTGCAATGCAATTTGCCAGATGGCGGCAGAGATCGGGTAATGGGGCGACAATGGTTAATGGTATAAGGCCTGTACTTCCCATCAATTGAGGAGAGACTACCCCCGCCGTGGGGTTCTTTTCCAAGGAACACAAGGCATCATGATAAATCTGCAGGGCATTGAGTTAGTTAGTGAAATGGTGTAAGAATGTGCCTGAGATACCTGTAAGAAAAGATTGCTCGGCTGGGCTGACCCAAAATTTCCACATGCGCGGGCTTTTTGTAAGTCGTCCAGTGTCTCATTTTCGGATGCAGAGTCTGAACTCGAATCCGAACTGTGTTGGTGTACATGCGGTCGATGGTGACCTTCAAAGAGCTTGTGGAAGAGCTTTGTCGGACATTGCGACGGGTCGCGCGCTAACTCTGAGGTGACGGTTTCCGGCTGGTGGCACAGCTCGTAGACCTTACGTGGGACCATGTTGTTGTGGTATTGGCGTTTGAAGAAGAAGAAGAAGAAGAAGAAGAAGAAGAAGAAGAAGAAGAAGACAGAAATGGCCAAAAATGCAAAAATGCCAAAAGTGCAAAAAGTGCAAAAAGTGAAAGGAAGGGACTGGTACAAGGCCAGGTACGGAAGTGAGCAAACTCATTATAGATCGGGTTCGGTGCCATGGATGTATTCCCCTCAGATGACGTAGATCTGAGTCTCAATATATGGAGCAACTCCCCTGTGGACTAGGAATGGACTAGACTGGAGGCAGAGAATTGTGATGCCTAAATACAGTCCACTTCATAAGAGGAATTCAGCCCTGTGGGGTCATAGGGCTACATCTCGACGTCATCTTCCCGGCTACATGCGCTCCACAATGCTTGTTTTTCGAGAAACAGGATTGAGGGACGCCCATTTGTGAGTCTGTGGCCTATTTTTAGGCTTTCGTTAACTTGCTCGGTACTTTGCCATGCCATTTTAGGTGAGCTTTCCACGAATAGGGTATTGTGGACTGGACACATCTTACAGGCCCGAGGCCCAATATCAGAAGCAATTGAAATAAGCACTAAATTGTAAAAGATCCATATAAGGTACAAGCCATCAGTATATTTGGCAAATTAATCCATACACCCAATCACCCCCGTGTCACGCTTTCCTCAATCAAAATTTCCTCCGAGGTTGTTGAGAACCCTTTGCTTTGAAGGTTGGTAGACTGGAAATCCCACTGTTGCTGGTGACCATTATGCCCGTATCCTCCCTGAAAGACTGGCTTTTGAACTTCAACTTCCATACAAGACTTCTCCACCTTGACTCCGACAGCCTCATCCAATTCCTTGACATACTCGCGAGCTTTCTCGCCAGCAATAGCCAGCCTTTCATAAGAATCTAGTCCACCAAGGTGCCACTCACGCAGCGGCCTGCGCGCATTGCCAATCATGTACTCAAAGCAGGGCTTCTTGTTACCATCCGGGTCCACATAGGTCGATGCAGAGCGTTTATACTTCGCGCCACAAACAGGTTTGTAGTCCTCCTTCATGATATGTTTCCTGAATCCAACAACTGGATGGATAAACTCGCAGGTATCTCCAACTGGCTGCTTATTGTCGTCTAGAATATCGTAGGCTCCAGGCGTACGTGGCAGAGATCCGTTGAGGTAGTAAAAAGTTCCGAAACTGTCTTCCAGATTACCAGTCCCCCAGCCATATTTGCGGTATTTCGGCTGAGGCTTGTCGGCATTTGCGAAGGGGTGGAGAATAGCAGAGGCCACTGCTGACACATTGCGTCCAGTCCACGACCTCCAGGACTCGTTTTCCAGAAGGTTCACAGGGATGGCTTCGATTTCGGTCTTTCTATCCTCTCTCTCGGACTCTAGATATTCCTTGTTCAGGAATAGGAAGGGCTTGATCTGGTCCAGCATCCATGAGAAGGTGATGTTGGACATTTCCTCCATATCGCCCTCCTTCTTCAGAGTTGAGTTTGAGCCGCCACCGATGTGGATGTGATAGCCGGGGAACCACACTTGCCTCAGTGTACGAGGGTGATTTTGGTGGTTCAGGTCGTCCTGTAGTCGTAAAAATATGCGGTACTGCTCATTCACGTCTCTTGCCGCCTTGTTCAGTTTACGTGCAGCTTCGTTGATCGCCGCGTCAGTAGCATTGCCGCGCGACTTGAGGTCTATTGCCTTATCCAACTGCCTTTTCCATTCACTGGCTTTAGCCTCGATTTCTAGCTTCTGCGCTTCAATTTTGTTTACATCGGCATTGCCGAATTTCGGGAGATACCACAGAGTAGGTGAAAAGGCTTCGCGGTGTTCATCAAGCGCCAAAGCTTGGAAAGCGTGTTTGACATCTGGAAGCCAGAGTTAATACACTCGATAACTGACGACAAAAAAAGGGTATTCTATACTTACTTGTTGAAAGCGTAACATTCTGCCACCCAGCATTGTCTCCTCCGGGCAACCAGTTCGATGGCAACTTAAGACCAAGCACTGCAGGCATGCCTATGGCACCAACAGTATCATAAACACCAACAACCTCTACAATGCGAGAACCCTTTTGAGCCCAGTCACGATTAGGGCGCTCCGCAAAGATGAATTCCTTGCCCGTGGCGCCCTGGTGCTCATCGGCCTTGCCCTCAATCCACTCAAACCAGGCATCACTAGCAAAGAATGGCTCATTCTTCAAAGGTCGCCCCTTATATGCCTCCCAGAGATCAGGGAAACGATTCAGGTCCTTCTTGCTGCAAATACCAACATCAGAAATTAGTCCAGCAATGGTACGAGCAGTATAAGCGCCTCGCGAGAAACCAAAGCACATGATCTGATCGTCGGGGTGATAATTCATCACGCAAAAGTTGTATGCTTCGATGACATTGCCTTCGAGTCCTTGGCCGATGGCTCCTTCAATCTTCTGACCGACGGCGAGGGAGGTGGTACCGATTCCGGAGTCATACCAGACAATCTGCTGCCACGCCTTACCATTCTCATCCTGTCCAAAGCCATTCAAGGAGCGACAGAGTCGAGTGACGTTTGACGGGATGTTCTTCTTGCCCGAGACAGATGACTGCCATGTCCCATCACAGCAGAGGATGATACGCTTTGGGACGCGAGGGACCTTGACAATCTCATGCTCCCGACATAGCGACATGATTGCGAGCAACCAAAGATGGAAAACGAATTATAAAAAGACTGATGAGAATATCTCTGCCCTACCAACGGCGCGAACACCCTCTATTTAACAAAACCCCGTACGGCATCCCACCCCCGTAAGTTTAAACCAAGTAACACGACAAGGCTGAGCTGACAACGATACCTCGCTCTGAATGATCATATTCCCACGGCCCCCAAACGAAGCTATCACGTTCTAGTCCGCACCGTGCACGAACACCAAGGCCACATTCGGCAGTCTAAGCCCAAAACAGGTCATTCAGCTTCGCCCATTCGCACACTTGTCTTCAGCTGCTGAGGAGATAGTGGCGGTGCGTAGAACCGGCATGCCTGATTGTGCAGTAGGCCCAATGATGGTCCAATCACGGCCGGCTATTATCGTTTGTTTTCCTTAGGCGTCCGCGCCCCACGTTGACGGCCCTCGTGTTCATTCTGCAGAGATAAGCGAGAGCGAGGCTTTGGGGGCTCGGAAAGGCCGTTAGCTTGGGTTTTTGGGGACTTCTTAGATAAGAACTAGAGGAGGGCTTATGGCTGTGACTGGAGTAAGAGATGGGTTTTGTTGCTTTGGCATCTTTTGGTATCGCCAGAGTCGACAGGCGAAATCCGGGGGAGCTAGCCTGATTTGGATGCGTAACCCAGGGTTGCTCACATGGTCGACCACTTTTTGGGTAACTATGCAACTCTATTTTGACTATCCTATAGATCTTTAGTTATTTGCAAGCAAGTAATAATAACATATGAAATTCTATTTTGGGCGCTCAGTAACAACCTGCTCGAAAGTCTTCTGAATAGTAACATGATTCCTGGAATGCGTCAAGCCAAGCTCAGGATACAAAGCCTCCTCACTGCTATTACTTGCAAGAGCGAAATGCTGTCTCCGAGGTGACGAGACAGTAATGATGATACTTTTGTTATCATCGGGATCGAGATCAGGCCGCCAGTAACTCGGGTCTTGACCTCCCTTCGAGCTGTCCAGCTTAAGACTGGATAGTGGGTATTTGCGTGAATTTCTTTCTGGGCACGGGGTATTTCGAGTGTAGGACATTGTTCCGTCCAGGAGCCAGCGGAAGAGGGGGCGAAGAGTGATGAGACTGCCTGCTGTGATTCCGAGACCTGTTTCGATGACTGACCAGATTGCGATTTGGAAGGTTGAGTCTAGGTATAGGTTAATTTGGTAGGGTACAAGCGATTGGTGGATAGCATACATAGGAAATTTGTATCGGCGTAATAGTGTAAAAAGGGAATGCGGATGATGACGGCTACACTTGCGCTAGGAAAAGTTAGCAACTTCCTCATTAGCTGAAAATAGATGAGAATCACATACAATGCACCCAAGCTGAGGATTCCTCCCACAGCTAGCTTTGTCCTGCTGTTCATTTGCAGGCTCCATACCAGGAAGGCGGGCAGAATTCCGAGCATCAGATCACACAAGATAGTGAGAGAGCTGTAAAAATAGGCAATATCCAATAGGGTAGACAGGGGTAGACATCTTCCTTTGCTATCTTTATCAACTCTATGCCAGAAGTAGCTGATCGGTTGGCAGTCGAATAGCAGGACGAGCCAGAACATTAGACCGATAGAAACAGTAGTACCAATAAGGCCCCAAAGGATGATGCGGTGGGACTTTTGGACTGTCAAACGAAGGAGTGCGAGTGCGATGGATATTTTGGCAACCGAGGCTGCCCAGATATAGATCATTTGGCCGAGCCACCACCACTATAGAAAACCAGTCAGCATATCGGGAGACTTATTCATGGGATAACTTACCATTAGAGCTTTCTTGAAGGTAATAACGCTGGTAAAATCTTTGTAGGAGTGGCCAATTCCATTCATTGATCCAACGATGCAACAGATGTTCAACATGATGAAGAGCGTCTATGAAACAATCAGTGCGCGGTCTTTAGATCAGGGTGGCAAGTGACTGACCAGCGCTGCAACCATCAGACCATCATCCCACCCAAAAGCACGAACGATCCATAGCCGAACGAAAGTCCTTAATGATACCACTATAACGGATATCGACATCATGACGATCGACACAAGGAAGATCGCCAAACTCCGATCGATGAGGGGCATCGCGGGACCCATGTTTCCAGCCGGGGTATATGTATATTGCTCGAAGGACCAGGACAGGCTGAACACTCAGATATATCGTTCAAATGGCATCTTTCTGGTACTAAATAGTGAGCGCCGCGTTCAAAGGAGAGAATTCAGTGGAGAAAGTGTCAAAAAATGAGTGATTTCCCCTAGATTGAAGGAAATGACGATTCATATAGCTTTTCAAGGACCCAACACCTCGCATAAACCCGAAGCGAAAGATCTGTGCCACGCACAAGGGAGACGGGGCTGTGGGGCTTCAAGAGCCGTGCCGCGATCGATTGAGCGCTGGTGGGCAATAACAGGGACGACGGCGGCAGTCCTAGCCCTAAGTGAGCCCAAAGCCGTGCGCCAGTGTCACTAAGTGTCACCAATGTCAGGTACTAGTCCCAAAGGATTGGTCTGGGCGTGTCAGGGTCCAATTATAATTGTGGGTTCGCGATCTAGTGAACTAGCGATCGGGTTGGGGTGACTCGTGCCGAGATCCCGTGCACTTTTTTAAATTGCGGTTACATTGCGTTCTAGATCGGATCTTATTGGCATTGTTTAGTTACTATGGTCTTAGATTGTGCACGGTTTGCTATTGTGACATGCATAGTGGCTCCAATTTTATATATTTGTTGTATGTTTCGCCTGTGACTCTACCCAAGCGGTTCCCGGTAGATAAAGAATTTTCCAGAAGGCGGGAGGATCCATAACAAAGACATTGTCATTCTAATATATGAAACCGTGCCCGTTAGGGGCAGGAAATTCGGACAAAAATCAAGGCAGCCAGGGCGTTTTGGGCGTTTACCAAGCTAAATTATATTAACGAACCGAGTTTTAGGAGACCATTCAATGCGAACAAATGATTGAGAGAAAAGTAGTCAGTGATAGCGATCGAAATCTTGCTAGATGATGTTCACTTATCTTTGGTAGGGTACACATGGGTCTTAGAGCAACATTCGCATTGCTGGCCCTTGAATCTCACTTACGGAAGTTGAAGGCACTCAACTTATTTGTTGACGAGAACACGTAGAAAATACTTGTCACAAAGTCTGCGAGGCGACTGTGGTTGGATGAATGTTGAATGAAATCCATTGATATAAGTTTACACGATTCACCCGAAAACTCAGAAATGACTAAAAAAATTTTGGAAAAAAAAATCATGAAACGGTATGCGAGCTTCAAGGCTTTCGTATAGAGACCGATCAACAGATCATGGCCCAGAATATTTTCATGTCAGTTCTGCTGTATACAATCGCGACAACTTACCGATCCGTCAAGAAACCTCAAGAATATGGGGGTCCTTTGAATGTTGCTACCTACTGTCATAGGACGCCGTTATTCCAAGGCTAAGCAGACAACTCCAACGTCAATTTTAATGCTAGTAAATCGGTTACTTTAAGCCCTATTGCTTTATTGGTCTTGAAGAGACTGGATGTCATAAACGGAATTTGTTCTGACCAGGCTTGGCACCACTCGGTGTAGCACTAAGACAATTATACACAGTATGACCACTCCGAGCGAGTTGTGCTGCAGTAGGCCTATGCGGAGAATCAAACCGGTCAAATTGCCTCCGTAATCACCGGCCCTGAATTCAATTGAAGAGACTTTACTGAGCTTACCTCCGAGCTACTACGAGGAATTCAGCCTCTTCATGGAAACAAGATCAGCCAAGATGGAGTTGAACGCTTCATTTCCCTCTAGAGCCACGGATAATGGAAAGCTATGAGCAGTGCGCATGAGAAGAGGGCCAACCAGGGCTGCACCAACGCGATCCAGCCTGCCACAGTGTTGCTTGAAATATTGACTTCGTATCTGCATGACTTGACATGGATCCCACTCGTTCAAGCGGATATTTGGTCAAAGAAAGGACTAAACGTTTCATGACTCACCAAGGCCATGAGCAGTTGATTTAAACGCCTTCCATTCATAGGATTTTGCGAGGTAAGTGCAGTTTGAATAGATGGGGGAGTAATATAAGTGGAGGAAAAGGTCATTTAGAAGCGTAACACACTTAGAGAAGTGGGTAGCGAATGGTGTAGAAGAACAAATGGTAAGAATTCATTCTATGACCAGTCCAGAGCCTCACACTCATCTCCGAGAAGCTTTCCAAAGGGTAGCAGCATAAACAACTGGAATCAAATCCACTTGCCTTCTGATATTGAAAACTCCATGACCATCGGTGATAATAACGGGATCCGACTTCTTGACGTTATTACGGATATGGGCATATATGTTGCGCTTGCTTTTTTGGGGAGCAAAGGAGATCATATTTATATGGCATAATCCTTGATCTCTCCAATTGGCGATACTTTGGTTCATCGACACAAGCTGAGGCCTTCCGGTTCCGAGCAAGGCTTCTTTAGTGATGGTAATGGTACTATGGATTGACTTCAAGTTGTCAGTACTGCGCGCGGTAGAAGCGGACAACTCGAGTGTGGAGAGTATGCTGCCTAACTAAGAACTGCAAACATTCGAAGATACAGAGGCTAAACTTAACATATCTTAGACACAACTGTCCAAGTTTGACATTCATCATGCAAGCTCAAATGGAAAACATCCACATCGGACCATTCCCCTACCTGGCTGATTTCGGAGATAGCCAAGCGCAAGGATGGGAAGATGCCACTGCTGAGGTAGCAGCTTCACGACACTATGCTATTATGACGGGTACCTACGAGTTCATGCCTGCGGTTGGGTTTGCGGCGGCATTCGAACCATCAGGAAATATGATCGCGCACATTAAAGCCAGTCTCTTGTTCGAAAAGCACCCTATGGTCTATGATAGTGTCAACACGACCAATGTCAACACTTCTCAGATATATGACATTGATGGCCAAATGGCCAAATGTCGTGGGGCGTCTTGCAGCAGATTGTGGGTGGGTATCTGGACTACATTCCTAGAGTGGAGGGCTCACTGGTCGGTCCCCCACAAGTAGGTCTCTGTTTCTTGATTAGAGACTGGAGCTCTTAAGTTCAATAGCGATGATAGCTACAATTGAGCCTAGATACTCAAAGCCTATGCAATCTGTCTAAGCTACTATATGCTCTCTCGGTATATAGTAGCTCAAACAAATCCATGGGCTGGGATTTGGGTTAACTAAGACAACCAGAAAGCACAATTAATTTCTACGATATAGTGAATTTCGGAGCTTATTTCACTTCTAAGTAAATGTTGGGCTTGGGCGGGAAGCATAGACAAAAGGGCTTCACCATACGTATATCTTACTACTCCGCTATAACGAAGCACCGCCCCCTGTTAGCCAGCAACAACAGAGGAGCATGAAAAAAAAAATGTCTTGAGAACCCCCAAAATGACGACAAAATGCTTCGGGCATACTTACCTTCAAAAGTTGTAACCGAGAAATACATTATTGTAAGCCAGTCGGCGTTGATTCAAGCCCCCACGTCTCCTCATCGGAGTTGTCGCCGAGATCCAGTGCCGCTTCCCCAGACTATAGAGCTTTATCAGCATACCGCCCCCTCCCAGAGATATTTTCTCTCTTTATTTCTAGACTTTTATTGAGGGATTTGAAGCGAACTACCTCTGTTCGATATTCAACAGCTTAGAAACTAATAGAGCTCCAAAATGTACGAGTTCTGCCCCTCTCATATGAAGCTCGTCATCATTGCTCACTTAGATCAGGGTTTATACAGCATCATTTGCTTTCTTTGAAGCCCTCTGGGAGGTATATGTACAAGTAAATCGTATCTCACCATCTACAAGCTAACACCTCTGATCTATAGGGCGGCGTCAGCCACGTCTTTGTCAATCTGGGATCCGACCATCCCTCCATTCTCGAGGCCATGGTAAAAGGCCAAAAGGAAAAGAGAGACCAATTCCCTAAAATCATCACCTGTCCCAACGAGGTACGTCAATAATTGCCACCCCAGTTCCACAACATGACCCCAACAAGCTGCATCACAGTGGAGATGGACCCCGCTTAACAACTGTATAGATGGTCGCACTCTCAATGGCAGACGGATACGCCCGCCTGACCGGCAAACCACAAGCAGTAATCGTCCACGTCGACGTCGGCACGCAGGGATTAGGAGCAGCGGTACACAACGCTTCATGTGGACGCGCCCCGGTTTTAATCTTTGCCGGTCTATCGCCGTACACGATTGAGGGTGAGATGCGAGGGTCCCGCACAGAATATATTCACTGGATACAGGACGTACCAGACCAGAAGCAGATCGTCTCTCAGTATTGTCGATACTCGGGTGAAATCAAATCTGGCAAGAATGTTAAACAGATCGTGAATCGCGCTTTGCAGTTCGCGACTAGTGATCCTCAAGGCCCTGTTTACCTTGTTGGCGCTCGGGAGGTTATGGAAGAGGATATTGAGCCGTATCAGTTGAATCAGAGTGTTTGGGGTCCTGTCTCTCCGGCTGCATTGCCAAGTTCTGGCGTTGAAATGATTGCATCTGAGCTTGCGGCTGCAAAACAGCCTCTTGTTATTGCTGGGTATAGTGGACGGAAGGCTCAAGCGGTGACTGAGCTGGTGACATTGGCGAACCACTTCAAGGGAATTCGCGTTTTGGACACTGGTGGTAGTGATATGTGTTTCCCTGCTGACCACCCAGGCTGGCTGGGGTTGAGATATCCCGGGCATGACGCCGTCAAAACGGCAGACTTGATTCTCGTGATTGACTGCGATGTACCTTGGGTTCCGACACAGTTCAAGCCATCTGGATCGGCCAAGATTATGCACATTGATGTCGACCCGCTGAAGCAGCAAATTCCGGTCTTCTATATCCATTCTATAGCGACATTCCGTGCCGACTCTTCTACCGCACTGAGGCAGATTAATGACTATGTTGCTGCGCAGGGGTCTTTGCAGAAGTTCGTTGGATCCAAGGAGAATACCATAATGGGACAACGCCGGGACGACGAATATCTGAAGCGCCGACAGGAAATTACTGATCTCGCTATTGTCCCCAAGGGTGGTGACGGGGCTCCGCTGAATATCAATTATCTTATGGCACAGGTCCGCCAGGGCGTCCCAGCTGATACGATCTGGGCCATCGAGTCAGTGACCAATACCCACTGGGTTGCAGACCAGATCTCAGCCACACTACCCCAATCATGGATCAACTGTGGAGGAGGCGGACTTGGCTGGTCTGGCGGTGGTGCACTAGGCATCAAGCTAGCCAGCGACGTGCAGCATGGCGGACGTGGAAAAGGCAAGTTCGTCTGTCAAGTCGTTGGCGATGGCACGTTCCTATTCTCGGTGCCTGGATCCGTGTACTGGATTTCACGCCGCTATGGAATCCCCATTCTTACGATTGTCCTAAACAATAAGGGCTGGAATGCCCCTCGACGAAGTATGCTTCTCGTTCATCCCGAGGGTGACGGGTCCCGCGCTACCAACGAGGACCTCAATATCTCTTTTGCACCTACCCCTGATTATGCGGGAATTGCTAGTGCTGCGGCCGGTGGTGAGATCTGGGGTGGCCGTGCAGCCACTGTTGCCGAACTTGCACGGAGGCTTCCCGAGGCCATCCAAAGCGTGTTGGGTGGGAAGTCAGCGGTGTTGGAAGCGCAGCTTGATGGAACTAACGGGAAGTATGTGGAGAGCTCTAGGCTTTGATCAGTAATTTACTTAGCATAGGCAAATGTATGGAGAGTTCATCCCTGTCGTTTACTTGAAGTTGTATACTTCGCTATCGCGCCGATGCCGGCGATAGCCTTATCTACACGCGGGGTGTGTATTAGTATTTCCGTATTATTCTCCAAAGTGTCACTATTCTCGTCAGCTGTATCGTAAAGATGAAACCACGCAAGAGCCCCGCCCGCGCCTTATAGTTGACAAGCACTTGGTGACATTTAGTTGCATCTAGTGAATTCTAAGTAGATTTCATATTTCTCCGAGTACTCCGCCGTTAGATTAGAGAATCTTATACCCCGCAGCTCTATATTTTATCTCTAACGGACTGATCGGAGTGTTCGGAGAATGAGTCATGTGCCGGAGTGGATAAGATAAAAAGAAGCCGAGATCAGTTCCGTGGATGTCGCCAATTCTTTGCCTCCTTTGACACTTCGTTTGTTTTGATCCTGGAGACCTACAGCTTATTTCTCGCACGCAATAGCACGACACTCCGACTTTTGCGCGCTACCCTGTCCTCTGCTACTGTCGCACATAAAACGCCGATTCCGCTCTCGACATTTACACCGCTCCGATCACGATGAGTCCCCCGGCATCTCTGGATGTTGACCTCGTGGGCGTCACGGATACCTCTGCCGTCCCTGTCCCCGATCCCTTGACCGTCAATGGCATTCCTGCGTGGAGAGCGAAGACGGCTAAGATGCCCACCGGCGTGGCCGCGGCATGCAGCAGTGATATGTTTAAAAGCCCGGTATGATATCTTTGGATTGGGCGTGAATTGGAGCGAGGAATATAAGACCAGATTGCTGATATATGCTCTGGGACTTTAGATCTGCTATACCAAGCCCAAGGCTAAGCGTTTCGATCGTAAGTCTGCATACACCGGTCAAACGCCGAATGCCGGTCTTTGGTCAATCAGACTGTATTCTGATATTTTCTCTTCATAGACCGTTTCTCACTCGAAGCCAAGTCCCGCAAGGTGCACACTCTCAATTGTGCAAATCAATGCCCATAATTGCTAATGCATTTCCACAGGCTTCAACTTTGAAGACTGCCGCTCAGTACCTGAAGAACCCTGGTGAGAAGAACATTTCCCTTGACTTGAACTAAATCCTAATCATCATCACAGGCCTTATCTCTCTCGGCGGTGGATTGCCCTCGGCTGAATACTTCCCCTTTGAGCACTTTGATATTAAGGTCCCCACACCCCCCGGGTTCTCCCCGGAGGCTACTCGCAAGTCTGGCACCGTGTTGCACGCTGGAAAGCATGATATCCAAGACGGAAGCAGCACATACGGTAAGTATCATGAAATTATATAATGTATGGAAATTGCGCAGGGCTGATTCTATACTACAGATCTCGAAATTGCGCTTAACTACGGCCAAGCCACCGGTGCTGCGCAATTGCTCCGCTTTGTCACCGAGCACACCGAAGTAGGTTGAAAACCATGTTCGAAACCTCCGATGATATTAACAAAGTTAGCTTATTCACAAGCCTCTCTACTCCGACTGGCAGTGCACCCTCACAGCCGGTAGCACCTATGCCTGGGATACCGCTCTTCGCCTGCTCTGCGAGCGCGGCGACTACATCATCATGGAAGAGTACACTTTCGCCAGCGCAGCCGAGACAGCATTCCCCTTGGGCCTGAAGGCCGTAGGCGTTGCAATGGATGAGCAAGGTCTCATTCCCGAGTCCATGGACAACATCCTCAGCAATTGGGACGAGAAGGCCCGTGGTGCCCGCAAGCCATTCGTACTGTACACAATCCCAACAGGCCAGAACCCCACTGGTGCCACCCAGTCTGCCGAGCGTCGCCGAGCCGTCTATAAGATCGCCCAGAAGCACGACGTCATTATCGTCGAGGACGAGCCTTACTACTTCCTGCAGATGCAGCCTTACGTCGGTGAGGATGCCAAGCCCGTGCCTCCTCCTGCCACCCACGAGGACTTCATCAACTCTCTCACTCCCTCTTACCTCAGCATGGACGTTGACGGCCGTGTCATCCGTCTCGAGTCTTTCTCCAAGGTCGTCTCGCCCGGCTCGCGAGTTGGCTGGATCGTCGCCTCGGAGCAAATCATCGAGCGTTTCATCCGTAACTTCGAGACTTCTTCGCAGAACCCTAGTGGTATTTCTCAGATTGCTCTCTTCAAGCTTCTGGACGAGCACTGGGGTCACTCCGGATACCTGGATTGGTTGATCAATCTGCGTATGTCGTACACTGCTCGTCGTGATTCGCTCGTTCACGCCTGCGAGAAGCACTTGCCCCGTGAAATTGCCCACTGGGCTGCACCCGCGGCAGGCATGTTCGTAAGTTACTCACTAATATTTCCTCCGTTTTCACTCTTTATACACTCACTAACACCCTTCTTAGCACTGGATCGAAGTCGACTGGCACAAGCACCCCGGCGTTAAAGCCGGCAAGACCCACGCCCAGATCGAAGAGGAGATCTTCCTATCCGCTGTCGAAGCAGGCGTCCTCCTTTCCCGCGGTAGCTGGTTCAAGCCTGACCACGACACCGTCGAGGAGAAGATGTTCTTCCGTGCGACATTTGCTGCCGCCTCTTCGGAGAAGATTGACGAGGCCATTTCTCGCTTCGCTGGATCTCTTCGTACTCAGTTCGCTCTGTAAATCAAGACTGAGTATATGAACGGGTTGGTAAGTTGTCTACGATTTTGACGAAACCTCTCTATGGACGAGGGTGCATTTAGTTTTGAGCTTCTAGAGGGTAGGTAGACTTGCAGCCTTCAAAAGGGCTTTGGTAATTCCGTTGGAAGTTGCCTATAATGACATTTCTAAGAATACATTGCATTTTCTCTACATATTGGCATCGCATGTAAAGTGACAGATTCTCTACCGAGTCTCTACTCCCCGGGCATGATGCAAAGAAGAATCTCTATAATTCAGTAGTGCAATACAATGCAAATGTACAAAACAAAATGGTATCAGGAAATGCAACCAATAAGAAATAAAAATACAAGATAAGGAAACAAGGCCGAAGGACCAAAAAGTCACATAAACCGGATCAAAAAGCAATCAAGCCCCCAGAATCTTCCCGTAAGCATCCTCAACCTCCTTCGCAATCTCCAACAATGTAACAATGATAATCTGGTGCGTAACATTAGGCAACTTATCCCTCTGCAACCCAATCCACTCTAAAGGCGGCGTAGCCTCACCCATATCCCTCAACTGCGGCGTCTCAATAACAGGCGGCTCAAGCGCAGTGTAGGTATATTTAGACTGCGGCACATTAACAACAGCAGTAATCTTCTCCTGTTGCTCAGAGCTAGCGCCACCACCCTCAGCACTGCCACTACCAGGTCCACCAGTAATGCGCACAGCAGAAGGAGGCAACGGCTTGCCGAGTCTTGAAGCAAGTGCGCGCGAATGCGTCTCCCACATATCACGGATAAAACTGATACGAGAATAATTCCAGCCGACGTCGACTTTGCCTTCGAATGTACTGCGGAAGATGTATTCGATTTCATGGGTTCCCGGTGCTTGCCAGGTTTCCATACCGGCGACAAGACGGGGGACTTTGAGGATTGTTCCGCCTCGGGAGGCGGCCGCTCGTTCAGCGATTTCGTCGACGGAAAGTTCGTCTAGCTGGGCGGATGTTGGTCTTGTAATGCCGGATAAGGCGACGCGAAGTTGGCCGAGTGTCAGACCTAGGGCACTGTGGATTTTGCCCGCTTCCAGGGAAACGGCAAATCGGGCTTCAGCATCGTAGGCTTCTACCTTGAAGATTTGGTTGTCGAAGAAGGTGCTCGGGAAGGCGCCGACGTTGACGTGCCGGATGTTGACCACTACACCTGTGTGTAGGGAGATTGGTGCATTCTCTGGCTGGTCGTCTGGTTGCTTTGCGGGATCTTTGGCGCCGACTTCGGGACGTTCGGTTAGGATGGATGACTTGCGGCGGAGGTAACGTTCTACATCGCGGAGGGATGCTTTGTAGGCTGCTTGCACGTCTTGGATCAGGCGCTGCCAGGCTTGGAAGAGGGCCAAAGTTTGTGATGCTGTGAGAGATGTGCAGAACAATTGGACTTTGTCTCCTTCCAGAATACTGAAAAGGCGTTGGCTCTGCTCACCGGATGTGTCTCGGACGTTGTACATCAAGAAGTTGAACCTGGCAATGTGGGCGACTAGGAAGGGTTGGTAGTCGAATGAGACCTTGGCTTGAAGGTGATGGAATGCAAGTGAGGCTTGGATCAGTGGTGTTTGTCCAAGTTGTCGAGAGTCTTCCGGCCACTCGATTGAGGTATGCACCTTCAGGTTTCCGAGCTCAACAATGCCACTCATGCGGCCCTTGCTCTCGATTGCAACAGACCCGAAATTGACACACATGTTCTGTTCATTGTCGGATGTCTTGCTAGTAGACACCCACAGATCCTTAATGCCGAATTGTGCCTTGCCCAAAGTCGACCCAAGATCCAGTTGAATTTCGACCTTTTCAATGGCGATGGTGGTGTTCCAAGGGAATGCAGATGCTGAAGCAACCTGCTGGTATCGCTGCACGATGTAAGGCTGCGCTTCAGGAGTATCTGGCTGGGGAGTTGGATTTGAGGCTGGGTCATCATTGGACGGAAGCCAGATCTCTTGGAAGAGAAGAGAATCTTGGACCTGTTTGGCGTTGACAGCAACCTTCATCGGGCTGACTCGCAAGATAGCTGACATTCCGCTCGTCCGGCCAAGATGTTTGCTGTTCATCAACGATAACACCAATGACTTGACTTCGAAGCTCGCCGTTGATTCGTTTGAGTAAACATGTTTCACAGAGGCGGACAAGCTATTGAATGCCAATGACAGGGCGAGGAATCGACCCTGCTCTTCTGATAGGACCGTGTTGACGGTCACGTAAACGCTCTCAAATCGTGCAGTAGCTGCTACCCTTGCAATGGGTTGACAACTCAAACTGAATTCCTGCTTGCAGAAAAGCAATCCCAGATTCACCCTGCACCGACCAAGAATACTGGTCGGGTCCTCAGCACCGAATGGTGCCTCTTGCATCAACTTCTGTGGCTGCAATTTCGCGGCTGTAGACAGCCTACGCGGCTGGCTCTGTTGACTTTGCTGGTCTCCCATAATCTCCTTCACCGTGGCTGTCATTTGCTTAACCAGAGGAACAAGAGTGGGATACAATGTGTTTGTAGATGGGTCAACTTTCAACTCAGCATTGAGGACTGGATCATCGATGCCGTTATCCTCAAACTGAACCTTCAGAGCCACTCCAGGTGCCTGAAGCGTTGCAGTAGTTGCAGTGTCACCCTGAACATATTGACCATATTTCGCGTCCGAGAGCCGGCTGCCCTTCCATGTGGCCGCGAGCAATGTTTGGTGATCATGGCCAAGCTTGCCTTGAAGTGTAACAGTAGCACCGGCAAAGTCAACATCGATGAGAAGAGACCGCAATCGTCTCTTGCCGAAGAGGTTACGGTCTTTGTTGGTATCAGTGTTATCAGGGGACGCTGCTCTGGTTGCCCATACAGTCTTTCCGTCTCGAAGGGCCTCGCTCGCTGTCGCAATTGAGTCTCGCAACATGCTGGCGGGAATGATGAACTCCGACGTCGCACGAATATCGAGGGATTTTCCAGCTGCCTGGAAAGCAAGCCACAACTCTTTTCCTTTTGATGAATACGCCACGTTGAATACCAGCTCGGGCATAAGCGCGGAGTTGAGCGACCGCTTTCTTCTGTCTGCTTCATACGGGACCATCTGAAGTTGCATGTTTTCAATCCTAAGTTTGGCTGCATTCTTCTTCTTGTTCGACAATTCAACCTTCTGGATCGAGAAGACCAAGTCCTCTGGGTTTCGGCCGAATTTGTTGTGTATCGCGGCCATATTCCAAGCGATTTGAATATGCTGGAATTGGAGGGAGTAAAGAGCATTGAGGAAGTTCTCTGGGGTCGAATCGTCGTTGAGTTGAATCTCGGGGGCAGCAATACTCCCATCTTTGGTGTCGTGATTACGATGTCCCAGTTTCCTAAGACGCTTGACTTCATGCGAAAGGTCTAGCGTCTTGATGCGTTCTTGGGTATAGACAGCAATGTCAACAACGAGAGCTGCCGTCTCAGCATATAGTTCGATATCGAATCGATCACTAGTGAAGTGATATGACCTTGTGACTTCACCGTTTTCACGGACAGCGGACGTTCCCTGCAGCTTCACGCCAGCAGAGAAGCCACCGTATGGGAGGCTCCTTGAAGTTTCTTGTCGTCGGAGTTCGAAGTTGATTTGCGAGGCGTCGATGTTGAACTCGAGATACTCCATGGCGTAGCCTCTGTCCAGGCCGTTTTCAAGTCGCATCCGCATCATACCAAGACTGAATATCATTTCTGCAGAGTAGTCCTTGCTATTCAGACCAGGTGCAGAGGCATGGATCTCGAATCCAGCCATCGTGAGCCGGCACTTGTAAAGAACCTCCTGGCCATCGGATACTGATATGGGCTTGGGTTCCAGCGATGACCTCCGTAAGGCAAGTACATCTTCCAAGTGTGATTGAAGAACATTCACGTTTTGCTTGAGATCCGATATCAAGTGAGAAACATCGGATCCAGTTAAGACTGCCAGGAGGCTGCGTACAGCGCTAGCTTCCAATCGAATGAGTTCAATCGTGACATCAACCTCCACTTCCTTACGGTCCGACAAGAGATTAGCAAGCACTCGACCGTTGACCGGGGGGATTTCCATGACCGACAAGGCATGGAATTTGTCCCCTTCACCTGACATGAACTTATGGGTGTTCTTCTTCACGTCAAAGTCGACCTCAATCTTGGAAGCTTCCGTGGGCATCAGCGACATGCGAGCAACGTCACCTGAAACAAGATAGGCCAGGGATGGCAATAAACTAAAGTTTAATCGATAATCTTCCAAGAACATTGCCACATGGAATGTGTCACGCATTGGCTTGTTTGGCACCAAATTGTCGTCGGTTTGCGACTCGGACTTAGGGAGCTTGACGCTATTTACGAGTTGCCGGATGAACCTGACCTCGTCGGCGATAAGTCTGTCAGCTGTATGCGCTAGACTGACTGGGTCTTCTTTCATGTCATATCGAAGCTTCCTACAAGAGGCAGCAACCTTCCAATCTCGTTTACACTCGGTTTCGTTTTCTTCCGAGGTGAGAGAGAAGTACATGTATGGATCGGCAATTCCAGACAACATCAAAGTGGTGGATTGACTTTGGAGCTCGGAAGAACATGCCTCGGCATTGAACAGCAGAGTGAGATCTTCTTGCTTTGTTTGGGCTGCACCAACAGACCGATGCACGATCGAGCCTCGTAGTCCTTTGGATATCAAAGCGAGCTTCACATTGATGCCATCAAGTGTGATGGATCCGAAATCCGTTCCGAAAATAAGTTGGAGTTCAGTCGGTTTCTCCTCTGGGGCCTCGATGCTGGGTTTATGAGGATGTGCAGACTCGAGTGTAATATTTGACATCGCCTTGATCACGCCCTCAACAAGGTCCAATATCTCCCATCGCAGCCGCAGAGCCGCAGAGCCGCAGTACGACTGCAAAGTGATAATTTTCTTGTGTTTCTCCTCATTGCCATCACTAACAACCTTGTCCGGAACAAGAGACGCGAGGGTCGACAAGTTCTCCACGATGAAATCGCTTTCTCTAGGACCAGGGTCCATCGAAAATCGGAAGGTCTTGATTGTGGATGAAAGGAACATTAAAGGCTGCGCAGTCGCTCGTTGAGATTCATAGTGCGGCCAGACTCGACGCATGACATAGCTTTTCGCAACGTGGGCCAGATCCCAAGCTCGCCAGTGATCGAAGCCAGATAAAACTGTTGACTTGGCATTTTCTGGTAAGGAGACATTGCCGCTCGAGAACTTCTGCTCCAATGCACGCTTGTGATGGGTGGGCAAACTTTTGTAGACGTTGCGGATACGAGAAATAATTTTCCAGGAGTCATGTTGTCGCAAATGCGTCGAAGCAACTCTGAGAACGTAGGAGATTCGAGCAAGAAAGATCGGGTCCGGTATGTCGACAGCCGATTGAGTCAAAGAATAGATGAGGTACTGCAGACGCATTTCGCTAGATGTTGAAACTTGCTGGAAAGACGAGGCAACAGAATCAAACATCGTTGTGGCTCGACGAACGAGGAAGGCTAAGCGCTCCACGGACTTCGCTGATGTGACTGTATTAAATGTTCGCATCTGGAGATTAGAGCGGACATCGGGCGTAGTCACCAACCAAAAATTCAAGTCTTCCAAACAGGAACTAAATTCGGCTTTCTCGTAGAAAGCATCTGCCCGGCTACCCTCCACGGCAATCGAGAGGTGATCTGCCGCTGCATGGACAGTGACATCTTGCTTGACGCCTTCAAGCAGATCTCCCTTTTGGCGTCGCACCTTTTTCCTGAACTCAGTCTGCAAATGACGAAGCTCAATGCTGTACTCATCTCGGAACTCGATTCTTTTGTTGTTGGGGGATTCTGACAGATCCACAAGACGCAGTTGTATGGCTGGAACTCGTAGGGAAACGGCGGTGGAGTTCTTCGGTTGGCTCATAGCTTTGTCATAACCAACAATATCAGATATCACACCTTTCTGAAGCGAGTCAATGATTCTAACAGGATGCTTTGGTTCCAACCCATCCAACAAGGAAGCCAGACTCGTAAGGAATTTCGGTGTGCAATAGCCTCGAATACCAACTGGGAGGTCGCACGCGAGGTTGGTGTACGTTGTTTTATCGTCATCAAAAGTGAGGAACACGGACTTTGGATTTGTAGCAGAATCATCACTCATCGAGGTATTATCATCATCGACGAAAGGCAGTGGAAGCTCCGCTGTATCCAGTCGAATTTTGTGGTATGGGAATTGTGGCATGATCCACGGGTTCGCATCTCTTGCTGTAGATGAGGAAACTGCAGTGCCCCGAGAACCAGGCAGCGTTCCATCTCTCGATCGGCTAGCATGTGAGGCCCAGCTCGCTTCCCGTGAAGGGGGAAAAGGCCGTGGTTTAGAGCCCGGGTCGGAAGCGGCTCCCAGGCTATTTGTGGTGTGTATTCTGACACTATTGAGGCTTGATACTTCTGACTCAACAAGGAAGCTCCTGGCACTTCCATTGGGACGGGCCGCAGAAGCTGCCCGATATGACGGTGCATTGAGTGAGCGAGGCCTGTTATGAATAGGCTCCGGCATGGACGGTATGGCCATGGTTGGAGGGAACACGTCATCGTCAGGAATTGTTGAGGCTGGTCCAGTTTCTTCCCAATCAGAAAGTAGCCATTGCGCTCTGTGAGTTCGTTCGTCGTGACTCTTGATGTGCTCTTGCTGAAGCCGCCGGCTTTCCGCAATATCAGATTTCCGCAATGCCATCTTCACTCCAACTGTCGTTTGAATAAGACCTATGGGAGCCACTGTTGTTCCCGCTGATAAATTGGATTGAGAAAGATGGCGGCGATCGATGGCGGCAATTGAGATATCCGGAACGAGGAGATTCATACGTTTCGAAAACTTGGTGTTGGCCCAATCATTGAAATTCACATTCAGTGGCTGTGTGCTCAAAATGACAGCTACTTGGTCCAGTAGCACGGAAATGTGAATTGCGTCAATCTTGGCTCGCAAGAAGGTCACATCATAGAGAATTTCAGGGAATAGTGTTGGCAAGGCGTTCTCCTCGTTGTCAAAAGAGAAATCGAAGCTCTTCAATGACGATCCCAAACAAGCCAGGAATTCCGTGGAGCACTCTCCAATGATTTTGCCAACTTCGAAGTCCCAATTACAGACGTAAGTTGGCTCAAGGGGTGGTAAACCAAACAAACGATGGCCATAGACCGAGACGCCATCGATAAATAATTGAGTACCAGAAATATTCGAAGACCCATCAGAACTTATGGAATGCAAATCAAGTTTCAGCGGGCTGATAGAAAATTGCAGATCCATGTAGTAATTTGTGAATCGCAAATCGACCTCGAGGGACGCTGCGTTTAGTGCAGTGCATTTTGATGGATTATAGATGTTCACAGGAAGCAAAGCACATGGGCTGTCGACAGTGACACGAACGAGGATGTCCATATCATTTGACTTTCGGTTAGGATTGATGCCCGTAGGATTCGATGGGGTTTCATCGGCGTAGATCAGCTCTTGGTATTCTTCCAAGGTCTTGAAATGCATTTCCTCGCCAAAGTAATTCTCTCTAATTGTCATGAAGCTCTTGATCAAGAACCCAAAAAGATATAGCCGAGGTGACTTTCCATCGATGTTGAGCACCAAGGTGTCGGTCAATTCGGGTGATGTCTCTGAGAAATAATTGTAGGAGCCGTCAATGAACAGGTTTTGAAGAGTTGCCATGGATTTTTGGGGTAGGAACTCGTGCAGGGTATCCCACAAGGGAGTCACGTAGTCCACACCACCATCTTCGAGGCTGACCCTGAACTCAATGGCAGTTTGGTCGGGTTGATATTTGTTCAATGGTATCATGACATCGGATGTCAAGCGATTTCCCTTGATCACGATGAATCGATTATCTTCCAGGTCTGAAGGATTGCTGATGATATTTCGATCATTCACATTGATGTAGAGCTGGAAGTTGGTGAAATTTAAATCCAGGTTGTAGATGAAAGGAACAAATGCATAGTAATCCGAGGGCGGACCCGAGGCCCAATCGCTCACAAGATCCGTAAGAAGGAAAATGTGGTCACGGAGAAGGAACAGCTCTAGATCTTGGCTCTCTACGGTGAACTTCCAAGAGCGGAGGTTGTTCCAAGAAAGTGGGTTAGATAGATCACAGGTGACCAGTTGTCGGGGACACTGCCAAAGCAAGCCATGGTTAATGCTGGATGAAAGTTTCGACTCCCGCAAATCGAGAGATAGTTCGTTCCGGAATCCTAAGCTTGAGGCGACCATATCCATGGTGTATTTGATAGTAGAATCAGGAGCAACGGAGAGAGAAAGCCATCCAAACGGACGAATTTCAGATCCAATATGGCCCATTTCACCGTCCTTTGTTCGCGGTTTCTTTCTATCATTTGGCTTCTTGATCCTCGATGCGCCTCCAATGGCATCGGCACGACCCTTCCACTGCCAGTCCTTAGATGGCTCCCGAGTAGGGATTCGTAATGTGAACTCTTCGTTGATCTCAATTCGCAATATGAAACCCGTGCTTTGCCGCAGAACACCAGGTGCCAACTGCTCTGCCGGTTCGGCGCTGCGGTAAAAGTTCGGGAAGAAGACATTTTGCAGCCCAATCCGCTCCCTATCAGCCCATGGGCCGTAGTTCAGAGTGCCTCCATCAAGCTTGAGATCAATTCCCCATTCGGGAGGCAGGGCAGAGTTGATATTTCTATCGACTGGGTATGGTTGTCCATTTTCACCGGACATTGGGCGTGGAGAGCTGACTCGGCCTGGAATATCCCAAAAGTACGTTATAGTCAGACTAGGGCTGTCCAGAATGGTCGAAAATCGGGCATATTCCACTGAGCTCCATTTCTCATGATCATCTTCATCGGTTTCGTCCAAATACCGCGAAAGACCAGTCCAACGAACATCAGGAAACTCCGCCTGGCTTCTTGGCATGCTGTCAGCATGTCTGCTGTTGTCATGGAACGATTCGACAGAAGTTTGGAAATAAGGAACAAGGTCACGTATGCTATGCCACACCTTCCGCCTTTGGAATTGGTAGTTGAAAATGTTCTGTCGTTTCTTCTTCGATTTGGACTGATCTTCATGCACAGCACATATAGCTCTTGCAGTTGCAGGCTGATTTTGTTTGAAATCAGGGTTCGGCCGCATCTGAACCACGGGGTGATTAAGCTTAAATGAAAACAGTTGCCGATATAGATCAAGCGGGCCGGAATTACAAGCATCGATCGTACCCGTTGCAGTGTCGAAAGTCGTGGTCAAAACAGACCGGGTATGCTCGTTGCCAAGTACGATGGCACCTTTTTTGCAATCCAATTTAACTGGTAGGAGTTGAAGCATTTTGGACACTGGCTCCGATAGTTCTGACTCGCGGATAGCAGTCATTTGAGAGGAGATTCCTCCTCTCTCACTCATGCTTCGCTCCGACATCGTTTTCAGGGTGGTTTGGTGACCAGGCGTCTGTTGGAAGTCAAACTCATTTCCAATGCCTTGGTGTTCCGCCGTCGCGCGAGATCCTGGAGGGTTTGAATGGATGTCCAGATCAACATTTTTGGGCGAGTAACCGAATCCAGCAAGAATGCTTTCATACGCTGGAGTCCGATTGTAGACAAACCACTCAAGTCCGTAGGCTTTGATTGTTATCCGACAGGGTAGCTCGGTTCTCTTTTCCCTGCCACCTTGCTCTCCAAGGCTCTCATCTTCATGCCCATCCTGCACGGAGTGTCCATTTCCATTGCCAGTGGTGTCGTGAAGGCCAGTCTTGCGATGAATGCCAGTCAAATCGTTTCGCTCCACCGTGCGTGACCAATAGCGCCATGTTATGAATCCTCCATGGATAAAGATCGTCTCGTTCACACCATGGTACCGAATTCCTTTGAAGAATATTCGTCCTCCAAGTAAAGAGATTTGTAGCGCGTTGATATCGACATATGCTCGGTAGTAGTGCCAGGTGTAAGCTCGAATGGCGTAGGAAAGGAGAGTCGCGAAGAGCCGGTTGAAATAAAGCAGGAAGAACAACGCACTAAACGATCAGTATGGTCCAGCCAAATGAACGACGCAAAACTCACAGAATACAAGACACAATCAGTTCAAGCAAGAAGAACCTAAGTCGGTCAGTATACTAGCCCATGCTGCAAGTCCGCTGCAAGTCCGACACACCAATTGAAGCTCGGATCCGGCGTCAGAAAGGTCGAGGTCAAGCTTGTACTGGCCATTTCTCTCCTCCATGGACGCGCAACAGGCGCGAATAAGCCCAAATCAAATCATCGCCATCCAAAATGGCTGTGTTGCGAATGTCGCAAAGTGAAGATACGTCGGGCGGTGTCACGCGAAGATCGTCATCCCTCCTCATTCCAGACCCAACATTTCTCCAACTCCCTGAAGTCACCATGTTCTGCCCCTCCACGATATGAGATGAGATATTCCTTTGGCAGTACACGGCTATAGATCGTGTTTGTCTCTTTACATCATGACTGCTGCCGGTGGAGGAACAGGCTCCAGCCTGGCACGCGCGATCATTATCGTCGCTGGTGTCTCGGCGTTGGTCTCCTCGCTATTGTCCTTTGTGTGAGTTATTCAGTGCTCTTACTAGAGCTATCATGGTCGTTATACACTTCCAAGCTGACCCTTAATCTCAACTCGCAGCTCCATCTGGTTCCAAACGTACGAGCTCTCACTACCCTGTCACACGACTCCAAGCTCACTATATGTAGCAAAAATTACCGCAAACCACTCCTCCAGCGCTATGTGGTTCGCATATTGTTGATGTCAGTATTTTTTTGGATATACAGCTCAGGGGGGACACCGCAATGCTGATAAATCTTAGGGTCCCAATTTACGCGGCATCATCATGGACGAGTATTGTGTCGCTCAAGGCAGCCCAATTTCTCGATCCTATTCGTGACATCTATGAGGTAGTTCCTATTCCAACAGCCTCTTTAGGTAGCTCATGTTAATGGGTGACTTGCAGGCATTCACCATCTATACCTTCTTCCAACTCCTTATCAACTTCCTCGGGGGCGAGCGTGCCTTGATCATCATGGCCCATGGCCGCCCCCCATCTCGCACGCCTGGCCTCTGAACCACTTCCTCCCAAAGATCGATGTCTCTGATCCCCATACCTTCCTCGCTGTCAAGCGCGGTATTTTGCAATATGCTTGGTTGAAGCCCATTCTAGCTATTGTCTCCATCGTGATGAAAGCGACGGACACATACCAAGAGGGCTATATTGGACTAGGCTCGGGATATCTTTGGACTGGTATTGTGTACAATGTCAGCGTCACAATCAGTCTATACTCCCTTGCCATGTTCTGGGTTTGTCTGCACGACGACCTGATGCCATTCCGCCCGATCCCCAAATTCCTGTGTATCAAGCTCATCATCTTTGCGTCGTATTGGCAAGGGTTCTTCTTGTCTATTCTGCAGTGGCTGGGTGCACTGGGCAGCGTTGCTGGATATACACCAGACAACCTTGCAGCGGCAATTCAGGACAGCCTCATCTGTTTTGAAATGCCGTTCTTTGCCATTGCCCATTGGTATGCATTCTCGTGGCACGACTATGCCGATCCCACCATTTCAGCTGCACGTCTGCCCGTGAAATTCGCGCTGCGCGACTCATTCGGTGTTTTGGATCTGATTGAGGACACTAAGATGACCCTCCGCGGTGACAATTATGAATACCGACTCTTTGACTCGGGTGATAATATCATCCCGCACGCGGAGTCTGGATCTCGGGTGAAGCGAGTCATGGACGGTATGAGATATGAACGAGGAGGGAAGGCGAAGTATTGGATCCCTAAGCCGGGTGAAATCAACAGTCGCACGCCTCTGCTTGCTGGAGAATCCAGTGAGCGTGGAAACAGGAGCAGTCAAAGCTCAAGGGAAAGATTCCGATCGTTCAGTGAAATCGAAACAGCGATGGATGAAGAAGACGAACACTTGTTCCTTAATGCTCGAGCGCTGGAATTTGGAGACTGGAATGTAAGTTCGCCATGTAGCCCAGTTGTGATTGAGATTCTGACGGACAGCAGTACCCAGTGATTACTGCCAACGAGGTGCCAAGAGACCAGCGGTCACCCCCCTCTAGAAGCTATCAAGATTCCAACCGAGGTGGAGATGTCAAAAAGGCCCGGAAGCACAGAAAGGGCCGGGCGTCAGACAGCGAGAGCAGACGAAGCCCAAAGCCAAGACCCAGTTCGGGCGCTAGCTCAAGTACCCCTGGTCCCTTGCAGCGCGAGGCCAGCTCCACAAGCACAAACACGCGAAAGAGCCAGCTAGTGGACCTAGTGGTGGAGAATCGAGAGGCTGAGGAGGAAGACCGAGCTCAGGTACAGCGCGAGTTTGGTTCAGCGCATGCTGAGCCTGAAACCCGGCGTTATTCGTAAGTTTCAACCATTGGCTGACAGATGAAGAAAAGCACATGAGCTAACCCCGGTCTTAATTTCCAGACGGCCCTCTGGAGAGCCAATCGATGAAGAAGCTGAAACGGACCCAGCAGAGTCTAACCACGACCGTGAAGATCGGTCTAAGGCCTGGTTCTACGACGGACTGGAGCAAGACAATGTCTGGGATAAATAAGCGGCGGACTATTCTACGAGTTCTGGAATACCTCTAATTTGGGTCTGATATAGATCTTTAACGTACATATGCATCTTCACGAATTGAGTTTCCCTTTCCCATGACCTACAGCTGGGGCCATGAGTCCGTCTACACTCTACCTTTATATGATCTTGGTGATTAGCCGAGGCATTCGAGCATGTGTGAAAAAGAGAGGCCAAAGTAGGGCGAAAACAAGGCATAAACTGATATACTCGTTGCAAGACTTGAATAGGAAATGTTTGATGATTTGTACAGTATAACAAACCTGCTTGAACGCCGTAGAATCAGGTCAAAACTAGTATGTAGTAGGTCCCATCCCATCATCACGCTCGGCCTCCAGTATGTCCTCGCGAACCTTGTCCATGTCCAAATGATCCATCCAACTACCATACCAATCCAGAAACTCGACAATGGAATCAAATATTGGCTTTTTTGGGCCGTAGGGTGTAGTCGGGCCATCATCAGCCCATTCAGCAGGGTAGATGACCACCCGCCATGCCCAGTCCCTATGACGAGGGTCGTCATCTTCCGCGAACCGGCGACAGTAGGCGTAGGTGCTCTCCCATGCGTCATACCAGATACCAGCATCTTGTTTGCAGCCAGTGCCAGTTCGGAAACCGATCTTCACCTCCAGGTCCTCATCGAGGCTGTCCAAAGCGTTAGACAACCAGTCATCGCATAAATAATCACCCAGCGTTTTCCTCAGCTCTTCTCGGGCTTCGGAAATATCAAAAACAGGCCCCGAGGGCGAGTCCCCCAGCCCCCACACTGGGTCGAAAGAAGGGATGCCCGACAGACGAAAATCCGGATCCTCCACACCATTGGTGTACTTGATGAAAGGAACGAGGTCGTGCGGCATTGGGATATGAAAGCCTTTGTTGTCCTCCTCTTCGTTGTCTCGATAGAAGTTCTCGTTGCTGAAAGCTTCCCAGGTCTCAAGGAACATTTGCCGCCACTCATCCGACACTATCGTTGGTGACTCAACACCATCCATCAGCCTGTGGGAGTAGCTTTTGACATCGGCCCACGAGGTAGCATAAGTTAGGCCACGTAGATAGATAGCTATCTTGCACACCTTTTCTTTGTCGGTCACGTCCATCCCGTCGATCTCATCGTACCGGTCTTGGATGAACTGCCGATTTGAGGCCTCCATTTTGGTGCGGAATCGTGACACAGCCAGCCGCATGGCTTCGCCTGCATCTTTATCGAATTGACATGAGGAGCTCATAGCTGGTAGAGAAGATCAGTGTTTGGCTGAGCATAGTAGACGTTGGAAGAGGATTGGGTTAAATAGTCGCGAAGCCATGAGGTGAATCAGTTTAGTGTCCAGGCTACCACACTGGAGCCTGGAGAACATCGCCAAACTGATGCGCTCAGAAATGAAAGGCTTCAAGGGCTGACATGTACATCTTCAGACTATTTCAAGTCAAGAATAGCAAAATTAAGATGAACATGCAATTTCCGTAAGCGCCCAACTCTCATCACCCTAAGTATAGAGTGATAGGCAAATGTGACAACTCCACCGCATACCAACGAATGACAGCTTGACATTCCACTCCACGGGCGATGATCGGTGGAGCTAACAACGTTGGCGCCAGGATATATTTCTTTCCTGGGATTAGACCCATGTCCCTAGTGGCGCTATGGTGTGTACCTGGTCGCGTTCGGTAAGGCGCTCATGATCCTGACAAGGCCGTACTTGAAGGCCCGTCCCCCAAGGTGGGGTCTCTCTTCGTCTGTCTTCTGTTCTGGTGTCTGTGTCTTGTGTTTTTGTCGCCCAGAGGGCGAGATGGATTAACGAAGCGCTGGTCGCCATGACGTCGCTATTCACTGGTTGGGTGCAATGTCTTTACTCATGTTTGGTCCCTCGCGAGGCTAGTCAGGGAAATCGGACTGAAGAGCGTGGTAAGTTGTGCTACAAACTACATCAATTCGGTCTACTTGCACAAGAAGTACGCCGTACTCATTGACATATTCAGGCGTCGAACGAGAGATGACAGCATGCCATACTCAACCGCATCTAGTTCCTCCTATGAAACTTGTTGTATACGATGACCTCCCCAGTCCAACTATTCCCGAACAGCATCGGCACTCGTTGTCGTCGTGGATCAACGAAGGCCGGCACTTGGCCTCACGAGCCTCTACTCGAGCAAGCATGTCCATGAAGAGGCAATCGACGCCATTGAAGACGCCGTTGCAGATCAGCGCGCCTTCAGACTTCCGCAGAGTGCAGTCCTTCCAGCCCCCTCCTTCAACAAAGTATCGGCCCTTGGACCTCCGTATACATCGATCTGGTAATCGATTATCGGACCTACCTTCTTTCGAGTCTTTCCAAGTCAAGGATGGTTATCGCAAGACATTGCCGGCGCCTCCCCGTGCCCTAACAGTATCGACTGGTGTTCGTGATCGTCGCTGCCAGACTACAGTTGTGGTATCTCGCAAGCCTGTGGGATCTAAGAAACGTCGCTCACTTGGAAACCTAGAGCCATTGCTTGCCGAACAGCCCGTTCGCATCACTAGTGCTCTGATCCCTCATTTCTCCACGGTGACTCCTGTCGAGATCTCTTTCAAAGAGGCCCAGGCGTCATCTCCTATCCACAACAGATCTATATCTGAAGGCAACAGCTTGACGCTGAACAAATTGTGGCCCAGTCAAGGAGATAACAGCCAGGCCTGGGGAAGACCACCTCAAACCCCCACTGCCTCCAAGGAAGTGTCCACAGAATCGGTAGAGACATCACCATCAAAGTATTCTCCAACGTCCAAGGACTCCCCATCAACAGCGAGCTCACGAACAACCCCATCTCAAATCTCATCACTTCGTCGACCCTCCCTTTTCTTCCCAGAAACCAAACCCAAAATCCCAGAATATCCCTCTCTTTCAAACCGCGTCACTCAATGGATGCACCCAACATCCACCGAAGCCACTCCTTCACCCAAACAAACATTCGCACCCAATAAGCCAGACTTTTCCTGGGAACGAACCCGTACTTTGAGTGGGACGACAGTTGCGTCAGCAACAACCACTATCACCGGCGGTGACGCAAAAGCTCGAAACAACAGTTCTATCTCGAGTGTCTTCTCCAATGCCATAACACCTCGCACATCCTTCCAAGGCCCGTTGCCGACAACGGAAAAGGGTCTCGAAGTTGAGCTCTGTCACCCGACTATATTGGAAAATCAGCGACAAGACCTTCCTTTCGCTGCTTACCATGAGGATGAAGATACGCGATACCGGGAGACTGGTATTGGATTGGCTTTTTGAATTCCCTTGAGAGATTTGAAGTCTTTGGGGGGATTATACAAGAGAGGTCAGGAGTCTGCCACTTTTCACCTCTTTTTTGCCTATTTTCAAGTGACTTGGGTGAGCTATTCAGATCGCCTAAACGTAGGGGTGGAAAAGGACTTGTGAGCACTGTTGCACGCAATCTTTTCGGGGCGCTTGATTTTGATAGTCTATTTCCCCTTGTCTCTCTTTTGATGTCTCTTTCTCGTTCTCCTTTTGTTCGAACCATGCTTTTTGATCTTGTTGGATGTTTGAGTTTGGTTGGAATACCCCCTTGTCGATTCTATTTGGTTTATTTGCTTGTCCTTCAAGGGATAATGTCTACGGGTGTTTACCCGCTTAGGGAGATTTTAATATAACCTCGGAACCTATTAGGAAGCTCGCTACCGATGACCGTAGTCTTCTAGGTGATACGATAGACTAGATAGAGAAAGGCTGTCAGCTTGCGATACACGGCTTCACTATCGCAAGGCAGCAAACTACTGGATTGCTCGCCGCTAATGCGAAAACTACGCGTAAAAAGCGGCGTACAAAGACTCTAATAGCCCATAAAGGCAACCTACTAGCTCAGCAAGTTATAGACTATGTTAGGGGCCAGGGTATGCGGATAAAGCTACATCTAATGATGCTGGCGGCGAATCGCCGACGCAGATTTTGACCAATAAGAGGCGCCCGCAGCGATGCAGTCTCTGTAAAACGCCTGGATATCGGAGAAATAGATGCCCAGACAGGTCTGGTAGCTTCGAATTTATTGAATTCGCGTTGTGGTTAGGAGTGCATTGAGTAACAATAGCAAGAAAAATGGGCGGGTGGACCACTCGCCTGAATGGACCACTCGCTTTCCGAATACATTATATTGATAAGGCTGTCGATATAGTCAACTCGACGTCTATCTGAGATATCAAGTCCCTACCAAATGACAGTCAACGTTAATTGTACACAGAGTCCAACGGTAGCTACATGCGGGTATCTCAAAAAAGAACAATATAGCATCCAGACAAAATAGGGCACCAGAAAACAAAAAGGTAACTTATAAGAAAAGTATGTAACAGCCATGACCAAAGCTACCAGGCTCAGTCACACCCATACTCATTTCAATCGGTAGATACGATCTCCACACCGTCCGGCGCAGGAGCACTGATAGATGCATTCTTGCGGTGCTTCTGCATCCCTAGTATCTGCCATGCTCGACCCATCATACCATGACCCAGGCCCTGAGGAAATTCAACAGAACCCTTATGGGCATGTCTAGAAACTCGATCACGGAGTGCACGTTCCTGCTTAGCGGCTGCTAAACGGTCCTGCTCACGCTCGTGGTTGACAATCTCGTCACGCCATTCGGCCCAGTGCTCGAAGTTCTCGCGTTGCTGGAGAACCTGGTATCGGAGACGAGTCTTGGATGGACGCCATGTGGTACGGTTGGCAGTGTTGTCGTCGCCGCTGGCAGGGCGACCCATTGTGGATTTGAGATCTGGGACGTGCGACTCCTTCGTCAGCTTGAGGAGGTGTGACATGACATCTCTGCTTTCGAGGGCGGTGCGTTGGATTTTTTCTTGTTCCAGTGTTGGGCTGGCGCGCGTGAGGGGCATATCGAGCCAGGAGTGCATTTCTGTTGAGCGCTGGACGGAGTATGGGTCGAGGATGTTTGAGCGGCGGTTCTCTTCGCGCAGGAAACGAACGGCTGCTTGGAGGCTTTCTACTTCCGCGCGCAGGGACTCGTTTTCTTGCATTGCTGCTAGGGAAGCCTCACTGTCGATTACGACGCCATCGCCGGTAGTCTTCACACCAGCTGTGCCGGACATGCGCTTCATGCGTTCAAGACGGGTCATATACTCGTCTCGCTCGGTTTCGGCGGCCTGAAGCTCTTTCTTCTGCCTTTCGACGGTCTCCTCTAGTTCCCTTTCTGCTTCCTGGATTTGCTCGATTTGAGCCTCCAGGTCTTTGACCAGGGCTGCCTTCTTGCTTGCTTCGCGCATCCTGGATTCGAGGTGCTCGATCTTTAGGCCTCGTTCCTCAAGCGTGGTGTCTTTCACGCCAAGTGCAGCAGATGCCTCGTGGATTTCATTCTTCAATCGACGAATCTCTTCATCAGCATCCGGAGAGATCGTTTTGTTGGACTTCAGCTCCTCTGCACGAGCAATCCAAGGATTGGCGCCTCTCTCGAATTCGGTTGTGCGAGACAAGTCCGACGAGAGATGATCCAACTCCTCGAATTGACCGCTCAGCTCACGCAGTTTACTGAGCAGCAACGAAACAGGGTCGTTGCTCTCTTCGGGGGTTTCGGAAGATGGGGCAAATGATGCAGAAGCCTGCGACAAACAATCCAGTATTTCCTCCAAGCTGAAAGCCTTTGTACGAGATTCATCGCTGGTAAGGGTTGCAATGTTCTCACCGAGTGCCCGAGCGAATTCTGAAAGTTGCTTGGAGCTGGTCTCGGCATTTTTGAAGGGCTCATCAGCCTCCTTCGGAAGGGCCAGGGACCTGGATTGTAGATCGTCGAGAGACCGGCAGATCTTGCTCATTGCAACCTTGCACCCGCGAGCCTGAGAAACAAAGGAGTCGAGTTTGTTAAGAGCAAACGATTCTTCCTCGCTGCCCTCTTCCGAGGTAACCATTTTGGCCTTGATGATCAGCTTGAGGCGCGCAATTGCAGTGCCAGCATGATCAAGGTATGACTGGGACAAGTGGGCACGCATACACAATTCATCGGCAAAGATCTCGAGGCTGGAAGGAAGAAGGGTTTCGGCCAAGTGCGCAATAAGAGCGATAGATCGCTGTAATTCCGTGGCGAGCTTTGGAAGATTCACTTCATTCTTCTTCGCGTTCTCGATCCAGAAATTCAAAGTGCGCTCGACTGGCTCCATTTCAAACATTGCAATCTTGATGTTTCCGAATTGTTCGGGGGAACAGGTTGTGATGAAGTTCACAAACCGATCACACACATTTGAGATCCACATCAGATGTTCCAGCACCTCATGAGCCTTGAAAACTTCTTCCTGCCCCAAGAGTGCTGCATTCTCTGAGCCCCGGTCGCGAAGCGTGCTGCTGATAACAGTGGCCTTGAATCCGACACGCTTAAATCGGAGTAAAGCCTGTACAGAGTTTCTCTCGCCGTCGAAATATTCTGGCAGATAGAGCTTGACCATCGCAAGGTGCTGTGCAGCTTCCTCCGACTCCATTCGGCTCAATTCCATGTCGATAGATTTGGTCTGAGCCTTCGATGCAGAAGCTTGCAGCTTCATGTTTAGATCCATCATCGCCCGAGACCGCGTGGTGAGATCGGTGGCCTCCGCCTCGGAGATCTGTTGGTTTGCCCGCATGTCTTCCAAATCAGTCTGTAGGTTCGTCACCAATTCTCTGAAGCGAGACAGTGTGTATTCAAGATCTTCAATGACCTCGTCCTGTTGGTTAATCTTTCGACATTGGTCACCGAACACGCCTTCCCGGTAGTCGATCTCCTCCTGAAGTTGTTTCTCGGTTTCGATATGGGTGTACTCCATCTCGTCGCTGATCTCCTTGAGAGATTCCAAGTCCTCAATGGCAGCTTTAAGCTCATTGATCTCTTCCTGGTAGCGCATGTTCTTGTCTGCCAGCTCTTCGATCATTTCTTCGGCGCCGAGCGCAGTCTCCAGCTGCTGCTTGAGATCCTCCACATTGGTCTCTAGTATCAAGAGCTTCTCTTTGGCGGCCTCATAATCAGATTTTACAGCGGAGAATTCCTCGAGGTCCTCTTCCAACTCTTTGATCTGGGCCTTGAGATCTGATTCCTGCTGTTGAGTCATATCTCGCAAACGAATAAGAGCTTCGCGAAGACGTTCATTGGTTTTCTCCATCTGGAGCCATCCATGGCTAGATCTCTCTTCCGGGCTTGTAACCTGACTGAATTCTTCGTTCTCCTCTCGAAGAACCTCCACCTCCAGATTCAGTTCTTCCATCTTTGATCGAATAGCTTCACACTCATGCTTGAAGGCCTCAGCTGTCTCCTCCGCCATCTCGCGGTCAAGAGCAGCCATTTCCATGAGCGATTCATGCTCGGCCTGAATCCGGTCCAATTCATCGAAACGAGCTTCGGTGTCTTTGAGCTTTTTGCGAAGTTCCGTGACCTCCATCTGCTGCGGTTGATATTTGGCTTGCAGCTTCTGAATGATCGATTCAAACTTGTCGCGCTCGGTCTGTATTTGCTCGAGGGTCTTGAGTTTCTCCCTGTCCTCCACTCGTTTCTTCTCCATCTGATTAAGCTTCAGCTGGAGCTCCTCAATTTCTCGGTTCACTGCCGCATTCGAGACTTGACGTTGAGACGAAGATGCCAGGGCTCCAGAGCGTGTGGTTGTTTGACGAGTGGCAGTCATCGACTGTCGAGAAGTCTTGGGCGCCGCTCCTCCACTTGGCGCAGCCTCTCCTTCAGTGTTTGGTGACTCAAGATCGGTTGTGTTCCCAGATTGCCCACCTGTACGGCTGCTCCTTTCATCGGATGCCTTGTTGGCACCGATCTGCCTTGCTGTGGTAGCCTTTGGTGCCGCGGGGCCTGTTGCGCGTGTCGCAGTTTGCGAGCTTGGTCGTGATGTCCGGGTGGCTTGCCCGGATACTGATGGTCGCGCGGTTTTTGGAGCATTAAGCGCTGCAGCAGAGCCTATAGAGGTTCTGCTTGTGGTAGTTCCTCGGGGTCGGGTTGATCCCACGGTAGATGTACGTGGAGCAGTGGTAGTCCCGATTGACGGACGGGCAGTGCCTAGTTGTTTCGTCGGAGATTTGGTGGGCGACTAATTAAGGTACAATTTGTTAGCCAACTGGATGTAAAAAGCCATCATGGTCCGTGACATACTCTAAGAGACGGGCGAGCTGCGGCACCCCTCGGCGCTGGGGTAGGAGTTGAGTTTGCGCTGGTACTTTGTCGTCTGACTGCTGTGGGAGGCAGTCCAGGTTGCTTCCGCAAGCCAGCAGCCTGAGGCGCTTTGGTGCCGGCGGCGTTGACAGCCGGTTTGGTGGTTTGTTTACTCTCCCGCAGCGGTTGTCGTTGAACAACCTTTCCAATGATTGATGGTCGAACAAACATGCCGTACCCAGGCTCGCAATTAAAATATCGCTCTCCTTGCACTGCACCATCATTCTTTCCGGTTGCGTCGTCCAACTCGAGGCCTATCCATTCTGCTTCCGCAAAATGGGTGGTACCGATGAAGCGCACCGTCGCATGTCGTCCATTAGCCAACTCGACCACCGAGCCTACTATTATGTCTTGCCCGGACATCGTGTATTGTTTCAAGAGCCACAGTGAGCTCTTGGGCGAAAGCCGGGGGTGTTTGCTGATGTTGTAAGAGAAGGGAACACGGAGTCAGGAGTCCACTTGACGCGCTCCGCTGATCGACGTCTGCCTGAGGCACCACTTTATACTTGAAACTTACAAAGAACTGCGAAGGGTTAATAGTCTTTTTATCATTGAATCGAGATGTAGTTCTATTCATAAATCCACCAGTCTCGTATTCATGTAACGCTAGGTTAAGCAGTATCCGTAATCATTTGCTTGGGCATTCATAGTCGTAAACCAAAGTCTAACCAAATTGACCAATAGTCGTGCTCTAATCTAAGCAGTATCGCTTTGCTGTTTGAAGACGTGGGGGAAAAGAACCCGTAGCTCTTCGAGATTGGAGATCACGTACTTCGATGCCGGGTTGGATGGTATGGGAATCCCGGGTTCCACCAAGTGAGCTGTAGTCCAGCCCCGGGCAGTCGAATGGACACAGTTCAGGTGGGAGTCATCTGCAGTCTCTTGTTAAACTAAGGCCTGTCAAGAAGGAAAATATGTGCATAGGCGACATACCAACGAAATAGCAGCTTTCTGTTGAAGGGGCGCCGGCTTCCTTCTCCGCCTTAGCGTACATGTCCTGGCTCGGCTTGCAAACTAATGGCAGCTGTCCATAGTCGCAGTATGTAATACCTTCGAACAGGTCTTCAACGCCGAGAAGCTTTACCACACGCTTCGCGTGGTTTACATAGGCATTCGTGAGCAACCACGGTTTCACTTTAGTTGTGTCCAGGTCTTCGAGCAGTTTGCGCAACTTGGGATCGGGCTTCAAGATAGCATCAAGAGGTAAAGCGTCATCAACTTCGTAGTTGAATTCAAGCGGATCAATCTTATGGTGGCGGGTAAGGCCTTCAATGGCTAATCCATACTCTTTGTAATATTTCTGGTGCAGCATGTGGGCGTCTTCCGTTGTAAGATCAAGATGCTTCATGAAGAATAAATCTAGTAGAGGAAAAGAATTAGTCGCAGGTATCAGAAAAAGGGTTTATGTGTCTTACTGATCAACTTTTGCATTTCATCGTGGATATTGCAAGCTAAGCGCGTATACCAGTCAGTCAGAGCTCCAATAACCCGAAGTAAGTGATCCAACCTTTGGAATAGAGCTGCGAAATCAAATCGCATGGGTTAGCGACCTTGAAACATCAGAAGTAGCTCTCATTGACTTACACAGTTGTCAATATCGAAGAAGAAGATCGGCCGTGAGTCACGAACTCCATTTGCGCCGTTGGTCGCCATCGATCTAATATTGCGATATCGCAGAGGCAGGAAAGCAGGAGAGAATCTAGGGACAGTCACCGGTCGAAGAACCCCAGGCACAAACGAACGATACATGTAAGGAAGAGAGTAAGAAGGAAGTGAAGGTCGAAGTAGAGTCCACCTCCTTATCGCCCCGTGATGTTTACCTAATCGGACTTAGCGCCGGAAAACATCGTGGACTCGCTGCAACTCTTCATTTGCTGCTCGTTTTTCCAACTTTGAGAACTTCTCTTCTGTGTAGGAACTGAGCCGTGAATATCTCCCGTGCCTTGACACGTTGGCAGTTGGAGTTATCTGAGACTAGTCTCAGAGCTTCTCAGCCGATTTCTCGGTTTCAACCGTCTCCCTTTCCCCAGGCGCTTCCCTTCAGTCATGGCAGCTCATGGGACAGCAACTCACCTTCCAGCAGGTCCGATGGCAGTGTCAGCACCACTACCAGGCAATGAGCTACGCGAGTATGAGAAAATCCTGACCATCAGCGATGAAATCTTCTCGGGCTCTCATCCTCGGCTCAGGGTCCCGCAACACCTCGTGCGCAAACCCGGATCGCGCAACGGTCAAACCGCCTCTGTTCGACCTCAGTTGCCCAAAACAGCACCGTCGAGGACTACCGTGGAGAAGGTACCTTCATTTGAGACGACCAATCAATCTTACAACAGCTCGCAGAGTACCCCGGCTGGAAATGCCCTATCTGCGGCACCACAGTCTGCCCGTGTAGCTTCAAAACCTACATCTGAGATTGATCCGATCTTTTTGACTAAATCAGATGATTTGGTTCGAGCAGAACTACAGTTACAAAGACAGAGAGTGGAGAGACAACTGCGGGATCAAGTGGAACTGAGGAGGGTGGAAACCAAGCAGAAAACTGCGGTTCAGGACACAAAGCCAGAATTTGACGTCTCGGAAGTTTTCAAACAGGCCCTTGAGGTGGTGAAACCCGTCTCGCTGAGCGATTCGTCAGAGGCCAGTGGCCCTGATGGTCCCGCAAGCGACTTTGACAACAATTCATATTACTCCAGTAGAGCTCCTGATTCGCCTTTGCAAGCTGGAGCACAACAAAAGTCTTCCCCTGTGGCTATTGTTCCACCCGCAGGCCCTGCTCAGCATGGCCCAGTAACCCATTATCCAGATGAGTTGCAGCGACTTGAAGCTCTGAACCAGCCTGGATCTGATCAGGAAATGCAAGATGCTTACCATGTTGCTGACCAGCGTCCCATGTATTCTCAGACTCAGCCCCGCTACCACAAAGCAGAGGATCCCAACCCGTACCACGAGTCACTCCAGATTGAGACCGCAGATGATTCCGAGTACTCCCCGCCTGCTCCAGCAGCGCCCCTGCCAGATGCTCGTGACTACCCTCGTGAGATGGAAGGTGGAAGACAACTCAGAACAGATGTTAGATACATCGACCGATCTCGTGGCCCCCAGAAACCTTCTTCCCCTGCAAACGTGAGGGTAGTTCAAAACCACATCACATCACCAGCAGCTCCCCGGCCATCTCGCGTCTCGCCTCTTGCTACGGCCAAAGTTCCTCCTGTTCAGCACCTTCGCGATGGTCGAGTTGAACCTGCTTCCGAACAAGTCTACTCTGATCCTGATTCTACTCGTGGCAGTCCAGCCAATGCACCAACCCCAGTCATCATGTCTCGCAAGCGGCGCAGACTCCGTGAAGGTGGTGAAGAACCCCGTCAGGTATCTTACAGGACAAGAAATGCAGAGCCTGTGGAGACATACATCAAAGAGGAGCCTGTCTCCCCGCCACCTTTTGCAGACGATCCTACCACTGTTCGCAGCCGACACCCCCAAGAGCGTCCCATCTACATTGATGTGGCGTCTTCACAATACGCCCCAGTGTACGAAAGTCGTGGTCCGCCAATTCGAGAACCGGTGTATGAAGTTGATCCGTATCACGAGCTTTCACAAGACTCCGCGCCTCCGCGCACCATCTCTCGACTCAGCACCAGACGCCCAATTCGAGAGGATGCAGATCTCCGACGAGTTGCCAGTTTACAGTATGCTCGGCAATCAGACTATCCTCGTGAGTACATGGAGGCCCCGCCACGTCCAATGCGGGCAGCATCGTATGTTGTGGAACGCCCGGTTCAGGAGCGGCCCAGGTATTACGAAGAAGCCCCTTCTTACTCCCAGCACCGTTACATCCCTGTGGATGACTTGCCACCACCAACCTATCGGGATCCTTACTACGAAGAGGCGCCCACGCCACGGATGATGGCACCTCAACGTCGGATTGTGTACGATGAGCATGGCAACCAATATTACGAGGTCCATCCAACACCAAGATACCAACCAATGGCTCCTCCGCCGCGACCCTTATCTCAGATGTCGAAGGCCGTCTACGATGACCAAGTTCCGCACCGCACTACCAGTGTTCGCGCGCCCTCGGTTGTCCAAGACCCTTACGTTGAACGCCGCTATTTACAGGAGATGCCCCCGCCCCAGCCAATCTACAGGCGAGTTGCACCGGACTATGCCCGTCCCATATCTCACGCTCATGAGAGACAACCCTACGCAACTCCCCTGGAAGGCCATGAGCCTTACTCACGCAGCGGCAGCGTTCAAGTAGAGTACCTTCCCCCTCGCCACCCAGCTTATCTCGACGAGCGCGGCGTGCCCCAAGAGAGAGTAATTCGAACAGCCAGTGTTCGTCCTCCCCAGCCTCGATATGAGGAGCCACATGAAATTGACCAGCGAGTTGGCAGCGTGCGTCCACCTGCACCTGGTCGTGAAGTCAGTGTTTTCATGGAAGGTAGACCGGTGGGAGAGTACGTCGAGAGACCATACTACATCAGAGACAGACGGTACTATGACGGTGAAGGTGAAGAGGGAGACCACGTTGCATTGGACGGCGCAAATGATACGGTTCAGCGAGTTCGGCATTATCAGTAGCGTGTTTCGCACTGTGTTTCTTTGCACGGCATTTCATGACTTTGTACCTAAACTTATTCTTCAGCGGCTCATATCCAAGCAAAAGTAATGCAGATTTTCAATGTCCTAGATCTATTCTCATTTAAAATCATTCCTTGGTCTTTGGCCGCCATTGTCGCAATTAACCTCATTTGTCCTATATTCACTGGGTTTCACACCTATTACCTATCCCCGTCAATGGTTCTAGGGCTGGCTATGCCACAATCATGATTACTCAACACCGGTAGAAAATGCCGGTTCTCTCGGGACTTGCGAACATGTCACTGCTGCATAAGCAGCTAGGTCGACCAAAATGAAGAAAATACCGTGCAAGATGTGTCCAAGTTCACCTTCTTTGAATCATCCGTTACATAATCCTGAGACATGCTCTATAGCAGTCACGCTTTCGATGAGCTAGGTCAAGTTCCGTCTATCATCTAGTTGCAATAAGCATATGCACCCTCTAGTTTAGTACACCCATTGTCGCAAGTCCTTCTGAATCTGCTATGTTTCCGTGGGCTGAGCAGTAACACCGTGCATCAGCAGGTGCACCATCAAGTTCAGAACCGCAGAAGTAGCCCCTTCCAGATCCAGCGTAGCACTTAGCAACAACAGTAAGGCGCTGCCAAAGCAAGGACAAAAAGCGGCAACAGCTTGACGACGGTGGTTTATTCATATCTTTAAAGTAACAGGTTAGCAGTTCCTTGGAGTAAGCAACACCTGGTGTTTATTACAGAAGGTTTGGATTGTCCTTGTGGGTGGTGTTTATGCCGTGCGTTTCAACAAATAAGTTCTTGAGATAAATTGGTTCATAGGGTTCAATTTATAGTTCTAAGAAGAACGGCCAAATTTTGAACGATCGATCGGCGCTATGTGCATACTGAATTATGGGACAATCTACACGAATACGTTCCGGTTATCCGTTGTGAAACTTGCATGTATATACTCTTGTCTCCCACATCCATAGCAGTAGCTCTTGCATAAGAAGCTCTGCTTAGATTACATATGACACGGGCTATTGTTTCTGGCCATCTAATCATTGATTTATCTACAAAGTCAGCGGAGATACTGTATTCGTACCCTGGGGAAAACATATCCGGTGAATGTAAGACTATGGTTGGTTCTGGGTGTAACGGTGAGATTTCGGTGTAGCCTTGCTAAACTGATTTTACATCATGATTGATTATGATTGATACTGATCATCTCGCGAGGAATTCTTCTAATTTATGTCTATGTATTGTGGGCTGAAAAGGCATTACTCGAACCGTGGAGCTCAGATTTCGCTGATCTTTGGCGTTCATGGCTGGATGCAGATCAGTACTGCAACATTGTACTCGGCACGGTCTTTTAAGGTCCTCTGTTTTGCAGTCTATTCAGAGCTTTGGCTTTTGACAATCAGGTAGTGTAGTTAAGCAGGGGTATGGGATCGCTCTAATAATGGAAGGCTGGAGCGGCCATCGTCAAGATACAGTAGTCTGGGGCTGTTAGCCTTACCCATACTCATACGCTGTCTTCTGACTCGGAAGACGTCTTATGGATTATATGCAAAGTATACAGAGTTTTTGACCACATGAATAATTGAGGACACAGTCTAATCAACGTTATCTAGACATCATCTTGGCATATACAGGTACCCACTTGCAGGGAATAAGATGAGCAAATAACGATCAACGAAGCTACTATGATTGGGTTGCTGGTTGTCATGTGGTATACTTGATGCATGTTTATCTTGGAGATATCTGTCGTAGGATTATTTGTTTTTTGTGTAGAGATACCTACGGGGTGGAGATGTATTGTTGAAATGAGATTTCCAACGTCAATCTATTTCAACCACCAGCCGGGTATATACATTATTCTAATATATATTAACTCTATTAAGCAATAATCCATACTTTATAGTCCTAAATCAGACCATACGGGCGAGGGTGGATGCTGACTTTTAGTACACAATCACGTGACAACCGTTGGTTTCACCAAAAGTACACTTCAACGCCCAAAACAAGGCATACGAGTAGAATTACTGTGTGGACCAACCCTGCAGCACTGGCTAAAAGGATCGACATAGAAAGTACCAAAAAAGAGCAGATAGTGGCGACTCGAGTAAACCCGTAACAGTTCCCCCCCTCAATCTTCATTAAACTGGGGACGGGACCAAAAGCAGTCTGGTTTTGAAAACACACTCCCCGGTCCACCCAGTCGGATCTCATTTCGAGTCAACTGAGTCGACCCACCACTATACGAGGACATGACGTCGACTATTTGAGGGGTCAAGATGTGCATGTACAGCTGTACAGTTATACCTTGTGTGTACTGTATGTACGAGAGTCCAACGCCTATACCCCTATGGAGAACCGGATGCATGAACAAGTGCCCCGAGTCCAACAGCCCAGGCATCAGCATCAAGCTCCACATGCCTCAGTTCCCTCCGGGCCAGCCGGTGCATTCAGGTGCCCTATCAGGCCCAAGTGCCAGTGGATCGGGAGTACGGAGGCATACAGGGTTCTGTCTCCCGGGGCCTATGAGATGATCGACCCGCGTATTACGGGATGACTCGGATCCCGATCTGGCCAGTGCCTGAAAACCCGCTTCTGGACACTGACACTGGGCTGGACTGGGACATCTGGGACCAATGTCTTGCACAGCCTGGAGGACGCGCAAGAGATTCAGCTGATCACGTGACCCTCGCTAGAGCTGCCAAGAAGACCCTTGCGAGTGCCATTCTTCTGCTCTGGCAACCGTTGGGGGTATTGGGCTGAAATGGAATGATTCCTTGTATATTAGCTAGCTAGTTAGTAGTATAGTGAAGTTGTTAACTCGACCTTATAAAATAAGTTACCAAAAAGAAGTCATTGTAGACCCGTAAACTATAGACTTAATTCTCAGCTCTCCCTATTTCTATTTCTATTTCTCTATGTTTTATTTGTATTTACTATTTGGATTTCCTTTCCCAATTTCTATACTATTCCACTTGTGTTCGGTCTAGAAGGTGTTGGTTGGCCCGATCTTCGTTTCCACCATTCCCGCGAAACGCCCACACTGGCCATTCCCATCCCTGTCGAGAACGGCCTTCTTCCCACCTCTCCCCCCCCCCCCCCCCCAACCTCCATCCACCCTCTCTATCCCCTCGACTTGCTCAAGGGGTTAGAGATCTTACCCTGGTCATGCACAAGATCTCCAACTTTACGGGCCAAGCCCGTCATGGTTGGGAACGAATGACGCCGACTTTCGGGATGTCCAGACCTCACACCGACATGGCCTTTCGCCGACCACACGGGGCACCGCCCATGACGCCGCCGACGAGTATCGATCCTACTGTCAATCTGTCCTTCAACGTCCCCTTTTCATCTACCTTGGCCGGTCCCGATGTAGAGGACGTGCTTCACGCTAGTCCCGGCGCTCTCCAGCGCTGGACCTTCCCCGAAGGCACCCCCGAAGGCACATCTGTGCACCAGCTCCCCGTTCATACGAATAACGTCGAAGGTCTACAGAGACTATGCCGGAAGATCACGGAGGAGAAGGGAGGCCGAGTGGAAGCAACACTGACGACCTCCGAGGCCAAGGCTGTACCTGCGCTACAACGCCGGCCAAACGGCTTGGTAACCAACGTTTGTGTCACTGGTGATGGAGAGATGGCGCGCAAGATGCGTGCCAGAATCTTGAACGAGACTCCGATCATGCTGGTACGTGGATGAATTTTTTTGTGGTTGCGGCTATAGCAAGATTTTCAGCTCCACAGACAGCCCTTGCTAACTGGCCGTGGAACAGCGATGTGCCACCGTCGACGTGGATATGCATCTTATTGTGGATGGATCACCCAAGGGCATCCGAGCTAGTGTCCTCGAGCACATGGATACCTTGGCTGCCTACACCGGAGCCGACATTTTCCTGCTGACACCCAAGCTCCACGATGCGGACAGTGCTGTGGTCTCTTCCTATGGATATGCGTCAGATAACGGGCTAGACCAGCGCTTCCGAGTTGCTATTTACGGTGATCTGGAGAGCTCGGAGCATGCCAAAACCCGGGTGCTGATTATGATCGATCAAATTGTACGTCTTTTGTGTGAGAATCTCGAGGGCGACAAGCTAACCGGAGAACAGCTCAAACGCCATGTCGACGCCATCAAACTGGACTCGACCATGCACACCTTGGTCTGCGGTCGTACTCGCAAGAATATTAAGCTTATTGAAGCTGCTACCGGCACCGCTATTTATTTCCCTCCTCCCTTCCCCCAAATCTTCGGTTATATACCCCCCGGTGCGAATCGTCGAAGCGAAGACGAGGTTTATATTACTGGCGAGACACCCGAGCAGATTGCTCGTGCAAAGCAGAAGCTGCGAGAGCTGGTGATGGGAGTGAAAATCTTTGTTAAGGATGTGGTTGTCAGCTCAAGCAAGATTGACAACATTCTGCTCGACCGTCTGGATAAGGTTCGCAAGGTGATGGAAATGAACGGATCATACGTTTTGTTCCCCCAGCTGGGCAGCCAGCGTGGACTTGTTCGGATTCAAGGCACCGAGGTGTTGCACGTAGAGCGGACCGTCAGAGAGATCATGGCCTTGGTGAGTGATGCCATGAAATTGTTGTCGAAATTGCTAATAATTGTATAGGCTGGTCAGTTCTACTCTGCCTCATGGTGGATCATCATGCCGGACCCCGCGCAAGGTGGTCTCCGTGCTCCCTCGACTGCCGACATCCGCTCCATGCTATCCGATATCTGCACAAACTCCGAAGCGGAGGTCAGCTTTGACAACCTGACCTTTACCATCAACGGTTCAGATGATGCAGTCAAGGCTGCCATGACAGTCATCAACCAGATTCCCTTCGTGATGCGCAGTCAATATCAGATGCGTGTGAAGATTGAGCTGGCCAACGAGCACAAGGAGTTTGTCAGTGGTAAAAAGAACGGCAAAATCAACAAGATCATGGGACAGAGTGAGTATAAGCAATGTCTTTATGTGGAGTGTTCTGCTAACTCGTATAAAGGCAACGTCCAGATCATCTTCGACGGGTTCAACGAGTACAACTTCTATATCGACGTCTGCGGCAACCAATACGAGTCGACTAAGAATGGGTTGGATCTGGTGGAGCAAGAGATGCCTGCTTCCATTTCCTTCCACGTTCCGGACCAGTACCACAAGCGGATCATTGGAATTGGTGGACAGCATATCCAGCGCATCATGAAAAAGTACTCTGTCTTCGTGAAGTTTTCCAACGCCATGGACCGCGGTGGTATGGGCAAAGAAGATGACGACATCAAGGTCGACAACGTTATTTGCCGGACCCCTGCTCGCAACGCCCAGAGTTTGGACCTTGTCAAGCAGGAGATCATGGACATGGTCGAGAAGGTTGATGCTGAATACGTCTCCGAGAGAGTCGTTATCAACCGTCTGTACCACCGTGAGCTGTTGGCCCGCATGACTGAGATCGACGAGCTGGAGAAGAAATGGAACTGCAAGATCGAGTTTCCCAGCACCGAGCTTGCCAGTGACGTTGTGACTATCTCCGGCCCCGAGTATCAGGTCCCTCAAGCGGTTGATGCTCTGCTTGGCATGGTACCAGAGAGCCACGAGCTTCACTTCCAAAGCTCAGTGGAACTCCGTGACTACTTCAAGTCCGTCGACTTCATCGCTGACGTCCGGACCAAGCTCAAGGAACAGTACGAGGTCGATATCAACGTTGACGTTGGGGCTGATCTGCCTACCACTCCCGAGGAAGAAGGCTCTTCGCCCGTCCCCGGCCCGGAGGATCGTGTCGTCCTTGGCTATACGCGCAACAACGCTGGTGGCCTGAAGGATGCCATCGACTTCTTGATCTCCCGTCTGGTGGGCCACGGACTCGACGCTAACACCGTCAAGGGTGCGATCCCTCGCCCAAAATCCGACTCGTTCGAAGAGTCCCTGCCCTTCTTCGACTCAAAGCTCCTGCAGCACGCCCCGGCGCCCCTCTCGACTGACTCGCCAACCCGCCCCAACTTCTCCGATGAGACCAGCGAGCGAGGCTCGATCTTCGAGCGCCTCCGCAAGCCCGGAAGCATCTCGTCCTTCTCCTCGTTCATCGGCCGCAAGAACCACTCCGCCTCCCCCGGATCGTTCTTCAAACACGCCTCCAGTAATGCCTCCAAGGCATCCCTCGTCTCCATGGAGTCTCGCGACAGCGGCTACCGCAACCCATGGAATGATTCCGGCGTGAACCTCGCCGAGGATGACGTGCCCGTCCTCGGCAGCTCGCACAGCCACAAGTCTAGCAACAGCAACGGCTGGCCCACCCGCTTCGACGCCAAGTTCCCCTTCGGCACTGCGCCCGGCGACATGACCCCCAAGCATGACCTGCGCACCTCATTCGACTCTGGTCGTCCAAGCACCTCGAATTCTACTTCTGGATACCCGGCCCCAATTGGGCCACCGCGTTAAACCCAAAATATCCATTTGCAGCAGTATACCCTTTTTTGGTCTGAGTTCTTGTTCTTGTTCTTGTTCTTGTTTCCTGTTTGTTTTGTCTGCTTCTTATTCCCAGCGTGATTCTGAATTTACTTTTTCGGTTTGTCTTTTTTTGTCCGATTTATTGATTGATACCACGGAACGCAAGCAATGAAGGCGTCAGAAAAGAAAACGAGATATCCAAGATCTGCGATCGAGCGGCTATTGATGTCCTCCTGGACTATATGATTCCCGCTTGAGATTTGTCTTTTTTATGTGCGCATTTGTCGGAGGAATTGGATAGTCTGAATTTCTTGACCTTCGGATCAAGATGGGATTTGGGAGTTCCGATAGTTTGTTTTACTCTTTTGATATCCCTCATCAATGAGATTTTGCCATGAGATCTGTGCAGTGCAGTCAAGAGTACACGAGTGTATGGAGTAGCCTTAGCTCGAGCTACGAGCATGGGCTGCACTCTGTGGGTCCCGTACTGAAGGTACAATTTCTGTACCTCGTCAATTGTGAGTAATCAATTCATTGCGGTTCTACTGAAAGTATTGGATCATATTTAGGTAGGTTCTTCCACCTTTTCGCCTTGAGCAGGGTAGATCCTGGTAAGTGCAATGGAGTTTCCATTTTGCCTTCACTTAATACCCACTCTATAGCTTGTTTGAGCCTCACTAGCCATTCCTGGCTAGACTGTACCTAAACAAAATATTTATATCCAAATCTATCATATGCACAAACACTGGACATACATTGACAATGGCCTCACTCGGTCCGTGACCTTAAACCCCGCGAGTGACGTTAACGTGGGGTCGAAGTACATTAAAACGCCCAGTCCCCCAGAATGCAACTTCCCTCAGACAACAATCCAAACAAAACTTAGCCCTTCATAAACATCAATAATCAAACCAAACAAGTATCGTCAAAATGGCAACCTATCCCCGCCCAGACTTCCAACGAAGCCCTCTAAACTGGTCCAGCCTCGACGGCCCCTGGACATTCACATTCGACGACGCAGACAGCGGCAAAACGGAGAAATGGCATAAAACAAGCATAGCCAACAGCAGCGCCAAACGCGAAATCAACGTCCCCTACGCATTCCAAACTTCAGCCTCTGGAATTAACCTCCTCGAAGCGCACGAGGTAATGTGGTACGAGCGCAGCATAACGGACATCCGCAACGCAGACGACAAAGCAAAAGGAAACAGACTCATCGTGCGCTTCGGCGCAGTCGATTATGAATGCGAAGTATGGATTGATGGATCATTCGTCGGTGGACATCGGGGCGGACATGTCCCCTTCGACGTGGATGTTTCCGATGCATTCGATGAGGGGAGGAGTGAAGCGCGTCTCACGCTGAGAGTTAGAGATTCGCCGTTTGATTTGACTCAGCCGCGTGGTAAGCAGTTCTGGAAGCCTGTTCCTGAGAGTATCTTCTATACTCCTTCTGGTGGGATTTGGCTTTCTGTTTGGTTGGAGAGTGTTCCTGCTATGAGGATTGCGGGCGGGTCTGGTGGGACTGTTTTGCGGTCTGATGATGTTGATGGTGGAGTGTTGCATGCTCAGGTTGGTGTATTGGGACGACGGGTTGGCTCTGAATCTGCCGCCAAGGTTGAGGTTGAGGCGAGCCTTGGTGGAATTTTTGTTGGCAAGACTGAGAGCGAGCTACCGCGGGATCAGAATATCGCCAACTTGGATCTCAGTATGAAGGTGGACAATGCGAACGCGTGGCAGAGACAGGAACCATTCAATGTAGACGGTGCCTGGCATGATGGTGTGGCACTTTGGGCTCCGGAACATCCCATCCTCTACGATATCATACTGCGACTTTACAACACCACAGGCAATCTAGTCGACGAAGTTTCAACAACGACAGGCATGCGAAGCCTCTCCTGGCAAACAGGCGACGGAACATTCCGCCTAAACGGCAAACCCTACTTCCAAATGCTCTTCCTGGACCAAGGCTACTGGCCCGAAACAGGAATGACGCCCCCATCATCCGATGCACTAAAGACAGACATCGAGCTTGCCAAGAAAATCGGCTTTAACGGCTGTCGCAAGCATCAGAAAGTCGAAGATCCCCGATTCTACTACTGGGCCGATCGACTCGGGTTTGTAGTTTGGGGCGAGATGGCGAACGCGTATGAATTCGGCGGAGAATATGCCGAGCGGTTTACGAGCGAGTGGAGCGAAGCCGTGAAGCGTGATATCAATCATCCGTCTATTGTGACCTGGACGCCTGTGAATGAATCCTGGGCTGTTTCCGCGTTGAAGAGTAATATAGAGCAGCGAAATCATGTTCGCGCTTTGTATTACCTGACGAAGTACGATCTATCCCATATTCATCCTCATATATATCAGCATCAAAATGAAGCTAACAAATCCAGAAACCTTGACCCAAGCCGACCTATTAACGACAACTGTGGCTGGGAACATATCAAAACAGACTTGACCACCTTCCACGATTACAGCGACAGCCCAGAACTAACAACCACATGCACAACCATGACCGGAATCCTAGGACCAAAGGCTGGCCACGACATGTTCGCACCACCAATCTACAGTGGCTATTCTGGTTCCGTCATTCTAGACGAGGGCGCGAGACATACGCCTGGCGCACCGGTTATCTGTTCTGAATTTGGAGGAGTGAATATCACCCCGCCGAAGGATTCGAAGGAGGCCGGTGAGCGGGATTGGGGGTATACTACTGCTAGTGACCCCGATGATTTCCTGGTTCGGTTTGAGAAGTTGGTTATGGGTGTTGTCGAGGGTGGGCATGTCTGTGGGTTGGTTTGGACGCAGTTGTGAGTTTTTTGTATCCTATATCTTGGAACTTGGATGGGAAGGGTGAATGCTAATATGGTTGTGTTTAGATGTGATATCGAGCAGGAGGTCAACGGGTTATACACCTACGACCGCAAAGATAAGGTCCCCGCCGAGAAGGTCAAGGCTATTATGGATGCTGCAAAGGATTATTATTATGGGCATGTTAGTAGTCACCACTCGAAGGGTTTGAGGAAATTGTTGGATCAATATAAGCATGTTGTGCTCCGGAAGTAACTTGAGTTGGGAGCGTGGGATGTGACACTGGTGTTTGAGACTCTGAAACAGTGTAACTGGGTAGGAGAATGTCTTATTGATTTATGTGGCAAGGTCGTAGGTAGATTGGTATAAAATGTCCTCATGAAGTATTGGAATAACCCTTGACGAGATTGCTGGATAGTATCACCGGAGCCTGATTTGCATTTTCTCTATCCTTTGCACATCTCTTTTGCCGGTTTTCAAATATATCAAACCCGAAGATACTCGTCCAAACCACAGGGAAAACCAACTAAACATGAAAATCTTTCCTACGGTGTATGTTCCCCAGCTAAGTTACAGTGACAAGTATGATACACTAAAATACTGCAAGCCAAAAAAATCAATTGAAAATGACCATTTGAATACATTTTAATCCGCTAAGAAAAAGATCTCATTAATGTAAAATTAGTCGATGACGCTGAATGCTTCGCAGAAACCCCAGACCCGAATAAGAAACTCCAGAACATGCCGAGAGCGGAAAACAGAAAATACAAAAGTGAGACAGACATGATGAGAAGATGGAATGCAGATTGCAAGTTACAAAGATCAAGATGGATAGAGATCGAAATCAAAATCACATGTTGGCCAATTCCTGATCAATCTGTCTGTCCAGGAAAGCACGCTTATCACCCGTAAGGGAAGTTTGCAGACGCTGTTCAACAAGGACGCGAACCTGCTTTTTGGTAACGGTGTCCAGGTCGACTTCAGCCAGACAACCGCGAATAGCCTCGGCAATGGAACCCTCGTCGGGACCACTACCAGCACGGAAGTCGAAGGCGGTACTGGCAGGGCGAGAGGAGAATTGGCCAAGTGGACTGCGAGAGCGGGAGATTCCACCGAGTAGGTTATCTGTGCTCTGGCCAAGTCCGACGCTGTGGCGACTGGCGTTGGCGGGGTTATCCTGGTAAGCGCTGAGACCGCCCATTGACATGTGCCTCGATGCTGAGGCGGAGTGGCCGCCCACTTGGGCGCTCATGTGTGGCATATCTGTGTACCGAGAGAAATTGGACATGTGGGAGTTGCGGTTGCCTGGGACGTTACCGCCGACGAAGGGAGCTGGCGACTGGGGAGGCATGTATGGCTGGTGACGGCCCTGGCCGGGGAATCCGGTCAGAATTGTAGAGGCAGGCTTGACGGATGAGTATTGTGAGTGCATGTCGTCCAACTCCATGGCCATGTCGTCGTACCGGCCGGTGTAGAAGACTTTCTCTTGGCTGGCACCGAGGTCGCCGCGGCGGCCGGGGAGGTTGTTGGCCATGGCGTAGTCGTCCCAGCGTTGGAGGGGAATGCTGCGAGGGTCGAAGGGCTCATCTTCCACGGCAATAACACGCTTGTCACCCTTCTCGCCGATGACGACACGGGTGTTACCCCATGTGAAATCGTCTTGCTTCCAGAAGGAGTACAGGGGCAAGATGAAGTTGTAAATTGGGAAGGCAATCAGATAGATAATCATCCATCCGATGTGCTGCCACTGACGCTTCACAATGAAGATGATTGCCTGGAGACCATACACACCAGCCAACATGACAATTGAGATCATGGGGAACGGTCCTGTGCCACTGGCGACGCGGTAGATCAGGTAGCCAAGGTAGACACAAGTGGCGGGAAGAATGATAGTTCCTAGCAAATCGACAAGAACGACGAAACGCATACTGAAGCAGCAGAAACCGCAGAGATCGTTCAGGTATGCCAGTTCGACCAGGTTGTGAATTGTAGAGTTAATCCAGCGACGTCTCTGCGACAGCAACACACTCCAGGCTTCGGGAGCAGCTGTACTAGCGTAGGCATCGGGAATGAACTTGTAAGACATGGTCGGGAAATGCTTGGTCATGATAGTTGTCAGATATCGATCTTCACCAAGAGAGAGAAGGTTCTTCTTGTGGAGAGTATCGACGTCGTTGTCCGCGTAGTCATGAATGACCTTATCCGAAATGATAAGAGGGCGTCCTTTGTCCGCAGTACGAAGACGGTACATGGTGAAACTGTAATTGTTAGTATAGGTTGGTCAACGGAGAGAATGAGACTTACCATCCAGGAAGACAAGTAACACTGCCGAAGAGCGATTCGAATGCCTTGGCCAAGTGATGCGAGATATAGTACTCGTAAACCTGAATCATGGTCCACCAACTACGCTCCTCGTTTTGAAGACTGGTCTCACCACATATACCGGCAATCTTAGCATCTGCCGCACAAGCAGCAACCAGGCGATTGAGAGAATCCTCCCTAACAGTAGTGTCTGCATCGACCATGAGACAGTACTCGTACAGCTCCGGGTCCACACCGATAACGTTGTTAATTTGGTGGAACATTTCCAGTTCGAGAGGAGACATAGGCGAGCGGTGGTGAACACGGTTGAGGAACTGCATGAGAAGAACCTGGGTATCACGCTTTCCACGGTTACCCGGCTTGGACTTCCGCTGTTCAGACTCCTTGCCAACCTTAACCACAACAATATAAGGCACGACGTTACCCTCGTATTCGTAAAGACCAGAGTAGACCTTGCCATAGTTCAGCTGTTCACTACCTTGACCAAGGGACTTGCAAGGCAGGGCAGGTGGGTCCATCTTGGGATCAACTCCAAGGATATCTAGAACGATCTTAGGCGTGGGGCGGTCGTTTCCACCACCAACAATCATACCGTCACAAATGACGAAGATCAGCTTTCTCTTGTTGTCATACTGCAAAGCAGTCAGAGAGTCGAGACCCTTGCGCAAATCGTTCTCACCCTCAGTGTAAGCAGGAACCATGCAGATAACAAACTTATCCTGGGGAGTAGGCCGACGCTTGGATCCCAGCTGCAGGGCTGCCAGGAACTTTACGACAATGACAGCGCAAATGAGAATGGTGAAGGCGAGCAAGATCCAGTTGTTCACAGTGCAGCGTGGAGTATCACGGAAATCAACCTTGCCTTGATAGAACACATAGTCAAGACAAGTCTGAGCGTTCTTGAAGTCCGTTGTGTCCTGCCATTTATCGGTGACATCCTCGCCCATGTGTTCCTTGAAGAGTTTTGTGACAGATGTCGGCAGCCAGTTGTACTGGTCGAGGTTGTTCATAGTTTTGAGGGTGTAGAAATAGTCCGTCAGATCATAGATCTTTTGGTTCACAATCACCCAATAGCGAGCGTCATCGTTGGCCTGCTTCTGAACAGTTTTCCGGGTCCAAACCAAAGGACCCTTGTAGTAATCGCCGATCTTGGGCAAGAACACGTCTTCATACCAGGTAATCTTGTGCAGTGCAGTGGTTGTAATTGGCTGTTGGGTGGGGCCCGATTTGTGCTCGGCCGTAGGGTAGGTAATAGCGTCTGTATCGTTGTGAGAAAGAGTAATAGAATCGTCATCGACAAATGAAGAACAGTAGCGGGTGAGAGGAGGAGGGAAGTAGGCGTCTAGATTCAGGCCTGCGAACTGTTCCATATTTGAGGAACTGGTGTCCTCTCCGGTAATATCACTATGCTGTTGACGATAGAACTTGCTGATATCGTAGACACGGCCGTGGATACTGACGAAGAAATCATTGCTTGTTGTGTGCCAGCCGACCTCCTTCTCGTTCCACACCTTGTCCTTGTTGGGACAGAGAAGGTCACCAAAGGCGATGATATAGAAACAGACAATTCCGTTAAAAAGCAAAATCAGAGCGACCAGAACCAATTTTTCCCGCCAAGCGAAACGCACATCAGGGCGCTTCATGCGACCAACGTATCGAAGCACAAAGGAAGGAATCCAGAAAGTCATAGCCCAGACGAAACCGGCCCAGAGTCGACGGCCCGCAGTGATTGTTTTCTTCTCAATGTGCTTCGGGTCACCAAACTCAGGGTCATATTCACCAATATAGTTGCCATACTCGTCGTAGTATGCGATATCTCCTTTCTTGTCATCACCCTTGCGACCAAGACCATAATCACCACCAGTAGCACCAGCCTGGGTGTATGGCGCACTGGGAGCAACGGACTTGGCACCGCCCATGACACTGGGTGCCAAAGTGCCGGCATGTGGCATGGCAAGAAGGTTGGTTGACTCACCCATGGGAGTACCCTCGGGAGTGTATCCAGTTTCATACATGGCAGGGCCATACATGAAGGGATTGATTGGAGCTTCCTCTGGCTTGAGATCCAGCATACTCTCGGCCTCCCACCAGGCACCTTCCCGCATCCAGACACGCTGTTCGCCCACAACGGCGTCGCCATTGCTCCAGCCTCTCTCGATGATCCAGTTCTCGACACCATCCTGGCCCTCGGCACAACCGAGTCGTGCATACCGACCAACGAACTCCTCTACATCGAAGTCTGCAGTGAAATCGAGTTGTTTCAGGCGACGGTTGGCCCATTCTGGGAGACGCCAGTCACGCAATTGACGAGACACTGCACCGGCGGACCATGTGGAACCTGTGGCCGATGCAAACTGTTCTGGCATGTCATCAGTGGGGTGAAGGGAGAGATGGTACCACACGCGACTGCTGTTGAGGGTGGTAGCAAGGTCGAAACGGCCCCGCTTGCCCACGGAGATACCTTCGGTATCGACGGGGAAGAGGATGCGTCGGAGGAAAGCATCGACCTCAAGTTCCACTCCGATCTTTTCCAAAACACCCTGCCGTTTATCAAGATCGTGTTCGCGTTCTCGGCCAGCAGAACCAGTAGTGATTCCGAGGTCAGGTTCCACCTGCGCCACCGCGGAGTTCATCTCACTGATGACGGAGCCGCCAATGGGTGGGAGCGGAATTCCATCATCCTTCATCTCAGCATTGAGTCCAAGGGCATCGTCGAAGACGCCTTGCATCATGATGGCTTTGGCTAGAGCGGGTCTGGGGACATCAACTACAGTAAGACTTACGGTGTCGTCATTTGACCATTGTGCTCCAGTGCCCGAGTCATTATCCAAAGCAATCTGGAGATCGGCCGCGATAGCCTCGTTGGCCTTGGTGATAACCCAATCGACGAGAGCTTCATAGATTCCTGCAATGAGAACCTCGCGCTCATCAGTGGAGCATTTGTGCAGGAGGATCTCAGGATCAATTCCGAGAAGACCACCGGCATCCTCGCAGACCTCCTCCAGATCTTCTTGGTCCACCTCGAAGCCGACAGCGTTTCCGAGCTTCAAGAGACCAGCGAGTACGCAGAGCAAACCACGCTGAGAAGCGCCTTTGATACCAATGGCCTTCATACAGGCTCGGAAATCCTCTGCAGCGGCAGCATCGTCGGCGGTGGGAAGGTAGGAGGGAGGAGTGTAGGTGTTGGATCGGTTAAGCAGGATGTATGCAGAGTGGTCTTTCAAATCCAAGAATTCACGTTCTGCGGCGGTGGATGCAGATGTGAGGAGATAGTAGAAAGCATCGAATGCACGGTAGCCGGTCTCAGGCTGAATCTCCAAAAGACCTTTGCGTACATTGATGCCGGAAGTGGACAGAGCAAGAGAGAGACCAACAACCGATCCTGGCAGAGTCAAGGTATATGTAGCAGCCAAAGCAGAGTGGAGAGAATACGAAGGATTAAATGAGGTAACTGCAGTGAGGAAAGGTCGCAGAGCACCGAGTGCTGCAAACGCTACCTCCGGCGTTTCAACCGGGATAGATGTGAGGAACGGTTCCAGTAGAGATGGAGTGGATTGATGGAGAGCACTGTTCAACATTAGCATTGAGTTCTCGAATCATTAAGTGTTTGACATACCCTAGAACGATGCAGCCATCTTCAGCTCGTCGTCGGGCATGTTCCCAAGCCCGGATAGCCAAGTCACGGTCGACTGTGGCACCATTCCGCCCATCAGGCAATGTGGTAGCGGCGGTCACCCATGTGTTCACGACTAAACTGGTAGCTGAGTCCAGCTGGTATGGCTGACCAGCGGTATAGAACGAATGCAAGGCATTCAGCAAGGTTGTTGTCGAAACCTGTGACCCATGTTGTGGCCGCGGTCCGGCCGAAAGACCGGCGGACTGGGTCGAGAAGACCGAGTAGCGGTTCGACATGACTGACCCGTGATCGGTGATTTTCAAGGCAAGATACGATGTCTGGCCTACGCGTTATCACAGCCGCATGAGGGAACTTGTTGTTTTGGCCGAGGTTGAGAGATGGGGGAGGAGATCGAGGAAACACAATAGTGATCAGCAAGTCGAGGTGAAAAGAAGATCGGGTTGAGAAAACAGGTTGAGCGAGTGGCTGGAGAAAGAACTCCTGAAGGTGAGAGAGAGGAAGGAAAACAGATGGAGACAAACAGAGAGACAGAGAGCTGTGGGGAGAAGAAAGTGAATTGAAAAATACAGGGCTCCGTACGGGCGATCCCGATCTGCCTCCCCAGTCTCAGCTAAGCTTTGGGGTCCAGCAGATATTGACAAATACAGAATTAGTATTGAGACTGAAATAGATTCATAATACAAGTTAACTATTTAATTGTGAATATTTATGTCCATTTGTGTGTCTTTGTTTGAATATCCGTATGTTTGTTGCTCTTTCACCCTGAATAGCTTGTATATTCCAGCCAATGAGGGATGAGTATAAAGCTAAACAGATCTGTGTCCAGTACTGTCACAGCTATATTTGGCATGTCTCACTCTTTTTTTCCTCCCAGATGATCACTTCGCCACTCTCCACTGTGTGACTCGGGCCTATTGTTAGTCGGGAATGTCATCTGAATTAATCCCGTAGGCCGAGCGCCCCTAGTTTCAGACGGTTCCAAGTCTAGCTTGCGATCGGTCCACTCGGAATTGCACATGTTACAGAGCTATTAACTCGGCTATAATTCTTATCTTTGTCTTTATTTTTCTTTCACTTAACTATTAAGATTCAATATCTGTATTCAGCAAGGAGGCAATACGAGTAGACAGGTACAATCGACATGTCTGGTCTGGACCCTGAGTATTCTCCTGTCGGGTACATATCAGTGGAGAACTATACTTGAGACCCTGATCCGTCCTAGCGGGAAACATCTCTTCTCTGCTATTCTCTCCTTTTCTTCCTCTTGTTCGCTAACTTTTGTTTTCTCCCAATTACCTGAATCCTATATTCCATCGTACTGTTAGCTGCAATATACTTTAATAGTAACCCGACCCAAGTAAATAGCTGACCATAAGCATGCGGTACAGCACTAGGAAAGTGGGTAAGACAATTCCAATGAAATACTGCAATTCTGTTTGGCCTATTCTTAGCGGGGCTAGTATTTTGCAATACCGGTATGGTATTCCCCGGACCTTATCGATTTGTTTCTTTTTTCCCTCTCTCGACTCTCCTCTTTTAGCCACACTCGTTCACTGGCATTAACACACCTCACCCTCATGACTGCCATCTCGATCTGTTTCTAGGGGTCCTCATTCCGCTAGAAGCTTCCGACACCCTCACATTCCCCTCCCCCCACGTTCATTCCGCCCTCGAACCGCCTTGATTTGACATCTCGATCGTTTCAACACTCGTTCTCATCCTTCAGAATTGAAGGGGAATTCAAAGATGGCGGGTACTTTTGCTGGCAGTGGTCCGGCACATGCCCAGTCTTCGCTTCCATCGCTCCCCGCCCATCTCCAGTCTGATACACACCTCACAGCTCATCTGGCCAGTCGGTATGGTCTCAATCCTCGTCAATCAATCGGACTTACTGCTAACGGATCCTAGATTTCATGTTGGACTACCGACTGCTCGCCTGTCATCTCAGGCCTTGCTTGCCATGAACACATATTCATCGGCTACCAAGGGCCCAAACGGTGACAAAGAGGGGAGTGCCGCAGGCGAAGCGGAGGATCTCGCTCGTCGTGCTTTCACTCGTCTAGGTGCTCGCGCCGAGAATCAGGCCATTGTATTTTTGTAAGTGGAGCCACACAAGAACTGGGTTCATCATATCTAATCTTCAACAGGGGAGAGAGTGGATCTGGAAAGACGACTCTTCGCTCACACTTGCTATCTTCGTTCCTATCCTTCTCATCGACTCCGCTATCCTCTAAACTCTCATATGCCGCCTTTGTCTTTGACACCCTCACAACCACAAAGTCCGTCACTTCACCTACGGCCTCAAAAGCTGGTCTCTTCCTCGAGCTTCAATATGATGGCTCATCCTCCGTGAACCCCACTTTGATCGGTGGTAAGATTATTGACTACCGATTGGAGCGAAGTCGCATCTCTTCTGTACCCACGGGAGAACGTAGTTTCCACGCGTTATACTATCTGCTAGCGGGAACAAGCGCTGCGGAGAAGTCCCATTTGGGTCTTGACACGGCAATCCATGTCCAGACTGGCAAGCTATCTGGCAGCAGCGTGAGCCACAAGCGCTGGAGATACCTCGGTCACCCAACACAGTTGAAGGTTGGAATCAATGACACGGATGGATTCCAGCACTTCAAGACTGCACTGCGGAAGTTAGAGTTCTCGCGTGGTGAAATCGCTGAGATCTGTCAGATTCTCGCCAGCATCCTTCACATTGGACAGTTGGAGTTCGCGACAGGCCAGTCGACCACCACCGGCGCGGAGGAAAGCGGTGGCTACTCCCACGAGGGTGGTGAGACCGTCACAGTGGTCAAGAACAAAGACGTTCTCGATAATGTCGCAGCTTTCCTGGGTCTCAGTGTTGCAGCTTTGGAAAACAGTCTGGGATACAAGACCAAGACCATTCACCGTGAGCGGGTTACAGTTATGCTGGACCCCAAGGGAGCGCGCGAGAATGCAGATGCATTCGCACGTACTATTTACTCTCTTCTTGTGACCCACGTGATTGAGACAGTCAATCAACGGCTTTGCGCTGCCGAGGACAGTATTGCCAACACGATTTCGATTGTCGACTTCCCCGGCTTCGCCCAGGCCCCCTCGACTGGCTCTACATTGGACCAACTCCTGAGCAATGCGGCAACTGAGTCCCTCTACAACTACTGCCTTCAGTCGTTCTTCGACCACAAAGCCGATATCTTGGACCGGGAGGAGATCACAGTGGCAGCCACCAGCTACTTTGACAACACGGATACCGTGCGCGGTCTCCTCAAGCATGGAAACGGTTTGTTGAGCATTCTGGATGACCAGACGAAGCGTGGACGCTCCGATGCCCAGTTCCTCGAGAGCGTGCGAAAGCGCTTTGAGAACAAAAACCCTGCCATTTCCGTTGGCAACTCAGGCGGAACCGGCTACATGGCACAGTCCCGAAGCGCCTTCACTGTCAAGCATTTCGCGGGTGAGATCGACTACTCCGTCACTGGATTGCTCGAGGAGAATGGTGAGGTTATCTCTGGCGATCTGATGAACCTGATGCGATCTACTCGCAGTGACTTCGTGCGTGAACTCTTCCACCAAGAGGCTCTTCAAACCATCTCCCACCCACAAGAAAAGACTGCCATCATGCAGGCTCAGGTTAGCTCCAAGCCCCTGCGCATGCCCAGCATGGCTCGACGCAAGCTTGGTGCTCCGTCACGCTTTGCGGCCCCGTCTCACGCCGATAGCGATGAGATAGAGGAGGTCGAGAGCCAAGTAGCAGGTTCCAAAAGGGATACTGGCCGCAAGAATGGCATGCCCTCTGGTCCAGCCCCAGGAGCCGCTGGCCAATTCCTTTCTGGCTTGGAAGTCATCAATAAGTGCTTGAGCTCCTCCAACCTCAATCCCTACTTTATCATCTGTCTCAAGCCGAATGACCGCCGCATTGCCAACCAGTTTGACAGCAAGTGTGTCAGAATGCAGGTTCAGACATTCGGTATCGCAGAGATCAGCTCGCGGCTGCGCAACGCCGATTACAGTGTCTTCTTGCCTTTCGGAGAGTTCCTCGGCTTGGCTGACATCGGAAACATTGTCGTTGGAAGCGATAGAGAAAAGACCGAAGTCGTCCTCGATGAAAAGCGATGGCCTGGAAATGAAGCTCGGGCAGGTAGCACTGGTGTTTTCTTGAGTGAAAGATGCTGGGCAGATATTGCCAACGTTGGCGAGCGTGTATTCTCGGCCTATGGCGCTGCCGGTGCCGATGGTGACGGTTTCCAGACCTCTGGTGGAAACCCAGATTCCAAGGTCCGACTCCTAAACCCCACCGACCAATCCCCTGGTGCCTTCATCTATGGAGACGAAGGCAAGCAGGGCTACTTCGGGAGCCGAGAACTTGATGGACGCTCGGACGCTGGTGGTTCAGCCTTCAATTCTGGTGACATGTTCCACAACCTCGAGACCAAGGAGCAGATGCTCGAGAAAGGCAACAACAAGGACATGGAGGAGGTCGACGAAGCCACCGTCTCCGGCACCCGTCGTCGCTGGATGTTCTTGGTTTACTTGCTCACATTCTATATTCCCGATTTCGCTATCAAATTCATTGGTCGGATGAAGCGCAAGGATGTGCGTGTTGCCTGGCGTGAGAAGCTCGCCATCAACCTTATCATCTGGTTTGCTTGCGGTGTCGCTGTCTTCATGATTGTCGGTTTCCCCGGTGTAGTTTGTCCAACTCAAGATGTTTACAACACTGCCGAACTCAGCAACCACAATGGCAAGAGTGGGCAAAACTCTTTCGTCGCTATCAGAGGTGTAGTCTTCAATCTTGGCGACTTCATCCCATCTCACTACCCCAACATCGTTCCCGAGAAGTCGTTGAAAAACTACGCCGGTACAGATGCCACCAATCTTTTCCCCGTCCAGGTTTCTGCTTTGTGCCAGGGTACTACTGGAAAGGTTGATCCTAGTGTGCCGCTTGACTACCGGTCAAACTTGAACGATTCTGCCGAGACAACCTCCAGTTCCACCTTTGATATCAACGCCAAGTATCACGACTTCCGCTCTTGGACTAACGACTCTAGAGCCGATTGGTTCTACGAGCAAATGGTTATGATGCGCGCAAACTACAAAAAGGGATACATTGGATATACGAGCAAGGCTATGAAGAAGTTGGCCACCGATGATTCCAAGAACGTTGCCAGTATCAACGGAAAGATCTACGACATGACTTATTACATCGCTGGACCTCGCGTTGCCCGCTTCCCTACTGGAAAAAATGGAAGTAGCAACATCGATACCGACTACATGGACCCTCTGGTTGTCGATCTATTCCAAGGACGATCTGGTCAGGATGTGACCAAGTACTGGGACAACCTGGACTTTGATACCACGCTCCGCTCTCGCATGCAGCTTTGTCTCGACAACTTGTTCTTCATTGGCAAGATCGATACTCGAGATTCAGTCCGCTGTCAGTTTGCGCGATACTTCATTCTTGCCATATCTATTATGCTGTGTGCCATTATTCTCTTCAAGTTCTTGGCTGCTCTCCAGTTCGGAAAGAAGAACCTTCCCGAAGACTTAGACAAGTTCATTATTTGTCAGGTGCCTGTCTATACCGAAGACGAAGACTCCTTGCGCCGTGCCATGGATTCTATGGCTCGTATGCGTTACGATGACAAGCGCAAACTCCTGCTGGTTATTTGTGACGGTATGATTATCGGACAAGGCAACGACCGCCCTACTCCCCGCATTGTCCTTGACATTCTCGGTGTTCCTGAATCCGTGGACCCCGAGCCTCTCAGCTTTGAGAGTTTGGGTGAGGGTATGAAGCAGCACAACATGGCAAAGATTTACTCCGGTCTATACGAGGTCCAGGGTCACATTGTTCCCTTCCTTGTCGTTGTGAAGGTTGGAAAGCCCTCCGAAGTCTCCCGTCCCGGTAACCGTGGTAAGCGTGACTCTCAGATGGTTCTCATGCGTTTCCTCAACCGTGTCCACTACAATCTACCTATGAGCCCTATGGAGCTCGAGATGCATCATCACATTCGCAACATCATCGGTGTCAATCCAATGTTCTACGAATACATTCTCCAGGTCGATGCCGATACTATGGTTGCACCGGATGCCGGTACTCGTTTCGTCTCATCGTTCATTTCGGATACTCGTCTCATTGGTGTCTGTGGAGAAACCTCGTTGTCCAACGCAAAGACCTCCATCGTGACCATGATCCAGGTTTACGAATATTACATCTCCCACAACCTGACCAAGGCTTTCGAGAGTTTGTTCGGATCCGTCACTTGTCTGCCAGGTTGTTTCAGTATGTACCGTGTCCGTGCGGCGGATGGCGGAAAGCCGCTCTTCGTCAGCAAGGACGTGGTTGATGCCTACTCTGAGATCCGCGTCGATACCCTCCACATGAAGAACTTGCTACACCTTGGTGAGGATCGTTACTTGACGACTCTGCTTATCAAGTTCCACCCCAAATACAAGACCAAGTATATCTTCAGATCTCACGCTTGGACCGTCGCACCTGAGAGCTTCGCAGTCTTCCTTTCCCAGCGTCGTCGTTGGATTAACTCCACTGTTCACAACTTGATGGAGCTTATTCCTCTAGACCAACTGTGTGGTTTCTGTTGTTTCAGTATGCGTTTCATTGTACTCATGGATCTTCTCATGACCATTATTCAGCCCGTCACCGTCGCCTATATCATCTACCTGATCTACTGGTGTGTCAGTGAACCAGACGTACTCCCCATCACATCTTTCATTCTGCTCGGTGTCATCTACGGCCTGCAAGCATTGATCTTCATCATCCGACGCAAGTGGGAGATGGTCGGCTGGATGTTGATTTACCTCATGGCCATCCCTATCTTCTCACTCGCCCTACCGCTCTACTCCTTCTGGAACATGGACGACTTCTCCTGGGGTAATACACGTGTCATCACCGGAGAAAAGGGCCGCAAGGTCGTCATCTCCGACGAAGGCAAATTTGACCCCAACTCCATCCCCAAGAAGAAGCTGCTGGACCACCAGGCCGAGCTCATGGCCGATGCACAAACCTCTCGCGACGACCGCTCCGAGTTCTCGGCTCACTCCTACGGCACGAAGTCGCACGCCTTCCCCCAGTCCGAGTATGGCTTCCCAGCTTCGCGTCCCCATTCCCAGCTGGACTTGCCTCTTGGCATGGGATCTCGTTACTCAATCGCCCCGTCTGAGATGATGAGTCACATGGACATGGGCACCGAAGACTTAAGCCACTTGCCCCCTGACGATGAGATTCTAGAAGAGATCCGCCGGATCTTGGAGACCGGTGACTTGATGAAGATCTCCAAGAAGACCGTCAAGCAAGAACTTGAAAGACGTTTTGGCGTCAACCTCGATGCCAAGCGGCCTTACATCAACTCCGCCACCGAGGCTATTCTTTCAGGTGTTCTTTGAACATCACAAATACTTTGATTTTGCTTGCTTCAGCACTGTTTGGTTATGGCGTACATTCGATCAATAACTTGTTATTAATATTGTGTTTTGGTCCTATTTCTTTCCTTTCGAGCGACTTTATGCATGGATGCGAGCTTTGCCCAGCGATTCAGTTTCGGCCTTTAATTTTCTTGGATATGCTCATTTGCCCCATAAAAACATTCCTGCATCAATTCGATAATTCCCAGAAGTTATCTGGTGTTTCTGTATCCAATCTACTCGTTCTCGTATACTTTTACTCTTGCCCTTAGTAGTAAATGATGGTTCGCAAGCCCAGCCCCACGTTTCATATTAATCTACTCTGAAACGCCCAAGGGCGTATGTGGTCCCCTGCTCTCATTAGCCCTACGCCATGGCGCTTCCGGAATCGGCAATGACAGTCCGGCATATGGGTTCGTCTGCGAACAAAGGGTGCCGGGGCAAGTCTGGCCCGATTCTGGCGCTATCAGGTTGCCTGTAAACTGTAGAAGTCTTGGCTTGGACCCTGATTCTTTTCTATCAATGACAGAAACTTCACGCCGAGTTTCATCTCGTTGACATTCTTTAACGAGAACGAGCACAATGGGTGCCTATATAACAATGCTTCTGTGGCCGATTCTTGTTATTTTCCCAGCTGCATTCACTCTTTTCTCTCTCAAGTCTGGTACTTGAGATTTCATTTCCTTTGCTCTGCTGCATCTCTAGACAGCACATCTTTCGTCCTTTTCTTCTCTTCTTCTAACATCTCGGCCTTTCCCAAAAAGCCGCTAAAATGCAACCCAAAAACATCCTCGCCCTGATAGCAGGTCTATCAACAACAACCTTCGCCAAAGAAAGCCGCACGTTCGCCGTAAACCACTTCTACGGCAACGGTGCCCTAGTAACAGGGCGCATGGACCCAATCGTCAACCCAGGAGTGGCAGCCTCCCACGTCCACACAATCCAAGGCGGAAGCAACTTCAACCTGACAATGACCGACGACGCCCTAATGGACTCAAACTGCACCTCGTCCCTAGTAGACGCAGACAAAAGCAACTACTGGACCCCGTCCCTCTACTTCCAAGCCTCGAACGGCTCATTCCTCTCCGTCCCAATGTTCTACATGAACGTCTACTACTTTTTCGAAGCAACTGACGACGAAATCAAACCCTTTCCAATAGGTCTCCGCATGATGAGCGGCGACAAAGACCTTCGAATACCCCCATCAACAGCCTCAAACGTCCTCGACAGCGCCGCCGGCCCAATCCAACCAGTCCAATGGACTTGTCCACGAACTTCCTACAGTCCACCTTCCTACCCAGTCAACTCAGACGGCCTCCACGGCGTCGGAATCCAAGACCCAAACAACGCAGGTGCAGGTGCAGGCTTCCCGCACGTCAATTGTGACGGCTATGCCTCACCATTGCGCGCTGATATCCATTTCCCGTCTTGTTATAACCCCGCTGCTGGGCTGGATGATTACAAGAAGAATATGAACTGGCCGAGTAGTAAGGGAACGACCAGTGGTAAGGCGAATTGTCCTAAGGGGTGGATTCATCTTCCGCATATCTTTTACGAGGTTTATTGGAATACGCCGTTGTTTGAGGAGCTGTGGACTCCGGGTCTTGGAGAGCAGCCGTTCATCCTCAGTAACGGGGATCGGACGGGGTACTCGCTTCATGGGGATTTCGTGAGTTTCATTCCTTGTTTGATTGTGAGTGGGCTAATGTGTGGATTTAAGATTTCCGGCTGGGATGAGGGTGTCCTGCAGAAGATCATTGATAATTGCGATGCCGGTGATCTCGGTATGGATAAATGTGCCGATGCGGGTTTCATCAATGATGCGTCGACAAGTTGCAATATCGCTAATCAGATTATCGAGCCTATCTCTGGTGTGCTTGACAAGTTGCCTGGTGATAACCCGCCGACTGGATGGGGACAGGGTGCAGAGGTTGTCCCTTCTGCTTCGCTTAATGCAGAGAGTATCTCGGTCACTGCTACTGCCCAGTCTAATGTCAACAGTGCCGCGCCTTCGGACTCAGCCGAGACGGACAGCTCTACCTCTGGCTGGTCATACCTAGGCTGTTACTCCGATAATGTCTCTGCGCGCGCCCTGACGGGAGTTCAATTCGCTAATCTGGGTATCGGCAAAGTCACTTCAACAGGCTGCATAGATTACTGCGCCAAAGCCGGCTTCAGTCTGGCTGGAACGGAGTATGCAGGTCAATGTTTCTGTGGTGATAAGCTGGAGGGAAGTGTCAAGATCGGAGCGGATAAGTGTGATATGAAGTGCAACGGTGATGGATCGCAGACTTGTGGTGGTAGTGCTGCACTGAGTGTCTATGAAAGCACCGAGAAGACTTCTACTCGGAAGCTGAAGAGACATTTGCGGAGCCATCTGCGTGGATCTCATGTCTGAGTGTGTTGCAGGGAATTGTATTCTTATCATATTTTAGAGAAGAGCTCGGAGGAAGTTGTATGGATATCTATAGGTTGACCCCTGACACTTCTTCAGTTTGTGGATCTCTTGTTCTTGATTAAACCTCCACATGAGTAGTTTCAATCTCAGCGTGCTTCTCAATCCTCTCAGTGTTCATAGATCGATGATGACCAGGACGAACTGGAGAACCTCTAGTCTCGAAGACACCGCCGGTAATACCACCCTTCTCGATCCTACAGTATGGGCCAACTGCAAGGAAAGTATCTACACTGGGCTGTGACGGCTGCAAGCTGTCAGGCTTTTCTTTTACTCGGTTATGACCAGGGTGTGATGAGCGGGCTGGTCGGGGCTGATAATCAGTTCGGGATGACGTTTAATAATCCCGATAGTACGATGCAGGGTCTATTGACCTCGATCTATGATATCGGGTGTGCAATTGGCTGTCTCTTGAGTTTGGTCATTGGCCACCAATTCGGTCGACGCAAGATGATCATGGCAGGTGGTTCAATCATGATTATTGGCACTGTCATCCTCGGTAGCTCTTATACTACAGCCCAGTTCCTCGTCGGTCGGGTTGTCACCGGTCTTGGAAATGGTATCAATAGCAGTACTGCTCCGGCCTATCAGTCCGAACTAGCCCGCCCGGAAATGCGTGGTATGCTCCTTTCCGCGCAGGGAACGGTGACAATTCTCGGTCTTTGCATTGCATACTGGCTAGACTATGGGCTCAGCTTCGTGGATACACCCGTTCAATAGCGGTTCCCGATTAGCTTCCAGGCATTCTTTGCTATCTTTCTGGTTCTGCAGATGATTCCGCTTCCTGATTCGCCTCGTTGGCTCTGTGAGCAAGATCGCAGTGATGAGGCTGCTTCTGTTCTGGCACGTCTTCAGATGGATCAGCCTGCCAACCAGTCTCATCCTGGTGTTGTTCATCTGCGTCGTCAGACTGAGACCTCTATTGAGATTGAGTCTGCTGGTGGTCCTTTCGAATATAAGGAGCTTTGGTCGGGTGGTCAGATGGGTAATCTTCGTCGAATGATTTTGGCTGCTGTTGTCAATATTCAACAGCAGTTCACAGGTACATACTCATCCACATGGATTGATAGCTCATTCGCTGATTATACTTAGGTTCCAACATGATCAACTACTACGCACCTATCGTCTACCAGGTATGTCCTATCAAAAATATAAAATTCAACACCAACTAACATTGGCTTTGCAATAGAACGCAATGCATCTATCTCGCAATCTTTCCCTGATCCTCGGCGGCTGCACCTCCCTCACATACCTCGTCGGATCAATAATACCCCTATGGAGCATGGACAAGTTCGGCCGACGAGCATCACTCATGTTCTCTGCTGCCGGCCTCTGCTTCTGCTTCGTCATGACTGCCATTCTGCTTTCGATTGGTACAACTTCATGTGCATATGCAGCTACCGTTTTTGTATTTATATTCCAGTTGTTCCTTGGTATTGGATACTTGCCAGTTCCGTGGTGAGCCGTTTATCCCTATTCTTTTTAGGGCTGTCCCTGACAGAAATGTAGGTTCTATCCTTCTGAGATCTCGACTACGCGCATTCGAGCACGGTCTCAGGCGTTTGGTGGTTTTGTTAATTGGATGGAGAACATTCATCATTTTTGCCTGCTTCTGTTTTGCATGGGTAAATTGACTACTATTGATACTTGACTCCCTTGTTAAACTAAGCTGATATTATCTAGATCCCTATGGTCTATTTCTTTTTCCCCGAGACCAAAGGACCGGAGCTCGAGGATGTAGACCACCTGTTCGACAGAGGAAGACTGGAGAGAACAGTGGAATCCGGGGCCCCAGGATTTCTCCGCCATTTCAACGATTTCACCCATGGAACCTCGCTGTCTTTTGGCCCGAGATCGACACTTCGGGTGCTATCAGCCCGGAGTAGCCCGTGGCACTACGCATTTGGCGCAAAGCTAACCCTTTTCAAGGCATCCCGGGGAGACCCCGCTTGCTTACTCTATACTTCGGGCCGAGTGGTTGTTCACAAGCTTCCGGGGGGCTTCGGACCAGGCGGGAGGGCACCAGTGGCGCTCTTCAGGGCCAAGGTCGGGTTGTATGGATGTCCATGCCGATGTTGGCTTCTGTGGTAAACTTGTCAATTCAATATATGAAAAGCCCGAGCACTGACGATCTTTTACTCAAGCCTCTCATATGCTTGAGACATTTCATAATGAAGTTGCATTCGGCCATGGTCGTACCAACTTCAAAAGGTCGAATCACTGGGTTGAGTTGGCGACGAGGAGGGGAAAGAACAAATGAGGGAAGTATCAAGCAGGGAGTTTCAACGGGTAGGTAAGAAACCCCAACGAGCATTGAGGGCCTTTCGAGATGATCTCTCAGTTCCTCAAAGTGACTGCTTGTGTGGCTTCCGCATCTTGTGCAACTCTCCCAGACGTGGACTCTCTGATAGTCGATATTAAATGGGATAAATGTCTAAATCGAGTGCAAACCAACGGCAACACTACAATTTGCGGCAAATCCACTACTGGATCCAAAACATGGGACTCTCTACGAGTTGTTGCTGCAGATTACGTCCGTTATGTCCGGTCGTTTCCGTACCCCAAGATGAGCGTTCCGGATTAAGCTATCTCTCAAAGAATCCAGCGTTCGCTCGAAAGTAAAGAGATGGATGGCAAAGTATTTCGCAGGCTTTTCTGTTACGGTAAGACACTCCGGGATCGCCTTGTGCATGTTAACCTCACTTCTAAGTATGATGGGTACCCCGTCAATGAGACCACCTGTCCCGTCTCGATGCGACGCTCTGGGGTATTTACCCTTCGCTCTCTGATAGCAATCGGCTCTTTGCGCAGGAGTTCCTGGAATACAGCGTGGTGTATAAGATAGGTCAGCTCGGCGCCTGTGGCATTTTATATTTCGGTTGGCAATCTGGGTGAGTGCTTGAAAGAGTGATGGGTAAGTTGTAATTGGATGACTTAAATCGGTGGTAAAAAGTAGTGGAGCTTATAGGTATTTAAGTTCGTCACTGACATTGTTCATGAGGCTATACTATTTATCGAGAAAGAAAACAATGATAGCCACAAAGCCCTTTGTTGATCTTTTACGCCTCTTTCAATGATGTGCCATCTTTGGCTCGGCTTAGTTTGGTTTCTTTCGGGGCGAGGAATATTTGAAAAAACCATTGTCCAAGTTCTTTGTCTGTTTATGAGAAGAGAAATTGGAGATCGCCTGGGTATAAAAGCGACCAAGTCTGTATGGTCAAAGTGTATCATCGGAACAATCAATACCTCAATCACCATAGCAATTACTTCACCCTATCGGGTCTATTTACAGATTACAGGCAAACATGCCTCACGTAGACCTAGGGCGTCTTGAGCTCTTCCTGACAATCTGCAAGCGCAAAACTCCCGACGACCCTATCCACTGGATGATAATGTTGCGCCACCCAGGCGCAGAGCGATGTACCTGGCTTCACTGCACAGGAGTCCGAGGCGACCGTGAGACCGAGATTGAGGAAAACAAGAGATACAGCAGTTGGGGCATCGACACCAAAGACTGGCTGGTTGCAATTCCAGCACAGTATGGCCCTGAGGTCATCCAAGAGGCCCGGGCTCTCCCAAAACAAAGCTGTCGATGGTGGTCTCTGTACTTGATACTTAGACTCGAGATTAAGGGCTTGATGCCCCAAGGAACATTTAAGGAATGGGAGAAACACCGGCGCACTGGAAGCACGGAGAATTTTGGGACTGGTTGTCTCGGCAAGTGTTCACGCTCACGCCCTAACGTTCTATGCGCGCGCATTTTATGCTCAAACCCAGAGTGTGGACGATTCAATTGTAGGCACGAATGTCTTGGTGAAACTTACTGACATTTACACCCTTTCAGTTCTTGTTAAGCTCACTTTTATCTATTGGATGCTTTTTGGTATATCTTTATCATTGCATACATCTTTGCAATTCGACCTTTCAATACTGATCATTGAATATTAGACACTTGTTTCCTTCGATTACTATCCATGTGCTTATTGCAGTAAATTGTAGTATAGCCCTGGCGGCCTCAGTATCATCTGATCAAGCTAAGCCCGTATCGATGCGATGTTTTATAGAGGGACGATGATGTAATGTATGGCTCTCCCCGAAAGATACCAAAAAGTGGTGAACTCACAGAATCATGACGTTGCCGCGGAGTAAAAGGTTCCTTTTAACCTCTTCTTTTTCTTTATCTTCTCACAATGTCGAAAATTGCAATCATTGCCGGCGCAGGACCCGGAACGGGCGCCGCTATCGCTCGCCGCTTTGCTCAAGTTTACCCTGTGATCCTTCTTTCTCGATCGGAACACACGTTGAATCCTCTGGTCAAGGACATCAAGCACAATGGCGGTTCTGCCGTCGGAATTCCCACAGATGTCGCAAGTATTCCAAGCATGGACTCTACGTTGGAACAAATCAAGTCCAATTTCGGTCCTGACCTTACGATTGCAGCGGCAATCTTCAATGTCGCGAGCAAATTCTCGATGAAACCATTTCTAGAACAAAGCCCCGAACAATTCTTTGGGAGCATAGAACCGGCCGTTATGGGTGCATTCAACTTTGCCCAGGCCACATTACCGTTCATGTTACATGGAAATAAGGACCGGTATTCACCGACCCTCATCTTCACCGGTACGAAGTGTATTAATCCTGAAGGGCGATGGAGACTAACAGCTACAGGTGCTACAGCTGCACTCAAAGGTAGCTCTGGGCTTTCCGCGTTCGCCGCCAGCAAGTTTGGAACCCGCGCCATGGCGCAGTCTCTGGCGCGTGAATTCGGACCCAAGGGTGTTCATGTCTCCCATGCGATTATTGACGGGATCATCAACACAGAGATGACTAAAGGCTTCGGCCAGGATATTCCAGATGCAAAGATCGAGCCACAGGGAGTAAGTGGACATTCATCTGCATTGCTTTTGTCGCTAACGCTAATCCTTACAGATTGCGGATACTTACTGGCACTTGCACACCCAGCCCCGAAGTGCATTTACTCATGAGATTGATATCAGACCTTACTCAGAGAAATGGTGAGAAGGGTAATACATAACATGTCTCTATGTGCGTTCGCTGGAGCCTACAAATTAAATTAAACCAGCAAATTTATATTGCAGTCATTTCCGTGGTGTATAGTGACTCGTTTCTTGTCTGGGAAAGCCAGAAATCAAAATTAAGTCTATATTTCTGTTGAAAAGCAAAACCCCACCCGGTACCATCACTAATTAATAGATACCACATCTATGAATCAGAGAATAGACTCGATGCATATTTCAGTAGATCAAGCCTTGCAGACGCAGAGACAGCCTTGATCGCCGCAGCAAAATAGGGTATATCGTTTCCATTGAAGTCGCAGCTGTTTCCCTTGACATCAATGGTCACCACTCCAAAATCATCGTCACCCAACACGGCCTCGTGAATCAGCATTGACTTATCGATCGAGCCAAGCACATCAGTAGTGGTGCCGTTCTTGTCCAAAAATAGATAAGGAAGATCAACGTAGCCCAAGTCTGAGCCACCCATAGACAGATTGAATGTCACATGTCCCTGAAACAAGTTAGTTATAAACATATTTCTTGTCAGTGGGAAATGAGCACATACCAGCTCGACGATGTAGGGGCTAGGATTGCGAACAGAAATGGTAGCATTGAAATTAAACCCGTTCACTGGTTCATCTAAAATGTCCACCCTCGTAACATTGAAAGCACCGTCGGCGTTGATAAATTCTGTCAAGGTTAGAACAAAGACACCGAGGAGATGTACGAATCTATCAGTTCTTACCCGTAACATTATAACCTGGACCAATCATGTTAGCTCTTTTTCTAGACGCAAAATAGACAGGAAATACTCACCACCCACGTTCATAATCTTATGAATGTTCATATGAGCAGTCGGTAGACCTCCAAACTTAAGATCCGGTGTACCGGTAACCAACAGAGAAGAATTCTGGCTAGAGGCGGCTGAAGTAGCCAGCGATGACAAGCATTCAACACAAGAAAGGTCCAAGTCTTGATCAATATCAAAGCTGGCGCCATTGCTGAATTCAATTTCAGGCACCGGGAATACCGCGAAGACCTCATCGGTGTCTTTGGTTCGAATAGTGGCATTAAATGCAGTCAAATGACCACTGCCACTAAATCCACCCCCCATACTAAGACTTTTCGATTGCTTTACATGGAAGGCAGTAGGCCGAGGATTCGTGATTCGGAGACCATCATAGTCATACTCGTATTTATTGATATAATCGTTGGCAAAATTGGGGATTCCGACATAAAAGCTGCAGATATGAGCATTAGCAAATGGTCTTGTAGTTTTCGTTGGAAGTCTTACATGGGAAGGATGATTACCAGAATAGCGCAGCAGAACCCAATTAAATACGCCCACCAGAATCTTTTCATGTGCGTCTTGAAGCGCTTCCATAATGTCGGCTTGGTGGGTGCTGCGGCTGCTTCGTTCGCGTCGGAGATATCCGACAATTCTGATTTTGACATGATGGGCGCAGAGCTCGTTATGCCCCTACTTATCTTGACTATGATCCGAGATCATGAGTAGAGGTAAAGTATGCTGAGGCCAATATCCACTTCCCATGACCCTGCACGCGAAGGGTGCAAAAGTAGTAAAGTAGTATTATATCAAAGGCGAAAAGATTTCTGGGCTGATCTTCCGTTTATAATAGGGGCGCTTGGGGGTGATACCCCGTACTGTCGATCAGACCCACTCTTCACATGAGGAAGACGTACAATTGTACATGTAGATAGAGTAGAACCTCGCTAGAACATAAATGGGCCTAATGAACCTCGGTCCGTGATGTCATGCAACCGAAAAAGGCTTGCAATGCCTCTCTAGTTTGAGTCAATATCACTATTCGGAACAGTGGCTCAACTCACAAAGTACACTGGAAGCTAGCCAGGAATTCTAGCCAATCAAGCGCTACAGAGGTTTTCGGGATCTCGCGTAACGTGCAGAGGTCCGTATTCTACACTGAATACGCGATCGGCATGAGATAGTCAAAGCAGTGTCGATCATGCACGAAATCGGATAGACAACCGAGGCCCCTGTCTTGAGCTCTCCCCAGACTTGCAAGATTCATTGAGTATGGATATCTAGTGCTTTGGTTAGTCGTGGGTCAGGGTCTCTATCTATACACCGCAGCGCTTGCTGATAAGCTGTATTGCTTCAATCTCCTTAGATACCAATAGCTATTTTGATGGTTAATTCAGGCCATTTGATGGCATTGAAGTGGTTTAAGTGTACGAGAATCTTCATTGAATGGCCTAAGTCTACAGTAGCTCGTTGTAGTCCACACGTGCCTGGATGCGGAGGTGGAGAAGATCTGTGACAAGCAGAGCAAATACCCATAATAGGCTTAGCGTGCTTCCTTGGTATCACGTGATATGGATCAAGACAAAGAGTCCTTCATGTGTCCAAATGCATCTTCTTAGGATAAAGAACTGTCCGTGTGGCCCAGTGGAAATGCGTGTGATGTACTTTACAAACATGCACATCGCATGCATAATGCATTTAATGCTCATCGCACGTGACGTAAGACCCACTTTTCCTATCAAGCCAAAGGGACGAACACGTACTGACGCATCCTCCGCAAAGCTGCTGTGATACCTTTGTATCCTCGAGACCACTGGAGTGTATGCCCACAATTGGTCAACATGTCAGTGACCGATAGACCGCCTGACCGGAAACGTCCTGCTTCCCGGCCTAATTTGGCCAATGGAATTGCCGAGAACAATCATGTAGACGAGACAACAGCCCTCTTAGGTTCCGATACTCGAGATCGCTCACCATCGCCAGACGGAGATAGCATCAACGAAGACGAGGGAAAGCCTCTGCCCAAGGTCCAAATTCTGCTCCTCTGCTACGCTCGAATCATAGAGCCGCTGGCCTTCTTCTCCATCTTCCCATATGTCAACCAAATGATCCAAAGCAACGGAGGCGTTGCAGACACTGATGTCGGGTTCTACAGCGGCCTCATTGAGTCATTATTCTCGCTCACGCAAGCCATCGTGATGATATTCTGGGGCCGAGCCTCCGATCGCTTCGGGCGCAAGCCAGTCCTGGTCTTCTCGTTATTCGGCGTGACCTTAGCTACAGGTCTCTTTGGCACAGCAAAGACTATTCCCCAAATGGCCTTGTTCAGGTGTCTCGCCGGTGTCTTCGCTGGCACTATCATCACCATTCGTACCATGATCGCCGAACACAGCTCGCCAAAGACCCAAGCCCGGGCTTTCAGTTGGTTCGCGTTCAGTGGCAACCTGGGTATCTTCCTGGGGCCTCTGCTGGGTGGTGCCCTTGCCGATCCAGTTCGTCAATACCCGGGTGTCTTTGGATCCGTCCGGTTCTTCCAAACCTACCCCTACGCGCTTTCCAGTCTGGTCGTGGCACTAGTAGGAGCAACCGCTGCCATTTCCAGTGCCTGCTTTATTGAAGAGACGTTACAGAAGGACCCTGATCCTACGGACGGCGATGAGGAGACAGCCTCCGACGCACCGGTGCCCAGAGCCGAACTTTCTACCCGGGAACTCTTGAAGTCGCCAGGTGTGGGCATAGTCATCTACATCTATGGTCACATCATGGTCCTCGCATTTGCATACACAGCCGTTATCCCCGTGTTCTGGTTCACGCCCGCGAGGCTGGGAGGATACGGCTTCACGTCACTGCAAATTTCGCTGATGATGGGTCTAAGCGGTGCCGCACAAGCTGCCTGGCTCCTCCTAGTCTTCCCGCCCTTGCAGCGAAAAATCGGAACTAACGGGGTGATCCGCCTGTGCGCCACAGCCTATCCGTTCTTCTTCCTGTGCATTCCGTTTGGAAATGTCCTCCTCAAAATTGGGACGGAGGCGTCTGTCAAGACGTTCTGGGTCTTTGTGCCGGTGATTATGGTCATCGGTTGCGGAGTCAGCATGAGCTTCACGGCAATCCAACTCGCCGTCAACGATAGTGCACCCTCACCAAGGGTTTTGGGTATGCTGAACGCGCTGGCCTTGACTAACGTCAGCGCTCTGAGGGCCTTCTGCCCTGCTCTCTTCACCACCCTCTTTGCAGTAGGCGCGAGGACACAAGCGGTGGGAGGTTATGCCATCTGGATTCTGATGATTCTGATTGCTGGTGGGTTCACCGTGGTAGCTAGATACCTCCCAGAGCCCCAGAAGAACCGCAAGCGCCGAATTGTCTAAGTAAGTTGATATAATCATGGTTTGCGAAGTTCGTAGTAGGATGAGCAGCTGCTCAACGGTACTCTGTTCTCTTCATGCGCAACGAACCGCAACTGCTACAAAACACGAGCTGAGCCCTGGGACTTGAACAACCTGAGAGTTCACTGCATAAAGCATGGATGTGTAAATTTGCATTTTATATAGCCTAATTATACATAAAAGCTAGATCAACCATAGATTATGGAATGACAAATGCCCATGATCAACAACGTCCAAATCGTCCGAGGACCTGATATGACATCCAGAGTAGAGTGCACACGTCGTTCTGTTGCTTGAGAGGAGGCTCGTGCAAGTTTTCCATTTAGTGGACAGGATATGTACGTACGTACATTGGCATTTTATAGTCCTGTAAAGAGTGAAGAAAGCGTACAAGTAAATGGTGGAACATGATCGTTGCTCTGATGGCAATCCTGAAACAGAAAATATGTTAGTGAGGTCACCATAAAAGGCTTCTTTCTTTGGTCAATCGCTTCTCTTCTTCGCCTTCCTCTTCTTATCTACGCACCTTTCTTGTGAGCCATCCCCCTCCCCTTCACCCCTTCCCTCTCTTTATTCCCCAATACTTTTGCAGAATGGCCTCTCACCACCAGTCATCATTCTTGTGTGTTGATATGTAGGCTTTGACGGACTTTGCGGGCTGTCGGAAACTTGATCTCAAGCAGCCACTTGACATACCAGCTCGAGGAGACCAACTCAAAGCTGGCTGTCGTGTCCTGCTTGTTGGCCGAATAAGCAGGTTCGAAGGTTGAGATTGATTCGACCCTAGAGTAGCTGACCATAAATCAAAAAAACTCCGATGCATTGCAAAGAATGGATTGGCTTCTTCCATTCAATCGGCCCTGCAGGAATACATTACCAGATCAGTGTATCGACAGCTTTAGCTTCAGTTACAGTCTCAATTCCGATTTACTGTGACTCATGAACCAAGATGAACCAAGTTAGAAAGCAAGGCATCATTCACCCCAGATCCCCGGAGCATAGTCACATTCACTCGGGAAGCTGGTCCAGGTGCTGATGCCTCCGTAACCTGTCCCGATCAGGTAATTGGCGACTTTTTTTTTGCCAGCATTATATATACCCAGTTTCCCCCCCCACTCCCAATTTCTCTTTCTCTTTCTCTTTTCCTTCTCAACTATCCGTCCTAGCTCGAACTCAACTTAAGTCTTCCTACATCCCACCCCCATCCACCCTCATCAACCTCACCATCTTCAATCAGCCTCGAGTCTAGACTACACCCTCCGTTTCCTTTCCCATGACATCTTCATTTGAGTGAGGCTGAGTACGCAGTCCCCTGATTTATTATAGGGGTTCTCGGAAATGTCAAGTGACTGGGGAGAACACCACCGCCCACACCAAGGCTTGCCAGTGGGTATGGGCAAAAATTGCCGGTAGGAGGGAACGCTGTTGACTCCTACTTATGCAAGCCCGGGTGTTGATTCTTAAGGTACAAATGGTAAAAATGATGGGCCATGGGGATGGGAGCGGGCAGCTATTATCTGTGGGCATGAGTGAGAGACAGCTGCTGCTCTACTTGCACAGGCTTTAAGAGCTTTACATCTTTGGGGCTCATTGCAGTTGGTAGTTCGAATATTGAGTTTCCTTTGCGAATTGAGGTGGTTTTGTGGATGATTTTGCTTGTCACAATCGATATTCCCTTGACCATCTATGCTTCTGGAATACAGTTCTTTTCTTGATCCCTCGTGGGTTTCATCGATGTATCCCATTTCAAGTAGACTTTATGAGGGCGTTGGCCTGTTTTTTAATAACACTGAATACCCAGATGAGCTCTTATCCCTTTCCTTTAAACCTATCCATGGCTTAAGCTGGTAGTCGTATCCCGTCTCTGGAATGTGATGCAATCCACTGCTCGAGTACTTGCAAGGCAACTTGAGAACAAAGTCGACAAGACCCAGCCCATCACTTCAAGCTACTCCGTCCCATACCAAATACCCCATGGTCAATAGCGACGTAGTATGCACAATAGACCCTCGACCCACGGATTAGAGCGGGGAAAGCACAGACCAGCCACATGGCAGGTGGGGTTCCAAGCTTAATCGCAACCAAGATCCAAAACCCAACTACAACCACCTTCCCATATCCAAATAGTATACCAACCCCCATACAATAAATAAAGCCCAAAAAATGACGGACCACCCCCAACCCCACACACCACCACCCAAGTCCCAATCCCAGGCCCAAAATCCAACTCAAACCCCAGAAACCCCAAGCCCAACAACAGACCAACACCAAAAAGAAGCCCTAGCAGCCTTCACAGCAACCCTCCACTCAGTGGGCACAAATCTAGAAGTACCACTCCGCGACCGAGCAAGCAACATCCAATCCAACGCCTTAGCACTGGACCGACAACAAGTCGAACTAGCAGAGAATACGACCCGGCTGGCGCGGCAGAATACGCAGTGGCTGGGTTTTGCGGATGAGACGAGGGATGGACTTAAGGAAATTGGGGATGTGCAAAATTGGGCGGAGCTTATTGAGCGGGATTTGTTGGCGCTGGAGGATATGATGGATTCTGTTGAGGGGAGGGATCGGGGGTCTGAAGATGATTTGGATCGGGGTGGGGCCCAGAATGGTGAGGTGAATGTGCATGTTGATGGAGCTGTTAATGGGGATGGCGGTGGTGTTGTTAATGGGAATGGGAAGGCGAAGAAGATGGATCAGCCGGCGAGGAGTTGGTTCCGGTGGTGGTGATTGTTTTTTTGGGCTCTGTTCATTTGTGTTTGAATTTGACTGATCATACTATACATTTATATCACACATCGGGTATCGCTGTCATTTATTCTTCCTCTTCCTCTTCCTCTTCGACATCCTCTTCTTCCTCTGCGGCCTCCAAATACCTCCTCCAAGGATCCAACCCTGGGTTCTCATCCTCATCCTTGAACTCATTCCATTCATCCCACTGACCCAGACTCATCAAATGCCGCATAGTCGGTCGTCCATGCGGACAATTCCACGGTTTATCAATAGTGCCCATATTCCTCACAACACGTTCCATCTGCCTCCCCGTCAAAGTCTTGCCGATCATAATACTAGATCGACAAGCACGCATAGCAAACATCTTGCGCACTTTGCTCGGCCGCGGGACAGAAACTTCATGCGAGACGGACTCGGAAAGCAGAACGATAAGCTCTTCCAGATCCCGAACGCCGAAGACGATTTCCTTGCTGAGTGGCAACGAGACCAATTGGCATCGCCGGCCGATGGGCTCGTCCCCGCTTTCGTCAACTGTCACCACGAACCCGTTCTTCTCTAGTGCGGCTCGATTCTCGAGAACAACCTCTTCCTCAACAGCAGTGAGGTCGAGGCGCTGGGGACGAACGAGACGTTGGTTTTGCACAACGGTTTCAGATTGCAGTCGTTCAAAATTGAATTTTTCGTCTGAAGCATGTTGGTCAATGATGAAGAGTTCTTCGCCATCTTTTGCGGGACGGACCGCGATTATAAAGCCGAGGTTGAACTGGCCGATGATGCGCATCTGGGCAAAGTCTTTTTTGCTCACAGTGAGGGAGAGTCGGTCCTCGGCGGTTTCCTCGTCGAGGTTCCTAGCTTGTTGATCTGTCGGCTTGGCACGTTTTTGCAAACCCTCGCGCAGCGCTGAGATTTGGGACTGAAGTTTTGAAATGGATCCGTCCACTGTGCTGACGAGATTTACAGTAGCATCGCGATGCGTGGCGCCCTTATTCATCTTATTTGCACGACTGGCGTTATCTTGTGGCAGAACGGCGGTCTCTTCGGCTTCGTGGATCAAGCGTTGAACAACGGCTTCTTCCCGTGATTTCTTAGCCGCTTCATCAAGATTGTCATCTGCACCGGTATCATCTTGGTTCGTTTCTGTTTCGCTTGCTTCCGGTTCGGGTGGGACTGGTTCAGGAATATACTCGGCGCCTTCGGACGGCTCGGCCTCGGGTTCTTCATCGCCATCTTGAGCCTCTTGAGTCTGCTCGATCTCGATTTCGTCTTCCTCATCTTCTTCCATTCGCTCGACCTCACTCAAAGCTTCTTCCTCCTCGTCATTCTCTTCCTCTCCTTCCAGGTCTGATTTGTCATCTTCTTCTTCTTCGTCTTCATCCTCCTCGTCGTGTTCCTCAGCCTGCGACCCCGGCGCAGCAAACGTCTGCATATGCTTTCCGAAGATATTAGGCCGCGAGGGTGTATGGATCAGCCTCTTTCGGCGAGGCGGTTCTCTCATAGGAGGTGGATCCTCAGATGCCCGCTTTCGCGGGAGACCACTACCAACCATAGAAGTGACAGTCCGATTGCCAATAGTAATAGTAGCCATTTCAGCAGGAATTCGTCGAGGACGCATTCTATCAAATGCATTTTGAACGACATTTGGTGTTTCTTCCAAGTCGCCGCGTCTGCGACTTGGAGTTTCATCTAATGCTGAAGGTTGTGAGGATGGATGTTCTTGTGTTTGCTCTTCTGTCTCTTCTTCCACCTGGGAAGGAGGCTTATCGTTCACTGTCTCGGCAGCAGATGAATCTGCCTCATTTTCAGATGAGATTGGAGTCGCAGCTGGGAAAGGCTTCGATGCAGCGCGTGGCGTTCTCAGCGATGGAGCTGGAGACGGCGTTGCTTGTAATGGGCTTTCCGGGCCTTCTTGCCAAGTCATGAAACGCTTGAGTGCATTTGTCTTGCTAGCAACGGGTGTCTCCGCCGGACTATCTCTGCTCTGACTTCGACTGGGGCTATCGGCTTCAGCACTTTGACTGAGCTGTCGAGCAGTGACGAAACCAGGAAGTGATGCTAGTGGTTGTTGCTTCGCAGAAGCTTTGGATTTGACCTGTGACTGCGGCACCGTCTGATCGGCAGCCTCGAACAGTTGAGCCAGAGAAGTCTTAAGAGACTCAATCAAAGCCCCTGCATCATGCAGCAAAATCATGCGCTTATCAGGCGAAACATTAACATCATAAGCATCCGTATCCATCTTAAAATCAGCAAAGATAAACGGCGACTGAGAAACATTGAAAGACTTGTAAACTTCATTAAACGCCTTTGCAATCTGCGGCAAACCACAAGGACGCGTATTAACAAAAAACATCTGTCGATCAGGTGTCTGTCGTCCCTCACCAAAGACAGGTTTCGAAATATGACCCTGGACCTGGATTCGATTGAGCCCGTCTCCGTCTCCAGCCCGCTTCATGGCAGTAGAAGGCTCATACTCCAGATCCAGATCCAACGCAATAAGCGCCGAAAGCGTCTTCGCCCCGTAGACATTGGCGATATTCTCTCGCGTAGTGACATTCCCATTCGTAGAGAATACTACCACGTTCCGCGTCTTGCCAACGGTATTCTTAACGCTGAATTTGACTCCGGTGCTAATGCAAGCATAGGCGTGTAGCAGGTTCAACACCTTTCCATATTCCCGTTTAATATTCTTCTCCAGTTCGCGCCTGCGCACGGGGAGTCTTTTGAAGATGCCTTCGACGGACGCTGTTGTTCCCTTCTGTCCAGCGACAATCTGCGTTTTGCGCAATTTCCCGGATTGTTCGAAATCAAGTCGGTTTGCGCGTGGGACTTGATTTGCCTGTGCGGTTATGACGTGGAAATCGGACAGCGCGCACAGCGAGGAGATCGCCTCGCCGCGAAAACCGAAGGTGTTCAGACTGGCGAGATCGTCGTATGTGGATAATTTGGACGTATAGTGTTTCAGGGCTGTCGGGACAGAAGAAAGTGATTAGCTAGACTGCATATCCTCAACTGTGAGCAGCAAACTCACCAACGTTTTCATAATTCTCCGAAGCGATTCCGCTACCGTTGTCCTGAACTTCGATCAGATCCAACCCATTATTCTTGAATCGGACCTCTGTTGAACTCATATGCGTTAGGGTACAGTTTCAACTAGTTTTTTATTGGAATCACCCACCTATCGAGGTTGCGCCAGCATCGAGACTGTTTTCAATGAGCTCTTTGGCGACAGAACATAGGTCAACGATGACCTGACCGGATTGGATTTGGTGGACCTGGCAAACGCGATGGTCAGAGATTTGTGGGCTTATCAACATCAGGAGTCATACCGAGCGAGCCTCGATGGCCTGGATTGTCGCCATGTTCATTCCATGGTGTCTGAGGTGGGCGAGTTGGGCGCGTCGCACTTTACGCGTGGGTTTGCCAAGACTTGATAAGATATGACGAAGGACTCGGCTTTCTGTCTCTGGGTTTACATTCACTATACGAGCTTGTCACTGACATATTTGCTATTGCAGCTATTAACTAAAAGCTAACAGAGCCACGCGCATAAAGTATCGCTCTAAACGCCAATTCAATCATACTATCAACAAATCTAGTAAACACCGAAGCGATCCGGCAGAAGGACAGGAGCAACGAGGGTCCACAAGTAGATAGCATAGCAGACCCAGGAGCTGACGATCTTTACCCAGCTGGCCCAATATGTGCGGCCAACTGGAGCGAACTTGGTGTTAGTCTCGAGTGATAGTCCCTGGACCAGCAACGTGGCCACCCAAGTTGTGGCCAGGAAGAAGATGATGTGGAAGAGCGAGTAGTTGTACTGGGTGGACCCGCGCTCATCATCCTTGGCAGTCTCATACTCTTCCTCGTCGTCGCTGTCATCGAGAGCACTGGCAGGCAGACTACCACTCTCAACGGCAGCGCGGAGGGCTTCAGCGCGCATCTCACGACGAGCAGTTGGTTGTTGGGTCACCAAGCCGTGCTCATTATCGTCTTCACCCAGCTGGATGTAGCTGTGGCCACCCTTGGATCCCAGCGCAATTCCTTGTGTGGCGGCGCGGGTAGTGGTATATGCAATTGTGGCCATGGTGACGATGGCCCCCAGGACAATGGTAGCATTCCTGGTTCCGCGAGACCGGATCAAGGGGTTGCAGTTGTTGTCATCAGGCTCCATCGAGACAGCAGACATGGTGAGATAAGTACAGTAGACAGTGACCATTGCAGCCTGGGCCAATCCTGCGCGAGAGTTTGACTCTTGAACCGCCGGCTGAACGGAGACGAATGAGATGATCAAGAATACAACCAAGTTAACCTGTTCGAGTCAGTCTTATGCCAGAGTCAAAGAGTCGTTCGACTTACGGTGATAGCAGCCTGGTTCATAGAACATCCGCTGTTGGCGAAGAAGATGTACATTAGGATAGTCATGACGAAGGATGCCAGGTACATGCCGAGGGTCGAACCGATAAGCAGACCACGCCACACACGGGAATCACTGTCCTCGATCTTCTGCAGACACAACTCGGCCCAAGAGTGCGCAAGATCCACGAGTAGGATCAACCCCAAGAGGAGAAATAGCATGGCACAGAAGAAGGCGATGTAGTTGCCGTAGACGAAGAAGAAGGGCTCGGGGATGAAAAATGACATGACAACGAATGCCATCCAGAGGATGATTTTCGGACCCCAGTATCCATTCTGCAGAGAAGCGCGGCTATCTTTCGAGGTTTTGACACCGAGGAGCAAGAGGGCCAAGATCAAGTGGAAGAGACCGAGAGCAAAGTTGATGCGATGAACCGCGACCCAGCCGTGACATTCCTTCCCGTCGCATCGAATTTCCATGTAGTCGAGAGTCAAGTGTTGCAACTTCTTCAGCGCCCATGGTGTGAGCATAATCCAGGAAATTATCGAGTTGATCAAGAGGATGAAGGCATAGGCAATTCTCGTCGCCATACTGTTTCCTTATTAGTCCGGGTTCTCGGCACTATGCAGTCGATGAAAAGTACCTGTTTTGGAACTTTCCGCAGGCGCTGCACACCATCGAGCATGTTGCTGCTCCACAGCATGATGTTCCGATTGTTACGAGCTGTTCGAGGAAGAAAGTCAGTCAGGCTGCAAGTGTATTGCGATGGGCGACAACGTACTGTGCCCACACTCGGCACGGCCAAAAGTGGCAGAGAAAGGAGGGCACCCATGTTGGGAGTGTAGGTATCAGATATCCCAGCCCGATCGAATAGTTGAGAGTTGTGTATGTACCTGATGCAGGTTGCTGTGTGGAGTGTGGAGAGGAGAAGTTGGAGATCACCTGGTCAGGCACCAGTGCCGCCTTCGTCATGTTATGTAAGCGGTCGGAACAGGACTTACAAATGTTTAGGCGCAATTGCGGGCACAGACAGCTTAGACAGCCCTAGTGAGTGAGACACTCTTATCGATGAACCAAGTGATAAGTAAAGTTAGTGAGACTATGGTGACGTATAGGATGAATTGGATTCGCAATATGTAAAGATATTGATGTGCATATGCAGCTGTTATCTAGACATTTCTACCCCCCTCTGCTTTGTACTTTTCTATCCATTGCCATTGCCATAACTACTACTCTCTAATTCAAATCCATTGTACTTGGTACGTTTGACGTTCCGACGCGGGTCAAGTGTCCACAGGTGATCTCCAGATTCCTTACCTAACGGGTCCCCCCAGGCCCGATTACGACGCTCCTGAAAAGTCCAGTTGGCCTCCGATTTCTATTTCGACTCTTCTATACCCATTCGCTCCTTTCTTTCCTTTCTTGCTCTTTCTCTGTCTCTGTATCTATCTCTCTTTCTCCTTCCTCCGATGTCCTCCCCGTATCCCTCTTATCTATCCATCTAATCGTCACAACTCTCCGACCTCCGACCTCCGGCCCCACGCGTACACACCGGGAAACACCTGGGAGGACTACATACAGTCGAGATAATGTCTCTCCATAAAACTGCCCGGATCATTTCTGTCATTGCAGGGACGCTGGTCGCCCTGTCATGCGGAACAAATGTGCGTGATATCTCCGATCTTGTCCCTTTAAGGACGATTTAAGGTTAACAGTCTGACAGTATGCATACTCCGCATGGGCACCGCAATTCGCCCAAAAGATGAAGCTCTCGTCGACTGAGAGCAACCTGATTGTGAGTGGTGCCGTGGCTGTCGCAGGGAAGGTGTCCTAACAAGCTCTAGGGTGTTGCTGGAAACTTGGGCATGTATGCCATGGGAATTCCTATGGGCCTATTAACTGATGCGCGGGGCCCAAGACTGGTCACGCTGGTCGGTTCGATCGCTCTGGGTCTGGGATATTTCCCGATCTACTCCGGTATGCCCTATTGCTGCCTCTATGTTGAACGGCGTTGACGTTAGTAGCATATGAACATGGCGAGGGATCCATGCCGATCATCTTCCTATGCCTATTTACGTTCCTGACCGGTATGGGTGGCTGCGCTGCCTTTGGTGGTGCTATTAAGACAGGTAGGTCACACGAAACAAGTACTTGGATAAGGGTTTAACCGAATGTATCAGCGGCATCCAACTTCCCCGATCATCGTGGCACAGCTACGGCTTTCCCGCTGGCGGCCTTTGGACTCAGTGCTCTGTTTTGGTCCAACGTATCCACACTCATTTTCAAGGATGATACCGGCCGCTTCCTATTGCTCTTGGCCCTCGGTACCTCCATCTTGTCCTTTGCATCCATTCCATTCCTGCGAATTCTCGTCTCGGAGCCCTACTCAGCTGTCCCACACAACGCAGCTGAGTCCAATAGGCTACACCATCCCACGGATCTCCGATCTGTGCCAGAAGATGTTGAAGATTCTGGCCTACATGGCTCAACCGCCTTCGAGCATGGGCAACACCCCGCACACGCACGATCCCAATCAAACGTCTCAAACCACGGCAGACCATTGAACCCTGACGACGAGACATCCTCCCTGGTCTCGAAGAACGACCATCCCCGGCCATCCTTTGACACTCTAGATGACGATTTCCTGGACGAAGTAGCCGACGAGTCGCACCACCTCGACATCAGAGGCTTAGCAATGCTGAAGCGCGTCGAATTCTGGCAACTATTCCTCACGATGGCGCTCCTCTCCGGAATCGGCTTAATGACAATCAACAATATCGGCAACAGCGTCAAAGCCCTATGGCTCTACTACGACGACAGTGCCACAGACACATTCATCCAACACCGCCAAGTCATGCATGTCTCAATCCTCTCGTTCGGCAACTTCCTCGGCCGCCTTTTCAGCGGCATCGGCTCAGACCTGCTAGTCAAGAAACTCGGCATGTCCCGCTTCTGGTGTCTCTTCATCTCAGCCGTCGTTTTCACCCTAACCCAGCTGGCTGGTACGTCAATCTCAAACCCAAACAGCCTAGTTGTCGTCTCAGGTATGACCGGTATCGCCTACGGTTTCCTCTTCGGCGTCTTCCCTTCTCTTACTGCTCACACCTTCGGTATTGGCGGTCTATCCCAGAACTGGGGTGTTATGACCCTCGCCCCTGTGTTCAGTGGTAATATCTTCAACATTCTCTACGGAAGTATCTACGATGGTCACTCCGTTGTAGGGAAGGACGGTGACCGGGAATGTCCCGATGGTCTGGGCTGCTACCGCTCGGCTTATTTCATGACTTTCGTCTCGGGTATCTTCGGTATCGCCGTCTGTCTCTGGAGTATCTTCCGCGAGCGCTCGATACATAATGCCATGAACAGAAAGGCCGGTCACCGACTTGCGTGAGTTCGGTTTGCGCAATCATTCGCGGTGGTGAGTTTTCTTGGTAATCTGTCTGTCTCCCTCATTCTTTCTTTGAACTTTCCTTTCTTCGTTTTGATTTCTTTCGGTTATGACTTGCTTGGTATAGAGGGCATTTGATGGCATGTTATGTGTCTGGTCTTGATACTAGAAATACCCATGATGCATTGTTTCTCTTATCTTATAGACTTGCTACTTGGTCTGGCGGGCTTTCCTTACATTATTCCTTCTTCATTCGTGTGACAGCTTCGGGTTTTTTTGTTGCCTTTTATATTTCAGGACTAATGACCTTACTCAATGTGGATGTGCCTTTCCTCCCGTACTGCTTGTGCTATTCTACCACCCATTATGGGATGTATATGTCCAGCTAATGTAGATTGCATATCCTGTTGGAGATAAGGTTATCAGCAAGCACAAGCAAGACCAAAAGTAGGTAAAGATTGCTAACGTTCATGAACCCTAGAATAAAACCAACTTAAAAGCTCCAACTCTACATACCAGTCTTAAATCCTCGTGACCAGTAAATGAAGAATGTAAAGAATATTGTATTAGAAGCATAGAGAAATTCGTACAGCACACAGCAGGCAAAAAAGCAAATTAGAACAAGAAAGGGTTTGCAAAACATCCAGACAGAAGGAAAAGGGCAGAAGAAAAACAAGAATTGAAACCATTCAAGAGTATGAGCTTTTTTTGTTAAAGCTCCAAGCCAGTAATGACAACGGAGCAATGAAGGGGGTGAAGGGTATCAAAAAAGATCAGAAAGAAACCGGGATGAAGACCGCAACTGAGAGACCGCGTAACAAGTCAAACAAGCTACGATGTGCGCGTGAAGGTGGCTGAAGTAGGATTGATGATGCGCAGGCGCAGACTAGACGCTCTTGGGAGATTGCGACTTGGGCTGCACTTCCTCGCTGGTTTCCACCACGTCTGACAGGCGGATCTTCTTGGCAGATGGCTCGCCAGACTCGGCGTCGCCGGCGCTGCTGGTTCCGACTTGGCGCTCGAGATCGCTGACGCGACGCTTGAGATCTTCTTCACGGCGCTGGGAGTCTTCGAGGGATCGGCGGAGGCGGACTTCCGAGTCTCGTACGATCATCTCCGACCGGCGCGCGCTGGCGTCGCTTTGCTCAAGTTCTGTCACGCGGCCGCGGAAAAGCTCATTGACGAATTCCAGTTCGCTGACGCGGGTTTTGAGGGATGTGTTGAGGGCAAGGAGGCTTTCGAATGTGTGGGGGGAGTCGAGTTGGCGGTCGACTGCTGACGGAGAGGGTTGGCGCATCTGTCGCGAGGGGAGGCTGCTGGAGGAATTCATATTATCGCCCAGGGTGACGCTATCGAACATGTGCTGGGGCGCGATATTCGAGTTGTGCGCGTGCATCGAGCCAAAGCCAGGTGTCTCAGTCCGGGATACGGGGGAGTTCGAGCGATCCGAATGGCCCGGGGACATCTTACGCGACGCGCGACGGTATCCATGTCCACCGAGAGGAGGAGTGCCAGCCTCTGATCTGGAAGGGAGACCATTGGTATCGACAGGACCGCCGGACTAAGCTCGTAATCTCGTATCAGCACATATCTTATCTAGGGCCAGATAGAGGCTAGGGAGGGAAAATTTTTGAGCGCGAACTGACCTTGCGCTTTGGACCTTGGCCGGTCTTAACGCGATTGCGACTCTTGATCACATCGGTTTTCAAGCTTATCGGACGAGGACGGCCATGAAGTTTCAAGAACAGTCCACAGGCGTTGCAGAGGACTGAACCCTGTTCATCACGTCGCCACAGGGGGGTCGTAGAGGTGCCGCAATTTTGGCAAACGGGCTGTAATTGAGTACGATTGGCGTCAGTCAATGTAGTGGCCATGGTGGAAGGTGAGGAAGATGGGAGAAGATAGAATGATAAGATGAGTTTGAGTCGATAAGGAAAGGGAAAATGCGGGTGCACGGTCCAGGTGCCAAGACCCGAGATAAGCGGATTCTTACAGGGCTCCCTCCGGTCGTCGCGGCGGGCGAGGTATAGGTCATGTTGGCCATGCTCATACTGGCATCGCTTGAGGATCTAGATAGGTGTTAGCAGGTTGATTTCAAATTGGGAAGTTGGCAATGGCAATTGGCATTGGAAAATTGGTGATCTCCCAGCCTATAACCTCTCTTTGATACACCTCATGCACAAGAGAGGGGCCAGATTACTACCAAATTACTGATCTTCCAAGATTACACAGTATAGATAGTCCAGGGAAGCGTCGGGGCTGGTAATCCAGTTTGTTCTGTATGCCCTCACGTACCGGAGATTAGAGGTCGGTGCTGAAGCGACAGACGCCAAAGCTGCCAATCCAGGAAGCGAAGTGCTAACAGAAGTCGAGCTAGGGTAAGCACTATCAAACTTGGTCACGCTTTTGATGTCCGGCAGTGTGGTAGAATAGGGTATCGATCCGTTGGAGGGCTGACGCGTAGCAGAGGCTTCGGACGGGGAATCGTAGGGGAACTCGCGATCTCCAGGCGAGCCAGGTTTGAGAGCCGGGTCAATGGGCGACGCCCTATATAGGATGGAAGCCACCGTGGAGGTGGGAAGGTGGGTGTCGATTGAAATCCGGTCGTGAACCGAATTGGAGGACTGGGAGGATACGTATTGGTCGAATCACGCGACAGTTGTAATTTAGATGAGTGCACTTGGAGAATCAAGAAATAATTGGATCGATTGAGACCACTCGGGTGAAGCAATTGGTCAGATCAAAGACAAAAGACAAGATCTCGTTACTCGAACAGGTCGAACGGTCGATCGTCGAACAGGCAATAATGGAAGGAGAGGACGGGAAGGCCCCGAGGATTGGATCGAAGATTAAGACAAGAAAAAAAGATCAAATTAGAGGCATTAAGATCATCATCGAAGGTGGGAAGGGGAAGAAGAAGATCTTATCCTCCGACTATTATTATCGCGTGTCTTATCGCTGCTTATTTAATACATACTTAACTAACTTATAAGAATGCCCTGCCTCATTCCCCTGCCACTCGACTTGAGACTCGAGACTCGAGACTGGCAGTCAATTGGGTTCTGCAGATCTCTACTCTTTTTTAGACCGGGAACACCTTGGTCTTATGTATACTCTGTAGAGTAAGGCTCAATCGACACACTAAAGGCAGATAGTATAGGCAACTTATGTATACGGGGTTCCCTCGTATTTGAAGTCAACTTAAGCATTCATTATCTGCTACAACTGCCGTCCAAGCCCATATAAATCAACTTCATAAGGAGAGACCCCTTTTATGCTTAACAACTACGTAGGGGGTGGAGACGTGGTGCGTATTGGTATTTCCGTATTTAACACGCCGGACCTGCCAACCGCAAACAGCTGGCTGTTTCTGCCCGCTGAACAAATTGACCGCCCCGGTAAATTAAGGGTATCCCGTACCCCGAAACGCCCCCTGCCCTTGAGTGTCTGGAGTGTTATTTCAGCTGCCTTCACCTCTAGCCGGTCTTTCTACCTCTTCATCTTTCTTCTCTTCTTTGTAATGGATTAACCTCCCTTTTGTGTCTTGTTTGCCGTCTCTCTTTCACTGGCTATCTATCGCCCCCTTCCATAGATCCATCACAATGCCGAAAAACCGCCCTGCAACGTCGGGATACGCCCGACTCGCCCAGGAGGAAGAGGAACGGGGCTATCTTCATGATGATTCAGAAGACGAACAGGGTGCTATCTCGGTAGCATCCACCTCCGCGCCTCGATATGCCCCCATCTCCTCTCGAGCCCAGATGCAGGCATCCGGTCTCCATTCGCCCAACGGTCATCGACGCCGACATAGCGGATATCAATACCCCCGGGGCCGTCGAAACTCCGGTGTGGATATCAAGGCGATCAATGCGCGTCTCGAAAAGTGGGCGGACGAGATTGCCTCCAAGTTCAAGATCAACAGAGTCAAGGGCAAGAGCTACGAGGAGGAGAAGCTAGAGATCTATCATTCGGTCTTCCAGGCACCCCCAGGCATCCGCCCTGTGACTGCTGAAACCCTCGAATCAGATGAATTTGAAGGCGAGCAAAGGCGAGCCCGAGCCGAGTACGAGGAGATCATTGAAAGTGTCCGCCTGGCAATTGAACTCGACGTACACCCGCGGATGATCTCACAAGGAAGCTCGGGCAGTTACTTTGCTCGAAACCCTGAGGGCAAGGTAGTGGGTGTTTTTAAACCCAAGGACGAAGAACCCTACGCCTCACGAAACCCTAAGTGGACCAAATGGATTCACCGCAATCTGTTCCCCTGCTTCTTCGGCCGTGCGTGTCTCATTCCCAACCTTTCCTACGTATCGGAAGCCGCCGCCTACGTCCTCGACGCTCGCCTACGCACGAATCTCGTTCCTTATACTGGTATTGTGCGGCTATCGTCGAAATCCTTCTTCTATGATTTCTGGGATCGAAGAAAGGCATGGAAGGGCAAGAAATCGTTGCCTCCCAAGGCAGGCAGTTTCCAAGTTTTCTTAAAAGGATTCAAGGATGCCAACATCTTCCTAAGAGAACACCCCTGGCCCGACCAGACCAACACCGGATTCCGCGCCGAGGATGCCCCGAAGCGAAAGAAGCGGCCATGGAACGAGGCCTGCCGTCCTTCTGGGACACAGTCAGACGACGAGGATGACGAAGATCCTGGATACGTACCCTCACCACCCCCATCGCGTGACCCCAGTGCCGAGCGCCAATTTTACTGGACGGAGAACCTCAAACAATCATTCCGCGAAGAACTGGAGAAGCTTGTGATTTTGGATTACATCATGCGAAACACCGACCGAGGCCTTGATAACTGGATGGTCAAGATTGACTGGGGGACAGAGTCGGTTTCTATTGTGGCAGACCCTCCCAAGAACAATGAGTCACAACCTAGGCATGATGAGGACGAACTCTTGCCTCCGCCTCGACCAGTATCTGTGAACTCGAACGGCGCAAGAAGCCCTAGCGCCCCCTATAAGCGACATGAAACCATGATGGCAATCAGTCGCACAGGAACCCCACTAGCTTCGTCTGAGCAGTCGGCTTCTGTTCAGCTTGGCGCCATTGACAACAGTTTGTCTTGGCCATGGAAACATCCCGACGCAGTAAGTCCGGTCCTCTTAAATTCCAATGACCGATACTAACAATTTACAGTGGCGCAGTTTCCCCTTCGGTTGGCTCTTCCTGCCAGTATCCTTGATTGGCCAGCCCTTCTCGCAAAGAACCCGCGACCACTTCCTCCCCCTCCTTACATCGACAGATTGGTGGAGCGGAACACAAATGGCTTTGCGCGGCATCTTTGCGCAAGATGACGATTTCAAGGAGAGCATGTTTGCTCGCCAAATCGCCGTTATGAAAGGTCAGGCCTGGAACGTCGTGGAGACACTGAAGCACCCAGATCACGGCCCGCTTGAACTTACTCGGCGGACTCGTGTCTGTGTCTGGGATGATCTAGTTGATGTCCCCGTTGCCATCCCTATGCGCGCGCCTTCGACCGACAGGCAAAGGAACCGATCTATGAATTACGACCCTTATGAAGAAGAGATGGACATCGGCGCGTCCGCCTCTTCCCAACCAACCCCAGAACGCGAGCATGACTTGTTAGGATTGAATACATTGCCCAGCGACCTCCCTAACCCGAACCGATTTGAGCTCTCTCGTGGTCGTGCCGATGGCGATGCTGGCGGCTCGATTGGTAGCCCTGCTACTGTTAACGAGCAAGACTTCGCTCGGACTGCCGATGGTACATCTGGCGGCTCTCTCGACGGGTGGCCTTCCCTTCCTCCACGTCCTTCTCAGAAGCACCGAAAGCAAGGCGGGTCCCTGTCCTATCGCGTTCCCCACGTCAACACATTCGGCAGCGATGACCTAGAAGGAGACCTCGGCTATGCAGTTGCCGAAGGCATGGAAGGCAATCAACGCAAGGTGATTGTTGAGCGCCTCGAAGCCGTCAAAAGCAAAAACCCCGTCTTCACCTGGTGCTAATGTTATGTTGACCTTGCATCACCTTCTATTCCTACACTTTCACATTTTTGCATTTCTTTTCTCATTAATCTGCAACCATCTTCTGCAGCAATGCCTTGAGCGGGAAACAGGCATCTAACCATTCACGCGCCGGTCCCCAGTTTCCCGCTCAAGTCATATTGACTGCGCTTCTCTTTCTGTGACCTTCACACGAGTCCTTAACTGGACATGCTCATGATTTGGGGAGATTCCCGTGTTGTATATAGATCTTCTTTGGCTGTTCCGGTTGCCTTGGGTTGTGGCGCATTGATTGAGCGAACTGCCTCATGTAGCATATATGACGAGACTTAATTCTATGATACCTTTATCTCTCCCTCTGTGTAAAGTTCTTGGCTGTATTTACTGGGTTGATATTCCGTAGATTCTGTAGTGATCATATGTCGGCGTCTGGTCGTTCACCTGGCTGTTGGGGTGATTATGGCCATGTCAAGAGTGACCGTTTAATTGTCCAGAGTACTGGCTTGTCACTCACCAAAGATTCTATGGTAATCTTTTGGTTGGTGTCTAGTCGGTCGTCTGGCCGTGGAGATGATTGTGACTAGGTTAAGATACTGTTCAATTGTTATGGTACTAGTAGACTTTGTATTCTTGTCGTTATCTATGGCACTTACAATTATGCCTCTAGATGTAGTTACGATCGCTGCTGTATAAAGTCGGGCTAACATAGATCATGCTATGTAGTATCCACTATCAGCGAGGAGACGAGATAACATCGTGGCCATTACGGGCACACCTTGGCTAGACTCAAATATGGCTAGTATCAAGTATGTCCCTTGAGCAATTCTAGCCTATGTATAGTATTGACGGAGGTCCCGGAAGGTCTCTAGGTAACTGCTCGTTTCCATCGTTTGATCTATAGAATCTCGCCTAGGCGACTAAGCGCGGGGACATATGTCACGCTTCCCAAACCTTTTCTTTTTCTTTTTCATATCACCATCTTCTCGCCCTATTTTTCCTTCTACTTTTTATATCCCTTCATTCCCCATATCCCCGCCCTAGCGTATAAAAGTACGCCGCAGCGGCTCCAAACGCGGCACTGATAAGACCCTTATCGGGATTATCCGAGACTGAGGTCATTTGCTTCATCTCTACCTCTACAAACGGCCTAAGAGAACAGGCGCGCCGATATCCCAGACAGCGACTCGAGCCCATCAAGTACCTCGAAAATCCTGAAGTGTCACTTCCGACCTGGTTATAATCGACCCCCACGGGTAGGCAAACGACAAGGCACCGACAGGATCGCGACCAACGAAACCGACGCCATAACCACCGCTATAAAAATAAACCAGCACGTCAGACTAAAGAGGCACGATACCAGCCCGTGATTTGTGCCCATTATCGTGAAATTCCAATGCCGAGTGAGATTCTGCGACTCTCGCGTCTGGAAGGCGCTCCCTTCGTTTAGCAGACAATTTGCGCCACTATCGCGTCCCAGCAGTGAACAGTACTATATTCTCTCGAAGCTTGAAATTTTCATTGCCGCCGACAACAATTTTCCGGTCACGCGCGAAATTTCCATATCGTTCGGCGGGGGATTTATCGCGAATCGCCGTCGAGTCTACCTATATCCTGTAAATCGCCTGACTCCCGTGAACGCTGTTCACAGTTACTGGAAGCTCTTCAAACTTTCACTGATAGTGACTCGGTCCAGTAAAACCCGTTCAAAGTTTCTGGTAAGTGATGCAAGCACTTGAACTTACACCTTTTCGTCGGTGAAACCGGATTTCGTTGAGCCACTGACATTTGCGTGCCGTCGCTTTAGAATCTGCGTACATTCTTTCCAAGACGTGCGTACCGTTATTTCAAGACTACAGTACGCTCGATCTAAGACTCAAGGGTCATCATTTCGGGATTTGCGTGCTTTCACCTCGGAACGTGAGTCCCGTTACTTCAGAACTAACGGGCGTTTCATCACTCCGAGAATCCAATACTTTAGCTCCGAGTCTCAAGCATCATCAGTTCAGTACTGGCGTACTTTGACTCCGGAACCCGCAACCCTTCATCCCCGGACTAACGTTCGCTTCAGAACGATAATTTCGTCACTCCAGCGCCTGCGTCCCTTCACTCGAGAACTCGCGTACCGTCACTTCTGTCTCATTATCTGAGCAAAATTTGATCTCGAATCTTCGAAGGTCGACGCCGAAGATGGCTTCTCATCCGTCCATGCTCTTGGATCCCAGGGCCTATAAAAAACAGGCTCAGAACAATGGTAATCCTTCCGCTTCTTCTACGTCTTCCCTTTCTACGACAGATGATCTTCTTCAAATGAAGCCTGCCACTATGCCCCACGAGTTTTCACAAGACCCTGCTGGATCTTTGACTTCGTCTTCTGCTCCTGCATCGCCCTTTCCTTCTACCCTTCCCTCCCATGATTCCTCGTCTTCCCATCTGATGAACGCATCTATGCCAACTGAACTGGTTAATTTCGCCTCTGTTGAGACCGCTGTTCCGTCCACGCTTGGTTCACATTTGGATCAGATGGGCACTACCAGCACAACTGGCGAAACTTCTCTCAAATCAGTCGAGGCCTTTCCTCCTGCGCTTGATGATTCAGCACACAATACGGACACAATCATGGTAACTGATGAGGCTTCTGTCGCCTCAGTTCAACACCATATCCCTATTGTTCTTGATTCACTTCCGTGTCAGGTCAATACAATCATGGAAATTGACGAGGCCCCTCTCGCCTCCGTTAAAGCCCATGACCCTGCTGCGCTTGATCTCTCTGGTCCTAATCCACCTTCCCCTGGCACTTGCCTTTCTGCTCGCGTTACAGACCCCATGTCTGTGGAATTGATATTGAACTCTGGCTCACTTCTCCCACCCACAGGACGACGCAAGAAGACCGATATGTCCCCAGCCCATCCCATGGCTCCACCGGGTACTGCCACGCCAAGCTTCCGAGGCCCTTCTTCAGGGATGGCTTCTCCAAATCCGTCGACCAGTAGAGTCTCGAGCCCAGCCCCGAAGCCAGAGTCCAATCTGACCGTACAATTCACTACGGCCCTTGACGAAGCAAATGAGAGTGATTCAAAACGTAGTCATTACGAAATGAGCGACGAGGAAGATTTTCGTCGATCAAATTTCATCGAAGACGTCTATGGCGTTGAACATCGGAAAAATCCCCCGACGAAGAAGGTCAAGACTGACGAAACAGACGCGATGCCCAAAATTGCTAACACACCAATCACAATCTCTGGCGATACTGGACTCGGCAAGTTCATGAAGGAAGGGGAGGGCAATCAGACTGCAAATCGGACTGCTTCTGCTGTTGTTGATTTGACCGCAGGTAAAGCATTCAGCATCTTTAAATTTGTTCACTTCCGGCTAACTCTGCCTTAGATGCTCCCAACGCATCCAACGATGATGATGATGACGACGTGCAATGCACAGGGTCTGCTGATCTTAGCACCCAAGAGGTCTGCTTCGGAAAAATCGAAGCCGCTTTCATCAATGCCCATCATGTCCCTCAACCCTCACCAAATCCTCTCCACAACGACATCACGTCTCACTGGCCTTCCATGAAGCTCGAGCTCCGGCGTCAGCCTACAGGCGATTTCCAAATTGATGCTATCGATCCCTACGAGAAGGCTTTTGGCTTTGTTGACGCGAAGACTGCTCTTGCGCTATGCCCATTGCTTGACTCCGCTTGGCCCGTGAGACTCACTGCGCGACTCGACACCCGGAGGAGGGTTCCTGGAGAAGTTATTGGAGAACCGGTATCCGGTATCTACCGCGTATCCATCAATCTCTATGGCCAGAGGCAGCATGCCAATGCAATTGGGAAGTACCTGGGCCAAAAAAATGTTTGGCTAGGCACTCCAGTGACCATGGAACAAGGAGCTACACTTTTCAACCCACACGCGCACATGCGCCGTCAGATGAACACAGCAGCAGTTGTGAACAATAACACCACTGGACGCTCGGTCCCTCGATATGAGGTTCGAACTGCCGAGGAGGTGAATGATGCCGTTATGAAGATGTTTGATCAGCTCATCACTAAGGACATCCCAACAAAGGAACCAACTTCTCACATTCTAACGCCTCTGCTGCCTCATCAGAAGCAAGCACTTTGGTTTATGACAGAGAAAGAGCAGCCGCGCAAGTTCGGCCCCAACGAGGAAGACAATAACTCATTGTGGCGAGAGGTCCGCGCTCCTAATGGGAAAACTCAATACCGCGAGATCATCACAGGAATTGTTCTCGATGGCAAACCCGAGGAGTCGCTGGGAGGCCTGTTGGCTGATATGATGGGTTTGGGCAAGACCTTGAGCATTCTGTCTTTGATTACCTCCTCTCTTGAGTCATCTCTTGAATGGAAAAGATCGGCACCTCATCCCAACCTTGTTCGCACGTTTCCGGGTATTCGCAATACACGCACTACTCTTCTGGTTGTTCCTCTAAGTGCTGTCAGCAACTGGGTTTCACAGATCAGTGAGCATCTTGCTCCAAACAGCATCAAGTGTCATACATTCCATGGCCCAAATCGCATTACTGATGTGGATGAACTTGCCAAATTTGATGTTCTCATCACCACCTACAGCACCATTCTCAGCGAGATGAATGGCCGAGGCGCCAAGCGCGGACAAAGCCCTTTGAAGTTGATGAACATGTTCCGCATTGTTCTTGATGAGGCACACACCATCAGAGAGCAGAATGCAAGACAAACAAAGGCTATACTGGATCTCAATGCTGAGCGGAAGTGGTCTGTGACTGGAACTCCGATTCAGAATCGGCTGGAAGATCTCTTGTCTGTGACCAAATTCCTCCACATTTACCCTTACAATGAACGGAGCAGTTTCGTTCAACACATTTTGAGTCCTTTCAAGACTGGTGATCCCGCTGTTCTTGCTAGCTTGCGAGTCATGGTGGACTCTTTCACTTTGCGCCGTGTTAAGGACAAAATCAATCTGCCACCCCGTAATGATAACATGGTCACATTGGATTTCACCGAACAGGAGAAGCAATTGCATGAGTTCTTCCGCAATGAGTCCAATGTCATGATGCGCGTCATTGCTGGAGAGAGCAAGAGCAAGATGGGCGGCCGCATGTACCACCACGTTCTGAAGGCCATGATGATTCTTCGCCAAGTCAGTGCCCATGGAAAAGAGCTTCTGGACATTGAGGACCGCGAGCGGATCAAAGGATTGTCTGTGCACGATGCGATCGATCTGGAGGAAGGTGAACCAGCTGAGACACCCGCAGCCTTGAATAAGAAGGCGTATGGCATGTTTTCTATGAGACAGGACATGGCGGAGGATCTGTGTGCCACCGAAACCTGCAACAAAAGCCTCGAGCCAATTCTCGCCGCGAATGGAGAAGTCGACGGCGACGCCCCGATGGCGATATACCTGCCTTGCGGCTGTGTCTTCTGTCCAAATTGTTTCTCTGGTTGGAAAGAAGTGTTCGACTCGAACACTGACACTCCCATGGAGTGCCCCGGTTGCAAGGGATGGACCGCTATGGCCTACTCCGTGATCACACCCAATGGCCTTGACGAGTACCAGGCCCAGCAGGATCAAGAACGCCGTGACCGTCAAACTGGGAAGGTCGGAAAGGTTTTCGGTGAATATGAGGGCCCGCATACTAAGACCATTGCACTGCTCAATTACCTCAAGGGAAGCGTCGAGGACAGCAAAAAGCTCGAGGGCGAATCGCCTATCAAGAGCGTTGTCTTCTCCGGCTGGACCTCCCACCTGGATCTCATTGAGATCGCCCTACGAAACAACGGACTGGACAGCTTTGTCAGACTAGACGGCACAATGACTCTCGCTGCACGCATGAAGGCTCTTGATCTTTTTGCCAAAGATGATTCGATCACCATTCTCCTGGCCACCATTGGTGCAGGTGGTGTCGGCCTCAACCTGACATCCGCATCCCGTGTCTTCATCATGGAGCCACAGTATAATCCCGCCGCCGTCGCTCAAGCCGTTGACCGTGTCCACCGTCTCGGACAGACTCGGCCCGTGGAGACATACCAGTTCATTATGAAAGGCAGTATCGAGGAGAAGATCCAAGAACTTGCTAAGAAGAAGCAGCAGCTCGCAGATATGAGCATGAATCGGGGGAAACTGGATAAGCGGGAGGTTCAGGAGGCCCGCATGCGCGAGTACCGTTCCCTCTTCAAGTGATGACTGGCTCTTCAGTATTCTTTTCTCTCTTTCCTTTTCGTCTTTTGTTTGTTCTTCTTTCTTATGGGACATCATTGTGTTTTTCAATGTTTCCTATTTTATTTTGTTTCGTTGGCCTAGATCCTGGCGGCATGATGGTTTCGTTTACATGATACCCGGAAAAGGATGAGGCGTTAGTATCTATTTGTTTTTTTTCCAACATACCTCTTTGATCCATGGATTCTCCTTAAGAGATGACATACAGTGTGTTCTGCATTCTTTTTCTTTTTGCTTTAAGTCTGTTGTTCTATGCGAGCATTATACATGACTGCTTGCTTCTCTGATAGATCGTGCTTTATGTATCTCTTATCGCACCCCATTGGTTTTCATCTGACCGCGCCTAGATCGAAACTATTCAAAGTCCCAAGCTGCAGTTCATCAACGTAGATATAGTAACTTGTTCGATCATCTGTCTATTGAAGAAAGCCTCTTCAAGCTCTCCAGGCCTTCCTCGATCGAATCGGTATACTGTCTCACATTAAGCAGATCCGTCCAAAATGCCTTTGCATCTTCGTGAAGCAGAAAGAACCAGGTGTATCAGTTCAAGATCTACATCTCAGTATACCAGAAAATCCCTGAACTTGTCAATTACTGAGTCCCAGTTCCTCCAAGTACAACACTCATCTTCACACCTTAAGCGTCGCTATAGCCATCGTTGGAAATGCGTTGGCTTGCAACTTCCTCGACGTCGCCGGAGCCTGCACTTGGTGGGGAGACGATCCAACCTGAAGCAGCCATCTATTGCCGTCACTATCACCGTTGATACGTGAGTGTATGCCTTTACCTGCGCGATCACCCTCGCCATCACCATTATCACTATCGTCGTATTCATAGTGCTAGTTGATATGCCGTATGGTCTCAATCTATGGTCCCCAGCGGCTTGAAGCATATAAAAGTGCTGGATTTTTGCAACAGGAGAGAGAAGGGAACGGTAAGCGGTTGAGGCTGAGAGTGGTGATCTTAGGGCTAACTGATTTTGAAGCTGAATACGACGTGAGAATGGACAGGGCAAGGATATATTATACTATTCGCACAAGAGAATCATTCAAGATATTTCCACTAGAAGTAGTGTAGGTATATTGTCTAAAGCTTTATAGCAAATTCAATATCCCAATATCGATAGATAGCAAACTTGATACCACGTTGTATTCGTTAAATCTATACATGCGCCCGTGCAATTCGTGATTTGACCACCCACCCATAACGCCAAAGAAAAAGGGAGCTATCACCCATACCCATGCCCGATCCCACGAAGAAATCACTTTTGATACTGACTGTCTCCGTAAATACCAACAGAAACAGCATCCAACACACTCTCCAGACGAGCCCTGAGCTTCTTCAAATCCCGGACTTTAGCAGCCCTCTCCGTCTCAACACCCCGAAGCTCCCCCTCCAGTTCCCGGATTCTGCTCTCTTGCTCAGCTTCCGAAGCACCGATTCCAGGAAGCACAGAGATCAGATATTCGATCTGCTGTTCCTTGATAATAAGGTCACGCGCAAGTTCCCGCTGCCGACTCGCAAATGTGCGAGGGGAATCCGGCGCCGGGGGGAAATTAGGGTCTTCTCCATCTATCGGTGCTTCAGGCGCAGCACCGGGTTGTTGAGGCCGTGCAAGTGGAGGAGATCCAGATCCTTGTGCGGCTGCGGCGCCTGCTGCTGTATTTGCGATAGCTGCTGGGACTGGTGGTGATGAGGAGTTCTTGGTGATCTTTGCTAAGGCTGGTGCGGCATCTGGGACGTTTGGAGGTGGTGTTGTAGGGGCATTGTCGTGGTATGTTGTGAGATAGCCGAGTGTTGCGTAGAATTGGGTTGCGAGCTGGATTGTTCGTTTGTTAGCAGGGTTTTGGATAAGGCTTTGGAGGGGTCTTACCTGGTCGAGGCAGGTCTGGAGCTGGGTGAGGATGTCGGCCATTATGGCGACTGGAGCTTCAGATGTGGAAGCTTGTATTGAGAAGCAAACCTGAGGGAAATGGCGAGGTTGTCTGGTTGAAAATGAAAGCGCGGAGCAAATGCGGAGAGAAGCTCCAATGCGGTGAGGGTTTTCTTTCCTTTACAACACTCAATGCGCCTGTTGCGACTACACCATGGCCTGGCTGCCGGAAAGTCTCACTTGAAGCTTGGATGCATTTCTCGACGCTGCTTTTCCAGCACGCATGCGCATCATGACCTGACACCCTTCTCGCGCCGACTATTCAAATTACCCTCCGCACCATCTCCGCCTTCACAACATCACCATGACCTGACCACCTTTCTCTCCTACGCCGAACACATATCCCTCCCAGAGAAAAGCACAGTATACGTCGGCACACACTATGAATACACAGTCCTGCAAACTCTCCGCCAATACGCCCTAGCACTCCACCGCATCGGCGGCCGCGACGACGCAGGCATCGACCTAGTAGGAACCTGGCACCTCCCGGAACGCGAACAATCGCGCGCAATCCGCGTCCTAGTGCAATGTAAAGCTCTCAAAGCAAAACTAGGCCCGAATCTCGTGCGCGAACTCGAAGGGACGTTCCGCCAGGCACCTGTCGGCTGGCGCACGGGCCAAACAGTCGGCATGCTGGTCGGACCGCGCGAGGCAACCAAAGGAGTCCGCGATGCACTTGCGCGGAGCACTTACCCCCTATTCTGGATGATGATTGAGCGGGACGGGACTTTGAAGCAGGCGCTTTGGAACGCTCGTGCCGATGAACTTGGGCTTGGGCCTCTAGGTGTGGAAACGCGATATGGGGCTGAGGGCGAGTCGGGTTCGGTTACTAAGGAGGTTGCTTTGACCTGGGATGGATGTGATATCCCTAATATGGGTTGCGTGGAGCTTGATCTGGCTCGGTTTGAGGAGCAATGGGTTGCATCTTGGGGTGCGAACTTGCCGGAAATTGAGAAGGGTGAGCTGCTGGATATTGCTGAGAGGGTGCTATCGCATGGTGAGTCTGGATTTTTATCGGATGGGACAATATCGGATGCAGACCGGACGAAAGTGCTTCAGGCTCTACAAGAGCGACAAGCTGGTCTATCGATACCAGCGTGAGTGCGCTACTGGGCAATGGAGCAACTACAGTTGTATAGCGAGATTTGTAAAGCAGTGTACGATTTATGAAAAAACAATCCAAGGGTATAGAAACACCAACAAAGCAATAACCGCTGAAAAGCACGGCTTTGCCTCCAAACGCCAGAGTATAGACTCCCACATAAGTCATCGTAATCTCACCCTTGCATCGTCGACCAAAAGTAGTTTGCATAGAAGAAACGGGAGAACTTCGGATCGATGTTGACCACATGGACATCGCCCTTGCGACTGTTGCGAATGACAGCTCGGTTGAAATTACCAGCCTCATCAGGCTCAATATCAACTCCCAAAGAACGGAAGATCTTGAGTCGCAGACTATATATAAGTTAGCAGTCATCCTAAGCCCAACAGAATACACAGTCACGCACATAGTCGCATCATCAGCCTCGCGCTCGCGTCGCGTGGTTTCGTCACCCTCAAGACCCTGTGATTCGAGGTCGGCCAGCCTCTCCTTGAGCATTTCGAGTTCACTTTCCAGACGCTCGCTTTCAATCTCCAGCTCCGAAGCCGCTTTGGCAATGCGGAACTTCTTGGTGTCCAACTCCACGATCTCCGCTGCGTGTTTGCCCGAGTCGTGCACTGCCACAGCTTCCTCGTGTTGGGTAGACAGAGAATTCAAATTGCGCGAGAGTTTGCGCATGGCCGACTCGGCCTCGCGAATGCGCAGGTCGCGCGACTGCTGCAGGGTTGAGAGCGAGTCATTGATGCGGGTGACGGCTTGTTTATCGGGTTGGATGTTGAAGTTTCCGATCGTGTGGTGGATGAGCTGGAGTAGTTAGTAAATTGCATACAGATCCTAGATAACCAAGAGAGTCAATACCGTTCCAGGCTCCTCGTCGAGCAACATTGTGTCTGGTGTTGGAAGAAACGAAGACTTGTTTGGGTTGTTGCGGCAGCAACAGCCACAGCACCGCCACATGTGTTGCTCCTCCGCAAAGTGACGTTGCGCTTGGGATTTCTGCCTTCGCTTTTCCAACACTTTCTCCTACACTCCAATTTCCCGACCACTTAGCTTTCTTTATCTGCCTCACTATCTAAACGCCGAGTTCTATTCCACCATGTCCAACCTCCCATGTAGGTGGTTCCCCACTGATGCCTGGCTCTTAACGGCTGACTCGCTCTCACAGATGCCGCAGATGCGGAAAGGTGTGTGTTCCGTGAAATATTCATCGAGATGCCCGACGTAGACTAACTTGCTTGGCGACCAATAGTCCCTTGAAGCCCGCTGAACTACAGGTCCTCCGGGCGCAATACGAGAAAGAGGGCGACTATGTCGGAATCCAGACCAAGTTCAACTACGCATGGGTATGACTCCTTCAGCCTCATTCCGGAGTGCCCGCACTGACTATTACCCCTCGCCTTGCGGGGATTTGCATTACAGGGCCTGATCAAATCCAACGCTCGGTCCGAGCAACAAGAAGGTGTTCGCCTGCTGTCCGAGATCTTCCGCGGAGCCCCAGAACGCCGACGTGAATGCCTATACTACCTCGCACTCGGCAACTTCAAGCTGGGGAACTACGGCGAAGCCCGTCGATACAACGATCTACTCCTCGAGAAAGAGCCTGCAAACCTGCAAGCCGCCAGCCTCGGCTCGCTTATTGACGATAAGGTAGCCAAGGAAGGCCTCGTGGGCATTGCCATCGTGGGTGGCTTAGCGGTTGCAGCAGGAGTGGTTGGTAGTCTGGTTCTCAAGGGAGCCCGAAGACGGTAGATCCGTTCTGCAAGGGCTGTGGCACAGTAGGGGTGTCCTTGCGTCTGGAGTATAACCAGCTCACTGTATTATGGGCTTTTTTTTTGTTTCGCTTTTCGCTTTTCGCTCGCATCCAAGGCGTTATTCTTTTATTGTACTCTCTAGTATACATACGTGATAGTCCAACCTACGAGCCCGATCTCAGACAAAGGGTATGTAAGTGTCTCGAAGGTTCTATCCAGGCATTCTTTGTTCTTCTATATACTCCTTGCATCTGAAAATATCCGAAGTAAAGATTAAGCAAAATAAGGCTGCCTGAAGTTGTCTATTTTTGTTGAAACGTGTTTGGCCTTTTTAAGGCGATTGAAGGCGAGTGTCGATCAACGTCATTGCCTCCACCCGACTTACACTTCTTTGTTTCTGTGCCTCTTCTATCTCTTCTCTCGCCTCTCGCGTCTCTCTCATAAGTCACGAAACTCTGTGTTTCTGGAGAGTTCCTCTCACTTTCGTGTCAACAATGACTTTCCTCTAAGCCAACACTTAGAGCCTCCCCCGCAGATAAGGCGCTGTGACTGCTCCGACGCTTATCGACTTGACCAGCTCCCACCTTACGATTTACACCTGTCTGATCTCTTGAGAATGGAGAGTAACGCCGATCGTGTGGAATGCATCGCCTGTGGTGCCGTTTGGTTGAAAGACTCGGCGCATGGCTTAATATGCCCGCATTGCGACTCCGAATTCACGGAAATTGTGAGGATAATACCTCCCCTTTGATCTCATGTCTACTCTTCTGACGGCACTATGTTCTTCTCAAGGTTGAGATCCCCCCCGAGATTCCCTCCGACAGTCCCCAAGAGCGTGCCTCACCTACATCGCAACCACGCAACCCGTGGGCAGACCACAACCCTTGGGGAATAGACGAAGACCCTTTTGGAACGACACCAAGAGATTTCCCTTCTGGATTTCACCGTACATACAGATCGCCCGACGGGCGTTTTACCTTCAGCAGTACCACGCTGGGTACCGGTCTGTCCTCAAGCCCGCGCGGCGCATACGGAACCAACACTGGGATCCCGATGATGATGCAGAACTTCGACACCCTTTTTCGAGACCTAGTGGAACCACCAAATCAACCAACAAGAGAATTGGGAATCGATGATCATTCTCATCCGAGTCCTTTCGGCTGGCCCGATTATGAGCGTGTGGGAGATCATCCATCAAGCCCGGCTCCAATCCCATCTCCTGGTCTATCCCCTCGCAATACTAATGGACCGCAACCACGAGCTCCGCAAGCAGTAAACCTGAGCGAGTATGTGTACCTTTGAGGTTTAGGAAACAGCCCACTAACCCCACACTCCACACTCCAGCCTTATAGAAGCCATCCGTGCCGATCTGGGGACACCAACTACACGAGCGACCCGTCAGAATCGCCAAACTCCAAATCCTCTTGCTATACTATCGGCGCTACTAAACATGAACCCAAATGGAGATGCAGTATACTCGCAAGAGGAACTAGACCGTGTCATCACTTCACTGATCGAGAACACCGGGCCCGGAACCGCGCCGCCGCCAGCATCTGGAAATGCCATCCGGTCTTTACCCAAGAAGAAGGTTGACAGGGATATGATGGGCCCGGAGAACAATGCGGAGTGTTCTATTTGCATGGATGCTGTGGGACTTGGCACGGAAGTGACTGTGTTGCCATGCGACCACTGGTTTCATTTCAGCTGCATCGAGGCATGGTTAACCCAACATAACACCTGCCCTCATTGCCGGCGGAGTATCAACCAACGTCCAGTGTAAGTCTGACAACACTGACACAACATCGAGAACTCTAGCTGACAACCCCAGGCCTACCGATGGAACCAGTGACAATCCGGTGGTCATACCGGACAGCCCTGAGCAGCCACGATCTCGTCGACGTCTCAGTTCCGCTCGAACTACACGCAGTGGCCGCTCCTCTTTTTCTTCTTTGCAAAGCCGACTCTCCCCGCGGCTTTCACCCCGTCGCTCCCCCACACCCGAGGGACAAGAATCCACTCATGCTCCCCGCCGCTCCAGCCGGAGTGAGGGGAGCAACGGGGGATTTACCAGCTGGGTCATGAATCGATTTGGAAGCAGCACATAACATTAGCTGCGACATCGATAAGATCCACCTGCAGCGTGTCTGTTGACACTTTCTCATATCATTCTTCTCGGTACGACTTGATTTGTTTTAGCGGCGGGACTTGCTGTCTTTTTTCCCCATGTCTTTTCTTTGTCTTTTCATCAATACCCCCTTTACCGAACGTCTTATACTCAATGCGATGGAGATACTATGTTTGGTTTTCAGCGAACCCCATTGCTGAGGCTGGTTCTCTACACACCATGTACATACTTCTCATGACTTTATACACAATATCACAGTATTATACCCCCGTGAAAACTCGCCCTTCAAATTCTATCCGATATCCTCTCTTCTCCAAATGTTTGCACAACAAATCACTGATCATCCCCAATCATGGCAATCCTCCCCGTCTCAACCTCATACAAATACCCAGTAATAGGAACAACCAAAACAAGCGGACTATCCCTCAAAAGCTTCACATCATCCAAAACACTCTGTCTCAAATCCCCAAACGGCAAAAGAGCAATATGATCCCCATTCTGTCCTAACTCTTCCCGAATCTTCCCCCGAATCGCGTCGTCGGGGAACGTAAGCATCCCACAATCCGTCTACCACATATCAAATCAGCAAGACTATTAATAGGAAGGTGGCTGAGCGGACTAGCTGTAAGGGATATACATGTGCATATCCATGGACATACACACGCATAGTATAACTCAAGTTGCATAGACATACATGGTGCACAATGACGATCTCCCGAGTCCCAAGAAGTTGTTGCGAGATAATGATACTGCGCAATGCATCTGAGGCTCTCCCGCCTGCGTTGCGGATGACGTGGGCGTCGCCTTCTTCTAGGCCTAGGGCTCGAGCTGGGTCTTTTCTTTTTTTTTTTTTTTTTTTTTTTTTTGTTAGGGTTAGGGATTAGTTTAGGAGGAGGTGGTAATGGAGGAATGGATGTACCGAGGCAGGCGTCCATGCATGCTATCACAGCTACCTTTCTGGTATTGACATTTTATTAGATAATTGTTGTATTGTATGGATGTGGTAAGGGAAACTGAATGGTATGGAGTAGTATGGGGTTGTATAGTCCTACCGTTGTGGGGGCAGCTGTAGATCACCCTTCGTGAAGGAGGAAGCATAATTAGCGTTGGCGGCTTCAAATTCTTTTGCGACGAACATGTTTGAGGTAGATTAACTCGATTCGGGAATAGGAGACCTTGGGAAGAAGAAAGAGAGAAGTATGTAAAGAGAACACCCCGCTTCTGATGTGATATTTGATTAGGGCAATACTAAAAGGACCCTAGAATTGAGTATTTGGACCCCATGGCCTTACGCTAAGCCTAATTAGGCCTAGCCTAGTAATTGTAATTCCAATGCATTAATCGGTAAAAATGCATCAGTTCTTGGCAGTGCTGGATGCCCCGGGTATCGGCGGTCATAAACCTTGGGTACTTCATTTACTATGCAGCTCTCTAATAAAATTAAGTCACCACCGTTTCTTACCAACAACCAACTGGACTCAGTAGCTTCTTGACCCCAAGATACTTCCATTTACTATGCAACCCCCTTATTAAATTAAGTACCGACCACTGCTCAATTTCCTAGAATCGCACTAGTCCCAATTAGGAAACAGAGGCTGATTTGAAAACTCCGCAGATTTGAAGGAATCCAGCTATTGTGGTCAAAACGTACGAGAAAGCAGTAAATTTTGACATATTTCCTATATACAGATATGTCCAATGCGTTCTGACGCTATTCAGAGAGCTCTCCGACGCTTCCTGAGCCGGTCGGACCAGGTATTCTGAGCCTGGGCCGCGCCCTGGGCCGTAGACGAAGCTATTCCTAGTGCCTGAGATGCCACCGGCGACGTAGGAATGCTTGCAGACAATGCCTGGGCCGTAGACGAAGCTATTCCCAGTGCCTGAGATGCCACCGGCGACGTAGTCGATGCGATTCCCGACGCCTGCGACGTAGGACTGCTCGCCGGCGACGTCGGGGCCGTAGCCTGAGCTCCCTGGGCTATAGACGAGGCTATTCCCACCTGTTGTGTGCCTCCACGTCCTCGTCCTCGGCCTCCACGTCCTCGTCCTCGGCCTCCACGTCCTCGTCCTCGTCCTCGACCTCGTCCTCGACCTCGCTGTCCCCCCCCGTTGTATCCGCCGACCCTCCCGTGCTTCCTGGGCATCCACGATCTCAAACAGCGACGGATCCCGCTGCGTAGATGATGCCGTAGACGTCGGAAGGTTATTCAATGCGCCCTTAGGCCGCCCGCGGATGCTGGTAAGGATCTCGGGTTCTTGGAGAAGGTGGCTAAGGCCGATCGGCGGTGCTTCGGTCTCGTAGAGGTGCCACTGGGTATGAAACTGCGATAATTTGACAGAGACACCTATCATGTCAGCCCATTTGATGTCATGGATGCAGGGATAGCCCGTAGCCTTGCAGCCAGGCGTACAACCGACGGCGAAGGGTCTCTTGCCGGGTATACCCTCATCCTCCGGAAGATGCGCATGGTATAGCTTTAAGACCCGCCCGATCGCTTTTCGTGAAACCAGCCGTAAGACGTCACGGACGATCGGATGCCGCATAGCAGATAATACGGTCGGCGATCGCGCTTTCTCGTCGGCGATAGCTTGCTGAGAGAGCTTGAATTGCCTAAGAATAACAGTCTCGAAGCAGTGAAGCAGGGCAAGGAGGTTACGCCGCGAATTCTGGAGGTCTTTCTTTAGAGCTGCATGAGCACCCTCCACGCGAGATGTCGATGTCTCGCCGAGGTGGAAGAAGCTATTCGTAAAACAGCGTAGCACCTGCCGACCGGACTCGATGATCCAGTGCTTCTCGATATAGGTAAGGAGGTTCGAGAAGACTGGCTCACTATAGCAGCTACAAAAGTATAGCCACTGCTCTCTCATACGTTGCTCAGTCTCAGCGAAGACGACTCGATTCCAGCGCTGCAGCATCTTTAGCCAAAAAGCAGTGGCATACGCGATGTATGCCTCCTTCTCGACCTCGCCGGCGTCAATCAGGGCCTTCACATGTTTCCTAGCCGCCGGTATAGCCTTCGCCTTGATATTCGAGATAACATGCCACAAGCATAGCAGCGAGGCTGTCGTTGGCAATGCTACTGCGAGCGCATTGAGGAGGGCTTTCTCTTTATCAGTGAATACTGTGAGAGGCTTCCCGAGGCCATATTCATCGTAGATACCTTGTAGACAGCGTAGGGCCCAGCGATACGCGTCCTCGCGCTCACTCGGTAGGAATGCGAAGCCGACACAGAATGACCTCCCGATCGAGTTGACGCCAATGATATCTAGCAACGGCATATTGAAGCGGTTAGTCTGATACGTACAGTCCATCCATAGCACCGAGGGAGACTGTCGAAGCTGCGCAAGGCCAGTACGATGTATCGCGAAGACGCCTGATACTGTCTCGCCGTCGGCTTGAGTGGTATGGCGTAAGATCCAGTCTCCATGCTTCGGCAGCTCTTCGAAGAGGGCTTGTATCGGCGTCCGACCGGCAAGAAGCTCTTGAAGAAGACGTCTAGCACGGTTGTAGATGTCCGCCGGCCTAAGATGAATGCCCTGGCTAGCTAGAAGCGAGATGATCTGGCGTGGAGGGATCCCTTGGCGTATAAGAGGATCTAGAGTATCAAGATGAGGCTCGAGAGCTCGCCGGCGCAGCGTAGGATGAGTTGATTGAGGCCCCGGTTCGTGATTGTGCTCTCCATGATCGACCTGTAACCGCCAGAGACCGGTCTCCCGCTGTAGGCGGAGATTCAGACCGTACTCGCAGCCAGTCATAGACGTGAATGTCTGCCGAGAAGGTCTAGATAAAGCCGTATTCGCCACAGGAAGCTCGGGAGAAGCCGCCCGGCTAGAGTCTGGGCGTCTACCACGGTCGCATCGAAGAACCACGATGTATAGCCCATCGGTAGCGTTGGATTTGGTACGGCGCTTAACGACTGCGTAGCCAGTAGGCCCGAGGATGCCATTTATCGTATCAATTCCTTCCTGGAAAGTCCCGAAGAGCTGCCCGTCTTCGATTGTAGGTGTCTCCGCCGGCTCAGGGTCGATTTCAGGGCCGATTTCGATAGGATCAGGGGTAAAGAAGCGACTCGATGAGGCCGACGACCCTGCGAGACTCGAATCCCAGTCAGTCTCATTGAATTCAGGGGTGTGGGAGCCGATTCTTGGTGCCATTTCGACGTTTTGGTAGAGGGATGTCAACAAACAGTATGGTGATAGTTGCAACGCCCTCACGGGGCCAGTATCGCTATTTGTGAGCTGAAAATTTCAATAGAGACTGATTAGCCATTTCTGAGCGATGAAATAATTTTAGAAATTCGTATCGGCTATATTGGTGATGTTGTGATGTGTTGAAATTGGCGAGATGCATGAAGCCGTAGACATGGAGTTGGCGATGCCCTAATTACGGGGTAATTAATTAGTGGTGCTGACCTTTTAGGACTAGTGCGATTCTAGGAAATTGAGCAGTGGTCGGTACTTAATTTAATAAGGGGGTTGCATAGTAAATGGAAGTATCTTGGGGTCAAGAAGCTACTGAGTCCAGTTGGTTGTTGGTAAGAAACGGTGGTGACTTAATTTTATTAGAGAGCTGCATAGTAAATGAAGTACCCAAGGTTTATGACCGCCGATACCCGGGGCATCCAGCACTGCCAAGAACTGATGCATTTTTACCGATTAATGCATTGGAATTACAATTACTAGGCTAGGCCTAATTAGGCTTAGCGTAAGGCCATGGGGTCCAAATACTCAATTCTAGGGTCCTTTTAGTATCTCCCTTTGATTATGACAAGCCCAAATGGCGTGCTGGAAGTGTATCCAATGAGTATACGATATCAACTTGGATATTTGCTTTTCTTTCCCCTTGGAACTTGAAAGTATCATTATAGTGGTTGAATTGGTCGATTGGTTCGAAAAGATAGTATCATGATAAATTGACAAAGTCTATGGAACCCCCATATCAAGCCTTAAACTCCTTCTTCGCAACCCGCTCACACAACTGCTTCAAAGAACGTCCAACATCCTCAAAATCACCAGTCTCAAGATAAACCTGCCCACTCAATCTCGTCCACAACCAAGACCCATGCCGGAAAACAGGCAAGAAGGTACAATACTCATCCATCAACTTCCCCTGGATCCAAGAAAACGCACTCCTAGCCTCATCCTCGGACAAAACAGCAAGAGCACCCTCAAACCCTTCTCCAGCATCAGAAACAGCAATAGGCAACCGCACAGTCGTCAAAGCACACTTCCGCATAGCACTTTCCTGACCAGCCTTAAGACCCGGTTCCTGAAGAACATCCGTCCCAAGAATATCAGCAATAGCATCAGCGCCTTCATTAGCGACCTTTTGGCAATAAGCGATGATAGCGTCTTCGCCGCCGCAGACTTCAGCGCGGAATTTCAGGGCGGCAGGCAGACAGATGTAAGCGGAGTCATCGCTCGTAGCGACAAATTCGAAGAGTTGCTCAAAGGCAGATTTTGCGGCTGGATTGTTTGGGTCTTGGAGCACTGAGGCGATTGTTTCTGGTGAATCTGGGGCTGGGATGAAACCCCATGATGTTGGGAGTGTTGTGCGCATGGTGTGTTGGTTGCGCTTTGGGACGTAGAGGACTGCGCAGCCGCGTGGTGTGTAGAGCCATCTTTGTTTTGGTTAGTTTATATGATAAGATGTAGATGTAGATGGGAGTGTGGAAGAGGCCATACTTATGACAGTTCGAGGTAAGGAAGTCTGGCTGTAACTTCTCCAAGTCGAGATGAACATGTCCAATGCCATGCGCAGCATCAATGACGCTCAAAATCCCCTCTTCGCGACAAACAGCAGTAAACCGCTCAAAAGGGAATCGAACACCCGGATTGCTAACAATACAATCGAAAATAGCAGCCCGAACCTTCAGCCCTTCTTCACGAGTCTTCCTCACAACCTCACGGAACCGCCTCTCAAGTTCATCTTCGGTAATGGGATACTGAAAAGAAACCTTCCTAGGTTGAAAAGCGCAATGCTCCTTCAAAGAGACAAGGCCCTTCTCAACGGCGCCATAAACAGGCTCGAAATAGACAAGTGCTTCATCAGGCTGGAACGCCAGATTGTATAGCACAGTTGCAACGCCCGTCGTGGCATTTTTGACGAAGACGCACTCGTCTCGCGGGGCATTCAGGACCTTTGCCACTGCTTCACGGGCGTTGTCGAGGTGCTCTGCGTGGTAGCGGCGGATGTATGGATCTGGTTGTTTGTCGGCCATGTCCATGAAGTCGCGTTGGACTTCTTTTACTTGAGCTGGGTGGGCGCCGAAGGAGCCATGATTGAGGTTTTTGTAGGTTGGGTCGAAGAGCCAGTGCTTGAGCATTGGTTTGCCAAAGGGGGTTAATTGGTTTGTTGAACCCATGGTGTTGGGGATGATGGGGTGAGGATTGTCTAGTTTGGATATTCACAATGGACGGGATAGATTTGATTTATATGCAGAGGGAAGTAATGACTCAGGTGTCAAACATCGAAGATAAAGACTTGACGATATTGAGGGGGTTACGATAGATAGATGACTCACAGCCAATGGCTCTTCTATCCGAAGCTCCACATGTCAAAGGGCGTACCCGGACATTCGAGTTACATCAGTCGAATGGACTGGAGGTTGTATAGATCTAGCTTTGCATGGTTTGCTGCAGTTGGCCCCCACTCGTGACCACTCGTGACTTGTCACACTTGATCAAGTAGATTTGCAACGGTCATTATTATATTCCATTATTATATTAAAACTTGCAAGGTCATTAAATATCACAGATATTATCGAATTCCCAGGAGACATTAAGAGTGGCCATACGCAGAGCCTTTTCCACGCTTTGGCGTCGGAACGCCGGTCCATATCCAACACAGATCGGTTCGCCCGAGAGGACTGTAATGTATTAGCAAATGTCAGAACAATTCGGATGAGCAAACTTACGCCTAATAAAGGCCGCGACGTCGAATGACGGCGAGACAGTATAACCAAGACGACCAGAAGAACCGGTGAAGTCATCGGTAATATACCGCCTCTCACGCAAGTACTTTTGCACCCCATTGGCATCCATCCAAGAGTCGGACTGCGATTCAAGCGCAATCTGCCAGACTCGAGACGACAGCTGCATTTGATCCTCAGAGAAATTGTCCATACTAGCCCGCAAAAAGCTAAGCACATTGGCTTTGACATCTGTCATGGCGCCAGTCTTATCTTGCGTGACAGCGTAGAATCCTGAAATAAGACGATTGCGTTCAGGTACACTAAGCATAGATCCGAAGATCTCCGGGATTTTTGTGTGATTCGGTTGGTCGATGAGGAGGCGATATCCCTTATGAGAGCATGTCCGGACGAGACGCTGTGCGATATTCCATTGATGATCGAGTATTGTTGTATTGGTGTTCAGGTCATCTGTTAATGGGGAGTTGGATAGTGGTGGTGTATAGAATGGATCAGTAGGCGACATGACAACGCCGAATGGTAGAATACTTTGATCTTGATATGGTGGCGTAGGAGGTCCAGGCCACCCTTTCGCTGCCGACCGGATAATTTCTTCGACATCTGTCGAGGTGTCTGAAGTACGCATATTCAGTATCGAGACATGGCGTGTAGCACTATCTGGTGTAGTGGCGGTTTTGACTGGAACATCCTTTGCTTTTGTAGGTCGGATGAGAGCGCCCTCATCGAATTCGTCACTCCCAGTCTTTGCAAGAGACACGCATTGCTGGGTTATATTTTGTAAAGCCGAGGCGATCTGTGGATATTGTGAAAGTAGCTGCGCCTCCAGGAGAAGACTACTAAAAGAGAGGAACGATTTGCCGAGACTCTCGATGCCACTCTCCAATTCTTGTACGCGGTTCTGTAAATTATCGATCGTAGTCTCCTTTCGCTTGCGATACGCTTGTTGCGCTAGCCGTAATTGTTTGCGACGCCTCTGTAAATTGTGAGCTCAAGCACATGGAAGCTTGCGATCTGACCCACCTCTGGCACTTCTTGATCGTCCGTCACAGTTCGAGGCCGACCGCGTTTGCGACCAACGCTAGGCTTTGGCCTGTCTTCTGCCATTACTGAGGTCTCGATTGTAGTCATGCTTGTAGAGCTTTCAATATCATGAATTAAGGATAGTGATGAAGTCAGAGAAAGAAAGTACGATTACAAATGGGGGCGATTTTCCGTTTATTCATCAGACCGAGCGAGTCGGAGCAATGAGTAATCCGATTGTCCCCACCTGTTGGATTGTGATTGGGCAATCGGATTACCTTATCTGAGCCCTAGACCCTTCAACCCGGGGAAGACTTAACTTAGTGATTGTCTAGAACATCAAAGATGTGGCAGTAGTGCTTGGGTATACATATACGAGTTTTCAAATACCTAATAGGTAGCATAATCTATCCTAGGTCACCGTGGATGACTGGTCTGAGATGTGACAAGGTCTAAGTGTACAGTGAAAGTATACCCTCGAGAATAAACCAGGCTCAATGATAGAGTATTGAATTTGCCTCTCTATCGCTACATCGAGGAACCCGGTATTGCTTCTGTTATCTGATCAATCTCGAGACAGCAAGCAGAGCCGAGTACCTGATCGTCTTAGGTTTCTTCTTCGGGGAGAAGATTTTGTCAACTGAAAATCGAACACCAGATTGTTGAATCATCAAAGTCCGGGTCATCACAAAGTACGTAATATCACACTATCCTATAAATGAGACATCACTACGAATTGCACAAGAAGCTATTTAGATCCAAGGGATCATTATCTACAAACCCATGATCTCAAGCAATCAATTTCCAAACCGAACCCCTTTCCTCCATCATCCTGCATCAAAATGCCCCTCTGGCAAATTTACCACCCATCCGACACATATACCGACCAAGCCAGCAAAACATCATTCGCCTCAGACATAACCAAGATGTACAAAGAGCTAGGCCTGCCCGCCTTCTACGTCGTAACAAACTTCATTCCCCTCCCAAAAGGAGACATCTTAGTAGGCGGCAAGGCAATCGACAAACCCTTCATCCGAATTGTGATCACACACATTGCAATCACGATGCCAAACGAAGACGAAACATACAAGCGATCCACGTCTCGGATTGATCAGATCTTGAAGATTAATGTTGCGGACTTGGGATATGACTGGGAATACCACATTGATGAGACTGAGCGGCGGTTGTGGAAGATTAATGGGATGGTTCCGCCGTCGTGGGGTAGTGAGGAGGAGAGGGTTTGGGTGAAGGAGAATCGGGCTGTTTTTTATGAGGGGGCTTACTGAGGGCGTTATTTCTTTGTATTGAATTGCATGTTGTATGTGGCTAGGATCTACTCTAGGCTTGAATTAAGTATACAGCTGCATGTCTATTGTTTTGCAGCTCTACAAGAAGCCGGTGTATTCTTTGTTTGCAACTGCCAACTTGATCAAGTCTCTACATGTCAGGAATGAAGCTAATCATATCACGGAAACGTTCCATAAAAAGGTGTGCTTTTGATCAACGACTGGTATATAAGTGGTAGCCCAGAAAGGTATCAATACATGAAGAATAATAATGTGTGCAAGTCACATCTGTCACCAATCGGAGTTCCAACGGTACAGGTGTGCGTCATAACAATAAAGCATAAACAAAAAAGGCAACTTGCCTATAAGCGCCCGTATGCTGCGGCTCTACCAGAGCCGCCAGAGATCATCGCTCATGTGTCATGTCCAATAAAAAAGAGAGTTAACACCGGGTCCGTCTAATCATGAGTAATAATACAATTGTGCATATGTGTTGTGTTCAAAGCAAGGGGATAGCACCAACAAACAGGGTACAGAAGACACCTGCAAAGGCCGGAACCTTGGATCGGACATTCGCACTGCTCGTTGTTGAGGTAGCACGAGGTTCAGAAGCCGTGGCTGAGGCCGAGGTCGTGGGATTAGTAGCAAGGTTGTCAGTTGGCTTGTGGGTGGCAGTCGTAGTATATTTAGTCGACACCCTGGTTTTACTGGCCATCCGAGTGGAGTTTCTCTGCACAGTCTCAATGCCAGAGCGGGAAAAGGCAACCGAAGAAGAATGCGAGAGTGCAAATGTAAAGTGGAAGGTAGACTGTGGGGAGAAAAAGGCGATCTTAGTGGTTGAATGCAGAACAGGTTTGTGGGAATTCTCACTGGTGGCGCCACCTGGCGTCTGGATGCGACTAGAGCGTGACTCCCAGTCATACTGGTAGCCTGTTGACGAAGCAGTCGGAGAGTCACTGGCCACCCAAGGCCAAACATTGGGGGTAACCCAGCTTGAGGTCTCTTTGTGTGTTCCACTCCAAGGAACTGGGGCCCCGTCGGCAGTAGCGGTGATGCTGGGTGCAGACTGAGTGGAAGAGGGCTCCGCACCACTGTTGCCATTAATTTCGCCACCTTCGGAGATGATAGACTCCCAGGTACCACTGGTATCACCATACTTATACGAAGTTCCAGTGGAATAGTCGGTCACAGTCATCTTCTTCAGGTACATCTTGAAGGGACCCTGGCTGTAGTCAGTTTGGCCACCAGCCCAGTCTGTAAAGCAAAACTGTTAGCAGATTCGCCTTTACTGGAGATCACAGAGAGCTTACCAATAGTGCCCTGGGCGTTGTTCGAGTCACCACCAGCCCACACGCCGACCTTGACCATCATGGGAGTCTGGGGGTACTGTCCTGCGTCTGCCGACTCAGGAGTGAGGGCACGAACAGTCTCACCATCAATCGCCCACACAATCTGGCTGCTGGTCCAGTCGATCGAGTAGGTGTGGAAGCTGTCTTGATTGCCGGGGTTGGAGTGGAAAGCGCCACGGTTGTAGGTGCTGGTATCTCCTTTGCCGAAGTAGTTGGACTGCACCTCGGTGCTCTTGCCTCCAAGCCATTCCCAGTCGAGCTCATCCAGACAGTCGGACTGCAGAACTGCGCTGCTCACAATACCAGTTCCTGAGGCGACCTTGATGGTGAACTCCACACGGCCGAACATGATGTACCAGCCGGATTGAATCAGTGGGCCATCCCCCTGTTTGGAGATGGTAAAAGTTGCGCCATTTTCATCGTCATATGTGACGGCTCCTGTCGACTTGAAGGCATCCGAGGCACCACTTGTGAAGTCGAAAGTCTTGTCGACTTGCCCAAATGCGGGATCAGCAGGGCAGGCTGGTGGCTGTTAGTATCTCTCTGGTTATGGGGTTGGACTACACTTACTTCGTTGGGTCGGGTTGCAGTCTGTGTAGGTCTGGGCTGTTACCAACACTGTGGACGACAGTAGGCCCAAAGCCGCAAGAGCAAACCGCATGTTGAAGGTAAAGTGTGGCAGCTTTTCGTAAATAAATCAGTGTGATAATAGCAGCTCCCGGCTAGAAGAGATGACCGTAACAGTTGTAGAAGTAAGAGAGAAAAGGAGCGAGAGGTAGAAATGAGCAACCTATCGGAAGGTGAGTAGGGAAGGAAGGCACTAATTATATCACAAATGGAAGTGGCTGGGGGTGGAGAACGCCCAACTTTCCTGCCTCGTTTCGTGTTTGGGCTTTGCCGCCTTTTCTTGGACTTTGCTTGGATCTTCCTTGGTTTGGTTTTATTGAACTTTGAGGCTTTACTACATCATCCGATGGAATCAGGAATGTATCTCACACATCGGATCTTCGGTGTCACCTGACCAAAACAACAGATCTCACGTGTCATTGAAATCCAGGCTGCAGAATATATTCCCATGAATCACATTGGATTACGCTATTGTCTATATCTGCAATACTCTCTACTCTACAAGGTATATTCTACAATGTATGCAGAGATGTACTACAGTAACATGGCTCATCGTGTATACAGCTTCATCAGTCCACCCACCAACCTCGGACCCACTTTTGGGCCACTTTTCACTGTAGGCCATTTTTGGGCAAATTTGGAGTGGATTTCGAACAGTCTCGATCAAGCACTTTGTGTGTGTGTGTGTGTGTGTGTGTGTCAAAATCTAAAATGATCGGCTTCGCTCTATACTCCGTACCCTACATGGTTGTGTCGCGAAATACGGGTCACCAATCACCTATCCCGGTTTAGCAACGGACCCACCTACATCTATACATCCATCCCACATCTCGGTACAAAATCATGGTATCCTACCATCTCAAGTATCACAAGATCACTTCCGATATCCCCTCACTTCTGGTCTCCAGTCTAGCTGCTAGCTGAATGCTATTGGCAGTATCATTCCTGCTTACTGCACATGTACACACCATACATATTACTGGTCCGAAATATGTACTCTGAATAGATGCATTGTTAACGTAGCGCAACAGTATCAGCTCTCATTGTATCTACGGTAAATAGGTGGCCTAGTTGACTGCAAGGTTCGAGCAACTGCTGATCTATACGCAGAGTCTGGCGCCATATGAATTTATTTCATGATTACGTTACGCGTTCAGAGACATAGAAGCATGCCAAATAATTGAATTTGGCTACTAGATACCTTCTAAACATATATCTACCTTGCCATAATATTTAATATGCAGCCTCCTCCTACGGCTGATCCCAGTGATAAGATATGAATTAGTGTGAAGGCAATGTATCCAAGTTCTGACAGGTTAATCGACAAACGCAGCTTTCAGCTGGCTTATCTGCTCAAATTTACAGTAGCCTCTCATAGAAGAACTTCATTGATCAAAACATATTAGGGGAGCTAGGATGTCATAATACGTTGCAAATGCCACAAGTCACAAATAAGACCGATTGGTTCTAACGATGTAAAGTGCAGGTGAACGTTCTTAAATTGGCCGATAACAGAATATCGGACTTGATATACCGATACAGCAAGCAAGCAGCCTGGAAATACATGATAGGCCTCACACTCACTCGATTTTTATATCCGTCTGGTTCGTGTTGATTTGATTATCCTCCTAATACACGCTTCTAGTACTTGTAAAACGCTAAGGTTGGACAAAGACATTGGGTAGGTGTGCTAGAATGATGAGTGAAATGATTGTGAGATTCAATTACTTCAGTAGCAACAGGATGTTTGCTTTGGTAGGCCTAGCAAGAGTCATGTTCAGCGCCGACTTGGGGCGGTGCTCGGGGCATAGGGCTACACTTTCACGTCAGTTCTGAGCACACGATGTAAATCCTTCGTGAACTGACAGTTCATTGCTTCAATTTCGAAATACAAAATCTTTCCTTTTCACCTCCCCTGGATATCCCTGCTCGGGATTCGGAGTTTTTTTGTCGCATCCTGCCGGTTGTTGTCGTAACATTCAATCTCATCTTCATTACTATGCCTGAGAACATTCCTCTGACGCCCAAGGGCATCAGCCTGGCCGGCAAGACGGCAATTGTGACCGGCGGAAATAAGGGCCTCGGCTTCGAAGTTGCTAGACAGTTCCTGCATTTGAATGTTTCGCGATTGATTATCACCGCACGCGACGAGGCAAAGGGTAGCGCCGCAGTGGCAGCCCTCAAAGCCGATCCAGTTGTCATCGCAGCCTGCGCTCGGGATGGAAATAACCCCAAGGTCGAATTCTGCCTGCTGGATCTCAATGATTACCATTCCGGTGTGCTGTTTTCCCGAAAGATCAAGGCAGAAGTCAGCGAGCTCCATATCCTGGTCTTGAACGCCGGTGTCAATATCTTCGAGTATCAAACCAGCAAGAGCGGCCACGAGAAGGTCATGCAAGGCAAGTCAACAAGCCACCCACGTAGTCCTACACGGGCTTCATGTCTAACAACTACCCAGTCAACTGCTACACCAACTTCCTCATCGTAATCAACCTGAGTTCCCTGATCCGCGGTACATCCAAAAAGTGCAACGCCCCCAGCCGCATCACCTTTGTTGGCTCCTTCTCCCACGACCAGCACAGTCTCGACGAGGTTCCTATGCCTGCCAGCCAGAGCATCTTGGATTACTACGACGACAAGAACGTCTATCGCCGTTTCAGACGCTACCAGGATAGCAAGTTTGTGGTCAATGCTTTCGTGCAGCAGATGTCTCGTATGATAATGTCGAATGATGTTATCATCAACAATGTTTGCCCTGGCGTGGTCGAAACCAGTCTGAACCAGACCGTTCCCCTATGGCTCAAGCCGTTCATGTGGGTTTACATCAAGATGTACAGCCGCACTTTGCACGAGGGTGCTCGGATCATTGTCAAAGCTGCTGTGGTTGTTGGCCAGGAGAGTCATGGTGCCTTTGTTCAGAACGATCAGACTGATCTGTATGCGCTTGTGTTCCTTGCGATACGGTCATGATACTAATTGAGTATAGGGGTGCGCCATTCTTTTATGGCAAAGGTGCTCGCAGGTTTGGATGGGAGCTCTGGAATGAGGTGGTTGACGACATCGAGCAGGTTTTCGCCCATCCTCGGGTTTGACTGACAGAAGTCTTACGCAAATCGACGATCTGACGGAATCGACGATCTGATGGATATGAGAGAATGAAGTACGATGGAACAATGTCAATGGGAGTTACAGGGCGAAGACCTGGCTAGGTCTCTATCTCACAATGTATCATTATGGCAATATGAAGAGAAGGGAAAATCAAGTACTGTATTGAAATCGACATTCTCTTCAAAACCCTTGCATAGTGACTGAGTAGAGGAAAAAAAAAGCTCAGATCGAGGTGCAAACCATATCAAGCCCTTTCACCGCCACGGAGTAATCAGGCGTGAAAGGTTCCAGGCTTTTTGTATGATCTGTCATGTTCGGGGTTTCAACGGATCATAGACCTGTTGCACCTGAGATCTGAGTTGAACGCCTGGCAAACATCTGGGCTGAACACCCGGGCTGAGCTAGGCTAAATATTTGTAGGGATTGAATTCAAGGCAACCAATGGATCAAGAATGCCCATGTCAAGTATCTTAAGTGTCATATATCATACTTGCGAGCTCCACAGGTCAACTTAGGGGCACGGACAGCATCACGGACCATCCCCAGAGTATAGAAAATATTGAAAGACAAGAAATAGATGTGACTTGATAATTAGAAAGAAAAACTGAAAGACAAAAAAAAAAAAGAATACAGCGAGTAGAAAGAGAGAGAAGAGAAAGAGGTTTCAGATCGCTCTTCTCTTTCACGGGACTTCTCCCGCCTTTGTCATCCCCACTCAAGAACCTCGAGATACCTGCATGCGCCCGGGTTATTCTTGATTCACCCCATTCACCTACTGTATCTCATCTCATCTCTGATCTGCAGTCACGGCTTTTGAGGCGTCTCCTTGCGCCCCGCCCGAACCCGAACCCACGCTGTCACGTCGATCTTAACAACTCCACGATCATCCCCCCTCGAATGCCCTCCACGCTTCCCTACAGCTTTTAATCCCCATTCACGCATCGCCGGGACTATTTCTGCGCGACGCCTGTACCCAAGACAGCAGAAACGATATACATTGCAGCTCCAATCCTCCACTCCTCCCGCGCATCGTCGGCGTCATTCATGCTGAACTGCTCCGGGACTCTCATACACCCCAAGGTACAGCTGGCTGCAACTTGAGGGCCGCGGTGGGAATTGGCCGAGACACAGAGCCGCCATGCCCGTGCGGGAGCGCTCCTATCCCGAGAGTCGTCAGGGTTCGGAGAGCTCTGGCAACAGTTGGATATCACAAGAGACTGTGCGGCACCCCGAGAACCAACCTCGCGATCAGAGCAAATCTGCTACTAGTAATCGCAATGCCGAATGCTTCCCAGGCTCTTTGACAATGGATACCAAGTAAGCTCCTCAACCCTTGAGATACCCCGCGGGCTTTTTTCCAGCACCACGGGGACTTATCTCCAAGCCCTGAAAGACGATGCTCATTGATTCTTTGCTAGATCGGACCCTTCGAGACCCCCACAGATCAACTGGGGAACAAATTTGTGGTCATGGAATTCTCCCGACATCTCCCCTACCGAACAGCGCAAGACATCTGGCTTCAGCGACCATCGCGAGGCTTTAGCTCCACCAAGTAACCAAGACAGTCCGTCCCAATCCTCCTCTACGAGCCCCCGTCCTCCGCCTCTCAACGCGTCTCGCCTTGCCTCCGATGATGCTGAGTCGATCGCCCCGTGGAGTTCAGGTCCTGGCAGTGGACCACCCGATGCCCCTGGCACGTTTTACAACGACTACTCCGAACATGAAGCTTCCCCCGCATCATTCTCATTTCGTCCCATGACTGGGCGGACCATCGCCAGCGAACCCGCCGAATTCGAATACCACGGAGAACCGCGACGGCCGTCTGCTGCAAGCGCAACAACTGTGAGCAGCCAGGGCTCGAGATCTAGCATCAGTCAGAAGCTCCGAAAGAAGCATTTGAAAGGTCTACTCGGGGATGATTACCCTTCGCCTGGAGAGCGTGAGGCTTCCGACGACGGTTCCCAACATCCGCCCAGCAGGCGTGGGGGGCTAGTTGATCAGCTGAAGGCGCGTGAGCGAGCGAATTCAGATGGTTCCCGGGGACCCGATGGTCCTGGATCTCACCGTCCTCAAAGGCCACGAGCTGCTACGCCGTTGCCCTCAAGCGACATCACTCCATGGGACTATCAGAGCATCAATGATGTTTCACAGTATGGAGAAGCACCTGTGCGACATGTTCCAATTGGTCCCAATGGGGAGCGTCTTGGTTCCGCTGATAATGTTGCTTCAGGGAGTAACTCCGGTCGAAGAGGACACGGCAGACATCGTCCTTCGCGAAGCAAAGACGAGAAGCCGACTCTTGCTGGTGATCTGGCAGGCTATCAAAGTCGACCGGCTACAGGCACAGATGATATCGCCTTACGTCCGTTCAATGAAAACTACTTGACCTCCTCGACGACACTCGGTGGTCGATCTACAAGTCCAACCCCTAGCGTGCGGAGTGCATACCGTGATCGCGACAACGATGGGAACTCAGGACACCCCAGGATCGGCGGTTTCATTAAAAGGGTGTTTGGCCATGGAAACAAACCGCACGATAAGTCGAGGAACTCTTCTCCTCCTCCTAAAAGAGGTAGGCAGGGAAGCATTGAAGGGAACACGCCCTCTCGCCATCTGGAATCGGCAGACTCGGACCGAAAGAAAGAGTCCGGGAAGGGCCTTATCACAGGACGAAAACTTGGTCCTCGTCGTGTCTTTACCAACCAAGGCGGCGACTCTCACGGCGCCAATAAGGATGATAGAAACCAAGAGGAGAACAAGCATTTCTTCCCACTTGACATCGATATGGGTGACTTAAAGGGAATCGTTCGCTCAGCTTCACCGAATACTATGAAGCGTGGCGTCGATGGGAGGACTACACCGCGCGATGAAAATGGAAACGAAAAGCCATGGAATGCCCCGGACAGCTGGCATGTCAGAGGACCGCCAGACCTCACTGTGGACCAAGGCTACTTCGGACCTCGCGAGCGTGAAGTCTCCTTCTTTATTCGAATTTTCCGGATTGATTCAACCTTCGCCACCCTATCAGCTGGTGTCAATGCGACTGTATCTGAGATTCTCTTGATGCTTGGACGGAAATCTTTCTTACAGGATCACCTCAACAATTACGAGATTGTTCTGCGGAAGAACGATCTTTCACGCCAGCTTGATCACAATGAACGGCCAATCCAGATGCAGAAAAAACTACTCGAACAAGTTGGTTACACGGACAAAGACCGGATTGAGGATATCGGCCGTGAGGACCATAGTTATCTCTGTCGGTTCATCTTCCTGCCAACCAAACTCAGTGGCTACAGCAGTCTTGAGAGTGACCCTGGATTCAACAAAGTGCAAAAGTTCAGCCATGTCGACCTCCAGGGTCGTAGCCTTGTCACAATCCCGATTACACTATATGCTAAGTCCTCCGAAATCATCTCGCTCAACTTGTCAAGGAACTTGTCATTGGATGTTCCGAAAGACTTCATTCAAAGCTGCATTAATCTGCGGGAGATCAAGTTCATTGGAAATGAAGCCTCGCAGCTCCCTCAAAGTTTCAGTCTGGCTGGCCGGCTTACATACCTGGATGTTTCCAACAACTGTTTGGAAGAACTGAGTCATGCATGTCTCGATCGGCTGACTGGTCTTGTCAGCATCAAGATGGCCAACAATCAATTGACCGAGCTGCCCAGCTACTTCGCAAACTTCCATGCCCTGCGAAGTTTGACGATGTCATCAAACGGATTTAAGGTCTTCCCCGAATTCATCTGCAACCTGAAGAGTCTGGTCGATCTCGATATCAGCTTCAACGGCATCGAAGAACTACCCAATATTGGCCGCTTGGTGACCCTCGAACGCCTGTGGATCACAAACAACAACCTCAGTGGCTCTCTGGACGAGTCATTCCGAGACTTGGTGAACCTCAAGGAACTGGATGCTCGCTTTAATGCCATCACCAATATCGATAATCTCTCTTCTCTCCCACGGCTGGAGCAGGTCTCCTTCGGTCACAACTTAATATCGCGCTTCAAGTGCTCGTTCCCAAAATTGCGCAGCTTGCATCTGGACCACTGCCCTCTGACACACTTTGATGTCGACGCTCCTATGCCGACATTGACATCCCTCAACCTTGCGTCTGGCAAGCTCGCTCAATTCCGGGATACCATCTTCGAGAACTGCCCTAATGTGACCAAGCTCGTTCTCGACAAAAACCACCTCTCTTCCGTCTCGCCCCAGGTTGGCAAGTTGCGCCGACTGGAACATTTCAGCATGATCAAAAACCCTCTTGCTTCTTTGCCTGCAACCATCGGTTGCCTCGTAGAACTTAAACACTTGAATCTGAGGGAATGCAACTTGACGTCTCTCCCATCAGAAATTTGGCATTGCGCGAAGCTGGAAATACTCAACATCTCTTCTAACATCTTATCCACATTCCCCAAGTATGGTGCTTCTCCGCCCTTGGTGCCTGGAGAGTCCACCCACACACCCGCAACTACATCAGGTATTACAGGGTACCCCGGCTACGAGGACATTGGCCCATTAGACGAACCAGGTTTGCGCCGACCTAGTCAAACATCCACCGCCAATGGTGTTATGAACTCTGTTTCACCAAATGGATCATATCGAAATCCTTCGACCACGCCTTCTGTTTCGCAGCAAGGTGGTGGTAGAAAGGTTTCGGCTGCGTCGCGTTCATTCACAGACCAAAATGGCGTCTCTCGGAAGGACTCTAACTTTTCCCAGCAGATGGCTATGACATTTGCTGCATCTCTTCGGACACTCTCACTCGCCGATAACAGACTTGAAGATGATGTCTTCCGGGAATTGTCCTTGCTCCCTGAGCTGCGCGTTGTCAATCTTTCCTACAACGACTTAACTGAGTTGCCTCAGGGAATCCTCAAGAGATGGCCCATGATTTCTGAACTCTACCTTTCCGGTAACGAGTTGACTTCTCTCCCGTCTGATGATCTGGAAGAGGGAAGCAACCTCAAGGTTCTTCATATCAATGCGAACAGGTTCCAGGTATTGCCTGCAGAACTTTGCAAGGTCAGCAAGCTCTCGATCCTTGATGTTGGAAGCAACGGGTTGAAGTACAACGTATCCAACTGGCCTTATGATTGGAACTGGAACTGGAATCGCAACCTCAAATACCTGAACTTCTCGGGTAATAAGCGCCTGGAGATCAAACCGAACATTGCATCCCTTGGGCCCCCAGCTGCCAATGGTGCTGACCTGACTGACTTTAACTCTCTGACCCATCTCCGGGTCCTGGGATTGATGGATGTCACTCTTACTATTCCTACAATCCCAGAAGAGACAGAAGATCGACGTGTGAGAACCTCCGCCTCGCTGGCAGGTACCCTCGCCTATGGTATGGCAGACTCCCTCGGTCGGACCGAGCATCTGTCCATCATCGATATGATTGTTCCCCGATTGAAGCAGGACCATGTGGAAACACTGGTAGGCATGTTCGACGGTCAGACGCTTTCTAGCGGTGGTTCCCGGGTAGCGAAGTACTTGCATGAGAACTTCACTCCCACCTTCTCGTTCGAGCTTAAGAAGCTCCAGCGCGATCAGGATGAGACCCCGCTGGATGCACTGAGACGGGCATTCCTCGCCTTGAACAAAAACATGGCAGGATCTGCCTATCGATCCATTGATGACCGTGAAGTGAGACAGTATCACAGGGGCTCTACTGCAGCCAAAATGCTCAACCAGGCCGACATTCAATCAGGTGGTGTTGCGACTGTCTTGTACCTGAATAATATGGACCTTTATGCTGCTAATGTCGGTGATGCTCAAGCTATTTTGATCAAGTCGGATGGCTCGATGCGTTATCTGACACAGAACCATGATCCCGCGGAACCAAATGAGCGCGCGCGCATTCGTGCTGCAGGAGGCTTCGTATCACGTAACGGCAAACTGAATGATATGCTCTCCGTGTCAAGATGCTTCGGACACTTCACCATGATGCCTGCTGTCATTGCGGCCCCCTCCACAATGCACTGCATTTTGACAGAGCAAGATGAGATGATCGTTTTGGCATCGAAGGAACTCTGGGACTATGTCACGCCTGAGGTGGTGGTCGATATCACCAGAAGAGAGCAACCAGATTTGATGTTCGCGGCTCAAAAATTGCGTGATCTGGCAATCTCCTTTGGTGCTACCAATAAGCTTATGGTTATGATCCTGGGCGTTGGTGAACTGCAAAAGCGACGTCCAAAGCCTCGCCCGGCGCTGAACACTGGATCATCTACCTTTGCTGAGGAACAGATCATCCCAACTGCCAAGCGTCCCAAGAAACGTGATGGTCCTGGTGATTCACGGCTGGCTCGCTTTGACTTTGTGGATGCTCCAGTCGGTGAATTGGCTATCATGTTCACTGATATCAAGAAATCCACAAGTCTGTGGGAGGTCTGTCCAGACGCCATGCGCTCTGCTATTCAAATCCACAACGACATTCTACGCCGACAGCTTGGTATCTTCGGTGGTTACGAGGTCAAGACAGAAGGTGATGCCTTCATGGTAGCATTCTCGACTACAACCGCCGCCTTGCTCTGGTGTTTCAACTGTCAAAACCAGTTGCTTGAAGCAGAATGGCCAACTGAGATCCTTGATCAGCCACAATGCCGAGTTGTCGTCGACATGGACAACAATGTTATATTCCGTGGTCTGTCCGTTCGCATGGGAGGTCACTGGGGCGAACCCGTCTGCGAAAAAGACCCGGTTACCAACCGAATGGACTATTTTGGTCCTATGGTGAACCGTGCCTCGCGAATCTCCGCCGTCGCGGACGGAGGTCAAATCTTTGTCTCGTCCGATTTCATGAGCGATATTCATCGCAACTTGGAGATTTTCGCTGACGCAGAACGGTCTGCATCCACCAGCTCAACTGACAGCCACCCTCGTGGCGACAGTCTTGGACACAACATCCGCCGTGAGCTGACCCAGCTAAATAGCCAAGGTTTCGTCATCAAGGATCAAGGTGAACGTAAGCTGAAGGGCTTGGAGAACCCAGAGCCCCTCTACCTTGTCTATCCCTCGGTACTTTCTGGTCGTATGATCTCTTCGGATGATACCCAGGAACGCGATGGTCCTGGTACAACCATAAACCCCAACAACCAGTTGGATATCCAGACAAATGTTATTTGGCGTGTCTGGGAGGTTACTCTCCGTCTCGAGCGACTTTGTGGCGCTCTTGAGAACCCTGATGAGCCAGGCCTTGGAGAGCCTAATGTCGCCTTGTTCAATATGGTTAAAAGACACGGTGGTGAACTCAATGACTCCACTGTTCTCAGTCTAGTCGATCAACAAGTCACTCGTATTGAGGTGTGCGTCAATACCCTCTCAGTGCGACATTTGATGCGCCCCTTCAAGCCGGGTGACAAACTCAAGGACCACGCCGTCCCCATCAGCGATGTCCTTCAAGAACTCCAAACCCAACTTGCCGAATTCCAAGCCCTGAAGGAGTCGCTGGCTGGTGGTCCTCCAGGTCTCACAGGCGGACCAAACACACAGTACAGCACTAGCCCCTCTATGCGCTCTCCAGGAAACATGGATAGTGATATCATCTCCGCCTCTTCATCTTACCTCCACCTCCCTGGCGATACTGCTCGCACTTCTTCAGACCCTACCCGTCGCAGCCAATGATCTGTTTCAAACCGACTTTTTTCCCCATGGTATTTGCTCTCTGTTTTTGCTTTCTCTTCTAACTTTCTATATGTTCTTCCCTTTCTTGTACCTTTGTGTCTTGACTCTATGTGGGCGGCGTCTCACTGGCGGATGGGAGTCTGCAAATTTGTTTTATAAAGCATTATGGCATGGAGCCACGGTGATAGTTTCGGTTTCTTATTTACTTTTTACTTGCTGATTTTTGGGGGCTGTATTTGCCTTGGGCACTGAATATATATTACAGTCTATATGATAATCATGATTATTTTGCCTGTAATTGCTTACTTATCTCTTGATATAGGATTCATGATCATAGTTGTCATTTCTCTCTTACTACCAATGAATTTCACTATACTATACACTATTCAAGTGTAGCCGAGTATACTTAAATCGAGACGGTCACGTGAGTATTGTTTGTGTTGCGTCATTGGCGACTTATTTTCTTCCGGTCGACTGACACTCAACTCTAGGTACATTCAAACCAAGATATCTTCTAGAACTATCACTTCTCTCCTTGATATCTTTGAGAAGTCATCGCTAGTATTGAATCAGGTCCGCCCTGGCCATTTTTCCGCCCCGCCTGTTGCCCTGGCTACCAACTTAACGAGCCAGACAAGCATTACTACACCTCGGCCAAAACAACACATACGCAGGAAATCCCTGTTACCCCAGTCAAAGTTCGAAAAAGGGAGCGATCGGTAGCATTCCACTCGCATATTGGAATCCCACCCAGTCACCCACCGCGCTACACGCTCGGTATAACTCGTCACAAAAAATCCACGTCGCTAACTCCAGTGACCACCCTTCGCGGTCAGGCTCTGCCAAAATGGCCGACGAGCTAGATTACCTCTATCCAAACTTCGATCTGACAACTCTCACCGTCCCCCGTCTACGATCCATTCTCGTCAACCACGACATCGCCTACCCTGCCTCAGCGAAGAAGGCCCAGCTGATCAGCATCCTCCAAGATGAGGTCATCCCACAAGCGCGGAAGATCCTGCGCGATCGTGAACGTGTCAGACGTACAAGTGCCGGAATCACAGATATGAGCAGCCGCTCGACGTCCGTGGCTAGCGACGCGAACGAGAGGGACTCCATGCCTCCACCGGCGACGCCGTCGTCAGTCGCATCTACAAGTCGCGGACAGCGGGGCACATCGCGACGCATCACCCGCCACTCGACGGCTGATTTCGACGATGGACTTGCGCCAGCTACTCCTGTTACCGCTAAGAGCTCAAAGCGAACAAGTGTTGTTCGATCGGTAGGCAAGCATGCCCGCGCCTCTGACACTGAAACCAATGATGACATGCTTGCTACTCCCATTGCTGCTGGCCGTGGTTCGCCTCGCAAATCTACGGCGCGGAAGGTCCGGCGTAGTGAGGTAATACCGTCCACTGAGGTCGACGAGCACACTCCTGGCATCAAGTCGGAACCTCGTGATGATACTGGGTTTACGAACGATAATCCCTTCCAGAGTGGCAGTCCTTCTGAGGCGCCTAGGAGTACCCGAGCGAGCTATGATGGTAGACGCAAGAGTGCTTCGCGGTTATCTACCGAAAGCCCGGCTCGGGGCCGTGGGCTTCGGTCTCGGAAGTCGGCTACTCCTTCTAGCCTGAAGCAGGAGGATGGTTACGACGCTCCTAAGCGGGAATCCTTTGATTTCGCTTCTAAATTGCAGCCTCCGCAGGAGGAAAGTGGGGAGGATTCTGAAGAAGCAGAGGAAGAGGAAGATGAGGATAGTGATATGAGTGCCGGTGAAGAATTCACACCGGAAGAGCAGCTCGCCATGGAGAACGAGCAGTATGCGCCGCAGATCCAAGTTCGACGACGACCCCAGAAGCAGGGAGCCGTGGCCCGGTTCGCTCCTTGGCTCGTCATTCTCTTGTTGGCCGGCAGCTTCGGTGCCTGGTGGCGCCGAGAGAAGCTTGAGATTGGGTACTGTGGCCTTGGAAAGCCCACCTGGTCACTGGCCGAGACAAAGGTTCCCGAGTGGGCTAATGTGTTAGAACCTCGGTGCGAGCCGTGTCCAAGCCACGCTTTCTGCTACCCTGACTTTGAAGTTCGCTGTGAAAATGATTTCCTTCTCAAACCCCATCCTCTCTCCCTCGGAGGTCTTGTTCCCCTGCCACCTACATGTGAACCCGACAGTGAAAAGGCCCGCCGCGTGAAGGCTGTCGCTGATAAAGCCGTTGAGGAGCTCCGTGAGCGCCGCGCCAAGTGGGAATGTGGTCAACTCAAGGAGGATGGCAAGGATGCCCGTTCTCCTGACATTAGCGAGCCTGATCTGAAGGAAGAGGTTGCCAAGAAGCGCCGCAAGGGCTTGAGCGACAATGAGTTTGATGAGCTGTGGAAGGGTGCGATCGGAGAAGTCGTTGACAAAGATGAGGTTGTCAGCAAGACCAAGCAGTAAGTTTCCCCACCCAGAAGGACCTTTCATCATCTCCTTAGCTATGATTATCGCTGTGGATATCCAAATCCCGCAGCATTTCTTACAAAGATCTGGTTCTGACATTGTGTACCGGAACTAACAGAGGTGCGTTCGCAATTACAGACCTTCCGGTGACCTCGTCCTCTCCTCTACCTCCATCGCACGGCTCCCAATCACATGCGCCATCCGCCGTCACTTCCGACTTGCTCTCGTCGCGTATCGACTTCCTATTTCACTTCTAGTCCTGGTCATCGGTCTCATCGGCTATGCGCGCGCGCGTGTTTTGGCCCGCCGCTCTGATATCGCCCGTGTACCAGAGCTGGTCGCTACGACTCTCGACCGCCTTTCCACTCAGGCTGCACTTTATGCCCATGGCAATGCCAAAGAGCCCTACATTGCCATTGGCCAACTCCGAGATGACGTTCTACGCTTTGAACTCCAAGGCAAGCGCCGCGAGGAGCTCTGGCGTCGTGTCCGAAGCTTTGTTGAAGGCAACGCCAATGTCCGCGCCGCCGTCCGTGAAGGACGCAGCGGTGATGTTTCTCGATCCTGGGAGTGGATCGGTGGGATTAATACTGTCAGCTCTCCGGAGCAGATTTCCCGCCGAGACAGTGTACGGGCCCCCCTTGGTTCCCCGTCTGATAATGCCGCGACGAGCCCTCATACCCCATCGGGCGAAATCAAAACAGAGCCCGTTTCGAGCCCGAGAGAATCCCGCCGTTGGGACGAGGGTCGTCCGATCTACTGATCACCCAGACTAAAGAACCTTGGGCACCCATGCACGCAGCCGGGCTGTTTTCTATTTGATATCCCACCCCGTTATTTCAGTTTTGTGTATGCTATGGCTTTCCATTGCGGGGGTTATTCGTTTTAGTGTGGTGCCATCGCCTCTATTTTCACAGTACATATTTCTTGCTGTGCATACCAATTTTAGTTTTATGATTGCTCTAGCCCTATCTTGCTCAAATCCGCTATGGACCATGTTGCGCTGTACCCCGTAGTCTCGGCGAGTCTACTGTATGCAAGATGTATGAACTATTCCACGGTCCTTTGTCCCATAGTACCAGTGCCTAGCGCCAAGTTAACCCCTGCCTCACAGCGCAGCATGCATGCAACGCTCCAACAGGCATAGTAGAGGAATACAGGAGAAACATTGGCGCAGTTTATCCCACTGGAGTACTGTAGACGACGAGGATTCCAAATTGACTTGCTGGACAAATTGTCATCTACTGCACGAAGACTGCGTCAATATCAACTCTCGAACTACTGCAGCATGCAATGCCATGTCTCTACGTATGGTACAATTATAGCACGGGCTCTCAGTGACCCTCAGTAGATATATTTAAGTACCTACAAACAACACATACTTATGATGAATAAACACTCGAACAAAAGAGTGATTGCAAAAGCCCTCGTGACCCATGTGCATGCAAACCCCTCCAAAGGGGAAAAAAAAAGGAGCATTTACGACACTCGTGGTCGGCCCGCAATGTAGATTCCAACTTGGATTTGATCTGGATCTTGGCAAAAAAGTAAAAATCGGTCTCGCTCTCGCTCTCTTTATATGAACCCCGGTTGCCCCTGTTTGCCTTTTTACGTGCCAGGAAGCGCGGATGTCTGCTGAGATCACTGTTGCAGAGTTGATAGATCCATGTCAGTGTCAGTGACCATATACCATGGGTGCATGTAGTGTAGTGTAGTGTAGTAATACTGTATACGATATTGTGGGGAGGGCGGGAGCCGGCCGAGGACGGGGTTTCTTAGATTTGCAGCAGTGTCATTTTTTTTTTTGTTTCTTCTGGCCCGGTAGTGATTGATCCGTAAGGAGAAGGTGGAAGCTACTGCTGTAAGAACAAGGGGTGAGAGTATGAGCTTCCAATGGGAGCGTGGGGCCTGGGAAGTATCGGTGGGGGCTGGTGTGTCGGCACCAATGACTCGTATATATTTCAGAGCATACTATACAGATCCAGGTAATCATGTCCCACCGCAGTGGTTAAAGAACAGTGCCTGCGGGTGATGCCGTGGTTAGATATCTTGCGAGAATTATAGTTAGCACCGATGAAAGATATGGCTGCATATCAGAGGCTGTACCGTAAGAAACAGTACATGCGTTCAAGACCTCGGCCAACTATGCCCCATCTTTGGCCGGTTCAAGGTTCTCGGGGAACTGAAGGAGCTTGGTGTGTACTGCACTCGGCGTACCTGTCTTTGTGGCGAATTGCATTTTGACCGCTTCTTGGGGATCGTCAAAGAGACACCTCTCAGGCTGCAAGCGATAGGAGTGGAGTCGAGTGTGCTCGGAGAGGACTATTTTTTCGCGCGAAAGTGGGAAAGACTTACAGACCCCCGCTGGCCGCTGGGGCCAGGTGGCCTTGTTGAAACTAAATTAAGTGAATACTGTATATCGGCTCTGTTCGGAGACATGGAGACCCTCTCTCTTGCGTCTGAGATGGCTGTTCTGTACGGTCTCTACTTTGTTAGCTTGGGGCTGGCAGCCACGTACGTAGAGTGGCGAGGAGCGATGATCAGTGCAATGTCTAAAGGAATGTGGTGGAGGCAGTGGGAACTAGGGTTGCGTCCCTTCTGCGAACAAAGATCTGTATAGCTTCGGTGCTTTGAAAGCGTGTAGTTGGTCAGGTTGCATTGACCAGCCAATGTCAGGGTTTACTCGGCAATGAGAAACGAATCATTGTGAATGGCGCGGAAGTATTCTCCCCGAGATCCTCGGACGTTAGGGTGACAGCCGCACCGAGATTGGACTGCCAGCGGTGAGGGTAGAATGTTTAGTCGAAGTACATGTAGCGTCGGCTCTTGGGCCTTTTCTTTTGGGATTAGCCTTTGGTCCATCTTGTATCTAAGCCATGCATAGTGGCGATGCGGTGAGGCATGAACAATGGATTGCCTTGAGGATTTCCTAAGTTGGAAGACAAGGCACGCATCAACGCCAGCCAGAGGTCTTGTAATGAGGTCCACTTGTCTGTCGAGGGTTGTTTTGGCCCCAAGACCCCAGTGTCTTGGAGTTACTTATAGTATACGGAACATGTACACTTCCGGATTAGGCCCTAACTTGGCGCTATTTTGTTGCGTCCCGCTCTGTCTTAGTGCGATCCGCGGGTGTTCCTGGGCAAGTGTCACTTGCAACTTAACTTAATCTCCAAATACATGCGCTTCTCGCGGATTGAAGACATACCGTAGTTGTGGTTCCATGTATGCTTAGACTGGGATGTGGTGAGCCTCTCCATAGATCTACACGAAACCTGGATCAAAACGCGCGCACGGAATCTGACCCAGTGACTTCGACATTTCATGAGCCACACATGTCAATTTCGAGTTCATATTGTAGGTCTGACAGCATAAGCCCCAAGGTTACCAGAGCCCCCTATTTCTTTTGGCTATCATTGCGCCGGTGGTGGCGAAACTCCCCAGCCAGCCCCTCATAGCCGTTGGCTATCATTCGACGCTTAAATGCGGGAGTAACTCACGGGATTTAAAAACCCCGTGTGCTGCGTGGACAAGCATAGGCTGCTTCCCTTCAGACCGATGATCCAGACAATATAGCCAAATATGCCAGGGATTATTGGGCAGCTCATGCAGTCTAAGAGTCAAGTGGTCACAAGTGCTCGGTGCAGAGTGGCAACAGCCACAGTGGGTTCGGGACGCTTTAGTGGGGTTCGACTCGGTGGATAATCTCGAAGTGGCAAGGTTTCAAGGGGGTTCCGAGGGCCTTAACTCGAAGATTGATTGCGTGGGGATTGGAACCAGATGAATTCTCCGGGCCCTTGCGTACCGAGAGTTATGCAGATGGTTTCTTCAGCGGAGATGAGAGATCTTCGAATCCACATTCTGAAAGAGGAAAAAGGGAAAACTGTGGATATGATTCCATTCCGTAGTGCAGTCCTTCATTGTATAGGTCTTCATGAGAGTCACGGGTTCGGCCATGCCCTCTAACCCTCCATGATATTCATGTCCGAACAGCTAGGACCTTTCCGGATCAAGTCCTCGGCTCTATTATATCCTGTTGATTCTGGGGCTCTGAGGATTTCAACATGAATTGAACTATGACGAGGGCTCCGGAGTTCGTTTCCGCCTACAACGCAATCCAGGCCTTATAAGAAGATCGTCAATGACACTTTCTCTTTAGGTGATTGGTCTATCTAGAAATGGATTATTGGTTTCAAAAGCCTCAGGTGGCTCTTTTCTAGATTCCCGTGGGGCTATTGGATTCCCTGCCAGATGGCTCAAGTCGCATTCCCGGTTCCTGGAAGACAGCTCGGTCCTTACCTAGGTAGACTTGTCTTTATCTGGGAATGTCAGCGTCTGAAGGCCCACACCCGCCACACACGCCAACATCCCTCGTGTCTCCCCATTCCTTATTTTTCCCTATTTTCTCTTTTCTGGTACTTCCTTTTCTCCCCCACTTCGTCTCTAGGCAGAGATTCTTCACTGCATAGACCTAGTGTGGCCCGAAGGCCCCCTCCTTTCCATAATTTCCTCCAATTCATGGTCCGTTCATCTTCGATGTGATTTGCTTGCTTGTGCTTATTATCATGCTGTCAAATGGTGGATAGCCAAGATAGAGTATTTCGCTTTTGATCTGATTACTTTGCTTGTCCTCTTCTAGCCGTTCTGTCACTCCACACAGACTTGATGACCGATGTATCTCGGGGCCTCCGGCCTCTCGCACCGCGGACTTCTATGGGTGGTAGCGGTGGAGGCGGCGCGGGAGGAGATAGTCCTGGAGGAGGCGACGACAAAGACAGGCGCATGAGACGAGCATCGACGGCCTGCACCGAGTGCCAAAAACGTCGGACTAGAGTACATCACTTTCCCCTCTGCCCTGACTCCCTGCCCGAACGAAATTTGACATCTTCTGATTAGTGTAGCGGTCATCCTCAATGCGATGAATGCAGGGCCCATAACCGCGACTGCTTTTTCGACGAAGCCAACGACAGGCGTCGCAAGGCTTCTGCGAGGAGAACGCAGGATCAGTTGGATTACTATCGCAACTTTACCGAAGACCTCATCGCCTCCATCCGGGATAGAGATGGGGCGACAGTACAACTGATCGTCAACGCTATCCGATCTGGAGCAGAGAATGGAAGCCTGCGAGAGCTGCTTAACCGCCTCAATGAGGATGCCGAAGCTGAAGAAGATCCCAATAACCGGGGTCACAATCCGAACAACCCTTACTACGACCCCAATCAGCCTCGCTGGTCGGAATCCTCCCACCCTAACTCGGGTCATATCGCATGAATCTCTGGATGAATCTGCTCCAGCGCCACAAACTCCCCCCCCAATCTGGCCCTTTGAATTCTCTGGGCAATTCGACAATTCGACAATTTGGATATTGGACGGTTGCTTTCTCGGCAATTTGGACGACATGGGTTGGTTATTTTTTTAGCGTTTCCTTTATAGTCATGTGTTGCATTCACTCCAATTAGGGCTGAAGCAAGTCACTTGGAAGACAATTACGCCCACTTCTTGAGTGTATCTTTGTTTGCATTGCCTATCTTGCATACTGAGATTCAGCATAAACCAAGTTGTTCTTCTATTGCCAGCCCTAGCCTTGTACTTTTCTTTGTGCGCGCCAGCCCAAAACGAACCCTAGAGCTCGAGAGCCAAAGACTAGGTCGACAAGGGTGAAGTTCATATCTTAATCAACCCCGTCATTCGAAATCTTGTCTCAATGGGTTTGCGATCAATCGTCCTGTTTGATATCCACAGGCTTGCGTCATGGGATCCTTTCGCCAGCTTACACGTCCAGAGAAGAACAGGTATTCGAAACCACCGAATATGATCCACTGGAGGATCTGAGATACGTCAAGAGTCCCTCGAAGCCCCTCGAAGCCCCTCGAAGCCCCTCGAGTCTAATTTCACTAACCGATTGCATTCCGTGGCAAACAACCTCCGTCCATTGTTTCAACCACCCTATGTTCATCCCTCCAATGGCCGCCTTATCCTAGATCTGAGATGTCTGTACTCTGCTATCATCGGCTTTCCCTCGTTCCTATTGCGCCAGATATCTTTATGCACCGGTAGCTGACGAACACAAGCTGATGGTAGCTTGTCAACCAGCTTGATATGTTTATGGCACCCCAACAAGTATCGGATCAGATCAGCCTGGCTGCACGCGAATTGAGAAACCAGTGGAATTCTAGTGATACCCGTTCACGAAGTTGTTTGGTCTTTTATCTACGTGGGCAAACCCGATGAATACGATGGCAGTGGTTTGCTTTTGGAATGTCTGCAAAAATATGGATATTGAAACTCAGGCGCTATCAACTCTGGTCTTTATAGGCCTATCTATATGATCTCAGGTCTGTAGATGCTTTTCGGAGCTGCAACGTATGGTATTCGAGGCCGGATGTCTGCCGATGCCTATATAAATCGTCAGGCTCGGCATATCCAGCTCCGAACCCAGAGCATTAGGGTATATAGAGCTTATCCTTCAATAAATTCCCCTTCATCCCACTATAGAAATGATATTCAAGCTATAGATGTTCGGGGCATCCGGCCCCGGATCCCCGCGCCGACCGGAGTCTTCCCGAGATCCTGCTTCCCCTCGGATATTTCTCCCTTCACTTTTCCACCTCTTTTTCCCGTAATACACGGCAGGGACTTGTATATCATTGTCCTGCGATTGGCGCGCTGATCGGAACAATGACTAGTGTGATATCGGACGAATTTCCTCAGCCCGGAGTCCAGGATGGAGCTACTGCGCCATCGGACTTGGTATCTACTTCCAGTCTCAAAAGAAAAGCCTCCGAGCTATCGTCAGATAAAAAAGCCTCTGCCATCTCCCGCCAAAAGATCACAAGAGCCTGTGATTCATGCAAAGTAAAGAAGACCCGCTGTACGGGCACCCTGCCCTGCACCAGGTGTACACGTCTCTCGCTACCATGTGAGTACAATGCCGCTTACTCGCGCGGTCTACCACCGGTCCCTCTACCTGCATCACCCAGTCCGCTCTCGGCCCCAACGGGCCGGCGTACTTTAGAGGCTGCACGCGCGTCCAACAGTCCCCGTCCGGGGGCGAGTGCAAGAGGCTCGGCTGTGACCAAAAACAAATCACTTCCAATCCCGAGCCAACACCATGCAGTGTCATTACGGAACTCGCCCGAGCCAGGATCTACGGATTTTGAAGGCAATTACATCGGCCCTGCGTCGGGTGTGTCGTTTATCAATCGTGTATGGAGTCGGCTACACCAAGATGAGACCACTCATTATCCAGATGAACTTCAAAATGAATCCTCACGGAACACGGCTGTCTTTATGTTTGGCGATAAGCCATATTGCAATTTTCCAGAGGTAGACTTTGCACTGCCATCCTTTGAGAAAGCCATGGAATTGGTTGGTATCTATTTCGATTTCTCCATGGTGACTTATCGCTTCGTGCATAGAGGCAATGTTGAGGATTGGACTAGACAACTTTATGAGATTGATATCTCGCTCTCTAATTTACCGGTTGGGAACATGGTTGCCCGAACTGCTGTTGTTCTTATCATCTTTGCCGTAAGTACTTTGTACGCAGAGCTCCGGCCAGATGGGATGCCTGATGGGCGTAGTGAAAGGTGAGTTTCTCCTGGGTAGAAATGACTGCGCAATACTGATATCTGGTAGTGAACGCTGGTATGCCGCTTCGAAATACATGACCTCTCTCGAGTCAGGACCACCAAGACTGGAGACTATTCAAGCTCGACTGGGCCAATGTCTTTACCTACAGTCATCCTCGCGAGCCAACGAGTGTTGGTACTCATTCGGCACCACGATGCAGGTTGTGACAGCTCTTGGATTACACAGAAAATGGCCTGCCAAATTATCGAATAAAGGATGCTCCTATCTGGAACTGGAGCTGCGCAAGCGGATTTTTTGGAGTGTATACATACTCGATAAATATCTCAGCATCATGTTTGGACGACCTCGACTATTACATGACGAGGACATCGATCAAGGATTACCAGACGAGATGAATGACGATGACTTACTGGAAGAAGACCCGACAAGACGTACAGGATCTACGGACAGCATGATGATTGCTTCTGTGCTTCATTATAGGTGGGCTTTGTATACATCCGCTGAAGAGACAAATTTAACGCCCAAACAGACTCGGTCGCATCCTAGGCGACATATCACGTCAACTATACAGCATAAACACCCCAACCCGCGACTCGCCCCTAGAGACTGCCATCAGACTAACCTCTGAACTCGAAAAATGGAAAGAAACGGTCCCACCATTATTCAACAGCGTCCGCCCATCAAGTCTGATCCCACCCCTCTGCCGACAAAGCCAAGTCCTACAACTTGCCTATTCGCACGCAATGATCCACGTCACACGTTCATTCCTCCTAACAGACTTCACAGACCTGAGCCGCCGGCCCAAAGTCCCACACCCAATGGTGAGCTCTCATGTGCAGAAATGCATACAAGCCGCCGAGGATATCATGACCATGGTTGATAGACTCGCGCAACAAGGTGTTCTAATCCAATCCTTTTGGTTCACGCACTATGTCTGCTTCTGTGCGATTTTGGTAGTGTATATCTACACCATCCAGCAACATCGGAGATCACTGGGGTCAGCAGCCGGGGCTTCGATTTCTTCCGCTGGAAGTCCCGGTGGCCCTGATAAGTTGCGACAGCTGTTTTCTCTCGCAGAGACTTGTCAGCAACATCTTGCTGAGGCTACGCGGAAGAACTGTCCGAGTCGGCGGTATGGGATTATTCTTGAGGAGCTTCGGCAGGAGGTTCATCGACAGATTGGATCGAATGATCTCGCTGTTGATATAAAAACTCCCGATCTTAATGGGGATGGTGCTTTTGAGCCATCTGGAGATGGCAATTATCACGGGGCTGGGGCTTTTGATGCTCAAACGATGGATATGCCTTCTATATTAGGGATGATGCAACCTGCCGGTGTGGGGATGAATGCAGGAGAGGATGCAGGGTTTATTGAGAGCCTTGAGGGATCGATATGGTGGGCTCAACTTGATTCGTGGGTATGGTTTCCTGCAATAACTTCATTGATTTCTTTTACTGACTCTGTTGTCTTAGGCCTTGTCTGACTTTCATAATGACCCTTCAATATACAACTTCTGAGACAATATATATCGTGGTATGCGAGTTATGGCAACTTGTATTCCAAAAACGATTTGCTTTGTCACATTCTGATGTTTCTGATCCAAATGATCCCCTCTTGTTCAGCGGCCCTCAACTCCTCGTGGCTGGACGATGCAGATTTCCAAAAAAGCATCAAAACGTGCCGAAACCCGAATAACGTCCTTGAGATGCTCATGCGTGAGAAATTTCTTCTGCCACTTGACATACTGACGAGCAGTGGTGATAACATTCCGGATTTGCTGACCATTCAACCTCTCTTTCTTGAGCACGTCCAAATTCATGCGCAGATCATGAATATCAACACAACCAGCTTCAAACTCCCACAGTCTCTCAATGAAAGTCTCCCAAATGAGACGTCGCTGGTCCTCGTCGAGACTGGTATAGTGCAGTGCCAGCTGAATTCGTGATTTGAACGCCTCATCAAATGTACCTACCCGGTTCGTGTCAGAATTAAAATTCCCTCGAAGTATTCCACCACCCGCAGGAATGCGGATACAGGTGCGTTGCGGTTCAGATCTTCCAGCCTGCGCTGCTCAAGGAATGCGTCTGCCTCGTCGAGTAGCACGACGCAGTTCCATATCTTTCCCAGGTGGGAACGGACTCGAGGTACTTTTCGACTTCTTCGGGCTTGGTGCCCACATCGCCGCAGGTTACACGGTAAAGAGGTCGCTCTGCGATGTCGGCGACACTCTCTGCATTCAGTGTCTTACCTGTTCCTGGGCCACCGCGTAACAGCAAGATGAGGCCGTTGCCCTTGCCAGCGATGAGGTCTGCCGAATACTCGGTTTCAAGGTGGTTAGTGACAAGTGCTTGGATTAGGTCTCGGGATTTTGATTCGATGGCCAGGCTTTTGAAGGCTTCTTTGTTCCAGACTACATCGGAGATGCGGTCGGTGCAGAGCTTGAACCATTTCTTGCGGCGAAGGTTGAACCCGACAATTCTGGGGGGCATCAATAGTTGGAGCGTCTCATCCGGAGGCGAGCCTTTGGCCATGGCTCGGTCATCAAGCAAGCTTGTACGTGTAGGTGGAACCGTGGGAGAACCTGGATGCAATCGCTTGTGCGTTTTCATATCTATGATGTATCGGTCGTCGGCCTGGTTGCATTGGTCAGTTCAAACTTGCCAATTATAGCACCTTGAAATATCACTCGGATGCATACCATAGTCTGGAAGTTTTCCTCCTCTGTGGCATGGTAGGAAACATATCGATGTCCACGGAGCTTCCAGAAGGTCTCGCCGCGTCTTAGAAGCATCTGAACAATTTCACTTGATGCGTACTTGACCGGGAACACAGCAAGGTCAGTGATAGCACAATTATTGTCCGAGTTGGTCTGAGCCGAGGATGAGTCTTCAGCCGCCTCCCGGCCAAGCGTGTCAACCATTGGATCATCATTAAGAGACCAACGTATTTCGTGGCGTTTTCGAGACATGCTGTTGCTCTGGTATCTGGAATTCAAGCGTGTCTCATCTTCGGCATGCACGGCCATCAAACTGCCATCAAACTGCCATCAAACTGCCAGGTCTGGCCCTTGACAATCCATGAGGAAGTTTGTTCGGATCCAAAATATCCCTCGTGTTGAAGAAGCCAGTCTACCGCCATATATCCCGTGTACTCATTGTTGTTGTTTGAAACCAAGATCTCGTTCGGCCTGAACAGGTATTGGACGTACTCCGGGCGGATGTGGCCCTTGTTGAGCAAACTGTCCGCAGTAGCATACTCTTCACCACAGGTCTCTTGGACATAATCCATGAAGAGGTTTAGTTGCTGCTGAGCCAGGTCCCTCAGCCCGTGTCTCATGACGGCCACTTTGGATCTGTTGTGATAACCGAAGAGATAAGGCGTCGTTACTTTTCGAGAGGACTGGTAGCCATGATACATCGAGCTGAATTCCTGACCCCTCAGCATCTCTTCAAAGACCTCATTGAGCTCCTCGGAAACAGGCAGAATGGTTTCGCTGAATGGCGCTGGCTTCCCATACTTCGCATTTAATGACTGCTACTCAACTGTCCTCTTGAAATTCCGAAACACCGCAAATGATATGTCTGTGTTCAGAGCCAGGTAAAGCTCAAAATTGGTCAGCCAGTCATTGCAACGTAGATAAGGGGATCCAATGGCGCTGTGGACGTCCTCAGGGGGATCGGTGAAAGTTCCCATCCATGGAGATCTGAAACTCTCGTCGATGTCCCACTCTCGACCCATGCGTCGAGATTTGTTATCCTTCTCGATACGGTAGAGAATCTTATACTTCGAACCCACAGGATTGACGGGCTTACCCTCCAGCTTGAGCACTTTCTCTTGGAGATATGATATCTGGGCCCTAAGACCATTCATTGGCCTCGGACAGAGAGAGGGTTTTTTGGCTGGAGGATAGATTGCGATCTCGTGGCCAGACAATTGGGCTTGACCCCACGGATGAGGTTTGATATTTTGAATAAGGGGCAGGTCGAGCAGGCTCTAATATGTGTTCCTGGTTTTTCGCACTATACTGTTTTTGCCATCCGCGCTGTGGAGGTGCAGGCATTGCAGACATATTGTAAGGCAGAGGAGAATACACTGGCACAGGCGGGATATACGATCGGGCATAGGTCTGCCAAGGGACTGATAAGGAAGTTTCAGCCGCTCTTGCGAAGCTGGCATAGGGAAATATTGCTGCATTGGTTCTGGCTCAGCATACACTCTGTTCAAGTCAGACGGTCGAGGTCGTCGCTTGTGATTTCGCTCCTTTGGCATCAGCGAAAACGAGTAATCTTGGCTGCCTTCATCTTCACCTTGTGTTCTCGGGTTGATGAGATAAGTGCTATTGTCCCCCAGGCCATGAGGAGACTGTGGCTGGTCTTCTGAGTCCGCTACCACCGTCAGGTCTTCGGAAATAGTCTTGTTTTTGTAGAGCTCACAGCTCGGGGGAGCAAAGATAGGGTCAAGAACCTTCCATGATGTTGGATTTGTAGAAACCATTATGAAAAACTGTTGACAATAAAGAAAAAGGCAGATTACAGTTGATGGTGAAAAAGGCCTTTCAAGTAGTGGGCAAACGGGGGATTGCCATTGCAGCCAACCCCACTTCAGCTTTGAGGCTCCCCTGAAGCAACCAGTGAATTATAGCAGTCATATGCAGTGTCCTATTTACTTTGTCGTTGGCACCTTTTCAGTGGTGGCGTCGCATACAACGGCAGGGAGTCACGGGTTGTGCTTGCCCTGGCCGTGGTTGCCCAAGCCCTAACATGCAACTTCGCAGTTCTGCTTCGTTGAACTGTACATCATTCTATCGTTAATTAGTCTCATCATCCACCATTCATTTTGCCAAGATGACCGTCTGCAAGAAAGACTCGGCTCAAAGAAGCCTTTTCGGTCTTCGAATTCCCGCCAAAGTCGTCATTTCTGCAAAGGGTAAATCGCCAATCGAGTCAGGCACATCAGAGAGCCCAACTTCCGATTCAATCATTCCTGAAGGCAAGAGGCGCTTCAGAGCACGCCTGACCCGGAGTGGCTCCAAGATTCTATTGTTATTGGGATTGCGAAATTCGTCTAAGAGTAAGCAGCCATTTCTCTGTTTCATGGCCTTTCTCATGGACTTCTGCAGGCATCAAAGATTCAAGCATCGAGACAGACTGTTGCACTTTAGTACAAACTGGCGATGAATGTCGGCACCCTTTTTCGCCAAGTGAATATGTGGCTACGATCGAATCACCGCAAAGCGAACCGCTTCCTATCACTCCCTCTCTTAGTCCATTTGTCGAAGGCGCTGAAACTCTGTCAGAATCTCTTCCCGATCTACAGTCCTTACCCGAAAGTCATTGTGAACATTCTATTGGAGGTAGCTTGCACGCTGTGGAAGAAGAAGATCCGTTGGCAACAAGTGTCATTGAGCAAGGAGGCCAGCCGACTCCAAAGTTTGCAGATCGATTTTCGCACAGGATCTCTCTGGCATTTGGCCAATCCACCGTCATTCGCCATGCAAACCTTCACTCGACGCCAAGCATTCTTCGTTCCGTCTCACCTGCTCCATACGACTTGAGCAAACAGGTCGATGGCGCCCATGATAGCTCAGGTCCTTCTTCCGCTCCAAGCAGCAACTCTTCCCCCCGTGGTGAACAGTCCACACCCCCGACATCTGGGGTGCCATCTCCTTCATCGAATCGATCCAAGATATACGATCATCACGAGAGGGCAGTGTTACATTGGCCTTCTGTCTCTGATATCAAAGAGGCCGCAATTCCTTCTGAACGACCTGTCAGCATTATGCCCTCAATCAAAACGGTGGAAGCTACCTCAGTGGCAAAGGTGTACCTGGAACTCTATTTCAATTTGATTTTCCAGAACAAGGATATGCGTCAGGAACGACAGCTGGAACTAGAACAATATATCTACACTTGTGATCTCACGGCGGAGGAGCGAACGATGACACGTCACAATTGGGTGTTGCGTGAGAATGATTATCTGCGACAGTGCCGTGTGCTCAAGTCCAGTCGATATTGTACCCAGAATGCAATCTGTGTCGCTGGATACAAGACCATCAAGGTGCTTGGGAAAGGGAGTTTTGGTGTTGTGCGCTTGGTACGACAAAATTCTTGCGATTTGAAGGGTTCCAGCGAAGATGATCCTTTGGCTCCCGCTGAAAACAACTCTCCTGCAAGAACAAACCCTCTCGGGGTGCTGAGATCTGCTATGGCGGGGGCCAAGAAAAGTCGGCGAAGATACATGACTGGGGAGAAGAAAGAGGTATACGCCATGAAAGTCATCAACAAGACAGAGATGATCCAGAACTGCCAGGAAGGACACATTAGAGCTGAGCGGGATTTCCTTGTGGCATCTGAGAGCTCTCGTTGGGTTGTTCCTCTGATCACTAGCTTTCAAGATGCCAACAATCTGTATCTGGTGATGGATTACATGGTTGGTGGTGATTTCTTGGGCCTCCTAATCCGTAAAGATGTACTCCGCGAAGACTGGGTACGGTTTTATGTTGCCGAAATGATCCTGTGCATCGAAGAGGCACACCAGCTCTGTTGGATTCATCGCGATGTGAAGCCTGACAACTTCCTTATCTCTTCCTCGGGTCATTTGAAAATCTCCGACTTTGGTCTGGCGTTCAATGGTCATTGGTCTCATGATCAAGCGTACTACAACAGTCAAAGATACTCTCTGTTGGAGAGGCTTGGTATCAATGTCAAGGGAGATTCTGAGGACCAGAAGGAGTCTCTTGAGGCGAAAGACCTTGTGCCTGACGTCAAATTGCATACCTTGGGTGATTACTCTGTTCAGCAGACTCCCTCTTCGGGTCTTTTGGATTGGCGTGACAACAAGGGGAGACGCAGGTTTGCCAAGAGTGTTGTTGGAACTAGCCAGTATATGGCACCTGAGGTCATTCGGGGCGAAATGTACGATGGGCGTTGTGACTGGTGGAGCCTGGGTATCATTCTCTACGAGGTAAGTTGGACAAGACATATCCCATCATTGCGAAGAAAGACTCACACATTTCTTAGTGTCTCTACGGCTTCACGCCATTTGCCTGTGAGAGCCGCCACGACACCAAGATCAAGATTTTGGTAAGTATATCCTTCTGAACTATCTGCCATCCGAATTCTGACCCTCTTTAAGCGACACACACGAACTCTCCAATTTCCGACAGACAAGGCATCTGACAGGTTGGTCTCTCAAGATGCCATCGATCTCATTCATAGGATTCTTCAAGCGCGTCAATACCGTCTAAGCTCCCAGAAATACCAGGCCAATGACATCCTAATCTCACGGTCCGTTTCCAATCAAATGTTGTACTCCATGGACTCGCGCTACAGAAATATCGCGAGCTATTACGTGTACCCCAACGATGCAGCGGACATCAAAGTTCATCCATTCTTCAGAGGCATCCAATGGCAGAATCTTCACTTGTGCCAGCCACCAACGATCCCCAGGGTCAGAAATTGGGAAGATACACGGTACTTCGACGACTGGAAGCTGGTCTTCAATAGCTCCGGTAAAGCTGCGGCCCATGAATCTGAAGACAGTGAGACTCCTGGGTCAGACCCTGATGCCATCAGTCCTGCCCCGAACGCCGATGAAAACATTTCCATGTCCGTTGAGCCACCAAGTGTCTCTGTTACACCGGATGTAGTGTCTGAGCAAGTCAAGAAGGCTGAAAAGAAAAAAGAGAGAAAACGGCCTCGCGACAAGATCCTGCGTGATAAAAAGATGGGCAAAAGTGTCTTGGAGATCCGCAAGAAGGGAGCTTTCCTGGGGTATACCTATCGGCGACCCAACGAGATGGCTTTGGCGTTCAAAATAGAGCGAGGACGACAGCCGCTTGCCAGGGGTCAGTTGTCTGGCCTGTATGCATCATGATTCTACCAACCCCAGCCGTACAAGGGAAGCCACGCCCCCTGGCCTACAAATACAACAGTCGACTATCATTCCATTCCCGCTTTCGCAACAAATCACCATTCTTTCAGCAACCTATTCGCATAAGCATCTTTATCTGGTACCTAGGTACAGAGCATGAGCCTCTCACAGGGGCTGATTCATGCTTCTTGAAACTGAGGGCTTCCAGCTACTCGTCCCTTTTGATGTATTATTAGCAATGTACACACGTACATGGCCCAGCAGGACATTCTCATCTCATAATTAGACCGGGCAGAATATGTCATTCTTACTCCATATGCGGTAAACTAAGGTACAAAAAAGAACAGTGCGAATGGTAAGTGGAGCCTGGTACGTAGAGTAATGATATTATTGTCATGGGATTGCTTGTATTCTATTGAAAGTGAACCGAGTCCCGAAAATCCCCAGGCAAATAGAGAAGAAAATGGCAAAATCACAATGCGGTGAATGAACACAGACAGCAGGATGACACGGAGGGGCCTGGGCTAAGTGGCCATGTCTGTAGAAGAAATGCAGGGTATCGAAGCACAAATTTTTAACAAGCTTCTCCGCCTGTTGGGTATCAAGATTGAAGATTGAAAACGGATAGGATGAGCGATGGAACAAAGGAGGTACAAGACGAAAAGTCGAAGAATCATCAAAGCACCGGCGCACTCATGGAGAAAGCTGAATCGGTCACGCGGTCCTCGGGCTTCATTGTGCCATTGAGCAAGGGGCAAAGCTTCTTGTTGGTCTTGATATGTCCGACCTGGCCACAGTTGGCACATTTGCGCTGGGTACCGGCGGGCTTGCCATCCGGGTCACCGGCGCGAGGAATACCCTTCTGCTTCTCGCGAGCGAAGCGGCGCTCCTTGTTGCGGTTCAGACGGCCGAGTTCGGCTTCGATCAGCTTGCGGTTGCGGGCGTCGACTTCGGGGTCGCCGGTTGGCTGGATAGATTCTAGCTTGGTGTGTAAAGCTGCGCTGCGATGGCGGTGCTGCATGTAGTGTCTGATCACACGCTGGTCCCAGACAAGCTGCTCCCTCTCGACGATCTCGCCATTTGCTTCTTTGACCTGGCGAACGATGCGCATGACCTTGCCGCGAGAATCTCCGAAACTCATTTTGCTGAACTGACTTGTTGTCTCGTCGTCACGGCGATATGGTCCTGGGGTGGGTGCCTCGGATCGGGGTGTGGGCTTATGGTATTGGTCCTCTTCCTCTTCGTGGTCAACGTCACTCTCCTGGTCGGAGTGTTCGACAGTGGAAGACAAGCTGGCCTTTTGGGCGTCCCAGATGCGACGAATAGATGTTTCATATGACTTCTGTTGACGAGCAACATTGTAGCTGTGACCGCCAAGCTCCTTGAGTCGCTGCGCATCGAGCTTGTCTTCGACACTTTCACCGATAGCCTTGAAGCCACCCTTCATGCTGGTCTTGATGAAGTTGTAACCCTCGCCACGGCCAGTCGGATCACCATCGCCATGAAGCTTCAGCATAGCCTTGCCCTGAGAGGCAAGCAAGAAGTTGCGAGTCGCTTTCCAGGGAGCCATCTGCTGTTCAAAGCTTTCCAACTCTTCATCTTCTTCATTTTCGTTGTTGGTCTCCGCATCATTGCCATAACCGGTATCGTGGAGATGTTGCTGACCAATCTGCATGGATTCCAATAGACAAACATCTTCGGGCTGCACCCAAGAACGAATGGTGTCTTGGTCTGGAAGAACCGGATCCAGTGGCTTCCAGTACTTGGTATCTTTGTCGTGCTGGAGGAAATCCTTGACTTTTTGCCGATTCTGCATATCAGTAGTATTGGGGATATGAGCTGTCACATCGCTGATCGCAAGTCGTTCGTCTGGACTCTTCTTCAGCAGACGATAGACCAACATCTTCATGCGGTTCTTGGCAACAGTGGTCACCTTACGCGAGTGCGGGCCAGGAATGTCCACCGAGGGGAATTGCTGTCCAGCGACAAAGAAGTTCTCGATGTTGCGCAGATAGTAGCTGCTGCCAGCCTCCCCAGTACTGCTGCGTACCACTAGGAAGTCTGTGGTCTTTGTCTGGTGGGGGAAGAGCGGTGCTCGATACATGGAGTTGGAGATCGCAGGCGCAATTTCGCCGGGGTCGACGTGACCGAAAATAGAGAACGGACTCTTGTCTTGTGGTAGGAGGACAGCTGTCTCACCAATCTCCGCTCTGGGGCGCGTTGGGTCGTCAATATTCTTGCGTCGGTAGTAGTTGATGAATCGGTTGCACATTCCGAAATTGGCAAGCATCATGGGAACCTCCTCAGAGTATTCAACAAGCAAAACATTAGAGTTGTCTGCCATGGACAATGCCTTGGTGGTATCGTAAACACTCTTTGCATCTCTGCCGCGTTGCTGCTTGCGCTTGACGTGGGCAGGGTTCTTGAACCAGGAAGTCTGTCCAGGCCGGAAGGCCATGGAGGGTCGGTGGAAAGATCGGGCTTCAGCCTTGGCCAGCTCAGTCTTGTAGTAAGGCCACTGCAAACGGAGAGCAGGCAAACCGTGCTCGAGGGTCACATTACCAAGAGTGCTGCGGATCTTGTTCTGGTGGTTCTGTTTGAGCATGTCGTACGCTTGGTCGTTCGAGATATTGTAACGTGAAGTGAGACGGCGCGTCAAATTCAAGTCAACTTCATCTCTGGATCGGGGAGCATGTTTCGGCTTGTTTGCAATAGCGTCTGCTCTTGACTCGTCAACGAGAATATTTGGATCGTTCAAATCAATAGTGACCCTCTTGGCAATCTTCAACGTTGCCTGCTCGGGGTCATCCAACAGCGGGATATCAATATGAGACATTGCGATAACGTCCATTGGGCTTGGTCCAGTCTTTCGCTTCTTCTTAGGCATATCATCGTCCATGAGCCAATCTGGCTCGTCATCGTCGAAAGCGGCATCTTTTGGCTCTTCTTCAGGTTCGGCAATGGGAATATTGTCCACCATATCCCAGTCTGCGCAGATGGTTCGAAGATCTTGCATAGTAATGCCACCCGGCAGTGGATCATCACCATCTGCGTCACCCATATCAATGTCTTCTTTGTCTTCTTCCTCTTCCTCTGGTGTTGTCTGGGTTATCATCACGATGCCTAGAGAATCATGATCAAGGCCACGCTTGAGGGGCTGTCCAGTTCGGAATGTACGCTCCTGATCCGCCGCGAGCTCAATGTTCACTTTCGTGGGAAGAACGGGCTTAGGAGGCTTGGTGGGCTGTTTTCCGATGAAAATGGCTTTCTTGTGTGGAATGAGCTCCAACCATCGTGGGAGCTCATTGCGATTAAACGAAGGAAATAATGAATGCAGAAGTTCTTCACGATTTTCTGGGGGTGCAGGTGGGTTTTCGGGCCCAGACATGGCGAAAAGTGCCTGTTGGAGCTTCCAAGCGCGAAGTGTCGCGGGGTCCATGTCGTCTGACATGATGCTGGAATCGTCCGGGATATCTTCATCCATGGGCACCTGTTCTGCCTGGGCGACGGGCGCGGGAGGAATGGGTGGGAGTTCGACTGGCTCATTGGTCAAGGGCATTTGCTCATCTTCAAAGAGGCCACTGGTAAGATCCTCCTGTCCAGCAGGAGGAGGAGAAAAAGAGCCTTCACCAAACAGATCATCAAGATTATCGTCTTGTCTCTGAACCCCCGCAGCCTGATCACCGAATATATCATTACCGTTCCCGAAAAGAGCGGCGTCATCGGATCCCAGGTTCGCGAAAGGATCTTCGCCATTGTCGTCCACCGCAGGCAGGGCCGGAGCAGCGTGTGCCTCTTCTTCTGGGAGTTCGTCGTCGTCGAAATCTTCATAGTCGACCGCATCATCTGCCTTCTCGCCAACATCCAAGTCGCGCGACAGAAAATCCAAAGACGGTCCGTTGTTCTCGTAGCTGTTGAGCTGCTGCATCACATTGTTGAAGTCATCGTCCTCGTCCTCCGGGGCCTTCTTCTGCGTCGCGTGAGGCATTTTTGCGGTGACAGATGTTTTAAGGAAACTGAAAGGTTCAACTGGGTGAAAAGAAGAGATTGGTTCAGGATAAACGTGAGGGAAAGCTGGGGTCGTAAACGTAGGCGCTAGCCAGACGGGCGGCTCGCGATTCAAACGACGGGCATCTGGTTGGTATCTGATTATGCAAAAGAAATCTTGCGTCCTTTTCTAGCTACTACAGCCGAAAAACAAGAGAGTGCGAAGCAAGAAAGGGAACGTCCAAGTGGGAGAAGAAGTCGAGATGGAAAACGGCCGCGGGTTCCAAGATGCGCGAGGTTGACGCTAACCCGAAATGGCAATCAACTCGTGATAGATCAATAGGACTTGAGACATTACGCGCTTCAATAAATCATTTATAATATATTAAAGCGAGCAAAAGAAGAAAAGAAATATTAGTATATTGAGTTGGAGTTTCATCAAGCGTAGGCAACGTCAGTCATGAAACATTGAAATCTCCATAGAAAATACACAACGCCTTGCTCGCACCCTCCATACAATAGTGCATCACGGTAGACTTGTGACCGTCAGGAACTAATTTTGCCATTTGCTTCAAATCAGATGTCCTGGGAATGTAGAGAACCATGTGCTTGCTGAACACAGAGTACTCATCATACAACTTTTGTAGCGAGTATGGCTCCATGGTCTTAAGGTTGAATACCTGATCTGACCGATATCCGGGGCCTTTTACGATTAGTTCCAGTCGTACAATCAAGCAGAAAGGTACGCTTACCTCCCCATGGCGGGCTTGCAAACACAACACTGTAGGGACCCAGTTCCTTGAGTTGATTCTTGAGGATTTCAAAGCAATCACCTTCGAACCAAGTGATCTTGTTCTCAACACCGTAGATTTTGGCGTTGTGCTTTGCGCATTTCAAGACGGCGGGATTTTTCTCGATTCCATAAACACGCTTCCATTTTCCGGTCAATGCAAATGCAATTGTGTTTCCACCGGCGCCAGCAAAGCAATCGACCAGAATGCTGCGGTTAGCAGGTGCGGACTGGGCAATTTGCGTGGCAATTTGACTAATTATGGTCATTAAAACACAGTAAAAAGTAACATTGAGGTACTTACTGGGCCACTGGTTCAGGCGTAACGCCAAACCAAGCATCGTCAGTCAGCCATACACCTTCGTCGTACTTAGAGAAGATCCGGTAACGTTGTGCCCAATAACTTGACATAGGGTTAGCGCTGGTCAACATGAACCACCAAGGGACTTACTTCTGGATGTCCCAGGGAACCTCCTGCAGACTATTGTAGTGATGCACCTCCGGAGGAGCTTCTTCTTCGTCCGCCATGATGTTTGATAAAGCAAGATCGATGCTCGATAACCGATAAAGATGCGGGTGTTTGCAGTGTTTGTCTCGCCATCTGGCCAGCTCTCAGGCCGTAACAACACAGCTTCACTTGACCCTCATTTGGTTACGCATTCCTTTTGAAAGTAACAACGATGTTTGGCGCGTTAAATCGTTTCATCGGTCGACTGGACGGAGAACCCGGCCAACAACCTCGAAACGGACCAAACGACAACGCGTTCGGCTTCCAGGTGCTCCGCAACAAGGACCCGGAGCTGCCTCTAGAGCCATGGTTTGATTTTATTGTTGGAATCAACGGTCATACAATTGTTTGTCTATAGAGCTAGCGTACGTCTCGGTATTACAACATCGCTTACACCGACATACAGGAAGATCCGGATCCCAGTCTCTTTGCGACAGAAGTGCGAAATTGCGCTGGGGCCAGCTTGACACTGGAGGTATGGAGCGCAAAGGTAAGAACGCAACAGCTTCGTTAAAACCGGGCCATAGCTAAATCACGGGCTTCCCAGGGTCAACGAACCCACACGGTCACGCATTCTGTCCCGCCAACGAACCCAGCTCTCGGTCTAGCACTCCAGCTTGCCCCTCTCTCCTCTACACAAAACATCTGGCATGTCATAGCGATCCCATCGCCACTCAGTCCAGCCTACCGTGCTGGCTTGCTACCCTACTCGGACTACATCATTGGAACCCCAAGCGGGACATTAAGAGGGGAATCCGCACTCGGAGAGCTCGTCGAAGACCACCTAGATCGCACCTTGGTTCTATGGGTATATAACAGCGAGTTCGATGTGGTTCGTGAAGTTGAGCTTGTGCCTACACGGGGCTGGGGTGGTGCGGGAGCCCTTGGTGCTGAGCTAGGATTCGGTGCCCTGCATCGACTACCCATTGGACTCGGAGAAGAGGTGGAAGCACCTGGGGAGGTTGTTTTCGAGACACGTGATGGTGGCATTACTGCCCCAGTAGATGGCCCTGCGAGTGCTGTGCAAGGCATGGCACCTCCCTCGGGCCAATTCTTGGTTCCTGCAAACATGACCGCACCACCGCCCTTGGCTTCACAAAGAATCGCTTCGCCGTCAGATAATAGGTCGCCGGCGAGCCGTCGTGCAGGGAGACACCGACCTTCTGCCTCACCTAACAGGGCTTTCGATGATTACTTTGCTGAGGGTGAGCAGAAGAGTCGGGAGCAAGATTTCGCGCCTTCTAGGCATGGAACTCCTCTTCCTCCCCCGCCCAAGGTTGGACCCTCGCCTTCTCATTCGGAAAGTCCTGCGCCTGCGCATGAGGCGCCGGAGGGCGCACCAGGGCCGACGCAGGAAGAATGAGGAAGGTATCTTTGACCAATTTAATGTAGAGTATCATGATGAAAACCAAATACCAATTACAACAAACTATTCCCATCTGCAAGTATCCCTTCATGTGGGCTTTAGATGACCAACTATTGTATACTGTAATGTATTATAAGATCAAACATTTGAGAAACAAAAGGAACCAATCCGGTTATGTGTTCGGATCTACAAGTTCTAAGCGTACATATGCAACAAATAAATCCTCTCTATAGCTCCCATCTGGGGTCCAAATTTAGTGGCCCTTGCTCACAAACTCCTCCAGCTTCTTACGGGTGTCGCCGATCTTCTCCTCCATCATCTGACGTGCCATTCCACTGTGCGCAATTCCGGTGAACCAGATGTGCTCTGCCCGCTCACGGATAGCGATGTGTTGCTCCGCAACGGCAGGAACCTTCTTCTCATACTCCCAAACGAGGTCTCCGACATTGCGCATAGTCACAGGGAGAAGAGTGTAGGCGGCAGCGGTACCAAAAGCGAGTGGCGACGCAGTGCGAAGGAAGATACCACGGTTACGGGAAACGATCGAGCCTGCCATGGCGGCTACGACGGCGTAGACACCGCCGGGGAGCAGGCGCTCGCCAGACTCGGGCGAAGGTGCGAGCGAGGCAACGGTGTTGGTGAAGCAGTTTTCGATGTTAAGGGCCCGGGACAGAAAGTTGTTGAAGCCGTTCTCTGCGGCAAGGGAGTTGGAGTAAAGGAAAAGACGGGCTTGTCGGACCTGAGCAGTCAGGATATCTGTCGGGGTTGGCGATGAGGGGGCTTGTTGCACAGCTGGTGTGGATAGCAGCTGAGGAGCAGCGGACTGAGCAGGTTGTGCGGGTTTGGAGGGTTCGGGGATGTCGGCTGGGAAGTCATCGTAGATAGGTTTGCGCTATATTGGGCAAGTGGTCGTGTCAGGGCAAGCCAGGAGCTGGGATTGTCATGGATATGAGAGAGGATATTATCATACGTTGTCTCGAGGCTCTTCTGCGAAAGCTGTCTGCTTGGGGTACAAAGCAATGCCTCCCGCGAGGAGGGTGGCTGCGATCGGAGCCACAGCCCGCTAGGCACAACGTCAGTAGGGAACTTGAGGGAACAATTGCATCGGTATTTTAAGGAGCAATTGCTAGAGGGTAACCATACCTGTTGCAACATCGGCCGGAACGACATCCTGGGGGTGTGGGGGAGGAGGAGTAGGGGAGCTGAGGTTGAAGGTGAAGCAAAGTCGTGTTGGAGCCAGACGGGAATTCTTCGGCTCGGCGGAACCTCCAGAAAACTCCGTCATTGCCCGTTCACCTACAACTCACTTCTTTTCCTTAGGGACATTTGGGATTCTTTCTTATGTTTTTACTCTGCTATTAATACTGTCGCTACAATGCTTCGCACTGTGCGACGATCGTGGACATGCCGCAAATGCCTGCACCTGCAGTCGCAGTCCCGAGCCTTCGCGAGCGCCGCATCAGCCTCGCCGACGCCATTTGAATATATCCCAGCAGACAACAGTGCGCCAGGGAAGAAGACCGACGACCAGACCCTTCGCCGCGTGTTCGATTCCCAGTCGTTCTGGAATGAGTACTCCCAGCAACGCACCACTACGATCCCCAGACGAGCTGGGTTAGTCCAGAACCAATACCTCACAAGCCCCGAAGGCTTCAGGACATTCGCAAATGTCTCGTTGCAGCGATGCCAGGCTATCGTGACCAAGGTTCTCGCCGCCTCGACCGTGGAGGAATACAGGGCACTGGCACGCGACCTTGACCGGCTCAGTGATCTCCTGTGTCGCGTTATCGACCTGTCGGACTTCATTCGAACCATTCATCCTGATCCACGGATACAAGAAGCAGCCACGCAGGCGTGGGCTCTAATGTTTGAATATATGAATGTTTTGAATACCACCACTGGCCTTCACGAGCAGCTCAATACAGCCCTAAACAACCCCGATGTGACATCACACTGGACCGAGGGCGAGAGGATTGTGGCTCAGATCTTGAACAAAGATTTCTCAAATTCTGCGATTCATATGCCGCCAGAGGTACGGCAGCGTTTCGTCAATCTTTCAAATGATGTGAGCCAGTTGGGATCCGATTTCATGAACGGCGCGGAGCCTGCGAAGTCCCAGGTGGTCTTCCCTGCCAGTGCCCTTCAGGGTTTGGATCCTGTCGTCGTTCAAAAAATCAAACGGTGGAACAAGAAGGCACCAGTGCCAACTATGGGCGTTGTCCCTCGGCTTGCTCTGCGCTCAGTGCGTGATGAAGGAGTTCGCAAAGAGATCTATCTCGCCACTCGCACATCCAGTACACGCCAGCTACAAAGACTAGAAGAACTTTTGGTCAAAAGAGCAGAACTGGCCCAACTTACAGGCCACAGCAGCTTTGCGCATATGACTCTCGGTGACAAGATGGCCAAGACGCCTGAAGCAGTATCGAACTTCTTGACTTCACTTGTCTCAAGTAACCGTGGTCCAGTTCGTGAAGAATTATCCAAGCTGCAGGAACAGAAAGGATCTTCTTTGCAGCCGTGGGACCATGCGTTCTACGTTCACAAGCGGGTCTTGGAGTACAGCCAGTCTCGTCGCTCGCGTCACCTGGGTTCTGTTAATGACTTCTTCTCCCTGGGAACTGTCATGCAAGGTCTTTCTCGGCTTTTCGAGCGTCTCTATGGTGTGCGTCTTGTTCCACACGAAGCATCTCCTGGCGAGACCTGGCATCCAGACGTCCGTCGCTTAGATGTCGTGGACGAATCGGACAAGCACATTGCAGTCGTTTACTGTGACCTATTCACCCGGCCCAGCAAGCACCCAAATCCGGCTCATTTCACTCTTCGCTGTTCGCGTGAGATCTCAGCTGAAGAGGTTGCCGAATGTGCCTCGATGGACCAGTCGGCTCACCCGAACGACGGGATGGCCACGGGCGTCGACCCGCAGACCAAGACTCTGCGCCAGCTGCCAACCATTGCTCTCGTATGCGATTTCCAGGAGCCCCAGGCCAATGGCTCGGGTCACCCAACCCTGCTGAGCGAGCAGAGTGTTCGTACATTGTTCCACGAGATGGGCCACGCGGTTCACTCGATCCTCGGTCAGACACCTCTGCAGTCCATCTCTGGAACTCGGTGCGCCACGGACTTTGCCGAACTTCCTTCCGTACTGATGGAAAGTTTCGCGACTGCTCCAGAGGTTCTTTCCTTGTATGCGCGCCACTGGAAGACTGATGAACCTCTTTCCGAAAGTATGATGCAGAGCATGGAACTAGATCGCACTGCGCACGGGTCCATCTACGGCGCTGTGGAGAATGAGGCCCAGATCCTCATGGCGCTTGTTGACCAAGCCTATCATTCTATCCCTGCCGAAATTAGTTCAGTTGGCATTGACTCCACCGAGATCTATCACCAAGTCTTCGCTCAGCACTCCAGTCTGCCCGATCCGGATAACGTTCGGCCACGCACCTCGTGGCAGGGCTTCTTCGGTCACTTGTACGGCTATGGTGCTACATACTATAGCTACATCTTTGACCGAGCGATCGCCAACAAGCTCTGGCAAGATGTCTTCCAATCTGGCCAGGCCGCCGTTGATCGCGCTGCCGGAGAGCGATATAAAAACGAAGTCCTCCGCTGGGGAGGTGGTCGTAATGGCTGGCAGTGCGTGGCCGGCGTCCTGGGCCACAGCAACCCCTCCAATGCAAACGGCCGCCTGGCTGAAGGCGGCGACGAAGCCATGCGTGAAGTTGGCCGCTGGGGTCTAGGACGCGAGGGCATGTAATGTGACCCGGATTGTACTCCTATCTGATACACTCTGATCTATACCTTGTAAACAAAACATCGAATCCTGATCTGATTCGGCCCTCTCGTGACCTCTTCATTAAACTCCGAGGGCTTGAACCGGATTCACCGCGTACGAATGATTATGAAGTCCGAAATCGTTCACTTGCAGGGATTCCACCACAAACTACGGACCAGTACTTCCTGTTAGCGATCAGCCAATAGAAATCTATTCAGCCAGGCCAATGATCTCCGCTGTGCATCCATGTAATGTCTGAGACTAGTGCGCTATAACGCGGCGCCACGGCGAACGATGGCGGGGTGTGACTAGAATGTCTCACTGCCCCTTTGTCCTTGTCTCAGGAGTCACTAACACAACGGTGATATATCAGAGTCAAACAGGGCAAAAGCTACCTGTCAGTTTCAAGTTCTCGTGAGCAAGTATAGCCCTTCAATGCCTCTCAGACTTTGCCTCCCCCCCGCCCCCTCCCCCGGAACCCACCCAAGCCTATCGCAAAATGGTGCCCACTGGACCTCTAGTGCCTCTGACGTACCTCGAGGAGCACCTCGCATGGTGGCTTGCTGTAGCGGTACCCACGGTTACCCCCGATTATGCAAAAGGGCAAGGCGCGAACGATCTTGCGATAGCCTAGGCAGGGCACATGTTCTTTTCTTTGTCAATATATGGGACTCCGAGCGACCCCCGGGGGGGGGTTTATACAAGTTGTAGATCAGTCCGACCCTGCAGATCCAAGCCTTAGTTTGAAATGCTGCACATTCTTGTCAGTTGAACAAAGAATCTGGCCCTGATCTAGACTCCTATCTCCTTGTTACCGGTACGTGCCATCCAATATATCCTAAAGTACTGCGCAGCGTACCAGAGTATTCACCGCTACATCTTGCTTATTGTCTGTGTAGATTGCTGTTGTTTCAAGTTCACTTCTTTCAACTTGGACTCAATAGCGTTTCTTGGTTGTTGGGGTATTATTTATTCCCCGACAACCCTGTTTGGTCTCCCTCTCCGTCGTTCTCAGTCGCAACTATCTACGTACTGTGACAGCGGAATACATATTTCAACATGCCTGACGTTATGATTGTAAACGATAATGCTTCCTTTACGTCGAGTACGACTTACTCCACACAAGACTCGGAGCAACCACCACGTCCACTCCATCGCAGAAACACAGTCACGCAACTGACCAGGCGCGTTTCGAAGAGGATATCACAGTCAATCCTCGGGTCCGGGGTACAAGAACATCAACTGAGCGAAAAGAACCTGAAGGATCTCAATGAAGCAACACAACTGGATGCGCCAGGCTCGCCTGCTTCATACCTACCAGATCAATCACACGAGCCAATGATCTACGAACCTATCCATGAAGACATTGAGGAGGACATCCATAGCGTAGATGTGGAAGCGGTCAGAGACATGCGCCTTCAACAGTCCTACGCGGCCTTCTGTCGCGACTTTACGATGTCAGGGACACCAACCGTGAATAGGAAATTCGACTTGAACATGGAGATGGAGCACTCTGCAGAAGCAACCCCACAATCGCGTGCAAATTCAACTCATGGCAACGATAGATCTGACTTGAACTCGCCACATGACCTTTCCGATCATATTGTGGATATTCCAGGGTCCCAACCCAGCCCGAGACCGAATTCAGTTCCATATCCAATATCATGCACATCTATGCATCAGGACCTACACATGCAACCGCCCCAATCAGCAACGACCAGAGATCCACCCCTCCGATGGCCAGAACTCGCCCCATCAAAGGTCGAGCACGACTACAACCGATACGGGTCACACACCTCCCACTATCCACACCCACCACCGCGAATCATCACCCCAACCGTCTGGATGGACATGCAACGAACCGAGCGGGAGCGCAAAGAAGCTCGGCGATCGCGACTCCTAGCGCCCTTTCGGTCTTGGTTCATGACTAGTCCACCCTCGTGGGGGCGGCGATATGAAGTTGTCGAATAGCGGGTTGATGCAGGTTGGAGCGTTTATGGGGGGGGGGGGGGGGGGTCGACTTTTACTGGTTGTATTTTAAATCTACACTATCTTGATCAAACAATCAATGTTTGCTCCTACATGTACAGTATTTTTGGTCTTTATCTTTGCTTTGCCCTGTCCGACTGCGTCCGACCGTTTTCATTCGTCCTGGGATAGATTAAAGACCCCGCAAGAGCGATCACCTCTGATCACGTTTTCCCCTCCAGACTTCCCTTTAACACCAGGTTCGCTAAATCAAGCCTCCACGAGACGTTATGGCTTTTTGTTCGTGACCATGCAGGGTTGATCGTCTTCTGCAAGATATGATACGGGATATGAGAGGCAACCATGTGGATTCTTCGAATTCGGGTCCATAGCCCTAAATGTCTCTGGATAACACTGGTCGAACCAGTAGAGTTTCCCAGGAAGCAACGCCCGTATCAGCAAAACGCCATGTCTTGGTTGAGAGGACACGTGGGATTTCCAACCTCTTGGCCAACAATCACTCTGCTGGGGGCTAGATACAACACTATAAAAAGAGCCGCAATAGCCTGACTTTTCCGCAGGTCGGACTCTGGCACTCTGCACGATACTTATCTTGGGAACCTTGAGATAACCGCCTTCTCTGACTATGTCGAACTCTACTGCCGTACAGTCCTCCTATGAGGGCAGTTGCCACTGCGGACAGGTCGCTTTCACCGTGAAGCTCTCGCCCCCCATAGAAGAGCAAACCTTGAGATCATGCAACTGTACATTCTTCCCTCTTGGGGAGTCAGACGAGTAGCGATGAAAGAAGGATTATAAGGCACTAAACGAAATGTTTTACCTAGGTTCAATCTGTAATCTCAAGGGCTATGTTTCGCTTTATGCTTTGCAGACCAATGTGACTTTCCAGGGAAATGAAAATGATTCTCGCAAGGTATTGAGGTTACCTGTCTTCATGCAGCATCTCGGCGTCTAATGTTCTATAGGAGTACCGATTTGGAACCATGAACTTCCCGCATGGCTTTTGCTCCAACTGTGGTGTAAGCATGTATGCTCGCGCAGATGGCGGCAAGTATGGTGATATGATTGCCATCAATGTGAGTCTTTTTTATCCACCCAGAGTTGAGATACGTTGGCTTATTATGGTTTAGGCTCGGACTTTAAAGGGGGTGGATGTAAGCACACTCAAGATCGTGCAGGTTGATGGGAAGAGCGTCGATCTCTCTTAGAGGGCTGCTGGTATTTGGAAGATGCTTGTCTTTGGGGTATTTGTCTCGATCAAAACAGACAGCAATGAATACATTGGCTTAGCTTTCCAATAGTAGTCTGCCCCATTTACTTACCGGAATCTGATGTATCTTTGGTAGACACTGCATGTGGGCATGCAGCTGTACTGTAGGCTAAGATGGTGGGAACGCTATCTCTGATTGTCTACTTGTACCCATTTTATGTTTGTTTTATTGTTCTTCAATCCAATATGTATACTACGCCTGAAGTTGCATGACTCGGCACGTCTCGAAGTAACATGGGGTGGGAATATCGTCCGATTTGACTGAGCGCTACTATATATAACTGCATTCCACAACAGTGAAGAGAAACCATCTATGTAAAAACATCAATAACTTTGACTCAACACAGTAGATAGACATGACCCGCTGGAGCCACACACAATTAAAACCCATAAGGAACAATAAGAGTTGCTAGGGGTACATAAACAAGGAGGACAAAATAACTGAAGGGCAGTCCCTACATAGAGAACCCAAGCCCGGATCCTTGGTCAAAACATATGCTGACAATATGATGCAAACTTTCAGAAATACTTGAACCAAGGTTGAAACAATATCGGCCTAGCATTAAAAACAGTACCAACCAATATAATAATTGGAACTGATGAGGATGTGTAAAGCAAAAACAAAAAAAATTGGACTCGCGGGGAATCGAACCCCGGACCACTCCCATGCTAAGGGAGTATTATACCACTAAACCACAAGCCCAGCTCGATGGAGTGATGACCGACTTTGTGTTTCACGAGGGAACTGCAATGTCTTGCATGATCTGATACAGTGATCGCGCTCAGAACTCATCAGTAGCACAGGGATATTGTATATGAAAGTCATATGGCACAGATTAGAGCTCGTCTCTTTTCCAATAGGTGTTGTAATGAATATCCAAGGGCGAAACAATATATTGGGAGCATAGCTCATACATATCGTAAACCTTCGTTTGGACAATGGCTTGATTCGTACTGCAGATAATTTAATAGAATATGGCAATGTTATACAAACAGCAGGCGAGCCATAATGAACTCTACTATATGGCCAGCAAATACTGCGTTAGGCACAGCCCATTCTACCCTGACAAGAATTCCAAGATCATGTAATTGATTCAGACTCAAACAAGTAAAAAAAATACACTTTAAGACAACAAAATATAGTCACTTTTTCCATGCAGGGATACAAATTCCTCGCGGTCTAAACCCCACTAGCTGAATGGGAGAGTGAGCGGAAAAAAAGACAGCAATGGATATCACGGAATCATGCAATAAACCGGTACCCTCAAACACCCCGGCGAGAAAAATGAATGGGTCATGTCGAGACGTTTACTTGATCTCGAGGAGCTTGACATCGAAGATGAGCTTGGAGTTGGCAGGAATGCCGGGGAGAGCCTTCTTGCCGTAGGCGAGGGAAGGAGGGATGGAGATGCGGCGCTCACCACCGACAGCCATGCCGGCGACACCGATGTCCCAACCCTTGATGACCTCACCCTTGCCGAGCTTGAAGGTGAAGGGCTTGCCCTTCTTGTTGGAGTCGAAGACCTTGCCGTCCTCGAGCTTTCCGATGTAGCGCATGGCGACAACGTTGCCGCTCTTGGCAGCAACACCCTTTCCGAGCTTCTTGTCGTCCATCTTGACACCACGGACCTCCTTCAAACCAAGGGAGCCAGTAGGCTTGTCACCGGAGGGGGTAGGACCCTGCTCGAGGTTCTTGGCGAACTGGACCTTCTTGTCAGTTTTGGCCTCCTTCTTGGCCTCGGGCTCAACAGCGGCGGCATCACCGTTGTTCTTCTTGAGCTTCTTCTGCTGGGCCTTGGTAAGGGTGGGCTCCTCAGCCTTGGTGGACTTGGCCTTGCTGGCCTTGGCCATCAGGTCATCGAGGCTGACCTCATCAGCAGCGCGCTTGTTCTTGCCCTTCTTGGCCTCAACGAGCTTGGGGGCCTCAGCCTCCTCCTCGCTGTCGACCTCAGTGACGCGGGGATCGTCCATCTCATCAAGGTCGTCGCTCTCATCGTCATCCTGCATGGCCATGATCTCATCCATGTCGAGCTCATCCTCATCGGGGGACAGATCGTAGTCGTCCTCATCATCCTCATCATCATGGTCGTGGTCATGGTCGTGACCCTCATCGAGACCAATGACGTAGTTACCGGTCAGGAAGACGGTGTGGTTACCAGTGACCTTGAAGAAGACGGGCTCACCCTCGCAGACGGTGATGTCAAGAGTCTGCTGGCAGTTCTGCAAGGGGGTTAGCTATCGATATTCAACTGACAAGGCCGGGAGGAAGAATGTCAAACTTACCTGGGTGGGGCTGAGAGTACAGATAACGTTCTCGTCGAGCTCGAGACCCTCCTCGGACTCATCATCCTCATCGTCAAGGGCGGGACCCTTACCCTTGATGAGCTTGGAGATGGCGGCCTTGAGATCGAAGTCCTCATCATCACCCTCATCGGAGTCCTCCTCCATGGCATCCTCGAGATCCTTCATGGCGGCAGCCTCCTTCAACTTGCGGGCCTTCTCCTTGTCGCTGGGGCCACCGTTGGCCTCTTCCTCCTCATCAGAGTCCTCCTCCTCCTCGTCGTCACTGTAGTCCTCATCTTCGGAGTCTTCCTCATCGAGGTCAAGTCCGGGAGGAGCGCGAACAATCTTCAGAGTAGCACGGGCAGGCTTGCTCGAGTCGGCGTCATCCTCGTACTCAGGCTCCTCATCGGGATCAATGGCAGCCATGCTGATGCGGAACTGGGATAATGTTAATACGAAACATTTCACTCAAGGTTTTCATCCAAACTCACCGAAGCGGCAGCATTGGGGACTGCGGCAACCATGGCACCGGGAGGAACGCGGAGCGCATAGACTGCGACGGGCTGAACGGCAGACATTTTGTAAAGAGTCGGGATAATAACAATTATTTAGAATGAATGAAAAGATCAAACAAAAAAGAAATGAACCACAAGGACAATAAAAGTGTGGATGAAGGAGGAAGGGAAGAGAGCAAGATCGGCAGATAGCTATACATTTTTTTTCCTCCAATTTCTTTGCCTCGACAGCCTCAGCAGCCAATGACAGCAACAGAGATCCACCGCCAATTAACTGCCATACTTGGCCGCCCATTGCACCGCCCGACACACGTGACTTCTGCCGTGACGCGTGACTGCAGTTTCGCGTTTAACGCCATTCGTGGAGTCTCATCTCTTGCATACTGGCCATGGTGGTTGTCGTGGCCCAAAATGGGCTCTCGTCATGAGATTAATTCAAGCGCTGTGCGCAAAAGGATTGAAAATCGTATGTTTCAGTCTCAAAATTCCATATGCTCTTGTCTGACCTCCTCCAGATGACTTCAGTAATGAAGCCGGAGAGGAATATGAGGCCTCCAGCTTTGGCGGGTTTGGGGACTATATGCGGCGCAAAAAGATGAAGCTGCAGAACCTCGATGCTGAAATCAGAGCCTCCGCTGGTGACTGCCCGCCGATATTCCGTGGCGTGGTTGCTCATGTGAATGGATATACCCAGCCTTCGCTTCAAGATCTCCATCGCATGATTGTTAGCCATGGAGGTGGCTTTCTCCAATATCTGGATGGAAAGACCGTGGCAACGCATGTCATTGCCAGTGCTCTTACACCCAAGAAGTGTGAAGAGTTCCGTCGATACCGCATAGTGAAACCCGCATGGGTGACCGACAGTATAAAGGCAGGCCGCCTACTCCCATGGGATGAGTATAGAGTACTAGATGAAGGTCAGACGCAAAAAGTGCTCAAATTTGGCGATGGCCGGTTCACAAGCCAGACAAACAGCCCTCGCACTGGCTATAAGGAGCAATCAAGAACCAGCTGGTATACTTCCCAGTTGAGGGACGGGAGCTCAGGTGGTCAAGGTGACTTTGTATCATCATCAAAACCATTGACACCACCTGCACCACCACAAATAGCACAAAAACCAACACCAGCTTTGCCGAGCCAGCCATCTCAGTCAGATTATGGCGATTTCCCTAGCTTCACCACAGAGGATGAGGCACGAGAACAACCCACACCTCAACTTGAACAAAATACACCAATCAATGGCCAAGCTGTACGAACTCCAGAGCAAACGCCAAATTTAAACAAAGAGGACACAGCATCAGAACCACCATCTGATGCAACGGAAACACCCTCACTTCTCCAAAAAAGCCCCAAGAAACCTGACCTCACCTCTGAAGAGTACAATGCCCAGCTTCTTGCTGACCCAAGGATGCAAAAATCCAGTGTCAGTAATCCTGACTTTCTACAGCAGTATTACAGAGAGTCCCGTCTACATCATCTTTCAACATGGAAGGCAGAGTTAAAGGCCCAACTTCAAGCAGCAACAAAGGAAAAGTCAATGTCCCAGGCATCAAAAAAGAAGCCACCACCAGGTGCAAGGAGATACATCTTGCATGTAGACTTCGACTCATTTTTCGCAGCTGTATCCCTTCTCAAGCACCCCGAGCTGCGAGACAAACCAGTTGCTATTGCACATGGCTCTGGATCAGGCTCTGAAATCGCTAGCTGCAACTACCCTGCACGTGCGAAAGGTGTCAGGAATGGAACGTGGATGAAGGGTGCTTTGCAAGTGTGTCCTGATCTCAAAGTCCTTCCCTACGATTTCCCCGCCTACGAAGACGCCAGCCGTAAGTTCTACAGCTCAATACTTGCCATTGACGGGATCGTGCAAAGTGTCAGTATCGACGAGGCGTTGGTCGACGTCAGCAACCTGTGTATAGAGGCCGGTGGATCAGATGGCAAGGCGGTTTCAGAAGGGTCAGTTGATCGTGAGCAAGCCAAAGCAGATGAGCTAGCTCAAGATCTACGGGATTCAATAAAACAGAAGACCGGATGTGCAGTCTCTGTTGGCATTGGCAACAATATTTTGCTTGCAAAAGTGGCACTACGCAAAGCAAAACCTGCTGGCCAATTTCAACTAAAGCCGGAAGCCGTCCTGGACTTTATTGGAAATCTCACCATTCAAGATCTCCCAGGATTTGGATATAATATGGGAACCAAGATGGAGGGACTTGGGGTGAAATATGTGAAAGATATCAGGGATCTCACGAAAGAGAGATTAATCTCTGGACTGGGACCCAAAAACGGCATCAAATTATGGGAATACTCCCGCGGGATCGATCGAACGGAGGTTGGAGACCAAGTTGTGAGGAAGTCGGTTTCAGCTGAGGTCAACTGGGGCATTCGATTTGTCAACCAGGAGCAGGCAGATGACTTTGTGAAATCTTTGTGCGAAGAGCTGAATCGCAGACTGATGGAAAACCTGGTGAAGGGCAAGCAGCTCACACTCAAGGTTATGCGACGGTCTATGGATGCACCGCTGGAGCCAGTTAAGCATCTAGGGCACGGGAAGTGCGATACCTTCAACAAAAGCATTGCCCTTGGCGTTGCGACAAATGCACCAGACATCATTGGCAAGGAAGCGATATCGATGTTGAGAAGTTTCAAATTCTCACCTGGAGATTTGAGAGGGCTGGGGGTACAGATGACCAGACTTGAACCAATCAAGACTGGCTCTTCAGGCCTGGAAAGTAGCCAACGACAGCTCAACTTTTTCAAATCTCCACCGCCAAAGAAGACCATAGCAGATATGGATCCCGACGAACTTGAAAGTCCAAGCAAAGACAACTCCATCCGTATTCAAGCAGACCCAGTACTCAGCGATAGTGCCCATAAGCCTCTCAACATCTCGGGGTCTCAGTTTATCATGCCCACCCAAGCGGACCCTAAAGTCGTCTCCGAACTGCCAACGGATATCAGGTCAAGGCTTGTTGCCCAAGCAAAACCTCGACAAATCCCTCGCTCAGGGTCTCCATGTCCTCCCCCAAGTGTATTGCGACAATCTGCCCAAGCAGTTCTTCCTCCCCAGTCTCAACTTGACCCTGATGCTCTAGCAGCATTACCTGAAGATGTCCGTAACGAAGTCTTAGGATACTACGATCACTCATCAGCTGCCGCACCTCCACCACCCGCAGTTCCTGCCCAACAACCACCGACCGCTCCATCACTTAAGCTGAAAAGACCAGCCTCACCACCCAAAAAGAGACGTGGTCGTCCACCAAAGAGCGCATCGCTTGCAAACAAGGCCAAGCCTATTACTCAGTCGAGTTTTGCCCTCCCACGACCGGCGGCTGTATCTGCCAGACCCGAAGAACAGAATTTGTCAAGACAGGCATCACCAAGCAGCGAAGAGCAAACGGAGGCTTCTGCCGAGTTTCTTGCCGCGTTACCAGAGGACATTCGACAAGAAGTGCTAGAGGAACAAAAGCGCACTCGCATGCAACAGCGGCCACAACCGGTTGCACCCCTACAAAGGCCTACATCTCGGGGCCAAGGACAGACTGCACACTCTGCACAAGCCCCGGTAGAGAAACGTCTCTCTCTTCCCCCTCTCCCCAAACGACCTGTATTTACATCGCAGCGCCTCTCACAATTGCCAGATCTTAGAGATGCCGTCGGTTCATGGCACAAGGCATTTGCAGCTGGGGGCCCATACAGCGAAGATGTCACCTCATTATGTACATATCTCAGTAGTGTGACGATGGAAGAGAAAGACCTGGACAAAGCTGTTTCGGTGGTGCGCTGGCTGATGTGGCTCGTCGATGAGCACTCGCGAGAGCAGAGACCAGAAGAGCCGCATGGATCCCGGCTTGAGGGAACTGTCACCTGGGACAAGGCTATCTTAACGATGGAAAGCAGTGTCCAAGGAGCTCTAGAAGAGAGAGGATTGCCTCCTGTCGACTTTGAGTAAATACGAATTTCCACATATCAACGAAACAATTATCACCTCGGGGTGAAGGAAGTTGCCTCAGTTCGTCATTACAAGAAATCTAGTTCTGCAAATAAAAAGTCTCATATTCTTGTCTATTTTCACTCACCTTTATACCCAAATACCGAAAGCTACCTAATCCTAATCTACCTAGCTCAAAGCTAGTCTCAACATCTCCTCTCAATCTCGTCTTTGGAAAACCAAAACGAGCTTGTGACAATTTGACCACCACTTCTTTCCTCCACCCACGAATGCACCCTCTTGAATCCAAGAGTTGCACTCGTGACATCTGTTCATGTCAGGCTTGCGAGCCAGCCTGTTGCTGGAAAGCATCTTTGTGCTGCTGCCGACCCATACGACGGAAGAAGACACGCTTTCCCCATTTCCAGGTCTCAACACCCAGGAAAAACAGCAGCGTCTCGACAACAACAATAGCCCATTCCCAAGTGATTCCCTTGTGCTTGAACACCACGTCGTTGATGACGGGGATATAGAGGATAGGAACCACGGTAACAAAGCCAGCGAGGATAGACCAGAAGAGGAACTGATTGCGCCAGACGTCATGCGCCCACTGTGTGAAATACTTTTTTGACTTGGGCTGCATGCGGAAGAAAGACCTGCGCATGTTGACCATTTCCCAGGCCAAGAACAGGGCAAACCATGTCAAGCAGACAAAGGTGGTAGCGCGTGCCTTGAAGACCAACTCGCACTCTTCGGAAAACTCGCGATTGCAACCGCGTCCGAGGTTGCCGTTTCCGAATCCCCACATTACTAGGGAGAAGGAAGAAAGACAAAGAGCTGAGGTCCACAAGCCATACGCGAGAATATCGATCACGACTTCCCATGTGAAGATACCTTGCTTCTAATCATCTGTTAGCATCCAAAGCCCAAACATATTGGGTTCTCCAATTCTTACCGAGTGAGGAGGACGATCCATGATATCAGGAGCTGCCACTTCCATACCAAGTCCCATGTCAGGCATGCCGGAAGTGATCATAATAACCCAGATGATTTCCACTGGTGACAATGGGAAGACCGATTGACCATCCAGATCCTTAAAGGCAAGTCCGATCAAAAGTGTACAAGCCTGAGCAATGTTCTCCGACAACAAGTGAAGCACAAACTTTTGAATGTTATCAAAGATTCGTCGGCCTTCTTCGACAGCATTTAGAATCGAAGCGAAATTATCATCTGTGAGGATGATATCAGAGACATCCTTGGCCACATCGGAGCCTGCTTTTCCCATGGCGATGCCAACGTCGGAGTGTTTTAGAGAAGGAGAATCGTTCACTCCATCGCCGGTCATGGCAACTGAAGCACCTCGTCTATGAAGTGCATCGATCATACGGACCTTTGTCTGGGGAGCACAGCGCGCGATAACTCGAGGTAGAATAGGCAGTGCGTCGACCTCTTCATCAGTCATTTTATCAAATTCGCTTGCTGTGAGAACCATGGCTTTCTCGACTTCGGCCGAGACTTCGCTCAAATTGGCTGGAATGATACCCACGAGCTGGGCAATAGCCTTGGCTGTTGCCGGATGATCTCCAGTGACCATGTGTACTGAAATTCCAGCGCGATAGCAAGCAGCAACAGCACCAGCAGTTTCAGGCCGAGGGGGGTCGTAGATTCCTACCAAACCGAGGAACTGGAGGTTCTTCTCCACTTCATCACGCTCCAAGTTTGAACCTTCCAATACACGGGTGGATTGGTCGAATGGTCTCTGAGCAAGGGCAAGAACACGGAGACCAAGGCTAGCCAGTTCGTCCATGTTGCGAAGAATGGTCTGACGGTGGTCATCTGTCAACGCAATTGGAGCGGAGCCCTTCTCCCAAACGATGGAGGTAGAAGCGTCCAAGATCCGTTCAACTGCTCCTTTGCTGAAGACCATGTTCTTTTCTTCACCGTTTGCTAGAGTGCTATAAAGAACAGACATCTTCTTGACTGTGGAATCAAAAGGAAACTCGGCCTTCTGGCGCCAAGTAGGCTCAGAGCCCTTGGTCCAGCGATCACGGTTCCAGTCAAAACGCGAAGCAAAGACCTCGATGGCAATTTCGGTGGGCTCACCGCGGGCATGCCATTCATTCTCTTCAGACAGATAAACGTGTGCCAAGTTCGCCATCGAAGCGACATTGAGGAAATCTTCAAGCTCAGGACAGAGGAGATCCTGACAATCGAAAGGACCTCCATCCTTTTCCGCATCGTGGTTCTCAGGGGCTACTGAGCTAAAGGTCACATCACCCAAGGTCGGATTGAAAGGCTCGTTAGAAGATCCAACGGAGTATGTGCCAAGAGCAGGCACCCACGATTTGCGTACAACCATCTTTCCCTGGGTCAAAGTACCAGTTTTATCGGAGCAAATGTTGGTCACAGAGCCAAGAGCCTCGAGGGAGTCAAGTTTGCGAACAATAACATGCCTCTCAACCATACGCTTGCTTCCAACAGCCATGGTAATGGTCAAAACGACAACGAGACAGGCAGGTATCATACTCAGTCCAGTTCCAACAGCATAGAGAATAACCTCACTCTTGGAGCTCCAAAGATTGGCACTCATCACAACGATAGCAAAGAGAACTGCAACACCGAATAGAATGATAGCCAGCTTAGACAGCTTACGCTGCAAAGAGGTTCCGACATTCACGCCGAGGAATCTTCCAACAGCGTCGGTGCCAGTGAGAGTCCATGCTTGCAGATACCAGCGCTTCTTGGTCTCGCCATCAGGGCCGCGTTTGACCTTGCGAACTTTTGAATCACTTTCGCGGAGAGCCGCAGCAATTGAGCCGATTTCGGTGCCCATGCCAGTTCGGACGACGATGCCGCGAGCGCGGCCACGAGTGACTGTGCTGGAACTGTATGCGATGTTGAGACGGTCTCCGGGGCCAGTATCCTCCTTGAAGATGGAGTCAACCTCCTTTTGAACTGGCAGAGATTCACCGGTGAGTAGGGCCTCGTCTGTTTCGAAGTTGACTGCTTCGACTAGTCTGAAAAATGGTTAGTACTGAGACTTCGAAACTGTACTGTGGCTAATGAATGCCAAGAATATGATGCTCACCTCAGGTCTGCAGGGACGGTATCACCGGTCTTCAATTCCACCATGTCACCAGGAACAATCTCCAGTGAAGGCACAGAGAATGTTTGACCATTTCGGGATACGATACCGGTTGGGGAACTCAAAGAATGGAGCGATTCCATGGTTTTCTCCGCAGCATATTCCTGGAAGAAACCAACAACAATGTTGAGAACGATCACAGCGCAGATAAATCCGCCCTCAATCCATGACTGAATGCCGAAACTAACGGCCATTGCCAGGATGAGAACCTACGTCAAAGAATAAGATCAGATCCGTGTGTTCTTCTGCAGTTAAAGGGAGGTGGTAGGCTTAACTAGCATCATCGCATTGGCGACCTGTCCAATGAGAATCTTGAGGACCGAAATACCCTCGCCATCTTCCAGCTTATTGGGGCCATATTGCTGCAAGCGACGCGCTGCTTCATCATTGCTGAGACCTTCGTCGACTTGACTGCCTAGTTCCTGTACGACAATATCATAAGGAAGCGAATGGGCTGGCTTAGAGAGCAACTCATTGATCTCAGGCCCAGAAGTGCCAGAGGTAACTTTTTCACCCATAATTATGGATAGTGTCACTGCTCAGGATCTTGTGAATTCAGGGGATTCAAGATAGCTTTATAAATGAAAAACCCGAGACGCAGTGACCCGTGGAAATGTGTGGCCAAGTCCGGCCAAGTCCAGCCAAGTCATACTAAAGCGTACCAATCCCCGCCAAGGCTGGCCAAGTCTTACCAAACAGGGCCCGGCCTAGCGTTACGAGATTTGGGGAAAGATAGGAAGCTGCTTGGGCACATGTATGCATATGTGGGGATTGGGGAGGACCGTGAATGTGCGCTGCCAAGATAGAAACGTGGGTTGAGTTGCTGTTGAATGCATTCCAAGACCCAGTCATTGCCATTCCCAGCGGCGACCTTCCCCTTTCCTGAGAACTTCCATGCACGAAGGTTTGTACCGCCCAATTGCTTTGCGGTATCATTTCCCTATGGTGGCACCAAAAGTTTATGAAGATGCACCAAGAAGTTAGCGATGGTTCGGCCATGGAAAAGCCACGACCAGCCAATTTGGGAAGAGCCCGTCATGCCTACGCAATCCTTCGGAAATTTTTACCCTTGCTCGGGGAATTGACGAGGTTATTTTTCTTTGGATTCTGCCTGCATTTTTACAGAGTGTAGCTAAACCTCCCTCGTTTATGGCTTTCAAATTGGGCGCTCAGATTGAATATGTGGTGGGGAGTGGCAAAACTCCGCTGCAGAAAAGGATTGGCAGTTCTTGGCGCCAAACTCTTGGCACCTAAGCGGATGAAGCGGAGTTTTTGCTCAACACAAGTCAGACAGACCCCATACTATCCGGGATCGCAAAGCTATCTACCATGATTCTGTCGTGGAACAAAAATCGATAGCCTCCACTACCTTAGCTTTGATCAGTTTTGTGGGTGGTTAAACATGAAATACACATTAATGGGTGGGACCGGAAAGTTTGGTCGGGATACCCACCTATGACCAGACAGCCAAATCATGAATCATGGACTGCCCTACATGTAGTTGCCAAGCGCATTCCCTACAATGTTCGTATGCCAAGAGCCCATAGGGAGAACAGCCAAGTGATTCTAGGGCTTGCTGACATGTCCTGTCTCAAACGGCTTGGCTCATGTGAGGCAAAGAATACGTATGTAGCGAGGGCCTCAGTGAGTCCAGAAATTGGGCGGAATACAAGTGTCCAAACTGTATACATCTTCACAAGCCCTGCATCTTTCCAACGTAATCCAAGTTGACTGCTTTACGACGCAAGATGCCTTTTTTGCTCCAAAGACTTATACAACGAACAACCGAGTCCCCCCCCTCTCCTCCGATACCCGACACGAAAGATCATACGATTCCCAATATGCTGGGCGAAGCCGCGCTTCGATAAACCAAGTTCCTTTCCACCTCGAAGGAAAATTAGCAACGATGGAAAATATACTTCGCCTCCCATTGAGAAGAAAAACATGCACCGGAAGTCCAAGATTCAGACTCGAGAACGGGGAGCATTCCCACTTTGTCAGGCCACCACTGCCTAAGGTTCAGCGTTTTCGAAACGATCGAACTGCTAGTCAGACATCTTTCAAAACCAAAATTAAGAATGCTTGCACACCACCAATGATGAAACTGGAAGCGGAGCAGGGCATGGCGAACAACACCACCTCTATCACAGCCAGAGAGAGAAAAGAAATGCCTGAAAATGAAGAGATCGAGGATGTTGTTAAGCACAGCTCCTCTACTGACATCTCTTCATCGCGAGAGGTCCAAGCAGTGAGATCAGATATTGATTGCATATATGCAGTCAAAACCTTTTGTTGTGGATCAAATCCAACCGGCAAGATTCACCGAGAGCGTATCATTACTGCATTTGATATATCATCTTCTTTGGATCACCACAACATTGTTCGAAACTTCGACTTATATGAGCTCAGCAACGGCGATCTTTGCGAATCTGTCGAGCACTGCTCCGGTGGCGACCTATACTCCTTGATCACCGCATCACGTCATCTTGAACAGAGCGAAGCCGACTGCTTTTTCAAACAGCTCATGCACGGCATCCATTACATGCACAAAATGGAGATTGCTCATTGCGACTTGACGCCGGAAAATCTCCTTTTAACCTCCCATGGATGTCTTAAGATTTCCAACTTCACAAACGCTGAATCTTTCCACCTTGGTAAGGTGGAAAAAGCAACTCTGCCGAAGAAAAGTCGTTACCCCAACCCCTATGTTCCACCCGAACGTTATCTCGGCAGTGAATTTGACCCTGCAGCTGTGGACATCTGGGCTGCTGCTATGATCTACATCGCGATGAGGACGGGTAGAATCCCATGGAAGATGGCGAATGACAAGGACGAATGCTTCAGAGACTATATTACAGACCGCAGGATTGGACGAGGATACTTCTTCATTGAGGACATATGCAATGTAAGTCATTGATCTCCATTCATTCTGAGTGGTGCTCTAACTCTGCGTTTATAGATCGCTAGCCGAAGAGTCTTGTATTCAATGCTGGAGACCGACTACGCGCATCGCGCTCGATCAACTGAGATACTTTGCTCTCAATGGCTCATGGATATCAAAACCTGCACAGCCGCTGGACAAGTGTAGACAAAGAATCATGATACCCGGTCTGATATGTTTGACAGGGACGGGAGAAGTGAAGTTGCTTTGAACGAATCGCTGTCAGCCACAGCGCGATACCATAAATCAATCAGAATACCTTACCAAATTTGATGCTGACAGACCTTGAATAAGCTACAAGAATGAAATTTGTAGGAGGAAGCACTATGTCACTATGTAGCTAAGGTGCAACTAGTCGTCGGCTGTCGGCTGCCGGCTACCAGGTTGAGAATGATACCGACCAGGGTTTCGCATCAAACGACAACATGCGGGAGGAGTGCGTGCATGATGAAATACGAGAAATGGGAGAGAAGCAGCCGGATTCACGATTCTTTCTCGGGGTGTTAATACGTTGGAACAATTGAGCATACCATATCACCGGGCTTATGGCTATGGACCTGTTTATTACTCCTACACAGATATGCTTTTACCCCGGAGACTCCAATGTCAACTACGGATGCACCTGCTGACCTGGTGACCGGCTGCAACTACACGAAGATTGACTTCCCTCACAACCCAGAGCCCTGCAGCGAGTTCGTGGAAAAATATGATATGATAGATCCTAGCTGATGGAGTTGAACCCTATTCTCAAGTCAAGTGACGGACGCTGTAGCTTCACCGCAACTTGGGTCAAAGGTCCAAGGAACTTCTGTCTTGGGGCCCAGTCAGCCACAATGACAACTACCACTCACTACCACTACCACTACTTCAAACACAGGCCCTACGGGTGTGACTAAATGTGATACCTCGAACGATTGTTCCAAGTGTCAAGATGGATATTATCGTTGTGGTCTCTCTGGATGTCGTGGAAGGCTTGTTCCTGGGTCAAGTACTTGTCGGTGTAGGAAGGATGGTGAGACTGTGCGTGGCTCCTGTGGATGTAAGCGATTGCGGAGAGAGCATCTAGTGTAGTTTTCAGTGCTTTGATGAAAACAAGAAAGGTATGCCCTCATCGTTGGTGAACTGTGAGAGTTTTGGCTATTTCGAAGATTTAAAACAAACATCCCCTTCCCAGTATTTGTTAAAATCAGACTTCTATTCTTGTTTATAGAGAGATCATGGCATATTCCTTCAATTTCCAGAAATCGGGTTGGATAATTTTGAAATCCCTCCTCCACCTTCTATAATTCCAATGAATATAGCACACAACCCCATTCTTTACATGGAGTGTCTATTGAGGGCAAACTGAGAATCTGCTAAGAATCGGCGCATGACACTATTCATATGAAAGTGTTTGCCCCAAAAACGATCAGGAAAATTCTCATTCAGCTTACCGCAAGCTGATGGACATGACTTAGGCCCAAGCACCAACAATAGACATGCAGAAAGCACCCAAGAAGACCAAAAGACAGGCATAAACCCGTCTTCTTCCACGAAGGATGCGCCAACTCTCATCACTAAGAAAGTCTTCTGACATGAGCTCCACGAGAGAAGCGAAAATCAAAAGTCCAGCGGAAATGGCATTCATAATGCCAACAACGAGCAAGCCGACTTCCGAGTCAGGGCTGTAGAGAGTGTGGGTTGCAAGACCGATTGCCTGTCCAATTGGCGTTCTATATGTTTGTCAGCTCTTGATTCTAGATGACCGCATAGGAGTCCAAGAAACATACGTGCAGCCGTATGCAAGTGACATGAACCAGGGCTGAAGTTGTCCTTCTGACCAGGGAAGCGAAGCAATTCGGGATCCTAATGCCAGGCCCTCGAAAGTTTCTGTAAATTGATCAGTTAGTTGATTCATGCACTTAAGAGGGAATCTGGGGAAGGGAAGAATAACGCACGATGGAATACAATGGCGATCAACAAAATAACAAATTCATTCCCAATCGACACACTGAGCGACATGCCAATAAAGACACTGTGAAACAGAATGCCCATTTCAAGAAGATAAACCTGCATCGTCTCTTTCTTCTGTTTCTGATCCGGCGAAAGAACATGATGATCCTCATCTCGCTCTACATCCGACTGGATGGTTCCATTTTCTTTCTCGTGATGGGTTTGGTTTTCAGGCACAGAAGACACTCGAACGATCGATTCGTTTTCATCGCCCATGCGATTGATCGCTCGGCTTATACTCGAAGATCGTCCGACCAGGGGACCCATGTCGCGCACATGGGGTCGAAGGCCTGGTGTGGCAGAGTGTGAGCTCTGTGCTCTAGGCTCAATAGAGCTAGGATCAGAAAGTTGGGTTGGAACATCTCTACCAGGACAGGGTGAGGGTGGATTCGGCGATGAGCCATGGTTCCCTCCACGACAAATACTCTGAGCTGGACTGAATACCATCTCAATGATCGTGATAAAGAACACACCAGCGAGTGCAATAGCACCCGGCATGGCAGGGTAGTCACTAGTCCAGAAACTCGATAGACATGGGTCGTTCAATGATTCGAATGCAGTAGGAAGCAGATGCACGAATGCAGTAGCGATCAAAACACCAGTTCCAAAATGACTGACGAAAAACAGAAATGAGGTCGGGATGTGAAGTCGCGGGAACCGAGTTGCAAGAATTGGGAATGCACATGCAATAGTCGATGTTCCAAGGATGATGAACAGCGCTGCAACATGCAGTGGGAGATCGTATGCAGCTCCACGGACACCACCTGTGGCACAACTTGATCGCTTGGCTGGCTCTGGGTCTTGCTGTTCAACAGAAAGAGGCGCGTCAAGAACGAGAGGTGGTTTCGAGATGAAGTACTTGCTTAGGCTGTCGTAGGAAATAAGGGCAGAGACGCAGAGGACTGAGAGCAGCCAGATTGCCCAGTCCTTGAATTTTTGATAGGACGAAGTACTCTTGATTGGATATACTTCTCCATGACCAATGCTAGGATTGGTCTTCTGGGGAGCGAGGGGTCCTGTTCATTTGGTCAAAATTGCAAGCATGAGGAAAGGAATATGAAATCTATACCTGTGGACGCCTCGCGCCCCTGAGGGAAGCGTTTCCCCCGATCTGATGATTCGAGCGGCTGTATAAAAGCCCAATTCGACTGGCCCTGAAGCAACACCAGACCATTGTCATCGTCTTTGTGCTCGCGGGCGTTTGAGATGCCGATGAAGTCTTGGCGAGTCGTCAAGTCAGGAGCGAAATGCGGCGGGTTCTGATTCCACTCATCATGCAGGAGAGTATCGTCGGTCCGAGAGGGGCAATTCATGATGCCAAGGTGTTTAGTGTAGCAGCTTATCTAGAGAATCCGACAGGGAGGTTACAGGGGAGAGGACTACAGTATCTGTGCGCTACAATATAAGAATAATTCATAAGGCAACATCGATTTGGAGGGCTTGGCATTTGGTGGACTTCGGCCCGATTTCTTGGCAGCGGACCTCAAATGTCGCCGTGATTCGCTCAAGGGGCCATGGGGCCGATTTTCGCCTATTTAGATTCCTTGTTATTACATGTGGTAAGGTGAGGATCAGCACATAGGCCTCTGAAATACTGGGGCAATGGAAGATCGTGATTTTTATTCGTGGTATCCTTTCATTATCATTTAGCCCAGGGAGCCTTTGTATGCACTTCGACATTGCCGCTCTGTGAGGGTGGAGACTGTGAAGATGCCCATGGGGCTCTAATCGGCGCCATAGGGCCCGGAGGTAGCCTTGAAGTATCTGGGAGAGCAGAAGGGATTCTTGTTGCACCGCCGGGTATACCTTCTCTCCTTGCATTAGCCCATGGAGCTGCTGTTCCACCCGTTGGCGGCACGGCCCGTGTGCCCGTTGCTGAGTTGGCCCAAGGAGCTTGAGTACCAGCTCCAGGCATAGGACGAGGAGTGGCTATGGAAGCATGACCGTGATCTGGCGCGACGGGCCTTGCCTGGGGTCCAGACGTTGCGTGGGCTGTGGAAGGAGGAGGGATGGCATTGGGATCCTTATCCCAGCTGAACAGACTCCCAAAGGGAAAATGCTGAACCACGGGGAATTTAGAAAGAACTTCTGCGTTGTACATTTTGACCATTCCCTAGAGACTGAATGTAAGGCCAACGCTTTCAATGGACATCAAGGAATACATACCTTGTTAATCTTACCCCAACCAGATTGGATACCTGAGATATCATAGAGGATGCGACTGTGTTCCCAAAAAGGGCCTTTCTTCACATCGTAAATGAAACCGATTGCGGAGAAGTACAGGTTAGTCTCTCGTTCCTGTTCAACAATATTTGCTTTGACAACTCCGCCTGGATCTGGAGAATCAGGCAGAGAGCCTTCTTCTGGTGTCAAATCAGAGTCGGTGATTGCAGGTGAATATTGGGCAGACCCAAATATGTAAGGAAGAAAGGAGTGATCATCGAGTCCCCAGACCCCGTGGGAACCCGCGGGCTCAAGGGTGTATGTTTTAATAAGTTTTCTAACCAGGTCCAGGTATCTAGGCGATCGTTAGCAAACGAAGAAGTATGCTGTATGCCGTAGCAGCATAGGCACACGCACGGCTGAATGACCCCGATAACAATAGCTCGTTCCTCGACGCCAGGCTCGGATCTGGGGAATACGTTCAACTTCCATAATCCGCCCAGGAAAGCAAGGAAGCTTAGTTCATGGCCAGTACCATAGTCTAGACGCTGTCCACTGCCCCAGCTGCCCACGAGGTATGCTTTCAGTTCTTCTCCAGCGGTCACACCATCCCCGTTTGGTGAAACTCTTTGTAAGAGCTCTGCTGGCAAGCATTCTTTTAACAGGTCCGACGCGCGACTCTTAACCACCTCGCACCACCTTCGAAAGCTTATGTTTCCAAATCTCCGCGGGCCAGTATCGGGCGGAACCTCCTGGATGATGTCTTCAAGGCTGGAGAGAAGTTCCTGTAATTGTCGGATAGGAGCAGAGAATGAAATCGCATCACTGTTGATAAGCCAAGACTGGGAGGTGCCGTCGTCTAATTTCAAGGGAAACATCGATCGGTTGAGTTGTAACAGCCAAGTCATGATATCAGTATAGGCTTTTGAGGTGAGGAAGGCCGATACATCTTGCGACTCGTGGATCTTCTTGCTCGGGGCTCTAAAGACATGCGGCGCAGAGGAGTCCAAAGTGGACAGTACACGAATGGAAGGTCCATTCGTAGCCATGATAGTGGTTGGGGAGTTGTGAAGACAGAAAGTTGGAGGGGCACTCCACATGCGGGATGATGTTAGGGACTCGACTCCACACGAGCTTCCTTTCCTCCCTTGCCTTTCCCACTCCCACGCGCAAAATGCCGAAGAGAACCAAGCCTCGGTCTACCGATGTTTCTCTGGATTATCTCAACAACGTCAACACCGAACTCAAAAGGCGGCGCACGGTCAATGAACCCATACCCAATATTTACGATCTCCCTACCTCACCACCGGAACCTCAAGAAACGCGCAGGGCTCGACGCGACCGTATCAGCGAACCAACGACGCGATTTAGAGCTTTAAGAAACCGCCAAATCGGAGTTGATCCAGTGTCACAAAGTGCAACCCCTCGCAGCCTTTCCAACGGGGAACAACAATCATCCAACGACAATCAATCCGCCGAACACATTGATCAATCTACAGGATCACAACAAATTCAAGCTGAGATTGAGACCATTGGAGAGAATGAGGCAAACGCCAGCAATGAGAGGCAGTTCACCCCACCCGCGCCTATCCATTCCAGCATCGATGACCTCTTCGCACCCAGAGAGGGATATCAGCCCGAATCCAGCGGTTTTGTATCTATCAACGGCCCACGGCGAGTTAGTTCTGGAAACCTGCGCCCTCGCCCCCGCGCTAGCGACCTCTTCCCAGCGAAGTCGCCCCAGATAACCGAAGCGCAGAACGAAGGAGAAGAAAATAGTTCACCTGCTTCTGTAGATAGTTATTCCAATGGAGTTCACAGCGGCAGCGATAATGGGGACTTACATCATGAGAAGCCGAACGGCAACGAGTCTGAGTCCGATATTAGCGAAGAAATCGTGGAAGGGCAGGACAGTGACGAAAATGGCGTCGAGGGCGAGGAAGAGGAAACCCTGTTCTCTCAACCCGTACACCTCTTTTCGGACGATGCCGACCCTGAAGCTCAAGATGATCCAGAGAGCGATTCTGCAGAAATCCACAGTCCAATACCTACACAGCACCCCGCTAAGCCATCTGCCATTGAGGTGCAGATTCCCACCCAAACAAAGGATTCCCGGAAGCGCACACAGAGGAATCAATCGGATGCAACTGAATCACAATCCTCACAAAATCAATACAGTAGTCAGATACCGGAGACCCCGGCTCAGCCCCGTCAAAGACGAAGAGACCATGCCAGTCGAAAGGAGGATGCTGCGGATCGTCCAACAACATCGTCTAGGGGGAAAGAACCCTCAAACCGACGGGGCACGCTTGGTCTAGTCGAGGATCACGAGGTCCGACTCGGTATCTTTTCTTGGCTCAAGGATAGTGTGAAGGAATCCGGGTTCAAGGAGGATTGGGAGCTCATTTGCCGTCAGAGAAGAACTTTAAAACCGCGAGCTGATTTCGAGCTGGAAGGCCGTTTCTCAGGCACAGAAAAGCTCATCCAACGGTTACGCGACCTCTACAAGTCTATGACCCAAGAACCATATTCAGCCCATTTCCTGATAGACCACTGTCGACTCATCGCGAACAGCATTTTTAACGAAGGTCAGTCAGTTATCGTTGAAGAAGCCCCGAACATGGAAGAAGATCTCGGTGGACACTTGATCAATCAATTTGAAGCACATATTGTGCCCGATTTGATCAAGCTCCTCGTTGTGGCCTTCCAAACCTGGAAGACTACAGGAGAACGCGCAAAACCACACTTTCGCATTGCATTAGATCTAATCTGGGCCATATGTTACCGGATATCTTCAATCAAAGACGTTTATGACCACCTGGGATCTTACGTCCTAGCTACATCTCGTGAGATCCTTAAAAGTATCAAGGTCATCAAAGATGCGCTCGATGATGGTCGACTGCTTGAAAGAACATCTCGAGTCCATCGAGTCCCCACCAAATACAAACACTTTGAACAGACGGAGGTTCAAAGCAAGATTACTTGTGACCCGTGGACCAAGGCAGAGAAACTGGCGCTTCTGGAGGGAATCAATGGGCCCACCGATGGTAAGTTTGTGGCTTAGTCTGGTCGTCTCATTTCCTTTTCTAACTTTCCAACAGATGAAGACACATTTGTCGACCTTAAATCTGACATGAGATATGGGCCTACGCTTGAAAGACGTACTCTCAAAGACCTGAAAGCCGAAGCCCAGCGACGGAGACTATGAAACACCGAGATGAGGAGGAATAGCCATTTCATATTAGTCCTTTTCAGTTACATACCCATACCCCAAGTGAATTAATGATGCTGTACTGGACCTAACCTCGGTTCCGTTTCGGGTTTAGCCGCGAACCAAAGATCGCGTTGTTGTGGTCAACATTCTGTTTACTTCAAGAGTCAGCCATTATATGCATACTGGACATAGCATATAGTCGATGCGATATTATAACTATGCAGCCGAAATTAAATCATATCTCTCAATAAGCTATATATAGCTAGATACAACTTAGTCTCGGGAAATTGCAAGGAGCTCAGCTCGTATTGCGCCCAAAGTGTACCTGAGTGTGCCAGAGTGTGCCCAAAACGCAGATCGCACCCAGCAGAGACAACAATTGAGACCAGGAATTAAAACTGAGCGTATCACAATCTGTAAGGGCTTTGAAATACCCCAGATGCTCCAGTTAGGTATAGAGTGACGATCCCCCCCCTCCAAAAGACACCGCCTTCTTCTTTTTCGCGCTTCCCCTTTTCTCCGTACTCTCCCCATCTTCTTTTGATGGTCATTTTCTCTCCCCAATTGTGTTTAATTGTCAGACTTCGTTTGGTCTGTACATCGGCTTTCGACTGAAGGCCCTTGAAGCTGCCGGAACAGTGTGCACGGCGCGTGAGTACTTCTTTTCTTTGTCTGTTCTTTCTGTTTGGACACCTTGCAAGCTCAAGTGAAGCTATGCGCGCGTTAAATTTGGGGCAACTACACCATGATTATTGACTTGCTGGCTTCGATATTTGAAATTGCCAGTCCTTGGATGTGTATCAGTGCTGGGAACAGATCCGCTGATGGGTCTATGCGATTGCACGAACGGGGAGCTACGACTTGGATCTGGCTTTGGAGGCATATATCGGCTTGCGAGCAATGCGTTCAATGTGATACAATTTTGTTTGACACGTGCTGACGGAGCTTTACCTTATAGTTTACCTGTTCAACAAATTCACTCGCATATACTCGAACCATAACCCGAACCTGTCCTCCTTTAATACACTAATTGGAACGGACCGCCACTATGTCATCGGATGCCGAGCCCATCGTGGCTTCTGCTCCTGCAGAGGTCGACGAGAATGCGCCCCCGGCCACTCCGGTAGAGTCTACTGTGTCCGGAGGTGAAGAGATGGTCAAATCCAGCCCTGAGGCTACCAAGGAAAATCCCAAGGCTTCTCCAACCAAGGCCAGCCCGGAAAAGCCTGGAGCTGTGAAGCGCCCTATTTCGTCGGGAACAGCCACCAAGCGGCCTACGTCGTCATCCGCAACAAAGCCCACGACCACTGCTACCCGCGGCACCACCAGCGGCACTTTGAACAAGCCCCCCACACGTCCCACAACGACTACGGCTACGCGTAAGCCCTTGGGTGCTTCGACGACCTCGACCTCGTCTCACCGGTCTCGCATGTCTGTCAGCAGCTCTGCGGACGAAAAGCCTCGCTCTGTGGCCAGCTCTGGAGACGAGAAGAGAGCAATCTCTGGTACGGCTAAGCGTATGTCCATGGCTGGCACTACGTCTACTCGCGCACCTTTGAGACCCACCTCCTCTTCGGTTGATCGTCGATCCAGCGTTGCTGGTCCTACTCCGGAGAGGAAGCCTGCCACCACCACTACCGCACGCACCGCCGCTAGCTCTACGAGCAAGCCAATGGGTCGTTTGACCTCTGCTGCCACCCCTGCAAGCCGAACTCCCACGTCGGCTTCCACTACTCGTCCCACAAGTACCGTGAGATCAACCGCAACCGCTGATCCCAAGAAGCGATTGAGCACTATTGGCGGCGCCTCTGCTACGCGCAGTGCAGGTGATTCCGAAAAGTTGCAGGCTCTTCAGACAAAGCTTACGGAAAGCGAAGAGACTGTTGCCAACTTGAAGACAGAGCTTGAGACCGTCAACGAGAAGCTGAGCCAGCTCTCCGTGTCTGCCGAGCAGCCCTCCACCGATGAAAGCGCCACCGATGCACTTCGCGCTGAACACACCGCCGAACTCGAAAAGTTGACCTCGTCTCATGGCGAGCAACTACAGGCGTTGCAGGCTCAACTCGAAGAGGCCGAAACCCAGCGCAAAGAGCTGGAAGAAAGCTCTCGAAGAGAACTCGAGGAGGCCAAACAATCCGCTTCCGCACAAGGCGACGACAAGACAACTGCATTACTCGAGGATCTCAAGGCTGCGCACCAGGCTCAATTGGAGAGCATTGGAAAGGAGCTGACTGAGCACAAGGCCGCCGCTGCCAACTTTGAGGACCAGATTGAGGCTCTCAACAAGGAGCTTCAGTCGCTCAAGACCTTGGAGGAGCAGAATGCCCAGATTACTCGAGAGCTCAAGGGCCGTGACCAGGTGTTCGAGAACTTGAACACCGAAATTAGTAGGCTGAATACCCAGAAGGAGCAAGAAGTTCGCGCTGCGGAGGAATCTGCCCAGCAGAGTGTGCTCAGCCTGAAGGAGCAAGTGACTTCCCTTGAGGCCAAGCTTGCCGAGGCCGAGTCAGCCACCCAGCAGAGCTCTGAGACCACCGGCTCAATTGCCGAGAAAGATCAGGAAATCACCGATCTCAAGCGGGCCCTTGAGAAGGTGCAAAGCGAGCTCCACGAGGCCCGCGATGCCGCTGCCGAACAGTTGGAATCCAAGGTCAAGGAGCTGGAAGCCGCCCATGAAGTCGCCATCTCTTCTCTTTCCGATTCCCATGCGAAGGAGCTCACCGTAGTCACCGCTGCAGTGGAGTCTAACGGCTCAGAGCACACCAAGGAAATTCAGGAGCTCCGGAGTGCTCTTGAGTCCTCCAAGGCTGCTGCCCAGCAGAGCCGAGAGGACGCCGTTGCTGAGCTGAAGACTGCTCACAAGGCCGAATTAGATTCTCTTCAAGAGAAGCTTCAGGCATCCGAGGCTGCTGCTCAAAAGGGACAGGAAGATGCTATCGCCGAGTTGAAGGCTACTCACGAAGCCGAGCTGAAGTCCCTGCAAGAACAACTTCAGGCTTCTGAGGCTTCTGCCCAACAAGGACAGGAAGGTGCAATTGCTGTGCTGAAGACGGCCCACGAGGAAGAACTCAAGTCCCTGCAAGAAAAGCTCGAGGCGTCCGAGAATGCTCTCGCAGAATCTCGTCGCGCTCTCGATGAGGGCCAGGCCTCCGCCCAAGACGTCGCTGTTCAGGAGATTGAGGCTCTTCGCCAGAAGTGTGAGTCCTTGGAGTCAGAACTCTCTACCGGCACTGGAAAGATCAACGCACTCCAGGAGGAAGTGCAGAGCAAGCAGGCCGAAGCCGAGGCACTTCACCACAGCCTTCGTGATGTTGAAGATTACTACAAGCAGGAGGCTGTCCAAAAGGACAACAAGCTCAAGGCTCTGGAGCAGAAGGCCGCCGAGGCCACCCGTGTTCTTGAGGAACACACTTCGCAGGCCGCTGGTGTGTCTGATGAACACTCCAAGGCTTTGGAGGACTTGAAGACCCAGCATGCTACCCAGCACGCCCAGGCCATCGAAGAATTGAAGGCTCAACATGCAGCCCAGCTCGCATCGGAGCTGGCTCAGGCGAAGGAGTCATCCGGCTCCCACGAGACTGCCCTTGGCAATCTTCAGTCGCAGCACGATGAGCTCCTTGCCAAGAGTAAGGAATTGGGGTCTACTCATTCTACCAAGGTCCAGTCTCTTGAGGCCGAGCTGAAGTCTGCGCTGGAAGGCCACGCAGGTGAAATTGCAGCTCACACCGAACAGCGCGAGAAGGCAACTGCTGAACTTCAGAGGCAGTTCGAAGAAACCCAGACTAAGCTGCAGGCTGAAATCACTGCCTTGCAGAGCTCTAGCAAGACCGATGCCGAGGTCCACGAGAAGCAAGTCGCTGAATTGCAGAAGGGCTTCGAAGAGACTAAGGTTAAGTTGCAAGCTGAAATCGAGGCATCGAAGGCCTCCAAGTCTGCCGATGCTGAAGCCGAACACGGCAAGGCCATCGAGCAACTTCTCACCATGCACGAGTCTAAGCTGTCCGGTTTGAAGGAGGAGCTTGAGGCTTCGAACAAGGCTAAGCTGGACGAACTCCAGAAGTCTCACGACGTGGCACTGGCTGATGTTATTGCTCAGCTGTCAGAGGCCAAGGCTGCCGTTCAGGATACTTCTGTTTTGGATGGCTTGAAGGCTACCATTGCTGATCTTGAGGGTAAACTTGCCGATTTTGAGAAGGCTCACATTGCAGTACAAGAGTCTGCCGCTTCTGCTTCCAGGGACGTCGAGGCTCGTTATGCTGCTGAGATCTCCCAGAGCAAGGCCGCCCATACTGCACTTGAGGAGAAGCATCAAGCTGCTGTCACCCAACTGAACATCCTGCAGAAATCAGCCACTGACTCGGAGAGCCAGAAGTCGCATCTGGAGTCTCTCATGAAGCAGCTCTCGGAATGTCGCGATCAGCTTCTTACCCTCAAGGCTGATAATGCTACTGTCTCTGACTCGTTGCTTGATTGCAAGAACCAGAACAGGACTCTTTCCGAAAAGCTGGCCGCGGGGGAACGCGACCTGAACGATCAGATTGACAAGAACATGGGTCTCCTGAACCAACTTGGCGACGTGGATTCGGCTATCTCTGCCAGTCGACGACGTGTGCGCGAGCTCGAAACCGAGCTACAGCTTTTGAAGGCTGATGGAGACCGGAGCAGCACCTCAGGCTTGGGGGCCAGCCGGTGGGCAACGGCCGATGAGGGTAGCGAAAACGCTGAAGATGGGGGTCCAGCCGCAACGGAAGGTGAGGACCTCGGCCCATCCATTGAGGGAACGGTGGGAAAGCCCCGTTTGAAGTCTTCCTACTCATCAGATCTTCCCGCATTCCACCCATTCATATGAAGTCTGAAGACCATAGTATATACAGAAACTAATTCGATATCAATAGATGGCCAGCATCCAGGAACAGCTTAAGCATATCCGAACAGCCAATGAGGACTGGCACGATGAGCATGCCAGGTGAGTCAATGCTTACCGAGGTTATTCCCAACCACATGACATTAACCACATTCCTCCCAGACTCGTCGGGGAACTTGCCCAACTCTCCAGGCATGCAACCCCTGCACCTCGCAGCCTCTCAACAACCCCTCACCCTGAAGCATCAACATCGGCACACAAATCAGAAAACAGTCGCATCCACATCGAACAGCTTCCCCGGTAGTCCCTTGTTGCGTTCGTGCTGGACATGATCCCTTTCTGAGAGCTTAGTCGTGATGCAGCATGACTTTCTTTTGTTGTGACCCGTTTCACTCTCTTCTCTGTGATTCTACTGTATGTAATAGCTTGCAGGATACCCCTGTCTTACTAGGTCGGGGCATTCCCGCTAATCTTGTTGAATATCTTTATTATTCTTTGTACACCGCGTGTGCGTATGAATTTATCAATTCCACGACAAGGCTCGCGTATTTAGGCTTAGATCTTCTAGAGAAGTCGAGATCATACAACTTTATGGAAACTTGGATAATGTTTTGCTACAATTTACACACGTTGCCTGTATGTGCCTGCATATATATCGGTTCAGGAGGGACTTGATTTCACTCCGAGTTGGCATAGTACAGTCAAGTATCTACTGTCAACCTTTGCATTTTTGCAAACGATGCTTGAGTAAGATGATTGCGATACGAGACCTGTTCAGACCAAAAGGATCCAAATGCCAAGGATGAGGGTCTTTTCAATTCAGATCTATAGATCTAATATTTGATAGATCATAAATAGATCATAAACAATTCAATCCTAAGATCCCAAGGCGTTTAGTGCCTCCATACCGCTCCATACATATGCATCCTCCACCCCGATATCTTGATGTCCGCCAGAAACCCGCGATGTAGCACCGAGACTCACTCTGTCCAAGTTATCCAACCCGATCTTTCAGAGGCTGCAGGATGGCCCCGCTTGCCGGGTGCTCGACGAGAGACGAAGAACGTAGCCGAAGGATTCAGATACCCTGTCAGAACCCTGTCCGACGGGCATAATCCGTTGCTGCCTAGGAATTCCCCTGAGAAACCGTTCCCATCATTTGGTTGAAGACCCCGTGGGGCTCTACCAGGCACTTGTCTTTCATGTTCATTTTCATACTCATTAGTTGCAACCGACCCAATTCCTCAATCAACACTATTCATAATGCATGATCTCCGTGATGCACTGCTCAGCCCATCGCCACGAGGTACCGCTCACCTCACCACACCAGAAGCTGTTCGATTAAACCAGGAAGACACGCGTCAGTCCATCGCTCGGAGAGAATTCAAAGAAGTCCGTGACGCCGCCTTCAGCAACCGAACCTGGACCATCAACTCCCGATACTGCGAAGTTGGAGATGGCGTGGACTCCCTCGAAGAGTATATCCATTCCATATGGTATATGTACTACCAACTCGGTCGGAACATCTCGCACGAAACGCCCGAACACGAGGGTCTAGTCCTTGACATCGTGCGTATTCAAGGAATGGGACCGTTAACTCGACCCGTGCGAGGGAATTACGGTCTTGAAAATGCACGAACTGCTGAAGGCTCCCTGTGGAATGATCTACCCTTCTTGGCTACCGACATGACCGACTTCTGGAATAGTGACTTCCCGACTATGTCGGGTACGCACCGATTCAATTTTGCGACTTTCCTGGCTAAACTAGCGTCAACGCGTGTCGGCAAAGATAGACTATGCCAGATTGCCCTAATCCTATTTCGTAATCTGTTTGAGGAGAGACAGGTCCTCCGCAGCGGGGATGAGTCGGATGAAGAAGATTCCAAGCGCAGCATGCGTCAGCTTGAGATTTTTCACTTGTTACCAGGTGCTGTAGCTTGGCTCCGCCATGCAGGCCATAATCTTGCTCTTCTCTCAGAGGTCCATTGGAATGATTGTCCTAGTGTTATTGGTATAGGTGGCCAGAAGTTCGTCGAGTCGGAGCTTGGGCAGCGATCACCCACTGGATTCTCGCCTTGGAGATATATGTACTGGCTTAAGCGACTCCATGAAATCCGGGAGGAGGCTAGAGAGGCTAAAGAGGAACTCTTGGAAGAGTACGCTACTGATGCCATTGACTTTATGGTCGGAAAAGTCAAGGAACGAAAATCTGAGGTTTTGAGGGCATACCAGAATGGCGGCGTTGCCTTGCATCAGGAAAGACATCTGTTTTGCCTGAAGAGTCTTTTGAAGAGTGAAGAAATCGAGCATGAAGACTCGAAGGATGACTCGAAGGATGTCGGATATCCTGAGCCGCAAGGTGCAGTGGAGCATCTACGGGCCCGGATTTCCTGTAACGCGGAGAATTATTCTTTGCAAGAAAGAACAGGACAGCGTTGGGTTTGAAGGACATGCTGTACCTCTCCAGGTATTATAGACATAGATTCCAATAGGCAAATTGTGCCTATATACGGGCAGTCATAGCCACAGACCATCAATTTATGATCTCGTCGCATTGTATTAGTGGAGGACACGCCCTTCTTTTCATCTCCATAGTTGGGAGACCTACAAGAAGAAGAAGTCTCGGGGATGGCTTTCCAAACTATTTGGCATCTAACATGTCATCGAACACCCCCGGACGGCAAGCAACCTGTGTCAACTAGCAACTGAAATGTCTGAATCGTTGCTGGTTGAAGGAGCTTTTCGCAGGTCAAGGAACCAAGAGAACTCCACACAATTGGTCTCCATTAATTGTGTTGAGTGTAACGCTATGTAAACAAATAGGTATCTCGTTCATGCAGTAAAGCTCTTCAATCAACGCCTGACCTGAAGTCCCAGAACAAAAGAAAAGAGGGCTTATATTCAGCCTTAGTCTGAATCAGAAGGATAGCCGACCAACACGGGCGTTGCTGCTGGAGTAGGTATATCTTTGGGGGTTGCATCCCGTTTTTCGCGCATGTTCGGAGAGTCGATACTCGGGGTAATTGAACGAGGTGTTGAAGTCGAAGGCGCAGCAGATTTCCTTTTCTTCCCAGGTTGCCATCCACTGGGATCATCCGTGTCATCGATCAAGAAAGGGTCGACAGTAGCACGCGTATTACCGCTCAACTCATTGCGAAGAGAAGCCTTCCGAGAAGCAGCAAGATTAGCTGCCTTAGCCCGTTTCAAAGCCCGAGATTTTGTATCATGAGAATTCGTCTTGGTTGTATATTTCGCAACGCGGTGCGCAAACATCGGCCGAGTGCGTGTAGCCCGAGCAGCATGAGCCCCAACAGTAGCTTGATCATCTCCAAAATCGACCATCTGAGCTCGTTGTTGATCCGACTCCGTTTCATCCATGAGATCAATCCCAAGACTCATCTTATCTTTCAAGGCTTCTCGGCCCGCCTCCGCTTTCTCAAGACCTTTGCGCTCTTGCCGAAACGTGCGCCTTAACCGCATGGACTTCTCATACGGATCCTCCCAATCCCGATTCTGACGCTCTTGAATCTCGAGAATGCGCGTGGCCTCCGTCTTCGCACGGCGCTTATCCTCAACCTTCCCTTCAAGTTTCGAAAACGGATCCTTCTCTGCGGGGTCCTGACCCAGGGCGTAGGGTTTGATAGCAATCTCACCCGGCTGCAACTCCTTATCTTCGCCAGTATCCCGCTTCTTGCCACCCTGCGTGACGACATAAGCCGTGTGTTGGGGATCAGTCTTGATCTCGATAGTTCCACCACAAACGGTATGTTTCATGCGAAAACTGTAGATCGGCGTTGAGTAGTAATTCCCGACCTTTCTCTTCTCGGCGTTGAAGCGCACGCCTTGGCCGATTATTGTGTCGTGGGGTTTGCAGGTCGTGCACCAGACTGCGAAGGGCATTTCGAAGCGCACGACTAATGCGCCTGGGTGTCGTGCTCGAGCTCCTAGAGGGTGTTTCTTTGCTAGTTGGTTTCCCGATAAGACTCCTTCTTGGTCTGGGGGGACGTAGCGTCCCATGTCTGTTGCGCGCGCCTGTTAGCCTTTTGTCTGGGGTTGAGGTTCGGTGGGGGAGGAACATACTGAAGCCTTGCATCTTGATGGTCTGCGGTGGGTTCGCAGGGCTGAAATATAAATGAGGATAGTCAAGCCGAGCTGGTCGAGCCGGGAAATTAGAAGTTGTGCCAGCTGTGCAGGAAGACAAGTCCCGCGACGGAAAATGCAGTTTGGCGGAATTGATTTGGTCGGAGATATCGGGAATAATGTTGATGACTCAGCTCCCCCCAACACGGCTGAGACCTATACAATGAGAGGCCAAGTGGAGAACCCTGATCATATCGCCAGTAACGGGTGGGTCCGCCACAGTCAACATGTTTGTATAGTTTGTATCCCATCTGATTGGTTTAAATATGACCGCTAGTAATATTAATTGCTTGGCAATACCTTTTCGAACCTTCTCTCGTTCACATTCTTTCATTACGCCCTTTCTCTAGCGTAATTTCTTTTACTAATCACGTGCTATTTTTATTGCTAAATCATTTCTATTGCATTCCCCGACATTATGAGCGCCTTTCTCGCTAACGAGCCGGCCTACAACCGCTATCTAGAAGGTGGCCTAAACCTTCCTGCCTACGACACGGTGAGCTTCATAGTCTTCCAATACCTTCCTAGTCTATTCCTAGTCCATTTCTAATAAATTTATAGGACCAAAATGGCAACATTGTCCTTATAGCTAGCGAAGTCTTTTGCCGCGTTAATGGCTTTGTCAGGACCCTCGACTACTTATGTTGGTACCTGAGGCACGAGTTGGTGCCTCGGGAATCGTGGCAGTATAGTACTGCTCACCGCCCGGAAGCTCGGCCAGCCTGTATTTAGTTCATCCCCGCTGACCCTGGAAGGGTCAGCGTTCAGCCTCTCCTACAATAGGACCATATTGTACCACACGTCAGCTGAGGCTTCTACTTCGCTTACCAAACCAAACCAGAGACTCTGCGTGGTCTCACACTATTGCTAGGGAATAATGCCTGAGTACGTGCGTTAGGACAGAAGCGAAAGAATCGCGATAATAATATATTCGAGTACTACTAGTTAGTTAATCGATAAAAGCTCTATAATTCACTAGATCTTATAAAAAGCCTCGAAATAACCCTATATTCTAATAGCCGTCAAAAAAGCTAGTAATATCGCTAAAGAACCCTATACTATGATAGCTGTTAGAAAATTATTACGTAGCTTTAAGAACTCATTCAATATATAGCAGAAACAATAGTCATCGAAAGAGGCTTTTGTTATAAGTCAAATACCTAAATATACAGCCAAAAACTGCACAAGTTATGTATCCTTGGTGTCTCTCGATTGGAATTAATTCCACCACTTCCATCCACTTAGGATATCAGGGTGAACAAAGCAAAAAAAACAAAACAAAACAAAAACAAACTGCACAGCTAGATGTCGCAGTGCGCATGACCTGAAGCTGAGAGTTGATACAAATCATCCCCAATTGTGGCTGCGTCTCTTTCTCACATCATTTTGACTAAGACTCGAGATCAGAATCACAATCACAGGAATCACTTTAAAGCTCTGAATGGTCTTCCTACACTGTTATTCATCTATTGGATTCTCGGGTTTTCGAGTGTTGTTGATTGCTGTGTTGTTTACCTGGCTGCCATCCTCTCTGTTTTCTTCCCACCTCCAACCTTCACTCATCCGTCATCGTTCATCTCCCACCTTTTCTCTCTTAATTTGAATTATTTGGCTTTCATATTTTGTTTTTCATCTGTCACCTTCCATCTACCATCCATTTTCCTCCGTCATCCATAATCCATCAGCCATCAAAACAAAATCTATGCCTCTCCCTTCTCCAGTGTCCAACCAATCTTCAGACTCTACTGTCACTAGATTAAATCAAATATCCTGTTGCTTTGATCACCAAAGAGACCTCTTGATATGTCCTGGACGTACGTGACTCTCCTGCTGATACTAAAAAGCATTCTCAAATCCGATTCTAACGTGAGTCTGATTAACATAGATCACTCAACAAAGATGTCGCAGTCTCTAGACAGAGAAGATTGAGCGGAACTTCCGAGCCAGACTTGCAGCTACTTCTTGGAATAATTCTCTAGACAGAGAAACGCGGGAACGGCATCTGCATGAAGCATTGGTATCCCTCACTAGCCATGATCACTAAATGGCCCTCAGCATGAAAAGAACTATCCACGATGACGGAGCTGCAATTATATTGATACTACAACAAGAAAATCGAGAAGCAGCAGATTGTGCTTTTGCTTTAGGGTTGGACCCGAATGCCCAGAACACCCACCAACTGGACCATGCCGTGATACTAAGAGCTTCTGACATCTTACGGGACGACCCTATGGACTTCGAGCACGCGAATTCACAAGCACAGGCCTCAAGAACGGCATTAACTACCACTGGTTTCGGCAAACCCTCAACAAACACCGCCGCAACACAAAAATTGTTAACGACTAGCCACCAGTGTGCAGCGTGCACCGAGTCTTTCTATTACAATATAATTCAAGCTCCTTGCTCCAATTACTATTGCAAGGTATGCATCATTAGTATGTCCGATGTTGCGTTTGTTCACGGGCCCGTCTTTCCCCCGGCGGTGCTGTCGAATCTCGATTCCTCCTCCCAGTATACGCCATCTTATCAGCGGGATCATCCCTTTAGAAACTACTGTTCAAAGCGCACCTGCTCCCACACAAATAGCCAGAGGCTTGATTACCAGCATAATTCGTAAAAAAAGGTAAGCCATAAAGGATTTGGACGTAGAGCTTTGCGACTGTTGTCTTTCCTGTGCCTGGAGGGCCTAAGAAGACGCCTTTGTGAGGAAAAGGATGCGGAACAAACTCTTCCTTTTTGCGCGAACAAACATCGACTGCTTGGTAATGTAGCAGACCGATACGCTCGTTGATATCCTCGAGGCCAACCATTTGCTCTAATTTGCCAAGCCTCGATACTTTCGAGTATTATATCCGCACATACACTGTCGCGTCACCATATTTGTTCTTTTTCTTGCTACTGTCACTGATACTGCGACAAGGTCTGCGACTAGTATTGCAACTAGGACTGCTACTACGACTTCGACTCCGAATAGACTGCCACTGGAACTGCGACTGCAGGTGCGACTGCGAGTAGGACTCCGACTGGGACTGCCATTATCCTTGTCCTCGGCACCATCAATATCACTGCAACGGCAACGCATTCGAGACCCCTATTCTCGTCGCTTGCAGGATAGATCGTATCAGACGCCACTGGGTTCAGCCTCCAGGGTAATAGCCGCCTTAGCGAGTCTGACCTCAGCCAAATCTTGGGCAATAATAGTAGCTTGCCTAGTATTTTCCCCATTCAAATTAAGTTATATGTTCTGGCAACTTCTATCAAACCAGACTCCGCGAATCTATACTGTCCACTCCATCCGGTAAAACACTCAAGCAGCTAAAAAAGCATCATCGATAAACCTAGAGCAAACAAATATCCTCATACGAAGTTCAGAAATCACCCAAGAACAAAGGCTGCTACAGTGCGAACGACACTTAAGTTGAAACTATTTTCGACTGCATCAAACGCGTCTTGGCATCAAATTATAGAATCACGTGCTGGTCCCGCTATCCCAGTCTTGGCATCGGGAGTGACAAAGCCGCCTCTGAAGTGCGGAATCTCTCCGCTCATTTCTAAGCTTGTACTTGTAAGCGCGGGATTAACATATCGGGGCTGACCAACCCGGCATTTGAGGTGATTTTCACCACTAAGTACGCAAGACGGCTTGCCGAGATGATTTCAAAGGCGACAGGAATGGTGAATCCTTCAGGAAATGATAAGGGCGTCTTCAGGTATATAAGGAGGGTACACCCCGGCGAGGGATGAATCAATCATTTTTCAATCAAACCAAGCTTCTATACCAAACTCATCACTTCAATTCTTGAGATTGACAAAATGCCAGCTAAAGTTGCTCTCGTCGGTGTAAGTGACATTGCCCTTTACATTTTGTACACAACTAACACCCAACAGGGAAGCGGCAATCTCGGCCCTGCTGTTCTCAACCAACTGCTCGAGGCTGGATTCGACGTGACAGTTTTGTCTCGTCAAGACAGCGACAAGACCTTTGACACAAGAGCCAAGGTCGCAAAGGTCGACTATGAGTCCCTCGACTCACTCAAGAACGCCCTCGCTGGCCAGGATGTCGTCGTCAGCACACTCGGCGTGGGCCCAGTGCCACGAGCCACTCACCTTCGTCTCGTTGACGCTGCTGTCGCCGCTGGAGTGAAGCGTTTCATCCCCTCCGAGTACGGATGCGACACAACACACCCCAATGTTGCCAAGCTTCCCGTCTTTGGCGACAAGGTTGCCGTCCAGGAACATCTTAAGAAGGCCAATGAGGAATCTGGTCTGACTTACTCGTTCCTCATTACTGGCCCCTTCCTCGACTGGGGTCTCAACGTTGGGTTCTTGATTAACCTTGCCGGCCCTGTTACAACCCTGTATGATGGCGGCGAGCAAGAGTTCAGCACCACCACTCTCGCCGATGTTGGTCGCGGAGTTGCTGGAATCATTAACAACCTCGCGGAGACCGAAAACAAGACTGTCTACATCAGCTCGGCCGTTGTTTCGCAGAAGCAGCTGTTGGCTCTGTCTGGCAAGAGTCTTGAGACGAAGTCGATTGCGACAATTGATTTGGAAAAGCAGGGATATGAAGAGTTAAGCAAGCCGGTTCCTAACCCAGCAATCTTTGCTCATCTTTTCCTTTTCCGGGGTATCTTTGGTGATGGGTTCGGAAACCGCTTCGATTCCGAGAAGCTGTCTAACAAGGCATTTGGTTTGAAGACTTTGTCTGAAGATGACATCCGCGGTCTCTTCAACTGAACCATTTGTATTAATCAATAATAGTCATTATTAGGACATAGATACATGTAGTATCATATTCATTTTATATCAAGCATACCTCATATCCCATACAGTAATATCCAGGAAATGAAAATGTCATCGATTGTTTACACGTGGTGACGTCACGCATCCAAATGTCCCGATCTCGATCTCGATCTGAGCCCCTTACATGACCCAGTTTTCGCTCATTAATCTGACCCCAAGAGAGTTTGCTGATCTCTGAGTGAATTGCTAAGAGGCAGCTGTTGTGAAGATTGATCCCAACATCAATTGTATAACTACAAGATGAAAGGCAATGCATCAAATCCAGTAGTCCTGTACTGGCATAGAACAGATCTGCGGCTACATGATTCTCCAGCGTTGCACGCAGCCTTGGCTTTGAAGCCATCTGTCTTCATTCCAGTCTGGACCTGGGATCCTCACTATGTCTACCGAGCACGAGTAGGCCCTAACAGATGGCGATTTTTGCTTGAATGTCAGACCGACCTTTCCAAGGCATACTCCAAGCTCAATCCCAAGCAAAAGCTCTGGATTGTCCGTGAAGGACCGCAGACTATCCTTCCCAAGCTTTGGAAACACTGGGGCGTCACGCACCTCGTTTTCGAGAAGGACACAGATGCGTATGCCAAGGACAGAGACATCGATGTGATCAAGATGGCCGAAAAGTCCGGTGTTGAGGTGATTGTCAAAATGGGAAGAACCTTGTTCGATTCCGACGAGATTGTTCAGAAGAATGGTGGCAAACCGACAATGAGTATCACGCAACTCGAAAAGGCCGCTGAGAAGATCAATAACGGCAGCCCTGACAAGCCACTTGAAGCACCCAAGAGCATTCCGGACCCATGGGACGAGGAGAAAATGGATCTAAGTAGTCTCAAACATGACTCGGTTGAGAATGAGCCGGACTTCAATTCGGAACACCGCATCAAGGAAGATGATCAATACTCCCAATTGATGGGCCCAAAGAATGACTTCGGAGTTCCGACTTTCGAAGATATGGGCATGGAAAAGTCGGAAGCTGTGACTCCTCACCGAGGAGGGGAGACAGAAGCCTTGAAAATCCTCGGGGACCATATCAAGAACGAGGACTACATCGGAAGGTTCGAAAAACCGAATACCTCCCCAGCGGATTTCGAACCTCAATCAACCACGCTATTATCCCCTCATCTCCACTTCGGTTCGTTGTCCGTACGCCAATTTTGGTGGGATGTTCAAGGAGTTCTCGCCAAAAGAAGGAAAGAAAAGAAGCCGAACTCGTCCGTTCCAACTAGCCTAGAGGGTCAGCTTCTATTCCGGGACATGTATTTCGCAGCTCAAGCAGCGCTTGGTCACGAATTTGATCGAACACATGGAAACCGGGTTGCCCGTTTCATCGATTGGCACCTTCAGACGAACCCCGCCAGGAAAGATGAATCAATCGATGGGTCGTACGAAGTAGACTCGCAGGACGCAGAGGTATGGTTTCAACGGTGGAGGGAAGGTCGTACCGGATTCCCATGGATCGATGCGCTCATGCGTCAGTTGAAACAAGAGGGCTGGATTCATCATCTGGGAAGACACAGTGTAGCCTGCTTTTTGACTCGAGGCGGGTGCTATGTAAGCTGGGAGCGTGGCGCGGAGGTTTTCGAGGAGATGTTGATCGATCGTGAGTTTTTCCAAAGGTGACACTGCTGTCAGTAACTAATACGCTTTAGATGAAACGGCATGCAACGTGGGAAACTGGATGTGGCTCTCCTGCACTGCCTTTTACGCCCAGTACTACAAGTGTTACTCGCCTATATCGTTTGGAAAGAAGTGGGACCCCGAGGGACATTTGATCAGAAAATATTGCCCGGAGCTCGCCAAATTCGACAAGAAGTGGATCTACGAGCCATGGAAAGCGCCCATCGCGGACCAGAAGAAGTTTGGCTGCAGGGTGACAGGTGATGGTAGTTCATCGTCGAAAGAAGATGGCACGGAGCATACCTACCCCAAACCAATGTTTGATTTCGATGAGCGGCGGAAGCTATGCCTAGATGGGATGAAGCATGCATACGGGGTTGGTCTTTATGGCAATGATGAGAAGGTCAAGAATGGAACCTGGAAAAAAGAATTTGGGGAAGAGGATAGGCCAGCAAAACGACAGAAGACCTAGGATGACTCTTATTAAACCAAGCAGCCCAATGGCGGATTACTGAAAGTTCTTTTATTCCACCACCAGAAAGACGAATGCGAATATCAAATGCAAAGCACGAACCTCTGCTCGTGCTTGTGAGTCAACATGTTCTAGAATGTAGTCCCGATGAAGTATACGATCAGCACCGCATGTGGTAGCTGTATATCTGCAAGCGAGCCTGAGGAGCAGGGATTACAACTGGCAGACTCCACCGCATCGGGGTCTACTTTCTCCCCAATGAAGAGTCACTCTATACAAATCACCAGTGACTCATGTATACGGGACTCGGCGCGGAACTCAACCCGAAGCGCCCCACTGATAAGATGGCGGGCCCCGGGGGGTGCAGAAAAAAATATTTTCAAGACTTGAACAATTGTATATTCTAACCTTCTCTGGGCTTCATTGCTGGAAATACCAAAATGGAATTCCAAGATGCTTCCCCGCCCCAGGAGCAAAGCAAACTCCGCATCGTCACGGTAATGATAGCGCTGGCGCTGTCGATGTTCGTGGCGGCACTCGATCAAACAATTGTTTCAACGGCTATTCCGACTATCGCTGCTCATTTCCACTCCGCTGCTGGCTATACTTGGATTGGTGGTGCTTATCTTCTTGCCAATGCGGCTGGTGCGTGCATCTGGGCTAAGCTTTCTGATATCTGGGGGCGGAAACCTATCTTGCTCTTGGCTGTTGGGTGGTTCTTTATTAGTTCCATCATTTGTGCTACGGCTGTGAGCATGGAGATGCTTATTGCTGGTCGGGCATTGCAGGGTGTTGCTGGTGGTGGTTTGCTTCAGCTTGTTACTATTATCATTTCTGATCTGTTCAGTGTTAGGTGAGATACTATTACGGCTTTACTGTTTGACGGCATAGATCTAATTGTTCGAAAAGACACCGCAGCCTTTATCTTGGTCTCATGGAAGTGATGTGGGCCTTTGCTGGTGGTATTGGTCCAATTCTTGGTGGTGCTTTCTCTCAATACACCGGCTGGAGATGGACATTCTGGATCAATCTGCCTGTCTCTGGTATCACCTTCGTTCTGCTATTCTTCTTCTTGGATGTACACAATCCCAAAACAAGGATCATGGATGGTATCCGAGCGATTGACTGGTTCGGCAGTCTTTCAGTCTTGGGTCTCACTCTGATGCTCCTGTTAGGGCTCGACTTTGGAGGAGAGACATTTGCATGGAAGTCCCCACAGGTCATTTGCCTAATTGTCTTCGGTTCTCTATGCTCCTTGCTGTTTGTCTATAGCGAGAAGAAGCTTGCAAAGTACCCTCTCATGCCGTTGGATATCTTTGCTCGTCTGTCAAACGTTGCTACGCTTGCTGTTGCTTTCGCGCATGGATTCGTATGTGCTTTCCTCCTGAATATATTGATCAAGGCTAACCAATATAGGTTTTCATCGCTGGTGAATACTACATACCTCTTTACCTACAATCAGTACACCAGGCATCCCCCATGCGATCAGGTGTCCTGATCCTCCCCCTCGTCATCACCGAAGCCTGTGGAGGTATGCTCTGCGGCGCAATCATCCACCGCACCGGCAGATACCTTGAGTTAATCTGGGTCGGTCTTGTTCTTCTGACGATCGGAAATGGGCTATACATCAACCTCGACGTGACCTCCTCCATCGGCGAGATTGTAGGCTACCAAATTCTCAGCGGATTCGGCGCCGGCTTCCTCTTCCAAACACCCATCATCGCCATACAAGCCATGGTCTCCCAAGAGGACACAGCCACCGCTACAGCCACGCTCGGATTCATCCGAAACATGGCAACCGCCTGCTCCATCGTTATCGGCGGTGTCGTGTTCCAGAACAGCATGGGTGAGCAGCAGTCGAAGCTTTTGGCTTCTGGAATGTCCGAGTCGATGGCAGATAGGATGTCTGGCGATGCTGCTGCTGCAAGCATTGAGTATATCAAGGATATCACGGATCCTGCGCAGCTACTTGCCGTTAAGGAGGCGTTTGCTTGGAGTCTGCGCAATATGTGGATTCTGTATACTTGCATGTCTGTTGTTGGTGTTTTCTGCTCTGCTTTCATTCTGAAGGCTAAGTTGAGTAAGGAGCATGTTGAGACCAAGACTGGCCTGAACATTGAAAAGGCGCCTGCTGAGAATGTTCGTACTGTCTAAGATCTTTACCAAAAGTATATAGCTTGTTTAGCCATTTTGAAATCGATGTCATTTTTTGGTTTCATATTGACTATTTTCCGTAGATAACAGTTTCATGCAAGGCTCGAGAGCTATGTAATGGTCATGGTAGACTGTTAATGGAACTATCCAAGTTCAATCCTATTCAATGTGACGTATGTTCGTTTGTGATAACTATCACGTTCTAGATAGAATGCAACATGCTGGGCTTGACTAAATAGATACCACCGAGGAAAGAGACGTAGCTCAGTACTCAAGGGTTTGTTTGATGGCGTCGTAGATTCCTAAAACCGAGGATTCATAGATTAGCAGATAATACAATTTCAAAATGGCGCATAACTCACTTGCAACATCAGGCAGAATAAATTGCTCATAACTCAAACCTGTGTGCGTACTCCAGCCTGCAACACGCTTGACAGGGGCCTCTAAGCGCAAGAATGCACCCTCCTGGATAGTGGATGCAACCTCTGCACCCACACCGTAGTTAATCATGCTTTCATGGACAACAATGGCTCTTCCTGTCTTTCGTACACTCTCCAAGACTGTTTGACGATCCCAAGGGTAAATGGTACGCAGATCAATAAGCTCAACACTGACCCCTGGCATCGTCTTTTCAATGGCCGAGATAGCAGAAGAGCACATGTACAGAGGCTGGCCATAGGAAATCATCGTCAGGTCCTTGCCAGGCTTGATCACTTCAGCTTTACTGAGTGGGATAGTGTAGTATTCGTTCGGGACGTGTTCGACAGCTGCGCGGTAGAGAATCTTAGGCTCCATGAATATCACCGGATCGTTATGTTCAAAGATGGATGCCAAAAGGAGGCCCTTTGCCTGGGATGGAGATCGTGGCATGACTACCCGTACACCGGGAACATGTGCAAATAGGGATTCTGGAGATTGCGAATGGTACCTATTGATTTGGTGCATTAGCATTCGTGTCTCCTTCCTGTCCGATATATATAACTCACAAAGCACCGTGTCCAACCGCGCCACACGGCATACGGATCACCAGTCCTCCAACATTAATCCCCGTCCCACCTTCACGATATCTGAACTTGGCCGCTTCATTGACAATTTGATCGAATGCTGGGAAGACGTAATCGGCAAATTGGATTTCTGCTACCGGCTTCATCCCTTCGGCGGCGGCTCCAATGGCAAAACCCGCAATACCTTGTTCCGTCAAGGGCGTATTAAACACACGATCTGACCCGAATTCTGTTTGAAGGTCCATCGAGCATCGAAAGACACCACCAAAGGCGACATCCTCGCCGAAGAGAAGCACTTTTTCAGATGTAGACAGGGCGGTTCGTAATGCAGAGTTGATGGCTTGGAAGTAGTTTAGTCGCTTAGTGGTAGCTGCAGCAGGGAATTCTGGCATATTTGACAATGAAGAAGATGCATGATGCAGAATGGGAGTGGATTTGTAGTCAATAGGCAAGTTCAGCTTCGCCGAAGGCGTAGGCGCGCCAGAGTAAAATCTCCGAGGCGTTTGGGCGAAACACCGTAGTGGAGCACGGAGCGGTGCCATCTCTAGGGAATTGAGGAAGTGAGAGAGAATATGTGTTACGCTACATGAGAAATCCCCCCAGGGGTGTCTTTAAACTATGCGACTGCCATTGTCCGGGGCAGAGCGCGGGGAAGTCGCCGCGGGTAGCCGAGCTTGATGCAAACAGAGCAAACCGCACGAACATCTTATGACGACGTTCCCGTGACCTGGAAGTATACGATCATTTGCCCAACAATGTCAACTTGCGTACCTGGGAGTACACAGTAAATCTTACTGCATGAGGTGCTTGTTTAGGTATGGAGTTGGCTGAGGTTGCTCCATGATACATTGATTTTGGTCAAGCTATGCAGGAATGCACATTATCTTACATCGCTTTGTAGCTATAGAGAGTACAGATAGATAGTTCAATTGCCCTCCTAGAACACGCTGCATCACTTTTTCCTACAGAATTGCTCCCATTGACCATATATTCAGCTGTAAAAAGTAGTCCTTTTATAAAACTCCAACCTTATCTCTTATCAGCCGGTGTCGGACCGCGTGACTTTCCCCGGCCCGCACCAAAACCGCATTTTTTCGAATGACTCAACCTTCTTTCTGTTACTCCACGTTCAAACTTTCATTCTCATTACTTTCCATCAATCACTCACAATGGCTCAGGGAAAGGTATGATCTATAGGTTTATCTTTGTAATACATGGCGCGCCCTCGTCCAATTCCATCTCACACCGCTCCCTACCGCCACATTCCATTGCCCGCCATGTTTCCCGAATACTGACAATTCGATCGCGCAGGTTTGCCTCGCCTACTCCGGCGGTCTCGACACCAGCTGTATCTGTATGGACATCTTGAGCTATTCAACTGATCAATTGCGGTTACTAATACCAAATTACAGTGAAGTACCTCATCGAGGAGGGCTATGAGGTCGTCTGTTTCAGTAAGTTGCAAATGTGATGCATCCAATGACTCAATTGCTAACCTCAACACAGTGGCCGATGTTGGCCAGGAAGGTAAATGAAAATCAATGCGACCTCAATCCGACATCGATCTGACATACAATTATTTCAGAGGACTTCGAGGCTGCCCGCGAGAAGGCCCTGAAGATCGGTGCCCTCAAGTGCGAGATTGTCGACATCCGCCGTGAGTTCATCGAGGAGCTCTGCTTCCCCGCCATTGCTTGCAATGCCGTCTACGAGAACGTCTACCTTCTCGGTACCTCCCTGGCCCGCCCCGTCATTGCCCGTGCCCAGATCGAGGTTGCCCAGCGCGAGGGCTGCTTCGCTGTCTCCCACGGCTGCACTGGTAAGGGTAACGACCAGGTCCGCTTCGAGCTTGCCTTCTACGCTCTCCAGCCCGATATCAAGGTCATTGCCCCATGGCGCGAACCCGTCTTTTACGAGCGCTTCAAGGGTCGCCAGGACCTGCTCGACTACGCTGAGCAGAAGGGTATCCCCGTCACCTCCACTAAGTCCAAGCCCTGGTCTATGGACGAGAACCTGGCCCATTGCTCTTACGAGGCCGGTATCCTGGAGGACCCCGACACCACCCCTCCCGCCGACATGTGGAAGCTTACCCAGGACCCTCTGTCCGCTCCCGACCAGCCCGAGGACTTCACCCTGACCTTCGAGAAGGGTGTTCCCGTCAAGCTTGAGTACACCCAGGGTGGCCAGAAGAAGACCGCCACCGACTCCGTTGAGCTGTTCCTGACTGCCAACGCCATTGCTCGCCGTCACGGTGTTGGCCGTATCGACATTGTAAGCAGCACAGCTCGAGCACTCGAGAAGTAACTTCGCTAACACAAAATAGGTTGAGAACCGTTTCATCGGTATCAAGTCCCGTGGCTGCTACGAGACCCCTGGTCTCACCTGCCTGCGCTCCGCTCACATGTAAGTCCCCACAACCATCGGGCTGTCGACTCAACTAACATATCAGTGATCTCGAGGGTCTGACCATGGACCGTGAGGTCCGTGCTTTGCGTGACTCCTTCATCACCTTCAACTACTCCAAGGTAAGCAAATACTACACTACTCAATTGATCCGATCTAACAATGGTAGCTCCTGTACAACGGCATGTACTTCTCCCCTGAGCGCGAGTTCCTCGAGTCCTCCATCACCGCTTCCCAGAAGTCCGTGAACGGCCAGGTCCGCTGCCGCGCCTACAAGGGCACCATGTCTGTCCTCGGCCGCTCCTCCGAGACCGAGAAGCTCTACGACATGAGCGAGTCCTCCATGGACGAGATCGGTGACTTCTCCCCCGCCGAGACTACCGGATTCATCAACGTCTCTGCCATCCGTCTCAAGAAGTACGGCCAGATGAAGGCCGCCGCTGGCGAGCGTCTGTAAACGATGTCTCAAAATATAAGACACGCCTTCTCTTCGACTGGATGATTGGTGCCATATGTTGACCGTCCCTGGCACTGCCATGTCGAGTCTCTGGTCCAACTTTCTTGCGTACATGGGATGGTGGCTTGAATGACTGTATAATGAACTAGAGAAAAATAGCGCTATTCCGATGAAATTTAGGGATCAAAATTGCGAGTGAACAATCTCATTTCCCTGTAAGCTCCCTGTAAAAGTTACCAATGTCGAAATAATCAAATCAATGCAGTATGTACACACGTAAGACAAGAAATGCGCGAGGTATGTGCCTTATTTAAGTCGCTAGATGGCAGTACAAAAAATCTTGCATGTATGTAATCGGAATCAAAATCGCATGAAATCAAAGATTTGCTCGAGCCTTCCCCAGCTCAAGTTCTGCCCACAAATTAGCACACGGACATCCTCAAGGAGAGGGACGCATCATACCATCCCAAGTAGCCAAAGCAGCCTTCTCAGCATCCCAGCCCCAAAGGAACTCCTGTGTCCTGCGATCCGACCATTTATCAGGATTTTCGCCGTTAGCAGATGCAAGGAACTGCGCATCACGGGCGACCTGCTCAGGTCCATCTGGTAGGTGTAACGTGATACGGTTCTCAGAACCGGACTGCTGAACCGTCTCGGCGCGCTGTTTGCGAGATCGTTCATATGCACTCAATGCCAATGGGATCTCAGCCCGTGATGTAATATTCGAGAGAAGGATACCCAGAGCAGCAGCATCTTCGACAGCTTGAGCAGCGCCTTGGGCGACATATGGACTGGAGAGTATCAATATCAATATCCAGAAACGAAAAAAAGCGAAAGAAGTGCACATACAGCATCGGATGACAAGCATCACCAATCAAAGCAACAGACCCCCGTATCCAAGTCCTTAACGGCCGATGCAAACACAACTTCCACTCCAAAACCTCATTATCATTAACGAGATCGATAAGTTTCCGCACCTTGCTATCCCACCCATCATAGTTATCAACCATAGCCTGTTTCGACCCCTTAGTGGTCCACGACTCCTCAGAGCCTTGCACGTCAGGGTGCAGCAGCACAACGTTATATAATTGATGATTGCGAACGGGATACGCAATAATATGCCGATTAGGACCAAGCCAACGCGTCGCCTCAGGTTGATCAATAAGACTCTTGAGTTCAGGCTCTTTCTCCATAATCTCTCTCGGCAACATAATCCGATACGCAGCATCGCCAGTAGGAATAGCCTTTAAGGATGAATCATCAAGGAGATGAGCCCGGATAGTCGATTTGATTCCGTCTGCTCCGATCACGATATCGCCTTTGATAACCGTGCCGTTTGCCAACGTCACGCTGGCCGGATCGAAGGATACATCTGCGACATGTGAGTTCTCGCGTAGTTCCACGTTGGGCAGGGACAGTGCTTTGTCGATGATGGCGTTGTGCAAATCGGCCCGGTGGATTACTACTTGCTGTCCGTAGGTTTTATTCACGGGCATTGTGCCGAGGAGGGAGCCGTCTTCCCATCTTCGGACGTGAATGTGCTCAAGTGCTACATCTTGAGCGTGAATTAGGTCCGAGACGCCCCATCCTAGGTCATTTAGTCTGCTGTCTTGATTAACTTGATGAGTGACTCACGGTCGAAGAGACGGAGCATGTTTGGGGAGACTTGAATGCCAGCTCCCACTTCCATGAGCTGTTGAATGTTAACACTGTTTTTCTTTTTTTTTTTTTTTTTTTTTGTGGCAGTTGATGGGTTCTCGTACCTTCGGGGCAGCTTCAAAAATCATGACATGGTGTCCTCGAAGTCCTAATGTGAGAGCTGCTGCCATACCGCCGATTCCTTGATGCTGTCAGTTGACACATGCCACGCCAGACTTTTTTTTATATCCGAGTCCTACCGGCCCTGTACGAGATCAGCACTCTGTTCTACGTGTTCGAGTCCAAGATACATACCCGACAACGATAACCTCCAAAGACAGATGAGCCCGTGGAACATCCATGATGAAGACCAAGAAGAAGATGCAACGCAAGCAAGAAGAGCAGTCTTTCCAAAAAGACCAAGTAAGAGGAAGAAGTAAGTGAAGAGAGAAGCGACAAAACACGAAATTGATTTATAGCGGCAAAACCCCAAGTATGGACAGCGCTATTTCTATTCCGTCCCACCCGTTCCAGAACACGCGGATATCCGACCCAAAATCCCCAAAAAAGAATTGATATCTAAACCAAACAATAATTTGGCATTTCCCGCCCCCTTACTCCATCTCCACAGACTGGGGGATGGGGAAATCCACCACATCACTTCAACGTCTCGGCTGTGGCCAAGAGCCGGCACTTGACTGCGGGTCCAACGGGCGACATCTACAGAGAGCCGTTTGATACCCATGAATTCATCTACACAAACAACAGACAATTCTATACAGGACGAACTCGTACAAATGCCCAGCTATCAAAAAAAGTCCGAATGAGATCAAAGTGGCTTGGCGGAAAAGAGGCGATCGGGGAACGTCAGACCCAGTTAAAAGAGCCCCCCCCCCCCCGGCTCTTTGCGGACACTTCATCTGCCGAGCCTCTCAGATCTACAGACATTTGCCTCTGCCCCAGACCCCATCTGCTCTTTCCTCTTTGATGCTTCCGTCTTTCCGGGTTGGAGATGGGAGGCTTGGGTCTGGTGATGTTGCTCTCCTGGACATGCGCATCACGGCAGATATTCTCTCTGATCAATTGCCGATGACACCATGTCTGATCGCTAGACTCAATATCGTGGCTTTGTGACTGGCCCGATATTGAGTCGAATGTCATCCATGTAAGGGGGATTGATGATTGATCAGAGGACAGACAGGCTATCAAACCCAACCCGCTCCTTCCGAGAGTCCCATTGCGCGGTTTCTCCATATTGCGTTGGGGTGGTCTGGCCTCTCTCGTCGGGGGACGATGTTTTATCCCCGGACCACTTTCCTTTTCCGGTTTGATTTTCTGGTCAACCCTGATATTGATATCTCTATACATGAATCATTGAACGTGTTCTTGTTACACCGGTGCATGTATCTAGAAGATATGGATCTCACAATAGACTGCAGGTTTGCATGCAGGGAGTATAACCGATATGCCCGTGCGCTTACTCCACAGGGTCGATTATCGGCTACAGCTGAGTCTGGTCCTTGCCGATTTGACTGGAATATTTTCTGCAATTGGCAGTCTTAACTACGGACGTACATTATCAACATAGGCATCCAATTCCTACGCGCAACTTACCGCTCACAACTTACAATATCCCTCCCACACCCTCACCATCCACCATCCACACCCCCAAAAGGCATCATCCATATCTGTCGCATACATAGGACATGTCATCTGCAAATGGAGCAATAAACTATCTGCAAGTAACAAAACCTCCGTCCAAAACAGTCCAAACCCCAACCTGGAAAGACTGAAAATAGCAGATCAACACTGAAACGGACCAAGTCACATGTCTAGTGAGGCTGTGAACGGAGTGCGGGATCGACTCCCCGGCCGTCAGTCCACCCGAATAAGCTCTCAACAGAGCTTCAGGGTCACATTTGAAACATGCAGGGACAATGTCAATGTCGAAGGTCCAGTATGGGTTTAAGTTAATTGCGACGCGGGATATTGATGATTTTCTGCCGTCGATATACACTTCCTGTCGGGAGGATATGATCTACAGTATTCAGACCAACAATCTTACAAGAAACAGGAAGTCTTGTCACTGTCCCGCCTGGATCAAACCACCAAGGATTAGATCGGCTCCTACATAACGTTAACTAACCCATACCGGTCCCGACATGAAGATCCACTCAGCCCGCCATCCACCTATCCACCTCTCAGAAACAGTGTTCTAGCTCTGTTAATGGTCAACCCTAGATCAATCTTCTCAATTCAATTAGTACCCGCCCTAAGCGACAAACTCAACCGCATGCTGGCACACGGGATGGTTGGGCCTTGCGTAGCCTTTGACCTTATTATGATCGGCTTTTGATCGGCCAGCGCGGCTGGTGGTGATAATCTCAGAGGATTGCATTGAGTTATTTGACCTGTTCATGCCCGGTGAGAGATTGAATTCGTCATTGATTGCTTGGATCCGGTGTGGTCTGGTTATTTGGTGAGGGTATGAATACCGGTTTAGGGACGGATTTGGGTACCGGCATTCACGGCATTGAGCACGAGGAGATGATATCACGAACCTGCATCTAGGAAACAAGGACCGAATATTGAATTGGGATTGATGGCTTGTTTTGCTACGATTTACCTAACAACTTGGCATATCGTTATCTCGCTTTAGGAATACTGGCAAGGCCTAGACATGACTATTTGACCTTTTTAGACTATACGACTGGTCACTAATATAGCGACCCTCTGTTTCAAGAAAAGTATTCCTATAGAATTTCAGATTAATGGCACGTATGTTACGTTCGTCCTGGAATACCCGCAAAGTGTAAAGAAACTGAATTAAAATCGACTCAACTTAGAACCTAAACCCTTTTATATACCCAGTAAACCAATTTTTATCCAGATAACCTGCAGCAATGATATCATGATTCAGTGTAGTATATATAGATAGGGTTTACAATTTTACGCTCGCCAAAGATGAGGCGAGGCTCATGCATGGACACGTCAAAGGGTCCTCTGCAAGCTGTTAGGCACACAGGCTAGGCTGTAAATGTACGAGCTACTGGAAAAGAACCCTAGCAAATAATCATGGAACTGTTGATCTGCCTCGTTGATAGAAATGACGTCTTCTAGTGATTTTGGCAGGGAACGAGAACATACTCGGTATTGATTATTTCGATAGTATAAAACCAGAGACGTATCACCACAAGTTAGTATATCAGTCAAAAAGAAAAGGGGAATTTTACAAGAAAGCAAGTAAAATAAAGAATGATCTATTCTTGTGTAAAATGAAGTAGTAGAGACTTCCTCGCGGAATGCATGTATCGTGCCCAAGAAAGAAAAGAAACCGCTCAACGCCGAGTATGCCTGAAGAGCCAAATGAATTCCCATAAGTAGTCGTAAGAAACATGGAGACATGAAATGTGAAAAGTAGAGACATGAAAAATAGAAAGAAAAGAAAAGATCTCGACGCAAGTGATATAGCGTAGAATCTTTGGTCGTCGTAAGTGGAATTGTCATGAAAGGTCGCATACGCGTTGAAGATGCGGTTCACGTATGCTTGTATATCCGGTAGAACGACGTCAAGGGAGGTTCGGATATATGTACAAATGGAATGTTCCGTTGGGGTCAATTGAGATGTGCGTTAGGACGTAAACATAAGTCGTAAGCGGCTAGGGCCCTTCTTCTTCTCCTTTGGTTTGGGAAGTTTCTCGCTTTCGGAGATGTATGTTCCGGCCTTTGAGGGTGCGCGACTGGGGGCACGGCTTGGTGCTCTGCTTGGGGCCTTGGATGGAGCTTTGGACTTGGAAGGTCTAGAAAAGAATCCAGTTGGGGCCTCGGAGGGAGGAGCCCTTGAGCGACGTTCACTGCGATGCTCTGAGGGGGCATGATTTGGGGCGCGAGATGATCGAGAACGACGAGAGCGCCGGGATGAGGCGACCGAGCCGTCATCGTCGAATTTGAAGCGCGGATCGCGACGGGCTCGTGCGGTGGTTACATCGATGCCGGACATGGCTGCGGCGGTTGGTGTGATGAATTCGCCATCGACGGAGGTTCCCACGCTCGCGGCTTGCACGTCTGCGACACCACGTCTCCACATGTCGACGGAGCTGAGGGCTTCCGTGTTAAGCTCCATCATATCTTCCATTTCCATTTCGGGCTCGGGTTGTTGAGGGTTTGGAGCAGCCTCGGTGTCGTTGCCCGAGATCCTCTTGATGATCCTGTATCCGCCGAACATGACGACGGTCACACCCAGACCGACACCCGCGGCGATGAGGAACTGCGGGCTGGAGAGTAAGGCAAAGACAGCAGGGGAGGCTGATTTGAGGGCGGTCAGTGCGGTGGGAGCCATCTTGCGCGCGACGTTGCTGATCTCGGCGAGAGTCAGAGCGACGGCAGCCATGGCATCTGGGTTCTTTTGGAGATGGGCAATGGTAGCAGTGGCACCGTGTTGCACACAGTGTGCCTCCTCTAAGAGCCACTGAGCGCGATGAACAAGTCCATCCAGCTCTTTCTGATCATTCTTTGGTTCAGGAGGGTTGTACCGGGACAACGCTGCAGGAGAAGCATCCCCGTATGCAAGATCCATGTCAATATGCGTATCAGATCTAGACCTAGCCGTTGATGGACGGGGAGGCTCCCGCACTGTGACATCGTGATGGGTATGACGACGGGCGATAGTCTGCGGGGGATCATACTGAGAGTCCCGGCGCGAGACGACTGTCCGTCCATCGCCATATTGAGACGGAGCGCGGCTACGGCTGCCGTGATGTCTCGATCTGCTCCGGCGCGAACCCGCCGCAGACGGCGCATCATCAATCTGATAGCGCTCTAACTGTTCAAGTACCTGTTGCTCGGCGATTTTGGCATTTCGCTCAGATTGATATGCCGACTTTCGTTCGCGATAGGCATCCTTGGCATGGTTGAAAACTCCGAATAATTGCTTACTCTGATACCTGTTAGAATGCGGGGGAAACCGGACCGACGAAGATCAAACATACCGTGCTCACCATCTTGCCGGACTTGTCAATCACGGCGATCGTTTGACCGAACGGCATGGCGAATAATGAGTCGTGGCGACGACTATCGGAGAATATCACTCATGGGAGATTGGAAGATCGCCGGGGAGCGGTGTAAGGGTTGAAGACCCGGATATACTTCAAGGTCACGAAAAGTCCAGGGTCGAAAAAAAAACGCAAAGCACAGGGATTTCACGCTTAATAAGGCAGTTGAGTTTGCAACCCCAGAGATCAACGCGAAAGTCCGATCGGAGGCGTCCAGCGATGTCTTATGGTGGAGTTTGGACAGTGGAGTGGGAGGCTGGGTATGGCATCAAGGCGCATAAGTTGGGCAGAGCAGCGAACGAGAGAGCATGCAGGCTGTAGGGCAGAGCGTGGTTGGCTGCCACCGAAGGCAGACACGTAGCAAAGGCTCGATGAGCTCACATCACATATCACACCTAAGTTGGGCGCGAAGACAGCTGATCTGCGGTGTGTGCACAACAGATGCGAGAAGAGATTTTGCAGGGATTTCCAGAGATGTCTAAGGAACGACGTAGATATAATTAGCCAAATCAGCCAAAGAATAAATTAAAAGACTTGAACTTTTCATTCCAGAATGATAATATACAAAAGAGCGGTGACTCCTGAATTCTGATTGGCTGACCGGGCCACCGCCACTGTGGCTGAAGAACAATAGCCACTTGTGGCGGTGCCAGGTGATGCTGACTATGTACAGATGTATTCTTTCTCTCCTTTTTTTTTTATATCTGAGGTAGTTATCCCTTGTAATGTCGTAAACCGAGAATTCCATGACTCTATCTCCTTGTTAATGGCGCAATTCTTGTCTAACTTTGAGAGCTCATATCCTATAGAGCACATTGATCACAGATGGGCACCTGCATGCCTAGTTCAGATCCAAGCTCCAATGACGAGTTCCAGGGGCAGACAAGTATCACAGCATACTCCGTAGGGTCCGAGAGTCCCAGGCCTTATCTCCCCGACGCTTTCAATAAGCCAGATCGTCGGTGTACATGTACGCATACTTGTATCTTTGAGATTTGATGACACTTTCTCCGACTCCACGTTGACTTGACATTATTCAACATAAATATGGTCGTCCGTCGACCAAGTACCCCTTTAGCTCGACTATTGTGGGAGCCCAGGTATGTAGAGAATTCTTGAACAGCTGGACTCTGTGGTCAGCGACCGGACATGCAAATACAACATGCGAATACGCGGATATGCCCACTATCCCAAAGATAAAACTAACAAATCAGTTGTTGCAGAAATCAAAGGGAAGCCAGGGGTAAGTTGAAATATTCGATGTCGCAATTTGATGTTGTTTTGTTGTTCCGCACCGCCTCGATGATTCATCTTTTTTTTTGGAACTTTACTGTTGCCGACTTCATATTCTCACGTTGGAATGGAAATTGTTTAGCGTTCTTATGTTTGCTTGATTATTTTGGTGGAGCTCGGAGAACACCAAAACCAACATCAACATCAACATCGCTGACTCAATGGATCTAGAATCTGCGAGCGCCGCCTCCGACGTCGAGGAAGGCAGGATCTGGGGTTCAGATGCTCGATCGCCTGAGACTCAAAGAATCGACGATGCCAGCAGTGCGCATCCGTCGAGCGACTGCGGCATCGGCCATCGCGTTCTGGCGAGCCGCTCCGTTCTCGCTCTGGTCGTCGATGAGCACTGTGTGTTTGCTGGTCTCCAGGGAGGAGACATTGTTGTAAGTGGTGTTTAGACTAAATTCTGATAGCCATTCGCCTCAAACTCTCGATTGGATCATTGGAACTCTTTATCTGACCGTTCTGTCAGGCGTGGTCTCTCGAAACATATGATCTCGTGCTCTCCGTACACGCACACAAAGAGAGCGTACTAGGTCTTTATTTGTCCAATGATGGCAACCTTCTATTTTCAAGTGGTGGCGACTCCGTTGTCAATGTAAGTCAATCAGCGAAGCCTATGAATTGATATTAATTATTCCAGGTATGGTCCACGAGGACATTTGAACGCCTCTATTCCATTCATTCCCATCATGACGTGGGCGATATTTTTACAGTGGTATATTCCTCAAATAACCAAACTATCTACTGCGGTGCCCAGAACACAAGTATTCAGGTACGCGACACTCTCTGCTCTCTCTGCCAAGTTTTTAACATGGACAGTGGTGTGATCTCTCCGAGGAAGGGTCAACGCTCAACCAGGCATCATCTACCCACCTAACTAAGCGGACACATCGCTTCTTTGATTCCCGCGGGCCGGACGGCACTCGTGCTCCGGGATCATTAGATGGATCCCATGCCGTATCTGATGGTGGTCGCATGTTGAGCTTCAAGCGGGATCATCACAAGCTTTTCGCCCACCATGGCTATGTCTACTCGATGCTACTCGTCAAGGGACTGGTTGAATCAGCTCCTTCCGAGGAGGTTCTGTTAACTGGTGCAGGTGATGGTGTAGTCAAGCTGTGGCGGCTGGGCCAAGAGCCCGGAGCCTCTCCATCTCAGATTGCCAAGCTGCAGAACGGTAACCCTGTTCTTTCTGTCGCTGTGGAGGGATCGTTGCTCTATTGTGGCTTGGCAGGCGGTGCTTTAAACATTTGGAACTTGGATTCTCAGCAGCTCGTTAAGCGGATCACCCGGCATACTGGGGATTTGTGGGCCGTGCACGTCATTCAAGGTGTTGCAATTTGTGGTGATTCCAGTGGAACAGTCAAGGTATGAATGTTTCTTCGCCTTTTAAGATCGATTGCTCATATCAGTCAGAAATTCAACTCGCGATTTGAAGAGATCGGTGGCTGGGTTGCCCATGAGGGTACCATGCTTGCCTCGGCCGCTGGCCGGTTCAAGGACCGCCAGATCTATGCCACTGGTGGAAATGACAACTCAGTTGGTATTTGGGATTTGACTGAATTCTTTATGACCCAAGAAGAATTACCACCAATCAGCAACGGTATGTCTCACGAGTCCTACTGTGAACCGCTCTAAATATTTTTAGATGAAATGGTCAACAGTCTTGCGAAGTTTGTTTCCTACAAGACCATCTCAGCAAGTCCCAAATTTGCCGGTGAATGCAACCAAGGAGCTGCGTTCCTTCGCCGACACTGCAACTACCTCGGCGCCAAAACGAACCTTTTAACAACCGGACAGGAAACCAATCCTATCGTATTCGCCAGGTTCAATGCCACCTCACCTAACAAGGTTGACAAGACAATCCTCTTCTATGGTCACTACGATGTTGTCGGCGCAGAGACGAACAGACCCAAGTGGAGAACTGATCCTTATCAGCTTACCTCTATTAACGGATTTCTCTATGGTCGTGGTGTCTCTGATAACAAGGGACCGATTCTCGCATCTCTCTACGCTGCAGCCGATCTTGCTAGAACCAAGACCTTACGATGCAACGTTGTGTTCCTCATTGAGGGCGAGGAAGAGTCTGGATCTCAAGGCTTCCATGAGACGGTGCGCCGACACCATGACCAGATTGGATCCGTTGATTGGGTTCTCCTGGCAAACAGTTACTGGCTTGATGATTACAACCCTTGCTTGACTTACGGTCTTCGTGGTGTCGTTCACGCGAACTTGGTCGTCACGAGCGACCATCCCGATCTACACAGTGGTATCGACGGTAGTACCCTTCTAGATGAGCCAGTCAAGGATATCGCCATGCTTCTATCTACAATTGTTGGTCGCAGGGGCCAGATCAACCTACCCGGTTTCCACGACGCTGTTCGCCCTCTCACGGACGCCGAGCAGAAGCGGTTTGAGGCTATTGCAGGTGTATTGCTTCTCCAACACCCGGAGATCCCTGACAGTCAAGCGCTTATCAAGTCGCTTATGCACCGTTGGCGTGAACCCTCGCTTACCGTCCACTCTGTGGAGGTTCCCGGCAGCAAGAGTCATACGACAATCGCCCGACGGGCCAAAGCGACCTTGTCTGTTCGCATCGTGCCCGATCAACAAGCAGACGAAGTAGCCGCAAACCTCACAGCTTATGCGCAGGAACAATTCGCTCTTCTTGACTCGCAAAACGATCTCACAGTGGAGATCACAGGCAAATCAGACGCCTGGCTGGGCGACCCGGACAACGAAATCTTCGCCACTCTGTCAGAGGCCATCACCGCTGCATGGAGCCAAAGCCAAGACAATGTGAAACACCAGTACCCTCCCGTCTCCCAAAGTCCAAGCAACCAACCAGAAGCCAAGTCCATCCCAACCAGAGGACCCATCCCGACGCTCATTCGCAAAGATTCATCCGACAGCCTGGCTTCGCATGTCGAGCGGGTAATAACCTCAACAACAACCTCATCCGTCGGCAAAGAAGCAGCCAAACGCGCCGCACAAGCATCATCTACAGTACCAACCTCCTCAACCCTCACACAAAGCACACCCACATCATCCAAAGAATCAGTCGCCTTGTCAATTCGAACCGAGCCGGAAACCGACCCTACCGATGTCAAGCCATCACCGCCTCGCGCCGTGAAACCAATGTTCATCCGCGAGGGTGGCTCCATCCCAACAATCCGGTTCCTGGAAAAAGAGTTCTCCGCACCTGCTGCTAACCTCCCATGTGGCCAAGCCAGCGACAACGCCCACTTGGATAACGAGCGAATGCGCGTGGAGAATCTGTACAAGAGCCGCGAAATCTTCCGGTATGTCTTCGAGCATTTGGTAGATAAGTCATAAGTGCCATCAATGGATAGGTGTGAAGGGTGTGGAGTCAGCGTCGCCATCTGTGTGATTTTCTCGGGTCTCGGCTTTTCTTTTTCTTCTTTTTCCCATTTGTCATTTGCATTCTTGTCTTGTGTAAAGTATGACGTACAAATTATATTAACTGCATCTGATGTGTTGAATGATCTTAGGTACCAGTCCCAGTGGTGGCTTCATATGATAATGTACGAGTAAGCTAAGCTTCAAGTATAGACCGGTAGCCACAGACACGATGGTCGTCCTCACGTAGTAAACTGAACATTTCAGGACCTGCTAGATCCAATTGACACATATCCAGGCCCCTAACACCTATAGGGAAAACACTAACGCCCCTATCACAAACTCAGAGAAACTACCTTCGTGTCGCCCACACTCGTCCCCTTCGGCTCCACAAAGCCCCGTGTTTCAGCTGCCCTGGATTCCCGCTTGCCGATCCTCCAGTTCGTGTTCCTGTTTAATTCCATTCCAGCTCCATGCATAGGTACGTTACTTTGCTTATGTACTTTGTACTTGAGTACAGGTTTTATATACAATGACCGATCGATGCTTGCACCGGTGTACGTCTACAACATACCCATCTACATCGATACATTAACAAAAGCACGAGCCTTCATCAAAAACGGTATGCAAAAGCCCAGTGTGCAGTCCGAGATCCGGCAGTTCGCGCAATCGAAAGTGGCTGCTCTATTCCGAAACGAGGGAGCCATGCATGGGTGTTTCTTTGTCTGGTGGGGGATCGGTTATCTTGTAACTTTATACTGCATCATGGACACGTAGGTGAAGACAGGTGGTAGAACTAAATGGTAGATACAGGGGACTGGTCTCATTGCCACCTTTATGGAAGATGGTATAGTGTAAAAGGTACAGAATTGAGTTGATCTACTGTAGGGAAATGGTGTTTAGGTTTATAGTTCTTTGTGCGCTGGCCATGAACTGACGCCTTGACTTCCCAATATAGTCCACGGTTCTGATTAACGTTAGACTGTTTTGTCCTTTCACTTGGTTATGGAAACCTTCGTTTGGGGGTTCTTTAAGACTTGGTTCTTTCCTTTTGTTGAGTTCTTTATTTTGCCTTATCTGTTTCTTTGATTCTCTTCTTCCTTCTTTTCTCAATTGACTCCTGATGTTCTCGGTATCTTTCGATATGGCCAGTATTGTTAATGATAGTGTCTATCTCCTTAGTAGAGATGAAGCTGAAACTGAGCGGTACGTTTCTGAGTTTCGTTGCTCTTTTGGCGGATCGCCACTATTTATCACTACATCACTCGATCACAACATTACTTCATTTCACACATACACACGATGAACACATTTACTGTCTTTTTTATAAGGGAAGAACTCATCAAAATCTCCCACGACTCTATGAAGCCCCTGTGAAAGGAATTGACTGGCCGACCCCTGTCATAGCTACGCTGTAGCTCCGGCAGGCCAATTTACTAGCCACTAGAACCCCAGTCAAAACTCTTCCCTAACGCACTACTCGATAGCCTCAACAATCAACACAGATTTCTAGTCAAAATCTCAGGACATATCCTCCACCCATCAATCCCCACGAAAAACATAACAGCGGTCGCCGACCTAGGCACAGGAACAGGGTACGTGCAGTTCCTTCTCTTTCCCGTTGCAATTCCGTGCGCCAAAATCCTAATATGCCTCCAAGGCACATAAAAAAACAAGGAAACAACATTACACCAAACCCAAAAACTCTCAAATTTGAGAAATTCTGTACAACCCAAAAACCAAGGCAAGCTGACATTTCCCAGAATCTGGCTCGAAGACGTCGCCAAATGCCTCCCCAATAACTTAGTCTACCTCCACGGCTTCGACATCTCATCCGCGCAATACCCATCCGGAAGTGAGATCCCCCGACCGGGACATAATCCTATTCCGCTGAGCGTACACGACGCACTGCATCCATTCCCTACTGAGCATCATGGCCGGTACGACCTCGTTCATATCCGGCTTTTGACAGCTGGACTGAAGTATAAGGATTATGCAACTGTCTTGGAGAATGCGAGGGAATTGTTGAGTACGTATATCGTATAGCTATACCGCCTCGCCCTCCATATCCTTTCCTATACATCCACATCCACATCTACATCCACATGCTAAACATCAAGCAAACCAGTGCCAAACGGATACCTCCAGTGGGAAGAAGTAGACCACACAGCCTTCTGCACAAACAGCGTTCCCGAAAATCCAGCCATAACCAGACTCCGCCAATCCGTCATCGGCGCCATGCTGAAATTAGGTCTGTGGCCTTTCGCCCCGCAGCGCGTGCATGATCAAGTGTCTGCGGGTGGGTTTCGGGATATACAGCGTGTTACATATACGGCTGTTGGGAATAAGGGAATTAGGGGTATTTCGCAGAAATGGGTTGCTGGTGTTATGCGGGCTCTCGTGCCTGCTTCTATGGTTGTTACTGGGGAGGCTGGGAATGAGGGTCAGGCTAAGGAGGTTGTTGAGAGGTTGGTTGAGGAGTTTGATGATCATTGTCTTGGGGCTAGGGTTCTTGTCAATTTTGGGGTTACTGTTGGTAGGAGGTGTGATTGATTATTGTTTCTTTATTATTGGGTTTGACGTTGTTGGGTGTTTGAGATTGGATTGGATGGATGAGTGGTTGTCTTTATTTGTTGCTACTATCGACTTCGATTAAGCTGTGCTAGGCTGCGTCTTCAGAGCTTGAATGGATTCTTACTGGTTAGGAGATTTGTAGGGTTGTGATGGAGTGAAAGGAAAATGATGGTGATTTCTCTGTTTAGAAAAGAAAATTCATATCTGAAGACTGGGGCAAATGTCCGTTTTACGAGACAAAGGGGTAACTGGAGAGCCAAAGTGCTACCCCTGCTGGTATAGCGTCGTAGCGTCGTTCTATCTGAATATTTAATGTGTGGAAAGACTCAAGGTTCCAAAAAAAGAGTAGAAAATTGCGAAGTAGAAAATTAAGTAGATATCATGTACACGGTGTATCAAAGAGGATGAAGAAATGTTGTGTGACAACTGGTCTATGAGTCACTCGGTTTTTTGGCGTCTGCTTGTTGATTGCCATCTGCCTGTTGGTTGGCGTCTGCTTGTTTTGTGGCGTTTGTCTGCTCACCACCATCTTTGTTCTTCCAGGAACCAGCATAGTGGTGTTCCACAAGATAAGGACCACGGTTCTTTGGCCAACCGCCTTGTCCAGCGGCAAATGCTGCATCAGGAAGAACCAGGACATCCTGGAAGAGCGTTGGTTGGGTAATATTTGTGATATTGTCGCGTCCCATGGGCAAACCCATCTCCAATTCCAAATTCTGGAAGAGCGCGCGGGTCATGGCTTGTGGTCCTGTCACATCAACAACATCGCTGATCATTTCCATCGTGAGATTGGCCATGGTGACGTTGTGCTGTGTTGCAGAGTCTTCCAATGCTTTGGTGACATAATTGATCACGGCGACGATATGACTCGTTCTTGGCTTTGTCATGACTGTCCAACTTGAGAATTGAATCCCGTCGAATTCCAAACCAACGACCACGTTTGATTTGCTTATGAAATCTTTTGGAATCCACGTGTTGATTGGTTCATGACAGGTCACGTCGAGGTCACTCCAAATTCCTCCATCGGCATAGAGGATTAGCTGGCGGAGCAGATCGGCCTTGAGGATAGGCACTTGGAGAGATAGATACAGATCGAGAATTTGGGGATAGTCGGCAAATTGTTCGCGGACATACTCGTCTGCGCTCCCATCGGTAAGGATTTCATGTCGAAGGGCTGGATTCTTCTCTAGCCAACTGCTTATTTCAACCTGCCTCTCTGGGCTGACTCCCATGGGGCCAGACTTTTGCCACAATTTGGCCGGGAATGCCGAGTGCTTTTGATGTCCATGAGAGTTCTTGATGGGCAGGTAGCTCAGCTTTTCAGGGAGTGATGTTGCTTCTGAATGAGTGCTTGTTGCACTTTGCTGAGGCAAAACAGTTGGCGTGAGCTCAACAGAGGGTTCGCTCATTTTGACGTCCTCTGAGCAGACGCATGAGCTGTAACCGAGAGGGAAACTTGAGGTGTCATCACGCAGTTTGAGTGCTATCCAAAGAGACGATGCGAGGAAGAGGAGCAGCAAGCCTATCAGATAGTGAAAACGTCCCATCCTGGCCAGTGATGTGTATTCAGGAGGAAGTTGGGCCACAATCAGAAGTTATATTGAAGGAGACTGGTAGCCATCCTTTAGTGTAGCGGACGTCTTTCAGTTCTGGGGCTGTCCTTCAGTGGTGATTTGAATGTGAGACCCACTTTGTCAGATTTATCAGAAACTTGGCTTTCGCTTCCGGAAGTGTATCGCTAGTTCGTGGAGATCAGATCTCTCATTTGACCCGAATTTTCAGCAGTATAAGATCCACTCCGGTTGATGAGACTGTATCCCATCATATATTCCAGGAAAATGAACGTTTCGGACATGAAAAGTGACTAACTATTCTAAAGGACCGTGATTAGAACGGTCTAGTCGGAAGGGCTTATGTCGACCGAGGGTCGATATTAAGGGTCTCACATTGGGCCACTCACGTTGGGCCATTCACATTGTTGGGGTTGCGCCGCAGGGCCCGATTATATGCAACTAATCCAATCAGCGACTCTACCAGAACCACGCGCAAGTCAGCCTCGACTCGGTATTTTTAGCCAGCCATCGAAGACAAAATCTGTTTGTGGGGAGGTCTGGCCAGGACTATTTGTATTCTGATCCGATCAAGCCGGCTGGTAGTTGTATATCTGGCAACATACTCAAGACCTATTGAAGGTGTCTGAATGCGACTAATGATGGGGTTCTCCTGATTTTGCCCCTATTGCAAATGTGATATGTACCTGCAGCAAGCCAATGATAACGTGTTTTTGTTTTTCTTGAGTCTTGTCTGCCGAAGCTTAGCCACTTTGCAAACGCGACCTTTGATAAGGAATGTAGATTAAACCAATAAAATAGAAATTTCAATTGTCAAATAGGGGAAATGATCAAGGCTAAAGACAGAGAACACATTAACTTAAAGCAGCCGTGGTCTATCAACCCGAGGCATCGGCTACGAGAATCATTTTCCGACCAGCGGGTCTAAGGCCTCCTATATGTTTTACACCTTATGCATTTAAGATGGTGTTTTTCACTATCAATGCAACAGTTTGTACATCTACCTATGTCACATTGTTCAAATCCTTCGGGATATCATTCACGAAGGAGTTGAGTACCAAAATCATCAAATGATAAGTATGAGATTGACACAAATCGCGACGGCATGGCTTATTATGAGCATAGAAGCTAGGTATAACTACACAACACCACAAGGGGCTCTTTTGAAGGTGACACTCCTACATGCCTGACGAGGTGATTAGTCAGCGCCGACCTCGGCCCGCGATGACGTTGTAGACAACCTTGCAAGTTGGAGCTTCGAGTTCAATTTGAACCACTTCATATCACAATGGCTTCCAAAATCGCCCCCCAGATGTTCCGCGCATTCCGTGCTGCTCCTCGTGCTGCTCCGTGGGCTTTGCCTCGTGCGCCCGCCTTCCGTCGCTTCTTTGCGGCTCCGGCTCAAGACCAGCCGCGTCTTCGCCTGGGTTCGACTGGTATGAAAGTACAAGCACGGAGTATAACAACCAAGGCTGATCTAAGATAGCACCCAACTTCAAGGCTCTGACCACAAAGGGAGAGATTGACTTCCACGAGTTTATTGGCAACAGCTGGACCATCCTCTTCTCCCACCCGGCCGATTTCACCCCGGTATGCACGACCGAGCTTGGTGCTTTCGCCAGGATGAAGGGTGAATTTGATAAGCGCGGGGTTAAAATGATTGGATTGGTGAGTTCAGCCATTGATAACCCACCTGACACTCTTGGCTAATGCAACCTTTCACTAGAGCGCCAATGATCTCGGATCCCACGACGAATGGATCAACGATATCAACGAAGTCGGCTCGACCCAGGTCCAATTCCCCATTATTGCCGATGCCGACCGCAAGGTCGCCTTCCTCTACGACATGATCGACCAGCAGGACTTGGATAACATTGACCAGAAGGGCATTGCGTTTACTATTCGCTCCGTCTTCATCATTGACCCAAGCAAGAAGATCCGCCTTACCATGATGTACCCCGCCTCCACGGGCCGAAACTCCGCTGAGGTCCTCCGAGTCATTGATTCCCTGCAGACCGGTGACAAGAAGGGTGTGACCACCCCCATCGACTGGCAGGTCGGCGACGACGTCATCGTGCCTCCCTCCGTGTCGACTCCCGACGCGAAGAAGAAGTTCGGCGAGGTTCGCGAAGTGAAGCCTTATCTGCGTTTCACCAAGATTTAAAGACAGACTTTCCGTGTACAACATGTACAACACTGGATCCATAGAGAAATTTGAAAATGTCTATCGCGTTCCTAGTCGCGTGTTCTATTTACAGTAATCGCTCCGTGGATATCTCAACTAGCACCGGAGGAATCTCGGACCAATCAATCATAGGGTGGAAAATGGGTCTTGGTGATCGAAAGTGACGGTTCGACTGTGCTAACCCCTGACACGATTTCTGTTTAGGGCAAGGATAATCTGGGGGGAAGCCGTTCATTACTGCCCGTCCTTGATTCATGCGGGAACGATGTCCAAACTAAACCCATCAGGTTAATAGATCACGCCAATCAACCTCGGCTAGCTCCAGAAGCGAAGCGTCGATCCCCGATCAAACATCACTCTCGCAAGCCCTCCATGCACCGCCAAGCGCAATGCTAGCTGAGTCTCATGACGATCTATGCTCTTTTAGAACAAGGATCGCCTGTTCAGCAGGGTGTGCAGAATGAGTCCGAAATGCCCACACGGGCGTCACTCCTTTCCTGTTCCTGGGATATCGTCCGTGGTCACGCCCCGTTTTTATAAACGGCGGAATCTGTCGAAAGTTCTGCAGATTCTTAAATCTGGGGAAACGCACTCTTTCTTTACCTTCATGCGGGCCTAATACGTTCATTCTTATACTTGTTTTCTATTTATTTATCCGTGCTCGGAAGCACCCTGGACGCCATGGCTCCTTGGGCACATCTAGCTCTAGTCACTCTTTTCACCCCGCTTCTGGCCTCCCCAGTCAGCGAATCCGAGTCTTTAATCAACCAAAAGCGCGCAGCAGCAGGATATGAATCGCCTCCGTATTATCCCACTCCTCCTGGAGGATGGATATCCGACTGGAGCGAAGCCTACGAAAAGGCTTACAAGGTCGTGAGCAACATGACATTGGCCGAGAAAGTCAACTTGACAACTGGTACAGGTTTCTTTATGGGCCCCTGCGTGGGCCAAACAGGCAGTGCGCCTCGATTTGGTATCCCGAATATCTGCCTGCAGGACTCACCTGTAGGAATCCGGAATTCAGACCACAACACTGCCTTCCCGCCGGGCATTACAGTGGGTGCAACATTCAACAAGGATCTCATGTATGAGCGCGGTGTTGGACTCGGCGAAGAGGCTCGAGGCAAGGGCGTAAATGTTCTTCTCGGGCCTGCTGTTGGTCCTCTTGGCCGCAAGCCACGTGGTGGTCGTATTTGGGAGGCATTCGGTGCCGATCCATCTCTGCAGGCTTTTGCAGGTGCTGAAACTATCAAGGGAATGCAGAGCACAGGTGCCATTGCTGCTATCAAACATTTCATTGGTAATGAGCAGGAAATGTTCCGCATGAGCAGTATCGTTACCAAGGGCTATTCGTCCAATATTGATGACCGCACATTGCATGAATTATATCTTTGGCCTTTTGCTGAGGGTGTTCGTGCTGGTGTGGGATCGCTTATGACTGCTTACAATGATGTAAGGTGCATCGATCGTGGTTTGGGTTCGGCAACTGACTTGAAGTAGGTGAACAGCTCCGCCTGTAGCCAGAACAGCAAGCTGCTCAACGGAATCCTAAAGGATGAGCTTGGTTTCCAAGGATTTGTCATGACGGACTGGCTGGGCCACTATACCGGCGTGGGTTCAGCGCTTGCTGGTTTGGATATGGCTATGCCAGGTGACGGTGCTGTTCCTCTGTTTGGCGACAGCTATTGGGGACCGGAGATGTCACGCTCGGTTTTGAATGGAAGTGTCCCTATGGACCGCCTGAACGATATGGTACGTCGCCACCTTTAATCCAAAAAAATATCGAACCTAACATAATTAGGTCACCCGTATTGTTGCGACTTGGTACAAGTTCGGTCAAGACAAGGACTACCCATTGCCCAATTTCTCTACCAACACCCAAGACAAGGAAGGCCCGCTTTACCCTGGTGCCCTCTTCTCTCCATCTGGAGTTGTCAATCAATTCGTCGATGTTACCGCAAACCACAATGCCACAGTCCGCGCCGTTGCCCGAGAAGCCATTACCCTGCTGAAGAATGACATGGACATTCTTCCTCTAAGTCGCAACGATAATTTGAAAGTGTTTGGTACAGATGCCGGAGGAAACCCAGATGGCCTCAACTCATGCACTGATATGGGATGCAACAAGGGTGTTCTCACTATGGGCTGGGGCAGTGGTACTGCCAGGTTCCCATACCTCATCACTCCCCAAGAGGCCATTGCCAATGTGACGGACAATGTGGAATTCCACATCACCGACTCTTTCCCTTCGGAAGTCACCGCCAATTCCAGCGATATAGCCCTTGTCTTTATCAATGCTGATTCCGGTGAGAACTATATCACTGTCGATGGAAACCCTGGAGATCGAACCAACGCCGGCCTCAATGCTTGGCACAACGGTGATGACCTCGTGAAGGACGCAGCTAAGAAGTTCTCAAATGTCGTGGTGATTATCCACACTGTCGGACCAATCCTAATGGAGGAATGGATCGAACTAGACTCTGTGAAAGCCGTCGTCGTGGCCCATCTCCCCGGCCAAGAAGCAGGTAACTCACTGACCGATGTCTTGTTCGGAGATTACAGCCCCAGTGGACGCATGCCATATACAATTCCTAAGAGCGAAAATGACTATCCGGACAGCGTCAGCCTGATCAACCAGCCATTTGGCCAGATCCAGGACACTTTCACCGAAGGTCTCTACGTCGACTACCGCCACTTTATGAAAGCAAATGTAACACCTCGATACCCCTTCGGCCACGGTCTCTCCTACACAACTTTCAACTTCTCCCACCCCTCCTTGTCACTCATTACCCCCTTGGACACAGCCTACCCGGCAGCCCGTCCCACTAAACCTGCCACACCAACCTACAATACCAGCATCCCAGCCGCATCAGAAGTAGCCTGGTCATCCTTCAATTTCACCCGCATCTGGCGTTACCTCTACCCATACCTGGACAACCCCCAATCCATCATCGCATCCAAAAAATACCCCTACCCAGATGGCTACAGCGCAAAGCCACATCCTGTTCCCCGCGCCGGTGGTGGCCAGGGTGGAAACCCAGCCCTCTTCGAAACAGCTTTCTCGGTCCAGGTCCAAGTCCAAAATACAGGAGAGAGACACGGTAAGGCTGTTGCCCAGCTCTACGTTGAGCTTCCGTCTGCTATTGGTCTTGACACGCCTGAGCTACAGCTGCGTCAATTCGACAAAACCAAGGAGCTTGCCCCTGGTCAGAGTGAGACTTTGACACTAAAGATTACTCGGAAGGATGTTAGTGTTTGGGATGTTGATATGCAGGATTGGAAGGCTCCTGTTAATGGACAGGGGATTAAGATCTGGGTTGGGAATAGTGTTGCTGATTTGCCTGTTCTGTGTACTGTTGGTGGAACCTGTTCAGCTGAATAAGGTGCTGGTCGGGACTATATAGTCTAGCTCCTGTTTTCATTTAATCTATTTCTGTTATAGAACCTCGTCTGTTAGTTCAGTCATCTCCTGTATATCTTATCCATGGGTACGGCAGGCTAGTATGTTGAAGTATTCACTCGGGTAATCGAAGATCCTTGATTGTGAAATTGTAGAAAATGCTACACCATTCCAGTATCGAAGATTTTCAATAACTGTAGCTATGACATGAAGGGTCGGAACAAAAATAGAGGCAGCGGTCCAAATAGACTAGGTCCATGATGTCCAGCATCGATCGTTCGGGCATGAATATAGGAAACTAAACAGTGATAGCAGTGCAAACAGGCTAAGGGGCGTCTACTATTCCTTCATCCAGGCGCTCCGCTCTGGCCAAGGCATCCCCGCGGCTCCTGGTTAAGTGAAGAGGGTTGAAGGCACAAATTTGTAGTCTCTGCACGGCTTTTAGATCCACGGTGGTGCCCAGTCCGGGCACCTGTGGGACGTGGGCATTGGTGTTGCTGTACAGGATCTTCTGTGTCAACATTTCTTTCTTCGGGCCGTCCTCCGTTTCCGAAACTTCAGTGATTGGCTCCGGATACGCAATGTTGATGGTGCGTTCGTTGGTGCCCAAGAGACAACTGCTAGCGCCTTCAGAGCTGTGGCGAGACTAATTTCAGGCGGTTTTTTTGAAGGAGTGGTATTATAAGGATACCTTTCTCCGTTGCATTGTTAAGAAGTCGAAGAATCCCGTAAGCTCAAGCCGAGTTCACTTCTCTCTCTATTTGCATATTAGCTTACGACTAATCAAGTGTCAGATAGTACTCGGTCTTTCTTTACTCTTTCTTTATCTTGAGATCACGTCAAGTTTGTTTGTCGTTTGTGGGATCCATTCAGCTAGGTCAGGACAGGTCAAGCTCACCTCTCCCTCGATTCAAGTCTTAATTTACAATGACTCTAGTACCGTCTAATAATAAGTACTTACCCACTTTGACATCAGTTCAGGCTTCTTTCTCATTCAACATTCAATTCTCTAATCAGCCGCAGATGGTCCGTCGTTCTGCATGTCGTACATGTACCCACGGGAGTGCCCGTGTGGGGCCGTAAAGCTTAATCTGAATATACCACCATCTAGCTATGTACTGGATTCGACTGCTAAATGTTCTGACTTCTATTTTCAGATTAAAGTGAGTAAACATGAACAGACTAAATGAACAGGGGTATAGTGCCATCAAGCTTTTTGATGAGGTGAGCCAGTAGCAGAGGTTGCCTAGTGTGGCAGGAGCGCGTAGAACGATGAAAAGTGAAATCTTTTTGGCCTTTGTTGGTTTCCTCTTTTCTTCTCTCTCACTCTCATCAAAGCCAACTTCGAAGAGCTCTTCAACTGTTTTTCAAAGCTGTCCAGTATGGAGAACCTGTCGGCGCCCCTCTTGGGGCTGATTTGCGTGCTGTTCGTGCTGTGGGTGATCTGGGGGCCACGCAAGTGGCTCTCCTGTTATGGCGAGTATGGTGCCATTTTTTGTCGGATGCGTGTTTGTTGTGTTGGCCCTTTGGGCCAGTGTCCATAAGGTGGTGGCCTCTGGTGGCTACGGTTTTGCAATCTGGGGAATCTGGTCTTTCGCCCGGTAAGCAAAGCCGCCCCCCCCCCTCTTAAGAGCTTTCAAAATCCCCTTATTATCCCTCCAGATGGCTGGTTCCAGTTCGATACTAATAAATACTTACAGTGGGTTGTGGGCAAAGCCACCCACGCCCTTAGCAGTGCCTCCTCCCGCAGAAAGCGTTGATTTTGTCCCAGCCAAGGATTTCAGAGCTTTGGAGGTGCTGCTACGGGCGAGGGACCAAGAGATTCTTCAATTGCGTAAAAAACAGGATGCCAAGGTTGGCCAATTGAACGACACCATACGCCTGTACCAGAGGGGAGTTGTGTCGGGGCCTGGCCCCATACGCCAGCTCATTGATGAGCGGGCGGCGGCAGTCAACAGAGCCCAGGGCCTCCAGGTGCAGGTGAAGATTCTGGAGGAAGAGGGCGAGGTTCTGAAGACCCGGTTCCCGCATACGCATGCTCGATGGGAGCATCCCGTCAAATCAGGCGTCTCCAAACAGAGAGATCGCCAGTCAACCAAGCGGGTCCTGTCCCCAAGCAACCAAGTCGCCGTGGTTGACAGCATGTGGAGCGCTAGGTGTACCGCGATCCAGGAGAAGGGCCTGAAGGACCTCAACCTCATGAGCAATCGTGTTCAGTGTTTGGAGACCGACAAGAAAGACCTCTGCAAGAGCAATAGCGCTCTCAAGAACGAAGTCGAGGAGAACGTGTCTCTCCGATGGTATCAGGAAGGGGTACTTCAGAAAGCACACGCAGGAAACAAAGAGAAAGACCTTACAATCCAGCATCTTCTTACCACCGCGCGTCAACAAAATATGGTTTTGACCCACCAGATTGAGGGGCTACAGGTTCAGCATGAGATGACCACCGTTCAAACTCTTAACAACGAGATTGAAAACTCCCGCCTGTCGCTACTGAAGGCCCACGAATCTGCTCTCGCAAGTCTGAAATCTGAGCATGAGCGGAAAGAGTCTCACACAATTCGAGCTCACGAGGCGGAAATTGCAGATCTCATTCGACACCACAAAGAGCAGACACTCTGTCTTGAGGATAAGCTCATCCAAAAGCAGGCCCAGGAGTCCAATGCCCAGGTCCAGATGGATGTAATGACCCATCTGTTCAATAACCAGACTCTGAAATCCGAGAAGGATACGCAGACCGAGACCCGCAAGCATGATATGGAGAAAGTGGCTTTACGTGCTCAGGTAAAGGGTTTGGCAGCTGACGCGGCTTCCTACAAATCTAAGTTCAGAGATAGCCGCGAGGAGTATGATAAACTCAAAGCCGCAAATGAAGAACTCTTGGACCGAATTGCCCTGAACCTAAGTGCAGATACGGATGATGAAGACAGTGTCAACAAGCTTGACAAAGTCAAGGACTTGGAAAAATTGTTGGAACAAGCCGAAGACCGAATTGTTGAATCCCGTGTCCAAAACATTGAACTCCGGGACCAACTCAGAGCTGCGGAGAAAGCCCAAGGCATTACCAAATCTGGATCTGGTGGCATTACAAGACCAACACTCGCGATGGAGCAAAGCCCCGCGATAGCCAGCATGCCAAAGCGGTCGCCGCCCAATTTCACTGTGGTTTGGAAGCAATCGAACAAAAGCGAAAGTCCTCGGAGGATGCAGATAAATTGACTAGAAGGTGTGAGAGCTTGGAAATATAGTCCTCCGCCCAGGAGCCGTTGCAGAACTTGAAATTATAGTTCTCCGGCCACGAGGACTAAACTTACTATAGTTCTCGGATGACTCAGCCAACTCAATTCCCACTTCCTCTCCATGCGATCGTCATCTCCGATCTCCTCTCTTCTCTGTCTGCTCTCTGTCCTGTGTTCGCTGTCCTCTCTTTTTTTCCTGCTCTCACTCCCTGCTCTCGCTCCCTGCTCTCTGCCTCCTGCTCTTTGCTCTCCGCTCCCTCTTTTCTCTCTAGTCATCCTCTTCTTTCCGCCCAATCTTTCTCTTCCTTCCGACCACAGCATGTTCAATTGATTCTCTGCCTATGCATTCCTCGCCATACCGTTCTCCCGCCGCTCGGCCCTTGATGCTGGGCTTGGCAAAAATACTTTTCCTCGCCATCTCACAACTTCCATTCGCGACCGCAGCGCCCGCGCTTTCCCCCCTCTTTATCTCATCCGAGGCAGAACCACCAAAGGAACCCAGCGACCCGAGTCTATGGCTCTATCTGGGAGTGTCAGCCGCCCTCGTTCTCAGCGGTGGAGCGTTTGCTGGATTGACAATTGCCTTGATGGGACAGGATGAAGTCTATCTCCAGGTCATCAAAACCTCCGGCGAAGGCTCCGAAAGGAAAAATGCCACTAGTGTTCTCAACCTCCTGAACCACGGAAAACATTGGGTTCTTGTCACTCTTCTCCTCAGCAATGTGATCACAAACGAAACATTACCTATCGTCCTAGACCGAACACTAGGTGGTGGTTGGCCTGCTGTTCTAGGAAGTACAGCATTGATCGTCATCTTCGGCGAGATTGTTCCGCAGTCAATATGTGTTCGTTATGGTCTTCCCATTGGTGCCTGGATGGCTCCTTGTGTCCTGGTTTTGATGTACATTATGTCACCAGTGGCCTGGCCTATCGCAAAACTGCTGGACCGACTGCTTGGCGAGGATCATGGCACCATCTACAAAAAGGCCGGCCTTAAGACCCTTGTCACTCTTCACAAAACCCTGGGTGAGGCAGGTGAACAACTAAATTCCGACGAGGTTACCATCATCAGCGCTGTCCTCGACTTGAAAGAAAAGTCAGTCGGCTCAATCATGACCCCTATGGAAGATGTCTTTACTATGTCTGCAGACACCGTGCTGGATGAGCACACCATGGATTTGATCCTTTCTCAGGGATACTCTCGCATCCCCATCCATGCCCCCGATAACCCCATGAACTTCGTCGGCATGCTCCTTGTCAAAATGCTGATCACATATGATCCCGAGGACTGCAAACGAGTTCGCGACTTTGCTCTGGCCACACTCCCTGAAACACGACCAGAAACTAGCTGTCTTGACATTGTTAATTTCTTCCAAGAAGGCAAGTCCCACATGGTACTTGTCTCTGAATATCCCAGTGAGGATCGTGGCGCTCTTGGAGTTGTCACCTTGGAAGACGTGATTGAAGAACTGATTGGCGAAGAGATCATTGATGAATCTGATGTCTTTATTGATGTCCACAAGGCTATCCGAAGGATGGCACCGGCCCCAAAATCCCGTGTCCCCAAGGGCAAAATCATTGAAGAACCTCCTCTCAATGCCACTATTGTCACAGACGGCGATTTGATTGATGCTGACCCCGAAAATCCCGCGTCAGCTCCCAAACATTCCGATATGGTTCGTCGCCGAAGCTCTGTGGAAGCGCCTCTCCCCCGCTTCCAATTACGCAAGGCAAACGGCGAGCACAACTCAAACATGACAGATAGATGGGTGACCCAAATGGGCACCACAGATGAGATTCGAGAGCACCTGAAGCATCTCGGCCCGTCCAATCTTGCCAGTCGTCCGCGTCAAACCCGATACTCTGCTGTCAAAATCAAACGCGGCAATACCTCACCATCCCGCTCCACGCAGGCAGATTTCGAGTCTGCACACAGCGCATCTGACTCTCCCAATATTCAAAACACATCAACCGCTTATCAAGGCGGTATCGGCGCAGGCCTCCTCAACTCTGCCGGGCCAGACGCGAAGGATGGCGCGCATGCATTGAAGCTTGGCTACGGCACAATGTCTTCAAATGACGCTATGAGCAAAGGCACAAGTGCACAGCAATACAAAGACCTCCCCCACGTTTCCATTCCCGAGGCAGTCAACGAAGAGCAGGAAGATCAACCTCCTTCAGCTTCGACAGGAAAGGGCAGCAGTGGCAATGACAGCATTCGCTCAACCGATTCTCCTACTGGTTTCCCCTACCATCGCCGCGGGCCCGCTCGCAGTGGTAGTATAACCGAGCAAATAGTGGACGTCAACGGCATTCGCAAAGTCGTCCTCCACGCCAATGGCACGAGTTCCTCGGACAGTGAACCCCGCCCTCAGCCAGAATCTGAACATACCGATTCTGCGGCCACGAAATCAAAAAAGAAGCGCCGTCGCAAGAAGCGCGGAAACAACAAGACCGATGACGGCCCTTCCGAGGAGCAACCGTTACTCCAAGTATGAATTAGATGTTCATGACATTTTCAGCTACATTGCGGTAGCCTTTACAAATGAACGGCATGTTTACTGGGACAGTTTGTGCACAGTTTTGATCGTTACCTCGTTATCAATGTATTCTGTCGGTCCGCTTCTCACTCTTTCCACTATTCCTACTGCATATTGTCTATCCTTGTAGTATTTGGGTAGTGTGGCATTGAGCAGATCCAATAAAGTAGTCCCGGTAGTTCCGCTGTCCCATTATCTATATTAATGTGTTCAATGCTGCATTTTCCACCAGCTGATGTATGGCGTCTGCTCTTGAAATAGCTAGTCCCAACGAGGGTGTCTGTTGTTTGTCCTGCTAATTAGAGTTGCGTGTTCTAAGATGCGATTCTTCTTGTCTTGGTAGCTCGCGCCCCTAGCGTCTAGGCAAATTTACATCGCCAGCTATAACCTTACAGTAACAGAACGCATGTGAAACCAAGGGAAAGCAAAGACTATCTATAAATACTAGTCATGGGCAATGTAGCAGTCTGATGAATAATGTACACACGTACTGAGGCCATTCAGGTCGAATAACATCATTTCTTTGGTCGTCTCGAGAGTTGGTTTAAACTAGTAGTAGTGGTCACTTTTAGTTTGAGCGCGGCGCCTGCCTGATAAATAAACGCAGTCTTTCTTCACTTAGCCAGTCTTTTAGTAACAAATAAATAATGCATGTGGGTGAAAAAAAAAAGGTCAAAGAGTCGTATCAGACTTAGCAGTATATATCACGGCTTAGACATAATGAAAGCCGTGCCGCGAATTTGTTAACTACGAATGAACTACGATTATCTCCAAATATTGGTAATTGAATTTCTGATTCTCGAGACCAGATACATGCTATCCCAAACTTCCCCATACAAAAAAGGTCCTCGAAATGCTAACTAAAAATGACGGCAAAGGTACCACCGGGAGACAACAAATGCAACATGTGATCGCTGTTCATAAATATGTCCGTCATGTAGATGAGATGAATGATCAGTGGGGCCTCGTTAAAACCGTGAAGGGCTTAAAAAGTCTTTGAGAAAATGACCCGACACGGAAAGAGCACCCCATGTCGGATGATGTGTCGGATGATCGCTAGGCTGGTAGCCCATAGGTTGCCAAGAGTCAAGCAGTCTTGAGGGCCTGCGGTTGATGGGTGTGCAAGCCGTAGATCTGCGATGGTGACTTGAAAATGTTGGCGGGTATTGTCGCGATGATACCGAAAGTGGGAACCAGGTGATAGTTCTCGTTGGTGAAATATTTGATGCGATCATTGAAGGAGGGGATCCTAGTGTAATGTTAGTATTATTGATCATCAGATAGACACAGGATAAACATACGCGGAAGTGCTTTTGGTGGTTGCCGCCCTTTTGCACGCGGGCAAGATGGCGGTTCTCCTGGCGCATGCCACGTTGTCTTTCGCGGCGCTCTGCGACATGGGCGGCCTTCTTCTGTTCCTCAGTGGCTCGGATCATACCCAGACCACCGTTAGCGCGAGTGGTGAGGGCGCGGTGGTGGGTAGGACGGCTGCGGGGCTCTTCTTCAATTTCTCCGTTCTCAATGGCCAACTGGCGCTCAGCCCGTTCGGCGGCTGTGGGGTAGTTGTGCAGATTTTGGCGGTAGTAGACGTTGAGTGAGCGGTGACCGACGGTCTTTCCAGACGGAAGGTGAAGCTCGAACTCGTCTTCGATGGCGTTGGGTGCCTTTCGGTGGTAGTATTCGTCATCATCGTCAACTGAAGAGGCGGAACTCTCAGTTTCCCATCCTTGGTCATCAGCATCGGAGCGGTTGACTTTGACGCCGCCCTCCTCGGGCATGGACTCGTCGTCGTCGTCATCATCGTAAGTGCTCCGGAAGTCGTAGTATTGTCCGATTTCAATTTGTTCGTCTTCGGTTTCAAAGGCAATCATGCAGTGGCTCTTGTCGCGCATGTGGGCTTGAATAGCGTGGGGGCTGTCTTTGATGGTGTGGCAGTAGATACATTCAAAGTTTTCTGTGATCTTGCGGTAGAGATAATGCACAAGACCGTCGAGATCTGCCAGATATTGTTTCTCTGGGATGAACATGCCGTGAGCTTTGAGCATGTGGTCGACGTTGGCGTGGATGTCTTCAGAGTTGTCCTTGCAGAAAAGGCAGCGAGCTGCGGAATATTCCGCCATATCTGTGTCCTCATCTTCTTCGGTTTGCTCTTCTATGGTGGTAGACTTAAGGTTGTCGGTGATGTTGTTGACGTCGGTCTTGACGGGTTCTCCAAGGGAGAAAGCGGAACTCATGACGGAACCGGAGTCGCCATCCTTGCTCAGTTGAGCTTCGCGCTGCTTGTGCTTGGCGCTCTTGATATGGTTTTGGTAGGAGTTCTCGCTGTAAAAGGCCTTACTGCAAGTGTGGCAGGACTTTTCATATGAGGCCTTGGCGGCGGCCTCGGTGGATGTAGCTTTGGCGGCCAAAACCTTTTCGTTGAAAGTCTCAAGGGAGACAGGTGGCAAGGAAGCGATGCGGCGCTTCATGTTGTAAAGACTATGAAGGTTAGTATCGATATTGGAAAAAAAAAAAAAAAAAAAAGACTCACTGCCAATCTTTCCGCATGTGATCTCTCTGCGCATCGCTGCGGTGGAAGGCGACGAGACATGTGTTGCAAGTGTATTGCAGCGAAGACGCCGCGGTGTCCTGGTTTGCGGACATTTTGGATGTTTGACCGAGGTTGTTGGAAATGGTGGGTTTTCCTTGGTTGTGGGATGAATATTTATCGCAGGCGGGGTACATGCGAAGGCTCTGATTAGGCCGTGGTTTGGTAATTTTCGATCGATCCGCGATGCGTCTTATGGTCAAAGTGGCCAAAAATTATGGGACTGAGAGTGATGTAAAGGAGAGAGATTCTGGTAGTCGAAACTCCAGTGAGTCAGGCCTTGTAGTCGAGTGAGACGGATTCATGGTTGATCAAATGCGAATAATCTTCTTATCGAGACGCTAAGCCTATTCGGGACAAAGCTAGACTTTTCTTAGTAAATGTGGCATCATCGTCGATTAATCAGCAGCTCACCGGACTATTGAAATTCCGACCTCCGGGCCCCGGACTTCTGCCTGAGGCCAACAGTCTCACTGCGATGATATCAGGTGAGCTGTCTTCGCGTTCACGGTGTTGTTGGCAGCCTAATCACCATCCACCTCACCCTCTTTTGGTTTCTCAGAAATGCGAATTTCTTGTTCAAAATGACCAGGCTCCAAGGTGCCTCTATTGATGACCCCGATCTCGCGCGGTCTGCCGGCGGCAACGGACGAGCTCACATCTATCGGTCAAAGCTGCCACCAAATGCACCCGAGAGTATTACGCAGAACACTATTGAAATATCGGACTCATCTAGGGTACTACCAAGGTACCGCGATGAGCGAAGAAGAGGATTTAATGGGTTGGTGAGAAGGTGAGCTTGAAACACCCGCTTCTACACCCGCTTCTACTTCGCCGCTTACCATTTTTGATAGATACAAAGCCCAACTCCTACACGGCTGTGAAGACCCTGGATGTCAAACCCCTACCTGCGCCAGTCGCCGCCGAAGAATCAGCGAGGGACCGTATCGCCGCTACACCGAACTGAGTGCGCGAACCCTTGCCTGCTACCTTGCAAGCCTGGATGATGCGGAGAGTGGTTTGTGTCAAAATACGCCTAAACTTCCGCCCGAATTAAAAGCAGAGGACTACCATCGTATTTCATTACGTCGATCACGTACCCTCGAAGCGCAGAAAGCTGCGGCCCGCAAATCCCCCAAACCGGAGGAGTTACCTGGCAGTGGCGAGGCAACTGTTGAAAGCACAAATGAAGATACGTCCCAGGTACGGGGCACAAGCTACATCCAAGACCTCGACCAGGCGGCGAAACAGCAGCTCAAAGACCCCAAGTCTTTTACTCAAAATCTCTTCGACACGATATCATTGCGCATGGTTGAATGGCTTCCTCTTCGTCGAGCACCAGATTCGATTGAATTAAAGCCTATTCCAATCCCGCAAACAAAGAGTGAGTCTGGCAAGACACAAGGACACGAGAAACTCTCGAACACACGCCGAAAATCCCACGGGCGATCCGTCCCTACGCAAAGTCAGCCTCGTACTCCATCATCCCGAACACAATCTGCAGTGGAGCTCAAATTTCCGAATCAGCATGTCAAACGGCGATCTGTCCCCGAAATTGACCACTGGCGTCAAAGTCCACGATCAAGCCTAGAAGACAAGCGGAAGCCGGAATTCAATCTCAAACTTCCACCGTCATCTGCCAATGAATTCCCCTGTCTACCCTCTCCTCCAGCATTAAAACATAGACCTCAAAAGCATCGGGGAAGGATCGGGGAATCAGAATCCGTTCCCAAGGAACGTCGCAAAACCCAACGACGTGTCTCATGGGACAGTGAGAAGCTTTTGCATCACGTCTCCGGCAAGGCCACCGTGAACACTGAACTTCTTCCTCTAATGCCAGCTGATGCCCAGTCACCCAGTGAGCGTAAAGCAAAGCACGACCGTGTTGAGCACTCGCCAGATCAGGCGCCATTGGCACAAACAGTTACCCATTTCACCCCAGAAATTATCGATGGCCTGTCACAAGTCATGATCGAGTCTGAAGAGGATGCTGAGAGTTGGAAAGAGGAACTTGATCGCATGCAGTCAGCGGGAAGCTTCGAGCAACCTGACTGGCGATATGCGACTCTCAAACAACGTGAAGCTTTCCCTTTCGTTGCTCAAAGTACTTTTTTTGTGTTAAGTAGCCCTCGTCAGATTCTGCGCTCCTTTGGCAAAGAGCAAACAGACATTCTCGAGGCAAATCGTCTTGATGTGACAAGTGTGCATACATCGCTGCAGCGCTTGTTTTCTCTATGCCCGTGGGATATTGCATTGCATAGTCTATGGAGTAGTTTGGATAGGATGTTTATTCCACCAGATGGATTCACCTCGGGTCGGCCATCTCGCCGTTCGTCCCGAAGCTCGACAATGACCGGGCCAGTCCCAGTCATTCCACGGCGGTTGTCTGAATCCGTGGAAGAGCATTTGTCTGATCCTGATGCTGCCTACATCACTACTATCATTTTATTCGCCTTGGTAGGCTCGGTCCCAAAGATTGACCAGGGAGCTTGGCGGGCAGTTGTTCAAATGCGTGCCTCTGGCTTTGTTGCCTCTTTATCGGACATGCGCAAGCTGCCTGTCGAGTCTGCACAACAAGCAGTTGAGGTGACAGACCGATTCGAGCATGAGCTAGGACTTCGTTTGATCAACCGTCTTGTGCGTGCTCTCACTGCGCGCATAGCCTATCATGAAATCTCCAAAGCGCGACAAGTCTACAGTTTGGACTTTCCCAAACAGCGAAAGATCAGCGTGTTGGACCGTGTGATGGATTATCTCAGTGAATACCACAGTTCTCAGGATGACACTGGCTCAATCAACCCCTCTTCCCTCATTGTTGAATGGCTTCGGACACTTTTCTTGCGCGAGTGGGACGGCAACCCAGATATGGCTCGTAGCAGTCCGGCTGGTGGTGCTGTACAGATTCTAGCCTCGATGTACAAGCAAAGAAACCGACTCGGTCTGTCTGCCGAAGACTTCCACACACCCCTTCTCGCAGAGCGGCTGGACCCCTTGGAGATGCCTGTGGCGTGGGTTGGAGGTCTTCCAAACAACCGAACAATGCATCTACTATCATACTCCTTCCTCTTCCCTCCTTCTTCGCTTGTCATTTATTTCCGTTCCTTGAACTATTCAGCCATGGCTAAAAGTTATGAGGCTGCCATGACCACCACGAGACACGTCACACAAACCGCCTTTGGTGCTATTCAGATTACAGAGGACCTTGGCCTTCTCACTCGCATGAAAACATCTATGTCAACGTACCTTGTTCTTGTTGTTCGACGAGACAACATTCTCTCAGATGCACTAAGCCAGTTATGGCGACGGGAAAAGCGAGAATTGATGCGACCGCTGAAGGTACAGATGGGAATGGATGAAGGAGAAGAGGGCCTTGATCACGGTGGTGTCCAGCAGGAATTCTTTCGTGTGCTGATGGGTCAAGCCTTAGATCCGTCCTACGGCATGTTCACAGTTGATACCCGACACCGAGTCTCATGGTTCCAGCCTTGTGCGTTGGAACCCTTGTACAAATTTGAACTTATCGGTCTGTTGATGTCTATTGCCATCTACAACGGTCTTACGTTGCCTGTCAATTTCCCCATTGCATTTTACCGCAAGCTGCTAGGGCTCAAGGTGAAGCATCTGGAACACATCCGTGATGGATGGCCGGAATTGTCTCAAGGTCTAGAAACCTTGTTGTCATGGAAAGATGGCGACGTTGGCGATGTTTTCACACGCACATACGAATTCAGCTGCGAAGTATTCGGGCGAATTGAGACAATCGATATGCAACAAGTCGACCGTGATGCTTTGTGGCCCATCTCTAGCAAAATTGCCGAACGCGGCTCTACTCCTGGGTCTAGTGCGTGGATGGATGTCCCAATCTATTGTCAGCCTACACCCACCACCAGTCCACAATCCATGGCTGTCGAAACCGGAACCGTATCCAAACATGGCTCGGATGCTCTATCAGTGTCAGAGTCTTCACTGCATTTGCCCCCAGAAGAGGCCGCTCTTGTCACCAACCGAAACCGACACCAATTTGTCAAGGACTATATCTTCTGGCTTACGGACAAATCAATCAGACCACAGTTTGAAGCATTCCAAAGAGGTTTCAACACATGCTTGGACCGATCGGCTTTGTCAATCTTCACCCCGGAAGCCCTCAAGACCGTGGTAGAAGGTATCCAGTCAATTGACGTGAAGGAACTTGAGAATCACGCCCGTTATGAGGGTGGATTTGGTCCTGATCATCGTGTCATTCGTGATTTCTGGAGTGTCGTTCAAGAATATTCCGATGACAAAAGGGCCCAGTTACTCGAATTTGTCACTGCCAGTGACCGAGTTCCTGTCAATGGAATCTCCAGCATTATGTTTGTGATTCAGAAAAATGGTGTCGGCGATTTGGTAAGTTCACTCCATCCTACCTAGGTGGCTCATACTAATTTATAAAGCGTCTTCCTACCAGCTTGACGTGCTTCGGACGTTTGCTTCTACCAGAATACTCATCAAGGGAGGCATTGGCAGAGAAGCTTGACAAAGCTCTTGAGAATGCCCAAGGATTCGGCGTTGCCTAGGATCTATACATACCCATTTGTGACCTATTGAAGCCATGCATATTATTTTAGCCCAATACAGCATTTCTCAGCCTGAACAAAGGAAATGGTAGAACGGACAAATCAAACGCTTTATATTGCCATCAGCCCCATCGCGACGCTGTGGTTCGCCTGGCACAATATGATCGGAGTTCTGAACTCTGTTGACTCTTAAATTACATATATTTAAATATTCATCCTGAGCTCTACATTTTGTAGAGCTTCATTGACGTTGCTTATAAATTATACTCGCACGTCCCCCCGGTCCCCGCCACCCCACGTTCGATAAGACTCATTCAGGGTCTTCAATACTTAACTTCTGCAACTATTACCATGGCCCCAATTATTCACTGTGTCCGCCACGCCCAGGTATGCAACCTAACAATGATCAACATGCCGCATTCTCAAGTCGGCAATCGAGTGCGCTCAAGTGCAGGCAGGCTAACAATCGCAGGGCGTGCACAACCTCTGCACCGAGAACCACGTTATACCCGACCCTCTCCTCACAGACCTCGGCCATGAGCAATGCAAAAAGCTGCGCGAAAGCTTCCCGCGCCATGCTGACATCGACCTGGTGACCACCTCACCGCTCCGTCGCACCATCTACACAGCGCTGGAAAGCTTCGAGCCTGTCTTCCAGGCCAAACCGGACCTAAAGGTTATCGCCCTCCCCGATATTCAGGAGACGTCAGATGTTCCTTGCGACACTGGCAGCGAGCCTGAGTTGTTAGCATCCGAATTCAAGAGTGGCGTAGATCTGGCGCTAGTGCAGAAGGGGTGGAACAACAAGGTATGAACTGGAGCCCCTCTCGTACAGGTAACACTAACACCAATAGCAGTCCGATCGCTATGAGCCAACCAACAGAGCACTGAAGGAGCGCGCCCGCGCAGCCCGCCGCTGGTTGAAAGCTCGCCCAGAGAAGGAGATTGTGATGGTCACGCACGGTGGATTCCTGCACTATTTCACCGAAGACTGGGAAGACAGCAGCCAGTTCCAGGGTACGTGACATAACACAAGGCGCGAAGGATTAACCTAACGTTTCACAGGAACGGGGTGGACTAACACCGAGTACCGAACCTTTACTTTCACTGAGGAGGTGCACACCGACGACCTCGACGGAAACCCATTGGATGGCGATAATGCTTCCATTGAGGAGACACTCGACTCTCGGGACCGTCGTGGTAAGAAGGGTCCTATGGCCAGCCGGGAAGAGCAGCGGAACTTGTACAAGCTCGGTACCCAGGGCTGGGATGACCAGGGATTGCAGATGAGCACGGCTGAGCGTGAGGCGGCTAAGGTTGGTGGAGGTAAGGAGGTGAATGGCGTTCGGGTATGAGGTGAAAAGTGACTTTGATTTTGATATTACATTGCCATTGTCAGGCTACAAAGATAGAGCCGATAGATTGGTTCGCATTGTAGATAGACGAAAATAATTCATTGCTGGGCTATGTTCCTTTCTGCTCTTCCTTTCCTCCTTCTCTTGTCTTCTTTCTTGCCTCGGGATAATGGCCTTGAGCCCCTGGGACGAAAATAGCTTTCGAGTGTTTCATCGATAATAGCACAACGATATAGGTCAACTAGACAAGGGCCCCACGTTGTAGTCTTCTTTACACTTCCCTTTGAACATTCGTAGACTATCGTGTACAATGCCCTTCTTCTGTCTCGGAGTCAATTCTGCGACAAATATGACAGGGACTTCACAAAGGTCTTGTAGAGAGGACCATGGCTGAGTTAATTTTTGTATTAGATGGGTTATCTATATAATGGCCTTCTTCCTCAATTGTAAATCATCAGCATCGACTGCAAGAGCTTGACTCTACTGAGCGTCACAACACGCAGCGTTTCAATACCTTGGTAGTAATATATAATCATCAGCTGAGTATCTTCTACTGATATACAGAGCTAACATACCATCCAGACTGAGTATCTCTTTCCAATATGCCATACAAGATGCTAACGATGATCTAGGAACTTGCGCATCCCAACCCCATATATCTCATACTAGCCTAAGTATATTCTTTCCCATCAAACAGTGCAGAGTCTAACATATCATGTAGTAACATCCATCAATTTTTGGCCAAGTATTCTCCCTTCAAGTTCTGATAACAATTGCTAACTTTGATTCGCATGCCGACCACGATTATATGTCTTACCAGCCCAAGCACATGCTAGCCAGTTTATACCCACTCTTTTGGCTCGCAGATGCTGGCGTATGGTCTAGGACCGGTCTCATACCACCGCACCACCCCATTCATATCTGATTAAGTATATTCCCATCCTGTTTCTATATGTATATGCTAACAGCCACCTAAGACCATTACACCGCAGAAGCGACGTCGTACTAGGCTGAGTATATTCCCATCCCATTGCACTTCACAGATGCTAACATATAGTACAAGACTACGACTACGATGACCCTCTCCCTATCCCCTGCCAACCATGTAAGTAACCCCTCAATATTGATTGTTGAAATTGGATGTCTACTGAATTGAGACGCATCAATATCAAGGCCAACGAGATTGTTTAAGTCTGATCTTTCTCTTCATAAGAGGAAGACCCTATATAAATGAGAACTCTTCTCCTGATCCATACTCTACTTGGTAGGTCTAATGCTGATCACCAGATTCATGCCTTATATGTCAGGCATCTAGCCTGGATTCGCCATGATTCTCAACACACCCCCTCAGCGTTAGATCCTTGCTATTAGCGTATACGAGCGCAGCGGATAAAGCTCTTTTAATGCTGGCCCTTGATTGGTCATTTCAGAATACTGCTTCCAATGCGAGACCTTGTCGAAATGCTTCAAAGGCAGGCTTGGCAAGTGCCTTGGTGAATCCATCTGCTATATTCTTGACGCCAGGGACGTGAGACAGGCGTATCTTGCCTTCTTGTACCCTTTCTCGGGTCCAATGATAATAAGTCTCGATATGACGGCTTTTTGACAGATACTTCGCGGTTTTAGTCATTGAAATTGCAGACTTGCTGTCACTGTAGATGTGTATAGGTTCTGACGTTTTCGCAACTTGTAGATCGATAAGTAGTCTGTGAAGCCATAGACCTTGGCTTCCTGCGTCTGAAAGAGCGTAGTACTCAGCTTCAGCTAAGGACTTCGTGACGTAGGTCTGCCGTTTTGATGTCCATGATATAGGGCCGCTAGCGAGGTAGAAAACCCAGCCGGTCCGGCTTCTTATTGTGTCAGGGTCTGAGGCAAAAGATATATCCACACACCCCTAGAACCCGCTTCCTTCTTCGGTTCTCGGACGTCCGTAGGTGATAGCAAGGTTGCTGGTTCGCTTAGCGTAATGGCAGGTGCGGTAGGCAGCGGAGAGGTGAGATTCTTAAGGGCTAAGATTGTGCTTCGTGAGCATCCCGAGGGAGAGAGCGAGGTCTGGACGGGAGACAGTGCTAGCGTAGTTAAGGCTTCTAGTAAGGGACTGGTAAGTCTTTACTACTTGCTGGTCTACCGGCGTATTCGTCTTCTTTAGTTCTGTTTTAGGACTCAATGGAATAAGCGGTCTTAGAGAGATAGAATGATGCTCCGGGAATTTGTCAATATAGGCTTTTTGGCCTATATGCATGATACTAGCTTCTCGATCTCTCTGTATCTTAAGGCTAAGGTAATAAGAAACTTCGCCTAGATTAGAGATTGACCACTGCTTCGCTATCGCTTCTTTCATCCGATATAGAGAGGTGGGAGATGAAGCTACGAGCAATATGTCATCAACGTATACGAAGATGACGATAATATCACCCCCTTGCTCGTGGCGTATATATAGACATGGGTCGGAAGCAGAGGCGCTAAAATGCTTAGAGAGGAGGAAAGTGCTGAGAGTCTTATACCAATTGGCCGCTAACTAGCGAAGGCCATAAAGACTCTTTAGTAGACGGCAAGCAGTTCCTATAGACTCAAATCCGTCTGGATACCGTATATACGTCTCCTCTTCTAGTATTGCGTTTAAATAAGCTAGATTGACGTCCAAATACGTCGTGTATAGCTTCTTTAATATAATAACTACAAGGAGTACTCGGAGTGTTTCATAGCGCCCTATAGCAGCGTACGCTTCCTCATAGTCAATGCCTTCTCTCTAGTGATTACCGCGGGCAACCTATCGTGCTTTAAACTTGGCAGGACGGCTATTTGCATCAGTTTTGAGTTTGAATACCTAGCGGCCCGAGAGGACTTTAGCTTTTGGTGGCGGAGTTACTAGTCGCCAAACTTTGAGTATCTCAAATTGAGAGATCTCGGACTTCATGGCTTAGTGCCACTAAGGCTAGTACGGTAAGGCTTAGGCCTCCCGTAGAGATGTCGGAGACTCGAGCCATTGACTAGGCGTCGACTCGATCTCTTGGATAGATAGAAGCGCTAGGAGAGGGCTCTCTCTAGAGCTCGATTCCGCAAGAAGTACTATAGTGCTATCTTTATAGCGCTGAATCTCAGCTTTTTCTGCTCTTGTGGATACTGAAAATAGCTGGATTGGGTCTCTAGAATCGGCGTCTAATGCGTCCGATGCTTCGGAGACTTCTGATTGATCCAAATTGTCGGAATCCCCGTCTTCTAAGACGTAGAACTCGTCCTTTTTGGGTGCGTCTAAGTCCTAAGGGTATTGGCAAATATACTTGCTAGACTTAGCGGTAGTTGGTGGCTAATTAGGGTCATTGTAGAGGTCCTAATCAGGCCCTTTATCGATGATTGCGTCTCTTACGATATGCATTGTGCCTCCTTTCTTGTTTTGGAATGGTCTATAGACACGGTATTGCGCACCGCTATAGCCGGTATATCTAGTAAGGAAACCGAGTTCAGCTCTCGGAGCAAGGTGGCGTCCTTGATCACTCTAGTGGATAGCTTCTCGTGGGAAGACTTTCTAGACCTTGCTTCCTAAGACACGTAGGAAGGAGAGGTCAGGCTTCTTGCCGTAGCGGGCTTGGTAAGGGGTAGTTAGAGGCTTTCCTTGTATCTTTCGACCATTATATACCGTCATGTTTCTGATAATAATAATACTGCGCATGATTTCAGCCTATAAGAACGAAGGGAGCTTGCTGTCAGCTAGGACGCTACGCATTCTCTCACCAACTATTCTTATTAAGCGCTCCACTTTGCCGTTTTGTTCATGGGCGTACGGGGCGATAAAGTGCTAGTGAATGCCTCTTATCTTAGCCTAGTATTGGAGCTTTTAGAATGTGAATTCTCTGCCATTATCGGACTAAATAGCGCTAATTTCTGGTCTCGGTTACGGACGGTCTAATAGAGTGACGAAGTCTCTCACTTAGCATTCGCGGTCCTTTTCGTAAGTGCTGACAAGCTCTTTTATAGCGGTCTCGGCTTCTGATTTTGTTCTTAGGAAGCGGATTTCAGCCTATCCATCGAAGTCGTCGATTATTAGCAGCTAGTATCTTGTACCGGTCTCGATAGCTAGTGTGAGCTTGCCGCCGCCGCCGATATCCACGTGGACTAGGTCTCCGACTCTCTCTAACCGGTGAAGAACCGGTTTCCGGTTTGGTTTATAAGGTGCTCGTCTAATAGCGCAGTCTCCGCAAGGCTGTTTCGATACTAAGAGTCCTTCGATATCGATACCGTCCACTATTCTTGCCGTCTTTTGCACCCCCTAAGTGCTGATATAGCCTAGTCGGCGGTGCCAAGTGTTGATATTGACTTTGGACTTATCGAGGTATAGAGGACCCGGATTCGACTTAGTAGCAAGGCTTGCCGTGCTAATGTCGGATCGGACGTTAAGTGCTCTGGTGGCTTCTTAACCGTTAGAGTCTCCTATAGAAGAGATATTCAATAGCCATTGCTTGTTGACCTTCCTTCCGGTGCCGAGAATGCTGCTATCTTGTCGACATAAGAGTAACTAGTCTAGGCGGTATATTGCAGTGATTCCCTTTTTAGCAAGCTTGGTCCCGCTAATCAAATTGACGTTTACTCTCGGCAGCTAGATCACGTCCGTAAGGATGATATTGGCGTCTTCTCGCTTTCTCGATCCTTTTAGTGTTATTTTCACGTTTCCGCGCATCCCTTTCTCGACGGAAATACCGGATACTATTTAGATGCGGAGGGAGATAGGCTTCGTGGTGTCAGGTATAAAGTGATCTAGCGATACCGTGAAGTGCTCGTCGGCGCTAGTGTCGTAGATCCATTGATACGCCGATATATTCAATAATGCTGAGAGTATCTAGACAGTATTAAGGTCGACTTCAGCCTCACTTACTAGGCTAGTAGAGAAGACCTCTACTTTTTCGTCCGACTTGCCACCTCTTTTGGGAGTTTTCTTTTCGGGGTGAAGAATCCAGCAATTGGTCTGCTAGTGACCCTTCTTTTCGTAGTAGTCACAAAAAGGCCTAGGTTTTGACGCTGTCGCCGGCGCTAAGCGTGAGGCGTAAGCTTCACGGGTCTTGGTATCCCGGTTTAGTGATCTCTCGAAGTCTTCGAGTTCCGCGATAAGGTCGTCGAATTGATAGATCCTGTCGGCGTCTACTAATCTACTTACACGTAAAACGAGACCAGTCTTCCAAATGTCCTATTTCGGGCTATCTAGCCTTTTGAGGAAGAGGAGACACTTGATACGTTCACTTTTAGGGCTTCCGATAAAAGCTTTTGTCTATGCTGTCTGAAAGCGGAATTTGTATTGATCTAATGATGTGCAATTGCTTTCGAGTATATCGTTAAGCTTATCGATACCACTTGTTGCTATTGAGATCTCGCTTAGTGCGTATGCACTCTCAATAACTTTCTATATAGCGGCTAGATCTCGAAGCTTTCTATCTTGTAGATACTACTGAATTTGCTTCGAGACGTGGCTATTGATAGCCCTTCTTGCGAATGATACGAATTGAGCTTGTGCCAGGAAGTAGCGGTGCTCGCGAGGCAAGATAATGACTTCGCCGTATACAATTGGAGTGACGGTATTGTCATCAAAAAATTGCTCTATATTGTCGGCCCAATAACGATAATTGGCCTTGCCCTTAAGGGCATCGAATTTAGTGTTGTCTTTGAGCTTTTTGACGACCTCCTTCGCCCTTTTGAGGTGCGAAATAGCTCTTTCAAACTCGGGTGATTCTCTCGGTCTTATTTGCGGACGGAGGTATTGGTTACCGACGGTCTCATGCTTATACGGCACTTCTCTCTCAGTGGACTAGAGAGGTACGGAATCACGAATTGGTGATAAGTTAAATACGTCACTTCGGTTGCTCCTATCTATATTAAGTATAGGGCGTCCATTCGCTTGGATGTTGTTGGCGCTAGTGGCTTCTAGTGCCGGGAAGTGCAGTGGATTTTGCTGCTGAGAAGGCTCTTGACGAAGAGTACGGTCGGCGTCTCTATAGTCATCATCACTTTGTGGGATTGACTCGGTGTCACTTGGCGGTTCACTTTGATTAGGAGCTTGCCGTCTAGGACGGAGACGTCGAGGATTCGTGTCAGGCATCGTTTCGGAGGGCTCGGAGGTAGGGAGGCAGGCGTTTTATAGCAATGGTGAAGCTATTCCCGGCTTAATGGAGGCAAGCCGGGCTCATAACCTGTTGAAATTGGATGTCTACTGAATTGAGACGCATCAATATCAAGGCCAACGAGATTGTTTAAGTCTGATCTTTCTCTTCATAAGAGGAAGACCCTATATAAATAAGAACTCTTCTCCTGATCCATACTCTACTTGGTAGGTCTAATGCTGATCACCAGATTCATGCCTTATATGTCAGGCATCTAGCCTGGATTCGCCATGATTCTCAACATTGATCATTGCTAATATCTGCTCATCTAGGACATAATTTTCCCAATACAGACGAAATTGGTACCTGTTCAGACCGTTCATCTTTTGGCTAAGTCTACTTTTGTCTTCCCTTCTCCCAAAAGTATGAATTTCAAACTAACCTTGAGTGTATAGGAATCGCCGTCCGACCACAAATCCCATGTTACATTTGATTGATGTCGCTTGCTAAGTGAATCATTGCCCTCCCTTTGAGCCGGATCAATACTAACTTACTATACGCCCACCGGTATCCTTTGTCCCCGACAAATCCCCTACCTGCTTCCAGCCAGATAAGTGATCCATCCCTCTTTCCCCCGTTGTTACTGATGTGTATTTGCAAATAGCACCGAGATGGATGTATATCGTGATTTTCTGTCGTCGCTACTGTACAGATAATTAGATTTCTAGCCCCTGCTTGTTCAGTACTAATGGTTGTCCAGATTCGTCGGGGTTCTTTGTTTACAAAGCAGTCTATTTTTGGCTTTTAATGGGAAAATTCAACCCCTGTGCCTATAGTTGCTGACATGTAAGTACTTAATAGGCACCCGGGTCATTGATTGTCTCTATTGATAAAACAACCAGACCAATTTTTGTCCTCGTTTCAGCTAATTTGGTTATAGGAATTGTCGATCCCGCGATACGAGATTTCTCGCCAAGCGATATATTTCGATCAGATGAGTCAGCTCTATTCTCCTAATTGTGGCTAACATGGATTAAACAGGCACTTTGACCCTGTTAAGACCAGATATCATGTGCTGGTGAGTTCTCCAAATAATTTACACTACTAGCAAAGTATAAGTACCTCATCACTTTATTTCGCGAGCTAGTGTGAGGTAAATGGGTCTGGAATGCGAGAGTTCTGGATCATTTCTAGAAATCAGCTACGCTAGGTCAGAACTTGGACCCTATTGCTAATAAACACTAGGTCCACTCCCTCCGGTATCGCCAGTATGTGTTTAATAAGCTTACGGCTAAGTTCTTCCAAGTTCTCCTTTCCTGTGGGCATGAATGTAACACTAATTATTTCTAGCTCATTTGCTTTTCTTTGACGAAGTCGATCTTTTGGTTCGTGCAGGTATGTGAATGCCCCAACCGTTGCAGCTAACATGAATAGAAAGAGAAAAGGAAGGCACGGCCTTGGGCGTAGAAGTGGACCCTAGGCAGCTAGTTTATTCGGGGCGTTAATGTAACTCTATTGCGTGAAGGATTCTAAACTAATCAATTTAGGATATGATACATCATGTCCCGCATTATGCAAAGGAACGATGATCAGCGAAAAAGATTCCTAGGGTAGGCTTTGCCTACTCGTACGTCTGCATAAGATTGCAAAACTGGCTGTATAGTTTTGTCATGTCGCAATTCGCATCTAGTGTGGTAAATTTTCGTAAATTTTCGCATTATGTCTTTTCCAATCACTCTTGCCTGTTTATCTATTTCCATAGACCCTCGAAGGATGTGAAACAAAGTAAAACGTGACTAAAGTAGAATGGTAGTTAGTGATCAATTAATAATACTCAGCTAAGCAGACTTGCAGAGTAATTTGACTCGCGGCATAAAGCCGGGCCGTCAGATAAGATTATGTCTCAGGGACCTTCCCGAGACTGTTAGAAGCCGAGAATGTGTAAGCAACCCTGAGACTCGGGCCGAGAATGTTCTTGCGGATGATTTCCGCGCACAATATTGTTGGTTGATAATGTTGAACGGTGCTTCTTTCAGACTAAATATTGATACTGTCTCTTGGTTGGTTGTTAAATCTGCCAAATAGATGTATATCCACTCTCCCCTTGAGGAAATGAAGATGATTAACATCGGGAGCATATTATCAACCATTGAGTCAGCGTATAATCCCTGACTATTTAGTATAAGCCATCGGTGAGGCTCTCTGGGCATGTAGTTTTTCATAAAAGGGCTACGCTGCTGCTCTACCCTTTAATTATTCAATCATTCTTATCTAATTCGACCGAAATGTTGGCTCCTAGTCTTTCTCTTGCGGCCCTCGTGCTGGGCGCAGCGGCCAGTAGCCACCAATCGTCTCCCCAATATGACTTTGTGATTGTTGGTGGTGGCACCAGTGGATTGGTTGTGGCCAACAGACTTTCTGAAATGAAGAATGTCACTGTTGCTGTCATCGAAGCCGGAGATTCAGTACTCAACAATGCCAATGTGACCAATGTCATGGGATACAGTCTGGCCTTTGGCACCGAAATTGACTGGGCCTATGAGACTGCCAACCAGACATATGCCGGCGGACTGAAGCAGACAATCCGTGCCGGAAAAGCCATCGGTGGTACCAGCACAATCAACGGTAAACCATCTTACGATACTCGTGATTTCACTTCTAATTGGTTTTAGGAATGTCCTATACCCGAGCCGAAGACGCACAAATTGATAACTGGGGCAATATTGGAAATCAGGGATGGAGCTGGAAGGACCTTCTGCCTTACTACAAGAAGTCCGAAGACTTCCAGGTTCCCACCAAGGACCAAGCTGCTCATGGAGCTAGCTACACTGCCAAGGTTCACGGCCGCAACGGCCTTCTCAAGGTTGGCTGGCCTACATCAATGACCAACAGCAGCGTATTCTCCGTTCTTAACGAGACAATGAGCGAGCTTGGCGTGAAATACAACCCTGATGCGAATAGCGGCAAGATGATTGGTTTCACCTCTCACCCTGATACCCTTGACAGACAGCGCAATATCCGCGAGGACGCTGCCAGAGCCTACTACTGGCCCTACGAGAGCCGTGAGAGCCTCAAGATCATTTCTAATACCCGTGCGGACAAGATTATCTGGGCAAACACCACTGGTGATGCTGTTGCTATTGGTATCCAAGTCTCTACCCCCTACGGAGTGGAGAGGATTTATGCTTCCAAGGAGGTGATTCTGTCAGCCGGTTCCCTCAAGTCCCCCCAGCTTCTTGAGCTTTCCGGTGTCGGAAACCCAGACATCCTCAACAAGTATAACATCTCCACAAAAGTTGCCCTCCCTGCTGTTGGTGAGAACCTCCAGGATCAGACCAACAACGCCCTCGCCTGGGAATCGACTGATGCTTTGACCGGTCTTGCAACCTTTTCCGCTTTGATCTCAGTTGACCAGCTTTATGGAAAGAATGCGTCGGCCGTGGAGAAACAAATTGACAATGCCTTGACTGACTATGCCAAGGCTCTGTCAAAGAAGTCCAACGGTGCAGTGAAGGAGTCTAACCTTTTGGAGGCTTTGACGATCCAACGTGATTTGATCTTCAAGTCCCTTGTGCCTTACGCCGAAGTTGTATTCGCTCCCAGCGGCCAAAGCTTTACCTGTGAATACTGGCCACTCCAGCCGTTCTCTCGAGGAAGCGTGCATATTCAATCCGCAAATGCCTCCCAGTCCCCCAACATCGACCCCAACTACTTCATGTTCGCGCAGGATATCGAGGCTCAGTCTGATGTTGCCCACTTCATCCGCAGGGCCTTCGGCACAGCTCCTTTGAAGGATATTGTTGGAGACGAGCTCTCTCCCGGACAGGAAGTCCTCCCTGCGAATGCTTCCACTTCTGCATGGGATAGCTGGATCAAGGAACACTGTAAGCTAGCCCTTTGATCGAAAGCAGGAAACCAGACTAACATTGCTAGACCGTCCTAACTACCACCCCGTTGGTACTGTCAGCATGCTTCCCAAGAAAAAGGGTGGAGCTGTCAGCTCTGAGCTCAAGGTCTACGGTACTAAGAATGTCCGTGTCGTTGATGCTTCGATCGTGCCGTACCAGATCTCTGGTCATTTGACTAGCACTCTTTACGCTATTGCTGAAAAGGCTTCGGATATAATCAAAGAGAGTTACACTCACTGAGCATGGTGTTCGAACAGCAATTCGTCATTTTATTGAACATAGGTAATGAATCCGATGGTGGAGAATAAAAGGAAGATTCAAGTGGAGAGATATGTATATAACCGAGGGTGTGTAGTATAGTTCATAAGTCTGAGTCCCGACCCATTGCATCTCATGTTTTTCTATTCCAATGAGCTGGGCCAATAACGAACATACAGCAACGTATGATCCCTGTTTCAAAGATAGATCAAAGATAGTCTCATAAATGAGCGGGATAGGCAGCTATTTTATGAGGGAGTGCCTTGTGCAAACTCTGTCCCTTGAAGGGATCTGGTATGAGCTAATCAAATATAGTTCGATACATCACATCACAGAACATGCACACGACAGTAAAAATCTTCAAGGCTTTGTCTGCCTCGTATGTCTAAAACGCTCATACAGCTCGAGTACAGCCCCATTCTCAAGCCGTGCCAGAACGCGTTGTGTGGGGAAAAGAGGGTGGCTTAGATCTTGAAAACCAAGGTGCAGATCGGCCAAATAGTGAGTGCAAAGTAAGTATTGCAGAGATTTATATGAAGTGTCGCATATAATACTCGTTTCGAACATATTGCGTAGATCAGGGATAAAATATTGTAAGCAGTGTACATATATAGGCAGCTAGATTGACTTGCATAGCCTGACGCGTTGTGCTTAAATACCCCATAGATTTTTGCTTAACTAACTCTGGTGCCTTCCACGAAAGTGCCAATCAGCGTGAGCCAAACGGGCTCTATTTTTAGGTGCCGATCACCGCGTCCCGTGGCGCAGACTGCAGACTCCCGACTCTTCACATATAACTCTCAGAGCCAGTCATTCTGAGAGCATCAGTGGACAGAATGATTGATGAAAGCTTGCCCAGTAAGATATCTGCGTCTCGTTAGCTACGTCATTTCACGACTGACCTCACCAGCGTTCTTCGTGAAGAACAACTCAAAGCAGTCTCAGATTAGCACGATATACCACCGCCAACATGGCAACGATCCAGAGCCCGCATACTCATTACGAGCCCTTGATCCCGCTCTTCCGACATCCAAGAACCGCTACGGTGTCGCCCTATACGATCCCTACGTCACCGATGTTGTCTACGGCGAGGTCGCTGTAATCCCGGAATGGACACAACCCAGTCTATCAGCAGACACGATTCGTGCGAACGGTGGCGCACCTCCTCCTCCAGAACCTATTCTCCCGACCGAGTTCAAGATCCAGCTCTACAACCCCGACCAGGAGATCCCAGTGAAATACAAGGCGAAGACGTGGAATCGCCCCGCACGATGGGAGTTCGAGATGCCGCAAAACACATTCCGGGTCCCGTCTGGCTCTTCCCTGGATCAGATGCAGAGTGACCCAGCAACAGCAGACGTGACTGAGAAGCTGCGATTTAGCTGGCGCAAGGATGGGAAGCTTTCCAAGGATTTGACCTGCTTGCTCCATGGAAAGACTTCTACGATTCCTGATTCCCGGACCAAGAGCCGCGAACCTGATATTACGGTTGCGCTCTTCCAAGGTCTTAAGGAGCTTACTCTATACGAGCCAAATCTATACCGGGTGGAGATGGAGGATTTCAAAGGATTAGAGGTCGTGCTACTCCTGGCGACTGCCGCCATTAAAGACATCTTCTTTGGCCCAGCAAAGGAAGCATTCCACATCACCCCTGATGGACCAAACCAAATCGCTCGCAAGCCAGCAGCAGCGGCGGCGGCACCACCAAGCAATACACAGCCGGCACAGAGGAACCAAGCTACGCCTGGTCCCATCGCGCCAAAGACGAAACCATCACCCCCTCGTCTCAGCATCCCAAACTCGTCATCGCCAGCCCCGCAGGAACGGCGCCGACAGGACGACCTCGCGCGACAGGAAGAGCAGCGACGAGCACAGGAAGTCGCCGCAGCAAAGCAACGCCGCCGCGACGCAGAGGTCGACAAAGAGACCAAGCGCCTTCAACAGATCTACGGCAGGGAAGAAGAACAAGCGCGCAGACAGCGTACACCCGCTCCATCATCCCGACCTCATCTCCCACCCCGCCACACCAACTCTGGCCAACCCTACGCCCATCAATACTCCCAATCCTCAATCCAACTATCATCTCAACCCCGTCCATCCCGAAATTCCCGTCCACACTCCCACTACCCACCACAAGGCGCACCCGTTCCCACATACGCCAACAACCCCTACCTCCACGCACCAGGTCGCATGGATCCCCGCGCCCAATCTTCCACCCACCTGATGCAGTCACACCCACAACCCCGCCCCCAGCCCCGCCCTCAATCGACCGTTGGTTTCTATGCCCAGCCTACTAGCAGTGGTGCGCTCCCTACATCAAAGCCAGCCCCGAAAGTGCAGCACAAGAAGAGCAGTTTCTTTGGCTTTAGGCGCAATAAGGAGGAGACTGCTGCTACTAAGCTGGAGAAAAAGCGAAGTTCTATGTTTTGATGCGATACCCTGGCGTTTTTCTATGTTCTTTCTCGGTCTCATTGAGATTATACCCTGCATGTGCGGTCATCTCGGGCGCTTGGAACATTCATCTCAGCTGTGTTTTTCTGTAAAGAGCTTGCAGCATACAATGTCCATTCAATAGGTCTGAACATGCAACAATCAACATTTAGAAATAACCAAACGTGACGCGTATGTTCTGGAAAGAGTCGGCCGAATAGGATATCGAGAAAGATAAAAAATGCCAAGCAGGCTACCAGCCTAGCGTCCACCCCATCTTATACCTGCCCGTATTCTTTCCCAGTCCATAGTATCACTCAAAGAATGACGGAACTAAGAAAGGACGCCCAATACGGCCGTTTCCCCTTTGATCACTTCGCTCTAGTTCGACCCCAAGCCCTATTCCACATGCCCATCTGACCACATAGGAAAACTGGAGCAATAACATCCACAGAACAAGCGAACAAGAATGGGAACATCTCGTCTGGGACTACGAAAAATTAACACTGATTCCGCGTTGGATACGTTCAAACATATCGCTAGCTCTAACTCAAGCACAGACGTTGACTGATACATTTTAGCCATGCCAAAAACTCGCAGAATCAGAAGCATATCCCATCCCAAGCCCAGAACTTGTAACCCAAATATCCCACAATCAAACAAATCACGAACGAAACACAACCTCAGCAACGGACATGGGCCTCCAAACAATCTGGCTACGAACCTGCTACGACTCAGCCCTAGCCGTAAAATACGAAACCCTAAAATGAGCAGCTGGAGCCGGGATCTCAGATTGTCTAACCAAGATCTTCGATGATGCTAGTCGGTATAACTTCGAAGAAGACTGGCGACGGATCTTAACCCGTATACCCGGTTTGACAAATTATAAAAGGTGATCGATATGGATGGCGAGGAGAGTGATTTAATCTATAAATCTGGACAGGATGATATCGAAATGATTGAGCTTGTTGGAGCGAATGGAGATTGCCTGGACTTGGGGTTTGCGGAATTGAGGATCCAGGCTGGGATTTACTTGCTTGATCGGGGGGCTATTGAGTCTAGGTTGGTCAAGGTTGTTTGAATTGATGAGCATGGGGAATGTGTTTGGGATAATCTTATAGATCCGGTTGGGTTTGATTTGGAGGGGTTGGCTGGGGCGTTGATGGGAGCGACGAGTTTGACTGAGATTACTGGGTACAATGGGACGAGGGGGGCTTTGATTCAGAGGTAGATTGAGGTAGCCATATTGAGTGTGCATTCTAAGGCATCTGGCAACTGTCTGCTTGCTTCAAGGCCGGCTTTTACACAGTTTGCGTGAAGGCAGAGGTTATTGATAAATTAGCCCTCAATTGCAAGAAAATATATCTATCTATTTCTGTAGATAAAGACTAAATTGAGAACGAGAAACCCTGCTGTGGTTGAAAAGCAGGTATGGATGTTGAGTAATTATAACCGAAGCCTTTCCTTGTTAGCAGAAGTAAAAGATAGTTCAATAACATGCCCCTAAAGAGTGACAGCGTAAGCACTAATGATCCCGCTTTCTTTAGCTAGGTCAATCGTAACATGGGAGGGAACATTGCGGTCAATTCCCAGGATCATCAAGGACTCCTTCAAGAATACATCTTTGGGCTGTGGGGTACCTTCCTTTTGAGCAGACTGATGAATTGCATGCTTTGGCGAAAGTGGTCCCACAGTCATGAAATTGATGTTGATTCCTTCTCGACCGAGGATGCTGCCCACAACTCCGATTTTGCCAGGTGAATCATAGTTTTCGCAGATCAGCAATGTTCCTTCTGGCTCAAAAGAAGCCTCGAAACGACCCAAGCGGGTGATCAGTAGCTGGTCACCAGAGCAGGTGCCAGAAATGATGCGTTGCTGTTGAGTCGGGACAGGTCCAGAAGTGTCAGTATTAGGGGCCCGCGACGATGAGCGAGACGGTGGGCGAGCAACAAGAGTTACCAGCGATGAATACGACGAGTGCTCTGATGGGTCGCGAGAATGCTGTTCGGAAACAAAGATACCACGTTCACGAGCCACAAGCTCGGCATTTACGATGTTCACGTTCAACCCCTCGGTGCTGCTGATAGGCGAAAGGAGACCCTTGATCAAGGCTGCGAACAATGGCTTTGTATTGTTGATACTAGCCAATTCTCCTTGGTAAATCAGATCAAAGGTGTTTTGTGTCATGGATCCTCCGGAAGTAGTGGCATAGTGCTGCGTATACAAGCTGCCAAGCTTTTCAACCAAGCGTACGAATGGCTGGAGCTTTTTGTATTCTTCCGGGAGAATGATAGGAACGTTGACAGCTGACCGAGGTAGTGAGCCTTGCAGAATCTCGAGCACTTGCTGACAGACGTCAACTGAAACATTTTCCTGTGCTTCGACTGTGGAAGCGCCGAGATGCGGTGTGACAACTGCCCGAGGATGAGCGATAAGTCGAGCTGCTGGTGAATCTGGGGCCGGTGGCTCCGATGTAAACACATCGACGGCTGCCCCTGCAATATGGCCTGATTCTAGCGCTGCAAGTAGAGCTTCTTCATCAAATGTACCACCTCGAGCTACATTGAGCACGCGGGATCCTTTTTTCATCTGAGACAATTCAGCCTCGGCAATCATTCCTCGAGTAGAGGCAATGAGCGGTGTGTGGATGGTCAGAAAGTCGCAAGATGTGAGCAATTCAGTCAACGATGATACAAGTGCAACACTGGCGGATGCAGCTACAGCTGCTGAGGCATAGGGGTCGAGGGCATTCACGTTCATGCCCAGACCTTTGGCCAGTCGTGCGACAGTCAACCCAACTATGATGGTTAGATTGGTGTTTTGGAAGAAGTGTTGGAGCATTACCCTTTCCAAGTCCAATGATCGACAATGTCTTGCCCTTGACTTCCACGCCAACATATTTGCTTCGCTCCCACTTTCCATCTTTAAGACTGGCACAGCTCGCTGGGATGTTTCGCGCCATGGACATCATCAGGGCAATGGTATGTTCCGCCGCTGAATTGATATTTCCCGAAGGCGAATTGACGACAACAACTCCCAATTTTGTCGCCTCTTGAACATCTATTGTGTATCAATAAGAGCCGCGGAACTTGGCAATGGCAGCATACCAACATTGTCAACTCCGACACCGGCACGAGCAACCACCTTCAAACGCCGGGCAGCTCGCAGCAGAGTCGCATTTACCTTGGTTTCGGAGCGGACTAGCAGGGCATCGTACTCGGGGATGATCTGAAGAAGCTCATCGGCGCTCAGATCCTTCCGTTCATGGACATCAAGGGAGCTGCGCATCAATGCCAAGCCATCTTGAGATAGCTTCTCAGGCACGAGAACCTTGGGATAATTTGAAAACAGAGGCATTGTCTGAAGAGAGAATGACCAAAGACAGTTGAGAGGAGAGAGGGGGCAAATGTGACAGAACGTGACCTGAATATCCTCCGCGGCAGGAGCGCATCAGCTTCAACCTGCCCAAAACGCGGGGTACTGCCTCCTTGGACTGTCATCCATCAATTGTACATGTACGGTTCTCGTGTTCTGCAATTCTGCAGTTGATGCACACCGTTGCATAAGCAAGGCTGAATCCCAAGGCCTACCCGCCGTTGGGCTTGTCTAGGGCGCCTTCGAGGCCCACAATCACGATGTCCTCGAAATAACAGTATCAAGTCCACATTCCACAGTCCAAGCTCATTCCCAAGCCTCAATCTCGGATCTCAAGCTATTCTTCCCAAATCAGATCGACCGAGGATCTCCCGGACCACTTTTGGGCCACTTTTTAAAGACAAAAGTGCGGGTTTACCCCTGGGCGGACTTCGCCCGGCTTGGCTTGGCGAGTTTCTTGAGTCATGTAAGACTCTATTCTCTTTGATTTCTGATCTGATCTTGATCTTGATCTCCAACCTCACAACTGCTGCCTCTCAAATACCTCCCTCTACACAGATTGATGGATACATACCACTCGGCGTTGTCCAATTGACTTCCCCTCTTCCGCGCTATGACCTGAGACTGTCAGCGTCTCAGTGCCCCGATGGTTGGCGTTCCACATTCAAACGGCTGTGCCCTTTGTCGCGAGCGACGTATCAAGGTTGGTTCCCGTCTAATTTTATCTTACTTCTCTAACGTCTCAGTGTGATGAGGGTGTTCCGGGGTGCAGCAATTGCCATCGTTATGGTAAACCCTGCCCCGGTTATCGGCGCACATTTCGATTTCAAGATGAGGGACCGAATCTTGCCCGGAAACATCAGTCGGGCTCGCGACGAAGAGGAAGGCCGCGAAAACTGCAAACTGAGGAGAATCACCAGGCAACCGCTGACATAGTGCGTGGCAATGCGGTCGCACTAATGCGACAGTCAGCCGGTGGCTTTGACGAAGCACTTTCTTCCTCTCTAGTTCGGCAACAGTTCCGCGGCGCTCAGCCTCAACTGTTTTTGAGCTTTATTTCACATTCCTTTCCCACGGTATGTTGCGCCTACATTTTCAATGTTAAATACTCATTCTAGTAGCTCTACTATCACAACAGATTCAGATCTGGGGATGGCCTCGGTTTTGCAGAGCATTTGGTCCTTAACTATGGCACCGACGCATACCTTGACAGCTCGGTTTGCTGTTTGAGTTCGATTTACCTCTCACGGTTGACCAATGACCAGACGCTTCTCAAGGCAAGTCGACAGCTGTACTCCAATTCACTCAGAGCGGTCATCAAAGCACTCTCCAAGCCGGAACACGTGATGTCCGATAATATGCTTTGCACCACCATCATTCTAAGCGTTTTTGAGATGTACGCTCAAACCACACCAGACGCGTGGGTTGTACACAGCGATGCTGTAAGGCGGCTCATGATCAAGAGAACCGCGGCCGCTTTCGAGTCTGGCTTCGGACGCTTCTGCTTCATCGCCTTCAGAGGTTTTCTTATTCTCCTCGCTCTGTATGAAGGAAAACCATGCTTCCTAGATGAAAAGGAATGGCAAAACTATACTATCAAGATGATGACCGAGGATCGGACCAAGCCTGGGGAATGGAGCGCATATACAGACCTTGTCGATCTGGTGCATATGGAGACTGCCAAGTGCCCCCGATATATCAGCGAGACTCGAAATCTTCTCGCAGGAACCGATCTAGACCATACCAAAGTGCACGGTTTAATCGACCGTATACAGGATACCTCTCAGCGACTTGAATCTCTAATATCCGACCTCAGATCCTGTATCAGCGCACACAATGAGCGTCAACAAGGAATCATCCAAGGTCCTAACAAACCCTTCATCGGACCAGTTCCAGAGGTGTTTCCCGACACTGGACCTTCACTCCTTCTCACAGGAGCAGAGAACATGTTACAAACAATTCAAAGACTGGCCAACCGACTCGAGGATAGACTTCGTGTCCGTGTGATTGAAGACGCCCTCTCCCCAGAATCCATTAATTCCCCACCCAGTGAGAGCAGCACATACTCCACTTCCCCTTCTACTGCCAGCTCCAAGAGCTTCTCTCTTCCTTTCCGTGTTCAGTCGGAGCTCGGAAACGGCCCTAAGGCCGGCCATGACCCTCGTGGGACCATGTTCCTAGATCGTGTGGCCTCGTCGATGGGTGTGTTGGGTGCAAAGGTTGTATTTGACGAGACACATCAATCTGCATGATGTATGTATGTATGTGAAACGAATACCTGTATGTGTCAGCATATGTTATTCCATTAAACTTGAGCTTTGTAGACCGCCTCGTTGGTCAGGCATCACATGACCTCATATGACTTCCTCCACGTTCTCATCTCACCTCGCATAAACCGCGCATAGCATAGATCGTATGCACTAGTTATGCTCGGAAATTCCGACTTTGCCTCTTGCATCGCCTCAACGCTGGGCTTGCACTGCCCTGGACTTGCGGACGCCCCCATCTCACTCGGTTCGGGAATCTGCTAAATGGAACTCGTCGGCTCCGGTCGCTACCAGGTACCACGCGTCAGGCGTTTCGCCGCACATCTTTCCACGGAACAACAACACTGCTCTTCTCCACAATGCTAAACGACAGAGCGCGGAATAGAATGCCTCACAATCCTGCGACTGATCGTCGCGCTGATCTTCAAACTCTCTCCTACTTCTCAGTGGTTGAAACCGGAATATATCAATTCCCTGTGTGCTCAACCGGGTAATACCCCTCAGGAATATCCGTGCCTATCAAACTGATCCAAACAGGTCGAATACCTACGATGCATCTGCTGTATTATCACAGATTGATCAAGGGTCCAAGTGGGCCATGACGAGGCCAAGGCATTATTGAGCCCACAACTTGGGCGGCGGTAGCCAACCATACTGGGCATGGAGAGTCCACTTACTATAGGGAAGTGATCTTCAGGACCGGCTCAATGCTTGTCCCCTATTTAAGATCCTTAAATCCTGCGTCTCCAGATCAAGTCTTAACAAACTCACTTTTGTCCTTCTTTACGGGTCCGTATACTCTCATTAGTATGAAGTGGTACACCGCAGGAAGCGCTCTGCTTCTGTCTCTTCAGGCGGCGGCATGGGATTACTCTACCTATTCGTCTATGGACTTCCAGCCCCCTAAGCTGGAGGTTAATAAGACTGGATCTACCGATCCCGGATATATCTTCGTCGGACCTCGTGGTACCGTTCAGGCGGCTGGTATCGCTGCGCTTATTTACGACGATGACGGCAACTTGGTCTACGAGGGCCCTGAAGAGGTCACTGCCAACTTCCGTACTCAAAAGCTTGATGGTGAGGACGTTATCACATTCTGGGCTGGTGACATGATGTCCATTGGCTATGGTTATGGAACTATTCATATCCTCGACAACACCTACAAGGAGATCTACACCGTCACTCTCACTGGCGCTTTTGTCACTCCTGACAACTCTGTCAAGGATAGTTACTGTGACCTCCACGAGAGCGAAATCACTCCCAGGGGAACTATCATTTGCACCGCCTACAACGTCACTCAGCACGACTTGACCTCGATCAACGGCACCTCTTCTTCGTGGATGTTGGACAGTCAGTTCCACGAGATCGATATCAAAACCAACCAGGTTGTCCACTCATGGAGTGCCCTCGACCACGAGGACCAGATTCCCCTCACTACCTCCCACCAGGGTCTGGGCAAGGATGTCGGTACCGAGCAGTCCGACCCCTACGACGCCTACCACATCAACGCTATCGAAGCTACAAACCACGGATACATTGTTTCCCTGCGCCACATGTGGTCGGGTTACTACCTTGCCCAGAACGGCACCATCCTGTGGACCGTTGACGGCGAGGATGGCGGAGATTTCGAGCAGATCAACAATCCCGGTTTCTCTTGGCAGCACGATATCCGCGTGTACAACGAGACCGACACTAGTCTTGTGTTGAACCTGTTCAACAACGCCAACACCCCCACCGAACAGGTTTCCGAAACCACCGGTGTCAGCATGGCCATCGACCTGACCAAGAAGACTGTCACCGGTCTCCGCTCGCTGGCCGACCCCAACGACCCCATCCACGCCGTCAGCCAGGGTAGCTACCAGCTCCTCAGCGAGACCAACAGTCACGTCTTCATGGACTACGGCTCCATCTCAAAAGTAAAGGAATTCGATGGCGACGGCAACGTCGTGTTCAGCGCTCAATTCGGCGAGGACAACGCCGTCGCTTCTTATCGTGGTTACCGCTGCCAATGGGCTGCCACTCCTTTCTGGAACCCCGCCGTTGTCGCCTCCAAGACTGACTCGAATGTCACTGTCTACATGAGTTGGAACGGTGCTACCGAGTATGACAACTGGGTTATCTACTCTGCTTCCGATAACACTACCACCAGCACAAACACCAAGATTGGTTCTGGCGACCGCACTGGTTTCGAGACTGCTGTTACTGTCGATATTCCCTCTGACCAGTACATCCAGGTCGTCGCTCAGCAGGGTGACAATGTCCTCGGTACATCTGATTTTGTGACCTTCTAAGCGGGTGTTCCAAAATAGATTTTGCATATTCAATCTGGATATATTCCTTACTGTTTTTCCATTTTACTGTACATATTATTATAGACCTGTTCATACACGATTTTCAGATACAATTCATTTTGATATGACAAGCCAAACCAGATTAGATGAGATCAGCGTCGTTAATCGCTACTACTTTCGGTGAAACGGGCAAACCCCTGAAACACGACAATCTGTGGCTTTGCCGTCTCACCCATGATGGTGTGACAGGTACAGTATCACCAGGATCAAACTTCTTCTGTACATTATACGGCAGACTGCAGACTGTTGATTCGTATTACGGTCCACCATGTTGATCAAACATAATGCGCAACTGACTTTCTGGGTCTTGCGTGATATTAGACTCTCTGTACAGAGTACAGCGACACCAAAATCTTCAATCTTAAATATAATCTTGCAGCTGTGCATATATTGATTTGGTCAATCTATTGGTGGAAGGCAACAAGTTAAATGAAGGACTCATACTCGTATGTATTCTAAAGCCGACGGAAGACATACACTAATTGTTTAATCACATTCCTGGCTAGTTTCAAACCAAAGAATTCTCCGTGGAATTTGGTATGGGGATGGGCTAGATCTGTCTGTCAGGAGCTAACATTCCTGGACGCCACAGTTGCTACAGCCACCTGCTTGACTTTGCTGGATTGTATTATACAGACGAAAGTTTCCACGACGCAATAGTGGTACATGAGTTTTGCTCCACAATGTTAGTTGAATGGTAGTTAACTCAATCTGTGCTGGATCAAATATCGCTATTTTACTATTTGACTGGGATGAACATGGGCTTCAATGTTCTTATATTGACCAATTGTCTGCGTGAAAGACCATTCAATATATTGCTCATGGTTAATCCGCCGTATCTATTCCTCTAACTATATTTAGCGATCACATTCTTAGACGGATCAAACTATCCGATGCCTTCCCCGGCTTCCCATCTGATCTAAGATTAAGGAACATTCCTCTCTGTGGCAAGTGACAAGTCCGAGGAATCGCATGCTGTATACGCCAAATAGAGACAAGGGACATTCTCCTAGTGTTTCTGCATGGATTCGTACCAAACGCCAATGTTGTTGCACAGCGACACTGGTACACCCCTTCATTTCTATGCATATGGTACAGTGTGGCTTAACCTGGGATTGATTATCTTTAACCTGTAGCCTCCCGTGAGGATGCGACATTCTAGTGATCCAGAATGGACAAATCATTAGGAATGCCATGGCGCGCATATATAGTGAAGATGTATAAAACCCACACTCACCCCAACATCCTTGACAGACACAAAACCCCAAAACAATACCATTCAAGGATTACACGATGTACATCTCAAGCCTCCTCCTCCTCCTAGCAACTCTCGCCGTCGCACGCCCAACAACCACCAAAAATAACGTCGTTCACCGCGCCCCAATCCCAGATGGCAGCTTCATAACACCAACAACCCCCACCTCAACGCCAAAACCAACACCAAGCCGTCGTCCCCATGGACACGCAGTCATCAAGAACAACTGCGACTTCTCAATCTACCTCTGGTCCGTCGGAACAGCAGTCCAAGCAGAGAAAACCCTCCTCCCAAACGATGTCTACAGCGAGATATTCCGCGAAGAAAAGAGTACCGGCGGAATAGCCATCAAGATCAGTACAGACGTCGACGGACTGTATACCAGTGCGCCACAGATGATCTTTGCCTATAACCTGTCCAATGTGGCCCAGGGCAAGGTCTGGTATGATCTCAGTGATGTTTTCGGAGATCCGTTCGAGGGATATCCCGTCAGCCTTACACCTGCTGAGCCGCAGATCAATTGGGCCGATGGTGTGCCTCCTGCTGGGAGCCAGGTTAGAGTTACAAAAGCTGATTCGAATTTGGTTTTGTCACTTTGCTAGGAATGGACGAAACCATAACATAACTTAAGTAGTCAACTTCAATGTGAACGGACTGATGTCATGATCATGGACCTCGGCTGTTGAATTCCCCAGAGTTCTCCAGTTCTTCAGTTCTCCATTTTGGAGAACTGGAGAACATGTAAATGCACTCCGTAACCGAACAAGAATGAATGTTGGCTCAGCTCAGCTGAAATTCAAGTCGGCCCTTGCAACAAATCAAAAATTCGCCGTTTACCTCGGCCAGAAGTCCGATCCCCGCACACCCTTACTCTACTCCCCACTTCACTCCTTCATCTCAGCTCTCAACCCTCAAATCTGATTTACCACCACCCGCCATGGTATCTCCAGCAATTCGCGTCGCGCCCAGCGCAGCAAACCGCGCTCTCAATCTCCTCCGTACAGTACAATATACTCACCCTCCAAACTGTCCCTGTCATGGCAATCCCGCCCACCACCACCACCACAAAACCCCCGCCCTGCTCAACCATGTAAAGCGCCACCTAGCCACGCCGATCGACCGATCGCGCGAGAAAGAATACGCCTTTGAAATGGCCGCATCGAGTATCCGCTTCGGACCTGGCGCAACGAAGGAGGTTGGCATGGACTTTGCGAATATGGGCGCCAAGCGCGTATGCATTGTTACCGATTCGAATGTTGTCAAGCTTGATGCTATGAAGCAGGCTGTGGAGGGGCTGACTAGGGAGGGTATTGAGTTTACGGTGTTTGACAAGGTCCGCATTGAGCCGAAGGATAGTTCGTAGGTCATCTCGTTCTTTTAGTGGGAAACATGCTGACTGGTACAGTGTGAGGGAGGCTATTGATTTCGTCAAGCCTTATAAGCCTGATGCTTTCTTGGCTGTTGGTATGTTATGTTTCATCGCTTCTCTCTGTGATATACTCTGACAGAAATAGGTGGTGGATCTGTCATTGACACGGCTAAATTGATGAACTTGTACAATGCCTACCCCGAAGCCGACTTCCTCGACTTCGTCAATGCACCCCTGGGCAAGGGTCTCCCCGTTGACAAGCCGCTTCTCCCACTCGTAGCCGTGCCTACGACTGCAGGAACAGGCTCAGAGACGACCGGCACAGCCATCTTCGATCTGGTCTCTAAAAAGGCCAAGACGGGTATCGCCCACCGCAATTTGAAGCCCACACTGGGAATCTGTGACCCCATCAACACACGCACCATGCCATCAGCCGTGCACGCCTCATCCGGTCTCGACGTGCTCTGCCACTCCCTCGAATCGTGGACAGCTATCCCCTACAACGAGCGCACGCCGCGTCCAACAAACCCAATCAACCGCCCCGCCTACCAAGGCGCAAACCCCATTTCCGATATCTTCTCTCTCCAAGCACTGCGCAGTACAGCCCAATTCCTTCCACGCGCAGTCCGCGATCCAGATTACCATGAAGCCCAATCAAACATGCTGCTCGCTGCCACACTTGCGGGTGTAGGATTTGGCAACGCAGGAGTCCACCTCTGCCATGGCCTCTCGTACGGAATCAGCTCTCAAAACCCCGGCTACAAACACGCCGGATACGACGTCGACCACCCAATCATCCCACACGGTGTCTCCGTCGCCGTAACCGCCCCTGCAGTCTTCCGCTTCACCGCAGCGTCAAATCCAGACCGTCACCTTGCAGCGGCTGAAGCCTTTGGCGTTGATATCTCGAATGTCAAGCGTGAAAGCGCAGGTGAAGTCCTCGGCAATGCAATTGCAGAGTTCCTTGTCAAGCTTGGAGATCAGCCTCGTGGATTGAAGGATCTCGGATATAAAGCGTCTGATGTCGATGGGCTTGTTGAAGGGACTTTGCCTCAGAAGCGGGTTTTGATGTTGGCGCCTAATCTTAGTGAGGAGTTGCAGGCCGAGAAGGGGGAGTTGAGGAAGTTGCTTGAGGAGTCTTTGGATTATTAGATTTTGCTTGAGGGTTGTATCTTGGAGTGGTGTGTATACTGATCAAAATGAGATTTTTTGTTTCAAAGTAGTACCTTGCGTATGTCCCCAAAGATGCTAGAGCTAGGATGGTTCAGGATAGCGCTTATTGAAAGTATGCTTGAAAAGAGGTTCCAAAAGATGTTACAAGAGGGTATGGACGAAAATGCAACTATATATGGAGCCAGCCGCCTAGTTCACTTTCTCTTTCATCATTCACGGCAAATTCTTCCACCGCCAGGGATGGCCCCCACGATCACCAGTCCCAATAGGGCCAAGGAGGCCAGAAGTCTCAGTCGGCCCGTGGGAGCCGCAAGCTGGGCTAAAAGTCCCGGAGCAAAAGAAATTGCACCTGAAATTGGCGCGTGAAGCAAAGGCGGCGGCTACGACCAATGCAGTTGAGAGGAAAACCTATGAAGCTTGGTACGTAATCCTCGTTTTTATCATTCTCTGCATTGGTAGAATTTGGCCTCGGTATAAGCTGTACCTATCATCAATGTAGTAGGTATAAACCCAATGAAAGAGTCAGTAAGTCATGACTGAAAGGGAAAAAACAAAAAGATAATATTTCGGCAATGTGATAATAACGCTTGAGTTACGATGTCAGGGAGATTGGAAATACGGAGGTTTATTTCAATTCAACCTCAAAGCCAAGAATCTTTTATGAGTTGTGTAAGCATAGCCTGTATAACCCTCTAATCGAACGGGTAGTTATTCCAACTGAGATCAACTTCGTAGCCATAGTATCTGAACTCATCTTCAAAAATTCTCATGATTACAGAAATTCACGAGGATACAGGTTCCAAAAGCATACCTAATGTGGTATCCTTCACATTAACCACATGCTCGTCCATTGGACCGGGACCACAAGCCGCAGTTCCAACGCCAGCAACCTGGTCGTCCAGCCTCACCAATACCGCGTCCTCTTCGACGAGATCACAAGGATGTCGCGCTGTCTCAACAGTCTGATCGGAATGCCGACTAGCAGTCCAGTTCAAGCTTGCCTTTCCTCTGTTCATCGCTGTACTTTCCAGTGGGGCCGCGCGGAAGCCAGTACCATTCGAAGTAACAAGCTCCACCCAAACTGTGTCCATGCGGTTTCCATTCTCCTGTGGGATATCATATACAGTCTGTAGTGAGGAGATATCCTCAACATCCCACAGGCCAAACTTCTGAGCAGCCTTCTTGTCAGGGTAGGACTCTCCAGGACCAAGTCCCAACCAACGAGCAGACTGCAGAGCCGAGTTTGCGCGAAGGTTGAGACCGACCCGCGGAACAGTCTTCGGTGCGGTCCCGGTAGGTTGCAGCTTCATGGAAATAGCCAAAGAGCCGTTGGACTTGACGATGTAACGGGCTACGCACTTCCATCCCCATGACAGGACGGGAGGAGACAGGAATGTCTCACTTTCGATACAAACACTGCCGTCTTCTGCTGCAGAGAAGTCGAAGGATCGAAGCTGGTTCATGAGAGTGTTGACACCAAATCGCTTCCAATATGGCGCTGCAGATGGTACATCGTTGTCTGTAGGGGGACGCCAGAAACCGGGGATCATGGCAAGTCCTGTGTCGGCATGTGGCTCGAGAATGGGAGTGGAGTTGTATGTCCACTTTCTAAGATGGCCGCGGATGCGATCGAATTCGAAAGACCAGTTGGTTCCTCCAATGGAAACGGTTGTCTTGGTTGAATTAATTGCAATATCATTCTTCGTACCTTGTGCAGAGCTTATGCTATTGGGTAGCGCTTTGTTGCTTGGCTTTGATGCCAGGACTTGCGTCCAGGCGACGACGTAAGTGCCTTGATCCCATTCGACCTTTTCCCGTTGCTCCAGCGTAATGGTTAAGTAAGCTGGATGGGCACCGTATTGGAATAGGTCCGTTGGAAGAGTGATCTCCGCCGATTGGCCGGCGGTCACATTGGGAAGCTTCAATGTGCCAGTTGCCAGGGTTATTGTTCTGTTTCCAGGTATTAGTTGGTTTCCCTTTCATTGCGGAAAAAATCATGAACTTACTGGTTGGCAAAGGCTTCAAGCTTGTAAGAAGCCTGAAGATTGCTCAGGTCCAAGAAATCGTATCGGTTCTTCAGAACCAAAGCTTGTCCACGGACTTCCAGCTTGACCGGCTCAAAGGCTCTCTTCAGCTCCAACAAACCTGGCAGAGGCTTGTGGGCACTATTCAAGAGACCATCCATCACGAAAGTTCCATCGTTTGGATAATCATCGAAATCACCGCCATAGGCATAGAACCCATCTTTCTTGTCAGCGCCGTTAACCCACAACCCATGATTGGCCCATTCCCAAATGAAGCCACCCTGCAGACGCGGGATCTCATCGAAGCATTTTTCATAATCAGCGAGTAACCCGGGCCCATTGCCCATTGCATGGGCGTATTCGCAGAGAATTATCGGTTTTTCAAATTTGCTATTGCTTGTCACCCCCTCGGTGGCTGCCAAGGATCGTAATCGATCAATTTCTGGATACATGTAGCTGTACATGTCTGTGGTTTCTGCGTGGATGTCACCCTCATAGTGTACGAGACGAGTGGGATCAAAGGCGCGAACGTATTCAACCATGGAGCGGTGGCATGTGCCAAAGAATGCCTCATTTCCCATCGACCAGATGATGACACTGGTATGATTCTTGTCTCGTTGCAACAGGGAGTGAACTCGATCAATGTAAGCTTCTCGCCAAACTGGGTTGTCAGATGTATGGACACCGCACAAAGGGAAGGTCATGGCCTTGCGTTCTTCATATCCAAGGGTTTCGTCCATATCCATTGGCCGGGCAACAGCATCATAAAAGCCGTGACACTCCAGATCAGCCTCGTCGATAACCCAGAAGCCTAGCTCATCTGCCATGTCAAGAAGCCGCGGGTCAGGGGGATAGTGACTGCAGCGAAGGGCATTGACATTGTGGGCTTTCATCAAGAGTAGGTCTTGTCTCATGAAGTCCAGTGGAACAGCACGGCCGAAGAGTGGATGATGGTCATGTCGGTTGACTCCGCGAAGACGAATTGCCTTTCCGTTGACGGTGATCAGACCACGCTTGTGCTCGACTTTGCGGAAGCCAACACGCTGTGTGGTTTTAAATGGATTTTTAGAGCCAGGGGATTTCAAGATCATCTCCACTTGGTAAAGATATGGGTGCTCGGCAGTCCATTTTCTCGGGTTGGCCACAGGCAAGCTCAGATCAAGCTTTGATGTCGCAGGCTCGACAATGCTCTCTGTAGATGCAACTATCTGGCTCATGCCATCCACCGAGTCAATCAGATTGACCGCAATGGCACTTCGCTCTGAGACTTGAAAGTCTATTGATGCGAGAAGCGTCGCATCTGTGTATTCTGAGTCGAGGTCGGTTCTAATGAACCAATCATTCAAACGGTCATTGACTGGTAACGCAATCAAAGTGACATCTCGGAAAATACCTATGACCATGCAGTTAGCTAAGGTATTTCGCATATCGTCATTATAAACCTTACCAGATAACCACCACTGATCTTGATCTTCAATATAGGTAGCATCCGACCATTGATACACTCTGACAAAGATTTCATTGTTATCATCCGCCTGTAAATAAGGTGTGATATTGTATTCAGACGGATTTCTGCTGCCCTGTGCGTATCCGACCAAAGACTTGTTCACCCAAACGTGGTAGGCACTGTCGACGCCATCGAAGCGCAACCGAATCTCCGTATTTTCGATTTGCCATTCTGCGGGTATTTGGAACTTCCGACGGTATGTACCTGTCGGATTTTCGGTGGGTACGAAAGGAGGGCACACCGGAATGGGGAATTGGGTGTTGGTGTAGTTCGGCTTCCCCCAGCCCTGTAGCTGCCAATGGCCTGGGACATTGATGCTTGACCAGTCCTCCTCAGAGGACCCCTCAGTAGGTTCTGGGGCCTCCCATGGTGACCGGGTCATTTTGAACTCCCAAGACCCATTGAGGAGTAGAGATGTCGATGGTATATGATAAGAACGCGCAGGGAGGGTACTTCTGCGGAAGACTGCAGGGTTCATGAAATCGGGCCGTTCAGGGTCGGCCTGCTGTGGCATCTCTTCTATCTTTGAAGATCCCATGATGCCTCAAGAGTAAGGAGCAGATTCGGACTGGTTTGCTGTGTGGGATGTTCTGTTCTGTCACATCCTTTATAGCGGAGGGGGGACATGGGATCTTTTCACTGCGGTACCCCTCCAAAATTATTTCACATCCTGTTTGCATCATGCTGTGGGGGTTATCGGCATCTCCTCATGTCTTGAGTTATCTCATTGCCCCAGCATTGTCGCGTCTGTCGGAGCCGGTGTTTGTGGGGTTGTTGTCGCGGAGGTGAAAATGGAGACTTCGGGAAGCCGCTCGCCCAATAAACAGCTTCCGGGGCTATCGGCACCGGGGATCCTGGAGCCGGGCGAGATTTGGCGTTCTCTTTTCATTCGCTAAAACTCTAATACTGTTCAATGTTCGTCGCGTGGAGCTAAACGGGGTTATCCGGCTCGTTGGAGTCTTCAATTCGTTGTCTCATCCACTTCTATACTTCCGCCTGCGAACTTCTCACTTGCGAACACCTACCAGCACCAACTAGCCCCGCCTCAGATCGGCTGGCTTCCCCAGATTGAGAGTATAGCATGATCAGGGGCAAGGTTTTATTCCCGAAACCGGGGAATAATGCGGAGGTAGCAGAGACACTTGGTTCGAGGAGTATAAAACTACGAAACCCCCCATCTGAGAAGCAGGTCTCATAACCTTGATCGTTCCTCATTCCATATATACCTTGGACATTATTGTTCATATCTTTCTGTCATCATGGATCTCGATAAGGACAAGTCTGTTGACAGTGTTCATGTCGAGGCTACTCCGGCCACACTGGAGCCCACCGGTATCAAGAAGCCCGACTACCCGGATCAAGCCATGGCACATGATATGAGCCTGAGGGAAGCTCTTACAAACTACCGAAAGGCCATGCTATACTGTCTGTTCTTTTGCTTCTCTGCTATCCTCTGGGGATACGACATGCAAGTAAGTGGAGGTCTTCTTGCTGCCCCCGAGTTCCGCGCTGTGTTTGGATATACCCAACCGGATGGCACGACAATTCTGCCTGCGAGATGGCAAGCAGCTTTCAACATGGTTGCGACAGTTGGTGGAATGATAGGCAGTCTGCTTTGTGGACCTATCTCTCCCTACGCAGGCCGAAAGATGAGCTTGACGATCGCCTGCGTCATCTCCACCGGCTCCATCTTCTTGCAGTTCTTTGCATTTACTCGGGGCGTGCTTCTCGCTGGAAAGCTGCTGAACGGTATCTCGCTCGGCATGTTCCTTGTCACGGCTTGTGCCTACTGTTCGGAAGCATGCCCCGTCGTGCTACGTGGAATCACCATTGCCATGGTTAATCTGTTTGTTGTTATCGGCCAGCTCCTCGGGAACTGTTTGATCAAGGCATTTGGTGCGCGAACAGACAATTTTGCGTACAGGATCCCCTTTGCTTTCCAGTGGTTCTTCCCAGCAGTTCTCCTCTGTGGAGTATGGTTCTGCCCCGAGTCCCCTTATTGGTATGTTCAAAGGGGTAGGCATGCTGAAGCCAAACGTTCTCTCGCGCGATTCCAGACTAGTGGAAGCGTTGATTCCTGGCTTGTGGAGATCCAAGAAACGGTTCGCATGGAGGAGGAATCGGCGAATTCCGCCGGTTATCTGGATTGTTTCCGAGGAACTGATCTCCGTCGCACTATGATTGTCATCGCTGTTTGGACCATCAACTCCTTCAGTGGTGTTAACTTTGTGCTCAGTTATTCCACCTACTTCTTCCAAAGTAAGTCTTTCTCAATTCTCAAGTCACTTTCGTCTTCTAACAAATAATTTTAACTCTAGTCGCCGGTCTCCCTACATCCCGATCCTTCGACATGGGCGTTGGCGTAACTGCAGTGGGTGTTGTCGGAAACATCTGTTCATGGTTCGTCATCAACACCATCGGCCGCAGAGTCCTCTTCCCCGGCATGGTAGTTCTCACTGTGATCGTATTCATCATCGGCATCCTTGACGTTGTACCGAACTATAACTCGTCTATTGCATGGGGACAGTGTGTTTTGATCGTGATCTGGAATTTCTTCTACGATCTTACTCTCGGGCCTCTTGGGTACGTCATTTGCGGAGAGATGTCATCCACCAGGTTACGTTCATATGGCGTGAGCATTGGCTTCTTCACGCAGAATTTCTGGACCCTCATCATGACCATCACCGTGCCTTACATGATCAATCCCGACGAAGGTGATCTTCGCGGCAAGACTGGATTCATCTTCTTTGGCTTCTCTATCATTGCGTCTATCTGGACTTACTTCTGCTTGCCGGAGACTAAAGGTAGAACCTTTGAGGAGTTGGATCATATGTTTGAGCAGAAGGTCCCCGCGCGAAAATTCGCCGATTATGATACAAGACCATTTTTTGCATAGGCTTAGGCTAGCTTGTGTGCGTATATAACGATGAAAAAAAATGCTGCTCATGATTGTAATCACTCAAAAAGTTCGCAATGTATTTGGTTTAGATTTGGTAGTTTCGACGATGCCAGTTTTCAAATATCCATCCCGTTCGGTTTCCCACGTTTCCAACCCCATCTAGGGCTTTCTGAATGTGTTCCCACCATAGTCCTTACATGCACATTACCAGTCAGTCTTTAGGCATGGCCGAAGTATGAACGCTCAATCTCAAAATGAATGGACAAGTAAAGACCGATTAGTCATCTAAGGTCTCCACAAGTGGACCCACGGACACATTTGAACGGCTCCGGGGGCTGTTTTGACGACCTTTCCAGAACGTAACTTACGACCAGTCAGCATTCAGCGTTTTGAGCAGATGCAATAACTATCAGAAGTTCATTACTGAGCCCGGAGCCTCAAGAGAGAACATTGCGCTTCGACATGAAGAGATTCAGGGCGGCCCGAGCGGTTTGTCTCCCATTTTCCCTTCTAGCCGAGACCTAGTAAGTTGAATCGAAACTCAGACTAATGTAGCGTACAGTGCGACTCATGCCGCCATCGCAAGACAAGGTAGCTATGTTTTGTGCAGTTCTTTTGGTGAGTCGTGGCTAACAACAAAAGATGTGACGCTCGGGATCCCTGTGGGCCCTGCATAAGCTTGAATCAAACATGCCTATACGGTACAGAGGCAATTTCGTAAGTTTGCTGATTACATAACACGAACAGTTCATTGATCTAGTTCAGGAGAGGCAAAAATGAGATGATCCTGGATACCGTTTTGCGAATGGAAGCTTCAATTGCCGAGCTCAGGGGTATGATCGTACGTAACAACTTACCGAATACCCGTTGTTCTTGGCTTAGGATGAATACCAGGCTATGGGCTCTGCCTCAAATTTCAGAGATGGCACTCAGGCCAATACAACGTCCCCAGTCTCGACAATCACCCCAAGGTCTCAGGATGCACGGCATCACCCAGGCGGATGCACAATTAGGGACCCGACTGAAAGTGCTATTCTTTCATCAGGGCATCTTTCCTCCGCAGAGTCTCTTCTCAAGTGGTCAGTCTTCCTTAATCATCCTTCAATACTGAGGGAGACAGAGGCTTCTTTCTTGTCCCTCGAATGTGCACGAGAGTCCTTTCGAAGCAAAGTCTACGCGATATTTCCCACGCTGGGACTGTCTGAAATTAAAAAAATGGTGGGTACTTTCCAACAGACATATAATTTTTGGTTCCCCACAATGAGCTTCAACGATCTGAAGTCCTTGGAAATGAGGATTTATCAGGAGAACTTGGAGCCTAACTGCCAATCATGCCTGGCCTTGTTGGTCATGGCTTTGGGCTGCGTGGGTGCTTCTGTCATAGATGGCGAGAAAACCTCCGAACATGAGTCTCAACAATTAAAGTTGCAGGGTGTGACATGGTTCACTGCTGCAATGAAGATGCTCCATTTGGCGCACATTGAAATGAGTGTGGAAGCATGCCAGTGCCTCCTGCTTACTGGGTATGGTAATACCTTTGCTCGGTCAACGACGGCAATCACGGAACTAACGAGTACCTAGTCTCTACTTCTCCTTTTTGCAAAGGCCACTGCAGACATGGTCCTACGTGAACAGCGCAGCGACCCGTTGCCGGTTCTTACTGTCTTGTCCTTTCGACAATCCAGAGCGTGATGACCGAGAGCACATTACCCGAATATTTTGGTCTTGCTTCGTATTAGAAAATAACTACATCTCCGAGTTACCAACTCTTCCACAAAATTGCAACGCCGAAATCGAATCAATCATATCTCTTCCAGGAAAATTCCATTCACACGAAACCATCGAAGACGAAGAAAAATCGACATTCTATTTGCTCGCATCAATAGCACTTCGCCGCCTGCTCAACAGAGCGCACTATATGCTCTATGACCGCGACATCGGCCTCCAAATCGACTCTAACAGTTTCTCTTCGGTAAACCAAGAGCTGGCACGCCAATTACAAGACTGGTATCAGACTCTACCTTCAAGTCTGCAATTTTCTGATGACGGAAAGCCTGCGGATGACCCCCACAGCGAGTACCTGCGGCAGTGGTATTTGAGCTGTCGGAGTGTCATATACAGACCTTTCCTTGAATGGGCGCTGGCCAACCCACTGTGGAATCTGAATAATAACCCAAGTGTGCTAGATGGATGTCGGGTTGCGCTTGATAGTTGTCTTTTCAAATTGAGGGATCTGAAGCAAGTGCCATATACTGTGATGGTCGATACCTGGCCGTGTTCCCTTTCACTTGCGACGGCTATGTTAACTCTTATGGGTGGCTTTTGTCATCCACAGTTGACAACACAGCTTCGCCATATCACCATTTTGGACCTAGGACCTCACTTAGATGAGCTTCTACAACGATGGATGAGTATCCACGGGTCCAGCATTTCCCCTGGTGTTGAGAAGGCATTGCGATTGATCATGAAAGCTCACGAGTTTTTTCAGAGCAAAAGTGCCGAATTTTGTTCTTCCCCAGAAGGAGAACAACATCTGTCTCCTTATGCACTCCGGATGTCTCCCGGATAGTGGATTCGCAGAAGAAAGTTTTGGATAGACATATAAGTTCAAGGCAGAACGCAAGTAATTCACTGTCGCACGCTTGGATAAAAGTATACTTAGTATGAAAGGATGTTCAACGACGCTTGAATATAAACGTCGTAACCTGGAAATAGAGGGGAAGCACACGAGCAGTGAACGCCACCCAAGTGCATCTGAAACACACTTAGCCTTTTATGGGTTCGGACCTTACCCCTGACCCCGACCTGCATGGGCCTCGTGTCCAATGTGGAGACCCCCGGAAACAATAAAAGCCTCAAATTACGCGAATTTTCTAACTGCCATGCTTGGCCATGGGGGGAACAGACAGCTTCTTTGTCCAGTCTATTGTGCGCAAAAATAGAAAGTTCATCTTTGTGTGCTTCACACAAAAAAATGGAACGACGGAAGACAAGTTGTTCGAGTGCGCCATTTCTCCCAAGACTTGGAGTCGACTGTTCCCACTGGCAACAGTAACTACCGTAGCGCAACACAAAGGCCCCAAAAGGAGAACTGAGTTCTCAAGCCACCTTCAAATGACTTCAATATGCGCGAAATCCCCACTCGAACCCCTGTAGAACGGCAATCTTAGGCGAACCTAGAGGGTTTCTTAGGTAAAGCCACATAAGAACAACAAATCCCCCAATTTACGAGTCCCGGCACTTTTCAAGTCGCGCACACGATGTGTTTTGTTTGCCATGACACGGCGCGCTTGAAAGTTCTCAGATCATAAACAACTCGCCTCATCTATTCTCTCTTCTCCACCTCTCCTCCACACCAATCTTCCCAAAGCGGTTGGTGCATCCTCTTCTCCGCAAAATCGAACTCGATATCCCCCACCATGGCCGACAACCGAATCACCAAGCCCACAGAAGCCGATGCCCTCATCTTGGAGGCATGGGGCCAAGGCCTTATGCTCGGGAGTTTGCTGATCATGGCAGCTATTACTGTTGCCAATATGAAGAAGCACATTCTGCTCCACAAATTGATCTTTGCCGAGGTATGCGCATCGATCTACGCTCCATAACTCGCGTGCTGATCTTTGTGTCTGATTTAGCTCATCCTGGCCATGCCCAATGGCACCTTTATTTTTCCACACGAACCTGTCTATGGATGGTACCTTTCTATCACGGCCATCGGTTTGAATGTCTCCTGGGCGCTACACAATGTCATCGCTTGGATGAAGTGCAAGCCTTTCCTCTCGCGGAAGGTTTCGATCTTCTACATCGTGACTGTTGTCCTTTGCTTCCCATACTGGGGCCTGGAGATTTACGCCAACTTTACATACTTCAACAATATCAACAAGATATTCCTGAAGACGAGACCCTTAGAGCCGTTATTCCGGTTTGTTTTCCTGGCACCTACCCTTTGTTTGATTAGTTCATTAACAAATCTGTTCTGCAGTGATCCATGGTGGATCTTCACGACAGTCAACCTGTTCTGGACAATCAAGCGACAATACAGCTTTAGTCTGTATGAACTGGTGAAAATCAGCCCCCGATTCGGCGTCATGCTCCTGGCAATGTGCTTGTCAATAGCCTTCATGATTGTCGATACATGCAGCGTAACGAACGCCTTTTCCAGCGTTCTCCCAGTGGGCGTCGAGCCCTTTTGGAAGGTACGTCGAGCCCAAGTGCTGTCGTACATGCACTTACCCAATTTCCATGTCACAATCTAATACAGTTCATCATAGTTATCATTCGTTTTCAAGTGTCTCTGCGACACGGTCATCCTCGACGATTTCAAAACAGCCCTGGACCACATGCGCGCTCACTGGATGAAGAAGGCCGCCAATACCGAGCTCTTGTCAACACCGACGCCTGTCACGTGTCCACGCGCTCACAGGTCCCCGGATGACATTGAGGCCATGCCTACACCCAGTGACAATACGATCAAGGTCACCTTTACTCGCACGGTTCATATGGAGGATATCCCTCTGCGCGGTGTGTAGTCTTCGGGCTATTTTTCCCGCTCGTCGACTCGACATTTAGCGCTGGTGTTCAGGCTTTTTGCTTTCTGTTATTGAACTCCATGCGTTTAGTATTTCGTTTTTCGCAATGGCGCTATGATTGATGGGATTTTGATTTGAATGTATGGATTTGTTCCTCCTTGTAAATTATCAGTGATATAATGTTCCTTGGAGTTGCGATGTATGAACGGTCGTTGATATCAATCTGGTGACTCCAATACATGATCAATGCACATTTTCTTCAACTTCCAGTCGTACACGTAAGCTCGTAGACAGTTCTCTATGGGTTTTTTAACTTTGATACTCCCCAGAATCAATGAGTACCTGTTTTGACAGTCTCTCGGCCTCACTCTTTACCTCGGCCTCATTGTCGATCTTGACACCATTTTCAATGAATTTTGCAAGGAAGGCCGTCCAAAAGAGTGACATCATTTCCTGCGCCTTTTCGATTGATTCAGGCTTGCCTGGTTTTGAGATCCGTTAGCCCTGTTTCTCTCTTATAGTCATGACAATAAATCTAGCATATACCCCGCGCTTCGCAGACCTTGTCGTACCCCCCAGCAGCTTGGTATACAAGGTGCTTGGCGACCAATGGAGCAGATAGCTCAGTGCTGATGTCCATGTTCATTATTTCCGAAGCGGCAGCTTCGTGTTCGCCACCTTTCATGAAATCTATGCAATCCAAGTGTTAGACTGTAACCCCGTTTTCAAGTAAAAGTAGCGATATATTCACCCGCGAGACCCATTTTCGCAATTGATCGTGAAACTCAGCTTCTAGAGAGAATGAGGTGTGATCTATATTGTCGATTGAGGATTCTCGCTCCGCGTGTGCCGGGGTCACGGCAATAGTAAGCGATGACTAATCGCAGCAATTAATCAAGTCTCACAACTACTGATCTGCGTGTATAGTACCGAATACGCGACAGTTTATCGGTTCTTCCGGCTTACTATGTATACCAGTATTCATAGAAAAGATCTCTATTTTGGGGCCTCAGAGCACAGATCCATATCCACTCGGAGAATTGGCTCGGCGAAATAGCTCATAGCTGCAGCCGTTGGGCTTTGCAGATCCTAGCCCCGACTGTGCAGCCAATGATAAATTTCATGCTTGCTGTATTTCTCCGAGTCTAGAAGGGATCTCATTCTACATCATTTGTTCGAGAGCTATCTATATGCCGTTGGAAGTGTTCGCCCACAGGCGCGGTGCAGCTTCAAAGACGGCAATTCGGTAGTTAAGTCTGAATTCTGGGGGCGGATCACAGTTTGCCCTGCTCCAGCACTCTCATTCCATCCGGCATCATGTTTGCCTTCGGAGAATTGACGTGGTTGAAGAAAACGGAGGTACCTGGCTAATGCTATAAATCTAGAGCGTTCGCACTCCATATGGATCCTAGATTGAATCAGTTCAGCAGTAGCAAACACCAGAATAATGAGCTCCATTGATATCCCACAAACTCAAACTGTCGCCCTGGTGAGGGATCTTGGTGGAAAGGTTGATTTCAAGACAGATTATCCCGTGCCAACACCAGGGCGGAATGAAGTCCTAGCAAAAGTGCTATACACCGGAGTTTGCCAGAGTGGTAAATTTTTCCAAGTCTCCATTCTATACTCCCTACTCTTCCTCATGTGTTTTAACATGAAAGCTATCTACGCCCACTTCGCTCTTCGCACTGACTAAAATGTTTCCCCAGACCTCCACACAAAGCAGGGAACAGCAGCCGGTCCAGACGGAGCCCCAATCACCAATATCAAACCCCCACACGTCGGCGGGCACGAAGGTGTAGGCCAAGTCATCGCGCTTGGTCCAGATATAACACACACAAAAGACCTCAAGCTGGGCAGTCTCGTCGGCATCCGATTCGCAAGTCGAATCTGTCGACGCTGCGAGTTTTGTCTTGCTGGCACGGAACAGTATTGTGTTGCTAGTACAAACCATTTGCATCACGAGGACGGCAGTTTCCAGCAGTATATTACGCTCGATGCGGATTATTTGACGCTGCTTCCCGATGATGTTGATCCCAAGGTCATGGGGCCGGTTCTTTGTGCTGGTCTAACGGCTTACAAGGTATGCAACTCCAATCGGGGTGTGTAAAGGTTGAGAGTGTACTGAAAATTGCATAGGCGGTTTTGAATGCCAATCTTCGGCCTGGGAATTGGGTTGTCGTTGTCGGGGCTGGTGGTGGGCTTGGACACTTGGCTGGTGAGACTTCCTTTTCTGCACATTTGTAGGATTACTAATGAAGTTCTAGTTCAATATGCTAGAGCACAAGGCGCCTTGGTTATTGGTGTCGATATCGGGCCCGGTAAAGGAGAATTTGTGAAATCAATTGGAGCTCAGCATTTTATTGATTTCGCCACCGAGGATCCCGCGAAGACAGTCCAAGAAATCACAGTGATTGGTGCACATGCTGTCGTTGTCACTGCGGGAAATGCGAAAGCTTTTTCTCATGCTTGTGATATGCTTCGTGTGGGAGGAACCTTGAGCTGTGTTGGTATTCCATCTGGACAACCTTGCCTGGAAACTCCCATTTGTACGATCGTGATCAAGGGTCTCAGAATCACTGGTAATTTGGTTGGCTCGCTGAAAGAGTGTATGGAGGCTGTTGATCTTGTGCGAAGAGGCGTTGTGAAGCCTGTTGTCAAGGTCCGACAGTTCAGGGAGTTGCCGCATGTCTATGAAGAGGTGGAGAGAGGAGATATTGCTGGCCGGATTGTTCTGCAAGTTACGGAATAATCACGTTCCAGAATTTTGTATCAGGTTATATGCGACTTGAATTATGAGGAACAATTTGTACCGTTGATTCTCTGGGTCGATTCCCTCTTCCACATTTTCGTATGGGAGAAATCTACCAGTGCTCGTCCGCTGGTCGATCTCAGTTTCAACGTCATAAAAACCTGAGCGTGTTTGATTCACAGCCAACAATCGAGCTGGGGCTGTGACCAAAGCTTCGGCTGTCTTTGCCCGCAGGATCCCAAGCAACATCCGATCCTGTTCGAGGAAATGAACGATCTTCTGATATAAGGCATGAAGGAAATCATGCGGTCCTAGTTCACGTCTGTTCCTTGTGGTAATCGATTTCAAGAGAACGGTGTCTGCCAGTGAGTTGGCAACCTCAAAGCATTTGAACAGCTGTTTCCAACGTAAGTGATTGTCTTATGTGCTTCAGTTGAGCATCAACCCACCTGATCTCGACCCAGTGGAAGCAAATCGGCCTCAGAGCACCCCCTCAAAGCTTGTAGCAAATTACGTCCAACCTGTGCTGGAAATGCAAATGTCATAACAGATGTATATGCCACAGACGAGAGCAGCCCCATTGTGAGAGCTTCCTGCCAGATGATTGTTCTCATCCACTCTCTGGTAACATGATAATCAGCCGCTCTAGTGGAACCATGGTCGCCCATACTAAAAGACAAGGAAGGCAATTGCCTCTCTGTCTCTGTTAGATCTGTCGCCACAATACTACCTGCTTCGGTCTTGCGACGCACAGAAATCAGGTCGAACGCAATAAAGAGTCTCACTAACTCCAGCAATTCTTGTGCATGGATATCAGCTCCAAGAGCGCTCTCAATGCCCACAAGTAATGGGGCATCGGTATATGAAGGCGAGAGTCCCAGATGCAGAGAGTAACCTCTTTAACTCTGATCAACATACAGCTCGGCAATCTGAAACAAAATTGACTTACCTCTCTGACACCCAAAGCAACGGGAAGACCAAATCGGGATTTGCAATCACAGACTCCGTTGGCTGTGGTAACTGCTCGTTCAGTCGCAGAATCCGAGATCCAGATATAGCTTCCTGTATAAACATCATTGCTGAATTTCGTTGGTTAATCTTTGCATGGTATACATGCAAGAAGAACGACGTCAAGATGCTGTGGAGATCCAGATGCTTGGCATAAATTCCGCATTTCCCTCGGCTTTGCATACATACATGTGCCATGGATGCAGCATTAATCTCTTTTGATCCATACCCATCTCCATCAATCATTGGCGCCAATTGCAACTGAGCCATGGTTGCAGCACAAAGCGCTGTCGCCTGGGTCATATGGCTTTCATCCTGTTTACCAACACTTTCAGGCTGTATGCTATCAACCTTCTCAAGAAGACTTTTTTTATGAATTACAGGCCAGACGCTATACGAGCATTGCTGGTAGGTACGGATAACTGTGGCCAAGATCGACTTTGGTATATGCTGGAGCCTGGGTACATCCCTGGAAGATCAAGGCTGTCCGGCGCTTGATCGAAACTCTGGCTGGTTTTCCAAGGCACCACCTTGAGACTCCACATAAGTGTTGGCTGGCTTCCTAGCCTTTGGGCCTAGTCGGCCCGCTGGCCGAAGATAGGTACAGCTAATCTGCTTCACGGCAGACCTACATGTATTGCAAGGCCAGGAGCCACTGCATTTAACTTTGCGGGAGATGCAAGAATCGCGGGCACGTTTGGGAGGCATGGGGACTGAAATTGTCATTTTTATAAGAGTATGAAGTCCTTCGTGCGGAGATATCAACTTCGGCTGCCGAGGGGTACTTTCGGCAGGTTCGCCGACCGATGTTGCATATCCGAAATGCAATGGAGGCCATGAGTGAATAAACACTATACATAACCCTTAAAGCTAGTGTATTTGGTTTTGTCTACCCGGATCACGATTGAGTAATCTGGGTAGAGGTGCAGACGAGTCCCTCTTTGTTAGATGTTTAGTAGCTTTTTCTTTGTTGACTACTTGAGCGTTAAGATACTAAAGCTGAAGCTCCACTCTATTGTCATCTAGAACACCGTTTGTTGTGGTACATAGAATGATGATGGGGTGGCATTTCGTTTTGTCATTTCAATCGAAACTGTATCAGTCCGTTGCAAGAGGAAAGCTGTATACCCTATTCCACCATGTAGCAGGTAGTTCGATCCTTCTCCTTCTTCCCCTTCGCTGCCAGTTTCTTTATTTGTTTGCGAGGTGGGTGTTTAGGATTTTTTGGGTGGATAGAGCTTAAAGACCAATAATTAGCTTTCACAGTTTGTTGGAAACCATAATGCTTGAGGATAAAAACATGTAGTAGTCCTGCGTTGCGTACCTAAAGAATACTTGAATATGAGTTTCCCTGGTTGTACTAAGTCATACGCAGATCACAGGGCGGTATTACTTTGGCCATAAACGTCTAGACCCAAGATATATGCCTTTAAATTGAGATTCTTGAATGGTGAGAGTGTGTAGTGTCTGATCAACAAACTCAATTGCGTTATGGGCCATATTGTCTTCTTTGCAATGATCAAATATTGAATCGGTAATGGCATCAGAAGCAAATAGAGTAGATAAAGTAAGTGTCGCCTCTTTCTCTTGTGATCTGTTTTTTTTTTTTTTTTTTTTTTTTTTTTTTTCAGGGTGGGACTTGTCTTCACGGTAGGATAGAATAAATAGAACCCAAACCACATGTCAACACAAGTTCATGTCATTATTACAAAACTAACAAACCAGATCTGGCATGTTGATCACGCGGTCAAGCAATGTAAATTCGAAATCCTACCAGATCTTATCCTCCCTCCGATTCATCTTAATTTGCTTATTCGGACTAAGCGCATACTCTTTTTAAGCTTCTTCGTAGCGCCGCAATGTAGTTACTTGTATAGCCAGTCAACCTGCTGCAAGGGACATATCTTTCCTTATAACGAGCAGAAGATAGAGTAGGCTTGATAGGCATGTTAAACCGTGCAAACTGTGTAATTTTCATCACAACGATGTCTCTTAGCGGTATTGAGAATTGCCGATTGGGTTACGCGAAAACTCTCCAATTGGCTGGGTTTTTCCTTTGGGCTATCAGACTAGAAACGAAAACCGCCGTGAGTTATATTGAGCGTCAGTTTCGAGGAATCAACCGACTTAGGTCGGGAATTTGCTCCGATGGTTTCGGCGGTCATCCGACATGCAGAATCGCAAAATCGGAGAACTTAGCGCGGGGAACACAATAGCCTTCCGTTTTCTTTTCATAGTGACACTCTATTCTTATTTTGTTTCTAGTAAAGAGATTATTGGTCTGTGTGCAAGCATGGCATACCGTCAAATACACATTGCTGTCCTTGACACGGATATTCCCTGTCATCGTGTCTACGCCAAGCGAGGCTTCTACAGCTCGCAGTTCAGATATCTTCTTGCTGCTGCTGCACAACGTATCAATAAAAGTGAATACAAGCCACTTTCAGGCTCTCTCAGTGTCCATGTCACAGCTTTTGACGTTGTTGGCGATGCACTGCCACCTTTCCAAGGCTTGCGAGCCGACGCCTGGTCATCTACAGAGACACAGTCTGCTAGATTCCCAGGCCCTGTTGATGCAATCCTGGTTACTGGCGCTGCAGCTGCAGTGTATGATGGCTTGCATTGGATCCCGGGTCTGAGAAGTTACCTACGAAAGGTGTACTCAGACTATCCTTTGGTCAGAATATTCGGATCGTGCTTTGGGCATCAACTTATAGGCGAAGCTCTGCTAGCAAGCGACCAGGCCTATACATCCAAAGGGTGTTCTTTCAAAGTCTCCGTTGGTCTATCCTCGCATGGTCACGAAATAGGCATTCATCCTATCGCCCTGAACCCGGCATTTGTCTCCAACTTCCCACCTCTGGCGCGGTTTTCACATCAACCGTTTCACATGCAACTCATTCACGGCGATGCAGTCATATCTTCACCAGAGTCTCCTGTTTCTATGGAGGCACTTCTTCCCGAGCCGTGGCTCAATATGGGAAGCAGCCAAAAATGCCCGATACAAGGCCTCTACCAGCCTGGACGGGTTCTTACATTCCAAGGGCATTTTGAATTTGACGCCTTTGCCACTGCTGAGTTATGTCACAAATTTGCTGATACGTTCAGCTGGTCTCCAGCCGTTCTTGCTTCTCATCTGGAAAATATCGAGCGCTCCAAAGTGCCCGGAAAAGAAGACGATGATGATTCTAAAGCAGCCGCTGAGGCTGTTCTCTTGTTCTTCGCTGGAGAGGACCAGGTTTAAGACTCGGATTCTCATTCCTCCTTCCTGGTCGTTTTCATTTCGCTATCAGACATGGGTTCGTTGTTCGCATCGGGAACAGATCTCGGATATTGAAGCCGAAGTCCCCGCATGGTCGGGTGGCATCCCGAGAGTTATCAACTTCTACTTTCTCTCCCTATGTATGATATTGTGAAACTTGAATCAATGTTGAGATATAAATGATCGCAAAACAACATGGTCAGCTCAAATCCTCGATCTACTAATGCGTATGTTGGAGATGTGTTCGATTTACCGAGTCCAGAATATGCATGATAACGATTCTGCAGATGCGAGACGTGCCGGAGACGCAAGGTCACGTGCTCAGGCGAAAAGCCATGCCGCGCTTGCATCAAGCACAATTGGGAATGCACTTTTGGACATTCCGGACGTAGACGTTACTCTGAGGCGTGAGTCCGTTGAGTTTGCCGTGCTTGGAATATACGACTAACCTTCATCTAGGCAAGTGAAACATCTCTTAGATAGGATTCAAGTCTATGAGGAGCAGCTACAGTCTCAGACAACTGGGGACACAATTTCTTCTCTCCCTTCTCCCAATGAAGCGCAGAGGACAAGTGGTCGCCGGTCTTTGCAGGGTGGTTCTCCAACCACTGGTGATACACCCAAGGATGTCGCAGAAGGCAACTTATCATACGCCGATGGTGATTCTACTATAAGCCCAGGTACTAAAATATCTCTGTCTTGGTCACTGGAGGAAGCTAACCTCTCACGAAGAAACGGACCTGGCTTCCGGACCCGCATTTGAGTCTCAAGTCAGATCTCTTCTTGATAATTCCCGTTCCAGTGAGGTCACATTTCATGGAACACATTCATCTCCTCATGTATCAAGTACCCCGGGGTCTCAATGGTCATCAATTAAGGAACTAGTCAGCGATGCGCCTGACTTGTCCATTCCGTCAATGGAAGAGTCGCAGCATTTACTTGATCAATTCCTCTTCTATCTTGGCGTCAGTCAACACTTCTTTGATTCACGCTCTTTCTCTGATAATCTTGGATTGCTTTTTCAATCACCAGAGGCAAAGCACCGACAGATGAACACCATTTGGTTTGCCGAATATCTTTTGGTGATGGCCATGGCAAAGCTTATGGATGTCAAACATCCCACTTCCCAGACCCCTGGGGCAGAACTGTTCGCAGAAGCACTGAAGCTTCTTCCTCCGTTGCATCAGATGGGTGGGGAGGGTGTTATGGCAGTTGAGATATTGACCCTCATTGCGACATACTTGCAATGGTGTGACCGCAAACATGACGCTTATCTACATGTAAGCCACCTGGATTGTTTAAGGTCATTACAAAAACTCATTTACTTGGATTAGATTGGCCTCGCACTACGACTTGCCATAGCTCTCGGTTGCAATCTGCAAGAAAGAGAACAGGGCTGTCTTCCATCTGAGAGTGCCCATAGGCTACGACTTTGGTGGACAGTATACATGCTAGACAGGTGGGTGTCATTTAATATGCACAATTTCATCAGCTAATCAAAATATAAAGGCGACTTTCTTCTGGTCTTGGACTAGCTGCTGGAGCTGACGAACGACAGTTACGCACCGAACTTCCTCGAAATGCTGTGGGATTTCAATCGCCAATTGCCCTCGCTATTAACGTACGCATTGCACGGGTTACAGACGAAATCATGTCCAGTGAGTAACCTAACCTTTTATCCGATCCTGAACACCATCTAATATGTTAAAATTTAGCTCTTTATGGTAATAAATCCATCACCCAACTTGAATTGGTCCGGAACATCCAAAAAATCCTCCAAGAATTGCATGAGACTGGTCGATCGTTTCCCAAGACATTGGTTCTGGATTTTAATCGGCCTCTTAAGGCAGTAACTCGCACAGGTGCATCCTTATATCTAATGCTATTTCAAGTGAGCTATTCCAACACCCAGCATCCATCATGTACTAATTTGAGAAAGGCAATCATCTTATGTACCCGGCCCATACTGTTGCAAAGAGCTCGATTAAAAGCACAAAGAGAACACCGGTCACCGGGACCTGATCCGATGCCCAGCATCCTCCTTCGTCTCTGCGAGACTTGCAATGAAGCAGCCACTAGAAGTCTTGCCATACTTGAATCTCTTCGGCAGCAACAAACCATCCGTGGGTCTTTCTAAACTCCCGTTGTTTTGTCATATTATATCTCTAGTGAAGTTAATGCTGACTATGTTTAAGCTCGGTATGGATTTTTCGACCTAGATGCCACCTTTTCAGCTGCCTTCGTGCTAGTGATGGTTGGATTCCTTGATCCTTCACAAGGAAACCCTCCATTAGCGTTAGATCAGGCGTTCGAGGTACTCCAATTTCTATCTCATGCAGGAAATTCAGCAGCCGAACGACGCCTCCAAGACATCGCCCACTCCTGTTCCCATGTTTGGCCAGACTACGTCTTCAACGCAAGTGAACGGCAAAGTGGTGCATTGTCCCGGCAGAAGAACCAGTTCATATCGGATTCGAGGCAATACTCATTGGCAACTTCTTCGGGCTATCCACCGCCCAATGACTTTGGCTCCCGTGGTCGAAATTACGATTCGGGTGAATCCAGACCACTGGAGCAGTGTCCTAACCTTGACTTTGCAGACTCAATGTTTGATATGGACATGGATTGGAATATAGATCTCTCTGTGGAAGCGGAAGGGATATATTCAAGTTTCCACAATCCGACTTTGTCTCTGACAGGAGTTGACTATATCGACTGGTTGGAGATTGAAAAGGTGTTTAGTGGGCCATAAAGGGTGACATAGCGATAGTAATGACACATGTAGGTGGTAATTCGAAATTTTCTTGTGCGAATGGATGCATTCAGGTTGCTGTGAGCATAGGCACATAGAATAGAAATAAAGAGGTGAAAGGATTACCAACTGTCTTCGATCCAATATCTTGTTGATTCAAGTCCATCACGTGATGCCTCGTCGAAAGAGCGGTCCCCTCGACCTGCATCGCAGTTGGCCTCCGACCGTTCCTTCTTTCGTCGCGTCGAGCAGGGCAAGCCGACACTCGATCTTCAATTTTGGTTATATTTTTCATTCCTCCCTCGCCCGCTTTCAACTGGATCTCAAATCGCCTTGTAGCTTCCCCGCACTCGCGTCTCTCTCCCCGGACAATGCCAACCCTCGCTGGTTTCCCGCGCGGGTAGAGCCAGCAATTCTCGATATATTTATATCGGACCAACACTAGAAGTCCGGAGCATTTGTGCCCTGCCGCAGCCGCAGTCATGGAGGCCGACTGGGATGAGCTGTCGCGCATCCCTATGCCCCCGCCGAGTCCGCATGCTATGCCAACTATCGCGACGGCCACGGCATTTGACGATGTGATGGAGCTTTTGTGGGCAGGCAATGAATATGTGAGCATTCTTCAATGCTGTTTTGAAGAGATGCGATTCTAACCAATGTTTTCCTTTCCTCTCAGGGCAGGATCACTTCATTCTATGGACCAGAGCTGCAACGATATACCTCCGTGCGGGCCCATCCAGTATCTGATGGCATGGTACGACAGATTCTTTTTCACGAAAGAGGCGTGATTTCGCTATCTTCGAAAAGTGTACATATGATCACGCGGCGAGGCCTGACGCAATGGCATCTTGCCCACGATGAAATGGTCGATCTGCGCTGTATGAGTTTCACAGCCCAAACGAATCGAATTCTCGTCGCGGGTTGTCAGAGAGTTATGTTTACCGTGGACATCGACAAGGGTACCATTGTTGATAAGCTTCCCACCGATTTCGGCTACACCCTCATGAAGAAGAGCAGATATCTCTGTGCGGCTACGGATACAGGATCGGTCAATGCTCTCAGTCTCTCTGACTTTAGCGTTGTAAAGTCATGGAAAGCCCACGGGACAGCTGTCAACGACATGGATGCGCGGAATGATTTGCTGGTTACCTGTGGCTTCTCCGTCCGCCAGCTTGGAGCCCCCATTGTCGACCCCTTGGCGAACGTATATGACCTGAAGACATTGACTCCTCTACCTCCAATTCCTTTCCATGCAGGTGCAGCATATGTACGCATGCATCCCAAACTTCACACCACCAGCTTCGTGGCCTCACAGACAGGTCAACTCCAAGTGGTGGATCTTATGAACCCAAATGCAGTAAACTTGCGACAGGCCAATGTGTCTCTCATGCTGGGTATCGACTTGTCGCCATCAGGGGAAGCGTTGGCTATCAATGATGCCGAATGCTCAATTCATCTATGGGGCTCGCCGACCAAGGTGCATTTCAATGAGATGAGTAAAGAGACGGAATTTGCAGATGTTCCCACACGGCCACCTCCAATAGACTGGTCACCTGATACTCCATTGAGCATGGTCGGAATGCCTTATTACCATGAACGCCTCCACTCGGCGTGGCCAAGTCATTTGCTTTTCGAAGTTGGTAGTCCGCCTGCTCCATTGGATCAGTCTATACTGCCATATTTACGCCCGGCAGAGATGGGGCATCACGCTCCAAACCCGAGGAAGACTCGTCGGAATCAGGTAGAAAATACCCGCGCTCTCACCACCGTGGAACCGGCTCTCATTGCGCCGAAGTTCTTGAGTGAAAAAGCTCGAGATATTAGCAAATCAGAAGGTGCTATCGGCGATGCAGCTGAGGCTCTGGCAGGGGCGAATATCAATGGAGAGAGCGATGATGATCCATTGCTCAAGTATAGCAATGTCGAAATCAAATATAGTCGATTCGGTGTGGATGATTTTGATTTCCGGTAGGTCCCTTTTTTATTACTGTCTGTTCCTTACTCACCATCCGATAGATTCTACAACAAGACCATATTTTCTGGTCTTGAAACCCACATTGCCAACTCATTCACCAATTCGCTTCTCCAGCTGTTCAAGTTTATTCCCCTCTTCCGAAATCTTGCACTGAATCATGCGGCTGGCTCGTGTCTGATTGAGCATTGTCTGCTGTGTGAACTAGGCTACTTGTTTGACATGCTTGAAAAAGCCAATGGCCAAAATTGTCAAGCTACCAACCTTCTGAAGACATTCAGCAGCTTCCGAGAAGCCTCTAATCTGGGCCTCCTGGAAGAGAATCTTACCAACAAGTCACTTTCGACGGCCATCCAGGCAGTCAACCGTTTCTTCCTGACACAAATAGCCCACGACTTCCGCATGATACAACCAAGTTCTGAAGATCTCGATCAGCGTCTCGCCACAGTAGCATCCGAGTCCATTCGGTGTATGTTTTGTCAGAATGAGATTGTTCGTCCAGGCAATTCACTTGCCAATGAACTTATATACCCGAACATTGACATGAAACATGCACGACGGAATCCAGTATTCCGATTTTCCAACATCCTTCGCGCAAGTATCGAGAGAGAGACACAGAACCGTGGCTGGTGTAACTATTGCCGTCGTTACCAGCAAGTGACTATCCGCAAGTCCATTCATCGTATGCCTTTGGTTTTGGTACTGAATGCTGCCTTGACTAATCCTCTCTGCCGTCGGCTTTGGTCAATTCCAGGCTGGCTCCCCGACGCTGTCGGCATCCTTGTTGATCCTAGTGGACAAGTGATGTGTTTTGAGGGCGAGGAGCTCCAACACCGGTTTCAAAGTCAGACACCGGGGCTTGTGGTATACGATCTGGTTGGCCTGGTGGCAGAAATTGACATCCCGGAGCACCAAAAGCCGCATTTGGTGTCTTTGGTCAATGTTTCCATCTCCGGTCGTGAAAACCAAGACCAAAGCAAATGGCATTTGTTCAACGACTTCTTAGTCACGGAGGTCGACAAGGATGAAGCCTTGCGATTCACACAACCTTGGAAACAACCCTGTGTCTTGGCTTACCAAGTTCGAGACCCACGCCATGTCATCGATGACTCCTGGAAGAGCCAGCTTGATAAGACGTTGTTATTCCGCGAGTGGTCTATGAAGTGAGTTTTGCCCATTGTGGTTGAAATGAGATGCTAACCATTATTAGTGGTGGCCGGCAAGTGGAGTCATGCCGTACTCTTACCGAGGATGAGATGCCAAATTCCGGAATACCTGTCGCGTTGGACACGGAGTTCGTTGATCTTGAAAAGGCCGAGATTGACGTCAAAGCAGATGGATCACAAGAAATGGTCCGCCCCAACAAGAGTGGGCTGGCTCGTGTATCCGTGTTGCGGGGTCAAGGTATTAAGGAAGGAGTCCCCTTCATTGACGACTATATCATCATTCGAGACCCGATTGTGGACTATGTTACTCAGTATTCTGGTATCAAGCCCGGTGATCTGGATTCAAGAACCAGTGAGCACAATCTCGTGACACTCAAGGCAGCATACAAGAAGCTATGGCTGCTTCTGAACTTGGGCTGTGTGTTTGTCGGTCACGGGTTGGCCTCTGATTTCCGCAAGATCAACATTCAAGTACCAAAGTCTCAAACAGTGGACACTCAGTACCTCTTCTTCCATCCTGGCAAGAACCGTCGCCTCAGTCTGAGGTACCTGGCCTGGGCTGTCTTCAAGGAATACATCCAGGAGGAACCCACACCAGACACCGTTCAAGGCCACGACTCCATTGAAGATGCTCGCATGGCTTTACGCCTCTGGAAGAAGTTCCAGGAATACGAAGATGCGGGCATTGTAGGACAAATGCTCGAAGAAATCTTCCGCGAAGGCTCCAAGCTGGGCTTCCGCCCACCTCCTAAAAACGGCGGCACTGCTGCTGTTCTCTCTCGACCCGGTACCGCTGTCACCATGCAAAATGACAGCGGACGCAACACTCCTAGCACCCCTGAAACGCGCTCTGCAGCAATTGCTGCAACCACCGCTGCAACTCCTGGGCCAACCAGTGCACCTAGCACTCCTCGCCAGGCTTTCAGACGGTCTATCGCGTTGACTCCCAGCAATGGAAGCTTCTCTGGGCCTGGTGCAGGTGATATCTTCGGTGGCAGCCCTTTACGATAAATATACATTAGTTGGTCTTTTTTGGAATACATCATTCTTATATAAAAATGGAACAGACGCGTGAAAAAACACACTATAGTAAAGCATGTATATTGGAGTACAGTACCTGTAGAGGGCAGAGTGGGGAATGACGTGTCGGTCTGGTTTCTGCCGCAACAGAAACATCCCACTTCTCAGAACTTCCAGCTACTTTCAGCCGTACATTCTGTCGACATTGTCATTCTTTTTGACATTTTCGTTCTTTCAATTGACCATTTCGTCCTCGAGCGTCTCCTTCCTCCCCTCATTACCGAGACACTCCCCCAGCCTCCCCTCATGTCGAGACACCGCATTAAAGACGTCGGCTACGAAGACGACGATTACTACTCTGATGACGGGTATGCGTCGCCAGACCCCGAGGAGCAGGAGTTCTTGCAACAATGCACTTCTGCAGTTTTGTCCCAGCTCAGTGCGGGGCAACCCTCGGTGACCGCTACGAAAGAAGAAGTCCAAGAAGCATTATGGCATTACTATAATGATATTGAAAAATCTGTGAATTATCTGAGGGGTATGTGTCATATGCGCAAATGCATGACGCTTTTCGAGGGTTTCGCGGGTTTCGCAGCGTGAAATTTGGCTAACGAGGCACTTACAGGGAAGAAAGAAAAGGAGGCTGTAAAGCAGAAGCCGAAGGCAGCAGGTAAGCAAAAATCTTGCGAAGTCAATCTATCGAAGTTTTGGCTTGGCTCGGTCGACGGAAACCCGATCATGAGCTGCAATATTAGTAAAGAAAGGTGTGTTTTGACTACGACGCGGACCCCCCTCTTCAATCTCTCGGACTGTGAACTGACCGTCTGAAAGTTTGAACGATGTTCTAACAGGTATTGCAGTGCCCGCGTTCCCCGCTTCTTTTCCCACGGCACATTTCTCGGCGGCGGACTTCTTTCGCGACTGTCCCTGGCTCAACGTTCCCTCTCATCGGAAGGCGGAAATATTGATCGAGCCTCTCTACCCGCGTTTGGGGCTCTTGGGTGGTGCACCAGAGAATGGCGGCAAGGTCTCCAAATTGGCGGCTTTAGCTGCTGCTCGAAAGAAGAAGGAGGGCGAGAAAGCTCCAACTCCGGCCGGGACTCCAGATGCGTCTTCTTCGCCTAAGCCCTCGCACGCTCCATCTCCAGACCCTCAGGCGCCATTATCTCTTCGGGAAAGACTTGCCGCAAGTGGAAAATCTACGTCGAAACTCTCTGAGGGATCTGGACTACGACGCTTGGGCAAATCTAGCTCCTCGTCTTCTTCATCTTCCTCTGCGCCAAAAGAGCCTCAGCCTGAGCTCAAATCTCCCGAGCCACTACCTGAACCAGTGGATGATTCCAAGGCAGAGTCTGAGCCCCAAGAAACAGCTCCCAATATTCGTGCCTCGCCCTCTACCTTTGCCAGTACCATTGTTGGGACAGCGGGCCCGACAACAGCCGAGCCAAGCCACTTGCACTCGAATAGTGCCGACCTATTAAAGCTATATGGACAGGATGCTGAACCTTTTGACTTTGCAGCCCCCAGCCCCGACGATGTCGTTCTGAATGCACAGAGCACAGCGAAAGGTTTGGCGATCCGCAGAAAGGTTTGAAGGCACCCGCCTAATAATGTGTAGGATTCAAATCGAACACGTCGAAATCGGCTGGGAAGAAAGGCCAGTCTGATCTAGCAGGTGGCATGAAGGATCTATCAGTGGAGGAGAAAGTGACTGTCAAGAGCAAGAACCTGGATGTTCTAGCAGAGTACAAGAAGTCCAATCGCAAGCGGTCGGCTAATTTTGTTGTCATTGGTAGGTGGTCACTGCTATTCATATGGATTTCGCTGACTCTATAGGTCATGTTGATGCTGGGAAAAGTACCTTGATGGGGCGTTTGTTGGCAGATCAAGGTGCTATCGACAAAAGGACTCTCGACAAGTATCGGCAAGAATCCGAGAAGATTGGTAAGGGCTCATTTGCGTTGGCTTGGGTTCTGGACCAAGGATCAGAGGAAAGAGCACGGGGCGTGACAATAGATATTGCCACCAACAAGTTCGAGACCGAGAAAACAGCTTTCACGATTGTCGATGCACCGGGCCATCGTGACTTTGTGCCAAACATGATCGCTGGTGCCAGTCAAGCGGACTTTGCAGTCCTAGTGATCGACTCCAGTGTTGGCAAGTTTGAGTCTGGCTTGAAGGGTCAGACCAAGGAACACGCTCTATTAGTACGCAGCATGGGTACCCAGAAGATCGTGGTGGCTGTCAACAAGATGGATGCTGTGCAGTGGGATCATTCTCGCTTCGAAGAGATTGAGCAACAGATTTCCTCCTTCTTGACAACCGCAGGCTTTCAAGAGAAGAACATTTCTTTCGTACCTTGCTCGGGTGTTCTCGGTGACAATATAACTCGTCGCAGCGAAGATCCTCATGCCTCTTGGTACTCTGGTCGAACATTGATCGAAGAATTGGAGGATTCAGAGCCCTACACTCACGCCCTCGAAAAGCCGCTGCGCATGACCATCGGCGATGTCTTCCGAGGCGGCGTACAAAACCCACTCTCCATCTCTGGTCGTCTTGACGCGGGCAGTTTGCAAGTTGGTGATCAAATCCTGACAATGCCCAGTGGTGAAACAGCCATGGTGCGCAGTATCGAGGTAGACAGTGACCTAAGTGACTGGGCTGTTGCGGGCCAAAATGTTGTCTTGCATATCGCCAACATCGACCCGATCCATCTTCGGTCTGGTGACGTTGTTTGCCGTCCTTCTTCTCCGATTCCTACCATCACTACCTTTACCACCAAGGTTCTGGCTTTTGAACATCTAATGCCTATGCAGGTGGACGTTCACCGTGGTCGTCTTCATGTCCCTGCTCGTATCAGCAAGCTGGTTGCTTCACTGGACAAGGCATCAGGTGCAGCTATCAAGAAACGGCCCAAGATTGTGGCTCCTGGTACTGTTGCTCGAATTGTGGTGGAGATGGATCACGCTGTGCCACTGGAAGCCCCCACGAGGATTGTTCTACGTTCAGGTGGATCAACGGTGGCCGCTGGATTATTAGAGTAGAGATGTATAGAAGAATATCTAAAAATACATTCTGCACAAACCTTACTCAGCCTCTTCATATATATATATATATATCGTAATTGTAGTTAACAAACATCGGTTATTTATTTTTGTATACCAGACTATCTTGAATCATGGCTGTACATTGTGGCACAGTAGCTTGTCCTTGTTCGCATCTAGGGCGTTCTATATGGACCCTGTGCTAACCCTGCTCGGCAGATCCCTGACTTACTGTATTCTAGGCCCGCACCCTGGAGCTACCCATAACGGAGTACTACTGAGTACTACAGTATGACTCAATTGCAATTGCATGTAGGCCTATCTTATCTACGTGGCCATAACGTCTATAACTGCGAGGCCAGTCTAGACAAATGCACCGTTAATGAGGCTAAACCTGAACAAGGGACAAGTGTTTGGCCCCTTCTAGCAAGTTCGATCATCTGGCAGCTTCTGATTGGTGGGATTCAAAAGGAATCCTTGGGTGGCCCCTGCCGCTAGCCCTGTTTAGGCTGTATATTTCCCTAAGAAGAAGGCGGTGACACGACAGGGCGGACTGTGAGTAAGCCACTGCCGAACGAGTGGCAGCCAATCAGAGCTCGAGAAGTGACCTGAACTGGGAAAAGGCCATGCTGGCCGCTGGGCCATATTTCGCGTACAAGAAGTCCGCATCTTCTTGCAACTTCTTTCTTTCCACATCGCCTCGGGTCCCTCTCCCGCTTACTTTTTAAGGGTTGAGTACAACACGTCTTTTTGTGTTAACTCCGCGTCGCATTACGGCACGCACGAAGCTCCTCGACAGCTTCCCCATCGTGTGATTTGAACAGCTCATTTCTCAACACATACTTATATCCCCTTCACAATGGCACGAATCTCCGCACGCGACGGCGCGTCCAAGCCTTTCGCCTGGACCACTGTCTTCTATCTTCTCTTCGTCTTCCTCGCCCCCTTGGCCTTCTTTGGCAACACTGCTCACGCTCAGGAGGAGAACTCCCCCGAGAGCTACGGCAATGTTATTGGTATTGATTTGGGAACCACCTACTCGTATGTATCTGAGCATACAGACAGCCATTGAACAATACTAACCTGTACCAGTTGTGTTGGTGTGATGCAGAATGGCAAGGTCGAGATCCTCGTCAACGACCAAGGAAACCGTATTACTCCTTCTTACGTCGCTTTCACCGATGAGGAGCGCCTCGTTGGTGACGCCGCCAAGAACCAATACGCCGCCAACCCCGAGCGCACAGTCTTCGACGTCAAGTAAGTTGGAAATCGTTGCCACATGGCCCGTTTTTCATGCTAACAAACACAGACGTATGATTGGTCGCAAGTTTGATGACAAGGATATCCAGAAGGACATCAAGAACTACCCCTTCAAGGTTGTCAAGAAGGAGGGCAAGCCCCAGGTCAAGGTCGATGTCAACAAGTCCCCCAAGACCTTCACCCCGGAGGAGATCTCCGCCATGGTTCTTGGTAAGATGAAGGAGATTGCAGAGGGCTACCTCGGCAAGACCGTCACCCACGCTGTTGTTACCGTTCCCGCCTACTTCAACGACGCCCAGCGTCAGGCTACCAAGGATGCTGGTACCATCGCTGGTCTGAACGTCCTCCGTGTTGTCAACGAGCCCACTGCCGCCGCTATCGCCTATGGTCTGGACAAGACTGGTGACGAGCGCCAGGTTATTGTCTACGATCTTGGTGGTGGTACTTTCGATGTTTCCCTCCTGTCTATCGACAACGGTGTCTTCGAGGTCTTGGCTACCGCTGGTGACACCCACCTTGGTGGTGAGGACTTCGACCACCGTGTCATGGACTACTTCGTGAAGCAATACAACAAGAAGAACAACGCCGATGTCAAGAAGGACCTCAAGGCTATGGGCAAGCTCAAGCGTGAGGTCGAGAAGGCCAAGCGTACTCTGTCTTCTCAGATGTCTACTCGCATTGAGATTGAGGCCTTCCACAACGGTGATGACTTCTCCGAGACTCTCACCCGCGCTAAGTTCGAAGAGCTCAACATGGATCTCTTCAAGAAGACGCTCAAGCCCGTTGAGCAGGTCCTCAAGGACGCCAAGGTTAAGAAGTCCGAGGTTGATGACATCGTTCTCGTCGGTGGTTCTACCCGTATCCCTAAGGTTCAGGCTCTTCTTGAGGAGTTCTTCGCCGGCAAGAAGGCCAGCAAGGGTATCAACCCCGATGAGGCCGTCGCTTTCGGTGCTGCCGTCCAGGGTGGTATTCTCTCCGGTGACGAGGAGATGGTCGACATGGTTCTCATGGATGTTAACCCCCTCACCCTCGGTATCGAGACCACTGGCGGTGTGATGACCAAGCTCATTCCCCGCAACACTGTTATCCCTACCCGCAAGTCGCAGATCTTCTCGACTGCCGCCGACAACCAGCCCACCGTCCTTATCCAGGTGTTCGAGGGTGAGCGCTCGATGACCAAGGACAACAACATGCTCGGCAAGTTCGAGCTGACCAACATCCCCCCGGCTCCCCGCGGTGTCCCCCAGATTGAGGTTGCCTTCGACCTCGACGCCAACGGAATCCTCAAGGTCTCTGCCTCCGACAAGGGCACTGGCAAGGCCGAGTCTATCACCATCACCAACGACAAGGGTCGTCTGTCCCAGGAGGAGATCGACCGCATGGTCCAGGAAGCCGAGCAGTACGCCGAGGAGGACAAGGCCATCAAGGGCAAGATCGAGGCCCGTAACGGCCTTGAGAACTACGCCTTCTCCCTCAAGAACCAGGTCAACGACGAGAACGGTCTCGGTGGCCAGATTGATGAGGACGACAAGCAGTCCATCCTCGACGCTGTCAAGGAGGTCAACGACTGGCTCGAGGACAACGCTGCTACCGCCACCATGGAGGACTTTGAGGAGCAGAAGGAGCAGCTCTCTGGTGTTGCTTACCCCATCACCAGCAAGCTCTACGGCTCTGCCGCTCCCAACGAGGATGATGATGAGCCCTTGGACCACGACGAACTGTAAAATTATCTTGAGGCATTATTCATGGAGTTCATTTTTTCTTGCTTGATTTTGTCTTGATATCTGTTTAAGTAACTGTAGGCCTGGCTATGCCGGTCGAAAATACACACCATGATACCTTGCACCTGTGAAGAAAGTAAACTCGAACAATCACTGTAGATATTCTATTATAAGCTGACTTGTTGTATGGTCAACAAGTCCGAAGACGTGGGGTGGTGCCTTCTACTATGCTAAAGATCCCATGTTTGATTTTACAATGCTTGAATTTAACCATGTAAACCCTCTGTTCTGCGTAAAATGATCGATTGTAACATTCGTTCTTCTAAAAAGGCCAGTGTAAAAACTTGTGGCCTGCTCGAACAGGAATTGCCTATTCCTTGACCGTATACTTTCAAAGGTTCTTGAATGAAGGGCATCATGTCTGCTACTATCAGTACAGGCTGAAGCTCCTCTTACGGTCTTCGTACAGGAACCACTCGGGTAGCTTAGTTTGAGGGGCAACTACAAACAGGGCTCATAAGCGTACACGGTGCTATGAAGTATTGGATAGTTTCTGCAGCATGCAATACCTTGAAGGAGTGTATTTCTTCATGCATTTGCTTGGTGCTCCTTTGAAATTCTCCTTTTTCGCCTCTTTTTTAGCCCATTTTCGAGTGCTTTGGGTTGACCATCTGGGACATAATAACGGTTGGGGTGTGAAAAGACTTGTGGCCAATATTGTATGAAAAAGATCTTAGCAAATATATGGAGCACAAGTAGATGGATACTGCAGAAGGAAATGTATCCAGGTGTTTGTTTACTCTCGATATTTGTCTTTTTCTGTTGGTAACATATTCCAAATGTCGATATGTCAGTTAAAGAGTGCCATTCAATATAGACCTCCGCCTGTACATGATAATCTCCTAAACGGCTCAACCTAGAGCAAATCAAACCATCTACCACGGTCATACATTCAAAATGATAATTGAGGCGGATATAATAATAGCCAAGTGGAGTATAGATCTATGCCGGGGAAGGTCCAGGCGATTGGACGACGTCATGGTCTCTCCCCACTCTGCTTCGGACATCCCCAATTCCCCAACTTCTTCTTTCTTTTCTTCTTTGGAAATAACCGACAAGCTAGAGCAACTCATACCTTCAGCATGACCCTCGCAACTCCCAGCACGGACGTAAGACCCCCGATGCCGTATACCATTTACGCCGCAAACTGACCCCCACCACTAGGCCCAAGTCCTCATCGCAGCAGAGACAAGCCCAGAACAAACATTCCGCACCTTCACAACCGACACAGCCTGGACACTCGGCAATGCGCTCCGCGAACGAATCCTCTGTCTCCCCTCAGGCCAACGCAAACCAGCCCTGATCTCGATCGCACTGGCAACAGCAACCTCAGGCGGTGTGCCCCTACACGTCCTCTTCCAAAGCGCAACAGAGAGCGGCACCATCCCCGATAATGAGAACTGGGTGCGCCGCAAGCGCAATACAGTCTTGCGCTGGGGCGTTTCCAGCTGGGCGATGAGACAGAAGACTATTGGTGGGTTGGCGGCCAATGCGTCCGCTGATCAGATTGAGGCTGCATTTGTTAAGAAGTATGCAGTTGCTAGCGCTAACGGAGGGGCTGTGGCTGATGAGTATGCTATTCATGGTGGTGGCTATCCCATTCGGGTTCGGGGTGTTGAGGGGGTCGTTGCTGTGGTTGTTGTCAGTGGGCTGAAGCAGGAGGATGATCATCAAGTTGTTGCTGAGACTATTCGGGAGGTTGTCGCTCAGCAGAATTAGTTGAGGGCTTGAGAATAACGCATAGAAATAGAATAAGATACAAACAAAAAGACAAAAACAAAGATAGACTCCTGCACAAAGAGCTCAAAGCTAACGAAGAAGACATAGTGTCATCAAGATAAGCGGGATAAATGTCAAAAAGTATTGTTATACCTCCTACCTTTAAAAGGAGGCTATCCCAAGAGAGACTGGCTGGATGGGATCCAACTTACTCATGAGACTGTATATGATTGGTCGATGGGGAGTCGGCCGAATTATTCAAACCTTCTCGCAGGTCGCCTTCCCTTCTTAATTATCTTCTCTCCTTCAACACCCGCGCTCGAAGTTCCCTTGGTCCTGTCCCTATCAAAATGGTGCTCTCTATAATTTACTACTTGTTTCTTCTCCTTCTTTTTGCTTATTTTGTGGTATGTCACTTTCCACACATGCATTCAACTCCGCCCCTATCTGAATCTACCTCGGTCAACGACCCGATCGACCAGGCCGAGGAATTGGATTGTGACAAACACTACTATCACCCGATCTGGCCACAGCGCTGGACTCATCCGGACTTTACCGAACAGGCCTCTGCAAAGTGGAAGGAAGAGCCATGGTACGAAAACACGGCAGATCGTATCACTCATCGATTCCTAACTCAGCAATTCCTATGCCATTTTCCTTGGGGATATATCATCTATCGAACAGTCTATACGCCTGAGTCCGAGGAACTGTGGCCGATCGCAATAGAGAAGCTAACCCGCGTGATAAATAAATGGATAAAAGGTGAATTGAACCATCCTCGGAAACGCTATGGGGATAACCCCCGCCCTGAGCAGCTGATAGAAGAGTCCCATAAGGATGTGATTATCTCTGACTCGAGTCGGTGGGACGGTGCTAGTATAGAGCAAGTTCGTGGCCATTTTGCTCAGTATCTACGCAAGATTAAGCAGGAGGAACACTGTGAAGATTCTCGCTTTGCTGTATGTCTTATAATTGATGAGAGATCATTGAAATCGATTGTTGCGACAGAGGACCCTCACGGGGGTTTTGTTGGGGTAGTTGATGGACGGTATACCCCCGAAAAGAGGTATGATTCGCCTTCTTACCGTGGATATATGAGGGTGCTAGTTTGGGCGTTATGGCCGCTCTATTTGAATCTCCAATTCGATCATATGTGCGAGCTATGTCCTAATGCCCCAGATGGGTGGATTCCTGTCTATGATGAGAGCGATGGGACGGCGCAGGACGAAGATGGAAATTTCATTCCTAGAGATTTTGGCCGGAAGCGCCCCGAGGGCTTAGCTCAGCGAAGGCGTGGGAGAGGATAGCGATACTATACGCGTACAACAAGTTCTTATACCCGCATAAAGAAAATCATCAAGACCAACGATGCTACTGCACCGATCCCACCTTCAATGACGCTCCCATCAGTGTACAGTAGAGAATCAGGCGATAAAAAGAAGAGCGCGAGAGGTTGCAGCGGATGGGTCTTTGGACTAGCAGGGCTCTGCTCGCTTACAAGTGGCATTTCATATTACGATGATTCAAATCGTAGCATTAGTATCATTCCTATTAGGGAGCACTGACAGATCCTCGAACACCAAATAACTAACAATTTTCCCGAAGGCCACGCACAGTCTAGCCTGAATATCTCACATTGTCCCTATAAAAAGTGGTGTAGATATACATCATAGTAAGGAAGATATTTGAACATTTCCGGGGGTAGGTATACTACTTTTTCCTAAACTCTGTATTTTATTTTAGGGAGATACTAAAAGGACCCTAGAATTGAGTATTTGGACCCCATGGCCTTACGCTAAGCCTAATTAGGCCTAGCCTAGTAATTGTAATTCCAATGCATTAATCGGTAAAAATGCATCAGTTCTTGGCAGTGCTGGATGCCCCGGGTATCGGCGGTCATAAACCTTGGGTACTTCATTTACTATGCAGCTCTCTAATAAAATTAAGTCACCACCGTTTCTTACCAACAACCAACTGGACTCAGTAGCTTCTTGACCCCAAGATACTTCCATTTACTATGCAACCCCCTTATTAAATTAAGTACCGACCACTGCTCAATTTCCTAGAATCGCACTAGTCCTAAAAGGTCAGCACCACTAATTAATTACCCCGTAATTAGGGCATCGCCAACTCCATGTCTACGGCTTCATGCATCTCGCCAATTTCAACACATCACAACATCACCAATATAGCCGATACGAATTTCTAAAATTATTTCATCGCTCAGAAATGGCTAATCAGTCTCTATTGAAATTTTCAGCTCACAAATAGCGATACTGGCCCCGTGAGGGCGTTGCAACTATCACCATACTGTTTGTTGACATCCCTCTACCAAAACGTCGAAATGGCACCAAGAATCGGCTCCCACACCCCTGAATTCAATGAGACTGACTGGGATTCGAGTCTCGCAGGGTCGTCGGCCTCATCGAGTCGCTTCTTTACCCCTGATCCTATCGAAATCGGCCCTGAAATCGACCCTGAGCCGGCGGAGACACCTACAATCGAAGACGGGCAGCTCTTCGGGACTTTCCAGGAAGGAATTGATACGATAAATGGCATCCTCGGGCCTACTGGCTACGCAGTCGTTAAGCGCCGTACCAAATCCAACGCTACCGATGGGCTATACATCGTGGTTCTTCGATGCGACCGTGGTAGACGCCCAGACTCTAGCCGGGCGGCTTCTCCCGAGCTTCCTGTGGCGAATACGGCTTTATCTAGACCTTCTCGGCAGACATTCACGTCTATGACTGGCTGCGAGTACGGTCTGAATCTCCGCCTACAGCGGGAGACCGGTCTCTGGCGGTTACAGGTCGATCATGGAGAGCACAATCACGAACCGGGGCCTCAATCAACTCATCCTACGCTGCGCCGGCGAGCTCTCGAGCCTCATCTTGATACTCTAGATCCTCTTATACGCCAAGGGATCCCTCCACGCCAGATCATCTCGCTTCTAGCTAGCCAGGGCATTCATCTTAGGCCGGCGGACATCTACAACCGTGCTAGACGTCTTCTTCAAGAGCTTCTTGCCGGTCGGACGCCGATACAAGCCCTCTTCGAAGAGCTGCCGAAGCATGGAGACTGGATCTTACGCCATACCACTCAAGCCGACGGCGAGACAGTATCAGGCGTCTTCGCGATACATCGTACTGGCCTTGCGCAGCTTCGACAGTCTCCCTCGGTGCTATGGATAGACTGTACGTATCAGACTAACCGCTTCAATATACCGTTGCTAGATATCATTGGCGTCAACTCGATCGGGAGGTCATTCTGTGTCGGCTTCGCATTCCTACCGAGTGAGCGCGAGGACGCGTATCGCTGGGCCCTACGCTGTCTACAAGGTATCTACGATGAATATGGCCTCGGGAAGCCTCTCACAGTATTCACTGATAAAGAGAAAGCCCTCCTCAATGCGCTCGCAGTAGCATTGCCAACGACAGCCTCGCTGCTATGCTTGTGGCATGTTATCTCGAATATCAAGGCGAAGGCTATACCGGCGGCTAGGAAACATGTGAAGGCCCTGATTGACGCCGGCGAGGTCGAGAAGGAGGCATACATCGCGTATGCCACTGCTTTTTGGCTAAAGATGCTGCAGCGCTGGAATCGAGTCGTCTTCGCTGAGACTGAGCAACGTATGAGAGAGCAGTGGCTATACTTTTGTAGCTGCTATAGTGAGCCAGTCTTCTCGAACCTCCTTACCTATATCGAGAAGCACTGGATCATCGAGTCCGGTCGGCAGGTGCTACGCTGTTTTACGAATAGCTTCTTCCACCTCGGCGAGACATCGACATCTCGCGTGGAGGGTGCTCATGCAGCTCTAAAGAAAGACCTCCAGAATTCGCGGCGTAACCTCCTTGCCCTGCTTCACTGCTTCGAGACTGTTATTCTTAGGCAATTCAAGCTCTCTCAGCAAGCTATCGCCGACGAGAAAGCGCGATCGCCGACCGTATTATCTGCTATGCGGCATCCGATCGTCCGTGACGTCTTACGGCTGGTTTCACGAAAAGCGATCGGGCGGGTCTTAAAGCTATACCATGCGCATCTTCCGGAGGATGAGGGTATACCCGGCAAGAGACCCTTCGCCGTCGGTTGTACGCCTGGCTGCAAGGCTACGGGCTATCCCTGCATCCATGACATCAAATGGGCTGACATGATAGGTGTCTCTGTCAAATTATCGCAGTTTCATACCCAGTGGCACCTCTACGAGACCGAAGCACCGCCGATCGGCCTTAGCCACCTTCTCCAAGAACCCGAGATCCTTACCAGCATCCGCGGGCGGCCTAAGGGCGCATTGAATAACCTTCCGACGTCTACGGCATCATCTACGCAGCGGGATCCGTCGCTGTTTGAGATCGTGGATGCCCAGGAAGCACGGGAGGGTCGGCGGATACAACGGGGGGGACAGCGAGGTCGAGGACGAGGTCGAGGACGAGGACGAGGACGTGGAGGCCGAGGACGAGGACGTGGAGGCACACAACAGGTGGGAATAGCCTCGTCTATAGCCCAGGGAGCTCAGGCTACGGCCCCGACGTCGCCGGCGAGCAGTCCTACGTCGCAGGCGTCGGGAATCGCATCGACTACGTCGCCGGTGGCATCTCAGGCACTGGGAATAGCTTCGTCTACGGCCCAGGCATTGTCTGCAAGCATTCCTACGTCGCCGGTGGCATCTCAGGCACTAGGAATAGCTTCGTCTACGGCCCAGGGCGCGGCCCAGGCTCAGAATACCTGGTCCGACCGGCTCAGGAAGCGTCGGAGAGCTCTCTGAATAGCGTCAGAACGCATTGGACATATCTGTATATAGGAAATATGTCAAAATTTACTGCTTTCTCGTACGTTTTGACCACAATAGCTGGATTCCTTCAAATCTGCGGAGTTTTCAAATCAGCCTCTGTTTCCTAATTGGGACTAGTGCGATTCTAGGAAATTGAGCAGTGGTCGGTACTTAATTTAATAAGGGGGTTGCATAGTAAATGGAAGTATCTTGGGGTCAAGAAGCTACTGAGTCCAGTTGGTTGTTGGTAAGAAACGGTGGTGACTTAATTTTATTAGAGAGCTGCATAGTAAATGAAGTACCCAAGGTTTATGACCGCCGATACCCGGGGCATCCAGCACTGCCAAGAACTGATGCATTTTTACCGATTAATGCATTGGAATTACAATTACTAGGCTAGGCCTAATTAGGCTTAGCGTAAGGCCATGGGGTCCAAATACTCAATTCTAGGGTCCTTTTAGTATTGCCCTTATTTTAATCTTAAAACATAAAATATACAGATATTTTAGGTAATGGGCTATAATAATAGAACAGTTCAATAATATAGTGTAGTAGTAATAATCAATGCTACTCTGTAATTTCACTTCTATCCTCAATTCTACACAGCCACTGTCTGTGTCAGCCAATCTCAAAAGAGATAGTTAGGTCTCAAGCCATCATGCAGCTGCTATTGGTGAGAGACGCCACCTCATATTTTCTTCTTGGGTCAAACTCTGTCTCGCGGCTCGATATAGAAACACGGAAGTCGTCAAAGATCCTACTATCGAAGCAGTCTGCGCACACCCACACCTCTCAGCTATTGATGATACGAGCTAGTATGGCAATCAGTCAGAGATGAGGGCCAGTAATCGCTTAGCTTCACTAGCTGTCCTTGGCGCCTGGACACTAGCGGCTATATCTATTTCTCACCTCGGCCTGAAAGACTTGTCGTGATGGTGATATCAAGAGTCTTTCCTAAGGAACCCGACTAGCTTGAGGTCATACAGCATAGAAATCGAAAATTAATAGTGCTGCATTTTCTCATTGTCTGCGATCTGCCCCCGCTTTGGGTCAGCACACGCCATGGTATCCAAGTCAGCCCTCTATATTACGGGCCTTGGTTCACAATACCCTCCGTATCTTATGGCGCCAGAGAAACTTGATGACCTTGCAGAGCGCTTTGGTGATACCAGCAGTCCAGGGTATTCATTCCTACATCGTGCACTTCAGGATCAAAATCTCATACGATATACCTAGAATCAAAAAGCTACTTCAAATCAACCGTTCAACGGGCATTCAAACTCGATCAGCCATCCACTCATACGAAGATGGGTTTGCTACTCAGGAAGGGCCACCTTCGGCCAAAGAACTTGACGAATTCTTTCGGCAAGCAGGAGTCGATCTCGCCGTTCAGGCATGTCAAAAGGCTCTTCAAGAAGCTTGCATTGACCCAGAGCATATAACGCATACCGTCGGAGTCACCTGTACCAACCATGGCAGCCCAGGCTATGATCTGCTTGTGGCTCGCCAAGTAGGCTTATCACCCCAAGTCGATCGCATGCTCCTCCATGGTGTCGGATGTGCAGGAGGTCTTTCCATTATGCGCGCTGCAGCACAAATAGCCAGTGGGGCCAGCCTGCGAAGAAAACCGGCTCGAATTCTGGCTTTTGCCTGTGAGCTCTGCACGCCCAATTTCCGGAATGAGCTGGTACATGCAGAGAAATGTGCACATCCAGATCGGGTTTGCATTGCCGGAGCTTTATTCTCCGATGCAGCAGCAGCGTTTGTTCTTTGTAATGAGTATGCGATGGCAAATGACGAAAACGTCACTCCTGTGTTTGAGCTGGTTGAGTGGGGGACGAGTTTGATTCCTGATACGATTGAACATTTGTCGTTTTATGCGGATATAGATGGTATGTTGGCCGTTTCTTCCTCCATCTTTGAAGATGACTCGATCAAGCATGTCTACTAATATCTGGATCAATGTGCATACAGGTTACCGGACGGTTCTCTCTCGTAATGTTTCTACATACGCAAAGAATGCCATCAGCCCAATGTTTGAGAGACTTCTCCCATCCTACGTGGAGCAAGTCAGTTCTCTACCAGGCGTTGAAGGGGAAACATTACAGATATCGCTAGGCCCGAGTGAGTTCGACTGGGCGTTGCATCCCGGCGGGCAGGCCATTATCAACGGTGCTCAAAGAGTCCTGAAATTAAAAGATGATCAACTGCAAGCATGTCGAGACATCTACCGCACTCGAGGAAACTCATCAAGCGCAAGCGTCTTGATCGTTCTAGATCGAGCTCGCACACTGGGTAAAAGAGAGCATGTTGTGGCGACTTCCTTTGGTCCAGGGATGGCAATTGAGATGGCGATGCTGAGGAATTCAAGGCACTTGAGGACAGCAATATGAATCCTGGACTCAGGCTCCATTATTAGCTTCAGCGTGACAGATTTCCAGTCCCAGTCTAGATATTGAGGATTAACATTTATATTTTCAAATATGCTTATATGAACTTGGGCGATCGATACATGATTTATATTTCTATGTGAAATCGTTTCTTTGTATCATTTTTTTATAGTAACATTCCTCACAGAGGCCTTAGTAATCTTAGGGTTGGATGTCCTATTGAGAATGCATTACAAGTTCCCTCCTGTCAGCAAGGTTGTATGGCTCAACTGGGACAGTCAGATATCAGCAGCCAATCAGCAATTTCAGCTGTTTGATGTTCCTGCATCATTGGTCTAGTGGTAGAATTCGTCGTTGCCATCGACGAGGCCCGTGTTCGATTCACGGATGATGCACACTTTTTTTGTTATTTTTATGCTAGCAGGAGGTATCCATCCATCCTCACGCTGGTGATTTGTCAAATCAACCGGAATATTGCGTGTCAACTCAGGCGCATTGTGCGAGAGATAGGAGGTAAGCGAAGCGATAGCCAAATCTCCAACATAGGGATCCCTATTCCTCTTTGCGCCATCAAAGATGACCCGCTTGCCCTCCAGCGTCGGAGTAGCAGAGTCTTGAGGATCAGTCTCATTGGCAAAGAATGTATCACTGGACATGTCGGTAGTGTAGACACCATCCAACCACCACTGCGTCAGATCTTCATGGGAACACTCGAACTATCCGGTGAATGTGTCGGGTGTCCCAAGAAAATCCGACCACTCAGGTTCAATATTGGATATAGAGACGGACCCATATGGCTGTGTGTATGGGGCATCACTTTCAAGGGCACCGAGCCAGATCTTCATATACCGGAAGCCGTGAAGACCATCTGAGCATACCTGTTCTCCATATTGGCAGCTGGCATTGTTCTTCCAAGTAGCTGGTTCGTTGGCAACAGCAATTTGATCGGAGCCAGTAATTATTTTCTGTCCCTAATTTGGTATTAGTATTGTCTAGCACGAAAGAGCCACGTTCGAAACGTACGTCTGGCAGATTATCCGATCTCGTAAAATCACTCGTATTTGTTAGGAACTGCTGGGTTTCCCTAAACGCAAATTTCAACCCTGGAAGTCCCTGAGACGAATTCGTCGACTGACCGAAATCGATCGATACTACACCGACCACATTCTGACCGAAGTCAACAACAATGGAGGGAATATCAAGGTCGTCTGGCTTGCAAGTTAAGATTGTTGGAGCATCATTGTTTCCTAAATAGCATACGTTGCCGGTAATATTTGCAGCCAAAATGCCCTTTGGTTTCACGATCGAAGTGTTGGGCGAGCGGACATACTTATGCCAGGTGCGTTCTCCATAGATATCTCCTTTGACAGCCGCAGCGCTGCAGCCAGCACCCAAAGCTAGAATGGTGATGCTCGTTTTGGCTATGATAGGTGTCATAGTATTGATTTTGATTCTTTTCCTTTGCAGATAGTGACCTGATGGGCGTACTTAAGGTGGCTCAGGCACGGACAGACGGGATCTTCCGAATGTCGAATGCAATGCGGTTTACATAGAGTTTCTTCACCACTTGAAGCCGGGCTAATTCATACCAAGCTCATAAAGAGAGGGAAAAGCTGACGCTGATTCAAAGCTGGAAAACAAAAGCGTGTCCAAGATGGCCACTTGGGTGACAATAGGTCAGCGATGCCACCCGCTCGCATTATGGAATACTTCCAACCCCGCAACCTTGTCTGCAGCTACTTCCACAGGGATTGATTCAATTTTCTGACTAATTAGTTATGTTGATATCCAGAATCTACACATTTGATGTTAAAACTATTCGCCTGTTTCGTGTCATGTATACTCAACCGCCCTAAGCCGAATTTGGACACTCCACCCTAGAACGCGGGACTCCATCACAGTATCGCATCAATGCTTACTTTCTCCTCCCAAATCTAACCAATTGACATAGCCGCGACTATTCTCCGTCTATAACATGGCAAACAGCCCCCTTGTACTACCTCGTCCCGGGACAGTCAAGTCCAACGAGCCACCAATCCAAGCACCATCCGAAGCCGACTTCCGCGCAGCATTCGGCAACCTGCTACCGTCGGCATCATATCTGCAGACAACAAACGGCAAAGTCGCATACTACGAGCTATCACCCTCTTCTCTTGCACCAGCAGACGCTAAGAAGCCAATCTCCCGTGTCCTATTTGTGCATGGTGTCCAAACACCCGCAATCGGCCTGCAACCATTAGCAAGCGTGCTATCTTCGCATTTCCCGTGTGCGCAATGTGTACTCGTGGACCTATGGGGCCACGGGATCACCGAGACGCCAATTGCTCCACATGAAGCGGCCCTCTTTCATTCATTACTTGAGGCTGTGATGGTGCATCTCCGGTGGGAGACTGCCCATTTTGTTGGTTACTCGTTTGGTGGGTCCACCACTGCTAGTTTCGCGGCTGCGTTTTCCCACCGCGTTGCTTCTATGGTGCTGGTCGCGCCCGCGGGTTTACTGCGCTCTACGCAATTTAATGAGTTGCAAAGGAGCTATTTGCGCGGTGGCGAGGGATTAGAGGATGCGGCGCGCTCGTGGATTATGGAATTCCTCGAGGGAGGGCAGTTAGTTGTTCCTTCGGATTGGAAGGAAAGGGTGGGTCGAGGCGAAGTGGTTGCAGAGGCGGTTCGGGACTGGGAAATGAAGGAGCATCAAGGCCATGCGGCAAGTGTAGTTGGTATTTTCAGAGATGGCGGGGTCTTGGATCAACATGCTGAATTTGCTGAAGCGGCGACAAAGGGCATTGACAGTTTATGTGTCTTAGGAGAGTTGGATGACTTGTGCAGTGTGCAGGACTTGCATGATGTTGGCATGCGAAATGTTTCTGTTGTTCCGCAAGTGGGACATGGCGTTGTGAGGCAAAAAGTGCCAGAGGTTGCCCGGCTCATTGAGGATTTCTGGCACAAGCTCGAGTAGCGGTGTCTACCTCTTTACGAGGGAATGCCTTCACTAATTCACCTGGCTACAAGGGATTTGGCCACACAAACTTAGAGCCCTTTTCAAAATTGCTGTTCTCTAACACAACTTCCGTACTACGCCAAATCCGAACTAAATCTATGTTTTTGGTGATATTGAATTTCTGCCATTTCATGCGGCGAATTCTCTCTCATATGGATCGAGCCCTTCTTACAGAAGCTGGTGAGCATTCGCCAATGGTCGAAACCTGCTACTGCATGCTAGCACTACAGCTATAATACGAGAAGGGCAAGATAAGAAAGAGGAATAACAACTAAACCAAGCGGAAAAGACTTTGAGGTGTATGAAGGGTATATGTAAACAAGCACTGTGATATATCTGCCATGGTGAACCATCATTGCTATTAGAACTGAGGAAATCCATGCTCAACCCATGTATCTACAAATCCCTCCACTCACGCATCATATCCGCATCCGCTTTCCCCCCACAAAGCCGCTTCTCAACACTAGGTCTAGAAAAAGCCCTCTTGTACCCAGGCGGAAAACACTCAGCCCCAATAGCAACAACGTAAGGCTCAGCTACAAGTCCCGAATCAACCAAACGCCCCGCATCCCAGAAGACGTATCCCATATCCCTAAGGAGAGCATTAGATGGAGAATCTGGTTTGACATGCGTGTCGAAACTAGTTCCCCATTTCCACCCCAGATTGTGTTGGTCGACTTCATCACAGTCAATGGAAACCACTTTGCCGTGATACAGGGTCGTTTTGGATTTCTCGTCCATGTTGTCATTTGTCATACCCCCAGTAACAAAGTAATCATTGATATCCAGATCATGCGAATGCCGTTCTGATTTGAGGAGGACATGTTTGAGGTCTCGGGAGGGTAGGTTGTTCAAGGAGAGGATATAAGCCGGACCGCAGGAAATGAGATATTTGACATGATTATCGTGAAATGGTGCGCCGCGATAATTCGTTGTCAAGAGGAATAGTCCGCAGCCTTTGAGTGTTTTGCCAATGCCAGCGTCATCATTTCCACTTGGGGTATCATCTTCCTGATCAGATTTCCTTTCGACGCCCGCATCGAGAAGACCCTTTTCAGAATAGAAAGCAAGAAAATCATCCTCTACCCGTTCACAAAGTGCCTCCACAAACTTTGCAAGGAATTGTCTAACGCAGATAATTTCTTCGAATTCGTGCTGTTGGAATTGAGAACTGAAGCTCATGAGAATCTGGATGAAATTCATCGCGGAACTTTTATCCTGGAGCTGAAGGACTCGATGGAATCTGGCAAAAATTTCACAGCGATAGAATGCACGCTGGAGACGGGCTCGTTCTGTATGTGATACTTTTGCTCTTGGGGTTGTCGTTGGAGATGGTACAGGGGAGTGATTTTGGTCATGATCATTTGGGAATAAATGGCGCAGTGACCAATGACAGAATGTATCGATGAGGCGTTCGACATTTGCTTGAAAATTGAACATTGTTTCCAGGTTGTCGTTGTCTACTTTGAACACATCATGATTCTGAGACCGGCGTTTGCGGTCGGTGGCGAAGATAGAAAAGCATTCTGCTTTTAGTTTTGTGATTTTGACGCCTGATTTGATCTGCCGTCGGTTTATTTGAGCATCCAAGGCTGAATAGGCGTCTGCTCGACATGTTGGGTGGATTGCTCGGGTCAGGGTATTCCTTTGAAGATGCTGTCTGTAGGCGATGAAAGTTCGGTATAAGTTTGGTGAGGCGTGTACAGCGGCGACTAGATCGAGTGGTGACGATATGTTTTCGAGAGTGAGTAGCAAGATCTCTGGAGAGAGAGACTCCAGCGCCATGGCGTGAAGATGGGATAAAAGTCCCCGCAAAGTTGATGGGTTGAGGCTCCGCTGGTGACCCTTGGATGGCTCTCATTGGTCAGCCTTGTGCATTATTCATGACCTTAATTTGTGTCTGTGAATCATTTTGAGCTTATTTGGGCGGCAGAGCCAGCAGTGAAATATGTTTCTGTTTCCAGCCTATGTTACGGATCTAAGAAGCGGGCAATTATCATGATAGTACCATGTTGCCAATAGCATATTCCCAGACTAACGCATATGTACGAACATACAATTCAGACCAATACTCGACTAGATACACAGATACACAGCCAGCCAGCAACAGGCGAGAAAGGGAGATAAGAAAACAGTCCATGAAAATACCAAAGACCCAAGTCAACATGAAACACAGCCAAAGGATCATTCACTCAGACCAAAATCAATGGTTACGAGAAGAGATTAATCACCGATAAAACGAAGCCGGGTTAGACCCAGCTGCGCCGCCCTGAGGGGGCTGGTATGCCTGGTATTCGCCCGTGCCAGCAGGAGCTGGAGGCGCCGGGCTATATGATGTGTACTGTGCTGGCTGGGATGTTGCGCCAGGGACTGGGGGAGGCTGATGCGAGGGTGGGGGTTGATGGGAAGCGGCGGGGGAGTTGGGATACGGGGGTTGCTGAAATTGGTGAGGGATTTGTTGGGGCATGGTAGACACTGGAGGGATCTGGGGTGTGTCATCGGTAGAGTAGACCGATGGCGAGTAGTCTTGTTGTTGTTGTTGTTGCTGCTGCTGCTGGAATTGCTGGTGGCCGGCAGGAAGGCCTTGGGCCTGGGCGCCTGGGGGATAAGGTAGGCGCTGAGCAGGAGCAGGGTGGTCGACGGGAGAGTCGTAAGCAGATGTTCCTAGTTCTTGAGGGTGGTCGTATGTAGACTGGGGACGGTGCTGGACAGGCGCGTAGGGGTCAGATTGAGGTGCTTGCTGCTGCACTGGTGGTGCGATAGCTGGGACTTGGTTGCGAGGATCAGGGGAGTGAGATGCTGGGCGGTATGGCATTGTCTGCTCGCCGCCGTAGTATGGTGCAGTTGCCTGGATTGGTGTGGTATCTTGAATGAGAGTTAGCTACCAGTATAGTGAGAGGATTCCGAATTGTACATACCTTGGGGTCTAGGGCTGAAGTATCGCGACTCGGCTTGAGGAGGACCCGCATAACCAGCAGCGGCAGCACCTGGGTAAGCGTATTGCGGTTGGGGAGGTCGGCCATATTGAGGCTGTGTAGGATGAGCCATCGATGCCTCCAGCAGGGACTCATAATCACGACGAGCTTTAATGAACTTCTCATTGAGCTGAGTGAATTCATCTGTAAATGTGTGAGCAGGGTTCTGGGTTATTGTACGAGCAGTGATTACCTTTCTTCTGCGAATACTTGCCAATCAACTCAATAAGCTTTGGCCGGATCTTCAAAGTAGCCTCATAGAGATTGCTGATCTCCTCGTTTTCTGACACATTCAGGTCTGTGTTGCGGGTGCTGAGCAAGGTAAGGAGCTTTTCAACACTCTTAATTTGACCAAAAACATCTGCTTCCATCTGAGCCTCTCGCTGCAATTCATCCACAGTGGGGTCGGGCAACTTTTCCACGTAGTTGAGAGGGAAAATTCCGGTCTGGCCCCTCAAAGAACCCTTCCACCAGTCCTTGTAAACCGATTCGAGGACTGCAATGATGTCGCCTTTGCGGAATTGAAGCTCGCCGGGCTCAGAAGGCTGGAAGTCGAACAAGGCTCTCACGCGCGACACGGTAGCTACTGAAGTGCCTGACAGAACGGGCTGGGCTTCAGCGGGCTCGGCTGGATTGGCTTGGGCCAGTGTAGCTGCTGATACCGCGGCTGAAGCAGGAGCAGCTGAAGACTCCGCTCGGGCAGCGGGAGCACCGGCGGGGCCTGAGGGCTTGTCTTTAATGGAGAGAGCAAGGGCCATTTGGAGTTCTTCCTCTTCCATCCGACGGTCGACATCGGTAATCTCACGTTTGCCTGGCTTTGATGGCGGCTGCAAGTTCGGGTCTGAATATGGTTAGTTCAGCACAATTGCCAAATCCGGAATATCTGGTGCATACTTGTAGTTTTTAACTTCATATAGGCCTGCTCCATGATACCGAAGTCGGGGTTGGATGCAAACATCTGTGTCCATTCCTCCATGCGCTCCAGAATCTTCGACTTGACTTGTTGATGCGTGTTCTGGAAGGTTGTCAATACCCACGATTAAAGTATTCAGCGAAATATGATGGCTGCTTACCCGATCATTCGCCAGACGCAGTAGCGCATCAGTAAAGCTTCTAGAAGCCAGCTCACGATGGATCTTAAGACCACAGTTCTGCGCCAACGAATTGCCGAGCTGTCACAAGTCAGAAAAACAAGAAAAAGCCTCAGCCCATAATGCCCCAATGGCACAGGAAAAACCACGAACCTCCAATGTATAGAGCTGCACATTAGCATTTCGATGCGCAAGTCTCTTAATCATAGCAGCAACAGCTTCCTTCGCACTGAAATGAAAGTCAGCACAAGACCCTCGAACAAAGCGCAAGGAAATCCACATACCCCGACTCTTCAGAGCCAACTTTATCACAAACATCCTAAACCGCAAATCCATAAATCAGTCCACATCCCAGGCCAGTATCCAGGAACCATATCTCCAATCCACGCACCAGAATATATTCCCAATTCTCAGATGTCAGGTTCTCATCCGTCGCCTTGGCTGTAGGGAGATCTAGGTCAGTATTCAAGTACCAGAGCGCCCGAGCAGCATGTGCCCTCCTGCAAAGGAAAGAACAATATGAATCTTACCGACAGCATCATCAAAAGCATTCTGTTGCGCGCGAAACATCGCAGCTGTATTCCCTCAAGAGAGGTCTGTAACGACGGGTTGGGAAGTCGGGCAGCGATCCGATTCCGATTTGGTATGTGGCAAGTTGATCGTCTGGACGTCAATATAAATCAAAAGTCGCAGTATAGGCAGCGACAAGCTATATCCAAGCTTCTCCTCGGATTCTCGAACCAGGACCGGCGTGCGTCTCGGGGATGGTAGTTGTGCAGCGAATGCGGGGAGTCCACAAGCGACCTGGAACGGTGCGGTATGGGCGGTGTGGATGGGATGGGGTTGTAGATGACCCTTTTTGCGAGTAGCTGAAAGCGACTGGGGAGTTGGTGACGCTGGGGGTTCGTCTTGGGTCTCTTGGGAAATAGGAGCTGGAGGCTATGTTTCCTGGTTGTGTACGGAGCCTTGGGGACTATCACCTGAGTCAGCATTATGACGATGTTATATAGCAGCCTAGGTTACTTAGTTTGTTTGCCACCTTACTTTGTTTATGGTATTTTATTGTTTATTGTTCATTTATTGACTATGGCACCTGATAGGGGAATATTTCAGGGATTGTTCAAAGATATTAGCGCGGCAAAAAGTTACTTGCAAGCAGTTGATAGTCGGTCGTATTCGTATCAAGAAGCTTCTCTTGCAAGTTCACTTCTGCCTAGGAGTGGGTTTTTATCCATAAGCTACTCCTTTTGCCTGAATTTTCCGCCCCCTATGTACTTGAATTCCTCTGCCACTTCTTGGCGTTCTCGTTCCATATTAGTGCTCAGCCCTTGCCGCTTTTTGCTCACTGAGTGCAATTGAGCACGCCCCTGAGCGCTCTGACCTGCTCACTGAGCATAGCTGAGCATAGGCATGAGCGGCTTGAGTAAGCTACATCAATAAAATGCAACACGCTAATTGTATCACGTGCAACTCTTCTCTAGATCGTCGCCATCGTCCCATCAAAAAAAAAAATTGGCGTCGTCAATGCGACCGTTCGCTCTGGACCTGTCGGTCTCCCACTTCTGGCTTTGTGTGAGACCACGCCGAGTCTCTGGGTTTGGTTCGGTAAGCGAAGTAGAATTCTCAGCTGACGTGTAGTACAATATGGTTCATTTGTAGAAGAGACTAAACGCTGACCACGCTGACCCTGGAGAGGGTCAGCGGGTGTGAACTAAATATAGGACTAGCCCTGCTCCGGGCGGTGAAGCAGTACTATACTGCCACAATTCCTGAGGCATGCAGTCACGCCTCAGGGGCAACATGGATGTCAGTGCTGCATTCATGAATACGGATTGGGAACCGGAATTATAGTAATTCCGAATGAGCGGAATACTAATGATGAGCATAGCATAAATAGCAAGAAATAGCAAGTAATAAATGACAGAGATTTGAATGCCCTTATTGGCTGAGCAAGTTACGGAAGACAGCAAGTTCCAACAATGGATAGTCGATGGTCCTGACACTCGTCACCAATCAATGCGTGACTGTAACTTACTGATGGGCCACCGAGAGCCAACCAATCCATCTGTCATCAAAGTCACGTGCAACATCCTACACCTGGGAACCTCCAGGCATTCAGGGAGAAGAGAAACCGCGATTATGCCTAGTGAGCGAAAGCATGATCCGCCCTGGTCGGACACGCACCAACAGGCCACCTTGGGCCTGCGACCTACCATCTTAATGAATACTACGCTAACCTTTATGACGTCAACCACGTGACCTAGACAAAGAGCTACTTCCAGAGGCTACTCCACGGGAGTAGAAAAAAGGAGTAGACAACGAGAATAAGCCTAAGCCCTTCTCTACTCCCTAGGAGTAGCCTGTGGGGGTAGCTAGACGAAGAATATATAAGGACACTCCCTTATGTACTTAGTTTAGTTCTTCGTGTTCAATCCTACATTGTTCCTTGTGTTTACTACTCTGAATTTCAGTGACTCTTTACTTGATAATAACTTGACAACACTCACGAGTAGACCAATACTTCGGTAGGTTCAACTTGAGTACAATTTGGGCACAAATGGAATCAAGAAATGGAATAAGCCTATTGACAAATATCTCCAGCCACATTAGGCACAGAACCTTTGAACTTCCGTGCTTAAATGATCAGCTGTCACACATGCCCATGTATAGTTATTTTTGTCTCTTATCACCGCGGCACCCACATAATAATTGCATACGTCTGAAATTTTCAGGACTGAGTTGATATCGTTCCAGATTACATCTCCTGGAATAGGTTGAAGCGGGGTTTGAGACGCCCGGCAGAACATTCTAAATCCACCACCAGCGGTAATTTCTCTTGGTATATTGTAGAAGGAAGGGGTTTTTTGGCCGTGGGATTGATAAAGGTTGGTCAGGGTTTGCTGCATGTTGGTATTCACATTACAAATGTGCATGTGGATTTGCTTCTGAGTTATGGAGTGCGCAGAGTTTATAGCCAACGCCTGATTGTTGGGGTCAGACGCTATCTTCTGGCCAAAGTCCCACGCAGAGGTTGCCAGTGTTTGATATTGTTGCAGATAGAGAATGTTTGGTATCAGTAAACTCGTAGAGGCTAATTGGCTATTGACCTTGAGCCAGAAGGGTGCGTTGGGGTTGCTTTGCTTGCACCCACCGTTCTTCAAGCAAGAACAGATGGCTTCGAACCATATCCAACAGCCGAAACAACAGTGATTGTGCTCTCCCGCGCAAGAGGAATCACAATCCTGCAACTGGACCTGTGAATCCTGCGGCTGTGTACACTTTTGATTTAGCGGAGTAGCTTGACACTTGTTGTCGCATGTATGATCGCTCCCATGACACACACAAGCCCCAAGATTATTGTTCTGGATCTGATCGCTTGTGCAATCTGATGGAGTAGTGGATAGACCAGCGGATTGACCAGCGATCCTTTGAATCAAGATCAGGGACAGTGAGATAATGGCAGCCAGTGAGATTGTTTGGGGGACCATTTTGAAACATAGAGGACTGGTTCGTGATATGTCAGAACCAACGCAAAATGTGAGAGGATTGTTGGGCGATGCGCGGAGTGTTGCATGTAAAATATTTGGAGTAAAGAACAATATCCTCAACCCATGCGAACACGTACATATATATGATCGTCTGGCCAGACAGGCCATTCATTTACCATTTGCGGTATCCTATGGTTAGGATAATACAATCCTTCGCTTCATTTGATAACCATGTGAAGGAAGACAATGTATGACTCGATTACGGGGCTGGAATATTCCATTGTGATAGAATCTAGATAGTTCAATGCTCAATATAGAACTATAGCCGTTTGCGGAAATCTAACGGTATAGTTAAGATGACCGTCGGCCTAGGGAGATCTTTAGGCTTCAGCTCGCCACCACTATTACCACAGATCAAATGTATGGTTCATAGCTCATATAGTAATGATGACCACCTTTGGTATCATCGATAAAAGCTAGGATTTGCCGCAAATGATGCGCCCTGACATCCAGAGATGCGATATTTGCCACCGAAGATTAAAGCGACCGGAGAGATTCAGTACTGCATCTTACTCCCATAATTCCTAGATGGCTCAGTTCGTTTTGCCCTCAGACCAAGCTTGCCGTTGATTGATTACCGAAAGCCTCGTAGAACGACGTTATTACTGTTGATTTACATGACTCAGCAAAAGGTACATCGATCGAGTCGATGTAAGGAGGGCGGGGAAGTAGCCTAATTTGGAACAGTGCACCTCAAGTGGGGTGCTGGGAAACTGTCTGAGAGAGTGTTACAGTAAGGTAAAGCTGATTTCGAATATTCCAATCAGACATGTTGTATCACTCATAGGGGCGAGTTTGAATATACTTCGAGATATCAAAGATTTAAGACGTACTAATTTGTCTCACTCATATATTTGCACCAACTATAGCAACGTCTTGTATGTTATAATCTTTCCTATACTCCTTAGAGGCTTTGGCTGTATTTACGCACGACTAACGGGTCGTCGCTAGGTTAGAAGATTCCAGGTTATACTTACCTATGCTTCTCTGCTTCCAACGTCAACGATCTATCTCTTAACCGTACCGTTGCCTGTCGGGCCTTATACGGGCTAAGTCCTTTTGTGGGTATCGAGAAGCGATGCCAGGTAGAGCGCCGAACAGATCTATACCGAAGTATTGGTCTGGTCGTAGTATTGTCAAGTTATACTCAAGTAAGAGTCACCAAAGGTTTCTGAACAGTAGACATAAGTAACAAAATGTGATAATTGAACACGAAGAACTAAACTGGATATATGAATGAGTGTCCTTATATATCCTGAGTTCTTCCTCCGTAGATGAGTAGAAAGTAGAATAGTAGATTTGCCGTGGCAAGATCTACTTGTTGATAATTGACCTTTCTACTACTTGCATGATCACGTGGTTAGTGCCGTAAACTAGGTATAGTCATACGGGACAATTGTCGTTTGTGCCCATAAGGCCGAAAGAGGCCTTTTTGGCGTGCGTCTGAAATCCAGTATATAGAGTCACATATACATCGGATTTTAGGCCGCGCGACCAATGGCTTTTTCTTTCCGTTTTAGTGCTCACCCCTTGCCGCTTTTTGCTCACTGAGTAAAACTGAGCACGCCCCTGAGCCTTACATAAGCAATGAAATTGCAACTGAGCATCACGTGTTCGCTACGTAAGCCAAATGACTCGCTCATACGATCCCACTCACTGAGCGTGACCTGACAACTCTAACTTGCTCACTGAGCGCGACTTAAGCAAAGCGGGAGGGCTGAGTCAAACAGCTTACCTTAATAAATTGCACCACGCTAGCCCCGTCTAATGCAGTCTTTAACTAACACACACCGTCGTCCCCTTAACGAATGGATGTCATAGCGGTCGATCCTAGTTGCAAAGTGGGGCCACATTTATTGCATTACTATCCTACGGCTATACCACTATTCAACTCGTCGAGTTTCGTATCCCCGTGACCGTCTCTACATAGTTGCGGAAAATATCCCACCCTCAATTTTGGGGTTTACAACACCGAGGAATATCTCAGAAATAACTAACTGAATGGGTTGTACTGTAAATCCTGTCTGTTGATTCATCTACTTCTTTTCTCGCTTGATCTTTGATAATGCTTGCCGCTTGCTCCTAGGAATACGACTTCAACTCTGGCGATCTCGGTATCTAATATCTAGACCTATCGATCATGTCTCCTAGACAGTCTGGCCTCCTATAATGGCATTCGCGGCCCCTTATTTGCCTACCTAAAAATACCTCATACTAACTAGATAAAGCCTGATAGGTATTCCTAGGGCCTCTACACTTACCTATCGCTCTAAGGTGATTGCTAAGACGGAAGTAATTACTAGGAGCGAAATCACTAGACGCAGCCTATCAAATATTTTACATGAAACTAGGTCTTGATTAATACCACCGCAACTGGGCCGACCGGGTTCAAACTTTCACAGTGCTCATAATATCTAGTCAAGGAGAAATTCTTTGTCTTCAAACGACAGGCCTTTAATTAAGGGACTTGGACCATATCAAAAACTTGGACGTTATATGTTCATGGACCCCACTTTTCCCTCCCCACTTGGTCAACCAGAGGCCCCCAAAAAACCCTGAATGTCATACAGAGTTAGGAGTGATCTACAGATCTTGGCACTGGCCATTGTGATTAAACAGAATCAAAAACGGCTTGGGCCGCCTTCTTAGGTGGAGAAAGGGCTATTTTTGTACCTTTGCGTCCCAGCCTCCCTAGGATTGTCGATAACATGAAAATCTTTCAAGTGACAATTGAAGGGCCAGCACTTGCACGCAACGACTGAGAGATGTATACATAGTCTATCTCCTTAGGAAAGGCAAACTGAAAAGATGTATCCAAGATGCCGTGCCTCACGACCCGGCGGGCTTTCGGGTTCCACGGCGCAGCAATTAATCCGCCTCAAAAGATGCGGAGGACGCTCCATGTGGATCGCCGCGCTGAAATGTGGCGGCGCGAATTCCTATTTGAAACTTCCTGGCCTGGCCTTAAAAACCGACTCGACTAGCCGGTCGAATTTCCTGGTTTGGCAAGTCATACGGGAGTTCCAGTGTCGAGAACTGCCGAGTAGGGTGCAAGAACATCCGCGCCAACCTCAGAATTATCATATTCAGGGCCATTGCCCCGAAGGCGCCAATAGCATACCAATCTAGACTCATCAGTGAATGGACGCCAGGCCAGAATCCCGGAATGAAAGGGTCTCTTAAGTTTCAGGCCGAAACAGGACCTTTCCAGGAAGGAATCCTATTAATCAATCGACTGCGGTTGGCGCACGCGCACGGGAGGCTCTGGGTTGATAGATGGACTCGTGGCCGGTAAAATGCGACGAAGTTTCAGAGCTTTAATGGGATATGATCGACACCAGTTTGTTGTCTTTATCCTCGAGGTGACTCTCCAGTCCACTACTTAAGTCATGTAGATGTGCTCCGAGAAAAAAACTAAACGTGAGACACAAGTATCCTTATTGAACCATCGTCCATTCAATATTCTTCAATCGGCTCTGTTACCATGCAAACATTTTCCAAAATAAGCGTGCTCGCATGTTCTATGGCTGCCGGACAAGTCCTGGCCACTGTTACCCAGGGAATCTCCGACAACATCTACAATCGTCTGGTTGAAATGGCCACCATATCCCAGGCTGCCTACGCGAACTTGTGCAACATTCCGGCGACCATAACCACGGTGGAGAAGATATACAATCCCCAGACAGATATCAACGGATGGGTTCTCCGCGACGACAGTCGTCAAGAAATTATCACTGTCTTTCGCGGCACCGGCAGTGATACGAACCTGCAGCTCGATACCAACTACACTCTCGCGCCTTTCGATACCCTTCCTGAATGTGTCGGCTGTGAAGTGCATGGCGGATACTATCTTGGATGGGTCTCAGTCCAAGATCAGGTTGAGTCCCTCGTTCAACAGCAAGCTAGCAAGTACCCGGAGTATGCATTGACGGTCACGGGCCATAGGTATGATAATGATGCTCTTCCCTTACTCAACCATCTTATACTCCTTCTTCCTATCCCATGTTGATGTTTCCTGATTGGCTTGACTAACACACGAGCCAGTCTGGGCGCCTCAATGGCAGCCATAACTGCCGCCCAGCTGTCCGCCACATACAATCAGGTTAGCTTGTACACCTTCGGCGAGCCGCGGACCGGAAACCAAGCGTATGCGTCGTACATGAATGAGGGGTTCGAAGCGGCGAGCCCTACGACAACCCGGTTCTTCCGAATTACCCATAGTAACGATGGCATCCCAAACCTGCCTCCAGCTGAGCAAGGCTATGTTCATTCCGGCGTTGAATACTGGAGTGTTGACCCCGTTAGCCCTGAAAACACGAATGTTTGCACTGGAGACGAGGTTCAGTGCTGCGAGGCTCAGGGCGGACAGGGAGTGAATGATGCTCACGTTACTTATTTCGGAATGAGTAGTGGTGCTTGCACCTGGTAAATAGGATTGAGTTTGCTAAACCAATCCGTGGACTTCGAAAGCTGGAAGACAAGACATGAGAGCATTGGCGAATTTTATTTCACTCACAGATAAAAGTGCACGTACAGCTCGGAGAGAGAGCTATGCTGATAGTGACATTTCAATTAGAAATATTCTTGGAACAAAATTTTTCAAATCGTCGCTCAATTACGCACCATTTGAAGTTCAGAGATAGTCCGTAGTTCGAGATAATTCGTCACATCGTTAAACATCTTAGCTGCCTGAACTAAAGTTGATGACCGCCGGCTCTTGCCTTCCATGAGATTGTGCGCTTCTCCTTTTCTATTAAATGGCACAGCATTCTCAGGCAAAACACCCTAATGTTGCGCTTGCTTGAAGATGTTCTTTAAAACCATCTGCGCTCAATGGAAGCACGAAGGCAGGCCGTCTGTCCGAACCGGCCACTTTCTGAAATATATTACATATATGGCGCCGGTCTAGTTCCTTCTTCAAGCTCTGAAGAACATGATAGAGCTTAGGTTGAAATTGCCTCTCAAGCCGAGGTGAAAGTATTGCCATGTGGTTTCCACGCTCCAGTTGTACAGAACTCGGTTCAATTCCTCATTCGACCCCCTTTGGAATATTCATCGATTACTCAACTACGGTACGCGACATCCTGAACCTCAACACTGTGCATAGTCTTCCGTAGCAAAGTTTACACCCGTCTAGGTGTCACAGCGCTTTCGCAATCGCGCGCCACGGAAGCAGTGTACGTAGTGTTATACTTCCTATATAATTTTCGCTCATGAAGTAAGTCTGTGTCCAGCCCCAGTCAGAAGCAAATGGCAGGCAGAAGAATCGAGTAGCCTAGGCAATGTACCACTCCAATATCTGCAGAACTATCTGCGTGCAGTTCCATTGAGATTGATAGGAAACAAGAAAATAGAATTGTATCTCACTGGCCGCTTGCATCCAACAGAACATAGTACTACAGAAACCTAGATGGAGATAGATGGACACAGATGTAAACAAACATAAAGCAGATATTGCAAACATGCTCATGACTGGAATCATTTTCATCGAAGACGATGTGTTGGGGAATAAATGGATGAATAAATTGGGTACAAAGTAATGAATCCCACGATGTATGGCAGTGCACGTCGGGATCTAGAAGAAACATTGGAGGTGACGGGGTATCTGAGCGAGGCGTCAAGGAGATCAAGTAAGACGGAAATTAGAGAACCGAAACATAGGAAAACGTGGTCATTCAAGCGCCTCCTTTTTGGGCCTTTTCTTGGGCGCGACTGGCGCGAGCAGCCTTGACCAAGGGGGCGAGGTGCGAAAGGGGTGCACAGAAGGACATGAATGGGTGCTGAAAGAGTTAGTGCTGGCTATAGAAATAGGGTACAGTGACATACCTTCAAGAGGTCGTGTGCCGACGCCCGCTTCTCGGGGTCGACCTTAAGAGCGAAGTGAAGGAACTCGCGGAAGATAGGGGTGAGGTTGTGTTCATCTTTGATTGTTGGTGTTCCATTGGTGGCAATGAGATACAGCGCACGCAATGGCGACTCGGTCAAGTATGGTGGCTCGCCCTCGATCATCTCAATGGCCATGATACCCAAACTCCAGATGTCGACCTTGCGGCCGTACTCTTTACGAGTAACGACCTCGGGAGCCATCCAGTATGGGGTACCGACCATGGTGTTCCGCTTGTTATGCGACTCGTTGATTTGGGCACAGAAGCCGAAGTCAGCTAGGCAGTGTTAGTATGCCATTCATTAAGGTCAAAGAATGTAGAGACTTACTCAGCTTGATATTACCATCCAGGGAAAGCAAAATGTTGTCAGACTTGATATCTCGGTGAATAACGCCCTTAGAATGCAAGTGCTGGAGACCGCTCAAAGTCTTAAGGGAATGATTAGCATCTCGTAGTTACCTTCACCGGTACTGTAACTCACCTCTCGACAGACTGCGGCGATCTGTGCTTCGCTCATAATGTTGAAAGTGACCACATCTGTGAGACTGCCACCTTCCATGTATTCCATAACAACCCAAAGATCCAATCCGTGCAGGTAGCTCTCGAGGAAGTTGACAATGTTCTTGTGCTTGCTGTCCTTCATAACGAGGATTTCGTTGATAATTAGGTCCTTCTTGGGTTGCAAATCCAAGTTCATCTGCTTGATCGCAACACAATTGTTGTCAGGAAGTTCATACGCGGTAAACACTCCACCCGAAGCACCTTGACCAATCTTGTTGAGGTTGTAATAGATTTGCGTAGGATCGCCTTCGCGACAGATGGACATCAAACGCGACCGGATATCCATAGCAGTGCTTTGGCGCTGGCGCTGTCGGGGTCGAGCAGCCGGGGGAGCGCGCGTAGAAGGCGACACACCAGACGACAGATCGGGTGCCGGGGCAGTGGTTGAGGTGGAGATGGCCGGAGGCTGCTGTGCCTGTTGGCGCTGGCTGCGATTGCGATCCAGTGCCTGCTGGGCTGCGGCCATAACCTGCTCCTGCTGTCGCTGGTATTGTGTCGGGGATGCGATAACATTCGGTGCGTTGGACGCAGGCGTCCCGTTTCGGGAGGTGGAGGGACTGCGATGCGGTGAAGGCAATGTCTCGGTTTCTGGTATCGTCGGAGTACCAAATGAAGAACCGTAGGTTTCTAGCTGGGGTCTTTGCGGGGCACCGTAGGAATTCGAGACCGGGGGTTGCGGAGGAGGACGGGATGGGGTCATGCCTGGGGGCTTAGGAGGAGCGCGATGCGGCACCATACCGCCCAGTGATGGGGACATGCTCGGTGTGCCTGCTGGAGGCCCGCGTGGAATTGGTGGTGGTGCCCGCGGATTCTCGAAACTGCTCTCGTGGTTTTGCGGGAATCGTGGGCTGCCCGGAGGAGACGGTCCTCTTGGACTCGTCGCTTGCGTCGCTTGCGCATTGTCGAATTTGTGCCAGACTTCATCGTCGCTATCGCCACGGGTGTTCTTCTCGTAGAAGCGCATGATGTCCATCATGGTTTGCGGGTGCTCCTCCTGCTCCTTTTTGGAGATACCATTCTCCTGAAGTAACCGCTGCCATTCCTTGGGAAGACCAGTGAATTGACCAGTTTGATTATCGTAACCAACGTGGGTAACGTGGACTGGATTCTCAGGGGCTGAAATTTTCATGTTGCGACCGGGGGAGCCAAGCATACTGTCCACGAACCTGGAGAAGCTCGCCTTCTTGCTCTGTCTCGTTCGCGGGGCCGGCGGCGCGTTGCCATCATCGGAATATCGTTTGGCATTCGCCGCCCGCTCCGTCTCGCGATGAGCAAAAGGATCCATTCGTTGGGTGAGCGTGGTGAAACTGGCTGACTGGCGGAGTGAGTGGCGTCCGCGGTTATCGGGGCTGGCGTGTTGAGATTGGGGACCGGGGGCTTGCTGGGAATGAGGATCTGATTCAGCGCTGTTCTCATCCAATGCACTGAGCATGCCCCGCGTTTCGTAAGGGGCGCCTAGTTCATCTGAGCTTTGCTCGTTGTAGGAGAAGCGGTTCGAGCTGCGAGTGCGGGACCGAGAGGTGAAGTTGGAGAAAAAGCCGCTGGATTCGTCGTTAGAGGGCGACGGCCCGCCACTGTTCTGTTCCAGTGACGATGAGGAGGAGCCGAATTGTGCGTTGGATCGCGACCGATTATGCTCGCGACTCCCGCTGGGTGAGGAACGGGGATAGACGGGGGCGGAGGGGGTGCGTTTGAGCGATGTGGTGCTTTGATGACTGCGAAGAATGCGCGAACTGAAGCTAGGGGGTCCTTGTGAAGTTTGCTAGACGCTCGGCGGAATTTCAATGGGAAATTGTCCTGATTCATGGTGCGTAGAGTTTCTGTCTCTACACGAGACAGATTGAAATTGGGCCGAGGAGGGGTCAAAGGACTTTTTCACTCGACCAACCACGATGAGATGGAGGATAACCGAGTCCCCAGAGATGAGGAATGGAAGGTTGGAAGGGAACAATAGGTGAGGTCTGGAATGGAGGAGGAGAGAAGTTGCACGTGGAGACCAGAAAAGGGGAGTGGCTGGGTTGACAGGTAAACGGCAGAGAGTATGAGAGTTAACTTGTAACGTTAAGACTCTCTTAGAATAGATCTGTTAATCCTCCGATATCAAGGCTGAGTCTCACTTCATATTATTGCTATACCTCATTTCTGAGAGACACGTACAGTTGCTATTCTACTATACTATTCTACACACCTACGAACGCAATTACTGCATATTCCGCGACTCCTAAAAAGGTTAAACGCTGTTCAACGCAGGTCCTTAACATTTCATCCGCACAGATCCCGCCTTTCCTTCCTTTCCTCCATTTCCTCCATTTCCTCCATTTCCTTCTCATTTCCGGCCACTGCACCCGACTGGGGAAATTTCTTCCTGCGCCACTGCCATCTACGAGGATTACGGTCTTACCCTAGAGTCTATCGTGTTCACCGATATCGGGAACTTACACTTCACTTGATCCATTCTCATATCCAATATTTAGCACTTTTATCTGATGGCGGGAGATGGCATCTTAAGAGTGAGAATGAGGCGCCCACCGGATGCTAAGAACCTATCGCCACTGGCTGACTCGCTATATTCGAGTAATAGTCGCGATTGGACATACTCGAACTGTTGGCTCGCCCATGTCGTAACATGCCAGTGCCAACTTGGGGCTACTGTTTGATTCCCTGCGCTTTAGTCTGGATACTCGTAGGGTTGGTATATCATCATAGCGCTGATGACTCCAGGCATAGTGGCAAGCATTGTACAGGCTCTTCCCACTGCTAAAGGTAAGTTATATTGTGGGTGATGGCATTCTGGGCGATAATTTCGGCTGTCTCTTTCGGTACAAGATCGACAGCCCCCTTCCCCTATCCCAAAGGTACTATCCTAACATGATCTAGCTCTGTGAGTCTGCTTCCGGAGGTTTATTTATCTCAAAGTTCGCTAGTTGTGTACATATGTACATGTCACGGCTACTCCAGTTCTTCAGGCCGAAGATCGGAGATAGTGCGCGAATCTTCAGCTTATGTAGATGGCCCGAGATCCGAAAATCCTACCGGAACAGATTACCTCTGGAGAGCCACTGGACAACCTCAAGTCGAAATCAGCGACATCTTCAGGCAAAACCTCGGCGAATTTCCTGTGGAGTCACAGATCTAGCCCAGACGTGGATGCTCCACATGATAGAGAAGAGAGTTTGGCAGGATTGACATCACCTGAAGCTACTTTAAAAGCCCACGTACCCCCCCCCTAAAGCTCACATTCCAGCTATATCCAGTCTGACTATTCAACATGGCAACCCATATCACCCCCCAAGCCAGCCAGGCCAATGCCACAATCCCCTCGGCATTCGCTGTATACAACACCAGCTTTCTAGACATAATCGGCCATACCCCCAAACTAGACCTACTCGTGGAAAACAATGACTACCCCTTCGCCCACGAAGCAAGCGTCTATATCCCAACCACAGACGAGCTCTTCATGTCCAGCAACATGTTCACAGACCCAACAACCAACCAAAAAACAATCAAAATCTCAAAGGTCAGCTTGAACAAGTACCCGCTCACAGCCGAGATCGTCAACACCACCGTGTCCATGGCAAACGGCGGCATCAATCACAACAACGGCATCCTCTGGACTGCCCAGGGTGGTCTCAATGATACGGGTGGTCTAGTCCAGATGTCTGTTACACCGCCGTACAAGACGGAGATGCTTCTGGATTCCTTCTACGGACGCCAGTTCAATTCGCTGAACGATGTCGCCGTGCATGATGATGGGTCGATCTGGTTTACGGATCCTATTTATGGGTATGTCCAGGGGATTCGGCCGAAGCCTAAGTTGCCCAGTCAGGTTTATCGGTTTGATCCTGTTACTGGGGATGTGAGGGTTGTTGCTGATGGGTTTGGACGGCCTAATGGGATTAGTTTCTCACCTGATCAGATGATTGTTTATATCACTGATACAGCGGAGACCGTTGGTGATGGGTCCAAGGATTATTCTTTGCCTGCTACTATGTAAGTTTGATCTTGAATGTTGAAGGGCTGTTGCTAATCTATCTAGCTACGCGTTTGATGTTACTACCTCCCACGGCCAGCCCTTCTTGACTAACCGCCGTGTCTTTGCTATGCCTGGTGTTGGTATTCCCGATGGTATCAAGGTCGATACCAAGGGCAATGTCTATGCTGGATGTGGCGATGGCGTCAACGTGTGGTCTCCCGGTGGTGTTCTGCTTGGCAAGATTCTTGTCAAAAATGGCACTTCTAACTTCTCGTTTGGTCTTAATGGCCGCATGTTTATTCTCAACGAGAATAAGCTTTACTCTGCGCAGCTGAACCGTAAGGTTCAGGGTACCCTTGTGAAGGCGTGAGTGTTGGGTTGTTCAGTTGCCTCGCAGTAGCATTTGTGTTTTGTTCTGATATATAGGGTGAAGAAGGATGCAAATGCTTCCCACACGAAAGACATGGTGGCTTGGAGCATTATATTAGCTAATATGTACTCCTACCAGAATCCTCAATACTCTGAGTCGGTGAGCATCAAATTCCGCAAGAGCACTGTGTATATCAATAGAGATGATACAGTTCTATCGATTCGAAAGGTTACTGCAGATAGTGTATTCGAAATTGTCGTATCTTGATCTCAATACAGAATTTGCAGTATCGGCTGCTCCTGCTTGTCTAATTCTTCATGACTTCTCCAATAGCATGTGCCACGTGTTGGACATTGTCTTTGTTCAATCCACACACACTCATCCGACCTGATGGTAACAAGTAGACATGAAACTCATCTCGCAGCCGTGCAACATGTTCCTTGGTCAGCCCTGTATAGCTAAACATTCCAGTTTGCGCCTCAACATGCGACCAATCCTGCTGTGTCTCTTTTTCAAGCCTCAGCCTCAGCTCATGCCTCATTTCCCGAATTCGTGAGCTCATAGTTTCCAAATCCGCTTTCCACTGGTCTCTCAATTCCCGATCCCCAAGGACCATCTCAACAATGCTTGCCCCGAACCGAGGCGGATTAGAATACTCCGCTCGCGCAATATTCATCAATTCACTACGAGCGCCCTTCGCCGAAAGATGCGGCGCAACAACCAAATGCAAAGCACCAACACGCTCGCCATACAGCCCAAAGTTCTTCGAAAATGACTGTGCCACACACAAACCGGGAGGTGTCTCGAAGGCAAGGACATTCTCCACGAAATAGCGAACTGCCCACGCATCGCCGTCAACATTGCCAGTCGCGAGGCCTTGATACGCACTGTCGAAGACGACAAATAACTGCTTGCGCCGGACGACCTCCGCAACCTGCATCCAATGAGACTTTGACAAGTCCACCCCAGTAGGATTATGCGCGCAAGCTTGCAGGATGACGACGTCGTTAGGCTCGGCTTGATCCAGAGAATCCAGCATCCCGACTATATCGACTTCTTTCGAGGCAGGGGAGTAGTAGGGATATTCTGCAACTGTAACCTCGGCCATTTCCCAAATCGATTTATGGTTAATCCACGTCGGGCCCGGGATGAACACGCGATTTGGACGAAGGTGGCGGGCCAGGAATGTTGCTGCTAGGTGGTTTGCGCCTGTACCGGACACTGTTTGAACCGATGCTATATTATCTTGGAGTTTGGATGCAGCGGGTCCAAAGACGAGGTCTTTTGCCAAGTGGATGAAAGTTGGTGATCCTGCAATGCCCAAGTATTCGTGGATGGTGTCGCTGAGATACTGCTTTGCCTATTCTTGTCGTTAATTGTTGTCTTTTTTTGCCGCATAATGCTGTTAAAAGTACCTTTTTGACACTGGGCAAGAGCCAGGGCTTTCCGTCTTCTCCGCGGTATGCTCCGGCAATTAAAGACACTTTGTTGTGATGAGTGTCTACATCGAAGTCGGCCATGAGACCGAACGCAGTGTCCGCTGGGGTAATCGCCAGATCAAGATATTGACTTCCCATCATTGACGTAGATCTTTGAGCTGGCGACCTTGAAGCCAAGTTTCTTTGTAGAGATAGCTTTGATGATGTCTCACGCGTGTCCCGAGAAAGGATGCGTTCGAAGATTTAACATGTCGGCCCTATTAACCTGACTCTCTCAACCAAAGTCACGGCATAATGATAGGTTGCCGAATTCATAGATTGGTGTTGACTGAGATTAGCTTCGGGTATCGCCCACTTTGCCGAGATCTTGGCCGGGCATGTCCAAATGTATAGCGGCGAAACGGATATCTCACAGATCGATACAGTTAACTCGGCGTAGTGGTACCTTGTCGGCACCCTCGCCTATGATGTTCTATTGCAGCCTGGTGTTCCTTGGTCTTGCTCTTTCTCGTATGCACTTTATGGCTTCGGCAGGACGAGCTTCGGGACCTATTCTTTACGCGACATCGCCACTGGCTGAAGAAGCTACCCCAACGACCGGTGAAGCAAACTTGATAATTTTGAGCAGCCCTTTGTGTTTCGCCGAGCTCAACTACATGACTCGGTCAAAGCCATCCCCTGCCGTCAGTCCGAACTTCATATAGCCACCACATAGCCTAAGGGTTCATATCTCTTCTTTTTTTTTTTTTTTTTTTTTTGTGAAACAGTCCTCCCAAATTACTTTGACTACAGATCTCAACGGTCGACGCCATGAGCCAACCCAGCATTTTGGATCGACTTTCGACGCTCGACACCAATACCATGTCTGATGCCTTGGATTTTCTCAAGCTCAAAGGAGCCACATACGGCTTGCGGCCCCTCTGGGACTGCCCGAAGATTTGTGGACGCGCCAGTACGGTGAAAGTGGGCATCAAGAAAGGCACCGCTCCCACGACTCATCTAATCACCCCGGTGGTAGATGCTGTCACGACGGATGATCGCATTCTCGTCATCTCTGGTGGCATGGAGGGCGTCTCATGCTGGGGAGATATCCTCGCGAATGCCTCACAGATGAAACAAATCCGCGGGACCATCATCGATGGAATGAGTCGTGACATCGACGGCAGCCGCGACATTGGATATCCCCTTTACGGCCGTGGCGTGACCATGATCAGCGCTCGTAACCGAATCGTGCAACTAGACTCGGGCATTCCCCTTGAGGTGCGAGGCGTCATGGTGAACCAAGATGATAATGTGATCGCCGACAATTGCGGAACGGTGTTTATTCCAGCTGAGCACATTGAGGAGGTCGTGGAACTAGGAACAAAAATCGATCGTCGTCAGGCCCTTATGGTCCAGGATGTCCGAGGCGACAAATCTGTGTCATGATGCCAAATTTGAAGCCATACGCCAATTTACAACGTCGCCGGCAGCTGCTACATCTGCGATGTCTTCTAAGCGGAATCCCAAGGAAGCCAGTGTCGAGGATCAAGAGTTGTCGGCGCTGTTCGCCAACTCAGATACCCCTGGGGTCTCTGATGCGCTTGATAAACTTGGGATTCCCAGACAGGCGTTCAATATCATGCCTTTGACTGATTACAAAGATGTCACGGTTGGACCGGCTTACACTGTGCGTTACGTTCCTGCCAGCAACCCACCGGGAAGTGTTGGAGATTTCATCGACGACGTTGCCATGGGTGATGTTGTAGTCATCGACAATGGTGGTCGCACTGATTGTACCGTTTGGGGCGATATCATGACTCAGTACGCTGGTCTGCGAGGCATTGCTGGAACTGTCATTGATGGTGTGTGCCGCGATGTGACCCGTGCGATCCATGATGAGTATCCGATCTTCACTGCTGGGCGTTGGATGCGAACTGGTAAAGATCGTGTTCAGGTTGGGGGCGTCAACGAATCAATTGGTATTGGCAAAGTTCGTGTTCAGCCTCGTGATATCGTTGTTGCCGACGCAAACGGCGTCGTCATTGTTCCGCGAAACCGAGCTCGTGAGGTAGCTGAAGTCGCACGAAAGATCGACAAGAGCGAGGATGGCATCCGGGAGTTGATCGCGGGAGGAGCCTCAATCACCGAGGCGAGAGAAAAGCTTGGTTATCACACGCTGCAGCGCAAGGGTTAACATTGATTTGGAAGAAGTTACTAGGGCCGTACGTGGCAATTTGATAGTCATGAGCACATATTGTCTCTTTTCAATAATACTGTTCCTAGTCACCAAATAATTCAAAGTCGCAACTTCACCTGTCTTATGAGCGTGCAACTTGCAACTCCGATGTATACCAGTTTTGAATCGCCCGAATATCATAACTCATCGCCACAGTATCAAAAACCTCTAGTTGGACTTTGCTTGTAGCGCCATCGTTTGATAATCGACCAACCCATTTCCCATGTTTTCTCGCCGCCGCTACAATCCTTTCGATGGCGTCGACAAATTCAGGCTCATCACCCTTTGCAGGAACGTATCCAAGAACCGATAGAGCCAGGTCATTGGGCCCAATGAAGAGCATGTCTTGACTGATATCAGCGAAACAATATCCTTATAGGATTCGTGGATCGAACTAATCACTAACCAACACCAGGTACAGCACACATCCCGTCGACATTCTCAACTCCGACTTTCGACTCGATCTGAAGACAGGTAATGAGCGTTTCGTTGGCGGATTTCAGGTATGTTGGAATGTCGATGCCGTGGGTGATAGCTGGAAACGCCGAACCTTGCCCACGGAATCCTTGCGGGGGAAACTTGGAACAAGCAACAACGGCTCTTGCTTCGTCGGCGGTATTGATTTGAGGAACAACGATGCCACTACCATTTTAAGCATTGGTCTTGGCAAGTTTCGCGATACTCACTGTGCACCAGCATCCAAAGCTCTTTTAACCAAATCCGAGTGAGTCATTCTGAGACGTACAAGCGGCGACACTCCCATAGCAGCAATTGCAGCTGTTGCACTGTGCATGGAATCATCGCTGATATGGCCGTGCTCACAATCGATGATAATGCCCTGTCTGTTCATTAGTAGATGGATCAAGTATGAAGAACTCCCTGTTGAATCTAAGATCAATACCGGTTTGAGCTACCACTTGGGCTGTTCGAAAAGACGAAAGGCCCAAGAATTTTATGATTGGCTTCGTGTTGGCTCGGAGAGCATTGAGCAGGCGTAAATGTGGGTTGTGAATCAAGCTTGTGATAGCTGATGGGTATACCATTTTGCGTTTCTTCGATAAATCAATGAGGGCTCTTGAATTTTGTACCGGGAGAAGACAGCGATGACAAGGTGTGATATATACAATGCAGATTATAAGCGACGATAATGAATGCAGGAGAAATTTGGTTGTTCTACCACCGGCAACATATGATTATCCCGAGTGGCGCTCATAGTTGAAGTGGTGTTTAGCTTGAAGACATTATTTCCAAGGACTCTTGTTCGCATCTGAGAGATTTCAGGAATATTTCTGGCACAGTGCATAGTGTCGAAAATGTGGTGTCATTCTAATGTCCTTCGAGTAGCCAGTAGGTAATTCTTTGTCTATCGATCCATTTCTTCTCTGTAATATATACAGTTTCTGCTCTATTGTATAATGACGACTACCTAGACAATAGCCGTAGCATTGGAAAGAAGAAACAATTTTACTTTTGATCGACTTGAAATTAAACTTGTATATATATCCTGCAGTCTTCACTTTTGAATAATAATGAATGGTTGTTCCTCTGTCTACCTTGGCGTAAGATTTTATGCGTTGACCTTGACTCCTAATGCCTGAAGCGAACTGTAAGAACTTGTTTTATCTAGGAGCAGAAATGTCTATTTTAAAACACAGATCTGTCGGCTTCCGAATTCTTGGTCTCGGTGAGATGAAGTGTCACCGACGGCAGATTAAGCCTCGCATAGTCATCGGTGACATCGTTTTGAGTACACCGAATACCACGGTGCAATTCAGAGCTCGCCACTCCCTATTTACTCTCGTGTGGCAATTGAAGCCTTCTTTTCAGACGGCAAAACCTCCGCTTCCTTAAAGATTCGTCAGCAACTTAGACCAAGAAAACACGCGCAAGTTACACATATTGTAAATTAAGTTATTCATAGGCCACCCCTGGGATGTCGGACGTACGACTTGGCCCAATGTCGCGGTCAGGAGCAGAACGAGTATCTTGTTCCCTATCGATTCCTGCTTGACGCGATATCCGCATATAACTTTTTGCGCAATTGGGCACATTGTGGAATACATTGGGCTATACTATGCCAAAAAAAAAACAATATCCAAGAATTCAATAACGGCAAAGCCTTTAATAAATATAGAGAGCATGGCGTGCTTTTTTTGCAAGCCATCATAATGACTGATCTGAGTGTACCGTACCGTAAATGCTATTGCTACTAACGCACGGTGGGGGCCTCGACACCTGAATTGTCAGGTCAACTTTATGACCCTCTCAGTCAATCCATTGACGGCGATCGGACTCTACAGTAGATCGCCTGAAGTTATTTAGGCTGGTATCTAGAGCCGAGAACAAAAGGTCACCAGTCGCCATGTTGATGCTCACCCTACCGCCAGCGCTAATGTCTATGTGTTGGTTCCATATTTTTGGCCTCCACGACTCTATGAGAGTGCCTATCGAGACTTTAAAATACGTAGGTCAGCTTGAAATAAGCACTCAGAAACTTAATCTTGTCTAGCACCGAGTTTCCGCATAGGCTCGTGGAAAATGTGCGTTTTAAGCATGTATGTATCTGGCCTGCGCTCTACTCACACTGAAATTCAAACCACCCGACCAGGTCCACGTACATTTAAACCGGAAAGTACCACGAATATCGTCACACTCACTGCCACTCAGTATCACTACTGATACGGAAGTTCTCGGAAGTAACAAATCAATCCGGGTAAGGCTGTGGTGCAACATCGACTTGATGTGATGCAATCGCCTAGTCCCCATTCAATATACTCGAATCAACTGATCTCTGCACCTCGCATCTCGACTGTCGGCTAGCCAAGACTATGTCGTCGATAATTCCATAGTCACCCCCGACTTGGCGGCTTATATGGACCCCTACCGAGGCTCTAAACATAGCGCGTGTGGCGGTGAAAATATCGCGATCCAATGACTATGAACCAACACTCAGCCCAGCTGAATCTCACTCCCGAACATAATAGTTAGGAATCTTGATAGAATACACAGCCAACTCACCATCTAAACTTTGTTTAGGAGGCGGGGTCCAAAGAGGCTTAAAAGTCTGCCTTGGATTGGAGTCGATGACATCGGTTGGGCTGGTGGCTTCGGGTAATAATCCATGTTTAGGGTCTACATGTGCGTACATGTACAGGTACACTTTAATTTATCATCTGAGGCGATTCTCTTGCAAGATGGCGATTTGAAACAAATTAAGCTAACTCGTGAAGATCTATAATAGAGGATTATTTCGCGTACCCTTGATGACTTGATCGCAAACATTAGATTCGAGGTCCGATCTCAAGCTACTTTAGCGGGTGATTGGCCTTTGCGGTCCACATGGAGATGCAGATCCTTGCTCGGGCCACAAGGCGCAAACAAGCTAAATGTCATTGAAGCCACGCAATATGTACCCGCAAATATGATGAACACATGTAAAGATAGCAATTCCATTTCAAAGATCACCGCTTACTGGGTAGTGACTAAAATAGGACTGAAAGTTTACACATTGTACATAGAATTCGCTAGCGTAGGGCAAACAAGTCCTCCCTTGCTGAAAGCTGAATGTGGGACCAAAACACACATTTGCAGGACAACTGTCGTATTATCCCTGTTGCCCAGAGACATTGTACCTTGATATTGTGAGATGGTCACAGATAGTGGGGATATGCAACCGATCCAATGTGTAGCTCTTGGATCCAGGATGCGAGATATCACATCAGGGATAACAATCTCCTAACAGTATCCTCTCCCTTTGTTCACCTTTGTTAGTCATTGTTATTTATTTGCCTATCTGGTCAAGGATCCACAGAGGAACGCAGCAACACTCCCCCGTTGCTATCGGCTTCGATCCTATCCCTTTCGGGGCCCTGAGTCCAGTTAAACCCGACTCAATACTGACATGCGCGCCTTACATGGCCGCAGCCGATGGACAGGGGTCCTCATTCCTTGATTGGACGAGCATTGCTCTCGTGTGGAAAGGTCATACTCTTGGCCTCACACCTGGCGTGGGGATGAAAGAAAGCTGCCAGGAGCCGAGCATTGTCCGATTCAACATAAATTGAAGCTGCTTTCTCGTCTTGCGTTTTGTTTCTCCAACAGCTTTTTTTCGACAACCTTCTCTTCCCTCCCTCGCCCTCTATCATGCTCGGCTTATTCGTTCTCTTGGCCTCTGCCCTAGTCAGTGCATACCCTAACAGGGGTCCCTGCACTGGCGACTGCTGGACTCATGATCCTTCTATGATCCAGCGAGTATCTGATGGAAAGTACTTCCGTTTCGCTACCGGTACTGGTGTCAACACCCATACTTCACCATCAGTAAAGGGCCCATGGACGGATGTTGGTTCAGCCCTGCCAGACGGATCCAACATTCACATCGATGGCGTCGACAGCAAGAATATCTGGGTATGAAAGAATATAAAAAACCAACAATCTTTATTGTTGGTAATATAAAATCAAGCACCAAACTAACAAACAATCCAGGCCCCTGATGTCCACTACCAAAACGACCAGTACTATATGTACTACGTTCTCTCCAAAATCGGTACCCAAAACTCAGAAATCGGAGTAGCAACCTCCAAAACAATGGAACCCGGTTCCTGGACCGACCACGGTGTTGTCGGCCTCCCCGCCAATAGCAACTACAACCGTATCGACCCAGCCTGGATCAGCATCAACGGCAAGGACTACATGAACTTCGGCTCATTCTGGGGCGACATCTACCAGGTCGAGATGGAGACCCCTCTAAAGGTCGGCTCAGCTACTCCTCACCAGATCTCCTGGAACTCGACTCTCAACCACCGCGAAGAGGGTTCCTACGAGTTCAGGCACGGTGATTTCTACTACCTGATCTATTCTGCTGGTATTGCCGGACAGTACACCCAGGATTATCCTCCTGAGGGTGCTGAGTACCACATCCGTGTGTGCCGTTCCCAGACTGGTCTCGGTGACTTTGTATGTTCACCCCATACATTACCCAATGTATAAAATTCCTGGATAACCGTACTAACATATAACCTCAGGTTGACGCCGATGGCACCCCCTGTACTCAGACCGGCGGAACAATGCTCCTCTCTTCCCACGGCCAAGTCTTCGGACCTGGTGGTCCCGGTGTTGTCAATGACGAGGACCTCGGTCTCGTCATGTACTACCACTACTACCCCCTATCCAAGAAGCAAAGCACCACTGTCTCCGACAACTCGAACTACATGTACGCCTGGAACGCTCTAGGCTGGAAGGACGGCTGGCCTTTCGTCCAGGCACCTTAATGCCCATAATTCTCGTGGCGGGCCCGCGAGGCCACATACATAGCATTCTTTTCTTTTTCTTCTCTTGTCAATGGTTGGGTTCTATACTTTTTGTGAGAGTATTTTCCTCGTTTGCTCGATACCCATGCCGTCTTGGCGCTGTCGATATGCCTGGTTATGGTTGTCGACTGGATACACTAATTATACTAATTATATATTACTTACCCTGCGGGTCAATGGACAGTGAATTATAACTCTTAACTATACCTTTCTATTACATATTCTGCAAATGATTTATTTATTTCAGAACCACCCCCTCACGGAAAACAGGTCCAGACCTTCATCCATACATTCCACCAAATCCCAACAATCCCAAACAAAGCCACTCACCGTCCCACATACTTCAACTCCAACATCCTCAACGGGAAATAAGAAACAGAAGTAAAGACCAATGCCAACTCATTAGCAATGTCACCACCCTCCTCCCCAATCATAGCAGCAAGCGCACCAACATAATACGTCTCCACCATGCCCACAATCCAGCCGGCAGCGCCACAAAGGAATGCTGCCAGACCAGCATACCCGACCGGCATGCGGGCCGGGGTATTCCACGCATCGAGATCATAGTTGGCCAGATTGCCTTTGCGGAAATAATAATGCTCAATGAAGAGAATGGCGAAGAAGGAGGTATTCCAGTAGCCGAGCAGAGAGAGGAAATTCTCTAGCACAGCGAGGAGTTGGTTCCGACCTGCTATGCCTAGTGCGAGGACGCAAGCGAAGACTAAGATTGACCAGACCACTCGTGGGACTTTTGCGCAAGGTTTTGCGAAGAGTTGGGCGGAGAGAGCGCCGGAGTAGATTGCGATTACGTTGACGCCGACTGTCATTAGTGTTAATTGCGGTTGGTAAGATGGATGGGAGTTGAGAATGTTGATACTTACTTCCAGAAAGAACCAGCAACACCAACAGGAACTTGGCAAATCCATCCGGGTAGATAATCTCCCGCAAGATCTCACCAATACCCCCATCATACGCAGCACTCCATTCAGGGTTGGTATCCAGCGCGGAGCTAATACAAGCACCGAGCAGCATACCAATGCAAGTAGGAATGGTAATACCAAGGGTGGTATACAAGAAGATCTTGATCTTAGGCGTATTGACAGGATAATGCACGTAGAAGTCTGACACAATCGAACTCCACGATGCACTAGATCCATACACAACGCTAATCAAACTGAGCACATTGCCCGAGCGAGTCATACCCGTAACAGTTGTCGACGGCGGCGAGAGATCAGCATGGTGGGCAGCTTCACCATATATAATCATGAAAATGATGAAGAAGAGGATCCAGGCGTACTTCTCGTACAGCAGGACACCGCGCAGTCCGACGAAACTGAATAGAAGACTCACACAGGCGATGATTACCACGCCTACGGCGATGGAGACGTGTCCATCTGAGACGGCGCTCAAGGCTAGTCCGCCTGTAATGCAGTTCACAGAAGCCCAGCCTAGCTGCTCGATCACGTTCAACAGCGCGATGATCGAGGACGGATAGTAGCCGAATGAGTATCTGGCGATTGCTACCTGGCGGAGACCCGTGCCGGGCCCCATGGTTGCGCACCAGCCCTAATTGCGGGTTAGTTTTGCCGCAGCAAAAAATCAAGAAAAAAAAAAAGAGAAACCACGAAATGGAAGGAAAAGGAACACCTACTGTAACCATAGCACCTAACAACGTCGAAAAAATCACAATAGGAATGGTCTGACCAAGCGAAAGACCAAACTGCCTCCCCAGAAAACCCGTACTGAAACAACTGATATTCATCGTCGCAGAAGCCCACATAAACGCCATCACAACCGAGCTCGGGGAATGGCGATTCTCAGGATGGACACGATCAAGACTATGCGATTCAATGCCCATCTTGCGGTCCAGGATTTCCTCATAGTAGCGCACTCTTGCGAAGAATCCCCGTGGTTTGACCGGGTCTTGCTCCACCGCAGAGATGTCCAGCTCGGGCTCGCCCTTCTTCTCCATGTCCGTGTCCATGGCCATGGGTTGTGATACCTGTGGCCCTGGAGGGAGGAGAAGAGAAGAGAAGAAAGAGAATTCTCGGAATTGGCCGAGATAGAGGAATATCTCCCCGCACGGGTGGGTTGGTTTAGTGCCGTATAAAATTTACGGGATTCGCCCCTATCTGTGGGCCTTATCGGACGTTTTTTTCTGTTTTCTCGTTTGGTCCAGTTCTGTTAGCTGCTGGATGTTGTCTATCAAATTGACTATTGGGCTTGTTTTGTTTCGAATGGTGTTTTATATCTGCCAAGATATCAATATTTTCTTTGCCAAGCATCCATATCTATTCGTATGTTGAGGTGAAGGTTAAGCTTTGCGGGAGGGAAAACTCGATTTTTTTTTCTTATCGGGAAGTGCGAGGCTGTTGAGTGTTGGTCACTAGCCACTCATAGGTCAATGCTACGTAAGTACGGAGTAGTCTGTCAGATATCATTCTGTATTGCCTAGCCACATGGTGTGCCATGCCACTTCGCACGTGCTTACAGTAAAAAGTAGAAAGTAGAACGTAGAAAGTCAATAGAAGAAAGTAGTACCGCAGACTGTCACTAAAGTGTAGGTTATCATATAACAATCGTTATTTGTTTGCTCTAGGTTCTTTGCTTGATGCTATATTGGCGAGCAACGACGGGGTAGAATCAAACCGAATATGTTGGAGCCTGTGATATTGAAGTGAACAAAAGTCAGCCATCGACATGGAATTTCTACAATTGTTATAGATGAATTGGGTAGGGAGTACATATAAGTTCGAAGTCTTAGTAGTTGCAGTGGATTAAAAATATCCAAGTTTTGCGGCCTCGGAGAAATCCCCCCGGAGACTCGAGCTGGCCTTTTCGGTCACCTTGTGTACTTCCGGGGTTCGAGACCTTCACCTTCACCTCACCTTTCGCCTCTCTCCCTCACCTCTCCATCAATTTCCCTTCCCCCTCTCTTCTTCAGGTGGTTCTTCTCCCAGAACCCCTGTTTTCTTTTCTTTAATATTTGGCGCTTCTTGGTTCAGATCGCCACTTTTCCTCTTTGAATCTTTGCGGGCATTCTCCTGAATCGTCCGGCAATCACCTATAATATATTCTATACCCTTCAATTCGTTTCAATTCAGAAGAAGGAACTAAACTTTCCATCTGTGAGTTTTGATCTCCTGCTCAGTCATTGACACATGCTCCGCCACAGTGACCGTGATCTGTCCCCATTGTATACTGACCCGGACTAGTCTCTATTGCAGAATTATTGTGCATAGGAAACTTTCAAACCCGTCTCATACTCCGGTCATCCCCACGCAATTGAACTCCTTCGTAATGGCTGCCGAAGCCCCCTCTACCAACGGCGGATCTCTCGCCGCTATGCTGGAACAACAGCACGCCCGCGATGAGGCGCACAAGCCCACTGTGGAGGATGTGGTCGATGAGGAGGACCTGAAGCACCCCCCTCTCGCTGCGCCCAAGGTCGAGCCTACCCCCTCTGCCTCCGCCGAGACCGCCTCAGCACCTGCTCCTAAGCCCACCAAGTCCGCCCCCAAGAAGCCAACATTTGATGTACAATCGGAGGAGTTGTTCCCAGCTCTTGGTAGCGGCCCCAAGCCTGCCGCTCCTGCTGCGGCTACATGGGGTGCTAAAAAGACTGGCGCGGCTGCCGTTGCAAATGGCTCGCCCGCTCAACCAATGGGTATGTGAATGAATCGGATATTGATTTGAGGATCATCTGACTCTAGTTTAGATATCCCCCGTATCATGACTCTTCCTGGAAAGCACATGGAGCAGCTCCGTCTTGCTCCCTCTCAGATGCTCCCCCGCGGACAACTGAAGAAGCCTCTGCCTGAAATTCTTCGTGACATTTCTCGTAGATCCAAGGCTACTGTGGACATGCGCGGTGGCCCGGGTGGTTCTATCATTTTCGACGGAAAGGGTTCCGTGGATGCAGTACGGCAGGCCCTCCGTGAGGTGGCTCAACAGGTTGGATCTAAGGTATGTGTTTGCAAACATCTACACGATTTGTTCTAACCATTTTACTAGCAATCCGTCCGTGTCCCTATCCCTACCTCTGCTCGTCCCCACATCATTGGTCGCCAAGGTGCCGTTGTTCAGGATATCCAGGGCCGCACTGGTGCCCGTGTGCAAGTTCCCCGCGCCGACGACAACTCCGCTGGTGCCGAGGATGATGACGATGACACCATTGACGTCTTGATCGAGGGTGATGCCGTGGCTGCGGAGATGGCCCGCCGAGAGATTGAGGCCATTGTGAAGGAGCGCGGCTCAAACATGAGCTTCCGCTTGAAGACTATTCCCCCAGAGTTCTTCCCCTTCATTGCCGGCGCACACGACGCCAACCTGCGCGCAATTGAGGAGCGCACAAAGGCACAGGTCAATGTTCCCCGCTATGATACTTGGTCAAGCCAGCCTCCTCCCCAGGAGGCCAGCCCCGGCCAGGTTCAGTTTATGGCCTGCCCTGATAAGCACATTTTGATTTCTGGAGAACGTGCTGCCGCACAAGAAGCTCGTGCCGAGATTGAGCAATTGGCCGCCAAGTTGCGCCAGCAGCTTACTCTCCGCCAGCTCGCCATCAACCGTGGCCAGCACCAGTTCATTCTGGGTAACGAGGCCGATGCTCTGCACAAATTCGTTGAGCAGACTGGATGTGCCATCGTTCTCCCTCCCAGCGACGATGAGAGCGAATTCCTGACCATCACTGGTCCTGTTGACCAGATCGAGGCTGGTATTAACCACGCTATGGATCTTGCCACCAGCATGCAGATGGCCAGCATTGACCTGTCCCGCCAGCACCCTACCGCTCCAGCTGGCCCCGTCGCCCACGCCCGTGCTCTGTCTCAGTACCTGCGCCGCCGCCAGGTCATCAAGGAGCTCGAGTCAGCCTACGATGCCCGCATCGCTCTTCCTCCCAGCGTTGATGGACCAATTACTTGGGAGGTTTACTCTCGTGATGGCAAGAACACCATCCGTGCCCGCTCCGACATCATGAACCTTGTCCAGGCTCTCCCTCCCTCCAAGCTCCGCCACGTCCCTGTCGACCCGTACTTCCACCAGTACCTCCGCAATCGCAGCGCCAGCGCCCTCCAGGGTGACTATGGCGTTCACCTTATGATCCCCGATGACATCAACAGCCCCGAGGTCGTGCTGGTCTATGAAGGCCCCTCCTCCACTGCTTCCCGCTTCGAGGTCCCCAGACAGCGCCCCTCACCTGCCGAGGTTGCTGCTTTCGAAAAGAGCCTACAGGAGGCCCAGGAGTTCCTTCTCAGCGCCCTTGGAGACCAGAATGATATCATTGCCAAGTCGGTCGCCATTCCCGCCAAGTACCAGGAGAAGGCCCGTAAGTTTATCATCCGTGAGCAAGAGGCCAAGGGTGAGGAGAGCATCCCCGTCCGTGCTATTGTCGACGAGCCCAAGGCTTCCCAGTGCCAGGTTTCCCTCCGTGGACCTTCCGCTTTGGTCAACGAGCTTGTCGCCAAGCTGGAGGCTTTCGTTGTTGAGCAGGAGCAAGACGACCTGGAGCGCGGATACACCGTCAGTTTCGACTTCCCGCAGAAGTACGCCAACTTCCTCATTGGCAAGCGCGGTGAGAACATCAACAAGCTCCGCGAGGAGTTCGACGTCGACATCAAGGTCGAGAACGGCAAGGTTGAGGTCAAGGGTCCGAAGGCCAAGGCTGACGCCACTCGCATGCGCATCATCAACATGGGCAAAAAGCTGGAGGATGAGACCACCCATATCCTCAAGATTCCCGCCCAGTATCACCGCGAACTGATCGGCCAGCGCGGAAACCAGGTCAACCGTCTGCAGGACCGTTACTCCGTCCGCGTCCAGTTCCCTCGCGCCACTGTCAACGACGATGTCGCCGAGACCGGCAGCGATGCTGGCGCTTCTCGTCCCAACCGCTCCCAGCAGGCTGCTGATGAGGTTCTGGTCAAGGGCCCCAGCAAGGGCGCTGACTCTGCCCGTGACGAGATCCTCAGCTTGCTGCAGTGGGTTATTGACCACGGTCACTCTGCCACCATCTCCGTCGCCCAGAACCAGGTCGCTTCCTTGATTGGACAGCGCGGTCGTGAGATGGACAAGCTTCGTGCTGATACTGGTGCCCAGATTGATGTTCCAAACGCCAACGATGCGCCGGATGCATCTGGCCGGGTTGCTATTCGTGTCAAGGGTACCAAGCAGCAGGTTGCTGAGGCCAAGAAGATCTTGCAGCAGCGTGCTACCGAGTTCGATGCTACCGTTACTAAGTCCATTGACGTGGACAAGAAGTACCACAAGGCTTTGATCGGTGGAGGCGGTATGTTACAATTAACCCTACTATTATTCCACTTACTGACTTTGTATAGGTGCCAACATCCGTAAGATCGTTGTCGATGCCGGTGGCCCCAATGACGGCAGCGCCGCCAGAATGGTGCGCTTCCCTCGCGCTGAGAGCGCCGAGTCCACCATCCGCCTTGAGGGCAACGGCGCCATCGTTGACAGCATCATCGCTGCCATCGAGGCATTCGTCAAGGAGCGTGAAGACCAGGTCACTGAGATCCTCGACGTCCCCACTGCCCAGCACCGCATGCTGATCGGCCGTGGTGGTGACACCCGCCGTGGTATCGAGTCCAAGTTCAACGTCACTCTGGACATCCCCAAGCAAGGCTCGGGCCGCACGGATGTTAAGCTCAAGGGCCCCAGCACCGCCGTCAAGAGCGCCAAGGAGCACCTTCAGTCCATGCTGAAAGACCAACATGCCGAGACCGTTGACGTCCCCCGTCACCTTCACCACGCCATCGCCGACAACGGCCAGATCTTCCGCCGCCTTCGTAACGACTACCAGGTAACAGTCGACCACGCCGGCCAAACCGTCCCGGTGAACGCCACCTCCGAAGAAACCCGCGACGCCAACGTCCCCGACATGCCCCTGATTACCGACGACCCTGACGCCCCCAGCGACGCCCACTCCTGGAAGGTCATCGACAACAACGTCGATGCCGACCCAACCGCCAAGCCCTTCCCCTGGGTCCTCACCGGCTCCCCAGAGCATGTAGCCAAGGCCCGCGCAGCCATCGAAAAGGCCATCGCCGGCGCTGCCGCCCAGTCCGCAACCGGATACTTGATCCTGCCAGACCCCAAGACCTACCGCTACGTCGTCGGCCAAGGTGGCAGCCAGATCAACGCCATTCGCAAGAAGACCGGCTGCCGCATCAACGTGCCCAAGGATCAAGCTCGCGGTGAAGCGATCGAGATCCGGGGTAGTGCTGCCGGTCTGGACGAGGCCAAGGAGATGATCCTGGAAGCTGTGCAGAATGGTTTGAACGGTGCGCGGTAAAATATGAGCCAGTTATGATGGTTCATTCTGTGTTTTCCTTTGTTTTATTTTTCTCTATTTTCTCTCTACATAGGAAGCCGACTCATAAATACTTGCGAGCGAGCGGGATCGCCTTTTTTTTGCTGTTTTACTTAGTTTTGGATCTCTCTTCTTTTCTTGTTTTTTTCCCCTTTTTGACACTTGTCGTATCTATTTTCATGAATATTCCTTCTAAAAGAGTGTTTCCTTTTTTCTTTTCTTTTCTTTTTTTTTCGTTGACAATTTCCTTGGACTATATTCGTGCATTTCCCAATTCGTGTCGAGTATCAGATTAACGAGTACTTGTTATTTTCTTTGGTAAATCTTAATAGGGATCAAGTTACTGAAGACCCATCTCAGTCTATGTATGTAACCAACTAGAGTCATAACACAACCTCAAGTAGTGTAACCTCGCCGTCACCTTCCTCGCTTCTAAGCTAAACTACCAGAATCCACCCTTGACATGGATATCTACACTGTATTTGATTGGCCAAACAAATAGTTAGCCCCATCTCGCAAACCCGCGGAATCCGTATAGCGCTGTATTTCCATGGAAGATATAGAATAGAAATAGAAATAGAAATCAATAGAACCGCAAAGAACAGCCAAGTCGGTCATCTTCCCCGCACGCTACGGATTGGAGATGGAGAGAGTGAGCAGAGAACGGCAAATGAACATGACAGCGTAGAGCGGAATGCATTTCTCTTTTGGGCGTGACTTTCCGCCTCCATTCCGAGCCCTGACCTGCGTTTCTTTCCCTTTTTGTTTGACCGCACGGTGTACATCGGGTTTCGTAGTTTGAGGGTATCGTGTAACATCTCAGATATCATCTAGTTATAGTAATTTATGACTTGTAACGCGGATTGTTGAAATCACATCCAAAACAGCAAAAGAACGAAGTCAAGAAATCCAGGTCCAGCTCAAATGTAATTAACCAAAGATATAAGCATAAAATGAAAATCCGAAAGAAACCAAAAAGCGAAGTAAAGCGAAAGCAACATAGACCCGAATCCCGCACTCGGTGCACATTTTTATAGTCCACCCCCTCGCAAAGCGACAGCCATAGATATATCCATTGCCATTGATAAAATAAAAAAAAAGAAAATTGAACTGCTTCATGCTCATCTTGATCTTCTAATTGCTGTAAACATAGCAAGATAATGCATATTCACATCGGCACATACAAACACCGAAACATTCGTATTCGTACTGGTATCTCTCCACACTCCCTACTCCACTTCAACGCCGGCTTACTGCTGCTGCTGCTGCTGCTGAGCCTGGAGGTAGTTGTATGCGCCGTAAGCGATGGCACCGCCGATAAGGATGACGGCGTACAGGCCGACGCCGAAGCCGGCGGTGGAGGAGGAGGAGGAGGATGAGGAGGCGGGGGCTGCGTGGCTCTGGGGCTCGGGGTCACCGGGCTGGAAGGGGTGTTAGTATATGATTTTTTGTTTCTGGTCTGGGTTCTTGGGGTTGGTGTGCATGTGGGATCACATGGCTTATTGCCGAGGGTAATGAAAGAGTGGGTGGTGTGTTGATTTTCGTTGAATTGGGGGTTCTGGCTGTACTGGGGATTCGGTACGTACCATGCGCTTCACTGTGCCGACAAGGAGACCGTCGAGAATCTCGCGCGCCTCGTCGCTGTGACCGACATCCTCGAAGGCTTCGGTGCTGTCCTGGCCGCCGACGTCGAGGAGGACTTCCTCGCCACCGCTGGGGAGTATGTTAGCGGGGTTCGTTCTGGGGGTATTCGAGGGTGGGAAGATGGTGGGATTGGTGGTGGAGTGGTGCGATAGGGGAGAGGCGAGGAGAAAGAGTCTGTTTGGATTTTTTTTCCCTCTCGCGGCCCCCTTTCTCGCTTTGCGCCTGGGTGAGGGGGAGTGAATTATCTCCCCGGGAGGGAAATAGAGGGTTATTGGGATCGTAGATGTAGACACTGGGACACGTACGGGTGCTCGTCGACGAAGCTGGTGCAGTCGTAGACCTTGTCGTGGACGATCAGGTAGAGGTCCTTCTTGGTGTTGTGCTCAGCGATCTCCTGGAAGGTAAATTCCTTGGACTCAGACATGATGAATTAAGAGGTCTGTAGGCGATGAGAGACTTGTTAGCGGTCTGTGAGGTGTGCAGGAGTAGAGTAGTGTGAGAGGTCTGGACTCGGAGAGACGCGATAGGAGAAGGGAGAAGTTGGGATTGAGAGTAATACGAGTGTGACAAGTCAAGCACTTACGGAGTATGGGGTTATCGAAGAGCAAAGAAGTGAAGAGAGATAGATATGTGCAAGGTCCAAGACTCCGAGATCCAAAGGAAAAGGGAAAGTTGTTGGTACGTGCGCCTGAGCGGTCTCGGTGGGGACCGACTGTTGATGCCGCGAATTACACCCGAAAGATATCGGATTATATGGTGTGGGCTGCGGTATATTTTTACTGCGTAAGGTGGTGATATAGGGTTCTTAGAGAATGTGTACATTCACCATCTTCGTAGAAACGGAGAAGAACTGTTGGAAAAACGTTGAGAGACTATTTTGTGCCGGCGAATCAGATGCTGCTTATTCGTGCATATGGATAGAGTTGGCATATCTGGCCACAATTTCGTACAAAGATAGATGCATATACTCTTAACAGATAACTGTACTCTGTACAAAGGGAGATTACTAGTGACAGCCAAGACCAACTGCCATTTTCTCAGCCTGCATAGCCGTAACCTCGGGGATCAGGGCTCGGGTAGCGCCGTCGGTATCCGCTTTCCGCTGTGGCGGAATTTATTTGTATACTCTATAAACAATGATCATGAACATGCTAAAGCAGAACGCTCATTTCGCTGGGACTCGCTCATAAAACACAATATACGCTTGCTCGTTCTGCAGTCGATCCCGTGATCGGAGGTCCCGGGGGTTAAAGTCCGTGGCTCGCTCATCGTCAAATTTCCGCCAGCATTGCCGCTCCGCATCGCGGACCAGAGAAATGTAATGTCCGCTTCCCATTGAAGATCCGAGATGCCGGAGTACGGCAAAGGCATCATATGTAAACGGCGGAACGGTGGCGCCCATGGGTGGCGGAGCCCGGGGATCCTGGGGGGCGGCACTCGGGTATGAGATGATAAAGTCATCCATCCGGAGACCGTGGAGTGGGAATTCGATGGGGGTATGGATCTTTCGCGCACTCTGGGTTTTGGATGCGGAGAACCGCTTGAAGTGGACAACTAGGATCTGGGGTGCTCGTGTGATGATGATCTGTTTGGTGGCCATCCGCTTGCATTTGCAATGCGGGCACTTCCAGACCTCGTCGCCACTTAGCATTTCTTCTTTACAATAACTTCGGAGACAGTCATAGATGTCACCCGTGCCTTCAACCGGGATCTCGACACTGATGCTGTAAAAGGCCTCGTAGGTGGTAGACGTCTTTTTGCACGTTGTGCAACGTAATCGACTAGCATGCTGTCCTGCAAAGAGCGAAGAAATGAACGACTCCTCGCGATGGCAATACCGGTCCCATTCAATTTTAGAAACTCTGCCCACCGGCATTCGTTCTCGTTGCATCTCCTCTGAGAATGTCAAGGGTCGTAGGGGTGTGCGCTGCCAATTGATATTGAGATCCTCATGGAGGCAGTCCACCACGAAATCGAAAAACTCCTTTGCATCTTGCTGTCGATCAATAGCCCATTCCCGATTCAATCGCCCACAGAAGTTTCGGAAGGAAGTTGGCATAATAACCTCGACATCATTCTTCCACAAAGATCGAGTGAGATTAGCATACAATCCTGGCATGACACCTTGAGATCCTTTCCAGTTCTTCTGCACATAGTAACGGAACCGGTTGTCAATAAAAAACCTGCTCAGCATGACCGTCGCACTGAGGCACTGGATGGTAGAGTTCATGTAGCATGTGACACCAAAATTGGTCAAACCGGTACGCGGAAGCTTCAGACGGCCAAGGTTAGAGGTTGGCATGTAAAGAGCTGTTCTGCTTGCAGAGTTTTGTCGCTCCAGGTGGGGTTGGATATGCCGGCCATCAGAAACTCCGCTGTAGCTGGGACGTGGGACTGCAGGAGCTGGCCGTGACGGTGCCACCGGCATTTGTGCAGCATAATTTGGAGCAGGGCCAGGCGGCGGACGAGCATCTGGGTGCGTCATAGATTGCTGAACATGGTGTGGATCGGGGAATCGACGCAAGAAAGCCTCATATGTATGCACAAATGGAGTCGGAGGCTCTTGCGTGGATTCCTCGAGCTCCTCAAGTTCTTCTTCGCCGTATGTGCTTGTATCGATCTCCTCGTTTTTAGATTTCTCCATCCACTCGGATAACTCCTTCGAGTTGAGTGGAGTAAATTCGCGAAGTCGCCGTTTCCGAACTTCCAGGCTTGAATTAGCGCTAGCCATTGTAGGAACTCTTCCTAATCCTCGACCAGGACGGGGTACGGGCTTTCTGGCCTGCAGAGAACTCATGACAGCAGCGGTCGAAGATGTGGCGAGTGACTGTTGGCCAAGGAGATCGATCCATGCATCCAGTCCACCAAGAAGAAGAGCGGGAGGCCGCCCGCCCTTGAGAGGCTTGTATGCATTAAACTCGTAGAGAGTGTCATGTAGAGCTCTTAGATGCGGTGCAGATGTCCCCACTGGCGAACCAGCGAGATAACTCACGGAATCAGCATTTTGATCGTAGTAGACCACGAGATCAAATTCATTCCGTTTCTCAAATAAGGTCTGTTCGTGCTCCGGGGAAACAACAAGACGCTCCTCAAGTTCCTCGGCGGACACATTCTCTTTCAAGACCACAGGCTCGATGCAAATGATAGACTTTGCATATACATGCCCATTATCATATTGGTCCCGAGACCGAACATCAATGAGCAGCACATTGAACTTCCGCAGGTTCTCAAGTAGACTCTGAGCAGTGATTGCAGTGCTGTATGGCAGATCCGGTGAATCGCTTCGCGCTGAGTTCACACCATTAGGTGTCAGAGACCTATACGGATTTTCTTCGAAGCCTCCGCGACTCGGACTCCTGTGAGGAGAGCTGGTGAATTGCGAATATCTCGGATTGACCGATCGTGTGCTCTCGGTGGAAGTTCTTGGGGGATTCGAGTGAGGCTTCGAGGGAACGGTGAAAATAGGGCTATAAGCTGGGTCCGGGGCACGTGGGAGCGAGGTGTTAAGAGGAACTTTGGGAGGGATAGTTGGCACACTGGAAGATGATCCCATGCCACGAGGTCCTAATGGGCGTCTTGGCGGTGGGGAGCTGTAATGCCCCGAGGCCGCGTTGGACGGATGAAGTGGAGTATCTGCAGATCCTAGAGTCGGGCTTCCCGGTCCGGCCGGACTTGTACCTAACTCATATTGGTTCGTAGGTGGGGATGCCTTAAGTTTGGCAAAACGCTGCGCGAGCATGTCATCCGGGGGGCTGGAGAATCTTTGGGTATGCGAATGAGGGTCGGGTATTCTTTGAAACTGACCCGGACTCGGCATTCTAATCGAGTCTGTCCCAGACTGCTGATTCTCGCGGCTCCTAGGTGTTGCAGAAGCTTGCTGTGGTGACCTTGACGCAAATCCACCTGTGGGCTGCATTCCACTTGCCATGTTATCTTCAATGATCTCCTGCTTGATCGTGTCCATGGTGCCTTGTTTAGTCCGCACCGACATCATGAGATCGGCAAACTCCTTGTACCAGCCAGGACGCTGGTTGACCGTGGTTCGATAGTCTGGATGATGGGGAATGATATTGATGGTGATTTCAGAGGCGCGGAGATATTGTATGTAAGCCTTGTCAGGGTAATTATCCTCCACAAGGGTGAGGGCCTGTTCGATTGCCTCGGAGGCCGTTCTCAGGAGTTGATTGATCTATGATCACGTCAGTAAACAGAGGCCATATCCTGTTTATGGAACATAAGGACACATACTGGTGTGCTATCATTCACATTTAATGAAGCAGCCTGATCCTGCAGGTCTTTGATATTCGGAAATCGAGGGCGGCGCGAGACAGGAGTGCCATTTGAGTAGCCCGGTCTGCTGACCTGTGTGGAATGCATGGTATCCCCCACCGAGTAAGGACGGCTGTCCTTCCACGGTGGTATGTTTGGTGGAGATGGCAAAGTCGCCGCATCGGAGGACATGGTAGATCCAGGCAGCGAGCGGACTTAGCGCATGATTATGTTCAGGTGGACGGGTGAAGAGAAGGGAACTCGGGGCAACCCTGGAAGGCCTTCAGATCAAAGCAATGAAAACGAAAGACCAGAACAAAAGAGGACAGAATCCAGGAACGCATTGCGGGATGCCTCTGGGGTAATCAGATGACAATACCTCACCGCCCCCGGCCTATGACGCCAGGGGCTTAGTCAACTCGAGCTCCCTCCTCCACTTATCAGTTTGCCATATTCACATCGCATCTACCTGCAGCTACTGTTTTTTGTATCTACGCCTGGTGTCTACTTTCATCATGGCTAGTTGGTTTTCTTCGACGTCACCGCTCGACGAGCAGATCGAGCGGGCAACAGGTTCTTCGCTGTGAGTGACTGCCTACTGGGATTACGCCTAAGATGGGCTCTTCTCTGGTGAGCCATTGCCCAGAATGATTGATTGGCTGACTTTTCTATAGAGAGGACATTGCCCTCAACCTCGAAATATCCGACATGGTCCGATCGAAGAGCGTGCAGCCTAGGGAAGCAATGAGATCATTGAAGCGACGACTGGAGAATAGGAACCCCAACATTCAGCTGGCAACTTTGAAGGTGAGCTACATCTAGTTTCTCACTGTATGCTAGAAGACATGCTGACAACGCGCATCAGTTAACAGATACGTGTGTAAAAAACGGAGGCACCCACTTTCTGGCCGAGATCGCGTCTCGGGAATTCATGGATAACCTTGTGTCGTTGTTGAAATCCGAAGGCGCTCCTTTAAATCCAGATGTTCAAGGAAAGATGTTGGAGCTCATCCAGAATTGGGCTATGGCTGCGCAGGGCCGAATGGATTTGATGTACGTGGGGGACACTTATCGCAAACTCCAGAGCGAGGGGTACCGATTTCCACCAAAGACAGAAATGAGCGGTAGTATGTTGGAAAGTAGTGCTGTGAGTCTCCCAGCCGTTTACCACCAAGTGGAAGCTAACAGTTCCTGTCCAGCCCCCGGAGTGGATTGACTCCGATGTCTGTATGCGATGTCGCACAGCCTTCAGTTTCATGAATCGTAAACATCATTGCCGAAACTGTGGCAATGTTTTCGATGCGCAATGCTCCAGCAAGTCTATCCAGTTGCCACATCTCGGAATACTGCAGCCTGTCAGAGTGGATGATGGATGTTACGCCAAGTTGAATTCCAAGTCGTTTGCGCCACCAGGCGTATCGGATCGATCCGCATTCAAAAACAACTCCATCACTAAGTCTAGCTCAATGGAACCTCGAGCTGCCAGAGCGGATACCGGATTCGACGATGACTTGCGTCGCGCGTTACAGATGAGCCTTGATGAGGCCGAGGGCAGAGGCACTTCGGGATTCGTACCACAGACCGGCAATGCCCCAGAAGCAGCCAAACCCACCCCCGCGCCAGTCAATACCGAAGAGGAGGAGGATGCCGATCTTAAGGCTGCGATCGAAGCATCACTGCGAGACATGGAACAGCACAAACAAAACCACGCGGCGGCACTGAAGAACGTTCCTACCCCAAGTTCTGCATTCCGTGATTCCTCGAGCACGCCAACCCCCCTACCCAAGAACCCCTATGAACTTACGCCTGTGGAAATAGAGAATATCCATCTATTTTCAACGCTGGTTGATCGTCTCCAACATCAGCCCCCTGGAACAATCCTCAGAGAGCCACAGATTCAGGAGTTATATGAGAGTATCGGTTCTCTTCGGCCGAAGTTGGCCCGGAGCTACGGAGAGACGATGAGCAAGCACGGTGGGTTCCCTTTCTTGTGTACGGAATTACAAACTGACATCGACAGATACGTTACTCGATCTGCATGCCAAACTCTCAACAGTCGTGAGGTATTACGACCGAATGTTGGAAGAGCGTCTCTCTAATGCCTATTCTCATCATGGTCTTGGTTATGGAGCTGTTCCCGGTGCAACCCAATATCCCAATATCCAGCCAGGGTATGCTGCTCAGGCCCCCGATGCACAGGCTGGAGCGGAGAATTTCTATTATGGCAACCAGATGGACAGCTCTCGTCCACCAACTGCCATGTATGCACCCCAGCCAGCGAACGTCGAGGGGTATGGAGGCACACCTGGCGCTGTTCCCGGCGGCTATATGTCGCATACCCCACATGGAGGTCAGCCGAACGAGGCTCCCAACCAGAACTGGGGTGGGAACCCTTACCCGTCTCTCGGGGCACAGTCACCTAACGCTATTCTCAACAACTACACCACTGCGCCCGCCCCAAGTGCTCCGTCTCAGTACTATGCGGGACCAAGCGATCCAGAGGCAAACAAGTCACCCGTCGCTGAACCTCCGTACCAACCGTCACCTATCATGCGGCGAGACTCTCAGTATCAATCTAGTGCACCTCCAGGCGGATCTGCCGTACCCGAGCAGCCACCCGCCACTGGGTATGCGCAGCCTGGTTACTCGGTGCCTCCTAGCGCCCCGGCACTTCACCAGCAAACAACCGGTCCTACTCCCCACCCGCAGTCATTCTACTACCCTCAGCAACCCCAACTTGCACCCTCTGCTTACCCACCGATGACCACCGGGCAACCAAGCACGCATGCACCCGAAGCCCCCAGCCAAGCACCTTATCAGCAACCGCGGCCAGTGGAAGAGAGTTTGATTGAGCTGTAGCGTAATTGCATCTGGGGCGTTATTTGTACTTGACTTATTTGATGATACCTGAAGACTTTTAGCAGAATGATAGCTTAAATCCAGTAACTCCAGTATACATGTACCTACCTATTTTAAGCAGCTTATATAATATCAGGTGACCGGCACATGGCTCCCCCACACGTAATTACGGTATTATTCGCTCCTTGAACTTAATCGCCGAAGACAGCGAGATCGATCAACGTCGATTTCTTCTTTCCTCTCTCCTCCCTGTTTCCTGGTTTTTCTTTGAGCATATGATCCTTTTTCCCCGGTGTAACCCAACCTACATTGACTCTTCACTCTCTACTTGCATGTTCTCCGGTCTGCCGTGAGACCTCTTTGCCTCGGCCAATCCCCACGTTCTAGGTGAGCATCGCAGAATATCCGTCTGTGGCTCCTCTGGGAGCTGTCCTCTGCAATGCCGACCTCAAATACCACGTCCTCCCCAGTCAAGCGCCCCGGTCTCGGCCGCCGTGCAGTATCCTCTCATGCAGTCGTCACGCGCGCCAACCCGAATGACCTGTCGGAGTCTCACACGCAGAAGGCGCCCGTGCATCATAAGGCACACCGCGCCCATGTCGTTGGTGGCCACCGCAATCATCACCGAAACCCTTCCGTCGGAAAAAACCTGACCAAGCTCCAAAGATTCCAGCTTGCCCAGCTTGGTCCCGAAACTACTGGTCGTCATCACCAGCGCAAGAAGTCTGCGCCCGCCACTCCGATAGCGAGCCCCAAAGAAGGCGGACATATTCGTTGGGATAATGTTGTCGATAATCACCCCACCGCTCCTTCTATGAAGAGAAACTACTCGACCCCTGCCTTGCGCCGGAATAACTCGGCAGTAGGAAAGAAAGCGCTGGTGACCGAAAGACCCCATTCCAGTGCGGCAAAGAAGAAGACGGTCGGCTTCGAGTTGGGTGACGACGACGACGTCGAGGTCGACGACGCTGATTGGGAAGATACCACCCAGTCACCCGAAAGTACGCGGCGTAACTCTGTCGTGCCATCTAATCACAGCGCTGATAACACCACTATTCTCGTCGATCCCCTTACATTTGTGAAACGCCCCTACCCTCAAATTGCTCGGGCGACCAGTCTACCAGAATCGATCACAAGCAAGTTCGCTCGGGAACGTGCTGAACTAGAAGAAAGCCAGAATCAGGAGGAAGACGAGGATCATCACGACTCGGACAACGACTCCGAGAACTCTAGCCAACACACCGAGCAAGGTGATATCGCAACCCGCCTTCTCAGCCCCTCTCACTCGGCCAAAGCACCTCCCGCCATGTCTTCGATATCGGCGATGGTCAAGCCGGCGGCTAAGGATCCCGCATCGCGCAGCAGCGCATCTCTCAATTTGGCTGCTGGTCAGGAAAGCGCTCGTCGCACTTATTCTACCGCTAACATGGCCAGCATGCCTGGCTCACACCCTAACGCTACCTCATCCTCTATGGAAGGCGGTGTCTCGCGATTCATCATGAACAACAAGAACAGTATCCAAGCATCATCTCGTACTGATTCTGACCCAAACACCCCATCTTCATTCCTCCCGCACTACCACCCTCAAACTCCCCCTTCTCCTGGTCGCGCTCCCGGCAAATCCACTGCTTCTCCTGCGCGCCCACGTGGTGCCGACTTGCCTTCTCGCACACAGCAGAAGCTCTGGCTTCAGCGCACTGCCACTCTCAACAACTCCCCCCTGATAGCCACGGAGTTCCCCCTTCGACTGCCCCGTCAACAGTTGACCCAACCTTCAACTCAGTCAACAATACCCGCACTGGCGGTGTCACTTTTGATACCAGCCGTGGGTTGGCCAGCGGCGGGCGAGCTGGAGGCGCAGGGCATGACGGTGAAACTCGGCACATTCGCAAGGCGTACGAGAAAACATCCCTAGAACTCACTGTTGTGCGACGCTTCCAATCTCCTGCCGGGGAGAGTTTCGCCCGGCTTCGTCATGTTGCCCGCGCAGCAAAGGTTGCACAGACTTCATCAGCGCTCGGCAAGCCAGTCAAGTCAGCCCCCTCTTTGCCTCTACTTCAACAAGGCAAGCGTCCCAGTCGCCTCAGCTCAAGTCCTGCATCCAAGCCAGTGACTCGTAACCCAACCGATGCGGAGGATCTAGCCAACGGCAACCCTGCCAAGCCTGCCAAGTCCAATGATCCTTCTGCTCGCATCCTCTCCACTTCCGCCGAAGCCTCACGGGATCTCACCGGTGAGAACGAAGTTGAAGACTACCAGGTCAACGACGTCGAAATGATGATTCGTCGGATCTGGGAAAGCCGAGAAGTAGCCACGCACGGCTAACTTATGATGTTTCGCCTTATCTTTTTCCTCATACGTTCATGATATTTCTTTAGCTTGCACGGTTGCTCGGCGTTGGTGGCATTCTGTTCTTCATTATTAACATTATCATCAGCATTCAGACTGAACATAACATATTATTCTGTGTCTACCTCTTTACCTTTGTTGATATATCTCGAGCCAATGCAACATAATACAATTCCAACCTCAGCCCACTTTGGACCTTTCGGGACCAGCCATCCGAGCCCATTAATCCCTTCCCTATCATTTGTCTACCCCTGCATAACAAATTGGCATAACAAATTGGCATAACAAATTGGCTGCCTACGAGTGGCCCCTTTCATTCCTTTCGGTTGATGCGACATCCGGGGTTGCGCGCATGGCCTGATGGATGAGTAATGGCCAATCCTGCCCTCCTGATTTGCCCTACAAAACCCTAACTATACCATGTCAATACAAGTTACATGTTCATTGTACAGACATCCAGTCTACTCTCATTTTCTAATCATGGATTTACTCGTGCCACTGGTCGCAGGCCAGATCCTACGAATCATCTACTACAGCACTGGGATCCTGCTGGTCTCGATCATCCTCAATGTGATCACGCAACTCGTCTTCTACAGCAGGAAAGAACCCCCTGTGGTCTTTCACTGGGTGCCTTTTCTTGGAAGTACTATTGCCTATGGCATGGACCCGTACCAGTTCTTCTTTGCGTCTCGTGCAAAGGTGAGTGTCCTACGGAAGTATATTTCCAGTCTCATCAGCTCACAGACAATCAGTATGGGGATATTTTTACTTTCATCTTGCTAGGAAAAAAGACCACTGTCTATTTAGGTGTTGATGGCAACGAATTTGTCTTAAATGGAAAACTTAAGGATGTCAATGCCGAAGAAATCTACAGCAAGCTCACTACGCCCATCTTTGGAACTGGTGTTGTCTATGACTGTCCCAATTCCAAGCTCATGGAACAAAAGAAGGTGCCTACCCCTTTCTCAGGCTATGCATATTCAGGCACACGTATCTAATCATGCTCCCTCTGACTAGTTCATCAAATTCGGTCTCAGCCAAACAGCCCTAGAATCCTACGTCCCCCTGATTGCCGACGAAGTAACCTTCTACATCAAATCCTCAGGCAACTTCAAAGGCAAATCCGGATTAACCGATCTAGCCGCAGCAATGGCCGAAATAACAACCTTCACAGCAGCCTGCACCTTACAAGGCGAAGAAGTCCGCTCAAAACTGACCTCCGAATTCGCCGAACTCTTCCACGACCTCGACCTAGGCTTCCAACCAATAAACTTCATGCTCCCCTGGGCACCATTCCCACACAACTGCAAGCGAGACATAGCCCACGCACGCATGCGAGCAATCTACCTAGAAATAATCCAAGCAAGACGAGATGCCGGCCTCACCGATCCAAGCCCAGACAGAACAAAAGGAACAGACATGATCTCAAACTTAATGAGCAGCATCTATCGCGACGGCTCACCAGTCCCCGACAAAGAAATAGCCCACATGATGATAACCCTCCTTATGGCAGGCCAACACTCCTCCTCAGCAATAAGCTGCTGGATTATCCTCCGCCTAGCCTCCAACCCAACCATGACAGAAAAGCTCTACGAAGAACAGCTCCAGAATCTAGGTCCCGACCTCCCACCACTGGAGTACAAAGACCTTGACAAACTCCCACTGCACCGCAACGTCATCAAAGAAACACTCCGCATCCATTCCTCCATTCACACCCTCATGCGCAAAGTGAAGAATCCCCTTCCTGTCCCAGGCACAGAATATGTGGTCCCACCATCTCATACGCTCCTTTCTAGCCCTGGCGTTACTGCGCGTGATGCGCGCTACTTCCGCGATCCGTTGAAGTGGGATCCACATCGGTGGGAGGAAAGGGTTGAGGAGGAGAATGAGGAGGATACCGTCGATTATGGGTATGGGGCTGTTTCGAAGGGGACGCGGAGTCCGTATCTGCCTTTTGGGGCTGGACGGCATCGCTGTATTGGGGAGAAGTTTGCGTATCTTAACCTTGAGGTTATTGTTGCTATGATGGTGAGAAGGTTTAGGTTTTTTAATCCTGAGGGTGTGGAGGAGGTTCCTGATACAGATTATTCGGTATGTATATATACTTCGTTTGGATGGTTGGGGGGTTGGCTGACTTTTGGGCTTTAGTCTCTCTTTTCGAGGCCTATGCAGCCTGCCAATGTGCGTTGGGAGGTTCGATCCTAGGGGGAGTTGATTTCTGTTGGTTTTGGTTTTGGTATCAGTGTGGCGTGGATGAGTAATTGTATAGGTATCAGAGATCTCTTCTTGAGAGAAGAGATGATATTCAATGAATGTTTACTTTCCAGAAGTGAATTCATTATGCAGAAAGTAGTGTATGCTAAACAGAGTCTATCATGTTCCACGGTGGCCTCAAAGTGCCAACTGTAAGTCAATTGCAATTGAAAAATCTTAGGGTCAGCAAAGAAAGACGAGAAAACAGTAAGGTCTTTCAAAAGAAGGGGTATGAGCAGGGACTTTCGAAAAGACAGGAAGGAAGACCCGAAAGAAAAATTGGGTTGTAAGAAAAGTACAGAAGTTCATATCTTCATGCAGAACAGTTGATCGGGGCCATGAAATGTACAATTAGACACCCCAAGAAAAGCTGAAGCCTATTAATCAGACAACAGGAAGGAAACAGTCTATGCTCTTAACCACGATCCTTCCCCTTACCACGGCCGCCCTGCCCTCCACGACGAGAATTGGTATTAAAACCTCCAGCACCACCACCAGCACGATTGCCATTAGGAACTTCTTGCGGCTGAGCAGGAGCAGGACCATTTGCACCCGTCTTGGGAGTAGAATGACCAGTTCCCGAAACGGAGGGACGCTTCGGATCTGGTGTACCAGGCCCATCGCCAGTGGGATTCTTGGGACCGCGACGCTTGCGCGGAGTACCAGATGCTTTACCGCCACGTCCACTCTTGCCGGAACGAGGCTCAGTTGGCTCGGGGTCCATTAGTCCCTGGACACGCTTGCTTTCCTGGTCCCACCATTGCTGGAATTCTTGCTCGGCTTGGATTTCTTGCATGTTGTGCTTTGCTGTGGCTGCTTCGCGGATTGCTTCCTTTTCACTTTGTTGCTGGAGCAGGATTGTTGATAGGGAGAAGGAACCTGAGGATGGGGAATGGGATCCTGTGAGATCGGGACGGGGGATGTGGCGGATTGATTGGATTGCTGGTTGGGGTGATGTAACATTTTGGGATAGAGAAGGTCCCGATGGGGAGGGTTTAGAGTGGGAGGGAGGCTGTAAGCTGGTTGAGATACTGCGGCGTTGGTTTTGCACGGGGGTTGCAATTGGTTTTGACTTTGGTGGAGGTGTGCCGGCTACAGTCTGTCGCATTGTCATGGATTTCTGGGCTGATTTAGCTGGCTCTGGAGATTGAGCGCTTTGGCCTGGTAGAGGATCGAGCTTGGCTGGTGTTGCTGTCGGAGGGGGTGCTGGCTTTTGCCATGGGTTTGAGGGTGCGTCTTTCGCCTTCTGCTGTGCAGCCAGCTGCTCTTGTGCCTGCCGCTGTTGCATCTTTTTTCTCTCCTTTTGAGAAATTTTCGGGGTGAAATTGCCACTGCTTTCACGTCGATCTGCCATCCCCAAGGTAAGGTTTGATACCCGAGACTGTGATGTTTCGCCCATGATGTCTTTGAGATCCTTCTTGGAGCCGGAAATAGTAGGTGGACTCCATGGCGCGGATGAAGGGCCGGATGATGGCCCAGCTCGCTTCTGATTGAGTGCAATAGTCCTAGACTCAGATGGAGACTGCGTAAGGGACATGTCTTGTGGCGAAGCCATTTGATCATCCAAGAAATTGCCCTCGCCTAGTGACATGGCTTCTGGTAGGCTTGCTCCCAATGCCGGGGAATCAGGGTATGATCTATCTTCGGGGATGCCTTCTCTAAACTTGACTCCACGCATGGCCCCCTTGCCCTTCGGGTCGGGTGTCATAAGACCTTCGTCATCCATCTGGAACATAAGATCGCTCGTTGATTGCTTCGGCTTGAGCATCGGGCTGTTGCTAGCTTTTGGTGACGCTTTAGGGAGAGCGTTCTTTCCCTTGCGTGTTGATGGGGACGCAGCAATCTTCTCAAGTGCCTGTCGAGGTCGAACGTCATATGATTCAAGACGATCAAGGCGAGTCTGCAAAGCCATGGCATCGATTCGTCGCTGCTTGTCTGTCTCAACGGAACTGACAATCTCAGGATATTTCTCGAAGATATAATCTTCGGAATTCCGTCCACGGGAAATGGGCCAGCAAGATAGTTGGTTCTCATGGCAGATCAAATCCAACTCGCAGAGGAGAATATCGTCCAAATCGTGAAGATATCTGTTGGCCAACATAGCCTCCATGTTGAGGCAGATATATTCCAAAGCAGCATCCTTGAACTCGGTAACGTAGCAAGGGATGACAGAGTTAAGAAGATAGCACACGTTGCGAGTGGTAACAAAACGACCGAGCATCTTCTGACAAATTTGAGACAGTCGGTCGATCATGAGCTCGTTTGCCACAAACATGACATCCAGCAGTAAGTCAATGAAGTCGTCAACGTCGTTCGTCCGAACTTCATCGAACAGCCGTTCTTCAATGTCCGCGTATAGATAACGCAGCACAAAGTCAAAGGTGGAACGATCGATGTGTTTCAAATCGACATGCACCTTCTGAGTAGGGTCTGCTCTGCGCAGTTCTATCCACTTTCCGCCCGCACGGCCATTGAAAAGAACGTCAAAGAATGGACATCTCTCGCATACAACTTGGCTGTGCACTTTGACTGTATCACCCTTGAGCTGGACCACCACGTCCGCGCTATTGAAGAACGAAGAGTGATTGATAGCATGGGCCATGTCAGTTTTCAGAGTTCTTTCCGGCTCAATCATCAGTCTCGCCGCACGTTCCAAGGCGGGCAAGCCTAGTTGCATAGCGACCCGCATAACCTCAGTGCGAACCTGTCGGTAACGAGTCGCGTTTGCGGGCGAGCTCCTTGCCAGGTGCCAGACATCGAGAATGCCATCCGTGTAGAGGAAAAAGACCACATTCAGGATGGTCAGGAAATCAACACCGTGGATCCGTATCTGGGGGTGTCCGTCCCTCCCGTATTCGATATCAAACACATCTGAGACGGAGGAATAGTACGATTGCCTGAACTCCTCCAGGGCCGTTCTGACAACTGGACTGCGACCAGCCAGAAGAAGTTCATGGACGGGAATGCGAGACTCGGAAAGGGAGCTAGTCATCCAAACAGTCCCCTCAGACCAGATAGGCAGATATTCACTCTCAATGTCCGAGGATGCCAAAATGGCGCGTTGGATGCTTTTGCCGGACGAAAGCACAACAGGAACAGTATCTGCCTCCAGAATCGCATCCACGTCTTCCAATTCAGGAGTTGTGAATGGAGACAGAGGTAAGATGTCATCCCAAAGGTTACTGGGCTCAACGTGGATCTGTTCTTTGGTGACGTCGCAGTCACGCTGAGCTACAGCATAGGCTCCGAATGCGTTGCTGCGTACTGCCACTGCTCGCGAGAGACCAGGGATACGAGCGAATTTGTAATCCTTCAAAGCACCCTCTTTCATTTTTGTCCGGCGTTCCTTCCTCCAGGCAGATCCAGAGGTTGTGCAAATGATGATAGAACCATCTCGTCCCACATCAACATCGCGAGCTGCCATGTGGGATTTCTTAACAGACCATGCTCGAACAGGTGCGGCCAGTGAATTGCGAATCTTGGCGGGATTGGTCGTAGAAGCCAACGTCGAAGAGTTCTCGGACTGATTGGCTTGAACTGTGAAGACATCACCAGAGCTGGACAAAGCACATATTGTGTTTCCACCACTTGTCAGTTTCACAATGTGGTTGGCGGATCCGTCGTATCTGGTTGCCATGAAGCTATCTCGAATGAATCTCGAGCTAACTTCCAGAGGGAACGACAGCTTCGAGTACCCATAGGATGAGAATACCCAAACCTCATGGTTCTGCAGAAGGACAGCCGTGGCACGGTCAATGGCGGAGACCATCTGAATTGGGCAACTGAATAGAGATGCTCCGACACGCCGTGGTGTGGTCTGAACTTCAAGGGAACGAGCATCGGAATCGACCAACCCAAGCTGGCCTTCGTTCTTGCCAAATGTGTATAGACCAGAGGTACTAAATACCACCGAGTGAATAGACGATGCTGCTGCGCCTAGGATGGTTTCTTTCTTAAAAGGATTGAATATTTGACGAGGCGTCAACTGCACAGGGACGTCATTCCGGTTGTTGGTTCTGGGAAGACCATAGCCGAGTTGTCCAAACTTATTGCTGCCCCAGCTGAAGATTTCACCATGCTCTGTGATTGCCAGGGTATGATCTTGGCCTAGAGCAACCGAGACCACCTTCTTTCCATCCAAACCACCATTTTCAATACAAACAAAGGTAAACCGAGTGGCCTCATCGCCTGTTCCCAGGCGTCCACCTGGACCGAAGCCGCACATGAACAGATTAGCTTCGGGATCATCCGTAATGATGGCGGTGTGTAGTTTGGACATGACGATGTTTTGATATTTCATCGGCTTGTTCCTTATCAACGAAGGCAACCCTTTTGAGTTACTCTCGGGGACGGTATCTTCAAGCCCAAGACGCTCCAGTTCTTCCAGGTGTTCGCGATAGAACCGATGCAAAAGATGCTCAGGGCGTTGTAAAGATATCCGCTCCGGGAACTGTCGGTCATCCTGATCACCAAGACCAAGATTGAGATTCTTGTTGCTCCCGAGAGTGAATACTTCATCGGCAGAGACATCCATAAGAGGTTTTAAGACGCTCTTAGCGGCATATGCATCATCTTCCCCATTATCTCCGTAATTAGACACAGCATTAGATGCAGCGTCGCTTTCCATATCATCAAGCATCAACCTTGGCCAGGAAGAGGACAGCTGTTTGATATCGCGGGCCGTGATAGTTGCTCCAAAGACGTCGAACGGACTGAAACCCTCACGGTCCTTAATCTTGATTAGACCACCACTCGGATGACTTGCATTTCCAACCTTGCTGAAATCCGTCATGTCTTGCACGTCGCGCGTCATGAGCGCCTGGGCAATTGTGGCATTTCCAGCATAAAGAGCCCGATGCAGGGCGGTCCACCCGCTCTCCCAGTCCTGCACATAAATATCAAGGAACGGAACTTCCAATAAAGCACGTGCAAAGTTGGCGGCGGTGGGTTTCAAGGAGGAGGCGACATGGTGAAGCAGTGTGCGGCCGTAATGATCCCGAGCATTCACGTCGGCGCGCGACAAGTTCACGGCCCCGCGTTGCGACTTATCCGACACGGGTGTTCCAGGCGATGAGCCCATGTTCTTCTTACTTCTCGGTGGGTTTGGAGATGATGCGATCATTGCCCCAGGGCTCGCACCTTTTGCTGACAGGTTGGCCGCTGCAGGTGTTCCGGAACCTACAGCTCGTGGCCCCGCGAACGTCGCGTTCGCCAGGAACCGCTGGAAGCTCTCGACATCATCTTGTATGAAAAACTCCCAAAGCTTGGTACTCATGTGCCCGGACTGATCGACGCGCCGAATCTCTTATCAGGCCCAAGCTGGTCGTCGCCGTCAGAGACCGCGACGAAGCTGGGTGACAAGAGAATTCTTCGGAGGGAAGGGAAGGGAGTGTCGACGCTGTACGAGCCGACTCGATCTCTGGCTCAGTGTTCCGGCGAATGCGAATTTTGGTGACGCGAAATTGATTGTGGGTTCGGAGTATGCGCGTGTGGCGGAACGGATAGGTGTTCGGTGCTGGCGGGCAGGATGGACGCAGAGGGTCACGAGGATGCAAGAACTCCCTATACTTGGGTGTTTTCAGGAAGAGAAGCTGAAGAGCTGGCTGGGGACAAGAGATCCGGATCGCCCTCGATGTCATCCGTGGATCGTGGAACCGCAGAAGGTGGGCGATAGCGGCCTCGGGAACAAAATGAAGTATGGGGGCAAGACCACAATTGCAAAGGATATATTCATATTGCCACATTATTGACGGGTATTTTGATATTTTGAGCATACATTTAAACCATAGATTTACTGTTGGATATTATTACAACGTATAACATTATCCTAATTACAACCTAGATAGCTGCACATCATTGGAATGGTCTCCGATGTGAGTCACAATGATTCTCTCCTTGTAGCAGCCACACTACAACAGTCTAACCAAGTTATTCAAATTAAGTTTCTCTCCAAGAATACCTAATTTTCTTTGTTATCATATGCTCTGAGAAGGAAAACAGATCAGCCCTCCCGCATCTATAGAAATGGAGTCAGTTATTGCCCACAAGGCCACCACAGTCTACTGCAATATCCAACTGACCAATAACGGCGCGCGCGTCCCTCCATGCCCCCGGAGGAGAGGCGAGGATCATCCAGGGCGCTGAGCCCGTGGGGGAGTGATAGGAGTATAACTTCATCGTCCTACCCCGTGCTCTCGACGCCATTTCCGACACGCATCTTTCTCTAACGATCCGATCCATTCCCCCGCTTTCATGCCCGTAATGTTCCTCACACGCTAACTTGCATCCTCTCCGCAATATACTTCAACTGCAGTATGTAGTCCTCTGTGCACGGTCTAATCAACCCGAGGAGGAATCATATCCCCGGGGAATCCGGGAAATCCGGTCTGATCACCACGGAATAGTTCATGGCGTGCATGCGTATGTGTTCGCGAACGGCACCTTTTCCATCCTGTGCCTGGACTTTGTCCCCTTGTCCAATTTAGATAGCTTGAGCTATACATAGTCAAGTGTTAGCTCCAAAAGGAAATCGTGCATTACGATCTTAATGCACTGTGGATTACTTATGATACAGCCGAAGCAATGCATTCATTCTACATGTATGACGAGCATTGCGCGAGAAAAAAGAAATGCTAGTAGGGCTCAGCATTAAGTTGAACATATCTAAGGGTATTTCATATTCGTTTATATATGTTCGGATCCAGTACGCTATAAACACACCTGAACAACACGATAGAATCTCAAGTTTGCGATACAGACACCGGAGAAGGGGACTTATGAGCAATTGGCAACTCGCATTCTTGACGGTAATTCCTAGATGCACTTTGCGTTATGAACCCAGCAACAATCAAGCAAATGACAGGAATAAGCTCAACCAAGAAGCCCAAAATCACGCGGGTGGCGAGCGAGCCAGTAGTCGGGTTGAGATTTTGCTTCTGAGTACACAGGTAGACGAGGCTGTAGAAGACGCGAATGCCAATGAATATAAGAGCAAATGAAATAGTCTTTAGCAACTATAGGTCAAAATCTTAGCTATCTGTCACGATACTCAGATATAGGAAGCTTACTGTTGTGCCAGCGCGACCACCGGCGCTTTTCCTCGCAGGCGTAACAAACGAGATGAAAGTTCCCCCGACCAATGCTGCCCAGCAGATTGTCAAAATTGAAATGCCTGCTTTGACAATATTTTCTGCTTTCTCAATTGGTTGCTGGTGCTTTTGCAGCTTTGCAGATCCAGCCGCAGTCAGAGCGACGCCGCCAATGACAAAGATGTGATAGAAGAGCGATAGGGCCCATTCAAGCTTTTGATCGAGACCTGATATGCGATAGATGCGACTTCATATCCGAGTTAGTTTTTTGATTGTTTGGTGGATGATTTGGTAGCCTCACGCTTCATGCAGAATACCGCTTGCCGCGAGAAGGAGAGGAGACAGTCCGACACTAGAGATGATACTCGCGGTGGGACTGGCGTTGTTGATTGCCAATGCACTTCCAATGATCCTCAAAGTGCAAAATATGAAAAGGAAAAGCCACCCAAGCAAGCCCTGACGTCCATGTTTGATGATGAGATATACTGTCGGGAAGGCGAGGGCAATATAGATGGCCAGTTCGGCTACAGACAGAGCATTCGTCATTGTAGCGTACAAAAAAATCAATCAATCAATTGTCTCTCTTGAAGCTTGAACTTGAACAACTCGTTTTTTAAGCCAGACGGGACTTTGCGAATAGCCCCCCCGAGCAGGGCGAATGCGAGCCCCTAAATATTCCATTCTCATCCCGCCGATCATAATCACCATTGCAATTTTCAATCAAAGCCAAACTTTTCCAAGAAATACTCAAGGCAGATCTTTTTCTCCTTCGAATAAGCCTCCTGTTACCACGGTGTAGGTGTATTATTTTGGGGGCTGAAAGGCTCCGTGCTTATTTTAGTATACAAGCACTGCCCCACAGTCAAAATTTCTCCAAAGATGCCCAATAAGCAGAGATTTAAGTGATTCTAATGCCACATAAATGCCATCCGTAACTTGAAATATCGAGCTAGACCCAAGCTTAGGGTACAAGTCACAGCTTTTTTCAAACCCGATACCGAGTGCACCAAACACAGCCCGGGAAGTGGGGCGTTGTCAAAAGAGCATGCAACCCGAAACCGAGACGCATCCGCCCGAGAAATGCCTGCAGAAGTTTAGCCTTGAATTATTTGACGTATCAGATCGACTTGGGAGTGTCTCATCTGGTAACATGTTTGACTATTTTAAGGTTCGTTGCACCCATTACCTAGAACAAATATCTCAAAGCTTTTTGCGTGCGAGTCATGTTTTGATAAGAGTTTCAGGTGCGTCTTTGCGCCGAAATGTAGGTATAAGCAATCCATGATTTCAAGAATACCTGTTGACAATGAACCATAATATAGATCACAGAGACTCGTGGGAATCACTCTCAGACGAACCCGCTTAGCCTTAACTTTTACCGGATACCACCGCATGCACTCCAAAGTAGTGAGGATAGAACAAAGATTTAGCTCAATGTAAATCTCACATTGCCAAGTAGCGTCGATTGGGAGTTCAGACGAGAGCATGAGGCGAGTGGAACCAGGAGAACGAAGAAACCCAGTGAACCGATTCTGTGTCAATGAATTATGATCAATGTGTGCGGTATAGACAGATTGGAAAAGAAAAGATCCCGAGATAATTGCAAGAACCTTTCAAGTAGACTAGATTGACATCTTTAGAAGAAGCACGCTGATGAGAGAATGTGACTCTGGTCCCTGAATTAATCTGGCTTATAAATGACATGTTAGTTTACATGCACCGCCAAACTCTACCTCTGCCCCTCTACTAACGGTCGGCATTTATTCTACATCCGCATTCACTAGTTTACGGAGAAATGGATACCACAATCCTCTAGAGCCATAGTATCGTACGATAATATATTAATATGATAGTAAAGCCAAGGACGGAAGGTGTGACCCTAACCCCGCACATGTGAACAGCATACAAAAGAGAAATAACTCATAGAAACTTTGCAATATGAGCAAGAAGGCTAAAACAGCCCTATTAATGGGTTCCGAGCGTCGGTCAGGTGGGCACACAGTCATCATACATAGTAAGGGTCGGAGCGTATTCGCGATACATTCCTAGCGAGGCTCCGGCGATGATGCCTATTTAGTCTTCACAAACTATAGCTGCAGAAGAATGATATAGTGCCCTACATATGCAGAGAATATTTACTGCCATTTCTTGGCTATTCTTGCCCGATTGAGGGTTTCGCTCTGGCCGCTTTTAATCCCTGAGTAAACGTGGGCATGACCTTAGCGCTACCCCGACATATTCACTAAGTCACTTTAACCCTAGTCAAGCGCCACAGGAAGCAACTGTGCCCCGCATTCCACCTGAACGACACCTCAAGAAGCACACCACGCTTGCTCTATATATCTCTTGAATGGAGTTTAGTCTTGTGCCTACGTCATTCTAATTATGTGGCTTACAATATCCAGACCGCCAGTTTTGGACCTATGATAAGTAATTTGAAGCTGACAGACAGTAGAGGATATCAGCCATCTATGTTCCGGAACTTAGCAGTTGCTGATTAATATTCAAGAATCCTTCTTTGGATAATGCAAAGTGTGGTTCCTACCGAGCAATTTCTGGATTTCTAGATAGCCTCAAGCGGTCAAAGGGGCTCATACAATGACAGAGACAGGCAAAGAAAATAGAGAATCAGCAAAGCTTGTTACTGATAGCCCCTCACACATATTTCCATGGGTGACTAGCCCGGAAATTGCTGTGTTGTATCTTTTGACCAAATGGTACATGTCTCATCTCATCTCGAAGCCGATTATTGAGAAGTTTCAATGAAAAAGGGAATATTCAATACATGGAACAAAGTGAATATTGTTCGATTACTATATTCTTTCCAGTACTAATGCTCAGCGGATATGATATATCCAATAGAGGGCTAAAATTAAACGCCAAGTAATTGAACTATTGATTCTAGGCATCAACTCCACCCCAGCACCGTATGCACCATTCCCATAAAGCGGCAGGTACATAGATAAATCCCCGAAGACCAACCGGTGCCTTGACGATCCCCCGGAAGCAACGGAGAAGACTCTACGCGGGGCGGGGTTGGCGCCGATCCTGTCGAACGGTGGAGACGCCTTTTGTCCCCGTTTCTGCTTTTTGTGCCCAATTTGCATCCACATGCTAAGATTGAATAATCCTTTCGGCGCAAAATGTCTTTTTTTGAGTTTGTTGGCATGGCCCGTGGCTTGAGACTTCCGGAAACCCATCTCAAACTCGTTCTAGCGTCAACAAAACGGCTTTCAATGCATAAGACATACTTGTCTTGGCCCGATGGTTGCATTCAAGGCCCCATGATGATCAGCGCCCCCTTTACCTGCCTCGGTAGAGGATTAGAATCACGTTCACAAGATGCACGACCAAATGTGCGTTATATAGCATCTATACCGAGTCACATCCCTTTGTTTTTTCATCCAGCATTCTCGCCTTGTCTCTTCCCTATAGAGCAAGAAGATGGCCTTGTCCATTGTCCGCATGGTGCGCCTCGCCCTGGTGGGCTTCATGGCCTTGCTGTCAATTGCTGCAGCTCTTCCCGCGGAAGATGTGGCTATTCGTGCTATTCCACAGGACCCCAGCACCGATCCGTTCTACCAGCCTCCCGCTGGCTTTGAGTCTCAAGCTCCTGGAACAATTCTACGCCAGCGAAAGATCAGTGCCTCGTTCTTTGGGTTGATTCTCAACCCGGTGAGGGCGTACCAGGTGTTATACCGCACCACTGCAATCAATGGCTCGGCCATCTCGACCGTGACTACGATCTTCAAGCCGCTCATCGCCAAGAATGATCGTTTTATTTCTTTCCACACGGCATATGATAGCTCGGCGGTCAAGTGCAACCCTAGTTATAGCTACCAGCTGGGTGCTCCACAGACCGATTTGATCTCGTCGGTGGAGACGCTCATTATCGAGGCATATCTCCTTCTTGGATATACTGTTGCCTCCCCAGACTACGAGGGACCTGATGCGGCATTTGGCCCAGGCCGCCTCGAAGGAATGGGTGTATTGGACGGTATTCGCGCTGTGAACAATTTCAAAGATACTCTTGGTCTCAAGAACCCTATGGTTGTTGGCGTTGGATATTCAGGCGGTGCCCTAGCTACCGGCTGGGCAGCATCCCTGCATCCAAGCTACGCACCAGAATTGAACATCAAGGGCTGGGTACAAGGCGGTACCCCGTCAAACTTGACAGGCACTTTGGTTTTCATCGACGACACGGCTTTCGCTGGCTTCCTTCCCACGGCCGTAGTTGGGCTTTCAAAGCCAAGTGCCTACGGTGCCGAGCTGAACCCAATCCTTGATGGGATCTTGACAGACGAAGGCCGATCCAAGCTCGACTTCGCGGCAACTCACTGCGCCGTTGAGAATCTGTTCAGCTTCGGTGAGATGTCCCTGTTCAGCACCAATATTCAAAGCCTTGGCCGGGGTCTCCTCACCGAGCCAACCATCAAGTCCGTTATGGACAAGAACACCATGGCTGTCAACAAGGCTGAAACACCCACTGTACCGGTATTTGTATACCACGCCACTCAGGATGAGGTCATCCCATACGATAATGCCTCGACAATGGTCAACTCCTGGTGTGGTTGGGATGCGAATGTCAAGTTCACAACTTACGCCAACGGTGGCCACGCAACAACCGAGCTCATCAGTCTCCCGGATGCTCTCAAGTTCGTGGAGAATGCATTTGCAGGCAAGGTTGCCAGTGGTTGCACCAAGAACACTGAGCTGTCAAGTATTCTGAACCCCATTGCTCTGGGTGTTGCACTCGAGCCGCTTCTTCTGAAGCTCGTTGAAGCGCTGGCCCAGCTGGGTAAGCAGGATGCGAATGTCAAGAGCGATACCAAGGTACTTGCTCAGACTGTTCCTACCTGATTTCGTTACCTGTGCTGGTGATCTTGGATACATATAAACCAGGCTGTAATGTGTTTATGATATATGCTGTCTCGGACAGTGATGTTCTTATCTGACTGCATTCTATATCCTGTGTGTGGGACGCCATCTGTATATATTGCGCAGATGCTTTCATCAGAACATAATACATACCACCATTCCGAATGGAATTGAATCTTGCGGTTAACTTATCTACTTGGTCTTCAACCGGGTTATATAAATCACGTAACTGTACATGGCGAATTAGCTAATGGGCTCTTATAACATCACATTTTACTGTAGAGATCTACCCATCTACACAATATTTCCGGTTGGCATAGGAAGCAGACATTAGTTAATCACGACCATGCCCCGGCTCTCGTCACATCAACTATCGCACAACGCCCCACTTGGCTTGCAGTAGTATATCTCAGATGTGATCTCGGTGGCGGATCGGACCGGATCAAATTCATCACGAAGTGAGCTTGGACATCGTCACATAGCACTGGATCTAGTAGTGAAACTGTCGGTTCTACGCGCGCTTTGCTCCGTTAAACGGTGGGCCATCTGGCAAACTCTGGTATGGACAGGTTGGCTCGTGCTCACATACGTAGTCTCCAGGTCTATGAGGCTGGCCTAGCGTGCATGATGAAAGGGAGTTCACGGTGAAGAATAGAATCATGGCGATT